ATTTTGTTGTAACTAAAAAAACGAATAGGGAAGAAATCTTTTTTTTCACATATTTTTGTAATTTAAAAGGATTTCATTTGGAAACATGAGCCCAACAGTATATACATACATACATATTTGATAGATATGTAAAAGAACTAACTAATTCTTAAGTTATAGATCACAGGGAAGATTTCATCTAATCCAAATATTTGCATTCCTTAAGATATTTTCCCATTTTCTTTATTTCAATTTTATAGTTTCTTTGAAGTGAGTTTTTGGTTTAATTGACCTGTAATTGATATTTCTCCAAATTACATAATTATTTGTGAAAACACCCAAATTTTCGACGATTATCCGAACTTTTTCACTTTCCCTCCTGCATTGATCGAACAAAAACAAAAACCAAATTCAACAGAGCATACAAAATACACATTCACCGATTTGCCCACAAAAATTGATGTGCGATATGGGGAAGAATGTATGCAGCTACAAAAGTGTTTGTGAAAATCAATTAAAATGCATTAAAAATGGGCTTTTGTTTTTACCCAAATACATAACCAAGCGTGAACAAATCAGAATGTTCAGAGTAGCAGAAAGGGAGGAAGTTTTGTTCGCTAACCACTTTCATAAGACGCAATAATTTACATTTAAAACAAGATAGAACGCTACAGTCGAGCAAGCCCGACAGTAAAATAGCCTGTACTCTCCACAAAAAGGAAAAAATTAAAAAAAAAAAAATTTTTTTTAAATTAAATTATTTAAAAAAATGAATGAATTAATTAATTAAAATAATTAATTAAATTAAATTAGAATACATGTTTATGTTCAGTTTAAACAGCATACATTTACATCACGTACCTATGCGTGTTTATATGCGTGTTTATATGCGTGTATGTATGCAGCACAAAGTTAAACCAAAGCAGCAACAACAACAACAGCTGCGGGCAGCGCTGCCGACAGAGGCAGCGCATGAGCAGCGATTTTACTTATGGCTATAACTTTCTTCAGAATTGACCTATCATGATGAAATTTGGCACACGGACACATTAGTACTAACTGGATGTACCTACCAAAATTGATTTCAAAATTCCGAGAATTACGGAAGTTATAAGAAAAAATACGAATTGCGGGGGAGTGGGGGGGTGTATCAGAAAAAATAAACAAACTCGTTCTGCCTAGGGCTTATAGGAACCTTGATACCAATTTTGGTTATCCTAGCTCTTGTACTTACTGAGATCCTTGCGCTCATACAGACAGACGGACAGACGGACAGACGGTCAGACGGACAGACGGACAGACGGACATGGCTATATCGACTCGTCTTCTCATCCTGATCAAGAATATATATACTTTGTGGGGTCTGCCACGCCTCCTTCTGTGTGTTACATACATGCGCACAAAACTAGTATAGCCTTTCACCCTTTGGGTACAGGCTATAATAATGATGATATGAGTATAAGTATACTCATAATCGTTTTATAGTTATATACGAGTATATTGTTGTAAAAAAATGTCAGCAAGGGATTTGGAAGTGTTGGGTGAAGATCATGCAAATGGACTAGAAATAATAGGAGAAAAGAAAGTGTTTATTAAACGATTTTAATTTGCAGACTCATTACAAATAAACCTAACAATGGTAAATGGGTTCAGAACTATTGTTTGGTTAAAATATGAGGACCATGCCAGTGGCCTAAAAAATCCATTGAACATTTTGTAACTTCAACTTCTCTTTACATTCCTGGTCCAATTGCATGATCCTCACATTTAAACCTAACATGAAAAGAGGGACATCTAAAAAGTACTAGGTCATACAAATTCTAAAAGATTTAAATTTATTACTTCTATAAGCTTCTTGTTCCCTTAGTATTCTTGTTATAATTTATATTGTTTTCTTTAGTAACTCCTTTCCGCCTTTCTTAAAGATATAGTGCTTATGATCGTTTCCAATTTCTCTGGCACATTCTCACCCAATCCCAAATAAATGTAAGCCGAACGAAAATAATATTCTAGTTAGCAAGTTATATTCCCACTTCCAGAAAGGTAGAAAATTGGGAAATTTTGGGAGATGTAACATTTGACATAAACAGATTCTCACAAACTTAAGCTTGCATTGTAAGTAAACGTTATTATTTGAGCTAATCGTGCCGTGAATACAAGCTTCAATATTTGAGCATCATTATTTGCTAAAATCTAATTTAATTCAGTTATCCTTTTCAAGCTCCTTTAAGACCCAACTCTGAGGATAAACACGTAACCTGCTGTTGGCAATAAATAATTTAAATAGAAATAAAGAAAATAATTACATCTAATGGTTCCCAAATCTCTTATACATAATTCAAAAGTAAATTATACATCGCCAATCTATACATTTTCTATTCAAAGAAGACAACAACAATAACAACAACACCAACCAAGTTTTGTCGCTTGATTTTATAACATTACGTGCGTAAGCAGCTGTTTTTTATCCGCTACTTGTTTTTATATTATTATCAACTTTTTTTTTGTTTTGTTTTGGGTGTTTTGTGTAATTTGTTGTCAGCTGCTTGGCACCTGCAATTTTACAAATTCCTAATATGTGCACACACAGATGCACATAACAACTATTTTGTGCATTTTCCTGTAAACGAAAGCCTGGCGCTTTCACCAAAAAACTAGCTTTCCAGCTGATTATAAAATTCAAATACGAGTGTCAAAACTTGTCCTACAGACAGGGTTATATCGACTCGTCTCTGTGTGGGGCTAAAGGTTAATCTCTTCAAAAGTGAATAGACAGCACAGCAGCAGTCCTCTGTTTAATATACTACAAGTACATATATTGTATGTTATACAATTGAATGCCACATACTCGCACCAAACAAAAATAAAACCTTAACGAAATCTATCAAAACAAGTCGGCAGAATTTTGATTATCATACTACGAGTATATAATAATTTGGCAATGAACGCTGGCAGTAGCAGCAGTGACTTCCTTTCACTTGCGGATACAAAATGTACGAGTATGTATGTATATACAAGTATGTATGTATAGTAGTATTGCTAAACATATTTGTAGCCACTACTCCAAAGGTGCAGCAAGTTGGAAACTAATGCTAAGATATTTCATACGCCTACGTTGGCCACTCACTGCCGAGCTCTGGCAGAGCCAGAGCCAGAGTTTATTTTTACTTTTCATTTCAATATTTGAATTCAAGAGCAAAGACTTTGTATTAATGCTGACATGAAGTGCACTCGGCGACAATGGACTCGAGAGCGGCTGCTATCTGTAGCCCGTTTTGATGTTTTATCATTATTTTGGACAGCAGTGCCATACCAGCGCTGAATGCACACTTAAGGGCTACAGTACCAGGCCAGTACGCATGAATATTCCTACAGAAATAAACATATGAAAATTGTATATACTTGTACATAAGTATATGTATATTCCGCATTACTTTAAAGAAACCCATCACTACAAGTATAGCCCAATGCACACAACAAGAAACACACAGTGCCTATAAGAGTCAAAAATAAACATCAGTTAACATTGCGTAATTTATTGTGCCAACAAAACTATGACCTTAGAATTTAGTACTGTGTCATTGCTTACATTTTTCAAAACAGACTTTTGTCTGACTTTTTGTTTTGCTGATTGATTCATTCATTAGATTCATGAAATTTTATTAAACAACTTCATTATTTGCATTACCTCTGTACTTAACAGAACTGCATTACGCCATAAGAGATTCAATTCTGTAATTTATCAAACCCATTTCAACATTAGTACATACAAGTATATACAAATTTATATTATTTATTCAAACATATAATAACAATAACTACTAATTTAACTGCCGCACAACCTACATCACAATTACAAATGAAGCCTTAAAAGGAAACCCCACTTGGGAATTTTAAATCAATGTAGGAACAACTATACTTTGTCTCAACCTAACCTAGCACAGTGTAGTCCAATCTTGTTAAGCTGAAAAGGAGTACACATAGTCCCACATATTTGTCTTTCAAATAAACCAATAACATATCGAAAACAATTGATTTTTGTTGCTTTTCATTCATTTTTAAAACCAAATGAAATTTATAAGGAAACCCCACTTGGAAATTATAAATCAATATTGGAACAACTATAAAAAACGTATAATATACCGAAAACAATTGACTTTTGTTGCTTTTCATAAATGTGTAAAACCAAATGCAATTTAAAAGCAAACCACACTTGGGAATTCAATATTGGATCAACTATAATTTGTTATGGAAACAGTCTTCACCTAACCTAGCGCAATGCACTCCAATCTTATTAAGCTGAAATAAAGTACACGTAGTCCCTTCCAAATAAACCAATAATTCTTGTATACCGAAAAAAATTGATTTTTGTTGCTTTTCATTCATTTTTAAAAAGAAACCACTATACAAATACATAGGTCTTTCGTTTTATATAACAATACTTGGCGAACAGCTTAAAACAGGAACTTTTTATTTTCAGATAAAATAGTTCAAGAGCAAATAAAAGTCATGCAGGAATGGTGAAAAACAAAAATAGTCCACTATACAATGGTTATAAATAATATAAATATGCAACGAACATAACATATATTAGACCCCCTAGAGATAGCGAGATCCTCTTAACCAAGTTTTTTTTATTCTAACACTCATACCGTTCGAGAATGGATAATAGATTTACTGAGAGAATATCACCAAAAAAAATTAATTCTTTTTGTTGGGTAATGAGAGCCATGTTTGAAACGTTTAATAATGCCAAAATTAAATGTAAACAGGGAAATGCCCTTTGGTATTAATACAAAAATATCAATGAATGAAGTGTGGTTTGTGTTATAAGCAAATACTTGTACTATTAACAAAACAAGATAATAATTAAACAACAACAAGAAAAAACAGATTACCGATGTCTTAAAACTGGATGTTAACATGCGTTGATACAATCATCTTCTAGAATCAACTTCTTAACGTTAAAAAAATACTTCATACATTTTAAATGTTCTCCAATTTCTCCAATTTTTTCTCAGAGAACAACAATTACTGAACATATTTGAGATAATTATCACAACACTCGAGGAGAAACTTAAACGAATCGACAATCTTGATCAATCAGTGGAACACATGATGCGACGCATGGAAGCTCTGGACAGCCGTGTGTCTGATAATCTATTAAAAACGGATTCAGTTATATCGAAACTGCGATCACTTGACAGCAAGCTAACAAGCGATGTATATCTAATGCCTGATATTAGTACAACCTCTGGTGATGGAATTCGAGCACCGCGCACCTCGTCCGCCTCCCAACTAGATAGCCGGCTTGTGCAACTGGACCAAAAGGTCAGTGATATTGACTCCAAATTAGAGGTGCTAAAGACTCAAATAGATAACAACTTCCTACAAATGGACGACTTCAACGCTGAGGCAAGCGAGAAGAAACCAATAACTATGAATGTTATTGAAATAACGAAAGCCATGAACGCCGAGGTGATTAGTCATGTCTCAGCTGAACTTAATGAACTGCACGATACAACGGAAAACATTGATAAAAAGTTGCAGTTTCATATAAACATTGTGTCCGAAAATGTCGGCCGTATGCTACGCATGATGGGCGATATACACGATGCTGTGGTGGAGCACCAGGAACAGATTAACGGATTCAATGTCACTACGACAGCACCACCTCCGATTAAGTCCAGCAAAATTGATGCACTCGTGAAACAAATACGCCCCATGGTCTCGGTTTCAGAAAAGATGGATGAAGTGTGGGACGTGGTGGTGGGCACAAAATCATCGGTGGACCATCTTCTACCCAAATCGGATGAATTGCTGACACAAACTCAGCGACAAGAGCGCGCCATTGGAGAAATCCACGAAGATTTAAAAATGAAAACGAACCTAATAATTAACAATTTAGATATGGTCGAGAAGCGTTTAAAAAAACAAGAGGATGACGTGCAAATACTCGCACAGCGACCTGTTCCCACTGAGCTGCTTATGGATCCAACAATAGATCGTTTAGTCGAATACGATCCGAACAGGTTAGCAATCTTTCTGTCTGCTTTCTTACACCTTGCTCATTGTTTTCTTCTTATTTCACTGCAGGTACTCGGTTGTTGACGATGGCTTTACGGAGCCGAGTGTGCCCACAACTCCACTATCCCCTCCCGGGAACTCTGCTAGCAATGTTCTGTCTTCGACCACCCCAGCCTATACCTCTCCGGTCGCAGGTGTGAACAACAATCAAACTTCACCATCGGGCACAATTACGAGCACTACTGTGGGATTGAACTATAATTCCACAACTAGTTCATCAAATACTGCAACCACATCTAATGCAACGCCGGCAAAATCGGTTATACGAAAAGGAGGAATCATCTTTCCCAGTGTCAAAAATAAGCCATCTGTTGTGAATAACAGCTTCACCACCGACTTTTTGACCCTTAAGGATGTCAAGGTACGTTACTTCACTTTAGACATCTTCCCAAAACTTGCCTCTAAAAATACTAAACTATATGACGTAATAGCCCGTATTCGATTCAACAGCCTATATACAAGTATAAGAGGTATATTATTTTAAAAACGACAAGAAAAATTACTTACATATTTGAAAAGCCCATTGCGATAGACTTTTATATTGAAATTTTATACTCCAGGAAGTACATATTTAAAGAGCTTCTAGAAATTAGTCAGCAACTGCAACTTGTTACAGGCCTTGCAAGAATTTAAAATCCCATACTGAATAACGATATTCCTATTTAAAACAAGTTACCGATTTTTGACATACTTTATTGATAGGCTAAAACAAATTTTATGAAAAGAATGGAAAAGTATTTTAAATTACTTTCCATCCGAATAAGGCCACGTATGTCCATTCCTTCCTTTTCCATTGAAAACCAAAAACATTTTCAAATAATAATAAAAAGAACAATATTTCATTAAATGAACTTATGTAATTGTTTTGACTCCACATATTACAAATAAATATCTCCCTTTAAAATATAGAAAATGTGAAGCAGACTTTTTAAAAATACACTGTCTTTTCGATGCCATAAAGAGGGCTATTTTATTTCCACAAAACATTGTATAAATAGGTTTATTCATAAATAAATAATTATTCTGACCACGCACATCATAAATATTCATACTCTAACTGTATAAATTTCAACAAAAAAATGTTATTTCATCGGTAGTACGAGTATTTAGAAGGACGTTGCTCGGTTCGTATTTTAGCTCAGTAAAGACAATATATATTTCGTAATTCGGGTATTTTTACTACGCTGTGCATGAAGATATACAAAAAAGGTAGGGCTTTAATACTTGTTCTTTACGGCCATTAATTTCAAGCCACCATCAAATTTCCTAAATCACAGCTGTTAAAATTTTCTAAATTTTCATTTCTTGGCCAAGCTCTTAATTTAAAACATCACTGGAATGTAATAGGACGCGGGAGTGTCGTCCCGTTGTGGATAAAACCCCCTTTGTAAACAATTACAAGAGCTTAAAAATATGTCTCACTAATGAGAACATTCTAAATGATATAATACTTTAAAATTTCGAATACCATATGCCATATTTGATTTCTGCTCAAGACTGGCCGTTTCTGAATTTTAGTACAACCTGTAATTCCACAAATGAATCAAACTTTACACAGCTTTGGCTTAGTACCCTACCTACGTAGGTAGGTTTTGAAAACTACTTTTACAGTTAGATTAGAAAAAGATATGTTTAGTCCAGACCATTGTCTGTTTTTATAACTGCTAAGCATTTTTTGTCTTACAAGAACGGTTCAAAATTAATTTCAATGAGCTTTAATGTAAATAAGTACTAAAGAGAAACTGGTAGAGGTGGTTGTGCAGCATGATTTCACTTATAAAAAACTAAAACACTTTAAAAACTTATTACTGTATGAGGATTCTTTTGGATACATTCTCTGTCTAAAGTTCATCTTTTATGGGGTGCTCTTTACATGAGCATGTATAACTTAAATGAAGTTTTTCCATGTCGGGTAGCACGACAACTGGCGATATCAGCCTCGTGGCCCATTCCTTAAACATGGTTAAGTGATAACAATAAATGTGTTGTGGCAAAAGATTGTTATCCACAAATTCGCGTGCAGCCGATACTATTTCTCTTGCACGCATATCATTATTTCTAGCCCACTCTATTTTCTCTATAACATCGCTGAGATCGCGTTTGATGGGCACATAATGCTTGTACGGTACCAACTTGCTATAAAAATGTTCGTAATAGTTTGATTCCTGTTTAAGGACTAACGAGCCGCCAGCAAGTAAATATGGTAATCGATATGCTGCAACAGCTCCATCGATGTTTAGCTGATATTTATACTGAAATATACCATAAAATTTACAATAGAATACATTTTGGAAAATTTAAGGTAAGGACTCACCCTGAAAAATTCCATAAACGATATGTGCGGCACCTTTGGGCCGTACTTTTCTTCTTCGTTCCGGAAGAAGAAGAAATTTGTTATGGACGCGTTTATCATATCTGGATGCTTCCTGGCCAAATCAATCAATTGCAGTCGTTCCCTACGCGAGTCCCTGCCACGAAAGAACGCCTTTTCTTCTTTGGTATCCCAAGGATACTCACTCTTTTGCACCGACAATATATCCAACATCACGCGCCCCATATTCTCTAGAGTAGACTCCGTAATATCATAAGTTGGCAACGTTATGTCGTAGCTATCATCACTACCGCACCAGGAAAATATAGGATATGGACCTGATGTGCGCTGTTGCCCTCCTTTTTTCGAAAGGGGCCAGTCGCCCAGATTTATATAAAACTCCATATCGGGCAAATACGCCACCCGTCCGAGTGCCGATAATGTCCGATCCATAAACATGCTAAAGCCAGTGTATTTGCCATAACATTTTCTCCAGATTTGCTGGTTCTTGACCACATAATGGCACAATGAAACGCTCTCAGGCGAATTATATCGTTTAACAAGATTTTCTCTTATGGCACTGAAGTTAACACGTTTAAAAGAATGCAGGTCCCAAGTCATCTGCTTGTCATCATCGACTGCTGGGCAATTGTTGTGTATGAGCCACAGGCTCAGGTCCTGGGGGCAGTAGCAGCGTTCCGAATACACCTTATTTCGCACCACATACGGGGACTGTGCAACGTGAGAATTATTATAACGCACCACAATCTCTACCTGCTCGCACCAATCGGCAGATATTGAGTAACGCACGATGATGGAGCCATCATTGCGTTCAATCAGATTGATATTAGACCGGCACTTGCCATGCGGTGAGTTCCCATTGATCTGCACATCGAATTTTGCCGGTGGCACAGAATCAAATCTGTTGTAAGAAAACCAATTGAAATGATTAAGAACTATTACGAAATACTTTAGTTTATAACTTACTTGTTTCCCGCTTTGTCGACAGCATGTATGAAAAAATATCGGGCTGGCAGCACGACCTCATCCGGCTTGAGTCCCGGGCCCCAGACAACTGTTTTCTCCACATCAACTTGTATTTGACAATTTGACAAATGCAATATTAAAATAAAAATTGCTGCATTAAGTGAACTACGATCAGAAAAAAAGAGTGTTAAGAGTGTTAACAAGTCGCAAATAATTTGATGTGTAAATACCGGAACAAATAATCTTTATTATAATAGTGAACATTTTTTTCCACTCACCAAATAGACGTACGTAATACCATTGCCAGAAATTATGAATGTTTTTATCGCCCAACTCTTTGTTAGGCGGCTTGTAATTAAATTGCCAATATTTACGCCACTAACAAATGGTTTAAGCCCTTTAGAGTGACCAAATTACCGCAATTGAAAAATACCTCATTTAAAAAAGAAACTACATACGAGGTCAGGCAAATAGTACCGCTTTACAGTCTGTGTATATTTAAAAAACTTATAAACAACCATTTCGGTTATTTATAACAATTTATGTAGATTATATAAATTCAATAGCTATTTTAAATAACAAATAAACCTGATTGAGAATACTATTTGCCTACCTTATGCGTTCGATTCCATTCTTCAAAATTACTGCCTCCTCCTTAAACAAGTGGAAAAGTTAAAGTCGGGTACTCTGTCCACTGTGTAGAGTAGAGCCAAGAAGCAAAAATAACAACAGCTGCGGGCAGAGTTTGGGCAGAGAATTTTTTTATGGCTATAACTTTCTTTCAAATTGATTTTAAAAATTATAAGATATACGGGAGCTATGGAAAATCGTTTATAGCGGGGAAATAGGGGGAACGCGAAAAATTGTAAATTACGATTGTCCTGTCTACATTACATTTTTCACTTCCTGCAGACCAAATAAACTCTTTTAGGTACATCCATTAATGGTTTTTAATTTATTCCGGTTTTGATCTAAATCTTTATTAATATTTAATCATTCCTAATACTATATACATATGTATTATATGTATTTAATACTTTCATTAACAATATTAATTTATTTTCTTGTAGGGCTTCTCATGTGTTGATTTGCTAAATGCTGGAATGAGACAGTCTGGAGTATTTTACCTTCAAATTCGTGGCACAACCTATTGGTTTTTGAAGGTGTTTTGCGAACAGGAAATTTCGGATGGTGGCTGGACAGTAAGATATTAATTTTAATTCCATAATTATGTGTAGATATACATAAATATTTGTAGGTAATTCAACGACGCGACGATTTTGGCGATCCACGAGAGAACTTCAACAGGGACTGGGCGGACTATAAGAATGGATTTGGCGATCCCGCAAAGGAGTTTTGGTTGGGTAACGAAAACATTTATATGCTGACAAATAATGAGGATTATGCTCTACGAGTGGAACTTGAGGATTTCGAGGGAAATAAACGGTAACTACAAAAACCCAACTCAACTTAACTATAATAATGAGTGCATATCGTTTTCTCAGCTATGCTCAGTACTCGCATTTTAAAATCCATTCGGAAGCAGACTACTACAAACTCGAAATAGATGGGTATGAAGGAAATGCCGGAGACTCCCTAAACGATCCGTGGTATGGCTCAAACAATAGCCCCTTTTCAACGTACAATCGAGACAATGATCGCAGTTCGCTTAATTGCGCAAGCATGCTAAAGGTAATGCTAATTACTTGTATATATTCAAAATACCTGTTTACATACGAGTATTATATTTATTTTATTCTGATTTCATAGGGGGGCTGGTGGTGGAAGTCATGCGGACGTGGTCTAAACGGACTGTATCTTCATGATCCCCAGGACTTAACCGCTCGTCAGGGAATTGTTTGGTTCCGCTGGCGTGGTTGGGACTACACATTAAAGAAGGCAACAATGATGATCCGCCCGCGAACGCCGCAGCCGCAGGCCATGAATCAAGCCACAGCGACTACTTGAAGATCGCTATATGTTTATTACATTATAAATCCCCTAGTTAATGCAATAGAAGCTTGAGTGCTCCGAATCATTCATCTCGTGCCCAATAGATTATTAACATGTTTCATGAATGCATCATTTTTAGCAAATTATACATACATACACTACATTTAAATTGTAAATTGCTACCTTTTACAAATAATAACTTATTTTTATTGTTTACTTAAACTACTTTACCAATTGCGTCCCCACATCCATGCATACATACATCCAATGTCATCCTTATATCATTTCATTTCTATCGTGATTAGAGTCTACAAACATACATACATACGTTTAATACGGTTTCCTATATGATGACATATATAGTCGTACTCACAAAAACATATTTTTCATCTTCTATTAAAAGGACAAGCCACATTTGAAATTTCTAAATTTAAGGAAATCGTATATTGTAAATAAATGTTTATATCTATGTATATGTATGTGTCCTTTAGTTCATATTCCTTTCTATTACACACAAAATTGCGAATAGGTTTGTGCATTACTGGCGGGACGTGAAGTTGCTTTGGAATTCTATTTAAAAATTTGAATTTTAGGGGGAAACCATTTAGCTCCGAGTACGAACGCCGTTCACAGTTGGATCTAATAATACCATACAACATCGCAGTCTCTATTCTTTTTTCCTACCTAAATGTAAATAAAGCATCTGAGCGTTATTCTTTCCTACCAAAATTCGTACATACGTAAATAAAGCATCTGAACATAAGCACTTACTTAACAAAAGATAGCAATACATTTAACCAATGTAATTATATTTTGTAAATAAAAAAAATGTTAATAGTCTTATTGCTGCCATATGTTTTTTTTAAGTCCAGAGACAAATTGGTTTTGATGGAATAAACTAAACGGTTCCCATAACAATTTTCACAATGTCAGCTTTTTAAACATTGCGGTCGAATAAGGAATTGTACTGACAGATTATAATGAATTTTTTACGGTCAATTAATACTAATGCATATGCCAATTTGTGTAGGATTTTAAGAATACAAACATTTTTACAAAGGATTGGATTTGATTATTATATTTATATCAGTGGATTTTATTATATGACAACTACACATCGAATAATGCCGTTTATGAAATCAGTGTCAATCGGATTTTAACCGATTCGCAAATTCAACTTGCTGTATTTCTTTCCACTCTTTCTTTGGCTTCATCCTCTTCAGTTGTCCATCCCACACCAAATCAATGAGTCCACCTTGTTTTGCAATAACGCTCTTAACACGATTTGCAAAATCTATAGCAGATTCTCCATCTTGCCGATACATCGGTGGAAGATACCAAACATCACAAACTATGGCCCATGAGGTCATCATCATGTACAAGTATTGCATCATTGAATACTTTGCGCTATTCCAAAAAGCGTCGCCAAATCTTGGATCATACCTTAAAATAGAAAACATCATATATTATTAATTCAATTTTAAAAAAAGGAATGCTGGAAATCTTAAAACTTTAGATAACTCTGATTTAAATTAAAGATTTTTGCAGTCATTAGACTATTTAGTTTCTTTACCAAATGAAAAAAAAAAAACAAGAGAGAACGGTACAGTCGAGCAAGCCCGACAGTGTAATACCCTGTACCCAGGTAAACTTCCGTCACTGAGTTATATGCGCCCATAGCAGCAGCAAAAAGAGGAAGAAGAAGAGCGAACTTGTTGCTGCAGTTTGGGGGGGTTGTACTGGCGAGAATTTGTTTTGCTAATAACTTTTCTTAGAATTGACCGAATTGAAAATTTTGAACAACAGTAGACAATTATATATAAATTTTGTGTGCAAAGTTGGGTTTAGGTAGCATTTGAAATGTGGACACTATTGACGAAATTCTGTAGCGGGGAAAGGGGGGGAAAATTAAAAAAAAATAAAATAAACTCGTCCTTTCTCGGACCTAGGAGAATCTGGATACCAACTTTGGTTATTCCAGCTTTTAAAGTTTCTGAGATCCTCGCGTTCATCCAGACGGACAGACGGACGGACATGTCTAGATGGATTTCTCTCTAGTTATTTAATGAAATATCATACATTTACAACTGGAGATATTTGCCAAATCCGAGTACAAAATTCCAAAAATTACGGGAGTTATGGAAAAAAAATGGGTGTATCAGAAAAAATAAACAAACTTGATCTGCTTAGGGCTCAGGAGAACGTGAATACCAAGTTTGGTTATTCTACCTCTTGTACTTGCTGAGATCCTTGCGATTATACAGACAGACAGACGGACATGGCTATATCTACTCGTATTCTCATACTGATCAATGTACTTTGTGGGGTCTGCCACTCCTCCTTCTGTGGGTACAGGGTAAAGAAATGTTAAATGGAATATGTGTAACTCTTGAAAATTGGTGTAGCAGACCCCACAAATTCGAGTAGATACAAAGGAATTATAGCATTTGACAGACAAGACATTATTTAAAACGTATATATACTATAAGTATTTATTTATATTTATAGGGAAATATACTTACTTTATTGCCACTGGATAGATAACTCCACCAACTTCAAAGCTACCTTTTTTAAATTGCATAACTGATGTGTTATTTATGCAAGTTCCCTCTGGGAAAATTAAAATTGGCGGGTTATTAGGATCGGATACATGCTGCCTTAATCGCTCGGCGACAGTATGACGATCTTTGGCTTCTCCTCTTTCAAACCAAATGTGTGGGGAAGCTCTTGCAAGAGCCCTTTGGAGTACACCAAGAAATCCACCATGCCTTTGGCCAATCTATAAAAAAGCATTCAAATTTTATTATACCAAATGACAAAGCAAAAACAAAAGACACATAATTGTTAATTACAGCACTTAAGGTATACACATAAAACAAATAATACTCAGTGGAAACTACACGAATATTAATAATGAAAAGCTAATGCGTATTAGGTGGTGGGGAGGGCAAAGCGGTATGTTCCAGATTAAAATGTGTGCTACTCAGGAAAAGCTCAGAAGGTATTGGATTAAAATAGTATATAAATAAATAAAAAGGTAGGTCAGTTGATTAAAAGAAATAAATACGTAACAGAAGGAGATCCTAAATCGGAAAACAGAGTTTCAAATATACATATGTAAACAGAAATCATCTCAATCTTACCAGAGAATATGTGGTGTCGCACATTAGGACGAGTACATCGATGGGGCTTGTATGATTTGCCACACAAATACCAGATGATGGGCGATTTTCTTCATTATGGTAAGTTATGACAGCCGAAATAGCACTGGACAGGACACCAAAGCACTGCCTGAGAACTCTATTTACAATATCTCGCTTTTTCTGTCCGTCCTTTAGATATCCCACAGCGGCTGTACATACTGTTAACCACACTACCTGAGATTTAAGACATTAATAGCCATAGTGGAGAGTAATCTTAAAATAATTAATACAATCAATGCCAAAATTCGCGACTAAAACAACACGCGTCTCAACCTTAATGTCGATACTAAATTTTAAATCATAAAGTAGGTCGTTCGATAGATATATCCATGTAAATAGGGTCTATCATATTTTCTTTATTGTAATTTCGAATTATTGTATTGACAACTTATCGTGTCCGATAATACTATCAAACGACTCAATGCGTACTTATTTATAATCGAATCTTTGATACATTATCAAAAAATAATAAATATTTATATCTACATGTTTATAGCTTTATTTATAACTTATCAGACTTTAGTCGCTAAGTGTTCGCTAATATCGTAATATGACTAAATTTGAGTGCATTCTATTACTGTGATTGGCAACAAATATTCGGAATAGGAAAAAGACTTTTCGTTATAACATAGAAATACAATTTATAGAATAATTTCACACTCAGCGACCCAACTGGCTTAAGGCGATACCATTATAATATTAATGAATTATAATTTTATAACCAGCCTTCGCTTAAATTTAAAACTTCTGTCATTATATAAGAAATATTATTTCTTAAAGCGGATCCAACACATTCTTCGTTAATACTTTAACTATTTAACTATGAATTTTAATCTTTCTTTAATCTTTAAGCTTTCCTTTCGTTAAAATATCCGCAGATGACAAAGAAAATTTGTCTGTTTTTTACTCTCATTGGTAGAAATATGCAAATTTTTTAATTTCACATACCTATAAAGTGCTTCCGGAAAATCTTCACGATGTGTTGACGATAGTATCACTGCAGACACATCCATAAGAATGTATGTATATATTCAGGACTGATGTGAATTCCAAAGAAATGGTCGCTTTTCGTATTTAAGTAGAAAAATAAAATCTATAACAAGGGATTTCAGTTTATTTTCAGGAGCTTAAGAAATAACCTTCGGCGTTGTTTCGTTTTATCGACAATTGATTAAGCTTTTGATCATAGCCAAAGCTGCGGAAGGATTCTAAGAGGTCTGTTTACATCGCTCTCCGTAAAAGTAATTGCGAATTAAGGGATTACAATTGAATTGATGACAGATTGGAAGTTCAACTGGTTCTGTGATATAGTTGTATATGTATGTTTTCCAAAGAATTTTTATATTGTGAAGTGAAAATGGATGTGTTGAAAAGATTAGTTATTAGATTAGATTTGGCAGAACAAAATTGAGAAAAACCTGCAGTGACAAAAAACATGCAAGAAACGCCAAAATCGCACGCCCTTTTACTTTTGACACATATTTTTTGAAAACCTTCTACTGTGGAGTTTTTTTAGGTGAAATATATGGAATTTCGTGGGTTCTTTAATTCACTTTGTAACCTGGAATGCTCTTTCCTTGAGCTCAGATTTCTAAATACCATTTTGTTAATACAAAACCGGAACGAAAATTGAATTTCACCAAACTAAATTGAATGGAGCAACTGTTATTAAAATTTTATATCTTACCTGGTTACTTTTTACAATTTACAAATATGAAGATTGAAGGTAATGGTTATAATAAGGGATCGAATGAGTCTAATGTTGACTAATATACGAAATCAAATAATGTGGGACGACATTTTGAATGTAATTCAAAACATGTACAGCAATGCAAAGACAAACACATGAAGCAGTAAATATAAATACAAATATGTAATACATATTAAATTGAAAAACAACATTTTAAAAAATAAAAAAATTATTTACAAAAGTGTATATCATTAACAAATGAATTTGTTTTTTGCCACTCGATTTAAATTATTTTCAATTTACAAAGAAAAGTTATTGAATAGAATAGCTTTAGAATTATAAAAGATTGTGTGATCTTTTAAATTTCTTTGCGATCACGGCAGTCTGAAAACTGTTCGGTCTGTTTCAATTTTATATGTAAATACAATTTTTGTATATTAAAGAAATCGTTTTCTCACCAAAGAAAATGTACAGTCTGTTGATAATATTGCCACATCCAATGGGGAAGTATGATTTGCTACACAGAACCCAGAAGTTGAAGGCTTATACTGTTTATTATGAAATTTTATAAGGGCTGATAGAGAACTTGATATAAGGCGGAATGTTATTTTAAACGATAAATCCGCTAAAGGGTGCCGCAAAAACCGGTAAGGTATTAAAGCCACAAAACTGTTTGTAATAACTGCAAATAAAACCTAAGAATCAAAGTAATATATGCATTAAATTATCAAAAAATAAACATATATGTAGGTACAAGCACAGGTATGGAAATAATAAGAAAATGATGACCATTTACCGAAAATATCACTGTAAAGTTTAACGGTTAGACGAGACCGATAGTTGTCAAAAGTTAGCTATAATTGAGTTCCAAGAATATGTTTAAATGATGCTCATCATCAAGCAAATACAATTTAATTATTTGTCAACAATGTATTAAAATCTTAGGAAACGAGTCGAGGAGTTTTACAATTAAAATTAAATGTCGGCTCTCAACGTCAGGAATTCCCATGTAGTTTGTAATTATATTTTAATTAACATAATTATCTTGCTTTTATGGATTATTCAATGTTATATTCTTTATGTAATTATGTATTTACTGGTATTTAGTTGGTTTAAGTTGAAATAACCGATTATACAAACATAAATTCTAATAATTTCAAATAAATAGTAATGTTATAGAGGGTAGATCGATGAGGGATAATTCTACTTCAGATTATCTCCTTTTCATACCATTTATTTGCTGAACATTTGCATTTAACGTTTCTTTAACTCCTACTTAGGGCTCAACAATGTATATAAACTTTTCCTGTACAGAGTAACATGGCTAATCTGGTTTTATTTAAGGAAGTTATTTAATAAATTCTGCTTAATTAATTTGATTACAAATTTCTGTTATATTTCAACTAATAATTTTCTCGACAATCAACATTATTTGTTAACCTTTAGGGGCCCTCCGATACAATGATTTACATACTGAATCCAAATTGCTTGCGATTTGCCAATCACAGTGATAAAATTCACGTAAATAAACAAAGCTGTATTACATTGGTAATTTGATTTACTACTGTTTTTAATTCTCTACAACCGGTTTTCCATAACTTGAAGGTGCTGAACAAATACATACTTCGAACTTTGATTTTAATTCACTTGACCATCAATGCTATTTTGTGAAGTCGAAAAATTGTGTAGTGTGCTTATTGAATATAATGTTGGACGGAATTTATACATAAATATGAATAAATGCCATTTGTGTACTTACACCAAGAAAGCAGACTAAGACTCGAAGTGGCATTAAAATGAAATACCGCACGACGAAGCCAACCATCCATATGAGTGTGATTTTCCATGATATAAATTCGTAATGTCGATTAGTGCGTGTCAGCATATTCCAACTTTTAAGCTCCTCAGCCTCAAAACGTGATGTTACGTCATCCTCGATGATAGCCTCTACACCCGATTTCAAATAGTCTAGACATTTTTCGAAATCAAAGTTTATATCCTCCTGCAATAAAGGAAGAAAACGACACATTTAAAAAAATCTGTTTTCCATTATGTTAGACAAAAACACACTAATATCGATCCCATAGAACAATATTTGTCTGGGGAATTCAAATTTTTAGTTAGGCATGATTATAAATGTATTTAATTGATACCTTGTCCTTTTTTGTGGATGAGACGTTCTCTACAGGTGCGTCTTGTGGCTGTGGAAGAAGGATTGCATCTCTTGTTATCACAGTGGCTCCATTTGTTGATGTATCATCAAGTTTAGGCGCATCCGCTGTTTTTGTAGACCTATCCTCCAACTGTCTTTGCTCCTGTGATGCCGTTTCAATACTAACTCTACCATACTAAAAATGGAAAAAGTAAATTTACTTTTAATTAAAAATACATAATTACACCCAGATAAGCATATATTTGTGTACGTTTATTACAAATCAAAGCATATATGTTTAAATATGTATGTACGCACAAATGTAAATATGTACATATATATAATAAATTAATAGTTTGTACATATCTCTATATATGTATGTGCACGTACATATGTATATGTTTAAGCAGGTAACCAGGCAACGACTGTAAGCTCATAATAAAAGCTATTGCGATATACAAATTCCACTAGGTAGTAAACTATAAGCCAACCCACTGCATGGTTATGGAGCTGACTATATTTATGGACTTTGGAATTTGAACCATTTTAATATTGGTAATAAAAGCACTAAATATTATATCTTAGGAGATATGCAATGTTCTGTAGCACGTTATCCACTTAGGAACCCCAACTAAATTCCCACTTACCTCGAATATCCTTAAAAGCAAGTTTACATATGCCTTCCGAACGCCGACAGATTTGTTGATTGCCGACAAGAAGATTAAAAATGATATGAAACCCGCGAGCGGAATCCAACAGACATTTACGACTGTTGAAATCATTTTATTAAAAAATGATTATATAATATTTATACGACTATTTACAAGGGTGGATAATATAGCCCGACCAACAATCTTGATCTTAATAAAAAATAAAACAACAAACTTTAAATGATTACTATTTATCGATTGAAGTCTATCTTATATTCGATAGACCCACTAACTGAATATTGAAGCCTTGTACTCACTTGAAGTAATAAATACGTGGAACATATATATCCCATTTTATAGTGGAAGACTTCGTTCATAATTTCACATTTTAATTCAAAGTTATTGTTAAAAAAAATTTAGTTAGACCAAGATTTTGTGTAAAGAAATTGAAGTCAATAATGAATAAAAGGAAATGTTTATGTTTCGATAGCTTTAATTGTAGTCGCTTGAGCGCTAGTATAATAAAAATAAGTACAAGGGAGAAACGATATGTTGCACTACAATCGTTCCACTTCCACCATCTCGAAATTTGATCAACGTTGGCACATCCCTGAGCCTAACCTCTTTCCGGTGTGGTGCTTGAAGTAGCTTATACGCAATGGTAAATAATCTGATATTACAAATATAATCAAAGTATTTTACGCAAATAGTAAATGACTAATACATTTTTAACTTCTATCTCCACCAGGCGGCACACAAATCGTTCAGAATTAAGCAAAAATTAGCTAAAAAACTTAAGCAGAACCGGTCGGTTCCACAATGGGTTCGCCTTCGCACTGGAAATACCATCAGGCAAGTTGCTAAGTGTTTTTTTTTTCGAGTTTAACATCTAGATAGCGCTAAAGCTTGCACAGTCAATAATAAGATCGAATTATTACGACAAATGATTCGTTAATAATGCGAATATTGTGCAATATGTTTTGTTTGTTTAGCAGACTATGAATACACACAAACACGATCTTTCTACCCTAATATCATGTTTTTAATGTACTGCAGTCTATGATTATATTAAATATTGTGTCTTATATTTATTTTAGGTATAACGCAAAACGCCGTCACTGGAGGCGCACTAAGTTGAAGTTGTAAGCCCATGGAAAGCGCGAATATGTTTTTGAATGCTTAAAGAATGTATAGAATATAACATAAAATATATTCTAAAAATACTGGATATAATTACTGTGCATTTTAATTAAACATGGATTGTGTCGATTCTGTATTTGAAATCTACCGCTTTTTAAAGGAAACTTAATTTTTTAAAATAATTATTGTGGAAAATTTTATTAATAGTGACAAAATTCCATGCCTTTTCTGAAAATAAATACTTGGGTGTGCAGGAAGTCTAGATCCCGGATTTCAATGTAGTTTTTGCATCATCTACTATGTTAGTGCAAATGCATTAAACTTACAGAAGTACCTGTGCAAGATCCCATGAAGTATATGTATGTATATATTCTCGTCGATTTGTACATGGCCGTCTATACTATATGAGCGTAATAACCTGGTATCATGGTTCTCCTAAGGCCGAGAAAGGACCTTATTTTCTTTCCGATGCACCTAACTTCTCCCCCAATAATTCAGTTTTTATATTTTATAACTCTACACCTTTTTAATTAGTGGCTGCTTTGATCTGTACTGCACTTTAAATTCTCCCGACAAACATTACTGGTTAAATAAAGCCAAACACTTTGGTAACATAAACAGGAGGTCACTCTATAGGAAAATTCACACTAAAAATCGTTTAATTTTACTAAGCTTGAATCTTGACTGGGAAACATTCGTGAACAAGTACTCAATCCAAAACAAGAGAGAACGCTACAGTCGAGCAAGCCCGACAGTAAAATACCCTGTACTCTCCACAAAAAAGAAAAATAAAAAAAAAATTAAATTATTAAAAAAAATGAATGAATTAATTAAATTAAATTAGAATACATGTTTATGTTCAGTTTTAACAGCATACATTTACATCACGTACATATGCGTGTATGTATTAGGGATGTAAATCGAAGGGAAAACATCGATGTTGGTGTACATCGATGTCTCGTTATAAAAAATCGATGCATGGTCGATGCATCGCAAAAAAACATCGATGCATCGATGTTCTAAAAAATTAACTTTCCATAGAAAAAAAGCTATTATTAGGGAGCTAATCAGCAGAGAAGCTTGAAATAAAAAGTGTTTATATATCAAAAGAGACTGTCATAGCATTTTACTTAATGTTGTTAATCAAAATAGTACTCGTAATATTGACTTTTGATGAACTTGTATGGCTTACTTAAAAAAACTTATAACTGTTTTTAAAACAACGACGCGTTGCAGCTACACCTCTTAGGCATATTAAATGTGACATTACATACGAAAAAAAGAATATCAAATACTTAACAATCTAAAATTTATATTATAAAATACACATTTTAACGAAAACATCAAATAATTTATGATATAAATATACATACCATTTTCGGTAAACCACCCAAAGAAATGTGACCGTCAAACAAAACATGAATAATGTTCGATGTTTGGACAAACATCGATGGATCGACGATGCATCGTTAGCAAAAAAACATCGATGCATCGTGGTAAAAACATCGTCGATGCTCGATACATCGATGTTTTTTTACATCCCTAGTATGTATGCAGCACAAAGTTGAACCAAAGCAGCAACAACAACAAAAGCTGCGGGCAGCGCTGCCGACAGAGTTGCAGGCAGCGCATGAGCAGCGATTTTACTTATGGCTATAACTTTCTTCAGAATTGACCTATCATGATGAAATTTGGCACACGGACACATTAGTACTAACTGGATGTACCTTGATTTCAAAATTCCGAGAATTACGGAAGTTATAAGAAAAAACACGAATTGCGGGGGAGTGGGGGGGTGTATCAGAAAAAATAAACAAACTCGATCTGCCTAGGGCTTATAGGAACCTTGATACCAATTTTGGTTATCCTAGCTCTTGTACTTACTGAGATCCTTGCGATCATACAGACAGACGGACATGGCTATATCGACTCGTCTTGTCATCCTGATCAAAAATATATATACTTTGTGGGGTCTGCCACGCCTCTTTCTGCCTGTTACATACATTCGCACAAAACTAGTATACCCTTTCACCCTTTGGGTACAGGGTATAAAAATTAGTAAAGCATGGGAGAGGTCTTATGATTGGGATCGGAAAGTAAATGACACAATTTTTAGATTTTCTAAAAATGAAATGGAACCGTTTATTAAACCGTCTTTTTTTTATAAAGAAGCTAATTAATAAAAGTTCTCTGCCTATTTTTTTTACTAAGCTGCTAGAAAATTAAAACCATCAACTATGTACTTATTAAATACGTTTGTTCAAAACGGACAAATTTATAGTATTTTCGTACTATTCCTATATTCCGATCCACAAAACTGTAAGTTCTTGTTTTGCAACTGGCACTTTTGTTGTAATATACAACTTACGGAATTAAATTAATTTTTTAAAACCACGTGGACATCAGTGTCCGATTTTGAACACCTTTAACTCTATTTGTGTTCTATCAGCACTATTTCAACTAAAGCAGAGAATGATAGAAAAGTAAGATACTAGTAATAGGATTAGCATTCAAAAAACTAAAATTATATTTCATTTGCCAATGCGAACAAATCCCTGCTAAAAAATATTTCGAAACCTGTTAAAAACGAAATCCGCTCAACCCCTCTTAAGCAACTACATATGTACATACATTAATTTCCAGTTATTTACAAGTGGAAAGAAAACTCTCTTAGTCCATTCATAAATAAGTTTTAAGTAGAACTCCCATATATAATTATGAATTAATTAATATATAAAGAACGAAAAGGTACGTGTGGTCAAACGTACGATTTATTTTGTTGCAAAAATGTGTTATATCTATTCTGCGGGAACCTCCATGGAGCCATCATTGATATCATCAATAACATCATGGGCAGGTTTTCCATCGACAGTGCAGCCAACACTTTGAGCGGTGCCTAAGACTTCCTTGCAAGTTCCTTTTAGCTCGCGGGCCATTGACCTGGGCCTCATTGTTCGGGCGATTGCCAGGATATCATCGAATGTGATATTTCCGCTATGTTTAACTGAAATGAATCATTGTTAACATTTGCCGGTGGTTACTTTTGAACGTGAAACAATGATTCCATCATTGCAATATTTGACGCTTAATGCTTTTCAGATTAATATTACATTTATGCTCTCAGGAAAGATCGAAAATTTGATGCCAATTGCAACAAAATCCAGATTTCAAATTAAAAATTTATGCTTTATATCACTTTCTCTTTTTACCACGAAATTATATCTGTATCTGGCATCTTCACAAACAATTGCAATGATAGATTCCATCTTTATTGCCAAATATTTCAATATTTGTACACCGCAGACTTTGTTTACTTACTGTTCTTCTGCTTCTTGCGGTCGCGTGGCGGTTCTTTCAGTGCCTTTACAATTAGGGACGCAGCAGATGGAACCACAGAAATGGTTGCTTGCCTATTTTGAATGGTAAGGCATACAGTAATCTTTAAGCCTTTCCAGTCGGAAGTAGCCTTAGCAATATCATCACCAACTTTTTTGGGAGACTAAAAAGATGCATAAAATTAAAACAACTATATACTGGCTATATGAGAATTAACAAACCAAGCCAAGGGGACCGATTTTCGGAGCCAGGGATGAAGTCGCACCGACCTCTCCACCTACGCAACGCAGATAAACTAAAAGGGAATAAATCTGTATTAAAAACATGAAAAAAATACCATGATTTGATAACACATACCCAATTTTACTTCTGTCGGGTCAAATTTAGGAGGCATATTGGATTATTGGTTGAAGAAGCCGCTAAAATATAAAGATTACCCATTAATAAAATGATTTTAAAATCGCACTATAGAGTACTTACCGTCGCTCAAAATGCTAAACGGAAAAAGAACCCGGCTGATTTTTGACAGCTGACAGCCGGTTTCCGGCAAGTACGCATTCTTCACTAGGTCGAAGCTATCGAAAAGAAACGACTGGTAAGAAACGATTTTTATTTGGTACATTGTATAAAAAAAACAAAATTATTTTTCGTCCTAACTCCAACTCTCCCCCAATTGGGGAATTTTGATAAGTTTTATCTTGATAGATCAAAGGAAAGGAAGTTATAGCCATAAATGTATTCTTTGCCGAAGTGTTTCCCGCAGCTGTTGGTGTTGGCTGCTTAGGCCCAACTCTGTACTGCATACATGCTCACACACAGCCACGCATAGATCCAATTCCGTTGCAAATGTGCAGTTCTACACCCTTTACATGATTTCGAATACCAAAGGAGGTAAAATCGATGATCAATTTTTCTATATTTTAAAAAATTGGTATTTCTACCCATATGTACAGAGTATTTTAAACTGGGGACTTTAGCTTCTCAATAACTAAAAATTATTGTAATATACCCTAGGGCCATAACATTTATTTTCTTTATGATTTATTTTACTCTTATTATTAGAATAACTCAGGTTAGGTTAGGTTATCACGTTAGCCAGGGGTATATCCCTGAATCCTTTAGGACTCTTCTTGGTGTCAAAAAGGTTAACGCAGAGTTCTACACATGGATTACTCATTAGAGATGTTACTCTGTATTGTGTGATTTTAACGTAAGGCGCCAGAAATATCCAGAGATATTCCAAGTTACTTGTATTCCGAATGTTGGCCTATCGTAAATATCGAAAAAAGGTGGTTGCTTATGCATAATAATCTGCATGTCTTAGAACATGAAAGCCTACAATTTAACTTAAATTATGTCTTCATATGGAAATTGCTAACAGCTGGAAACGTTTATACATATTTATGTTGTTTTGCTTCTTTTGGATCCATGAGTATATGCAAGGGCGTAGGCAGCTTTTACCAAAGGCGGGCCAAAAAATTAAAATTTTGATTAAATAATGCACGATGTATTAAAAAAAATAACTTATGCATATGATCAATGAAAAAACTTCCTTCATAATAATGAACGTGTGGTCGACTTTATATTGCGTAATTTTTTGTAGTGGGGGCAACAGCCCCCCTTGAGTATATGTGAGAATATATTGCAATTTCTTCATAAATATTAATCAATTTGATTTTATATTCATTCTACAATAAAACCAAACAGTTCGTTGGTACAAAACTTTGCAAAATATTACAGTTATATGAATTAAAATTAAAATTTATATTATTAATGTGCACTAATTCTGTTTTTTTACACGGTATATTGGTTCCGGAAAAATGATTATATGTATGTTATTTTGAATCGTGCTAAATGGAATAAAGCCGAGCAACCATACATAAAATTATTAATTATCAAACCGTGCTAAATCAAAGCCGTGTAAAAACAGAATAAGATGTATTCGTATTTTCTGAATTTTGTCTTAGGTACTGCAATTAATAAATAGCCTAAACTCAAAAAATGACTTTAGCCTCATACTAAAATTGCAATGCAAACTTACATATGTTTCTTAAAAATCGATAAATGATTGATTTATTTTTTAAAAACAAAGGTTACTCTATCAATCGCCTTGGTAATCTGTCCCCTCACGCGGTGATTAGGTGACTGAAACTTTTTAAAAATAAAAAGGAACGCAAGAGTAAACAAATTTATCCTCCTCTTTAATTTGACATTTAGGGGAGAGCTGGCATTCAAAACAATACAAGGAAACTCCACCAAGACCATGAAACCACAGTTTCCATCTCTGATCATATTAACGTGCAACAATGACTTATTTTGATTTATAATCAATATCACCGGAAGGTGTACAAATTCAACAAAGGAGGACTGGTCCACCGCCATCTAACTATTGCAGTAGTATTTTAAAGCCCTCCAGATATTGCTACGTCATTTACGGTATACCCGTTCCGTAACTAAGCCTACGAGTTGGCAGGTCTGTTTCACATAGATATAATTATTATCAGCTGATTTGCACAACACATGGTACTTTATTTCATTTCTGATAATGGTTTGGCATTATTTATAATGAATTATTATAAAATTATATAGAATGTACTTATTATGCAAATATTGAATGGATGGATGATCAATTTGTCTGAAATCTTCAGTTAACTTGCTTAGCAAGGGAATCATCCAATGTTATCGAAGTAGTGCAGTGACGCCCTAAACATTGTGTTTCTTTCCAATGTTTCCCATTGTTTGCACTAGATTAATCGTTTCGTTCTCATCGAGTGTCACCATCTTGCAGTTAATTATCACATCACTTCTTTTCATTAAAGATGTTTTTAAATGATTGGTTAACCTAATCTATAAATATGCAGATTGTGTTGTGGTTTATCAGTTAATCGCAGTATTACATGACTTAAGACACAGTGCACGGCATTGGTTAAATTGATACAACTATTTTTTATACATATATGTACTTATGTACACACATATATCTATATAAATCAGTTTTATATACATATATTTATACATATATGCTCGTTTAAGTATATTGTGAAATATAAAAATATTTTGCTTTGCGACTGTGCACAAGGTAGCATTTATTATATTGAGCCTTCTTGCATTGCATGAATGTATATAAGTTAGTGCTGGAAATATGCGTGAATTCAAAGTTGTTGTGCTTGGCTCCGGCGGAGTGGGCAAATCGGCGCTGACTGTTCAATTTGTATCTGGATGCTTCATTGAAAAATACGATCCAACAATTGAAGACTTTTATCGCAAGGAAATAGAGGTATGTTCTTACTTTGATTTTAACACACATATATACATTTTATTCCATACATATACAAGTATGTTTGTATACACAATCGTGTATACATGGTTGTATGCACATATGTATGTATGTATGCAGTATATATGCATGTAAATATGTACATATGTGGCTTGAGCATTTAGAAGCTGTCTGAGCACTAACAAGGAGGCCAGACAAATACATACATACATATGCACAAACATACCTACATTTGTAGATATTTATACGCAAACATAAACTGATGCTTATAATAACATATGTGTAGCCTTTAAACATATTAATGTGCATACATAAATGTAAATAAAACATTTGTATATGCAAAATCTAAATTCATACATACCTCAATATATACATATGTATGTATGTATATAAATACTTACAAAATCATAAGGCACCTTGCACGAACAAAAAAAAAACAGAGTTACACACCCACACAATTGCGATCAGTGCGACTTATACATAGCATATGTACATATGTACATAAACTCATGTATGTACATATGTATGTACTGTTGTAGGTTGTTTGAAATTACTTTTGTGTCCCTTTTATGCCTTATATTCGTCAATACAAAAAATATTTTAGGTTTGTATTTAATGTTCGGCACAAACAATTGGCAAACGGTTTTATAGAACAATGTCATCATAAAACCATCATCATAACTAAACAGGAATTAGTCATAATTATTGTTCGCTAAAACCAAGCAGACTCACTTTTATTTATTTAACTATACCTAAAAATACAATTTTAAAAGGCGTGGTCATTAAAGAACAATAAAAACAATCTGCGGAAAATATTAAAGATGTAGGGACGAATTAGTGTCTTGATCTGTTTGGATTAATTGAAGTTAATGCGCCTTGGCACTTAGCAATAATGCCGCGTCTTGTCGGATACGATTTGATGGTAGTCGTGTCGATGTTTGCTAAAATTATGTCAACAGTTGTTAACCCATCGCTATAGTAGAAGTTGTCATAGAACCCACCCCCTTGCAGTTCAACTTGTTGTCTGTACGGGCTCATCTGCATCGCCCAATTATCTTTCTAAGAAACCACATAAATTGGCAATTTATCATTTCTAGAAAATACTAATCATTTGTCTTAAACTAAAACATCAACAACATAGTCGTTCAACTTGCGTTTTCACTTTAGAAATCCGTTCACTTTAAATCCTTATTATTCCCGTACTAAGACTGGTCATATAAATAACATTAAATTTTTTTAATTACAGGTCGACAGCTCCCCTTGTGTCTTAGAAATTTTAGATACTGCTGGAACAGAGCAATTTGCCTCAATGAGAGATCTCTACATAAAGAATGGACATGGTTTTATTGTTATGTATTCACTGACGAACCATCAAACATTTCAGGTAAATATATTCATTGTTATTGTCTCATTGAGGTATGCTTAATAATCTATTTAAAATCATATATACAAAATACGTATTTAAAAACAAAACATGAAAAAATTGGACACATACATAGGAATATGGAAAAATAAGCCCTATCGTACTCATCAAAGTTTAATGAATTAATGAATGGTGGTGCTATACATAAGTCTTTACAATTTATCGCCTTATGAGGACCAGAAAACCCAGATCGAACTTAATAGTGAAGTCTAGTTTTGAATACAGCAGAAGGTATTTTTATTCCGACGAAGTTTTGATGATTTCCAGACGTTTATTATTATTGCAAAATGCTTAAACGTGTAACTCAAAAGCAGTTAAATCAGAACAAGTTGAATAATTTTCAAGTCGTTTTTAATGGAAATAGCCATTTTGTTATTGATAGCACGTTCAAATTTCCACTCTGTAAGCAATTACGTTGTGCTAAAGGTTGTGAGTGTTTTAAAGCATATCGTATTCGGCAAGTCGAAGCGAAAAATTACTAATAGAATCTCTGTTTCTCTCCACAGGATATTTCGAGTATGAAAAATGTAATTACTCGCGTTAAAGGAAGTCAACCAGCACCTATATTACTAGTCGCGAATAAATTTGATTTAGATTGCCAAAGAGAAGTGGCTACTGCTGAAGGTAAGCTTTTACTGTTATTAGTGCTAGTCGATTTGTATCTTTCCCAAATCGAAAACTTCGAAACATTTAAAAACATACATATGTATGTATATATGTATCTTTGTATTAAATGCTCTTTTATTTGATTAAATTCTGAGTATTTGTCTAAATATTTTCCTTTTAACTATACTTCTTTTTTAAATTGCTACCAACCCTTGTATTATATTGTTTTACTCTTCTTATTATAGGTAATGCCTTAGCACAGCTTTGGGAATGCCCGTTTATTGAAGCATCAGCGAAAGATCGAATAAACGTGAATGAAGTATTTGCCACCATTGTTAGAGAGATGAATTTAACACAAGAAAAGCGGCAAAAAAAGAAATATTGTTGTTGTACGCTTTTATAGAAATTGTACAATTTTAAGATTATTATACATAGTTAAAAATAAAATCACTAATATTTAATGGATAAAGTAAGAAAACACATATTATGAAATTATTTTATGCCGGCGTATATTCATTTGTTGTCTTAACAGCCTCATTTTATCTGATCCTTGACAAGTCGGAAGTCCTTTTAATAAGTTCGTTTTGCATACAAATAAGTCCATACGAGTCCAACAAGTTGATGTTGATGAGAAGCGAGCGATGACGGGTTAAGTTGCTTTTGATTCACACGCCTCGAAATAGGGAATAGTCATTTCGTTCCCTTCGTGATTTTCCATAAATTATTGTTCCTCGAGAATCGTCACAGCATTACAACAATTTTCATGAACAAATGTCTATATAAATATGTACATATATAGTATGTATAGGCGGAGCAACCTATTTACTAAGACATATAGGCTATAAAATCGGGTGTGATATGATATTATGTGACAAAGGCTAAGACAGCATCCCGGCAACGTTCGTTTGATCCATGTTCTCGTCCCAAACCTTTCGCAAACAATGTATCATTTATAAAACATTATAAGTACTTCTGTTCATTAGTTTTAACATTCGCCAGTACCAACAAATCAGTAGAGATAGTGCTGTAGATTTGTCTAAATAAATTAATATATGTATGTATGTATATTGAAATGGGTTGAGCTTATACAAAATAGTTTGTTAAATACAATTAATCAAAAGAGGTGGCCAAATCATTTTTTGCAAAGAAATCATCCCTTGAATTTGTTTCAATTTAAGAACTGCATGGCCGTATTTTCCGACGATGGTATGGTCACACTGCACGACTCGTATGAAACAGCGCCACTGCTTGTTTACTTACTGTATTAAACAAAGCACTTGCTCTGGAAAACTGTGTGTACAGATTTGTTTTCTGTAATTGGTGCCATATTTTAGCAGTTTTCAGGTTAGCTAGCATTTTTCACCAACAGGTAGCAGGATAGGCTAGGCTTTCAACGTTTCAAAAGAAATCTAAACTAATTTGGAATTTCTAGACCTGGTTTTATATTTGATCATTACTGACAAAACTGAAAAAGATCCTTGGAGTTTTTTATAGATCTTAGTTCTAAAATGTGCAAATTGGTTCTTTTAGAGAGATTTTTGTACCATTTGTCCGAAGGGAAGATCGGCATGACTAGTTGAATCGATGGAGCCATTTCCGTCCGTCCGTATGACAACATTTGAGCCACAACTGCTTGGCACACTTGACTTGATCTACAGACTTGGCTTATCCATACGCACTTATTTAATGATAACGCATATTTTGCTGCACTTTATTATCTGTCATAGGAACGATCAATCATATAGCAGGTATGGTATAGCAGGGTGTAGAAGGATCGGGTTCTCGGGACTTTAACGTTCTACTCATTAGGCATAGAAAGTCTCAAATACAGGTAAGACAAAAGTACTTTTATAAAATTTGATTGTTCGTGGAACGTTTCTAGAACAACAATGGCTTAACAAATGTTTTTAAATTTTAACCATCATATCATTAAAAAATGTATTCTGCATTTAAATTCCAACCGAATACCAGCATAATTTAATTTCCTTAATGTTTTTGAACCACTTTCTCATCGATATAGATATTAGTGTATAAAGCTCAATTATTTTTTTGCTATCCTTTTAAAACAAAGAAACGGTCTGAAAAAGATAATATTAAGTTGTCATAACACTTTAATTGTTACCGCGGCGCATTCATTTAATTTTTAATGACAAAAATACTAAACAACATTTGTGAAAATAATATTTAATTAATACATAATGTAAAAATGTAAAGTCTAATATGATATAATTTTATTCAATTAATTTTATACCACTCCAAATCATCAGGCTTGTGGGAAGACGGTGTGTTAATTATGTTTTGGGCATCATTAAACATATTGCTGCAAATATTATCTTCGATCTGAAAAAAAAACAAAATATTTTCAGTATAATTAAATACAAAGTAAATAAATATACAATATACACGGTAAAATAAATGTGTGTTTTCCTTCATTGCATATAATATACAATTATGTAGTACCATAAAGTAATCTGTTTTACATTTTAAAAATTATTATTTAAAACTGACGAATTATTTCAGACCGTGATTCAATTAGCAAGAAATAGTTTGTAATTACATACTATTAAAAAAAGGACACATGTCCACGATGTCTTCAAATTTGCGTAACCGAATCACTTACGAAAATCTTTAAAAACTTCTACAAAATGTTTGGAAGTATTCTCAAAATTATTTGTTTTTTATCTAAATATTAAGTACTTATATCATTAGGAGCTGAACTTATTAAGTCTCATATGAAATGATCTCGATTAAACTTAAACTCTAGTCTTCTAGAGTAGCCAGGATCATGTATAGTTTTAAAGGAAATTGTAAACCGTTTCCTTTATTTCTTCATTTTGTAGACTTTCCGCCCACTAGCTAGGTATCCCTCCATTATTCCAAAATCGAGTGAAGACAACTAGAGTCTTAGTTTGGAGAGATGCCTGCCAGCTTCAAGCTTATCAGACCAATATTTTTAGTTTTACAAATATGTTGTGACCCTGGAACCCATACGAGTTTAAAGACATACTCCCGGCCAACACTTAAGGCACTATGTTCAGCCTATGTAGTACTTTTTAAAAACACAAACCCTTGTTATCGTTAGAGTATTAAAAGGGTGTTGCAGCCTGCAGCATTTCAAAAATGTAGTCAGTTGTCGAATCGAGTCAACAGGCATAACTTTTAATTGAATTATATTTGTGTATTTACCTGCAGAGTTGATACTAAATTGTCTGGGCAGTCTAGCCCGCTGAGTCCAGATTCTAAAATAAAAATATAATAAAAATGAAACGTTAAAAACAAAAAATAAACTAAAATTAATTGAACGAAAAACACCAGAACATCAAAATGATATGATACTTAAAATTACAACAAAAATAACGATGGGCAGTCAATTATGAATAAAGTTTATCAATGTAAATGTAATCTATAGGTATTTTGCAATTATATTATATATGAATTAATATCTAGGTACCCTCTCTTTACCTATAAAATTAAATATATTCAAAATAATTTGCATGCGGTAAAAAATCGACTATTTTCAAGAAAGCTTAGCACCTATTAGAAGGAAAGTATTCTATTTATAAGCCCAGGAATAATTTAAAATGAAAAGTATTTCAAGAGTAACTTATACTATGAGAAAGTTTAAAGGAGAAAAATTACGTCCGCTTCTGTAGTGCTTCTTTGCTAAAAAAAATAAATCAAAGGCCGACTTGCAAAAAAGGCTTGGGTTAGGCAGGATGTTTCTGTACTGACTTGGATACATATTTATTTAATCATGTTGAGAATTTATAGATTTTAATTGCAATGTCATGCGAATTTATTAAATATGTTATGTTTGAACACACTCGTTTAATAAACTGGAAGGTCTATCAGTAAATCTTAAAGATTCTACCTCTTCTGTATAGTCAAAAATGTTCTTGAATATAGAGAAAAATAAGGATACGGACTTTTCGGAAGTTGTATTTTACAATTAATGTATGTAAATCGAAAAAATGGGAGTGTGGAAGGAACTGTAAGACAAATCTAGCGTCCTTACGTATTCTTGGGTCGTTCCATGAAGTCGTTCGATCAATATGATTTATAAAATAAATGTCTCCAGATTCAGTAACTGCTTGTTCCCAACCATCCGGCAGTGGACCAATATTTTCAGAAATACTAGCAGAAGTAGATTGTTTCGTACTTTGTAAAAGATCTGCAAAAAATAAAAATTAAAAGTAGTATTCTTGTATCATGGAAAATATCTAAGGCGAATATTCTGTGCGCAAGTTCTAATACACATTATCTTCAACCTAAGTCTGAAAATATCAGCAAATGGGGTATTTCGTTTAAATATTAAGCTCATTCAAACAATTTTAATATCATACTCCTCTCCAAAGAATGTCCTAACCACTTAGTATTTCTAAAAGGTAAGTCTTCCCAAATTTATTGAATGACAGTAAAATTAAGCTTTATGTACCCGAAGCTTTTTTAATAACTATAAAACTAAAAATAAAATACTATTTATAAAAGTTTATCAATTGAAAAAATTAAGGAAAATAAAAGATGTTGCAGCGATTTTGCCTCTGATTCTTATGACTTGGGGCTCGAACTCACCGTTTTGCTTTATCCGTTCTGCAATTACACGTTGTTGTTGTTGACGATATTGAATCCTGGGATCTTCCCACTGCGTAGTTTTTGTAGTATGGCTTTAATAAACAAAAATAATAAATTAAAATTAAAAACTAAAACCTAATTGATTGGCTAAACAAATCTTTACTAATTTTAATAAATACTATATTTTAATATTCGTCCATTTCAGTGTTAAATAAAAGTAGTCAATATCTGATTGTTGAACTACACGTCCTATGTATTTAGTTACACCAAAAAAATTGTCAGAATCACTATTCAATTGGACTACATAATTGCACTGACTGTATAAAAGTTGTATAAATAACATTTTGCAACCGAAATTATCATTTTATATTAACTATTATTAACATACACATTTATGTATGGGCGCATTGTTAGATACTCACTTCAAGTAATAAATCTGGCCATCATTTGTTTTAGCTTGTTCCCAACCAGGGGGCAGTGCTCCTAGTTGACTTTGTAATTGGATTGGACTCACTACGTCGTACGATCGTTGCTTTTTATGTATTGATGGAGCGGAAATTGGAACCTCCTGTCCGATGCACGTATTCATTCCATCTATCTCGACATTGGCGGCAGTAGTAGTTGGAAAATCTACACCATTATCCGGATAGGAAGGCCCCTGTGCTGGGTTGTTGGTAGCACTGCTTTCGTTTCTTGTACGAACGTTATAGTTTTGTTGAAGAGAAGCTGGACTACTACGAGCCCGAAAGTGGTGTATTGTCAGATTGCTTACTGATGGGTGGTTTTGTGAGATTGGTAGCTGTACTTCGGTTTGACCTGACTGGGCAGGTTTGCTGATATTGCTTTGAGAACCTCCGTCGTAAGTGGAATCTGCACTGTTTGCACGCGAGTGAGAAGGCGCCGGAGGGTTAAAAAAGGAATTTGGAAGTTTGCGCATTCGAAAAGGAAGTTGTAATGGGCGTTTCGCATCTCCTGGTTTCAACACACTATCAAATAATGCTTGCAAATTGTCGTCGGAATCTTGGTTTACTCGAACAACCAAATTATTTGGAAGTTTTGTTGATGACAACATGTCCTCATCGTCGATTTCTTTTTCGCTTATGTTGCTGCTGGTATTACTTAAAGACATCGTTAATCGACAATGCCTTAAATACAAGAGACGTATGCGAGTGTTCAACAAAAACGGAATTTGGACAAAACAGCATTAGTGTTTATATGCGATTTATCACTCCATTATAGGGAGCTAAATATGGCTTGAAGTATATTAAAGCACGAATTTAACACAAAAACTAATATGATTTAATAAATATTTATACAATAGAACGAGCATTAAGAACTACAGCAGCACTGCCAGCATATACACAAAACATAGAGAATACCATTCTCAACGCCTTTTTTATTTGTGATATCGCTTTTCCACCGTCTGCACCAGTGAAAATGCATTAGCACACACATCAGTTATATCAATGTAATGTGTGCCATGACAGAGCTAAAACTCTATAAAGCAAAAAATCCATTGGCTTGATACCGTAAAAAACTATATGCACTAATGCCACTTTACACTAGCTTATATTAAAATACAATTTGTAGTATAAAAAAATTATGATTACTACATATAATTGTAGCACTTATTTAGCAAGAAAATAATTCAGAATTAATATGTGCGGAAGATAATAATTTTGGACATTTTATTTTAAAAGCTTTCGCAATTTATAAATAAATTTGTAAACTTACAATGCTTTTGGATTATCTATAATAATATTCCAAGTCTCTGCATTGATTCTATTGCGGATTTATCGGTTCTGTCACATTGCTGCAGTTCGTAAATATTTCTTAATATATTATCGAAAACGTGTGTTGTTACCGATAAGTTTTATAATCGTTTTAAGTGAGTATTTTAAGATTCGTGCACAAACGATAACATTGTCTTTAACTCGCTATCGAAGTTAACTGCGGCAATGTCGTTTTACCAATTCGCATCAATCCTACTGCTATTCGTATAACAATCCTTCTAAAATAGATTTTCTTGTTAAAAATACAAAAATAAATATTATGAATGTATTCCTATAAAAAAATTCGTACTGCAATGATGCAAGACTTAACAGATCAACGGTGCGCCGTACATTCGTTATTTGTATATGAGCTGTCCTGACTATCGAATGACGTCATTTTGGTCCCTTAGCAGTGCGGATCTATATGGTCTTTTATTGCTTCTGCAATCCTGCCAAAGACATGGGCTTGAGCCTGGTAGACCACCATTTACAAAGTATATTTTGAAACTACCTCAGTTTATTTATGAACGTCCGGAAACAGGAAAGGGCCTATTGTTGCCAAGATAGTACAGTACGTCTTAACTGAATAATTTGAAGTTGTTTTTTATTTTGATGGTACGTACCACTTTCTTAGGCGGTAATCCTAGAACATAAACTGAGGACTTTTGAATACCAATAGAAATATCAAGCTTAGCTTATGTAAGCTATCGGCTTTCTTATCTGCAATTAAATATTAAAATTATTATCACCAACGCGGCGGTTAATATTTTCAGCTTGAGCGTTTTGGTTTTAAATAAAATATATTCAAATTACTCATACCGTATTTTGGCATGATTATATTAAAACGCAAATACCATGTATTTCAATAAAATGTTTATTTATAAATATGTTTTAAAAATGTATTCCTGGGAGCACAAAAATGTATTTGTTTAAATATATATTCGTATTATATTATTCTCTTATTTGCAAATATTGGAATGTAAAAGCACATAATGCGTAAAATAATAGTTTGAAAAATTGATAGTACGTTTTTTTGTACACTTTTAAATATCCAGATGCTACGTTTGTTGAATTACAACATTCGGAGGAGAATTTCAGGACCTTTGGGTAAAAGTTATTCCAAAACTGTATTCTATGATTATCGGCTAAGCTATCTGTATTAAAGTTTTCATCGATTATTAACACAGAATTGTTGACCGGGGTTATTTCGTTCCATTTAACATAGATATTGGATTTTGTAGGATTTGATGATTTTGCGAAATTAGCCCATAAGGTCATAATGATGTCTGCAATTTTTTTATCAGTTGAGTTCCACTCCATATTATTATTCATATATGGGATTCCCCAAACATAAACTTGATCAAAATATTTAGGTACGCTTATCCAATTCGGAAGTCCATTGAGCAATGATTGAGAATGAAATTTAAATAGATAACCATAAACCTGTTGATGCTTGCTTAGGATTTCCATAAACATTTGCAATGGTGCAATATATAATTTTTCAGTGTGTGCTTCAACTAGCTTTTGGTTTATAGCTTGAGTATCCTTGTTTCCCCCTGAGTAAATGAAATTAAGAGCATCGGAAACTAATGCGAAATTGGAGCACCATTCCTCATTCTCAACAGATTGATGAATATCGCTCATTGCTATATCATTTAAAAATGCTTCTAGGTCATTGGAAGATCTTTCGGTTTCAAAATTTTCGTTAAACAATATAAGAGCCTCTTCCATATCAGTTACTCCTACAATTACAGGCACTTTGTGGTAATTACCGCTTTGAAACAATATTACTGGAAGATTTTCTATAAATGGATATGATATATTACTTAATCCAAAATCAACTACTGGTCCCCATTCAATGGAAGGAAGATTTTCTGATATTATTTTTGCATCAACTCTCTTAAGGCATTGAATTAACATAGACGTAGGTTTTCGGACGCAACCAAATGTATTAGCGATCATGTCTAATGCATTGTCGTACTCTTTTGGTAACTTCACAGATTTGTCCATTATTGGATTCCCCGACATTAAAATGGCCTTATGAAAAGCTCCCTTTGACCACTCGCCAGAGGTCATGTGTAAGCCTACACTTATAGCTCCCGCTCCATGGCCCATTAAAGTAATACGAGTATCATCTCCTCCAAAAAAATTTATATTTCTTTTTATCCAGTATAAAGCTGCTGATTGGTCCATTAATCCATAATTTCCTTGAGCTTCGCCATCGTCGGTAGAAAAGAAACCGAAAATGTTAAGCCGATATGAAAAGGTAACTACAATTAATTTTTGTTTAAAAACTAATTGAAAAGGTTCGACGTCATGAGGGCTGCCTACAGAAAAATCCCCAGAATGGATCCATACTACGACTGCATATCCATTAATTCCAGGTGGTCCTAAAATTAACAAATTTACGCAAATTAAAACATGAAAATAAATTAAATGAACGAAAAAATTAATTTTTGATCTCGTATTTTAATGTTAAATGAGATGGCTAGAAAATATTCTTATCATCAATGCTATTCCTTAGAAGTTATAGAGGTTTTGTGATGCCGTATGTAAATCAGTACTCTTTAAGTTAGTTTGGGTGTTGGGTAAATAAATAAGCTTGTTACTCACCATCAGGTACAAAAACGTTCAGGTATAAACAATTTTCTTCGTAATTTTTAGTTGTTTCAGCTTCATTTTTTTCTCCCGATATTATTTCTAGAACTTTGTCAGTTTGTTTCCCCTTTGGCGCCGTTTCTTGTTGCCAACAGTTGGGACCGAAAGAGGTTGCGTTAAAAATTCCTTTCCACGGCGGTATTTCGATGTCGGGGGGTGAAAATCTCGTGGCATATGCATACTGAATACCGAGATATGCTTTAATATTTTTCGTACGATACATTTTTAAATATTTTCCAGTTAGTACTCCACTACCCGGAATAGTTATCGACGGCGCATCCACACTACCCACATAAATATCACCAAAATTGCTTATAGTATGGAATAACAACATTAACTTTAAAAATAAGAATTTTAAATGTATCATTTTATCCAAGTGCTCCGAACATGCTTATGTGATTTGAATTGAGACAACACTAAGAACTGCTCTACAATTCCAAGCACGAATATAATGGTTGCTAAGGTCACGCTAAAAAAATAAATATTGTTGCTAAGAATCTGTAGCTATGGAGACGGTTCTGCTTTATTCTCAAGTACATACATACACCCTTAAGACCATTTAAATGTATATGAAGTAAGTCATTACTTCTTGAACAACCCTTGAAGTCAATACATTATAATAACGTCATAAAACTGAGCTGGGTTGAGTTAATGGAACGTGCGGTTAATGTAGAGGATTGCTTTGAAATGTTAATTTCCAAATATATCACACAAATTCAAAGTCATTTTGAAAACAAAGTGGGACCTTTATTTTTGAAATACCTATGCCCGGGGGAGAATAAATGGCGACCCCAGGCACAGAAAGTTACAATATCCTAAGAAAGCGTAGTATATGGGACAAAAATGTTTGACCACAGCAAAGTACCGTGTAAGACTATGCCGGAGGCAAATTGTTACCGATGGGATACAATTACGTGTTAAACGTTGAGGAACTGAAAAAATGTATTAAGTAAAGGGGACTTTGATATTTTTTAAAATAGAAATAAAGTAAATTTTTAAAGCATAAGGACATTTAACATATTTTCTATTGATTTACCTTATATTTAAATTTTTAGAATGTAGACCTGAAAAATTACAAGAGCTAGATTTAACAAATTTATGATTTCTGTTCTGCTGAGCATTTTTTTTATCATAGAAATAAACTTTCCCACAAATTTTAATTTTAAATGTTGAAATTAAATTAGTTGCTAGATTTTAATAATCCACTTGTTTTCATTTATTAACAATATAATTAAAATTAGATTCTCGAATATTTTGAGACTTTGTTTTGTTTGTACAATGTTGCAGGTTATCTGTATATCTTTTTTTAGGGGAAAATATGAAATTTGTGGATTATAAGTACTTGCATTATTCCAGTTTTATGAATACGGTGCTTATAAATCGTTTTTTTCACATTTATATGTACGTATGTATGTATTTAATTTTTATGTGTATGAACGACTTGGAAGCGAGGCATCTATTTATAGAGCTCTCTCTAAGGCATACATCTAAATATACATATATGTACATACATACATATGTATGTACTTATATGCATGTGCACATTCATGCGTATTAATGTGTACACACATAAGTATGAATGTAAGTTCATTTTTAGAAAAATGAATTATAGCCGATATGAAATTCAAATTCTATATTAAAAAATTCAGCATACATATGGTATATGTTTGCATACAGAAGCCATTCGTTATACATATTTTAATTATACCCTGTACCCAAAGGGTAAAAGGGTATACTATACTAGTTTTAATTTGTTTTAATGAAACAAAAGCAGTTACACATATGAGAGTGCAAAAGAAACTTATCTTATATCGAAGACACTCCATCTTACAGTCAATGTAAAAATCGATGAGCTACAAAACTATTACAGGCGTTATAAAAAACATTGTATGTACAAATGAAAACGTATACATACTTGTATGTAAAAGCAATAATATAAATGTTTCAAATTGTATATATGAACTTAATTACTCTCAATAAAGCAAGTAAGTTATGGCAGACTTGGTTTAATTTAAATTTGTAATTGCTCAATTAAATTTAGATAGAACGAGAAATGTGTTGTGTACATATTAAAGAAGTATAGAGAGGGTATGCGGGGTTCAACGACCAAATTGTTCCATTTAGATCTGTGAAAATACATACATATCTATGTTACATATGTAAAACTATTTCCAATATTATGGGCTCGGTCTGAACAAACAAACATACATACATACATATGTATGTGTGGGAGCCAATAAAATAATTTTAAATATACATTTATATTTCTGCCCCTTTATTCATACGTATTTATGTATGCACATACATAGAATGTATGTATGAAGAAATGTATAAATTTAGGCACAGATTCATGGAAGAAGTATGCCTACAAACGAAGGAGTATTTTCAATTAAAACTTAATAAGGCTTTAGTTTTTAGATCGATATGCAGGCAAGAATGTTTTGTTTTAGCCAAAAACAATCAGTTTTGGGCGACAGAATAATAATTTGGGAACCAAAATTGAGAATAATATTCAATTTATTTACGCCATAGTCAATGCAATATAATCTATTGTACGAGAAATATTGATACACACGATATACAGCTATCTCTATTGCTCAAACTGAATTTTCTTAGTTGTGCCGTGTGCATTCACAAATATAGACTACCTGTGTACAGAATCTTTCCAGTTTAGTCGGCGGCATTTCTAACGAACAGGAACTACTTCACAAAAGTACCTTCGTAGGTGTGTGAGATATACATATTGTGGATATATGTGCCTATACATACATATACATAGATAAAGCGCATATAATATACTATATATATAGATAGACACTTGCATATGTGAAATTAATGTTATATACATATATTGTTCCCAAATCCTAGACGTTGCACCATGCCATTCGTTCCCGTTGAAACTCCAAAATGCCCCGCATGCGGCAAATCCGTGTATGCTGCTGAAGAACGTGTAGCCGGTGGCTACAAATTCCACAAAACCTGTTTCAAATGCAGTGAGTATTTAGTCATCGGTTCTTGAAGAATTTGAGAATGTGTGCGATTGAAGAATGTGTATAACCAATAACATATGTACATATGTATCACTAAAGGCATGTGCAACAAGGCGTTGGACTCTACAAACTGCACAGAACACGAAAAGGAACTGTTTTGTAAAAACTGCCACGGACGGAAATACGGTCCCAAAGGTTACGGTTTCGGCGGTGGTGCTGGCTGTCTGTCCACGGACACTGGCGCTCATTTGAACAGAGAGTAAGCATATTTTACAAATTTCAAAGCACTCGAACTCTGGAGTAACAAAACATTTATCAGTCATTTGTGAAAACTATGTACCTTGATTTAAACGATTTCGTAAATTTAAATTGAGGTTATATGTTGTATCGTTTTGTTTCCAAATATGAGTGTTTACCCCTTTTTGTTTAAATATGTATGTATATGTTGTCTAATGTAACATCTTTCACATTTTCAGCAATTAAGGTACCTGAAAATGAACTAAAGTCTAATGCACATTGTACTGCGGTTTTAACAATAACTGTTATAATTTGGTTCTTTATGTTATTGATGTCCGAATATGTATGTAATTTATGGTAAAAATAATTTTTGTATTCATTTACGTTACGGAGTATAAATTAATAAAATGAAGTGTACAATAGAACTAGGTAATTAAAAAATAAAATACAACCTAAACGTTCGTAAGTAATGCTTACACAATTTTATTTTTTCAATTTTCAACGCTTACTGTTGAGATGTTTATTTATACATTCTATGTTTTAGTCTTAATAAGGAAATGTAGGAAACACATATGTACATCAAATTCACAGTCATTTTGTGAATGGTTACGACCAATTTATTATAAAATTATAACACTTCTACACGCACAGTGCAGAGAGTTTCGTGAGATTGTTGCCATAATAAACATGATTGATGGATCTTATTGGGTTGGTTATCGTTATCGCTCACAAACATTCCGCATGATCGAAGTTGTCAAAGAGTAACGGACATTTTGGGATATCTAGATCAACATTTTTGCGCACGTACATACATGTAAACTATTGGATATTTCGTACAAAGGAATGTTTTGATAATTACCTGTGAAATTTGTATCTCAGGCGATATTGGAGTTGGAGTCAAACTTTAGTTTCATGTTCCTTAAATTCATTATTAGATTACTGTTGAATGTCGCCCTAAATTGTGTTTTACCAAAGTAGTTTTTATGATTTTCGATGTATACATATGTATGTCTCTATATGTACGTAGTATATGCGTGAATAATCATATGTGTATAAAATATTTATAAATACATGCGACGACTTAAACAATTTTCAGATTTGTTACACCAAAAGTTCCCCCGAAAGCACCTGATGGGAAAGGTTGCCCAAGGTGTGGTATTTATGTATATGCAGCAGAACAAATGCTGGCGCGAGGGAAGGTAAGTACAAATCCAAGGTACAAGTTAATAAATAAAATATACAAACATGCATACATACATACATATGATGTATAAATTTAAATAAATATATGAATATGCCAAAATATCGCTTTGATATAAGAAACAGCTAAAAAAATATAAAGGCCTTAAATGTTATGGGTCATAGGGTCCCAATGTGCTCAGATGAATATAAATAAATGTGCCTTTGAGAAACAGGCCTGTGAAGAGGGGGTGGAAAAAGGGGGAGTTCCCAGGTCCGCTTTGTGCGAGGCGCCCAAAAATACTAAGCATTCATTTTTCAGTATTTTATTTAATTTTATTTACATAATGCCAAACGGGCTATTAGAGGGTTGGTTCACTATGTGTGTGATGGAGTCCGTTAAAGTCTGGGCTCATACAAGGTGTGTTCCAAAGTAAACAGGACTTAAAAAAAAAACAGAGCAAATGGTTTTTTCGACAAAATCAATTTATTTTATTCAAAATAGTCTCCTTCTGCTTCAATACAGCTTTTTGCACGATCCAAAAGCATGTCGAACGAGTGTCTTAGCTCGTTGGCCGGTATGGCCGCCAGTATGCCGGTGCAAGCCTTTTGAATGACCTCTACGTCTGCATAACGCTTTCCTTTCATGGGCGAATGCATTTTTCCGAAAAGGTAGAAGTCGCACGGTGCCATATCAGGTGAATACGACGAGTGGTTAATGGTTAAAATGTGACTTTTGGTCAAGCGTCGAGCAATTTTTGGTCGTCAGTCAATTTGTGCAGAACAAACCGTGCACACACCTTTCGTAATCCCAAATGTTCGGTCAAAATGCGATAAATCGATGTTTTGGAGATGTTCAATTCCATTTCCATCAATTTCAATGATGATTTCATCTGATTTTTTATGAATTCACGCACAGTTTCGATGGAATTTTCGGGGATCACGAATTTTGATTGGCCCACATGTTGATCGTCATTTATGTCCTTACGACCATTTTGAAAACGTTGAAACCACTCGTGCACTCTGCTACGGGATAGGCAATCATCGCCATAAACTTGTTCCATCAATTGACACGTTTCGGTAAAAATTTTACCAAAACGCAATAACTTCACTTCCAATCGATGAAATGTCATGAAATTCTCACTGGATAAAGATAGCAGATTCTAACGCACCAGTCAACATATAGATAGCGCCACCAGGGGGCGCTAGATTAAAAAAGTCCTGTTTACTTTCGAACGCACCTTGTATGTCCTCTCAAAGGCACTGTTAAGAAACTACTACAATCAACAAAGAATCGATTTTGTAACTTTACAAAACTATATACTATATATATTCAAGGGCTATCATCGAAGGTGTTTTAAGTGCACTCAGTGTAACAAAACTTTAGATTCTACTCTTCATTGTGATGGACCTGACAAGGACATTTATTGTCGAGGTAAGTGATAATTCATACATACAATGTATGTAGTTGGCTATTATTGTTCTTTACGTTATTTATTGCAGTCTCTTTTTCCCATTGAATTTGTTGTATTGCTTTGACTATGCCATGGTACTAGCTTCATAGAATATACACACATATATAATTACCCCCCTTTTTTACCAATTGTTGACATGTTTTATTTGTCTATTTGTTAGCTTCCCATTGCCATTATCCCAAAAATGTTTTTTTTTTTTCTTTTTTGGATAGCATTTTATTTTAACACACACATTTCTTTCAGGTTGTTATGCCCAGAAATTTGGTGCTAGGGGATACGGTCATATCGGTATATCATCTTTAGGCTTAATGTCCGACATTAAAGATTCTGAGCGGCAGAGGTATGAAATCATTAAAGTGTCTACTAAAAGGCCTTCTTAATACTGTTAACAAACCAATAATACTATAGTATATTGCGCCTAAAATAATACTAATACTGCCTTCTGTTGGTTTCGATTATGGAAATAACCATTTACATATGTATATACATAAGTCATAGGAGCACTAATTTCCCCATACTACATACTTATTTATAATTCTAGTGATATGGCTCCAAAAACAGCTGCCATAAATGTGGACCAAATCAAGGCACCAATAGGTGAAGGTTGCCCCCGATGTGGGGGCGTGGTTTTTGCAGCTGAGCAAGTTTTGTCAAAGGGACGTGAATGGCATAGAAAATGTTTTAAGTGCCGTGATTGTACCAAAACATTGGATTCAATAATTGCATGCGATGGGCCGGATAATGAAGTATATTGCAAGACCTGCTATGGGAAAAAATGGGGACCACATGGCTATGGATTTGCGTGTGGATCAAGCTTTTTACAAACCGACGGTCTAAAGTGAGCAATTTTTAAAATAGTATTAAATGTTCGAATCTGATCATTTCTCGATATTCCGTTTGGTGGCAACTACAAACACACGTACAGCGTACGTACGTATACTTAAAATAAAGAGAGCGATCGGTTTGCTTACGCTCATTTTCTTTCCATTTGTTTAGAGAGTTGCTGTGGAAATAGCTGCAAAGCTAACGGTTGAATTTTCACGTTATCGATGAAGAGTGTGGTATAAAAAATACTGTAATGATTACCAGCTCTTTCCATTGATCGTCAGCCAGGTCTTCATTCCATTCGAATCAAACCTTTTTTTTTTGGGATTAATGTTTTTTTCATTAGCTCCCTTATTTTAAAAAATCTGTTTTACATCTGATATATCTTTTTAGTGAAGACGATATCGCAGCCCAAAGACCGTTTGTCTGCCCTGATACAACATCCATTAAGGCTCCATCAGGGGAGGGATGTCCACGCTGCGGTGGAGCCGTATTTGCTGCGGAGTTACAGCTGTCCAAAGGAAAGATGTGGCACAGGGTGTGCTTTAACTGTGCCCGGTGCCACCGGCCGTTAGATTCAGTTCTTGCTTGTGATGGTCCTGATGATAATATTTACTGCAAACTTTGCTACGCAAAGCTCTATGGGCCTAAAGGATTTGGATATGGGCACACACCAACATTGGTTTCTACGAACTATGACTCCTCCATTATCAAGTGAGCAAGGCCCTCATAGTATTAAGGATATATGTATCATGTATATTTTTACTGCAGCTGGATCTCGAAGGCACCATGCGGGTTGCGCTCTACGGATGGATGTCCTCGTTGTGGTTTCGCTGTTTATGCAGCCGAGCAAATGAAGAGCAAGAATAATGTTTGGCATAAGCTGTGCTTCTACTGTTCGGAGTGCAGAAAATATCTGGATTCTACTAACCTAAACGATGGCCCTGATGGCACCATTTACTGTCGTTCGTGTTATGGAAAATATTTTGGTCCAAAAGGCGTTGGCTATGGCATTGGTGCTGGAACGTTAACAATGGCTTAGTTAAAAGAAACTTTTCACCAAAAATATAATCGTAACACTCGTGAACCTTATCCAATTTCGACAAAAAAAACCGCTATTATGCAAAACTATTAGTCTATTTTAAATATTTGCTGGTCTATCGCTTAAGGTTTGCTTATATATTATTATCATAATTTATATGCATAGGTAGCCTAATAATACATGAGATCGATTGTTTATAGTTTCTAAGCTTGTTTATGGCTTGCATAGTAATAACTTGTAAAAATAACAATAAACATAGAAAAAAATGATATTGTAAATTTCAATTTAAGTTTAATTTTGTTTAACTCTTCTACTGCATTCAATAGATTCTTGCAGAAAGGGGAATGCCGTTGTTAATTATACTAGTTAAACAGTAGATGTGCCCGGAAAAACACTCCAAATACTAAATTTTAATTGGCAAAACTAGTGAAGTAATATAAATCATAAAACAAAAATATTAGCGAAAAAATTGTAGAAGAAAATCGAAGAAGCTTATTAGTGTAGCCGAGAAATATTTACATCATCTCAAACGTACTCGGCTTTCCTCTTTCTTTAAAAGTTTCTCTTTTTACCCACCTTCCTGTCCCCACTAACCATGTTCAATTTTGTTTTAGCCCATCTTTGTCGTTTTAATAAGTGGATCGGATGCAAAATATCGGTGCCGGGTGATATATATCTTTGGCTATTTAACTTAAGCCAACCACAATCTATAATTTAAATTAGTTTCTTTCTGTTTCAGAAAAAATGTAAGAAACGTGAGCAATATTGTATCTATAAAATTGTTCTATGATAAAGACAATTAAGATTAAAACAAAAAAACTATAAATGGATTTATTAATATATGTCCAAAATAATACAAATATATTTATCTAAATTTCTTGTCCCACTTTGGTTCCAAATAAAACACGAAAAATAAGTGTCAGGGTTTTAAAAAAAATGTTACAGCTTTTATTTATTTTCTTTTTTTCGCAGTAAACTATAACAATATTATACATATTTACATTTTAAAATAAGAGCCAATATTTACAACTCGGGATGATCGTTACCAAACTTTTGAAAAGAAATACTGTCTCAGACAATAATTTGAGAATTGATGCATTATCGGAAACTTTGTGACAAACTGATATGTTTTTAGATATGAAAGTATAGAGTTGGGCAGATTAGGCCCTAAAAGTTTATTCACAATTACACATATTTCTGATAATTATATATACAAGAACATATGTTTAAAGATTTGTGAGCGAAATGAAATAAACACAACTATTAGAAAAAGTGCGAAAGAGGGTTATTAACGTTTCTTAATACATAGTTTTGAGTTCGTTTTATCATCTCACCTGTATGTGGCATATTCTAAATAAAATTCGGGTTTCTCATATGATAAAGTTATTGTTCTGGCAACACCGCAGGGGTAATACTTGTGGCTATAATTTGCAGTTGAACAATTTATTAAATGCTTCACGCGTTTTTAAAAATAATAGGCCTATAAATGAGTATTTGAAACTGTCCCTTAAAAATATAGATTTGAACTAATAATCAATTTCCGCCAAACAGAAGTGCTTTTGCAATAATTTTTCAATCCTGCATTAAATAGGCAACAACTTTATCTTCGAGTGCGTAAGTCTCGGGAGGCAATTTTTCAAAATTATCTAAGATGTTTCGATGAAAAATTGTCCATACTTCTGCGTTTATGTAGCTATGAGACGTGTAGATGTAAATCGTTTTTTGAGTGATCCATTTTTAGATTATATTTTTATTTCTTTTAGAAAAAATACCTTGTTTTTACTATTTAGGTATCACTCTGGGTCACTAATGTTAGTATTGTGCGAATAGGCAGGTTCCAAGAAAATGTTTTAAAAAGGTTGATTTCTCTGAAACTATCTTCATTTATGGTGGCATTAACCAACATATGCAAAGGGAGGAAACGGGTGCGGATAATAGTTTGGAAATGATGCTGTGTTTTGAATGGGAAGTGCTGTTGTTACTAATCTTGTGACTGCTGTTGGCTTAACAGCAGTCGAATAAATGGTTGTATAGGCCGTTCTAGCACCAAAAGTCAGCTTAAGAACCTTGCTATTGGTTTCTGTTAAGGTGGTTTGTAAAATTTCCGTTGATGTTATTAAATGTGGCTGAGGTGGAATCGGCAGAAGAGGGTTGTATGGATTGTAGGGGTTAATGGAGAAGGGGAACTGCGTTGCTGGTAACATAACTGTTGAAATTTCTGTAACATAATCTGTTTTCTCCGCTACTCCGACGGACTTTGATAATGTACGTAAGATTGTATCTGTTCCCTTGATTAGGGGTACAACATATGATTCCCAAATTGTTTCCATTTTGATAACTGGCCGCGTCGACGTAATAACGCTGTTTTGTGGATTCAATGTGTTAATTATGGGCAGTGGGACTTGGTTCTTTTCTAAATTGCTTAATGTGCCAATTTGATAATTATCTGTTGCATTTACTCCAGTTTTAGGATCTGCAAGTTTGCTCTTGGCCTTAAATTCGAATTGTTCAGTATTATCCTCATCGCCAAATTCCAGATCCAAGTTAAATTCAGATCCAGCTTCATCCAAGTTTCCTTCGAAGTCTTTGAAATTTTTGGACGGATTAAAGCTATCGCCTAAAGGCGAAAGCGTTTGGGTCACAGTTATTAGGCTAGTATAATCATAAGTCTGTATCAGAGTAAACAGTTTGGTTTCATTAAGCTTTTCATTAATGATAGGCAAGATTTGCGTTTTAAGTTTTGTTTGGGTGATGGAATACGATTCAGTTACGGTTTCAAGAATTGGAGTTTCAGAGCTGTCTGAAATAAATATAGGGTTCAGAGTTGTAACACTTCCATCTAGTGCAACAGGGCTAGGCTTTGTTGCAAGATCTAAAATATTTTCCGTCAATGGTCCATCATCCTCCGAGTATTCCTCTGTATGCTCATCTTTAATAACTTTTTCTATAGTAGAAGTTACAGTCAAGAAACGAGTCTTTTTGACAACTCCCGCCTGAAAGAAAGACACACATCAATTTACATATCGATTAATTATTTTGATTTAGATATGTCTGCATCCTATGATACAAGATGGATGATAGAAATAATTAATTACCTGAAATATAAATGGACTCTTAATCGTAGCAATTTCGTAATAGGTGTCGACAAAGTTATTAGGTGTTGATATTTCCACGTTTAGAGTTTGAACAAAGTTCTTAGGCTTAATTTCATCATTTTCTACGGGACTATTTTGAGAGCCCGGCCCATTTTGAGATCCCGATGCTTCCAAATCTCTACCTTGTCCAATAATCTTTTGTATTTGATTTTCCTCTGTATTGTCCGGTGTAAAATCATTGCTTAATGTATAGTTGGATACCGCACTGCTGGACTGCTTTCTAATATTAACTTTTGGTTTCGGTGATGACTTGTATTGCCATCGGCCTGGGCGTCGATTAAGCTTAAATGTGTACTGGCCAGGAGTTGTCTCATATTCCGGAGCTGAAGTTGTAGCCTTAGTTCTGTATAAACGACGGGAGCTCGGATCAGTGGAAGTAGGAGAAATGGAGGATGAACTCGTTGAAGATGATTTATTTCTCCTAAAAGGTAAACAGAAAATAATCGTTTATAAGAAACAGTTGGTATAACCAAATTAATATTATAAAATGTACATTATCTTTTAAATGTATTTAAAACAATAACCATTTCATGTAAATACACATAATATTTGAAAACATAAATAAACATTTCAGTAATGGTTAAAGTAAGAGATCATATTTTACACAAGATCTCCATGTACTTTCTTCACAATTTACATTTCTTAAAATGAAAACATCTTTCTTCCGTACAATATTACCTCTTTCCTTTATTGCGTGAAGATTTTCTGGTACTCGTGGTTCCTTTGCTTTTCTCAGTAGGTTCACGATTAACTTGTGTATTTTTCCGATGGTGCTTAGTAAATCCATTTTGAGAAGAATGTGTTTCTTTCGTAATTCTACTTGGTTGAATGGAGGGACTTCCCGTTTTCAAAATCCTAGCTGAAGATGTTGGACGAATTTTTGTGTTTCTGTCATTTTTAATAACAGATCCTGCTTGAAGTATTTGGGCATATTTGCCAGAAATATAAGTTCCCAATACATTTGTTTCCTTAACTATAGGCTGCCCATTTTTTGTATATGTTTCACTTATTTTTGTTACAAGTCCAGTTGGATGATTGTCTCTTGTTGAATGAAAAATTCGTTGACGATCCGTGTCGCCTTTGGATTTTAAATTAAATAAACGATAAGTTTCCTCTGCGAATTCTTCGGGTTGTCGAGAAAGCAAATCATATTCAGGAATATTCATTACATTGTCTATCGGAGAACTGGAAGTATTAAGATTTATAGTGTTTTGTGAAAGTGTTACATTATTTCTATATAAAATTTCAGATTGTGCTTTTAAACTTTGGGAAGAAGGTGGCGCTGAAGATTTAGTTGGTTTTATTCCCTCTTTTCCTTTTTTAGTTTCGGCAAGAAGCGGTTTAGTTTGTATTGCATTTACCAAACTGCTTGTCTTGTTGATTTTTAAATCTGTAAAGTAAAGATAATCCAATTATTTATTTTATCCGAATTTCCCAAAACAATGAGAAATGCCAAAAATAACACCCTCTTTTACTTAAAGTGAAAGGTCAAAAATCTTAGATTATAGTGAGTTTCTATGACTATCATAGCTATGACATTCAAATTTTGCATAATACTTGCCTAGCTGGGGTGAGCTTTGTGGAGAAAATACCATAACCGTGTTTCCAATCGTTGTTGTGAAGTCCAAAAAGCCATAAACAGTTTGTGTTAACAAGTCGCTCTCATTGGAAGACACAATTAACGCTAAAAATATACAATGAGAAGATTGATAAATTTGGAGAACTAAAAAGAATTGTCTCTCCCCTCACAGGAAAAATCATTTTCAATAATTTATAACTCAGTATCATGGATATTTGATAGGAACTGGAGATTTTTCTAGTCACCAAAACTCAACAAATGCTTAGACACAGATGCTTAAATAATTTTGTGGGTCATTCAACTGAATAGAATAAAAAAAATGTATTTTAATTTGCAAATTCTTAACGCCACTTACCATAGTTTATAAAAATAACAATGAAGAGGTATCCAGTCATATTTACGTTAGTTCCACTTTAAATTCAGCAATGATAGATAAATATTAGCTGAAAAAAATAAATACCTATATTGATTTGTTCATTATATTTAGATTAGCGAATAAAACGGAAATGTACGTATGTCTCGTATGTTTTAAATAAGCAGCTCATAAAATGCTTTGTTTGTTTTTAGAATTAACACCATATATTTTAACAAAACAGGTATTCCCGATTTGCATAAAAATTATCACAAAATTGATTTGCTTGTCCGTAATGATCCCATTTATTAGAATTTGAATATATAATCATCTCTAATAGGCCTTTTAAAATGTATTTATATTTAGATTATTAAAAAATGCATAAGCAAAATATTTATTTTCTATTTTAATAATAAAGTGTCTACAACTGGTAACAAGATATTTAGTATATGGATCAAGCGATTATAATTTGTATTTTATTATAATTTCATTTAAAAATTGGTATTTAAGACCATGTGCGGGGTGATTTAAAGTCTAATTTCAAATCTTCTGTTACTCTTTCAACTTAATTTCAAAATGAATTCAGGGTATTGAATAGTCGCTTGAAGCCGCACTAACACACTTCGAATGCGAACGTTAATAGTTTTTTAATTAATTGCTGCTGTCTAGATTGTATACACATTTTAGATTTGACGAGGCATATAATGAAACATAAATATGTATAATAAATTTATTTTCCAAAGCGAGTACTGTTCTTTAAAATGAAAGGAAGTTTGACCTTAAGAATATGGCACTTTTAAAAGCAATTGGTTATATTTGTTATTCTAGACTAATATGGCATACATACAAGTATGTACATACTATTCATTGAAATTAGATAAATACTTAGATTCATTAAAATTGAATAATTTTGTAACTTGTTATTTTGAATATACATATAAACGAATTTATACAAGTACACATAAAGACAGCAAAGCATGTTCTGCATGAACTTGTAAAAGAAGTAGTAAATGGTATAAAATATACTTTGAATTCATTTTTTTGCATTTATTGCATTTATTTAATATGAATACAATGATTGTAAGACCCAAGCATAGCACCACCACTGCAGATGTTAACACAGGTTTCACAATTACACAGACTTTCTAATAATTAAATTGAAAACAAGTTGCATAAAAAGTTGTCTGTGAAATCAAGTATTTATCGCAGGTCAAACAAACAAAATTCGCGTAATTTTGAATAAATATTAAGCTCTATAACTTACGAACACGTAGCAATACTTTAAATATACATTTTCACTTAATAACATAGACTCGCATGAAAAAGTAAAGTCTACTGGAATGACCTCGAATAAGTCTTTGTAACTTTTTATAAGGTATGTACGTACATACTTATGTATCTGATTTAATGTAAGTGTACACAAGTGCTTCTAGTTACAATATTACGAGACATACACTCATAAATAGGAGGATATACATAAGTTTCAAATATTCACATAAATACACAAAAAATAGTCAGTTCACAGACTATACACACATGCGACTGCCAACAAAAATAAAACACAGAAACCAGCAAGAAAGAAAAATAATAGTGGCCAAAGTCGGCCGTTGTATTTGCATTATACAAAAAGCATGCACATAACAAACCTCTATTGAAGTTACCCTACTATCGTGCACACATGCGCAGTACCACGAAATCATGCCAACACCATTTCGTTTGTAGTTGTGCACGAGGGGTATTCATATTTCATTTTCATGCAATATATGGGCAAAGATGTGTATCTGTATGGATATATACAAACAAAGCATACACACTGTTTTTCTTTAAATTATTATTATTATTACATTTAATGAATATATTTTTGTTCAACAAAAATAAAGGAACTAGTTATTCCTTATTGCTTATTTATTTGGGAACTTGTAATTTTAATTTTACATTGGATATTAACACGTATTTAAAAGTGTAGAAAGACAACCAATCAAAATTGTAGTAGTAGTACATAGTAGTACATTCAGGGTTTCGACGCAAAATCAATCAGCTCAGTCAGATAATTTTCCGCCTGCAGCAATATATATTCCAGTTTCTCAAAGTTCAATTAAAACATACCCGCTGGACAAAGTGCCGTTTTGCAAACCTTCGCTTTCTCCTGTCCCGTTGACTTTGACTTACACTGTAACATTTTAACGGCGCTCAATTTCGCGTTAAATATTTATTTGCGAATCAAAATCTAATTGCTGAATGCTCGCCTAATTTGCACTTGCTTTTCCGTCAGCGTTGCCACCATATGTGAATCGCATAATTTGACATTTAATAATCGGTAAGTGCAAGTTGACTTTGACTTGCACTTTAACATTTTAACGGCGCTCGATTTCGCGTTAAATATTCATTTGCGAATCAAAATCGGATTGCTGATCGCTCGTTTAATGTGTACTTGCTTTTCCGACAGCGTTGCCACCATATATGAATCGCATTAATTGACACTTAACAACCGCGTTAAACGCCCCGCTTTAACTACCGCGAAAGCCCCTAACCACTATTTATTAACAGGATAATTCGTTTATCTGTGAGTTCCCGTTCTCTCGAAACCTAGGGGAATGATTCAGGGCTGCCTGGATTTTATATTTTGACTGGTTTATAATTACTATTTGTTGTATTAGATTATTGGCCTATATTTAATAAAATACCTGATTCACTAAATAAATAAATACCTGAAAATCCAACTGCAAATGGATAATATAGTCGTCGACTTCGCAAATCGCAGAGAATTTAAAGAATGCATTAAAAGAGCTCAACGGCAAATTCAATAAATTCTGGCAATGTGCGAATACAGGAGCAAGACCTATAAAATATACACATTAGTGTGTATAACAAATAGTGGTGCAAAATTGTCTAAGGTATTTAACATAAACGGTTCTCTTCAGCACATGTCGTAAAATTGTAGCCTTATTCATATGTATGTATGTATATACTCATATATACAGGGACCGATTGACTTGAGTAGACCAGTGTTGAAAACCTCAGTTCAAGAAATTGTACAGAACCAAATTAAATAAAAATATCTCATACTTGAAAATCGGTTGTTTATTTTCAAAGATATTCAATGTTTACATACCGACATAAAAGATGGCGCACCTTGTATAAAGATTAGGGAATGATAACTGAACACCAAAAAAACATAAAAAACTTACGATTAGAAAGTGATTTTCCTCATAGCACTGATATTCGGAAAATTGTAATGAACCGCTGATTCGAAATACAGTATATATCAAAGGTAAAGTAAATCAAAATAATCAATGTGTAGAAAATTAACATATATATAATTAATTAAAATGTATAGCACAATAACAAGAACCCATAAATCAATTTTTTTTAATTTATTTTATATTAATATTTGTTTTTTTAGAGGGATCTATGATGATTTTAAAGTTTATAGATCAGCTGTTAGTTGCCATCAATGCTCGAGTACACTTTAAATGTAATCGATACTGTAACATAACTATCAAATGTGTAGTGGAAAAGCTAGCAGCCTTTTACTCATGACATTTATGTTCTTTTTCAACCGTTCCACGAAATTGCACATTGCATATGACATGCTTCCAAACTGGTACTTGCAAAAAACGATTACCGAATAAAAGCAACTCTGATATTGTGTATTGATAAGTTGAATCCGCACATTTGCAGCGACGTCGGTACAGCAAAAATTGTATATTTTTTTTAACTCAAAGTGTAAGTGCAAAATGTGATTTATTAATTTGGTTATGGACTAAATACACATACTGCGTTAACAACGAATAAAATCGAACTCGACATTTGTGCTGTAAAACTTGCCCAAACACACCATCTGTATTTTTTATATATGTATGCTTGTTCATAATATCTACGTGCATACATAAACATGTAACATTTCATACGAGCACGGATATTCATAAGTATTAAAGCAAGAAAAATATCAGTAAAATATTTTCATATGTGTTGTTGTACTGTTACCTTACAAATGTTGGACAAATACAAAAAACATAGAGTGGTTCTGTGCATTTAAAGAAAGTTTTTTTTGACAAATTTTTTTGCTACCGGTAGTTTGATTACGGATGTGTAAATGTAATTCATCCATGTGTACCATACATTATTATATGTACATATGTATATGAAGAAGCACATAATTAAGTAAGTTGTATACACTTACGCACACACATATGTATGTATCTTCATAAGTACGCTTATTTTGTATGCCACATACACATGCTAGCGGGAGCACGTCATTCCATACAATAATATATGTATGTATTTACATAAATATGTATTTAGGTCTTATGCAAATAAACTAATAAATATACATATGTGGTATATGTAATACATACTAGTCTCTTATTATAAAGGTTTACATACATCCATATAGATATGTAAATTTCATACATATAATGCAAATTAGGCAAACATTTATGTATGTAAGTGCATATGGAATACAAATATGTAAAACTCGAATTAAATACATATATATTTAAACTTTATAAACATATGTATGTACATAAAAACATACACTGTGCACATCTACTATCGTGCTACTACCCATAATAGTGATAGTATAAGCGACTGAACACGTACGTATTTTTGTATAGCAACATACTTATATACATGCATATGTGGAAAATTTACAAAGATTTCAATCCCACGTTGCAGAGTACATTCAATTTTTGAATTTATAGATGATCGCTTTAAAAAGTGGAACTTTTTGTAATAATATATCCAATACATGATCGACCATGTCAATTGTTAAAACTTTATTCAAATGAGAATACGCGGTCTTACCCAGTACTGAAGTGTTGCAACGAAACGCCCATATTAAGTAACCAATCAAACCGTTTGATAGAATCGATCGTTGACCATAAATTATAGGACTTCAATTTCTTGCATTTTTCTTTAAAGTAATATTGTTTTGATATAATTTTGGTAACACTCTCTTGGCCCATTGGGAAATCATTTGATGTAATTCATTGACCATTCCTTAACTTATAAATTTTTGCAAGCATTAAAGAACATCCAACATCTGAATCAAATAGCTTACGTATGATTATGCTGGAAGCTTTCAAATACTTCAAATTATATAAGATCTAAGATTGTGCAAGCGCAAATTTACCGTAGATTATTAAAAGCAATATATTACTTTTTTTAATGTGCATGAAAGATCACGCAACATTGTTGATCTACACGTTGTCTATATAATTACGTTGATCTGACGATCTATCAGTCTACATGAACAATAGCATGCCCGAAAATAGAAAACTTACATTTACTAATAAATGTACTTGTGCATATGTATGTTGTTTGTCCTAAGCTTTGCTACTAAAGCAATCAAAAGTCAAATATATGTTATCATAAGGTAATATAATATAGAACGATCCACTTTTTGTTGATAGATTAATTGGTCGTGGATTAAATTTTGAGAAACAAACAAAGTGAACTGTTTGTAAAAGAAAAGCAAAGTCGTCGATAATATTTTTCAATCGCAGAAATTACCCCCACTATTAAAGTTAAGTTTAAGAAGTTATAAGTTTATGTTATATAAATCATATCTGTACTAATTTTTTATAGGCATAAGTAAAGTATAATGTCGGTGCACTACAAATTTAAAAGTACGCTGAACTATGACACAATTACTTTTGATGGACTACATATATCTGTTGGCGATTTAAAAAGGGAAATTGTGCAGCAAAAGCGGTTGGGAAAAGTTATAGACTTTGACCTTCAAATAACAAACGCCCAGACAAAAGAAGGTTTGTTCATAGCCAAATTATATATGACTATACTACAAATAAATAATATTACTTTTATAGAATATAAAGAAGATGGATTCCTCATACCAAAAAACACTACATTGATAATCTCACGGATACCGATAACGCATCAACCCAAAAAGGGGTGGGATCCTCCAACAGATCCTTCTTTTGCCTCAACGGCACCACCCAAGCAAGATAATTTTAGTATGGACCTATCGAAAATGCAGGGCAGTGAGGAGGATAAAATTCAAGCGATGATGATGCAGAGCACAGCGGATTATGATCCAAAAACGTAAATAAAACAACATTAACAGAAATCTTTAAACAAAGATAAATGTTTTCATTTGAGTTTAAAGCTCTGGTGAAGGTATTCTCCAAACTAAATAGTTTTTCAACCAATTCAACAAATTTGGAAACCTTTTTACCTTTTTAGTCATTATAGTAATTCAAATATAATAATTTCGTTTGTATTTGTATTTAAGGTATCATCGCATTAAAGGCCAATCTCAAGTTGGCGAAGTACCGCCTTCATATCGTTGCAATAAGTGCAAGAAAGGCGGCCATTGGATCAAAAATTGTCCATTTGTATCTGGAAAGGATCAATTTGAAACAAAAAGAAATACTGGAATCCCTCGTTCATTTAGAGATAAGCCAGATATGTAAGTATAATCATAAATTCATCTTTATGTTTACAGAATGAGTAAAGATCACACATATATATGTGTACAATCCTACATTAGAGCAACAAGGTTTAACTTCTTAAATCTTGAAGTCTTTTAGTGACTCTAGTCTAAGCGCTTAAGCCCCATTTTGCAATAAGTTTTAATGCTACGTTCTTGAGCAACCAATTATTTAACTTTTACTCAAATGGTTGCAAATTACATTTAGGGCTCTAACATTAAAATACTTTCCAATGCATAAGTTTTTGTTTCATAAAAAAGAAAAAATGTATATTTATTTCTAATGATGTATTCCTATTATTTTTAGGTCGATGAATCAAGCAACACAATTTTTACCAGCAGAAGAAAAGCAAGAAATTCCTGAGGACTTGGTTTGCGGAATATGTCGAGATCTTTTTGTCGACGCAGTAATGATTCCCTGCTGTGGAAGCTCGTTCTGCGATGATTGTAAGTACTGAAAAAAACTTTGGAATAACTCTATTTTAATTGAAAAAATATATATTTGAAAATACAATTAATCCTATTGAATTATTTATTGCAGGTGTGCGCACAGCGCTTTTAGACTCGGAGGACAATGAGTGTCCAGACTGCAAAGAAAAAAATTGTTCTCCTGGCTCTTTAATACCCAATCGCTTTTTGAGAAACTCCGTAAACGTTTTTAAGAACGAAACTGGATATAAAATTGGAACTTACAAAACTGGTAAGACTTATGATGTAGCTTACCGTAATTTTACAAAATATATATATAATGACTGCGGATAGACAAACACTGAGAATTTAGGGATATTAAAACAGTTTTAATATGTTTTTTTTTTTATATAAATCGAAATTTAATACAACTTATGTTTTTCAGCCGATCAACAAGTGGCAACACCGCCTCAGGAGGAGCAGGAGGGAGAGGAGGAGGAAGTTCCATCTTCTCAAACTTCAGAAACTGGAAATAAAACTGAAGAGCAGGAGCAGCCGGAGGAAAAGGAAAATATCAAAACTAAGGAAGCTGAAGACTCAGATTCACAGCCAACCACCAACAGTGAAACGGTGGTGAAAGATACAGATAAAGATAAGGATAAATCTGATTCAGAATATGAAGACAATATAACTATAAAAATGCCTACCAAAAAAATGGTTGAAAACACATTTGGCATCCCAGGTTCTGATAATGTCGAGGTACGTTTTCAAGCAAATAAAATTTGAAATATATATATGTATACATTTTTATGTTTTATAAAGCTTTAAGTTGATGTCTAACTTTCATGTTCTCTCTTTATTAATTTCAGGTGCCAAAATCTCCACCGAAAAAGGAATCTGTGAACCCCATTGTACAACGGAAGCAAAAAGACTATCAGTATGATTCAGAACCAGATAATAGGCAGAGAATGTCAGCCAAAACTGACAACTATAAACCTCAAAATGAGCGAAGTCTGTTGCCAACACCAATCAGTGTACACCACAACTATCAGAGCCAAAACTTGAATGACCAAATGGAGAAGCCATTATTGACCACAGAAATGGCAAATAACGCACATCGAATGAACGTTTATAAACCTCCTTACATTCAAATGCCTCGAGGTCCTCCGCTCCATATGATGGGACACCATATACCGCAGTACAGCAATGGATATAATACTGTAGCACACAGACCCCCAATTGGGTAAGTTAATTAGTAAAATAAATAATATTTATACACCGGGGAGAACAGTGCCAGCCGATTTGTTTGTTTTGGTTTTAAATGTAAATAGTCCACGTTAAGAAAACTCTCACTATTAGGAATTAACTACGCAAGCTATCGCCCACTGGCTAGATTATGGTCCAGAATTCAAATAGAACTAAAGAACTGTTTTGTTATTCGTATATATAGAATATACCGTTTCAACAATTTTTTTTATTGATAGGCAGAATTGCTTTAAAGATTTAACGATTAAATACAACAGTTAAACTCTCTATGCTGATAAGTTGTTTTCTGTTATAAGATTATTAATAAAATTATTATTTTACAGCTATGGACCTTATCAAAACCAACCGGTACATCAAATACGTCCCCCGTATATTGCACCGCCAAATGTAAACATGAATTCGTCCCAAGCCTTTCAATCCAAGAACTTGGCATCTATTTATCAAGGAGTTGCAGCTAAAGTCGGAACTGGGTGAGTACATTCTTGAGTATTAATCAAAATTGAAGTAAAAATTATTTTTTGCAAAGCCTTTTTTGTTTCTTGAAACTGTTATTTTCTCTATTATATGGGGCCTTTAATTATTAGAAGCACTATTATTTCTTGCACATTTGAATTTATGAAGTTGTCGGACAATCCTATCCACATTAAACTTGTACACGCATCCGTATATGTAAATACTCATTGATTAATTTTGTATGTTTACGATTTGTCCTTTACAGGCTCATTGATGATCCTCTAGAGGCATTTAATCGAATCATGAAGGAAAAAGAGAAGAAAAAGATTGAGCGTCGTCGTAGCCCAGATCGGCATAGATCTCGATCCCCAGACAGGCAAAGACATCGCTTTAAGTCACCTCTATATGAGCGAGAGTCTTCGAAGGACACCCATTTAAAGGACAAGCTTGACCGGTCTCGGGATAGAAAAAGAGAGCCCAGCTATGAAAGACGAATACACCGAAGTACACGTCCATGGACCAAAGCACCCGACTCACCTAATGAAAAACGAAAAAGGTTACTCTTAGTATTTATGTACCGTATTATTTGAGATTAAGTGCTTTTTTAGTTAAACAACGATAGCTTTTAATTGATTCCATCCATAATGTGGAACTATTACTGAACAGTCTTGAGCTATGTACCTTATATGTATTTAAACATAAAATGGCTTAGAGCTGTTTAAAAGCATAAAACACCCTTGTCCATTTAGAAGACTGCATCTATGCATATACATACATATGTGCATGTAAAACTAATACCAATAATACCAAAGCGAATTGTAATAATTGTATTTTTTCATAATACATATATCCACTATTCAGAACCCACAAAGCCATTATTATAAATGATAATATTTTAACCCATTTTAGAAAGTAGTCTTAACTACTTCAATACATTTTATAGCATATGTGTATTTACATATATCCAGATCTATTTTATTTAACATTTCATAATACGGAAGAACTTTAATATTCTTCCTGGTAAATAGTTGAAAGTTTTATTTGAAGAAGCCTTTTTATATTATATACACATATATGCTTTAGCAGTTTCATTCCATTACTTTTGGATGGAATGCCGCATAACAGCCCCTTTCCAAAGTAAAATATTGCTTGAATTGTCCTCACAAACTCCGAAAAAGCTTTGTCTTAAGGATATTGAGGCCTAGGGTTGGATAAGACCAATGTCTTTTTATCCATCTACATTGCTTTACACATTAACTTAAAAATATGCTTGCGAAGCCTGGACATCCACTATTGTGGCTTGGACAGTGACTGATGTGTTTGAGATAATTTAAATAAAAAGAAAAACCAGTCGAATGCTGATTGTTCACTATTGTTCCTGAACGCCGGTAGCGGTATTACGTATTGCTTTGTGAATTATTTTAAGTAACTTTTCGATTTGTGACATGGGGGGATTGTTTTGGAAAAACAACAACGCGATTGTTGCCACGAAATTTGTTTATCAGAGCTTCAAAACTATCTCATTACTATGTATGTATACAACCCGACTCTCAAATACCCTGTCCATCCTTAACACTAAATAACATCAACTAAATAACATATGCAACTTAAATTAAAATAATTGTAGAGGAATACTCTTGGGGTCAATGTGGATCTCTTGGCCAGCAGGGTGGGGTTTTTTTTTTGTTCGATGTATAAACTTTAACCTACAACTTTAGCAATTTATCTTACCAGTTTCTATGCACACAAATATTTATTCCTCCGTGTTAATTTGATAATCTTTAAGTATTTTTTAGGCCTTAACATAATATCATCTAGTGAGTGTGGAACCCCTGCTATATCGAGTCCGATATGCTCAATAATCTAAAAAATGTTTTTAAACCCTTGTTCCAATCGATTGCATAAAATTGCAAGCCCACAATAATTTTACGCATTTTGAAACGTATTTTCTGGATGTTCAGGAATAAATTTGCTGGGTGTTGTTATTACAGCTTTGTCTCAACTCTGTACTACACACACACTCACACCCAAGCTCGCATAGGTACACAATTCCGAAGCAAATATACAGTCGTTCACCATTTACGTGAGTTCGTATCCGGTAGAATGTATAAATCGATCAACTTTTGGATTTTTCAATTTTGTTAATTTTTAAAAATTATAGAATTAGTCTACACATACATAGGTCAAAATCAGGGCACCCGACTTCAGCTTTTTCACTTGTTGTAAATAAAGTAAATAAAATAGATTCGTTTCGCACAATTCGTAAAGTCGCTTTTGAAGCTGCGTCCATTAAAATCAATATTTTTTAACCTACAGGAAATATGTTGACAGCCCTTTAGGCTTGACAACTTCCCAACAACTTTCTTCATCCCAAAACTTTAAGGAATATCTGCATTTAATAATTTTGTTTTAATTATAAACCAATATATTTTATGCATTACTTCCCTATGCAAGTTGGAAAAATATTAGTCTATTGGTTGTAATTAATCCAGAGGAGTACTTTGGTGATATACCACTAAGACAGAATTTCGGAAAACTACCAAGAGAGAGAAGAAGGGGTTGGAAAAATGTGTACAATTTCCCGAGAGCTATGTGAATTCGGTCAGAGTAAATAAGACGAAAATATTGATCAAAAAATTGTAATCGATTCTGCCTCCTTTCGTATTCGAACTCATGCGAAGGGAATATAGCTGCATATTTATGTTATATAGCAATTGTATTTATGTGAATATATGTGTGTCTATGTGTGAGCATGTATGCAGTGTAGAGTTGAGCCAAACACCAACAACAACAACATCTGTGGGCAGAGATTACATTTATGGGTACAACTTCCTTTCCAATTGACCTATCAAGATGAAATATGGCATACGGTCACATAATCACTGACTGGAGGTATTTGCCAAATTTGACTCAAAAATTCCAACCATTATGGAAGTTATAGAAAATCACAAATTGTTGGGGAGAGGGTGGGAAATTCCGAAAAAGCATTTTCTTCGTATCCATATAAGGTATCTTGAAATAAAAGTTTGTCTCTAGCTCTTAAAGTCTCTAAGATATAGGTGATTAAAAGAACAGCGTTACGGAAAACCCCTATTAGCGGGAAAGTGGGGGCTGTATCATAAAAATAAAAAAATCTCTTATAGCGTACAAACATAGTGCATCTGTGAATAAAATTTGGTGTTTCTATCTATTATACTATGGTCTGCCTGTTACACTTTTCATATCCCGTAAACCTAATATACTCTTGCACATTTTATTTAAAGAGTATGTATACTTTTTTTAAAATACATTAATAAGCAAAAATGGCATGCAGAACCAACTCTAAAATACCCTGTACCAACTCATACAAACCAACAATTTTAAAAATAGTTTTTCAATTTTACACGTGACCTATAGCGATGAGTGATTTTAGCTCTTGTGCTTTCGGCGGCGGCTTTGTGCGGTCGGCCGTGAAAATACCGACTCGTCTCGACATGCTGATCAATAATATATATACTTTGTGGGGTCTGCCATTCCTCCTTTTGTGTGCTACACAAAACTTACTTAACTAGTATTTCCTTTTACTCTTTGGGTACAGGGTATACAAATATCAGATTGCAGCTTTTGCAGATTGCGAATTTTTCTGGAACCAATCTATCGTGTAAAAACAGAATTAGGTGTATGTCACTATGCTGGTCCCGACTAAATAATAAACAAAAGTTTTACCCAAAAGGGTAAAGGGTCAAATTACCCTTACTTTTTAAGTAGGGCACTAGAAGCTTAGTCGATTCAATTTTGCTTCATCAATTTTTAAAAACAGCTTTTCAATAAAAAAAAAAAGAAAATAATTTAAATGAATTTTTAAAAACGGGGATAGCTGTTCTATCAAAATGCAATCAATTTTCCTATATATGACCCCACCGATTCTCTCATTTGGGCTAATTTAAATAAATTAATATTTGGGGGGCTTGGCGGAACGTCGATATTTCATGAAAGAATTAAATGAACACAGTATTTAAATACATAAATTAAAATTTGTATTTATTTATATGTTTACCAAATTATTTGAATAAAAAAGTTATTCAAAACTATGTTTGCCTAAATTAAAGTTTCGTAATTTTTAGCTTTTTTATACTCTGTACCCAAAGGTTGAAAGGGTATACTAATTTTGTGCGAATGTATGTAACACACAGAAGGAGGCGTGACAGACCCCAGAAAGTAAATATATTCTTGAGTCGATATAGCCATGTCCGTCGGTCCGTCTATCTGTCTGTATGAACACAAGGATCTCAGAAAGTTGAATAGCTAGAATAACCAAACTTGGTATCCAGATTTTCCTAAGTCCGAGAAAGGACGAGTTTGTGTTTTTTTTTCTGATACACCCCCCACTCTCCCGCAATTCGTGTTTTATCCAAAACTCCCGTAATTTTAGAATTTTGTACTCAGATTTGGCCAATACCTTCAGTGATTACGATTACGATAGGCTTATTATGAAGAAAGTTATAGCCATAAATATGCTCTCTGCCGAAGCTCTGCCCGCAGCTGTTGTTGTTGTTGTTGCCGCTTTGACTTATTCCGCATATAAACAGGCATAGACATGATAATGTAAATGTATGCTGTTGTTATGTATGTATGTATTAAATATTTTTTATTTAATTTAATTATTTAAATTTTTTTTTAAATAATTTAATTTTTACAGGGTTTTTTACTGGCTTACTCGACTGTAGCGTTCTCTCTTGTTTTTATACTCTGTACATGAAATGTACAAGAGTATATTAGGTTTGCGCGAGCTGAAAAATGTAACAGGCAGAAGGAGGCGTGGCAGACCCCACAAAGTATATATATTCTTGATCAGCATGGCAAGACGAGTCGATTTAGCTATGTCTGTCTGTCTGTCCGTCCGTATGATCACCTAGATCTCAGAGACTATAAGAGTTAGAGACACCAAATTTTGCACAAAGATGCCTTATGTGTGTACGCTATACGAGTTTGTTTTATTTTTTTGATTTTCCCCCCACTTCCCCCCCTATGGGGGTTTTCCCGATTTTCCATTCGTATAATCGCCTATATCTCGGAGACTATAAGACCTAGGAACACCAAATTTTAGTCCCAGATGCCTTGTGTGAATACGCAGAAAATGTATATTTTGGAATTACCCTCCCTCCCCCCTCTCTCATGCAAATCGCGATTTTCTCTAACTCCCGTAATTCTTGGAATATCGAACGCATTTTGCAAATACCTTCAGTTAGTTATTATGTGTCCGTACGCCAAGTTTTACCATGATAGACCGATTTAACAAGAAGTTATAGCCATAAATATATTTGCTGCTGCAGCGCTGCTCAAGCGCTGCCCGCGGCTGTTGTTGATGCTGGTACTTTGGTTGACCTCACACATGTTTACACAGACACGAATAGATGCGCATAGGCATACATACACTCACACAGACGCAATTGCTAAGTAAATGTGCAATTATATACCATTTACGTGAGTTCGAATACCGAGAAAGGTAAAATGTTTCAAAAAATTTTTTTTTTCTATAATTATTGTAAACATATGTACAGAGTATTTCAAAGTCGGGATACCCGACTTTAGCTTTTTTACTTGTTAAATTATTAGTATGCGGGATATGCCGCACTTCGTGCTTACATATATTCATGCTTCCTAAGGTAAGGTATAAAGGCATCAAAACAGATATTAATCTATCTAAAAACTTCAATTCCTTATAAAAAAGAGCTTCAATTAACGATAAGGCCCCCATGTTAATTTCAATATAAACAAAATGAGAGGGCTAAATTCTTCTGATGCAGATTACAACTATTTGTTAATGCAACGACTTTTTATACCTTTTACATGAAAAGTACAAGGTTAAAATATATACGTACAATCTTGATCAACATGACTAGACGAGTCAGTTTAGCGAACAAACTTTCCTGTACCCGATTCAAAACAAGGCAGCTTATACAAAGACATTCTTCAACTCTGATCGTTCTAATCAGCTATATGAGTAGTCCCTCCGACTGGTTTTGACGAATGTTCTACTAGAAAATAAGAAGAATGTGCATAGATTCAGCGAGATAGCTTTAAAACTAGATGAGCTTATATGGGTCTTTATGTTTCTATAAGCTGGGATCGATCTACATATGTCCGTCTGTCTATCTATCTGTACAAACCCCTGGTAGTAGCGGCTGGGCCCACATTGGCCAAACTTGGTACGTAGACACTCCTAATCTTGGAGTTACGAGGTTATTTTATTTTTTAGATTTTTTTCCCTCCTTCGCCAGGTACGAAACGCTGCGTCAATACTGTCAACAAACTACATAAACAGGACTGCATATCATTAACTATCGGTATTTGAAATTTCATCTAAACTGGGTAGTTCTAAGAAAAAAGGGAGTTCGTTCTTCAGTTTGCTGTGACTGCTCCCGTTTTACAACGCATATAACAATGGTTTTTTTTTAGGTACAGGGTATTGACCGTAACATTCTTGTTTTTCCAAATTTATTTCAAATTAAAAAAAAAAAAAAGATTCATCTATAATACTCTTATAGTATTGAGATATTTCGAATCAAAATGAATATCTGTTTAATATTAAAGCCTGAGTTAGCGATTCATTTCAACGTTTCAACTACTTGACCTAAACTAAAGGATTTATTGCTAAGTGATTTATTTTGTATAATGTGTGGATATATCAGACTTCAATTGGAGAATTAGTACTCTTTGAGTAATGCATAACTTAGCCGTATCTTCGATTTCCAGCTTTATTTTGGCTTTTGAATTCTATATATTTAAACTTCAATTTAAATAAAGGAAACAAATTTCCTACATTTTTTACTGAAACTAAAAGAAGCGCATTTTAAATGTTGAATATTCTGCTCAAATTAAAAAAAAAAAAGCAATAAAAAAATGCTGAATTATCTTGAAATTATAATTCAAACCATTAAATTCTTAAGCTACAGCTTTAAATTTAATTTTTGATCATAAATGCAGAGGAAAAGAAACATGCTTGCAACACATTTAACATTTGCGGGCGCCGTGTTCCTGCAGATCTCAGTTTTCCAGGGTGGTGCTGCTCTCAATTGTAAGCCTGATAAGATTTAATATTAAGCAAGTGCCGTTCCGAAGGACTGCTCGATTGGCAAATTAACGCTGTCGAGAAATCCCAAATTCTGCGCTTCGCATGTTGCACCCCTATTTATAGTGGTAAGGATCCACCGTTTTGTAACTTTTCCTATTTTCCAAAGCTTGGATTGAGTTGAAGCAATAACGCAGACTCCAAGGTAAAGAACTTAGTAACCATGTAATCGGGAGGAGAGGTGATATGTTGCTTTTAAATTTGTAGTCATGAAAGATGACGCTGAAACACTTGACAATCTGACTTAAAGTTGCGAATGTTTCAGAGTGATTTCTTACAATAAGGTATAACTGATTGTTTTATTTCAAGTTGTGCAGAAGACGCCAACGAATTGCAAAGCTACGAGAAAAAGGTAATCTTTGTTTCTATTGTTTCAGTGTGCGGGTCAGAGTGGTCGACTTTTACAGTCTTGTTGATGGAACTGTTCCGAAATTTAGCAAAACACACTGAAGTCCCAGTAATGCATGACAGTACGACTCGCACCAAAGTTTTTACAAATTACTTTTCTATGAAGTGGTGGAGTATTGTAAAAAGAACCATTATTCAGCTGTTGAAAAATCCTGAATTAATGTGCATTTACTTACAATAAAACTAATTTTAACAAATAAAAGTACAAGTTCTAGTATTTAGAAATATTTCATTTTTTATTTCAGGTCACATCATCGGTCGCCATCACCAAAGTCTGCATATAAGCCTAGTAAGGAAAAACAATCTTCAACTAAAACATACAGACCGAAAGTTGACTCGCACGAGCCGCCTCCTCCAGGATTTGAGTCCTTGCAAATTGGTGGCTCAACTGACAGTGATTCACAAAAGAGAACATCGTCATGTCTGGAGCCAGTTAGCGAATCGAAAATGGAAAATCACGAGAACTTTGACGACGAGTTCTTGCCACGTAAAAGACAAAGATCTTCGAGTAAGAGCGAGTTCAATCAACCAGATGAAAATTTCTATCGAGGTCACACTCCGCCAACAAAAGGTTCATCTGCAAAAGTCCCTAAAGGAGATCATATACCATACCAGAGCCCACCCAGAACTCCCAAAAAGGAAATCGACCCTAATTTAATTGACAATTCTAAGCACAGAAAGGAACTGATCTCTAGAACGTTAAGTCCAGACAATTTTGAGCCAAATACCCATATCGGCAAAGAAAATGATGTACAGCTGGACAGTCAACTAAAAGAGCGTAAGAAGAAGAAAAAAGTTAAGTCAGAGAAGAAAAAGAGTAAGAAAGACAAAAAGGAAAAACGGGATAAGAGTAAAAAATCAATCTCGCCGGAAAATAAATCCAAGCAAAGGCGATCACCAAACCCAGAAAGTGGTCCGACGCCTGTAATTGACAATTCGAACATAACAGATATGTTCAGCGAGTCTAATAGTAAAGTAAAGTCCATTATAGGTAATGATTCATGCGGCGATGTAAGTGATCCTGAACCAAAAAAGGAATTAAATACACCTGCTAGAAAAACCCGTGAGAAATCTCCAATCGAAAGATTACGAAGGGTTGATTCTGTTTTAGATATAGAGGGCTATGACTCTGATTTTGGCGAAGGAAATAATGTTTCGAAAAGCAACAAAAAAATTGATGTCGATACCATCCATGTTTCGAAGTGGGAAACAGAAGACAATAACACAAACACAGTGGATCCTTCGAAAAAAGTTGTTTGCAATACGGAACAGGAACATGATGTAATAACATCCGACGTTATCCGTAAAGCCGAAAATGCAATTTTCGCAAAAGCTATAAACGCAATACGGCCCGTCGAGTTCAAAGTAATACTCGATTCAAGGAGTAATAGTAAGGACCGTGCTATATCGATTCGCAACGACCCAAAGGATCGATCAATTTCTCCAAAACACAGCATGTACAAATCAGTCAAGGACAGGCTTGGAAGCAAAGTTGTTCGAGACAAAATGCAGTCACCAAATCATTCAAAAGAAAGGCGAGGGGAAAGCCCACGGAGGAACACAAGAGACGGTAAATACAGGAGTACACCTGAAGACTATAGGTCCAGAAAAAGGTCTAGGAGCTCCAAGGAACGATTCGTAAACACAGACAAAAAGAATGACAACAAAGAGCGTCGGAGAAGCCGTTCATCTGATAGGAATAAACGTGATGTTAAGCCCAAAAGAGAAAGAAATCGGGAGCCTAGTTTGGTCGAGAAACCAAAATATAAATCACGCGATAGGGAACAATCGGAATCAAGACATAACAGAAACAATGACAAAAAGAAATTTGATGATCACGGCGAACAGAATATTTCCAAAAATACTAAAACTGTAGAAAGTCGTGTAATAGTAGCTACAAGACCTTGTCGTCCAGATAATCCTTTCAGAAAATTTGATGATGGCAATGTTTCTAATAACATAATATCAAAACTTGAAAAGGGAATTAGGCACGAGGATGATCAATCAAATTCGGAAGATGAACTAGAAAAAGTAAAAAGAAAAAATAAGAAACTAAAAAAACATTCAAAATGTTCATCAACCGAATCATCACGATCTGAAAGGCGCCTAGATCTAAAAAGTAAACGAAAAAGTAAACTATTAAAAAAGAAAAAGAAATCTAAGAAATAACATTCAAACCATTAATTAATCAATTGTATTAAAATTATGTTACATTATGCTTACACTATATTGTTAAATAAAAATCTTGATATACACTCTTGAGTACTACTTTGTTTGAACATTTAAAAAACCACATACTTCAGAAGTCTCAGAAAAACAATCCCTAGTTTCATTAAAATTTCTTATTTTTTACCTATATTTGGTTTTAAAAGGTCTTATAATTTTTTTAAGAAAGAGGTAAAAATTACTTATAATTTTAAAAAGATCATTGGATGTACCAACCTTAAATAATTATATGGAAAAATTTTTTAAAATAAAGCTTACAATATTTTAAACTAAAATTATCATACACAATTCTTAATTAATAAATGCGTTTAAAATAATCTTCACCCATATTAAATACCAGCTTCGCTTTGGGGTGATGCATCAGAAAATATGTATCAAGTGGAGAACTTTGACGACTACTGAACCATACTGAGCCATACCTCTTTCTGAGTATTACACACATTCACAAGGACATTGTACGAGTTTTGGAAATGGAAAATATAGATATATAAACCTACTCGTAGTACTACTCAAGTCGTTGAATAGTTAAAAGAAAATTTCTTTGCGAGTACCGATTAGGAGACTTCATCCATCAGACGCCACAATGATACACACAATAAATGTTAAAAAACGAAATACAAAAAGTGAAAAGGGTTTTCAAAAAAATATTGAATTGACTGCCTGTTGACGTTGGTCGCGACGACGGTATCCAGTTGCGGCTTAAACAAACATTTAAAAAAAACGAACTATTCCTATTGCAAATAATATTTATTCCAAAACAGCCGGATATATATATCAAATCAAACATTTTGAAATTTAATTTAAAATGTTCAGGCTGTCACTGAGGCCCACTGCCGAATCTATTGGACTGGGTGATCTTGACGTCATAATTTCATTGCAATAATCCTGAGAATTGTTGTCACCTGGAAGAAACAAAAATACAGACGACATAAGTTAAAAAATCAAAACAATCAAATCTGATAATTACTTCTATAAAAATAGTTCTACTACAATGATCCAGAAACTGGGATAGTCTTATAGAGTACATCTAATTATGTTTTTACACGGTTTTGATTTTAAACGGATTGAAAATTAAAAATGTTATATATGGTTACACGACATTATTCCATTTAGCACAATTGAAAATAACATATGATCAATGTCTTTTTTACACGATTTTTTCTGGAACCAATCTACCGTGTAAAACAGAAATATGTAGGTGTACCCTATGATAGAATTATCTTGTTTAATATAATAAATAATCACGAAATCCGATGTTCCGTCAAACTTGGATAAGGTTTCGAAATGTATATGATGCCTCATGATCGACTTGAATTGACATTCCCAGATCAATCTGACTAATTTAAATGACTTTAATTAAAAGTTAAACTTACGGTGTTGATGCATATTGCTTTTTCTGGACTGGTGAGAGACATCCATTGGTGTTGTGTGCAATGTACTTAATATTTTACTATTTGTTTGATCAGCGGTTTCTAAAGTTGTTGGTAGGTCCAATAGTCGTTGATTTTGTATGCCATCGCCAGGCCCCATATGGGAAATGTGATTGAAATTAGTTGGAGCTGATATCATCTTTGACCTCCGATCACTAAAAATTTTAAAAAGAAATAACAAATAATTATTACAGCCTCAATTTTAGTGGACGGCAGTAGAAAAATATACAAGATTTATCCAGTTTAAAGTTATTTTATGAATTCTCATTGTAATTACCTTTTTATTGTTTTGTTGATCTCCCTAATTGAGAATCTTCGCTTTATATTGGTGACACCTTTGCGATCACCGTCACGTGGTTGCAATAATCCTTCTGCAATACAAAGGATACCATGAGCATATATACTACTATCGAAATTTATTCGAATACTTACTTGTGTGTATATTGGCTAAATAAATAACTAGAGGTGTATCGTTCACCGATGTTAATACAATATTTCCGAGATTATTAAGTGGAAGAGATTGCTTCAAGCCAATAGACTGTACCCATTCAGACGTCTGGGTGTTAAAAATGTCCAAGTGGGTGTCAGAAAAAACAAGCAAATGACCATCGCAATATGCTGAAAATAGCAATAGTTATATAATGGGATTTTTATATGACCAATGTTTCGAAAAACCTACTTATGTATGTCGGAAATGCAGGGTACATTATTTCCCTGTCTCGCGATTTTCGTCCTTGTAGGTCTACATATATAGCAAGCGTTTGAAATACCAATAAATATTCTCCGAAATTTCCACCACCTGGGCACAGTATCTCAATGACTCTGATAGCATCAACTCCAGAATAATTTAAGAACGCACACAACTGATTTTCTGGATGTACTAGAGCTATTGAAATAAAGGAATATAACATTTGTTATACATAGTATGGTATATATGGTTTGTTACTTACACATTGCTGTCGCTTCACCTCGCAGGAAGTAGGCAGTGAATCCACTTTGATGGGCCACTACCAGACGCATATCTGACAGGATCTGCAAATGTTGTGCTAGATATCCAATTGTGAATTCGCAGGTCTTCTGATGCCTTGTGCGAGTTCGGTTGATTTCGTAAACAACAATTTGTGTGTGGTTATTTGGGCGCTTCAGGGCAATAATAAATGAATAAACGATGCTGGGGAACCGTCTTATTATTCCGGTACATGCTGATATACAGTTTTTGGAGTCCATAACCTTAATCCACTCTACGTCGCTAGCCTCCAATGCCCTAATGGGCAAAAGTCTTAAATGGCGTTGTTTCCCACACAGAATCACCATTATCTGTTCCTCCTCAATATACCAAAGCTGAAGTATTTTTTTGCTTTCTCCGATACGAGCGATTTCTGCAAATAAAAAACATTAAAAATTCTATTGTTTTAATCGTATTTATGCAATAACACTAATCAAGTCCAATGCAATCCGGTTCAAAAGATCAATGCACTTTCAAACCTATATACAGACGGTAGATATTTTCAGACTGCAGTTCCAGCAGTTCCCATGATTTTGAAATACAATACATACTTGATTCACTTATCTAAATCGAAAATTAAAAGGGATAGACCCATTAATCATACAACTCTAATAGAAACCAATTAATCATACAAAATATTAAATGTAATCGAAATCCGGTCATTAATCAAAAATAAGCATGTGATTGATTTTAAATGAGGACTTCCACTCACAAAAAAAATATTTTTTTGTTCTTCTTTAGGTTTCTTAATGAAATATCGACATATGTTCTTTAAATAAAAATATTGTGGCCGCCCTCCTCTGCGATTCTCATACCAAGTACTTAAGTGATGGCAAATCGAGAATTAAATTGTGAAATTCCTGATAAATTAAATTAAATAAAAAAAATTGTGAAATTTCTGATAAATTAAATACAAATATTGCGACCGCCTTCCTCTGCGATTCTCATACCAAGTACTTAAGTGATAGCAAATCGAAATCTAAATTGTGAAATATCTGATAAATTTAATTAAATAAAAATAAATTGTGAAATTTCTCATAAATTAAATTAAAGAAAAATATTGTGGCCGCCCTCTAGTTGTGAAATTGTTGATAAATTATGAATATTATTTATTGGACCCTAATCCGTATTAATCGTCGAACTACCTAACATTCTAATACATATATACTCGTACATATGCGAAAATATAAAATAATGGGTTTTTAATGAGGGAACTTACCTAATTCATCCAAATTGATGTAAAACAATCCATCTTCTGTTCCCAATAGGATTTGATTTGGGTAAATAATAACGGCACACAATGAATTTCGTATAAGCGTTAGGGTATTATCCAAAATCTCATGAACTTTATAAATGGCAGTATTTGGTAAATTGTTTCGTTTTAGGATACGATGGAGTTCTCCCAAAGCGATGACCCATTTTGATTTCTCAGATTCATTGTCAGCCAACATTAGCGTATTTAAGGAAAGTCCATTTTCAATTAGAGCTGTTTTTATCTGTAAATATTTCAAAATCAATCCCTTGTTAAATGATTTGTTTCTTTCAGATCGAATTGAATAAGTATTTATATCAAATTGCAAATGTTCAACATAAAAATAGTTTGGCGTAGTTGAACTGAGTTCATTAAAAAGGTTGTTAAGTATCAACTAATTAGGTATCCTAAATTAATAATATATATACCTTGAATATACATGGCACATCTTTCTTGGCAGCATGAATGACATCGCTTTCTCTTACGCTGCCGACTGAAAATTCGGGATCCCGCATATCTAAAACTTGCGATACACTCACACTTGGCAAGGCGCATCGATCGGGTGTTATATCATATAGAAATAGCTTAAAGTCACAAACAACTACAAACTGACGAATCCATCCCCGTTTGATGACTCCTGACTTTGGAACCTTCACATATCCTTCATAGGCAGTTCCGATTCCTCTCGTAGGATCTATACCCAATGGCCTTTTCGTTTGATCAACGGGAACTGGACATATAGTGGGGACCTTTTGGCAGCAAACTGTGTGGCATGCAAAGCCGCAGAGCTCGCAAACTACTCCTTGCCTTGTAAGTCCAACCATTAAGGATGTACAATGGTTACACTTTGTGGGACTGCTGAATGTCCTTACAAGGAACTGATGAATTGCCGTATTGTTTTCATCCACGCGTTGTGATTCCACAAAGTTAAAGTCCCTGTCTGATCTTGATGTATTGTTCGAGTCTGTATCTTTTATACCTTTAGATAACTCCTGGGAATTTCCGAACCCATACTTTGATTCACAATCAAAAAGCATTTCAGAACCAGCTGTTTGAAAAAGTTTCGAGGCACACAAAAAATTATCTCCTGTATCAATGAAATAAGAGTCCTGTATGTTTCCGCTATCTGAGTTTTTGGACATATCTTTGAACATAGAATTGTTTAGTCCATGGGATGACGGCTTATCCAAAAATGATTCTTTATAATCATGACTTTCCTTTTTAAAGTCACGAAGCTCACTTTCTTTCTTCTGCAAGTCATATAAAATCGTGTCACATCGTTTTTTGTGATCGCGTAACTCCTTTTGTGTGGATATTAAATCTGCTCTAGTCTGACTCAGCTCCTCTGAAATAGTAGCCTTGGCTTGAATTTCACGTTGAAGGGCGCTTTGTAAGTTAAGGAGCTCCATTTTATCGAGTTTCTGCGACCGCCTGTTTCTCCAATTCTTAGGATCTACTGTGCTGTTGTTAAATGTTCCTGCATGCTTTAGATATTCTAATTCCTCAGTCATTTTAGTAGCGAGTGCTTGAAGGTAGCTTCGAGCGTCCTTTTCATCGGAGACCCACTGAATTATTTCTCCCATTTGGCGTTCCCATTGGTTGATCGCTTCACGCTTTACACGCAACTCGTTGAATATTTCGTCATCTTCCGCCTGTAGTTCCTTCAAACTCTTTGACTTGAAGTTAACTTCTGAGCTTAACTTTAGTTTCTCCTCAAACCATACTGATTTCTCCAATTCGTGTTTCTTTTTTAGTTCGGCAATTGTTTCTGCTGAGTCTGTGTTAGATTCGGATTGATTCTGTTTCAATTTCTCTTGAGCTTGCTGTAATTCACTCAAAAGTATTGCATTCGAATTCTCGTACTCATTAAGTGTATCTCGCAAGGACTCCACTTCTAAATTGTGCCGAGATTGCTGATGATTAATTTTTTCGGTATATTGTACCTCCAAGCGTTCAATTTCATATGTAGAGATGTCGGAAGAAACACTAATTGGAAGAGATGTGTCCAAATTCGATGTCGATTTTCGAATGTCCAGTTGCATTTGTCTGCAACACTCCTCTGCTCGTTCGCGCAATTTCTTTTCCTTTGATGCTTCGATGACAGCGTCTTCAACATGAAGTTCCAATTCCCTTCTGTGCTTATCGGACTTTCGCAGTTCATTTCTAAGAACATCGTTCTTTTGCATAACACCGTCCAGTTCTTCCTCTTTATCCCTAACTTGTCTAGATAGTTTTTGTTTTTGATTACGCAGCTCAGCCAATTTTTCAGTTACTTCGGAATATTCCATCATTGCCAGATTTCGCTGGGAAATAGCATCTTTTAGTTCGGATTCTTGTATTTGAAAACGTTCCAAAACTTCATTGTACTTTTTGGATATTTCAATTTTTTCATTCTTTAACAAAATAACTTGATCCGATAAAGCTTTTAAACGACTCTCTTGACCCGAATCCACAGAACTTTCCATTCCTTTTGTCGGCTCACTACTTAAAAGGCTTCGCATCTCCTCTGTATTATGAACGTTTTCGTCAGGCATACTAGCCGTGCCACAACTATCGTCGTCTATTTTTAAAAGCCTGTCTGCTTTTCCCAAATCCGATAAGTAGCTATTTTGTGAAAATGTAAATCCGATAAAAGGCAAATGAAACCCAGAAAATGCCGGATTCGATGTAGGCGGCAATGTGTCGGTCATTCTGACATCATTATCGTCGACATCGAAGTTAGATGTGTCTGTTGGACTTGATACTTCAGGAACATATGGAGCGGGCCCACATCGTATATTTTCCCAATCTATTCCTTGGAACCAAGGGTGATCCTTAAAATCTTGTAGTCCTTTCTGTCCGAGGCGGTTTTCGGGTATACAAATCAGCTTACAGAGCAAATCTTTTGATGAATCAGATATTTTGTAATTAAGATTTTCTTGAGATGGGAAGTTAAAGCAATTCTGATGATTCATTATCTTTCCGTATGTCTCTACCAAGCTTTCTGCGTAAAACGGAGTTTCTCCATAGAGCATTTCATACATGCACACTCCAAGAGACCACCAATCGCATTCGGTTCCGTACCGGCCTTTTCCGTCTTCCATTGCTCGCAAAATCTCAGGCGAAATGTAGTCCGGTGTGCCTACAGCAACATTCGACTGAACAGTCCCATCATTATCGAGTCGTAGACAGGACCCAAAGTCCGCTAATCTAACATGTCCCCTTTTATCCAACAAAACGTTATCCGGCTTTATGTCCCTATGGACATATTTAATTTGGTGTATGCTGTGAATCGCTAAGATCATTTCTGTTATATAGAATTTTGCCATATCTTCGGGTAGTTTATCCTCAAATTTGCTTAGTAATGTTAACAAATCTCCACCGCAGTAATAGTCCATAACAAGATACTGAAATGGTTTAGAAATCAATATTATTTATAACATTATGATGATATTTAAAATTAGAATTCATATGTAAAATGTAAAACCAAGTCATGAAAATGATTAGATCACGTAAAGACTACCAATTTGAAAAAATTAAAATCGAAATGAAATTATAAACATACCAGATTAGTATTGTCTTGAAAAGCGTAGTGTAGGTTTGTTATCCATTGACGATCTCCAAAGACCAACACATCTCTTTCTTCCCGGAAACATGCCGTCTCTGCACGTTTTAGCATCTCCCATTTGTTCAATATTTTCATGGCATAAATTTTCTCCGAAGATATCATTTGAACAACACAAACCTCACCAAAGGCACCACGTCCAATAATTTTTAAGATGTCGAAATCATCGCGTGTCAGGCGTAGCTTTCGCACAAGGTGTACGACAGGCTTGGCTGCAATGTTTAAGAACAAATTTGTTTAGATGTTTGTGTTCACCTTACGGTTTATATCAAATTTATTTATGGTGATTTGTTCAAGATAAAAATTTGTATCGTAAAAATACAAAATCTTTCCTATAATTACATCTGCTATGAAATATTTTTGAAATTATTGTTATTAATTTTTAAAAAACATAACACTTTAAAAAGAGGATTGGATTGTTTGTTACTGTTTATTTCCTTAATGCGGATATATCATCATTAATTACAATAAGGCTACTGTGGAAATACTGGAAAAATATTAATATTATCATTGATGATATGCTCCTCGCCAAATGAAAAAGGTCTTTAAGATGGCCATAAGAAGTCATGTGATGCTTACATTTTGAAATACCTCGTTGAAATAATAAAGAAATAGCGGCGATAGGTATTAAATGCACAATATATTACCGCAATGTGGAAAGATGGTTGATAGTGTCTTAAAAACAAAAAACATGCATAATAAAAAAGCTCATATACCATATAGTATCGCCTCAGGACGAATTGTACACTAAATTGTAACATGGGCCCTTGCAAATATGTATATATACATACATAAGTATTTCCTAAGAGCTATATTACGCAACATAATATGACAGTATGGACAGCAATTAAAAGAAAACGCAATGATTTTTCAGTTACAGGCTACTTTATAAATACATATATACATTTATAATTTCTTAAAGTTTTTATATTTACAGTTAGATTGTGGTTTTCGTACAAAATAAAAAGGCACAAGAAAAAATAATAATCGCATATTTGCTTGTACGCAAGCAGTCCGGGCAGAGTGTGTTTATTAAACAATCAGTGTAAGGATTCGTCGAGTTCCGGGGGAAAACATCACTTGATCAACTCCCAAACACTTCCCCAGGCCAGGGTATTATTGTAAGAAAATAAAATATATTAATAACACTAATATACAATATTGAAAATCCATTCACCTTTTTACATATATGTACATATATATATTTTTAAATCTAAAAAGAGACGCATCTCTTGAACAAAACTTCACATCACATTCACATTTCACATACAAATGAATGTACTTTAACTAAAAAGCGCAATAACAATTTTTTGTCATCCCCGAACTACTAGATACCATTTTAAGAAGCTGATGCAACATAATTTTTGTTTATATATAGGTTTAAGACGGCGCACGATTACCATAAAGACATAAATGGGTTTGTATTTTGTAAATAATTCGTACTTACATAGTTTAAGAAAATCCGACACGCTCTTTTCCCGACGTAGAGATGAGTTACTACATTCATCATATAGTACAATCAAAGTATCCAATAAAGCATCTAAGGAAAATAGGCTACTTTTGGTATGGTTCCCTAGATTGTATTTCGTATTTATTTTTTTGTCGCTTCCTGAGGAAGACGAGCATTCGCTTAGAATACATTCGAGAAGTTTCAGCCTCTTATTACAGTTCTCAGTGACACTATCTGCAATATTTTATAAAAAATGATTAATTGATTAGTAAAAAATGTATTTAATGTACAGTAACTTATGTTCATTTAACTGCAGGAAATTCTCTAGTTCTGGCTAAGTCATATTTAACAAGAGAGCATGCTACTACTTTGCAAGCCCGACAGTGAAATACCCTGTCCCCAAATGAACTCCTGCCGTTGAGTTACAGCACCCATAGCAGAAGTAGAGTTCGGTTTGTGGGTGTAGTACTGGAGTAAAATAACTTTTCTTAAAATTTATCAATGTTAATAAAATTGGAAATAAAATTAGATTGTACATATTATTTACGTGTGCAATATGTGGTTTATGTATATTTGGAATTATGGCCACTATTGACAAAGAGTAGTGAATTCGAAAAAATAAAAGCTCGTGTTGCCTAGGGACTAGGATAGTTTTAAATAACGCCTCATTTTTTGTATTATTAATTATTTAGTAATTACTTTTTATTATAATATAATTATTTTTATTACTTTTAATAGTCAGGAATATTAATATTACGCTAAAAGTATTCCTTTCTTACAGGATACCTATTATTTAAATAAACTCACATATTGCAAGTCTTGACATGTTAAATCATGTTAAAAACATCGAGGTCTAAAGTATTGGGAGATCAATACGGTTAATCGGACCACTATTTAAGAACAAAAGCTACACCCATCTTAATTTCAGATTTATTACTCTACTTAAATATATTATACCCTTCAATTTAATTTCTCCTTTATATTTGAAGCTTCGTAGTTATATTAAAATAAGTTTGCAATTTTTAAAAAGCCGTGCTACTCATTGGATAGTATTTTTTGAATAAGGAAACATTAACTTTAACATTATAGAATAAGCTTAAAAAGCTGTCGGTTCAAAAAAGAAATGCACCAATGTACTACGTACATATGAATGTGTGTGCATACTACATAGTCTACATTTATATGTATGTACATATTTAGGTGCGTACGCAAACATACATATGTATGTAAGTGATTATTATATTATTGAGTGATTTACTTGCTTTAAGAAGCTCATATCTGTTAATGCACACATTTAAGTTACAAACACACATGTAGCTAAGCAATTTAATATTTTTATTTGTACATAAGTGTCAATAGATATGTACGTTTATATGTACATATGTATACAAATCCCTTTGTGTACATATAAATATTATATGAATAAGTGAACTTGTGCTCATTTTATAGCGCAGTTAAGAATATGCCAACATTAAATTATAAATTACCACCGAGCTCAGATAATGAAGTTTCATAATCCATTTTAATTGTGTTTGTTTTGATTATTCACATTTTTTAGTGTAAAAGCCGAAAACTAATATTTCGATATACATATGTATTACTAAAGATGAAACTTATACGATAATAATCTATCGATTACTTTTACATAACTATGAATTTGCAAACATACGATAAGCGCAAAACATCGAAAATGTTTTTAACTTACCGCATTAGCATCTAACAAGACCTGAATAAACAAAATGGAAAGAAACATTTTTTTTTTGTTAAGTTACCACGATACCCTTAGGTATTGTGGGATTATTTGGCCGCCCACTTATAAAGCTAATTTCTAATGCTTACATTTATTTGTGAAGTAAATTTGTAAACAAAAATTGCAGAGCTATTTTCGGCATATCAATTACCTACCATTACCTGTGTATCATTTGATTGAATCGTGATTAGAGATTTAATTTATACCTCCAGTCTATTAAGCTTTGATATTATCATTGAGAAATGAATCTTCAACAGATATCTCAAGATTTTCTTTTAAAGTGTTAGGTGTTTCTTTTTGGAATCCCTTTCTTCGTTATACATGCATATTAACGCAGGCGATGCATCGAAGAATTTGAGCCTTGATCAAACAAAGCTATTTAAAAAACCAGAATAAGCAGTTTGAGATCCGTATTAAGTTTTTAGCTACAACTGATATATTTTTGGATTCGATTTTAGATTTTGTCTCATACTTCGTAGGTTTATTAATCAGATAAAATCAGATCAGCGCTCCTCAGTAGAAAGCACGTTTGTGTGTATGTGAATTATTGAGAGCTTTCATCTATTCACGGATTAGTATAAATTTCATTATGTTGGCACCCTTCATAATGTAAAACAGTATATAAATAATTGTAATTTTAGACATCTTCTTTATTAAATACCATTCTCATTCTTTATAGAAATAGGCTAAGTCTTAACTTAATTTATTGTATGTAGGACACTCTTAGATATAATGTTTTTGAATGTTATTGTTCATAATAAAAAGAATACCATGCATATATTGATCTAAAATAAATAATTGCCAACTAATTTTACTTTTGTTACGGAGGAGACCACTCATTTATTTGGTAACTATTCCCTAGATATGAGTGCTGTCGAAAAGATTCATTTGTTGGGGGTGAATTTACAACTGGAGTCCAATGCGGTCTTGGAAAAGGATGTGAATTTACATACGCTGAAGACCCACTGCCGTATGCGGCCGATGAATGAATGTTTGAATGGTACGGAGCATAATTAAAAGGACTATATGGAGCATACTCATTAAGATGATAGTTCGTTGTTGTGGGCTTATTCTTATTGTCGTAATAGTCGTAATATTGAGGGGGAAATGTGTGTTGAATATCCCTATGAAAGTAGGTATTCTCACTAACTTTTTGTTCAGAAACGCCTGGCTGAGTAATTGGTACACTAGATTGTACATTAATAGAATTATTAAAACCTTCACTAGCTGAAGACATTTGTGATTGGTGCTTATATGGTTGCTGTGATTGTGAGTAGTCTAATTCTCGTTGCATCTGGTGTTGCGGTTGAGGCCGGCACTCGGAGGTCTGTGGTTGATTAAGACTTTGCTGGTGTTCCATCTCATTATGGTGCTCCTGAGTCCTAGTTTCTGTAAAGGCAGGAGTCGGTGCGATAACCTGATTAACTTCTTCATTTGTTTTACTGTCCCTTTTTTCCCCGTTACATTTATCTTTTGAATTGTCTGGAAAAATGTGAAAAAAGGTTAGGCATGTTCATAAATATGTAATTAAATGATATGCGTATTAATATCAATTACAATTAAGATAGTACCTAGTTCTGACGACTTCTGTTTGGGTGTGTCATTATCGCAGTCAGATGTAATATCTATAACATCCCCTTTGCTGTTTTTGTCGCAGTCGGTAGGTTTTGTTGTAGTCCTTATAGCAATAATCTTTCCGCTATCTAATTGCATATATATGCCTTTTGATGACTTAAGCACCATCACTCGTTGTCCAGCCTTAAGGATTATATTCGCCTTTTCGGATGAATTTGTTGGTATAACGACATCTACAAAGGAAAGATAAAATGCGTTTTTCATCTGAGATCGACATGTATCTATTTATTAGATTCTAAAAGCTGCACTTACCAAGGGGTAACGTCATCTCTTGAGCGGTCATTCCCTGTCGTTGCCACACTTCAGCGGGAATCCATCGGGTCGAGCGGCCTCCGGAAGCAGCATTGTTTGTTTTCTTTGTAGGCATTGGTCTTATCTGCAAAATATAAAAAATAAGGTTAATATAATATTCAATAGAAAACGTAATTCAGAGTGATGAAATCATCATGCAATTTCACAGGGATTATCAAAATTATTTTAATTTTGTAGCTAAATTTGAGTATAGGTCAGCTTTTGAAATAACTTATAATTATGAATTCAATACTTGCGCAGTGATTAAATTGGATAAATTCACTAGTTTTTGTATCTTATTTGAATACTTACTGATGCTACTGGACGAGTTATAACAGTTCCGTCATTGTTTACAACTTTATAATGCATTTTTCCAGGCGTGTATGCCAATTTTTGATTTACGCTGGCCTTCTTTTCCATTTCATAGCTCCGATGAGCTTGTCTTTTTTCAGCTTGCGATAATTTTCTATCTTTTCGATCGACCAATAAACTTTCATGGAAAAATGGATCTTTCGTAATGAATTCTTTGTGTCGAGCAATTATTGTATTTATTATAACATCCGAATGATTTTTTGCTGACGGTTTCGAATCCTCTTCCACTTCATCTGCATTCATGGGAGATGAGGTATTTAAGGTGATGTTTTGTTTCTCTGGAATTATGGCAGTTTCTTTGCTTTTCTCGACCACCGTTTCATCGTCCGAGTCATAGTCGTGACATAAATTTGTAATATCTTTAATCGACAGATGGGCTTCGGGATTACATTCGTCTACAATTCTGTCTGACATTCCTTGTTTTTTAATTTGTCTGTCATATATTTTCTTCTCTAAGCACTTATCCATTACAATTCTGTATACATAACATTGTTTTCTTTGCCCATATCTAAAATTGTCAAATGTAAAGGTTTAATTATAAAAATCGCGAATATATATCATTTTAATATTTATTTATAATAATAAATTATATCTATCACATACCTATATATTCTATATACAGCTTGTGTATCATGACAAGGATTCCAGCTTGCATCAAAAATTATTACTCGATTCGCTCCTGTCAAATTAATACCCAAAGAGCCCGCTCTGGTAGATATTAAAAATAATTTAATATTTGTATTTGCATTGAATTCGTTGACCAGCCTTTCTCTTTCTTGGGATGAAGTGGAACCATCCAAACCTTAAAATATAAGCAAAACTTAAGTTTATGAAAATATAATCTAAGGTACAAAATAATACTACTTTTTACCAAATGAAAAATAATCACTTAGAATAAATCTGGTTTTTACTTACGGAAATATGAAATGTTTCGTGTCCAAAAGCTGTTGGTTCCTGGAACATAGCTTGTTTTTAGAAATCCTTCTATCAAATTCAAAGTTAAAAGACTTTGACTGAACAACAGTATACGATCGCCCATATATATGCTTTCTTTCAAAATGCAAAAACAAATTTCCATTTTCGGAGAATTTGATATTTGTCCGGGAATGTAATCTTTCATTAAATCCACGGCCCAGGAACATGAGAATTCATCATTTCTCCTTGTCTTCAGCACCTGCCTATTAATTTCGGAGCCTATACCGCTGGAACCCTTAGTAGTTGGCGAATTACCGTCTAGAAATTGGTTTTTGCTAACGTCAACATATTTCTGTTGGAGTGTAGGGTTCGACTGTATGGTTGTTTCAACAGTTTTGATTTCGTTTGTGTCCAAGTCTACTATTTCGGAAGAGCCGGTAAGGTTCTCAAAATCTTTTGCTATATTAGAATCGGTCTGCTTTATCAAGACTTCAACACAACTGGGCTTAGAAGGTATAGTTGCATCCAGCCAATAGTTTCCCTTTGCATAGGAATTGAAAGTATTTAAATGATTCAGCTGATCTTCCTTTTCCACATAGAGATTAGCAGATGTCCTAATTAGAAGGTGTTAAAACAATTGTACATATATTAAATGTTATAAAAATAATAAGTATAATAAGTTATACCAACCTTTTATTGGAGGTTTCAGATAAATCTGAAGATGGACATACATTCAACAGTTCTCCATTCTCTTCTGTTGTTGGTGGGTTATCCAACTTAGGAGGATTTATAGGAGCGGCACAAGCTGCATTATTAGTTTCTATCTTCGGTGAAATAGTTGGATTGTTTAGGGGCAGATTAGTATCCACTGCTGAGATTGAACTGGTCTTTGGAGGATCTTCATCAATTTCTAAATCTAAATCAGTCTCACACTTTTTTAGAAAGTTGTATAATACATCTGGATGATTCCAAATTTTGCAACAAACTGCAAATGCTTTTAAGGGATTTGGAAATGCCTTTTTTCTGACAACGTCAGTCATAAACGTGTCATAAAGCTTTCGTTGGAATGGCGTCATTCGTACAAGTATAACATACTCCAATTTCTCTGGCAAAGTGCTTTGCAAAACGATATGGGAACGCCGCTGTACAAATCCGAGCAACAAAGAATGCAGCACGTGAGCTCTATATCGCATTAATTTTATATCATCGGGAGTGGAATCAACACACTGACCATTTTGTATCGGTCTTTCAAACATATTGCAAAATTCCGTTCGTGTGCCCAGATAATTTGGCCGAACAAAGTCTACCATACACCAATACTCCAGTAAGTTGTTTTGTAAAGGATATCCAGTTAACACAATTCGGCGGCGCGTACGTATCTGCTTCAGGGCCAAAGATATGCCCGCATGAGAGTTCTTAATACGATGCCCTTCATCACAGATAACCAGATCTGGCCCAGGCTTTACAAGGGCATCACAAACCACATTCATAAGATCTCTGTGGGAGTCCATTCCGTCGGAGCCATAAATGGATTTTCCCTTTCTTTTACGGGTAGTAACTAACTTTAAAGCTAATAAACGAAACAACTCGTAGCCGATCAGAAGTACTCCTCCATTTTGTGCCCAACTCAGAATGACTTTAGATCGGGCAGTAAGAGTTTTCTGTTGATCATTTAGAACATAAATGTCGAAGTTACGTGTACGAACGTTTTTATCATCGGATTGACGGGGAATCCACATGTTGAATTCACTCAACCAATTTTGCAACGTATTAATGGGCATTACACATAGTACTGTTTTTGCAGGTGTGTGTCTTAAAAATATATCACAGAAAGAAACAACTTGTAGCGTTTTTCCTAGACCCATGGAGTGGGCAAGTATGCATCCAAAGCCGCTTGATTTTTTGAATCTTCTCAAAGACTCAATTATGTTATCATATAAGAATCTTACGCCACCGATTTGATGCGGTTTTATTACTTTAGCTATCTGTGGAGCCAAATATAAAGTTTCTTCACCTTCGGGGTGTGCAATATTAACTACTACGCGACCATACTCGTCTGGTATATTATAAGCATCTTTCACATGCATACCACTATTCGTAGCATCTTCAGGTTCATTGTTGTCTTCCTCCTCCTCTTCTTCTGACAACAATATACAATCGTCATCGGAGCTGTCTTCAATAGTTACAACTTCACTTGCTGGTCCGCCGCTAATAGCTTCTTTGTTTAATTCACTGTCAATGCCACAACTAAAACTACTGTTTGTTTCATCACATGTTACTGATGTTGAGTCTTCCTCTGGTATGCCAATCGGCGTATCATTTAGATGATTTGGCAAAGAATCACTTTCCAATGGTTCCGTATCATCTAATTGCAAGATTCGGAAAAACTGTTTGTTAACGACTTGTTTTTGAATTTCACGCAATGATTTTTGTTGCCCCGCTACCCGAGCTAAACGTTCAGATTCTTCCCTTTGAGCAGCAATAGTTGTGGTATCCAAATTTTTTTCGTTCATTACATCGCGGATATTTTTACGCAAATGAAGATTTTTCTTATCCTCATTGTTTGGTACAACACCTTTTTTTAATGTTGGATTTTCGTCCATTAAGGAATTTTTGCGCTTCTTCCCATACGTTGGCGGTGTCGGATTTGTTGCCAAATCATTATTGTGCTGGGGAGGTGGTCCATTTAATCCAATTAAGGTTTCAGATGAATTCTCCAAATTAAATGTTGGATTAGTGCTCGTTTCCAATGTAGAGCTTGAAGTTTCATTAGAAAGTATGTCATTAGAGCTTTTTCCGGGTACTCTATCTAAGACATTGCCTTGTGGATTGTATTGAAGAAATTCATTCGGGCATGCATCTGACTTGTACAACTTTTGACACTCACTTAAAGTTGACATGCGAAGGAATGACTGCGTTTGATCATCCATTTTTAGTCTGCAAAAATAATTGTAGTGTTAGATTTATTTCTTTGTTAAGTTATTGTTTGTTGTTGCCGATTTCGTACCTTAGCCGAAATAAACTTCAGCATTTTATGTCAAATAAAGATGTACATTGTATATGTGATCGTCAAATCTGCGCCATGATCAGAGCAGTTTTTCGTTAAGTTTTTTAAATATTTGTTTAAAATGTTTGTATTTCAGTCGATATACATATTCGTACATTTTAGCTTTTTATGCCAAATTCATTTGAGATGTAATTTGGACGTAAGAATTCGAATAGTAGCCAATGATATTTTGGCTTAAAGTGGAAGGGTGAGTCGATTATTTTTGGTTTTTTGTGTACTTGGTTCAGATAGAAATTAATGAACAAGCAAGTGCATTGTCCTTCATTCACCTCGCTATTAAAATATCATTTTTTTAAACCTGTAGTCAAATTATTATTTGTGATTTGCCATTAATTAAAATAGTTACTCTGATGTATGTATCTAAGTACTTATGTATATAGATTCATATATTACAAGTCCACACAAATGAAGTACATAAGTATATACGTACATATGTACATACATACAAATGTAAATGCATTTGCATCTTAACACCTATGTGAAGGCTTTTTACATGGCTTATGTATGTACATATATAAACAAATTATGTTGCACATACATGTGTTCTATTTTATATATATTTTTGATAATGCCAGCATTACATTATTCTTATGTACATATGTATGTCTATGCATATCTAGTGTACACACAATATAAGATGATATGTAACAGCGTTGCTTTTTAATGAGGCAATTTTATATTCCTCCAACATATGTATGTACATACATACGTGTTTTGGGTACATAAGCCCACAAACAAAATTACTTATGTACATACATAAGTACGTATATACATACATACATATGTATTATGTACCAAACACTTACTATATTTACACGCAAGATACACACTAATACACAATTTATTACCTCTTTGATTTATCACGACTTCAAGCACAATTCCATCAGTTCGATAGAGAGATATGTTATTTAACGACTATTTTCAACTTATACACAGCCGGCAAATCATATTCCCATCCACATCTGTAGCAATACTTTGTAAAACTGCAGAGAAACTCATAAAGTTCTGACTGACTTGAGCAACATGGAAATCGCTGTTAAAATACAATTCGATTGCACTCAACCGAGCTAGGCATGATTTAACAAACTTAAATTTTTTCGGTTCTATTTGTTTTAAGTCATATTCAGTTATTTTATTATTTCTCACAAACACAAAATATGTATGTATGTACAATTCTTTTGCATACTTTAATATTTAAAAGTTGTTCCTACGGTCAGTCGGCATTATGTGTGTATATCAGAGCCCTGAACGATTCATATTATCAAGGAGGTGCTACACGTTACGATGTGAACAAAATGTTAGGAAAGTTATCGAATTGATGTGGCACACAATTCCTACATAGACAAGAATTAACATTATAGTTAAGAGTTGACAAACATATTCCTTAACAAATATGTTTGTATTGTTATTATAACAGATTGTTCAGATGCCTAAAAATCTAATAAATAGGATATTTATTTATTTTTTTGATATTTGTTTGATATTATTATTATCGCCATTTTTAAGGAACTATTCATTCCTTGTAATATTTTATACATAAAAATCATATAGGAGACTAGAGTAAATGTTGCCTTTATGCTGCATAAGAATGCACTTATGAGAACACACATAAAAGGTCGGGCTCGGTTGATAACCCTTCAATTGCAAGACACTGTTATCGCTTTAATACAACAGGGTGGGGGCGACCAGAAACACATTTATGACTTAGATCATGAACGTACCGAACTAGTTCATATTGGACCGACACAACCACGACTCTAATTAGTATAAAAAAGAAAACAATGCAAAACCTGTTCTCTTTAATTTCTTATATATATAAAAGAATTTACGGTGTCTCTGTGCTGTAATTTATTTATTATACCCATCTCTAAAACCAAATGATTATATGCGTGTGTTTTATTTTACATTTAAAGGTACGTAAAGTTGTAAAAGCACCGTACCCAACTTCGTAATTGCATATGTATGTAAAAATGTATCCGCCTGTATATTTCGATAAATAGTAAGGAAAATAAAAAAGTAATCAAATGATCGCGATTATGTGCCTAAATTAATATAAAATGTTTTAAGTATACTTTATAAATTTGTATGTAATACATATTACATCTGTGAGCGTACTACATGTATGTATGTATGTACATTGTGTGAAAAATCGATATTTGTTTTGTTGTTTTTGGACTGCGCAAAATCTCTTTTATTTGGATTACGACGCCCAGTTTTATTTGTATGTACATGGTATGTATGTATGTACTTATTTAGATATGGTCGTGTATGCATCAATGCTAAAAAATTTGCGTTGACAATGAGTTAAACACATCGTATGAATGTGTGTATGTATCTACGTATGAATGTACATATGTATGTACGTACACGCACATTAATTTGATTTTTTAAAAATTTGGCTAACTTCCTAAAAGATTGTTACAGTTTGTTGTTGAATTTTTATTACTACTTTTTATGAAAGGACGAAAGGTAGGAAATTCGAAACAGTCTTATTCCGCCTTAGAAATACATACATACATACGTATATTTTTTTTAAGGGAAAATATTGGAAGAAGGTGGTTTACTTCGCCGTATATTAGGCTATGTTTTGAAATCAACCAATTATAACTATTTCTAATGGAATCTAATCGTTCCAATGTTGACAAAAATTACTACATTTAGACAATACAATCTCACATTCATTTAAAATTGCCTCATATCCATGAAGATTCAAATCTTCATAAGGCTGTGAACTGGGCCGAATGTGAAAGCAATTTCCCTCATCGAGACGAAGTTGTTGTACAAGTATTGTTTAAAAGAACAATTTAATTTGTACTATTTATTTTTGATCGTCAGAAACTATTTGGCAATGTTACTTATTTAAAAAAAAAAAGTGTGGTAGCTGAAAAATAATAACTAATAGATAAATGTAGTATAAAAAAAAAACTTTTTAAACAGCTATTTTACTTAATCAATATTGCTTTTCAAAGAACAAGATTCTGATTCACGTATGAACATAAAAAATATGTGTGTGCGAAAAATGTTCGTATTCTATGTTTTTAAATTTTAAATAACAAAATAATATTTTACTTAATTCACTATATCATCGATTTTTGTTGGTTGTAAAATTGATGTATAATTCCTCTTCATTAAAATTATGTCGTGTTAATTGTCTTATATTTTAAGATCGCAAACAAATTGTAATATGAATCCCTCTCAAAATGTAAATATGGAGCCAGCGCTGGTGCCGGATGCTGGGCAACTTCAAACTCAATATACTGCATTTCAAAACTATGAGCAATATACCACCGGGTATCCGAATGCGCCTATTTACATCACAAAGCCACAAGGCATTGGAGCCATACAACGTGTTGGCCCTCATTGTTCGGTTATTGGATCTCAAACTCAAATTGAAACCACTTCCCAGGATATAAGTTTACCCGGTATTGAAAATCACACGATGGCTCCAGCAGTGAGATATATACAAGCTGCCCAATTTGATGAAGTACCAGATTATGGTATATCTGGATTGCCGTCATGCGCTGTAGAGCCTCATTATACGGATGAATCAATTGTTCCGTACGGGTATACAACAGAAGCTAGTTATGGATTGCCAAGTGTGAGTGGAAATATGAAGCCATATGCTGCGAGGCCGTTCGACGACAACCTAAACGGGTCGGAGGTTGCCGGTGATGCTCATTGCATGCCGTTCGATGGGCAAGGCGATTTTAAATTGCCCCAATTTCCCATTAACTCATTAAGCGCTGTGCCTTCAAGAATCGGTGAAAAAGACGAATTTATTGGAGGATCTGACAGTGATATTTGTTCAACAATGAGGTGGCGAGATCCAAATCTGTCGGAAGTTATAAGCTTTCTTAGCAATCCAAACAATGCTATAAAAGCAAATGCTGCGGCATATCTACAGCATTTGTGTTATATGGATGATCCAAATAAACAACGTACTAGAACATTAGGAGGAATTCCACCCCTTATCCGTTTGCTATCATATGATGCTCCAGAAATTCATAAGTAAGTGATTTCAAAAATATGTACGTTTTGAAAACTTCATGACATGATGATGAAATATTTCAGTCCAAGAATTACTGCTTAAATTATTGAATAATTTGTTACAGATACTGTGGTCTGATTTTCCGTAATATACTTAATGAATTGCAACCTCTATTTATTATATCAACATACCTAAACCTTCAGTTGAATATGCGGAAATACCTCCAATTTGTTTTTTACAAAATTGGAAATATTTCGTCATGAACATTTTTTTTATATCAATCTTTAATATAAACTTATATTAAAGCAACTTTTTGTTTTCATAGAAATGCGTGTGGAGCTTTGCGTAATTTATCCTACGGCAGGCAGAATGACGAAAATAAACGGGCAATTAAAAATGCAGGTGGGATAACAGCATTAGTTAATCTGCTTTGTCGGTCTCAGGAATCAGAAGTGAAGGAGTTAGTTACTGGAGTTTTGTGGAATATGTCCTCTTGTGAAGACATAAAACGTTCAATTATCGATGAAGCTCTATCTGCAATAGTTTGTAACATTATAAAGCCACATTCCGGTTGGGATCCTGCCTGCTGTGGGGAGACATGTTTCTCGACCGTTTTCCGAAACGCTTCCGGCGTATTGCGTAACGTCAGCTCAGCTGGAGAACACGCGCGAGGATGTTTACGCAACTGCGAACATTTAGTTGAATGCTTGCTTTACGTAGTAAGAACCGCTATTGAGAAAAACAATATCGGTAACAAGACGGTAGAGAACTGCGTTTGCGTACTTCGAAATTTATCGTACAGATGCCAAGAAGTTGAAGATCCAAATTACGATAAGCAGCCTTTCATAGCTCAAGAAAGAGTTATACCGTCATCTTCAAAAGGTGAAGAATATTTTGCGCATTACATTTTGATTTCAGAAATTGTAATTACGCTTTTTAATTTCAGGTGAAAATTTGGGTTGTTTTGGCACAAGTAAAAAGAAGAAGGAATTAGCTCAAAATGAGGTTCAACAGGACTACATTTTTTCTACTGAGTATTCTAAAAGTTTAAGAACAAATCATCAGTCAAACAAGGGATATGAGCAATTATGGCAGCCTGAAGTGGTTCAGTATTATTTGTCTTTATTGCAGAGTTGCTCCAATCCCGAAACCCTAGAAGCCGCTGCAGGAGCAATTCAAAATTTGTCGGCTTGCTATTGGCAGCCCAGCATTGATATTCGCGCAACAGTACGTAAAGAGAAAGGCCTACCTATTCTAGTAGAGCTTTTGCGGATGGAAGTGGATCGCGTCGTATGCGCTGTTGCTACAGCATTGCGTAATCTCGCTATTGACCAGCGAAATAAGGAGCTGATTGGCAAATATGCCATGCGGGATTTAGTCCAAAAACTACCTTCGGGCAACGTACAACATGATCAAAATACATCTGACGACACCATCACGGCCGTATTGGCAACCATAAACGAAGTCATTAAGAAAAACCCCGAGTTCTCTCGGTCGCTTTTGGATGCTGGAGGTGTAGACCGTCTTATGAATATTACTAAGCGAAAGGAAAAATATACCACTTGTGTAATTAAATTTGCCAGTCAGGTTTTGTACACAATGTGGCAGCATCACGAGCTCCGTGATGTGTACAAGAAAAATGGATGGAAGGAGCAAGACTTCGTAAATAAAAACTTTACAGCGCACAACACCCCACCAAGCTCTCCAAATAATGCAAACAATACCCTTAATAGACCAATGGCGTCTCAAGGTCGGACTCGATATGAAGATAGAACAATTCAGCGCGTTCCAAATGCCTCATATAGGAATAAGGATTCAACTGGAGCCGTAATGTCTAACAACGAGTCTGCAATTCTGTCAGAAATGGTGCGGAAACAATTATAAGGTGTAAATTTCATACATTTTTTGGTTTGTTAATAATTTTATTAGGAGTAGGTACACATAAAGTATTTAATTATCATATATGTATTACTCAGCAAGTTCTATAGACACTTACAATTCAGCGTTTATTATTATTTTCAAAAAGCTAAGATTTTTACAGCATTGATTAGAAGTAACTTGAAATCAGATCGATTAAATGGTTTGTGTAAGCATCAAACTATTCATTTCCAACGTAGTGTCGCTTTTATGCGACTACGAGTATATTACATAATAAATTAAGAAAAATATGACATTAATTTGTTGTGTTATTTCGGATAATACCATTAGACAAAATTTATTGACTCTCTTAATTGGATACAAATGAGAAATAAAAGAAAACATTCGAATGACCGCTACCAATGATAACTCTGCCGTTTGTTATATTATGGGAATGTTGAGATCCCCGAAATTGTTTAGTAAATACAATAACACAAAATTAGTATTAAATTATAATCCAGTGCCAAAGAAGAAGATCTTCATCGTTGTTAAATAACAAAAACAGCGTTCCAGCTGCAACAAATATGATGCAATCCGACTTTTAACTTCGCAACATTATACGGTTTTAAACCGAATTATTTCTATTGCACCTATATGGCAATCCGATTTGATGAAATATTGGCCGAAAGTTCAAATGACTGCCATATTACTTGTATATAAAAATAATTTCAGTTTTCAAAACTAAAAAATTAGTTTACCTAGAAACAGAAAGATGACAAGATCGACTGACTGTCCTTCTAGACGTTACAAACATCAGACCACAATAAGTACTACATACAGATTGGAATTGTATTTTGGATAAAGATTAATAGACTGCTGATCCAAACTAAATTTCACCCCAAATTTGAAAATTATTTTGAGCAACATGAGCTAAGTAATTTTATATTACTTATTTATATTCGCCAATATTTTTTAGTAGGCTATGAAAAGTAAATCTAAAACAGATATAGTGCTAGAAGTAGTTCTTCTTGTATGGAATCGTTAATCAAGCCGCTTCCTGTTTCCAAATACGATTAAATTTTGGTGTACCCAAATTGATTACTGGCCTAATTTTTGATATCGAATGAATAAATAGGTTTCGTAAGCGGCTTATTTAAAAAAAAAAAATGGACGAATTTGTGTGGAAATTGACCGAAGCTTAAGTAGGGCGTGGCTGAGGAAAATATATTTATGGAAAAATCTGTTTCAGGTAAGCTCAACGAGTTTTAGTTATATATTAAGTTTATTCACATTTATATATCAATTTGATAAATATGTTATAAAACTAAACTAATCTCTTACAACCAAGGATGCCAAGCTGGGTCCATGCGACAAAGGTTGTCAACATTCGTAGCCGACTGTATGAGCATAGATACCTTTTTTGTCTCAATATTATCGAAATAAGAAATCTTATTAAGTCGCATCATTATCACATCCACAGCTGTGTTAACAACACTAACCGTGTGCTCCATGGAGTTAGTATCGCTGTTGTGCTCTTCAGCTGACTCCATAAATTTGCTCTCTCTGATTCCTTTCTTCTTCAACGTGATTATCTCATCTCTGATAATGGTTTGTAATATCGAACTGAGTTTATAATTTGGTTGGATAAAGCAGCGAGCCGTAGCGACTATTGCTGCAGATAATGGTCCGGAAGTTCCAATGCTTGTTATAAACTCTGCTATATTTGGGGTTAACCGAAAAGGTACGGGTCTGTGTTGTTCAAGTTGATCCTTATCTTCATTAATGTCGAATTTGAAATATGAAATATTCATAAGACCAGAGTCCTGATGAAGATACATCATATCAGCGTTAAGACGGGTTAAATTAAATGCGTGTTCACACAGGTAAGCTAATGCCAATTGCAATGTTAACTGAAGAAAAAAGTATTTAATTAATTAGTTTTTTCGTTCGGGATTGGTTATGTACTCACCATTTTTCTAAACTGCCAAAAATCGGTTGCAGCAGCAAATGTTTTTAAGGCCCATTGCTTAAGAAGCGTTTTCGGAACCATAGTCCACTGAACTTCAGAGAAAATTTCTCTCAAAATGGTATGAGAAGTTTGTGTTCCTTGTGCCTGAACTTCAGAAAGTCGTTCGTAATACTTTACAATTGGCATATCGTACTCCATCTTTGCTTTCAGGCAACATTTCTTAAATATTTCTAGCAACGATATACTGTCAGGATTATCTTCAGCTAATCGCATTTGAGGTGAAATCGGCACCACTCGTGGCACCGTAATATTTAGAAAGCGTCGACTTGTCTCTTTTTGTTTTTCCAAATAATAATTAAGCATACGCTTGAGTTGTAAGACACGCTCCTCACGTCGAGCATCGCCAAGGCCTGAATCCAAGACCACCAGATAGGGGTATATTTTTCCATTAGTCCCCCTGATATATAGCCGACGAGGTGCAGTGTTATTTTTTTGAACTATTTCAACACGTGGCATGAAACGGGCGATGCGCACATAATAGTGCGATGAGGACGGAATTAATAACTCTCCGGGAAGTTCCACATCAGCTGTTTTTTGGCTAAAGTTAGACAAGAACCTACATTTCTCTTCGATTAAAAATGATGTTGGAAGCTTTTTCACTTTCGTCTCGAGAACTTTTATCCATGTTTTCAACTTTGATATCAAGTTGTGTAATTTCATAGCGCCAGGCTTAGAAAAGTCGAAGTCGCTGGTAAATTGTTCCTTCATTTTTTGGAAAACAGGATCTTGGAATGTTACTTGTGCTCGACGGGCTATTGATTCTGATGCGGCCGAATTCGTTACAGATGATGTAACAGAGCCTGGCACATTTTCTATTCCAATGCCAAAGGTTGAACCCAACTTTTTAACAAAGTGCAGGGTATGGGGAGTTATCGTGGCGTTTACAACAGTGCCCCGATTCTCAAATGCTATGGCATAACATTTAATCAGGCCTTGACGCAGCTGACGAAGTACTTCTTCGGTCCAACTTTCTCTAAACCAAACCATCTGATCGACAATACCTTCTAATGAACTAAGAATCGTGGGATGTACTTCTCGTTGAAGCTGCATAACTTTTGAGCACCGCCACATTGGTGGAGTGGCTTTAATTGGATTTACAGATGGAACAGGGATGGGTTGGGTTCTGCCGGAATTTGAGCCCATATTTTCCAAATTCTGTGAAAATAGAAACACCTTTAGGTACCACATATTTTTGTAGTTAAATATTTCCAAACTTACAGATGAAAATTTGCCGGCAATCACGGCTTGTTCGGCAGATTTATGTTTTTCTCTCTGTTCTATTTTTAATGTTAAATATAGAGTTCTAATAGGAAAGTATACGGCCTGCGGATAAAGCCGTCCAATCTAAAAAGAATATTTAATTAAATTCAACAAAAATAAAATATATTATTGAATGTTTTTACTCACTTGACTTAAAAGATTAAGTATTACATCTCCCTCGAACTGCTCCAGGCAACATAAGAGTTGAGGGATCCACGGCAACCAATAAGATGGTGGAATACCGGCCACATATTTCTCGAGAGTGTTTATAAGTGTATTGGTGGAGTTATCGTACGACAAGAACCATAACACCTTTGCGATATACTTTCTTGTCTTGCTCTCATTCTGGTTTCGACAAGCATGCAAGAAACAGATCAATGCATTAGCACCAATGGCTATTTGTTTATCCTTCAGGTAGATTTGCTCCATATAATCTCCCCACATAGCCCAGGCTTTTGTCAGTCCATCGTGAAGTTGAACTGCTGCACTAAAGGATTTTCCAGCTTCTTCCGTGCGACCAATTTGGCCCAAAAGTAGGCCTTTTAAAGCATAAAACTCAGCATTCATTTCACCAGTGAAGTATTTCAAATTAGTGGACTCGATCACCTCAAGAGCTTCATTAATTTCGTTTCTACCAGATGTTGAAGGCATTTGCAGGTAGCATTTAACTTGTTGACGAATTTTCTGCGGATTTTTCGAAGATTTTGTCATTAATAAATAGAAAACTGATGTTATATAAGGTAAGCGATTAATAGTTAAAATTGAAGGATATAAATACCTGAAAGCAATCTACAATGGGAACAGATGGTATGGTATATATTCTGGACAATGTCTCCTGACAAACTCCAGTTAAATTGTGTTTGCGCGCAATTTTTCCGAAGGATATTATAGCTTGCGCCGAAGCATGCACCCCAAGCATGGTACTTCCTTGATCTGACTGCTGTTCCAGATGTTGGGTAATAATCTGGTAATGATGTTGCCTCCATGTAAATATATCACTCCAATGGGAGAGGTCGTCGGAAATTACTGGCAATCGATTACGCCATGTTTTAACAATAGCTTTCATGTCGTGTAGAGATGAATTTCTCGATTGTGTCAGCCCTTGATGGATCTGACTGGCTTCGTGTAGCTCCATTATTTGTTGGGCCGCTTGAAGGTATGGCAAATGAATGTGAGATACGATATTGGGAAGACGTCTCCACTCTCTTATACATAGACTTGATGATATCTCAACATAACGCTCCACCGTTGCGGCTTGTTTCTCCTCTTGATGAAGAATAGATAAATATCCCTTATAAAGATTCAGTTTGAAACCATAGTGTTTCGAATAGGACTGCTCTGTTTTTGCTAATGCGTTTTTCATAAGGTTCCAGTCTGGTACTCGCCAGGAGCTTTCAAGTATTAGAAACATGTTCTTTTCTTTATTTGTTTGGGCATAGTCCAGTAGAATATCCCACTGATTGAGCTCTTTGGCACACCGCATCCAATGGTTTTCCCACAGTAGAAGCTCATTATTAATATCCGAGCTCACCAATCCGCTGTTTAAGTCCTGTTTAAATTTCGTCATTGCGAGATCGTAAGCTCCTTGAGCCTCCTCAAAGAAACCCATTTGCTCATAAGAAATAGCTATATTCGTTTCTGAATAATGAGCACATTTTAGCCACAATCCAGCCCAGAGATCTTCCTCATGCATAGCCGAATACATTTTTGCCAGAGAGTCGTAAATATTGTTTAGGTGTTGCGAATCAAACTCAGGCTGGTTTGCATCTGAAGTTTCAACATTGACATCATTTCCCTTAGAATATGTTTGTTCCAAGTCCTCTAAAACTAAAATTGTTCGATGCCAAAGATTGTGCGATTTGCCCAAATAGGTTAATAGGTTGGGTGGAATATAAATCGATGGAGAACATTGAGTTAAGCTCTCCACAAGTGTATTTATTGTACTGGGGTAGCAATCCTTCTGATTGACATTTGTGCCGGACGATAAAAATGGTATCAATTCTTTAGTAATATTGTATCGCTGGTCATCTGTGAATATCTTCCATATTCGGGGGAAAATGGCCAACCAAACACTTTCTGCTAATTGTGTATCCATGTGACAAAGTTGGGACGTGGCAACAAGCATCTGATCAGTGCGTATATTTCTGTTTGCCTCTAGGAACTCTGCTTGTTTGTAAATAAGTTCTACTAGGGTATCTCGTCTAGTTGGTAAGATTTGTTGGCAATCTTCCTTGCGGGCAGCTGTAAACTCAAGCTTTAAGTCAATATCAAAAACATCGTCCTTATCGTTAACATTTTGAACATTCTCGAACGATTCGGATTGTGATGATAAAAATGATACAAATGTATTCTCTTGAGCATCGGTGGAGTTGGTTGGGATTACTGAAGTAATACTAGGAATTTCGAAGGCTGGATTTGAACATTGAATTTGAGTCATTGTATTGGCGGTTAAAATAAGAAGCTCAATGCATTGTTTTATCCAATAATGGGAGCCAATTGTGTCCCACGCTTGCGAGCAAATTATATACAGAATTCTGTCATGTAGTCTACGCCGCATCGATGCATCTAAAATCTCGAAGAATTTTGCTCGAATGTGTGGGTTTTGGAAACGAAGCCCATTGAGGAAAGCACCCTCCAGCTTGCTAGTTAGCTCCGTCTGCTTTAGTACTTCATCCCGATATATGTAGTTTATGATCTCCAAAAACTGAATGTTTATTTCTGAGTCATCGGCGAATTTTTTCTCAACATGTTGCATTAATTTCACCAACAGCGAAGATTTCTCCCGAATGGACGGTACTTGGGTCATGATGTTAGATTCTTTAGTTTTTACCCAATCATCGAGCATTTTTATTATGCATTTTATAATTTTGACGTCTGAGCTTTTCTCAATCAGGCTTATCAGAATAGTGCCAATGAAAAGTTTTCTGATTTCCACACTCATAACGACAATTCTGTTTTTTATTAACTCCAGCGATAATACCAAAAGCTCCAGGGCTAGTGAATTTGAATCCGCCTGTTGGGAATTTACGGCACCATTTGTATTTGTGTTTATATGATCTTTTGTAAGCCGATTCAGAACTCGAATGAATTGCACCAGTATGCGATCAATATAGAAAGGACTATTTGTAGTACAAGCTTTCAAGATCATCAGAGTACCGAAGAGTGATGATGCATTTGGTTGAGGGCTTTTCTCATAAAACGTGAGGTTATCTGTTATCATTTTACTTATGGCACTATAAAGAACATCTAGGTCTTCATGCTTGTGTTGGGCGTCCGGTGGAAATATGGCCATAAGTCGAGTTAGAAATATGTGCATCAATCGAACGATCCGCGTGTTTTGATGTATTATACATAAAGAAAGTCCACGTTGCACGGGCCGGACTATGCCGACTAATTGTTCCGGACTCAGAATTGTAGTGAGGAAGGTTAGAAAGTCTATTCCAGTACATATGTTGTTTAAATTATGCTGAGGCGTTTCAACAGTTGTAAGGATTTTGTCCAACCAATTAAGTTTTAAGTCAAACGGTTGAGGCCAGATTTCTGGTCGCATTGCCATTTTCAAAAGCATAACACACCTGAATAGGATTCAAAAAATGGGTTAATATATATACAAAAATTTTAAGAATGCACTCAGTAATTTAATTAGTATTACCTGCGGGACAAGCCTTCACCGGGCGATATTACTCCTGGCTGGGGATCATTCACTTGACATGCTAAGCGAACCAGAAAGTTCAGAACGGTATCACAATGTGATTTCTCAATAGACCGAAGCAGGTCATCTGTTTTGGTCGCGGTTCCACCACCTGCAAAGCATTTCAAAAAACAATCTTTAAATAAGATGCATATTATTTGAAACTTAAGATCTTCTTACTTGTACTTTGATGTGTTTCTCTCGTTAACTCTTCCTCTGGTCCATCAATTCTTGTTTCCCTTTCATCTTCCTTGATGCGATGCAATTCCCATTTGATAATTACTTCTGCCAAGTCAACAGCCAATTTCTTATGCTCAATAGATGCATTTGGAGGGAAACCCAGACGTTGCATGTAGTTGATCAGATGCTGGACCAGTTGATGCCTAACCGGGAAATACACCTATGAAGGAAAAATTGGCCGGTTTAAAAATACACATTCAGTATTTAGACTAAATACTTATATACATAGATTCATCAACTCGCTTTAACGATCATGAACTTGTATTCGGGAACATTTGATTAGAAGAAAACCAAATAAGTCTTTCATTGTGTATTAATGTTTCTATGATTACCTTTTTTAAATGACTTCATTTGATTTTCAGTAGAAAAAACATTAATATCCTGAATTGTCGTCCTGATTAAGTAATAGTTTGGGTTCGAGATTATATTAATTTTTTTTTAGAATTAGACTGTTAAATTGTTGGAGTAAGGTGCTAAGCACGTGCCTGACTACCTTAGGGGTATTTGCTTTAACAATTTTTATAATCGTTAAAACGTTTGATAGTTTGTGTTAACAGCATTTATTAATTATTCAATGCTCTTTACCTTGTAATGACGAATTATTAGTTGCAGGATGTGGAATAGTTGTTGCATTGCATGACCCTCTTCTACAATAATTTTCTTTGTCCAATGGGTTAGCATTGTATTGCCGTCTTCCATGCGTAGCGGCATGGCTGGTGTTAGAACATCCAACGCCTGCTTAACAATGGGTCTGGCTTCCAAAGCATGCCCTTTAAGAAGCGAGTGGAATACTTGTAGAACTATTTTCTTGTGAATTGCCAGCCTGGCTATTATATGCGCCAGTAACAAATGGCCATGGTAACGGGCCGTGGGATCTACGGAGTTTTTGCTTAAAAGACAGGGCCAAGCAAAAGTCATTAAACGGCGGAGCTTGTTGCCTTGCCTTTTATTATTGGCATCACCGTCATGTATGTGTTGGGATGCACGTTCGACGAGGAGGCATGCGAGCTGCAAAAGAGCGATCCTTACTGCATCATCATATTGCTTATCGGGATCAAAAACTTTGTTTATGAACACGGAAACAATATTCTTCTCATCCTCTTGATATGGGGTGGGTGGTGCCCCAATCAATTTATTTCCTTCGCCCTTATCAAAGCTTACTGTAAAGCAGGGAATCAATACGGCTGTAATTATTTTAGCCTTTAGTTCCTCCGTAAGCGCTGTATTGTTAAAATTTTCAACAAAATGGAAAAATGCGTTTCTCTTCCAGCTGACCGTAAAACTTTGCGCCACGGTGTTTTGTAGAAAGTCGCGAAGGAAATGTACATCCGGAATGAAGTGTAAGCAGAGTGCTCTTAAAAGTTGAAACAATAGATCAATATCGTTGGTGTTATTTGAGAAATAGAGCAACAGTATTTTTCCAACTAAATGCCATAAGTCGCAGGAAACATTTTCGACACAGGTCGAGTATAAACTATTCTGCCACAGCTCCTTTAACGCATCCACAATGTCCTGCCGTGTCGGGATCCACTGATCATCCAATTCCATAAGTGTGAAAATTATTAAAACTGCTTGATGCTGGACTTCGTATTTGTGCAGACTGCTTATCTCGGTGTTCCATTTAATGTACATTAATAATTTGGTGTATTTATGATTTTTAATCACAGCCCTGAAAGATTGGCCATTTTCGTGTTTTAGAATAAATATGAAGAATCTATTCCATTGGGCATCAATTATAACCGAATCAGCCATAAACTGATCAACTGTTTCCGATGGAAAACGTTGAAGAAACTTCAGTAATGCCTCCCGGTATGGACTGGAAGCTTCGATCATCAAGTTGCTTTCGGTTTGTAGGACTAGTTGGCACAATTTCTCTATATATTTCGGTGACGCTGCTGTTATGTGGTAAAACATTTCAATCAACGTAACAATTTTCTGTTCATATTCTCCACCTTTGGAGGTTGAAAAGAAATTAATGTTCTGATTCGTGCACTTATAGTTGCCAACGAAAATTTCAATTATATTAGCACAATGCTGCAGTATTTGTTCACTTAACTTCTCGCTAAACATTTGTGGAAACAGTTGCGTAAAATATGACAGCCGTTTTATTGCCGGAATTGACAAATTTCTATGGTCTCCAAGTTTCAAAAGCAACGGTCGCATAGCAGCTTGAACCTACAAAATTAATATATTACATGTTATGCCAATAGGTTAGTACATAATTTCATTTAAATTTTATGTGATATTCGATTCTTAATTATAATCTTACCTTCTCTTTATCAATAGTTATTCCAGTTATGAACTGCTTCATACAATGGTAAGCGGTTTCTTGTAGCTCAGACTTATCATTCTCCATAACTTTGAAAATTATGTTTATAATTTTTTCCTTGTATTGAATATCATTTATGTAGTGGCAGGCGGCCAGTGCACGCAGGGCACTCTTCCGAAGTGGAACTAAATTTGGAACATTTTTATAACAATCCAGTTTCGCCAATGTTGAGTCTTCGGCTTCACTTAGAGTTAGCAGTTCATGGAAGAATAGTTTATGGTACGTATTCGTTAAATCTGTAAGAAGATATTTTGATTATAGTAAGGCAAATAAATAAGTTTAATGTTGCGACGTACCTATTGTAAAAAGTCGTGGCTCCAGCGTGGTACAGAATGTATTTCCATCCATCAATCCAATTTGTGCGTTCGCAGGCTGGTGTCTAAGTAAATGTTTCTTTGGCGGTATTATATCTGCCAGAACTTCCTTGTGCGGGTCCATAACCTCCGAAACAGTCCTGTTTTGAATTTGCGCAATGTGCTTCAATAAAACCATCGATTCCTCTCGAACTATACAGTTGGGGCTAGTTATATGCCTGACCAGCTCGTGGATAACTTCATATGTGGCCTTAGTTTGTAAATCGGCAAGTTCATCGCTTCTACAATTTACGTTTATGGGGCTCATGCAAATTTCTAGCATGTTTTTCATATACATTTTGGTTATATCGATGGCTCCATTCGAAACATCTCCCTCCAAGTCCATCAAGACAAACATAAATGCTTTTAGGAAATTAAACAGGTGCTGATACAGAGCTCGAAGAGACATGTGTTTGCATAGAAACTGTATGGCCTGGCAGCCGCCAACCTTAGAGTACCACGGCCGGTCATAGCATAATGCTGTCATTTTCTCTGCAAGATACTGCATAAGCGGTAGTTTGCATGCTCTTTCCTTGTTTCCCATAATATTTGTGGCAGTGTCAAGAATGATTCCCATACACGCTATTCCGGGCTTACATAATTCTTTTTCCTCATGTCCCATGCAGGCCGCCAAAGCGTCAATTAACACCATTGGATCTATTCCATTTGATGCATGATAACTCATTTGTGGGAAGGGTCCTGCCTGTTGGGCTATGGCGACCATTGTGTAATGTCGAACGACAGCAGCCATAACGGGACAGACAGAGTCTCGTAAATCTTTAGTTGCTGAGGCAACTAGCATTCCAATAAGAGCGGTCTGGTGAGTTCCACGCACACTGGCTTCTTCGAATTTATGTTGAAAAATCTGCCAGCTAACGACGTTGCTCTCGACGAAGTCAGGATGAGTAAATAGTTTTAGTAGAGTATGCTTCTCGTCATCTAAACTAATGAATGCAGCCAGAAAACAACGAATAACTTCCCAGCTTTGTCGTCTATAAAACTGATCTGTTGTGTTTGAACTTAGGGCCTTGAATGCAGACTCGATCGCTTCTCCGACGGGGAACTCAATGGGTTTATCGTACTCTTGAAAATATGTTACAATAGAAATTTGTGGTTTCTCGTTTTGATCGTAATGCAGAATCTGCGGCTCAACCATCATCTTTCGGTTACCACCACCAAATTTTCCAAGAACGCGAAAAGCTACGAGTGCTGCGTTGTCTTGGTTTCTTAAAGTCTTCCACAGCGCTTGCATTAGAGCCGCTCTAACTGGCTGAATATGGTCGTACAGAAAGTCCGGTTGTAGGTTATCAACGCAAAGTTCTAGAGTTCTTAGTCCCTGTAAACGCGAAAATTGTATTTTATATCACGATAATGTTGTTTTCAGAGGCTAATTGATTACCTGGCTTATAAGCGTTGGAGAGCCATTTAATGCCGAAACGAGAGGATCCATTAGCATTGGTAAATAGGGCAGCAACGACGATAGACGAACCGGAACTGTTAGACATAACTCCACAAACAGGTCCCGCATATGTTGTTTGTGAAAACCACTTTGTAGGCGGTTCAATCCTTCCAACAAATTGGGAAGCAGGGGTAAAAACTCTTGGTATAATAGGTCGTGACTTCCACCGCCAATTGATCGGAATAAAGCCCTTAAGAGTAAGAAATAGTTGTATGGCTCGTCTGAAATTAATGCCAGCTCCATTGATCGAATCACTATTTTGTGAAGATGTGGGCGCAACATTTGCTCGTTCTCCACCGGAAAGAGACTGACACTTCCGAAGACAAGTTTAAAAAGTCTTAGGTACAGATTAGATCTTTCAACATTGCAACCCATTTCTTCCATTTTTCCAAGCAAGTATTCCACCAGAACTGTTGCAAAGAGTGGCGAAGTAGTTGGGTTAGCCAAAAATGAGTTTGCTACCACTTGCAAGGATTGATTCTTATGAATTCTTTCAACCAAAAAATCAATTGTGGTTGCAAATATTTCCTGAAAGTTTTGCGAATGCATCATAAGGAACTGAAAACAAAAAATTACATTATGTTAATTAATATTGTAGGTTGCCAGCATTTCCTTAAAAAGTACATTTAATATAAACATATATTATTATAGCTTAAATAATAAACGGTAATGAAGCGTAATTAAGTTGAATTATTTACAGAAAATAATTAGTTGATGTGGCTCCTCAAATTTATTTATTTATTGGAGTTCATGACGTTTTTCGAGCCTAATGACAATTTGAATATCAACCAGAAAATTGAAATCGCTCTGGTGGCTGTACCGCCAATTTAGAGCACTGCCGAAGTCATTGCAATATTATCAGCATCAATTAAAAGATTTAAAAGAGGCTGCCGTTTATAGTGAAACGAATAAAAAATTAAAAATATCATTAAAAAATGATACTACTAAGCTATTTATAAATAAATTTGTTCTTTGATGGGGTAATATTTTTACTTACAATTCCGCTAAAATGTTCCAAAACTTCCTTTTCTTCTTTATTTCTCGATATCAATCCGGATGTGCGCTGCTGATTTGGATTTACATTAATAGTATATATATCTAGGGCCTCCATAGCGAAATAGACCAAGTCTATATATGTACACAAAATTTCCGGACTAAATAATTTATCCTGTGTTTGCGAGTCCGTAATCTAAAAAAAGGAAATGGTAAATAAATATAGCTGCAAAAAGGAATTGATTAAATAATACCTTTGAGTTGAAGAAACCCCAAGTAATTGTTTTTACACCTCCGACCAGCGTTTTAACTAAGCTTCGAAACTCAGCTACGTTTACAGAGCAAACCCATGGAGTGCCAGTTGATGATGATTTGGTTTGTTCGGCGCCGAACTGATCCTTGAATACACAAAAGAAAAGAGAGATAAAAAACATTATCCATATAAAACACTAAAATACTTACTTCTTTCAAATCAGCAACACCAATGGGTGGCAAAGAACATGTGTTTGGCAAATTATTTGATCCGGACGTTTGTGAGTTGCCTTTGCTGTATGGAGTACAAATTATATTCAAGTTATAAGTGCTTCAAAAAGTTTATATTTCATTTATATGGACTGTTTTGTTTTTTCTTCTGTAGCTACATATGTGATGGAGCATTTACACTACATAAACTTGTAATGGTAGGGTGAAGAAAAGGGTTCTCAATTTTAGATGTGGAAGATGTAATGACGTGTTTTCTTACCATCTTTGGATGATTGAAGGCAAATGAATTTTTGCTATGGTCTCAAATTTTTTGACAAACACTTTAAGTAATGTAGCGAGTAGGTTTCTGGATCTCTGTGGCTCCAATTCACTGTGATGTCGCAGGCAATCGACCAGATTTAATAAAAGTTTACATGACATTGTTTGTATTCCAACTGCAAGGGTTTCATCGTGAACATTTTTTGAAAACAAATTAACGGCTTTTATCAGGACATCCAAATTTAAACTTTGACGCACATGGTGTGCGAGATCCGCCAACGTGGAATACGCCAGAGGACGAATTGAGTCCAAAGTCACACCTTTACCAATAAGCAAATCTTCATCAAATAGTTTTTCTATAGATGGTATGAATTCTGTAAGAAAACAGGTTTATTAGTTCAAAACATGTGTCTATTTATGTGCATATTCTTATTACACACTTTGACGTAGATCTGTTGCAAAGATATGACGGGCAGCTATTAAAAGTTCCTTGCGTAGATGTGCCGCTTCTTTAGGACAATTACTCATGAGGTTTAACATTCCATTTGTAACAGATAAGGAATTTGCGATGACAACATCCTGTATTAAAAATTAATTTTTGGAAGCCAACAAAATATATTGTGCTGAGAAAAATACCATACCTGAAATATTTTAACAATATATGCTAAAAAGGAGAGTGTTTTTATTTGTGCTCCAATAAAGTCCACAAATACTTCCTTTTGTGTTGAGTTCCTAAAATATGGAAAAGTATATACAACAATATTTGCAGTACACCTATTGCGAGTTTTTGCGTCGCAATAAATTAATTACAGATGAATTCTCAGAGCAAATCTCTGACAAGCAAAACTGACCTTTGTAGAACCGTTGGTTGTAAATTAATAGTTGTCATTATTAGTGGTATAAATTCAGAGACCTCTTGATGCACGGCATTTTTGTAAATTTGGTACATTAAAACTACGATGATAGGTAACTCTTGCAGAACTTTTAGGGACAGGATTCCTCTCGGTAAAAGGTTGTACTAAAAAGACAGAACATGAATCATCGAAATTCGGATTTAAACATAAAATATTAAGCTTTAACATTGAATATACTTACAATAATTTGTTGATTCGATTCAATGGGCTTGTCCACGTGAATTGTTTTAACAGAATATGCTTCGGACAAAAGCATTTCTAGATTCAAGTCTTTTAAGTCTGTAATCCAAATATCATTCGATGTTTCAAAAATCGAAGTGATATGATTTGGTAAGTTTGTATAAATTTCCTTAACGAACCCCAGAAAATGTTGAATCTAAATTTTGGAAGAAAAACAAATAAATAAATAATAGGAAGAAGGAAAGTTCATTTACAGACCTCTGGGTTAAAAGATGGTCGAAAATGTTTATGCAGCTCAATAATAATGCGAAGGCTGACAAGAACATTTTCTTCATTATCGGTTTTTAATATTTTTAGCATCATTGTTATTATTGATTTTACATGCTGTCTCAGATTTTCTGTTATTGGTAAGCGGTGAATCATCTCTAAAATTAATTTTCGAATCTAGAAATAAGAGGGAATAAATTATTATATGGATATATAGTATGTATATATATTTAACTTATGAACAAATTTAAAACAGGTCACATCAACAAAACATTGCCTAATAATTAATAATCAACCATGTTTTTTCTCAATGGCATTTCTCAGTGGCATTCGTTTGTTGCTCGGATGCAAAATATTACTACCCTAGAATAAGGTTGTCAACCATCCCATATTGATGTCCCGGTAAAACATCAGCCGCATCCCGCAAAAAAAAGAACTACACTAATCAGTTAGAAAATAAATATATTCATCTAAACCTACGAAATGCAACACTAGTAGATAGAAGTCAACCGAAACTAAACTAAACCTACGAAATGCAAAACTAGAAGATAGAAGTTAACAGAAACTATGGGACATATTCGTAAGATTAAAGCATAAAGCGATACAAAACAGCGGTGGATTAAAGTTTCGATGTCAAAAATTTAACCCCTTTCGCCTCGTAAATTGTCTCACATTTACTTTTGAAAGCGTTGGCCGCATTAACAAGGAACCTAAAAAAGGATGCCCTAATCGTAAAGCCACGGTCTATAAAATACGAAAATTGCTGAAAAGTTCACTTCCAAAAGCAATGGCTGACGGGTGGCCATTGGATATTTGTTTGCTAATTTGTTTGTTGGTCTCCAAAAACACCAATATCATATCTTCGTATATATATAATTATTTATTAAATGTATTTATTGAGTTTGCGTGCCCGGCTTATATTAAAAGAGCACATGTGTGTATGAATGTTCACCCACATGTATGTATGTATTCGCGTCAATGCATGTGCATCTAGCAAGCGGCCGCCAAGTGTCTTATATACTTACATGTTGCATTGTATTCTCTTGTATGAACTGTGGTTCGCCTTCTTGAAGAATTCGCATAAACACTTTGAGTGCATTTTCCAAAAATGCTGGATATGAAGGGCTCTGCATGATCATTTCAAAGTGTTCGCTTAGTTCCTGTGTTGCTTTCAGCTTAATTTCCTCTTTAGCTGAGTGGTCACTCAAAATATTTAAATAGTTACGAAACGTATTCACCGATATATTCTCGTTTTGCGCCATTTTGTGTTATTTATTTGTCCACTTATTTTGTAAACAAATAAAACTTTAGAGCGCCGCCGTAAACAACTCTATGAAATTGGCAAACGTTCACAAGGCGATTCGAGTACCAAATTTTATAAAATATATATCGAATAAGTGGAACGATGGTATGCACCAGTGACTGTAAGTAACAGTAATAGTCTATATAATGTCGTGCTTTATGCACAACAGCTCGAAACATGAATTTTGATATTAGTTTTAAATATGGAGCCAGGCTCCTAGCTCAACGAGTTAGCACGAATCCCACAATGTGGGTTTGTTTGTTCCTTGTTGACATGATTCAAAATTCACAATTATAAGATTTAATAATTATCCAACCAAGTAGGGCAGATCTCTCATAAAGATTCAAGATTTAAAAAAAAAATAATAATAATAATAATAATAATATATTCGATTCGTCAAGGAAAAAGACTAATTGAATAATATATTTATTTATTTTATATATTTCTTATTATTTTAGAATGTGAATGTGCTTATATATTGTCACAAACATCTGTTTGGGCCATAATGTTGTTTGATTAAATATCTACTTCAATCTATTATTCTTAACTTCGGCTATTAATTTTTTAATTTTATTAAGCCCAATGTTTTGTATTATGGTAATATTAAAAATTAGTGTTTTTTAGCACTACCCTATCGTTAATCGCAGATATATCGATTCGTTAACTTTAACATATGTATACATACATAAGCACTCTCGTCATATCATATGAGCGAATGGCAACTTGGGAGAAGAAGACTTACATACTTATTTTGGAGAAAAGATATTTCCATACAGAAAGTTTTATTGGTTTTTTATAAATTACTTTTGCCAATTGTGAAAATAAATCTTTTTTTCATTGTGACAGAGCTTGGTACCCGCATACGTGTAAACATACATATATATATGTAGTTATGTATGCTAAACAAACAAAAAATTTGTTTCAAAAGTTGTGCGGTTGTGCGAAAGATATCGTTTACAAATAAAGAATCGCGTTCTTTGTTATGAGTGTTATAAAGTTTATTATTTATTTGTATGAAATAAAATCGATTAAAGAAACATAGTCACGAAATCAGAAAAATCTGGTACAATGGCGGACCTAGAGGCAGTTTTGGCCGATGTGAGCTACTTGATGGCGATGGAAAAATCAAAATGCACACCCGCCGCAAGAGCTAGTAAAAAGTTAATTTTACCGGATCCAAGGTACCAAAAATACAACATTTTAATAAGTTTACGTTTAAGAATTAAATGAATTCATAGTGGGTGCCTAGGTGGATTTGCACTGCTGTATATACATGCATATGTACATCTGTCTGTGTTTGTATATACATATTGTAAGAGTGGGTGGGTAATGGAAAAAGCACAACATACGTATGTATGTATGTATCTGCATACATACTCATACACAAACGTTTATATGTACAGAAAATTTTAAAATACTTATTTCTAGGCGGATAAAATGAATACACAAATTATATTTACAACAACTTCATCTTATTTAGCTTTAAAAGTGAAAAATATTGTATTGTCATGACAGATATTTTATGGGTCGCCACCTCCTGTTTACTTATATATGTATGTATTTACGTATAAATATGTACATATGTACATTCACGCTCGATACAATGAACTAATTAAAAATCAAGGGTAAAGTGAACACCCTTCATTTTAGGTCAATTTAAAAATTTCCTCTTATATGCAATGTTTCAAATATTCCATTTAATCAAATTGATTACTGGTGCTTGTTAAATCGGTATTATACTAAGTAGAGCCTGTGTCTTCAATTTAAAAACCTAATATGACCTACAAAGGAAAATAGCGAAAAAGAAAATCTTAAAAAAAATTTCGTCTGTATGTACTCCCAAAACTAAATGGTGTGCATATGAATAGTTTAAAATATACGATCTTTTACATCTTAAAGTATAGATAGAACATGTAAATACATTGAACCCAAATTATCATAATTTATATAATTATAATTATTTACATGTTTAACTGAATATTTAGAGGGATTGAATAAGTTTTTCTAACCCGGCAAATATTTTGTGTTATTTCAGCGTGAGAAGCGTTATGTACAAGTATCTGGAGAAAGAGAACGAACTTAACTTCCACAAAATTTTTAATCAAATACTTGGTAATTAATGCTTAAATGGATTTAATAGTTTTTGCACAGATTTAAAGATTATAATAACATTTGCTTTTAGGTTATTTGCTATTTAAGGATTTTTGCGAAAATGATTCCGAAGAACCCATACAACAACTCAAGTTTTATGAGCAGGTATTACTAAAAACAAATAACAACAAATGTTTTTGTTTTACTGCACTTCCTAATTCTTTTTTCAGATAAAGAGCTTTGAGAAAACAGAATGCTATGAAGAACGAAAAAAATTAGCCAGAGAAGTGTACGACAATTTTATTATGGAAGAGATGTTATCCCACACATATGTAAGGGTCTCCACAAAAGTATTCAAATAGTGATACTTATATTTATTTGGTTTTTTTAAGGAATACTCCAAAGATGCTGTTGCCAGCGTTCAGAAATATTTATTAAAGAATGAAGTTCCAATGGATTTATTTGAAGTAAGTACCAAATGATTTTAATATTTACTATAGAATATTGTGTAATTTTTTAGATAGGGATTGTAACAATTATTAGTATATAATCAACAGCTCAGAATACTATCTCAAACGAGAACTTCATATTGTATGTAAATATTTTCTATTAACTTTCTGGGTGAGAAATTCTACCCGGAGTTTAATTTATTTCTTATTAATGTATTAAAGCGCACACTAATTAACCAGAATGTGCCCGCCTCTTTATATAAAAAATCATACCGTTTTAAGAATCAAATCCTAAAAATTTGTTAATCGAATGAACAGTTTGGACAATTTAAATATGATTTCTTTCACTTTGTGTTCCACTTAATTTCTGTTAAAGTCTATGTTTATGATATTTAAAGCGCATATGATACTGTTTTAATATACCAGTATCCATCAGCCGATTTCTGACGGTTCCAAATTTGCAAATGAGGTTCCACTTTTTACCCCCCACCTCAGCATATAAAGTATATATAGCGTTATTTAGAAAAATTGTATATTTATCGAGAAGTCTAATATATTTATATTTCTTTTCAGCCATATATGGAAGAAATATTTAGCCAGCTTAAGGGCAGGCCATTTAAAAAGTTTTTAGAAAGGTAATTGCAAAGTTTTTCATATCAAATATGAACTATATATATACGCACATCATATAATATGCTTCACTGGTTCAATAAGAGATGCGCATGAATATGATATGATTTGAAGTTAAACAACAAAATAAAACAAATACATGATTTGACTTAACTTAAAATTATATTATAACCAAAGTCCAAAAACTACACTTTTGTCATCTGTTTCCTATATTTTTGCAGCGACAAATTTACAAGGTTCTGTCAATGGAAAAACTTGGAGCTCAATATTCAAGTAAATCAATCAAAAACACCATAGGGGTCTTATTAACTCTGATTTATTACAATTTTTAGTTGACAATGAACGATTTTAGCGTGCATAGAATAATTGGGCGTGGCGGATTTGGAGAAGTCTATGGATGCCGAAAAGCGGACACAGGAAAAATGTACGCCATGAAATGCTTGGACAAAAAGCGTATTAAAATGAAACAGGGGGAAATGCTGGCATTAAACGAAAGAAATATGCTACAGGCCGTTAGCACCGGAGTAAGTAATCAAGTTCTACTCATACTTGAATAACATAGTAAATAAAATTGTTTTTGCAGATGGATTGTCCATTCATTGTCTGCATGACTTATGCATTTCACACACCAGATAAACTGTGTTTTATATTAGATTTAATGAATGGTGGCGATTTGCATTACCATCTTTCTCAACATGGTGTTTTTAGCGAGGACGAAATGAAGTTTTATGCAGCGGAAGTAAGCCAATATATATATATATAGTTATATACTATATAATCGATATTTATATGTATTCAATGTCCTTCTAGGTTATCTTGGGGTTGGAGCATATGCATAAGCGCTTTATTGTTTATCGCGACTTAAAACCTGCCAATATTTTGCTTGACGAAAATGGACATATACGAATTTCTGATTTGGGCTTGGCATGTGATTTTTCAAGGAAAAAACCACACGCTTCTGTGGGTACTCATGGTTACATGGCACCAGAAGTTCTATCGAAAGGGACATCGTACGATTCATGTGCCGACTGGTTTAGCTTCGGTTGTATGTTATATAAATTGCTTAAAGGACACTCGCCTTTTCGACAACATAAAACTAAGGACAAGCATGAAATTGATAGGATGACATTAACCATGGTAATTAGTTTTTATATAATATGTTAATTCAAGCTTTAATGTCATCCCCCTTAAGACCTGATTATATAAAGTGTTTTATTTTATTTTAAATAATAATATTGGATATATTTTACAAAAACTAGAATGTGGAACTTCCGGACTCGTTTTCCAATGAATTAAGGAATTTATTGGATATGCTACTGCAAAGAGATGTGCCAAAGCGACTGGGCTGCATGGGAAATGGGTGAGAATGGATGCAGAGTTGATAAATTTATATGATGCCAATTTGACCATGTTATATATAGAGCTGACGAAGTAAAAATGCATCCATTTTTTTCTGGAATCGATTGGCACCAAGTCTATATTCAAAAATATACCCCACCATTAATACCACCACGAGGCGAGGTAAACGCCGCTGATGCCTTTGATATCGGATCATTTGATGAGGAGGACACGAAAGGGATTAAATTAAATGATAGTGACCAGGACCTATACAAGCATTTCTCGCTGACTATTTCCGAGCGGTAAGTTTCAAAATTCTACACACAACTCTCAAAAGTAATAAATTAAATTGAATTTTATTTTAAAATTTGTATTTTCCATTTATTATGAATATTACCGAACTATTAAATATATGACGAACGATAATCATATTTTACATTATTGCTATCTCTTCAAGGTGGCAGCAGGAAGTTTCTGAAACAGTATTCGAAACAATCAACACAGAAACCGACAAGATTGAACAAAAGAGGAAAGCCAAGCAAAAACAACATTTTGATGCAGATGAGAAAGAGTCGGACTGTATTTTACACGGATATATTAAAAAATTAGGCGTATCTTTTGCATCTCTATGGCAAACCAAATACGCAAAACTATATCCAAACCGGTATGTATTTATGTATATTATATACTAAGTTGCTAATTTTGGAAATACTTAAGACTTTTTTGCTGTACAAAAAAGCAGGAAATAGGTATAATAACACTTTATACATATTTGCAATAAGCAATGTACTTAACCTTTATCCATTGTACACATTTTGCATTTGGTAATCCATGGGAACCGGAATCTCTTATAACGTCTAGTCTTAAATTCTTCCTTTTTAGAAGCTTATATACTAAATATATACATAAATGTATTATGTTATGCCATTTGTAACTTTTAAAGTAATTGATTTTTTATTTTCTTTAATATTTTAGCTTGGAACTTCATTCTGAAAGTGGAAATAATAAGCCAGAATTAATCTTTATGGACCAAGTAGAGGATATTTCATCTGATTTCATTTTACACAAAAATGAACAATGCATTCAAATTCGTGTAAATGATGGCAGTCGAGATGGCCGAATTATTTTAACAAACTCTGTAAGAAATATTACGATAACCATTTGAAACAATAATAATAAAGTCTTCCATTTTAGGATGAAATCGGATTAAAAGAATGGTCGTCATCCTTGAGATCAGCTCATAAAATGTCACAGGATCTCTTAGGTTCAATGGCAAAGAAAGCTGGAAAAATTTATGGTAGCGAACGTGATGCAAACAAATCAATGTATATAATAGGCGGGGAGCGTTCAACAAAATCATCAAATGGGTCTAATTAAATAATGGATTTAATGCAGGTCATTATTGCATACACACTAAAATAAGATACCCGCTCCAAACCTGTCCCGTAATTTTAATAAATGTGAGAACGATTCCTAATAAATGCATTACTTGTAAATGATTGAGCGATGCCTCAAATGGATCCATTTAAAACCACAGCAATGCGGCTAACAACTTCTCTAATGCGAGTGCGACTTATTGGCCAGTATTGGGAAATATTTAATGTACATTTTCGGTTCCCTCGTCTTATTTTATTTTAGATGAGCCTTACAGTTTTTCTGATGAACAGAATCTGATTGAATGTAATGATTTAATTGTATTCCATTTTGGAAAACGAACACGTTGCATATTCTCCATCAAATATCATATGTGACTCACGAGACATAGCTACAACATTCTCAATATGCAATTTGGCTCCTATATGTTTAGAAATAAATAAGTTTTTAAAACACAAAACTACTTTTTAATCATATTTGCATGAAAACTATAGTATATCTTACATGCTCGGTCTAGACATATGTTATTTGTATCCGAAAAAAAGAAGCTTCGGTGTAACGTTTCATTGTATTAGCTCTAAAACTGTGGGAGGAGTAGTGACTGAAACAGACACATGGACATCGCGATTTGAAAATTCGTTTTAATCATAGAAATTCCATACCTATAACATGTGGTCAAAACTTCTTCCTTAATATACAATACAATATGTCCTCAGTTAAGGGTTTAAAATATAATATAACCGATAAAAGTTCTGGTAAGTACTTTATCCAGTCAGGCCTAAGGTCAAATGATTGATAGGTGAAGTCTATCAATTGTTTATGTCAAGACAAAGATTGCATCTAGATATACATATATAATTTGTATCTGTGTACACATTTATATGTGCATAAATTACTTTGTTGTTGAATTGGCACAGTCAGCGGACAAAGAAATAAACAATGCCCCTCCACTTAATTGCAAAATGCGATGACACCAATACAGTTAAGTCTTTGGATTTCAGGTATATATATCTTACTACCTTATTTACATTAACATCCACCATGGCAACCTTTTTTTCATTTGCTTGAAAATTCGACAAAAAATAATTGAAATATCGAGGAAAATAAGACACACCCTTAGAATAAAAAAAATTGAATCCCATTGTCTATGGATTAAGAGGCTCAAGTCCCTGTGGACTTACCTGTTTTCAAAATCCTGGCGTTCATAGACAGACAGTGATAGATTAATTTGTCATGATTAAGAATATTTGTAATATCTGATAGTTTCTACAGAAATCAACTTATGAATAGATATTTGTAGTAACAACACCTTTGAAGAGCAACCGTTAAGACTGTCCGCCTTGGAACAACATACCAACCTAGGAAGATGAATAATTAACCACCTAAGCTGCGGCATAATTTAGCACATTTATCGTTAATTTGAGATAATATATTCGTTACGAGATGAAAAATATCTTAATTTTGTTTTTAAAAGATGTTTTACTATGTGGAGGCAATTTATTTTTACGGAACTTCGGGACAATGGAGAAATTATCCATCGATTTCTTGATTAATGTTTGCATATGTTTTGGGTGCACAAATTTGCGATGTGATTGTGTTACAGACCTTAGGAGAAATGTTGTTTTTGCACGCATGAGGGATTTAGCTATAAAAAGTATCAGTTGTTAAAACAGCAATATAAATGAATGGTATGTAGTATAATAAAAATATACTGAAAAATTGTGTATTTTTTTTACCCATTTCGTATAGTAATAATTTCCCTATTGAATAATATAAAGCTTTAATAGACACGCTTGGTTGCGCAGAGGTCTACACTAACCTAAAATATAAACTTATTTAACCAATTTAACATCTCATTGTTTGGCAAAATTTTCCTGAGTGGCTGGAACATTTTGCACCAAATTGAAACAATAGATAAAATGTTAGAACATAAAAATGGAAACATTTTAAATTAAAAACAAAACTGTTAAAATACTATATTCTGAACATTTATTATCAAATTAAAACAATTTTTAGTTAAAGATGTAACAGCAAATTATAACTTTTGAAAGTTTCCAAATTTATGCATCAAGCATTTTAGAATAGACTGGCTTATAAGACAAACATTTGAAATAAATGCTCAGCTAGCCCTATAAGAAATAAATACTCTAATGCTAAATTCATACTTTCGTATTACCAGGTTACCCGGTTACCCAAATTATGCAACAAGATATAATTTAATTATTATTTTTTTTTGTTTATTTCTACTGAAAATACAAATTATGTAGAAAAGTTTCATACAAATTGGCGATATCGACCCAATACTCTTAACGTCATCGCTGTATTATGCATGCCTTTTATGTTAAATGCGATGCATACATAGAATAGTTATGTTTATTTATTGACGATCAGTGGCTCGTAGTTTTTCTTCGACAGCCTCGCGGGAAGCTTCGGATAAATCGGTTGCTTGTATGTATTTTTGGACTCCGACGAGGGATTTCTTAAGAGCGTCAAAGGAGCTAGAGTACAACATCTTCTTCTTAACCTAAGGATATAAAATGATTTATGTGTAATATTTCTGAGAGCATGATATATTTTAAATACCTTAGCAGTATCGGGGCACCACGACATAAGGAAAAGCTTTTGCTTCTTTGAACTCTCCGATGTGCCCTGGCACTGATGCATATACTCGAAATCGAAGAGGCCATATCTAGGAGTAAAGACAAACAATAAATTATCCAGAACATAGCTTAACAGACAAAACAAATAAGAGTTATCTAAATATAAAAAGGGTGGTTCAAAACACATTGAAATCTTTTATTTATATATATATACATATAAACAAAAAAATTGTCATTTATTGTATCAAACTTACCGGCATTCACCGGGGCCGCACTTTTGAATATCATCTAAAAATTGATCATATTCGCTGTTACGATCTCCAACAGTTTCAACATCAATTTGCTTTTCATCGCGAATGAAAAAAATGACATAGCGGTGTTTTTTGTCCTTTTTTATTTCTTCATATGTGGTTTTGCACACATCAGACACGGTAACTCCAGAAGCCTGTGATAGAATAAAATCGCAGCAATTCGTTTAAAAATTGTAAACTTATCAAGTCTTAAGAATAAAGCACAGCCTTCGCTTGCTTAAAAAAAAAAAAAGTAACTAGGTGAACTAATTGCATACATATTGTTTATTATGTGGACAACAGTAGATCGTCTTTGAGTTACCAACGCCAGGGCGTGTATAATGACAGCACGTTGAAAAAGCGAAATCGCGTTGTAGTAGCGGCTTATTTGGTAATACAAAAATGCGACCAGTCAAGACTGCGGCCCGCGAATCAAAAACCATACAGTAAACGGTAAAACTTGGGCGGCAAGAAAACTTTTTTCTCTTTTGCATTAACTCTTTAATCAATATTATTTTGAATATTTTATTTGTATTCGTTAATGTGCATATATAAAAAAAATAACAATAATTCAAAATTTAGCAATGTGTTTATTTATTTTAAATTTGGCACAATATTGTTCTTGTCTTTGATAGCGATCCATTGCTGTAAATTATGGATATTTACACAAAAATTTATTTTTAATTCATAGAACAGCCTTAGCAGACCGTCGAAGAGAGCACGCAACAATTAATAATCTAAAAAAAAATGTATTTATTGGACATATTTATAAAAAAAAAACTTACAACCACCAACAGAACAAAATATGCACACATATGTACATATGGAAACTCTTTATACACATTTATGGTGAGCAAGCCATTATGTTACTCTCAAGTGTACAGTACACATACATACATATTTGAACATTTGCTCTACGCATATATAGTCTATAACATGCACATGTATGTACAATTTAGGCATATATGTAATATATAGCGTATACATTCAAATATATATGTATGTATGTATAATTTTGCCTGGTTTCAGCTATTTTTCGGCAATGCCGGCTACACACACTGGCAGAAATCTTTCAAACATTGTGGCAACACTACAATATATGTATATGTATATATATATACATACATTTATAGAAAAAATAAATCAGTATACATATGTATGTATGAAAGTACATATCTACATATTTTAGATACATCAAAATCTGAACTTATGTACCATACGTACGTAAACATAATTTGAATTATAAAAATGTTTGCTTAAAACTAAATTTCAGTTTTTATCGTTATCTTCTACGTACAAAGAAAACCAAATCAATTAAATAGGAACCAATATATGTATGCATAAATGTATATATACATATTTACTCATGTAGGAGGCATTATGATACACACATATATAAATATAGATATATATGTATGAATAGTAAGTCACTGCACTGTTAAAATTATGAGTAATGCATTGCCACCAGTTATATTTAATTATCTGCAAGCAGTGAATGCACATATGCAAGAATTTGTACATATATAAGATGGTATTTATAATTTTTAAAAATAATCCTTTTTCTTCTAGTTATTTTTTACCTATATATACGCGCATCCATATTTATACAATTTATACATACACACAAAAATATATATGTACATCCTCTTGAGATTAAGAGTTTATATTTTTATGAATCATCAAGACTATCACATATCAAGTTTCATAACAGGAAGTTACTTATTAAAGAGCAAATGCAGCTATCGTGCGTTATACTTACCATTGTTTCGCAGTTTATAAGGTTTTTAAATTACAAAAATGAAATCTCCACGTAAAATACAAATACTGTTAAGCCGTCTGCCTGCCTTCCACAGTCGTGAACAACCGCACAAATCAACTGGGTGGTACAACTGTGCCGGGTTTATCGTTTTATAGGGTTACCATATCGTTACGATAGTGACGCTGAAAAATCTATACGCTGTCCGCATAATCGCCATGTTGGTAAGTTTCCCCATGTATCATTTCATGTGTCTACGCCCACTAATTTAATATCGCCGAAAGCATCAGGGATCTCTGAAACTGTCTATTACCATATATTAACTGTATGAGTTCGCTTTAATTTGTTTTGAATAAAACCCTTTTGAAATGTACTATATTATTAGTTTCACACTAAAATTAGTTTTTTGACAGACAAACATTTTAAGGTTTTATTATTAATAGAAAAATTAGATTTTATTTATTGACTCCGGTTACCTATTAAATGTCGTAGGATTGTTTTAAAACACATTCTTAGAGGTATAATTAAGTTTTTGATTATATAAGAAAATATGAAGTTGCAAGAAACTATAAGGGTATTCCCGTAATCACAATTGTTAGCAGTTAATCGAATGTTAATATAAAGAATATTTCATCGAATAGATTTGTGTGATATGGTTGCTGTCTGTTTATTTATAAAAAAGAGAAAAGTTTTACAAAAATTGTAGCTTTACATTGAAATTATTGAATTATTTTCGCCATGGTAATATTAACGGAATGTTTTATAATATACATTTGCTAAATTATCAATTTTCGGTAATTACTTGTGATTGAGTTAGTGTTACACCCAATTTATATTTTTGTTGTGACTTTGTATTTTTGTATATTTATGTACGCTTACTTTTATATACTAAAAATGATAACATAAGCAAATGTACCGAATTTCTTTACTTTATGTAATTAAAACATCATATCACTGTATCGCCTTCCCTTGTTTTTTTTTTTTCATACATATGTACATATGTATGTATTGTTTGTTTGTTTGTCTTCTTCTTACATGCATGCATATAGATGTATGTATGTATGTACATATTATATTGTGTGTGCATTCGAATTGCTGTTCGTAAGATATTGGCTCAACAAAATTGAAACAATTGTAAACTTTAGTTCTATAATAAAAAAATATTCTTTCAGTTTAAATGTTCCTTGTCGAACTGCAACACATTAAAAGTGATCCTAATACTCCTGCCAATAAACATTTACTGGATTTTGAGAGGTTGTGTTAATCCACCAGGATATGCTTGCCCCACGACATCCCACACTAAACATAAAAGCAAGATTCCAGCTCCTACGGCTTACTTGCCCTAGCAGTTAGATGAGGCCCAGAAACAACAGCCTCAACTGGACATAAAAAGCCTATTTATAGTAAACAAAACTGTAAATTTAGCTTTTGACGATATTAATATTGGTTACGGTCGCTGGGATAATCAACTTTTATATAAAGTGAAGGATTTTGCGGCAGTTGGTGAGCAATATGCAGAGACATCGGAGTCCAGTCTTATTTGCCTCGCCACACAGAGCTCTGTGGAGCGTTTGTATTCCTTATCACAAGTTGCCACGAACTGGAACGGACCTATCTCGGTGGCGCTGTTTAGCGCTGGTAATGAAGAGTATATTGTTTTACAATACTACATCACTTATTTGCGTCTTTGCTTTCCGAATATTAGAGCAAATGCGAGTTTTCATATTATGATTCCACGAAATTACGAAGACCTACCAAGGGTATCGTCGTTTTCGTTTATTGTAAATGGCCATTTCGATTGTCTATATCCTGAAAAGACACTCAGGTCGCTCCTGAAAATTAGGACAACGAAAACTTTGCAATGGCGATTAAAAAATCCGTACCCCCAAAACCACATGCGAAATGTAGCGCGCAAGGGCTGTCAATCAAAATATGTTTTTCTGACCGATATTGATATAATACCCAGCAGAAATATAGTGCCACAACTTAATTATTTTTTAAGTAATGTGCGTTGTACGGGTAGTTGTGCATACGTAATACCTACATTTGAAATAGATGTGCGAGCACAGTTTCCAAGTTCCAAGGAATACCTGATCCGATTATACAAGAAAGGGCTCGCAAGACCCTTTCATGAAAAGGTCTTTATTTACAATCAGTATGCGACAAACTTTTCCAAGTGAGTATATAATACCGTTTATTTCAACTTCATTTTAATTGTTCCATCATATAAAATTATTAACCTATGCAAAAAATGCTTTCGGGAATAAAATATTTAGGTTGTAATAAATCTCCTAATCTCCTAATAAAGCACAATTTAATATCGACGATTAAGCGTCTACTAAAACAATCTTGTACAACATATAAAAAAACATCTTATAATAATAAAACATTTGATTCTGAAATATTCAACCGCTTAGAGAGCATTTAATTGTTGAGGCCTTTTAATAGGATATTTTTGAAGCCCTTGTTACTATTAATGTTCTTAAACGTTTATTTTTTAGGTGGCTATCGAATGCAAATCCTAACGAGACGACTGTCAGCATAAGCCACACTGTAACAAATTTTGAATTTTTGTATGAGCCATTTTATATAGCGCTAGATAACGTGCCGGCCCATGATGAACGATTTACGGGCTATGGATTTACTAGAAACTCACAGGTAAATATACCATCTTCTTTATCGAATCTGCTTAAGAAAATTTGATTTTAAGACTTAATGTTCTTTTCATTATTTACTTCAGGTATACGAAATGTACGTGGCTGGATATCAGTTTTTCGTTTTATCGCCCGTTTTTACTTGCCACTGGGGTCTTCAAAGGAAGCAAGCCAGACCTTCTTGGCGTGAGCAACAAAACAACGCTAATCGAAAGAAATTTGATGTGTTTAAGAGTGAAATATTTGCTCGCTATAAGAATGATCCATTATTAATGTTGAAATCTAAAAAAAATAAATCCTAATAACTTGCACTGCAAATTGAATTAGTGTTGAGATGTACATCTGTAAATAATAAATAAATAAACTAATTTAAATACAAAACGATGCAAACCATCGTCGAACTTATATTGAACTGTTTAGATTCCATGCCCTTGATTTCATGTCGAGCTTCTTCACTCTGCTTAAGAGAAAATGGACTTTGTGATATCTGCTTGGTTTAGTGTTAGGATTCACATTAAAAAGAATGATCCAATTGCATCATTTGGTAAAAAAAAATAAGTTGTGTAATGACGATTCAGTATATTATGTATGTATCTATATTCTACAATTTGAAGCACTTTATTTGAACTAAGCATACCTAAACCTGCAATTAGAAATTTAAAAAAAAAACGCTTTCCGGAATGAAAATGTTATCGTATTTTTATTTTTGTTGGAAACATAAACGCTCAAAAAGTAACTACAAAAACTGTTTCACTGTGATTATTTATTGTTTTCAAATAAATCTAGCTGATAGTTTGATATCTCATTTTCAATAAAAATATTAACATCTCTGGCATTGTTTTTCACTTTGTGTACAGCAGCATTAATATTTTGGGTTTTGTAGCGAAGCCCGACGCTGAAATATAATAAGAGTTTCATTAATTAAAAGCAAGCAATTGGGAAAAAGTTGTGAAAGTGTAAAAGTTTAGGCTTAAATTCATTATCTGAGGGAAGCACCAAAGACGAGTGCCATTTATTTAGTATGTGTTTCCAGATAGAATAGATTCTCTTATTTTTTACCGAGCTCACTAAAATAGCATAGTTGGGGAAAAATGTTTGACAATTTCCAATGTGTAAGATGGAACGTAACAAGCAAAATTATTTTCACTAACATTTATTAAAATTTCATAATACTTTAAAAATGGAGTTTTTTTAGTTGGTGGAACACTATAGCGGAAAGGACTGTTCACTTAATTTTTTACAGTTCTGCGACTTAAAATGTCGTTAATTAAATAGTAGATTAAAAAATTGGCCAGCTAGGCCTATCATGCGTATGGTTCTCTTGATTTTGAGGCCTATGTTGCAGCTCGGTTTTGAGGCACGACCCGCGTCGATCTCTGGAATCTTTAAATAAAACAATTTTGAATGCAACAAAGGCAATGCAAATATTTTACATTTAGTGCTTTTTGTTGAAAAATTAAATTATGTATTTATACGTATGAAGGCACTCACATTCTTATTGATGGTAAATCACTTGTACTTCTTTCCCTTTCTGTCGACCTTGCCCGTAAATATCGGTGCTTAATATCCACCCCGCTTTGCTTTTCCTGCAAACAAAGAAAATGTCTCTTATTCCTGGGTCCAAGTTTCTTTAAAACTCCTCTCATTATTAAATTTACTTACGTCTCTCATATTGTATGTCAGTACCAAGTTATTCATGAAACAGTCAAAAAATTCCGGATATAAATCAAGAACATCCATTAAATCATCTCTGTGTATTTTGTGTATATCACAATAAGTCAACGCCCGTACGATACCATTGGACTTGCCAAGAGTGGAATGAATGAAAGGATTCTCGCCAAAAATATCATTTTTACCTATAAAATTAAGGCATTATGTGTAAGGTATTAAATTTGCATTATAGGTTGTACTCACCTAATATAACAATAACGGTATTATCCCTTTGAATTTCAATTGATCCTCGAGCAATAAAGAACAAGGATGTCAGCACATCACCCTTGTGCACTAAAATATCTCCGGGTGGTGCGTGAGTGGTTTTAAATTTAAGTGAAAATGCCCTAAAATACAATTTGATCAATAAAGTAGGCAAATAACAAGATGATATTTTATTTTATACAATAATCAAGTACATTGTACAATTATCAAAAACAAAAATACATCATAATCGCATTTATAAGTATACCTTAAGCACCCAGGACTAGCTCCAGCAAAGGCCGAACAAGTCGTTAACAGCTTTCTGTTTAAGTGCAAACATATATCTGCTTGAAGACCTTCAGGAAATCCCTTTAACAATGAATTCATATCAATTCCATTTGTATAAGTCCACGCATGCTGAAAATAGTCTTCTAATTTTTGCCTAAGAGGATTCGGAATCTACAACAATAAAAATAATTCACACATTTGGGTTTTAGACTTTCCTATTATACGCTTTTGTATTAAACAAACATCTTACCTGGTGAAACCGAATAAACTCACGAACACGAAGCATTTGAGTGTGATATCTTGCAGTTCCAGAATAAAGCCTTTGTATTATAGCCGAAACATTTCCAAAAATACTGGCATACATTAGAGCTATAAAACAAAATATATATGTATATATGTGTGAGAGTCTTTCGATAAAAGCTCAATTAAATAAGTATAAAAAGTAGTGAGTAGTTAATTTTAGTAGTACTCTTGCAAGTGGTTTAGGTTTAAAATATCTATATCAAATATAAGTCAATTGACCATTAAAAAAAAAAGATGGCGCCTAGATTTGATCGAGGAGCTGGTTAAAATATTTTTTGCAAAAAATGTTCCAATTATAATATTTAAATCAGCATTCGTGTTGATGAAGAACTGTGTGGCCGTATTTTATAGGGGCTGAGTGACCATTCTGCACAGCTGTTTAATACAATAACAATGCACCACAAAACTAAATCACTTGCAGGAATACCACTTTGAAGTGGGCTACTTAGATCTTTCAATATAAATAATGAGTTAACACAAAGTTCGCTATAAATATAGATCCATTTTCAAATTAAGTAACAGAATATAACTTATATCTTTTTATAGAGATAAAATAAAAAGTAAGTTTTTAAAACGCTTACGTACATCCAACAAGCATAACACATATTGTAAATATTTTTTCTGCATCAGTATTTGGTGCCACATTTCCAAATCCCACAGAGGTTAGTGAAGTAAATGTAAAATATAGAGCTGTGATGTATCGTGACTGAAAAATACGCGTATAAGCAAACGACTTTATTTATTTACATCATTGTAACTTAGAATTAATCCTAAAAGAGTTTTTGTTTATTAAAATATATCTGGAATCTTGCTATATTCTATCATATGTGTAAACTAATTTCTTTATATGATAGAGTGAATGGGGCTGAAGATCTTAACGTAAAAATGTATGTTACAAAAACACAATGTAAAATGTAATTTATGCGTCATTTAATATCTTTCCAAGTTAAGCACTGATCGGCTATAATGTCATGTAAAAGTAAGGCGTCGCTTACCTTAATAGACGGTCCACCAGTTTTGTTTTCAAAGTATGGTTCTTGAATATCGTACGCAAGGGAATGCAACCATCCAATATTTTTGGATACCATTCCCCTCTCGGCATTTCCAATGGCATACCTGCAACAAATACATAAATAAATAATTTAAAAGATTGAGAATGAATAAAACTTCACTTTGAATATTTGTATGTTTTTTACACAAGCTAATAATAAACAATTGTAACAGTTGATATAAAAGATCGTAATAATTTTCAAAATAATAAGTAGAATTGAAATTATTTATTTATACATTTAAAAACTGATATATTAATCTAAAATTGTTGAAACGTAATCTATCATAATATAAATGTAGTATGGTAAAAATATTTCCAATAATGCTAAATAATGTTAATAGTTAAAAATTCTAATTGATAGAAAAGAGGAAATATATAATAAATAAATATCAATATGGATAGCAGCTTCAACGAGTACAACATTTTTTTTAAGTAGTAGTATTTACTTACCATATACAAGCGAGCCAATGTGCGATTAGTACAAATGTAGCCATTAACAAAATAAGTACTGCTGCTCCATATTCAGAATATCGGTCAATTTTTCGGGCCACTCGGACTAGTCTTAAAAGTCTTGCTGTTTTCAAGAGACCGATTAAAGTTGTTGTCTAAAAAAATATGGAAATAAAAGGTGCATGATTTATTAAAGGTCTTAAGTCAATCAATCTAAAAATACTATCTATCCTATCTTTACAAATGTTTTTTAAAAGAAAATGCAGAAGACTGCCATTAGTTTCACATGTTCATGAATGATAGTATTATTAGTGTTATGTTAGTATTATGAGGGTTGTTTTGTTAATTAGTTTTGTTATTGAGAATTGCTGGACACAATGTGTTTTCAGCCAAAAGGTAATATACTAACACAAAAAAATGTTTTACAGTTGAGGGCATCAAAAGTCATAATTTCTTTACTAGATACGGGTTTTATATAACGATCTTTCCAATATTTACCAAATCTCATTTTCTAACCGATAATCACTATTATAACCCAATTAATTGAGTTAAACTACTACTAAAAATGTTTAATATTTTTAATTGTGACAAATCTTTTTGTACAGCATATTAAATTATTTTCAAAAATCAAATCAATGCAGCCAGTCGTTCACATATTTACTTTAATAAATATGATAGTATTCGAACTTATATTATAACGCGGTCTGATCTGAATTAAATTTGACAATAATATTTCTTATATGTATATGATTTTGTATATTTGTACAAGCCAAACGACTTTTTCTACTCAGCTCAAAGCTATTTATACAATACAGTTTCTACGATGGTCCAGTAATGCTGAATATAATGCCATATTGCATCGAGCCCTATCTTCGATATTCCTGCATCTACAATTTTTTTTACAACGTAAACTGCCTATTTCAAATTGAAAGGTATAGGAGACAGGCTAACTACATAAATTTTCCATTGTTTCAAATAAGTATTTGTTACCTTAATAGATACTAATTAACTAGTAAAATACTTCGCATTGATTACGAAACATTTAGATTGGACATATAAAATTTCTCTATTTTAGGTAAATCCTATACAAATCAATGCGACTGGTTCAAGTTCATACTTATTTTCAGTCCACTATTTCCCATATCCATGTTTTCAGATCCTATGTGTACCCAATTGAACACGATTTGAAAAATGTATATAAACAAATGTAAGGTAACTTTATTTGATTTCAGTGTCTAAGTAAATAGGAATTACCTTATTTATTTATTATTAATATTTGTAATCTGGGAAGATCTTTTTATAAAGCTGCCTTAGAAAAGTTTAATTTCTTTCAAGAAGACCAGCCAATTTGGCTATTCATTTTCTCTTTATGATACCAAGTACCATGGGTGGTGTCCTTATCGTACTCCAGTATCCTCTTTCTACATTACACAATCTTATTAAAAAATGAGGCTTGCATTTTGCGAATCCTGTCTAAAAGACATTTCATTTCATTCTTTTTGCCTTGTAGCCTCGTAATCTTTCACCATCTGCACAAAAATATTCCGTTTGGCAATCGTTTGTAGTTGGTATGAGACCGTTAGAGTTTAAATGTGATTGTAAATCTGGTTTTGATGAGGATTGGATAGCATCCGGCAGATGATGGTGATCACAACGCTGCGTGAAAAAAATCAGAGGCCGGGGCGTATGTTTTGCGATAATTTAAGGTTGAGAAAAGTGTATACGAAAGTGTAGTTTTAATGTAAAAATTCATGATTCATTAAATTACTAACCACTCCTGGATCATCGTGATTTTTTTATTTGGTTAATTTCAAATAACCAAAGCTGGATGGGTTTAACTTTTCCAATGTTACATAATTCATGTTAATTTAGAGATTTTCTTAAGACTACATTGTACTCATAAACATTTAAAAACTTGTGCTCAAGAAGAGATTATTTTACAGAATCTGTGTAATGTATAATGTAAAATGTATTTATAATGGCAATATTTAAGTTATATTATTTTCAATAAATATTAAATAGAGAATTTTCCATGATATTCTATTTTTTCACAAACAAATTGGCAGCGAATCCGCCGGACAGTTTGTTAATTTTCGTTTTATATTTTTAATAGATTAAAAATAATGTACACAAAAGATGTATCTTCAAATAAATATTGGGGCTGTAAATTTTGTACCCTAAATCAACCAGGCAACAACTTTATTTACGCAAAACCTTAGATCAAAAATACAATGAGATTGCTTCAATGAAGGTAAAAAGAATTAAATTGTTGTTTTATGTAACAAAGCTGTGGTTTTGTGAATTTGTTTGAGGGTAGGACTATACTTGTAATGTATGCTTTCTAGCTTACGCTAAATCCCGGATTAAATATTATATGTTTGTTTGAGATTTCCCAGGAATGTAAACTGAAAATTAAAAAACTATATGTATATTGTCTTTATTAAATACGGTTCTTATATATTGTCCTCATTTTGAATACATCGGAGAAATCTTGAGAAGCATCAATAAAAACTATTTAGTCCTATTTTACGTATGACTCCCCGAAATATGTATGAAATGTAACAGAAAATGTGGATTATTTACAAGAAATATATATATATGTGTGGGGATAAATTTGAAATTTCAACATAAGGTATTTTTATACGCAACAAAAAAAGATATACGATTCGGAGATTAGTATTCATTTTAAGCATGTATACATTCAATTATTTTGCATAATAAGACAAAATGTTCTGACTTTTAATACCTCGTCATTATCCAAGCCAAGCTGTAAAATATTAGATACATTTATTTAAAATAAATATAGAACAGGATATATATTCTTAAATTAAAAACTAGTGAAAGCCTATAAACCGACAGTGCTTGACTATATAGTAGCTGTACCTGATATCAGAGAATTCAAAAAAGCATGGCATTATTTCAATGGATGTATTTATTAACAAACGAGGTCTGTCCCATTTTGATGATTTTGCTTGATGTGTATACATACATTCATTTGAAAACTGGAGTTATACATATTAATTATTTATGTGTTGATGTTATGCATAACTTTTACTGTAATTTTACTATTAATTACCAAAATTTGGCCGTCGAAAAGTAAATTGCAAAATTTATTGCGTCATGGTTCCAAAAAACTACTCCATTCTTACAACTATTTTACATATGTATACTACATAGTATCTTCATTCCCTTCTGCCGACTAAGGCGTCTGCCATACTGCTTGTATTAGTTAATTGCCTGGTTTATTCAGGGTATACATTTATTTCCTTGGTCCAAAAATGCTTCTGACAGTTTGAAATTATTTGAGCCCATTATGAAAATTTAAAAATAGGATTTATATTTCTTATAATTGTTTTTGTGTATTGATTTTATTCGTTGAAAAAAGTTACCCCAGCCCCGTTTCAAATATTTATTATATTTTTTAACGATCATAACTATAGGTATTAACAAGTTTTGCTATCATGTAATATTTTAAAGTTTTCAACCATAATTCGATAAAATATGTAGTGTATGTGTGTTTGTATAAGCAGGGTGAAATGAATAAATAGGTTAAAATTATCAAATAATTGTATGTACTAATATAGATCTCATGTCCCATTATTATTTTGATGCCCTGTTTTATACTAAAAATAATGACAATTCTGAAAGTAGGCCCGATAAGAAAATGAATCTACTATTATAAACCTCAGAAGCTTATAAAAAAAGTTAAGTCAAATACTAAATCAAAAAAGAACTAGAACACGGATTAGAGTAACTATGTACAATAATAGGCCAATACAATAGTTTCATTTCCGATTTTCAAATAAGTAATACCCTTTATATGTACATTACACATTTGGAGTTTGCCTATTAAACGTTTGCATTAGGATTACCTCTGGGGAAAACTGTTCTCTTACCCATCTATAAAATCCAATTTTATAATACGGCGCCCAGCTTTAAATTTAACTTTGGTGTGTTTATTATTTTGTTGTGCCTTTATTTAAATAAAAAGTAGATGTTTTCATTACAATAAGCAAATATCGGTTCGCCAAGTGGCCAAGAAATCAAGAGCTTTTTGTAAACGCAATGAAGCTACACTTATTCACAAACTTCTCTTCTTCTATTTGCATTAGGGGTACACTATAACTAACGGACGAACTTAACAAATACTCCACCATGGTGTTCCCGTTCAAAAGCGGTTAAGACTTTTTATTTTAGATAACAGTACCGAAACTGAATTGAATTTAATGTTTACAAACCATACAAAATAAATGTGCGACTGCAGGTGATAGCGGTGTGTAAAGCTGATGTGCGCAATTTTCAGAGGGAGTGTTGAATTTAAGTTTTCGTAAAAAAGTATTTCTCCTTATAAATTTTTTAATATGAAATATATATATAAAAAAAAGGAAGTGTTTAGATAAAATTTTCATAAAAAGTATATTTTGTTTAATTGTAAGGGGTATGCAATTATTTAAAAAAATAAAAAACGTATAAGCTGTATAATAAGCTCATAAATTCCTAATATGCCACTCTTGTTTTTGGCATATTTTACTCATTCATTTAAAGATTTTTCACCTCAAAATGCTCCACATTCGTGTTCTTTTTTTACGTTAATAACAATCTAAAAAGCATCGTGTTATCTGAAGCTTGATTGTTAGTAAAAATAAAAATGATTTTTCGCATTTGTTAACATAAACGTGGCATATAGATGGCTCAAGTAATAAAAAAATTAGGTTGGTTAATAGGTATTAAAAATATAAAAAATTGTTGCGCTTCCAAAAATACAATCGTTGCATATCGGAACTAATCAAAAAACGAAATAAAAATTAAATAATATGAAATAAAAGCTTACCTCATCCGTGTCACTTCCAACGAGAAGCAAGTCGAAAGGAACTGCAGCCACTAAATCAATTAAAAACCATCCACTAAGATAATGCACAGCTATCCGACCAGGATGTGAAACCACTTCGTCTTGTGCATTTACAAAGGTTGTTCGGAAATTTATAATTATATCAACAACAAACGTTACGTCCACTGGAAACAAAATATGTTTAATGATTAATATATAAAGTACATATGAACCAATTAGCGGTTTAATTAATTCAAGATTTATTTAAAATAAAATATGGAAACCATCAAATGCGATGGTTACATGCCAACTTATTAGTATTACAGTATTACAGAAAATTTGATTAATTTAAGGCAATATAGTTCTGAGCAGTGAAATAAGAAAATAAAAAAATAGATTACAACTCACTAAAGAACGTTCCATAATGACTATTTAAGATTAATTATGTTTGTTTTCACTGCTATCTTTCAAATTGTATATTGAGTTTGGAATACAATATTGTAGTTATCTTACCAATTAAATCAATTATGACTATCGGATCCGAATTTATATACTTGTTATTTCTTCGTTGGTAATCCTGTTCCCCCAGAAGAAATGCTGCAACATATGGCGTAAAAATGGCGGTGTACATCACCAATATTAATATAATCCAGTCCCATACTGCCTTGAATGGAGAGTGGTGTAAAATAGTCCAACTGTGATACGTATTGTCTTGAAGCTTTTGATCATGGAGAATATTTCCTCTTAAAGAAAGAACCTGGAAGTAAGTCCATATAAAGTACATAATAAATATGTAATTTTTGATGTTTTGGCTTAACAAAGCAGGACATTTATTTCTTATTCTCTAAATATTGTAAAAATACTTGTAAAAATTGTTCAATAAATTAACCAAAATTATTTATAAATGTTATGCATCTCAACGCAAGGAACAAATAATTTTTTATTTTTAAACATAACTTAATAGTCGAGATGGGTAGGTAATAATTTATTTTCTAACAATTGAACAATGAATATAATAAACTTTATATAAATAAACTTTACTTTTACCTTAAGTATTTAATTCTAAGTATAGATAAAAGTGTTTTTAGCTTACCGTGTCCACTGGATCTTGTATTTTAATATCATTTTTCGAACCAAGAAGCGCCTCTTTATCCAAAACATCCTCATACTGATCATTGAGTGTGTTTTGTAACATTTTGTCTTTAGAATTAGGTTTTAAACTAGTATACATGCTCTCATAGTTGTTGCTATCAAACTTTTTATAATTATTAAAATTTTTCAACTTATCATTATTATTTTTATGCAACAAGTCATGTGAAAAAAAGAGTTTGGACTTGTTTTTTATGGGATCCGTATCATAGGTTTGATATTTGAAATATAATTTCTTCTTATCGCACTGTACACATCTATTTAATTTTCCTCCGTTGGCTTGTGGTTTATTTTTCGGAGATTTCGATTCACTTTGTTCGTATCGACGCGTTTTCCCCGAAATTAATGGATAATGCAAGCAATTACTGCAACATTTATTGTCAGTAGTACTTAAAATTGGTTTACTCTTATTGTATCGGAGCATATTCTGATCACCAGATCTTTTTATTTTATGATAAATTAGATGATTATGGCCGGCAACATTTTCTGGAAATGTTAAATTATCATTTTTATCATCAAACATGCCGACGTTTATTAATATATCGGAAACGAAAATTAGTTTTTTGTCACTTTTATTTATTTTGCACATCAAAGAAAAAAGTTCTCTCTCCACAAATTTACTGGATTTTCCGATGCAATTGTTTTTAGTGTCCTTCAAGTAAGATTTTTTCATACAGCTTTCACTCAGCACTGGTGCCATATTTTGACTGGATATATAAAGTTCACACTGACGGACAATTTTATCCAGCTTACGTATTTCGTTAAGCTCGACGCATGACTTGTAAGACATTTTTGTGTCTGAAACGATTATAAAATGTGGACTTAGTAAATGTAAGTTCACAGTTTCAACCTTCTTCTATAGCTCTTACATATAAATATTAGTGTTTTACCTTCTTTAATGCATATTTATGGCCTTTTTAACCTCTTTTAATTAAGTTCATAATCTCCTACTCATTTTTATTGGCCCACTAAGCCACTTCAGGCAAACCACTCACTACACAAGCCATACTTAACACACGTTAAATATTGGTTTTTGATTTTTTCTGTAATTATATTTTGTATATAACATTTTTATATTTTTTAACATTTTTCTAACGTCTTTTCTGATGGCTTGGATAGCGTTAATAGCTTGCTCCCTGGGAATTTGCAAATTGTTGGTTCGAATGTCGGTCAACTGAATAATCGATACTTACTTTTCATTAATTCAGGATGTTAAATATTTGTTGTATCACAGCACTAGTTTATGCATCTTTTCCAGGAAATCTCAATTCAAATATTTAAACACATTATTAATGTTAAAATAATTGTTTTGGCAAAAGTAAAAACAAACCCAGCCATGTAATGGAATGCATAGGAAAGACTTTCTACGCAGGCGCAATACTATTTGCATGTATATACTATATTTATATGTACTATATCAGGACCTAGGTATTTACATATAGCACAATGCCTTCAGAAATTACCATTAAAAAATTGTAACTATTTGGTTGTCAAAAATATAAAACCCATTATTTGCGCAACCACGGCCACGAAACGTGGCTACATTTGTATATATTCTATTCATAGGGTAAAAGCGTATACCCAGTTTTGTGCGAACGTACTTACTTACATACGTAATGCCCCCACAAAGTATATACATAATATACTCTCTATTAGTATAACAAGCCGAGTCGATATAGCCATGTCCATCTATATGACCGCAAGCATCTCAGAAAGTATGTTTTTTTCTGATGCAGCTCCCCTATTAGCGATTTTCCATAACTTCCATAATCTTTAACTCAACTTTTGGTAACTACTTGTATTGCCCGTTAGTTTCATTATAATTGACTGATGTTATTGTTGATACTTTGGCTGAACTGTGTACTGAACAAATGTTAAAGTTTTCTACTCTTCTAACTGAAAAGGTGAAGGTGTTGCCAAATATACCGGGTATACACCAGATTCAATTTGTATCTAACAGAGAAAACTTCCCGATACAAGTAGCTGAAACTGCATTTTTGATTAGAAATTTTGTATTGAAAGACATTTATGACTTTTTTTATTTATTTAATATTTTGTTGTGCAAATGTCACGTCACATGAGATTGGAAATGCCCATACATATACATATATCCTCAGCATGACGAGATCAAACTGGACATGTAAACTCTCCTAATATCCGGACAACACTAGTTTATTTTACTTTTGCATAGGTATTTTTTATATAATTCTCTTTTCATTTATTTCTAAGAAGTTATTAGAGAAAAATATTTTTTCTTAATTTCGCTTCTGCAATATACATATTTCATTCTCCGGGTTGCTCGTCTGTAGCACTATGTCTATTTTTCCATAAGTCCTTTATTTGTACTCGTATGCTTAAGGTAGTGATGAATGAAAAGAAGTCAACCACCGTAGCATAGATACATTTCCATTTTAAATACAGCATAATAACTATGTGCGAAGTCAGTGATATAGGTTGGTACATAGAAACATGTTAAAGCTACCTTTAAGCTAAGAATTTGAGCTAAAGAATTTGCTTCCCGTAAAACAAATATTGTTTAGTTAAATCTCTGTAGACACTTGTGTATTCTGCTCGAGCATGATGAAAAGCATTCTTGTTTATATGGAATCTGTAATAGTATACATTCATTTTTTTTATTTTATACGAAACTTCAATTTGAAAGTACAGTTTAAGTTAATGTTTCTCCTTGAGTGACGCAAGCTTCCAAATAGTCTATACGGCGTTCCAATGTTGTTAACTTTTCATTAAGCACCGCTAGGCGCGAGCGACAGGACATATCGAAAGAATTAAGAAAATCCGTGATCCGTTTTATACTTGCTGTAATTACTTCAATGTACTCTCTGTTGGCCCAGTCTTGATGGATTTGCTTCTGAATGGCTTCTCGGTGCGCTCCACTCATTTCCGCTTTTTAATGATTTGTTTACGCTATGTGGATGAATTTAAATCAAATATACTTTAATATTACTATTAATATTATGAACATAAATAATGACTGTATTTATACACTTGCTATATTCGATAGCCTTAATTTAAACGATATACATATATCACGTATCGATTAAATTTTGTTACACCCCGAACACGCCCAGTATTTTATCAAAGCCGTAGTCAATATTAGAATTCTAAAAACTAAATACCACTGAACTAGTTTGCCGACTATTTTTTTGAAAGGTACAGGTATAGAACGGAAGGTACCGGCAATTGAGCACCGGTATCATATTAAAAACACAAAAGCTATAACAAAGTATAATATTAGCCGTTTTCGTTTATTATTGTGAAAGACTAAAGTACCAGAAGCACACAACTAATTTTAACCTGATAATACTATGCAAAACTCATATGAAATGTATATGCAATAAATTTTTAAATATATATTTATGTCCAAAGATAATTAAGCAGACTTCTACTCCGTAACGACGATGATAAAGTGAGCCAGCTTGCTAATTGAACAGATTAGGCCTGAATGTTTTAAACATTTTTCAAATTGTGATGCCTCAAAAATCCCAATATATTGAAGACAATGTTTTTAGCACAAGTAACTGAAGTAGTAATAAAAATAAGGTGGGTATTTCTGCAACTGTTGGTTCTGCGTCTTCTGCCTATGTCGATATTTTTAAAAACATTTTATATTCGAAATAAATAATGTTAACAACGAACAAAATTAGGTTACAATTTCCTCAAAAGCGATAATTTTTTGTGTTGTTAGAAAAATAATCTGTCACCTCTAGGATCGATAAGAAGTTTAAAGAATAAAATGACAAATTATAAATTCGTTCTATTCCATTTAGTTCCAATAAAAACTTCGATTTTAAATTGGCATACATATAGTTTAATGTTATTCCTGATTTTATTTTGAACAACACGCGTAATAGCATGGATTTTATTGACGACTTCATTGAGGAATACAAATGCAATCCATGTCTGTGGAAGGCGGACTCCGCAGATTTTAGAAATAGGTAAATATATCAATTTATATGACTTTCTGGATATTCTGAAAGATCTATTGAACACCTTTGTTTTTTCTTACGTACAGAAATAGGCGCCAGGAAGCATATCTAAAACTAATTGACGTTGCTACAAAACATGGTGAGGTGTATAATGTGGAAAGAACTAAACAGAAAATAAATAACTTGCGATGTGCATTCCGACATCAGCTAAGAAAATATAATGAAGTTAAAAAGAAAGGAGAAAAATACGAGCCGTATTGTCCAAAACGGAGATATTTTGAATCGCTTATGTTCTTAAAAGACGAAGAAATACTAGAAAAGAAGTCAAAACGAGAAGACAATCCACCTCCACAGACAAGCTTTACAGAAAACACAACAACGCTAGTACAGGCCGAAAATTGTGATGAACTCTCGGATCCTGAGAACTTGCCAAAACAAGCTAAACAAAACGAAAACACCAAATTATCGCCTAGTACAAGTGCAACTGAATTTTGTGCCAATATATTTGAGGAGGCAGACGGTGAACCTCTAATTAGCATTCAATCAGTTAACTCTACTAACCATAACCACGCATCCGGACCCACCGTAAAGGAAGTAGAAATTATATTGCCAACGAATAATTCGAATAACTCGGGTCGAAGAAAATCAATGCAGGACCCTTCCTTTACGAGTTCATTTAAAGACAAAAATAATTCCGGCTTGCAAATAATAGACGTAGACGTGGATAAACGGATTAGTGATCATCAGAAATACAAGAAGACCCCTCGAAAACGGTCGTCTTCGGTATCATCTCATGCATCAGAAAATAACGAAGTACCGACCGGAAAATTCTTTAAAGCAGATATATCTAGTATTGATTTTGAACGTCTGTTTTCATTGGCATTAAAAAGTGCAGACAACCACCTCGACGATCATTTCACAAATTTTGGTAAAATAATTGCGCACAAATTGCGGGGAATGGAACCTACGCAAGCTATTTATGCAGAAAAAATAATTGCTGATGTTCTATATCAGGGGCAAATGAAGATGTTGTCAACGTTGAGCATACATCAGTTTTTAGGTGTAGATAATGCCACTGTATACGTTGAAAGCCACAGTAAATAATTTTATATCAATATAAATTAGTAAACATACATAATTAAGTATGTATCATATATAAGTATGAATAGTTTAATATAAATATTTAAAAAAAACTAATAAAACAAAATTAAAATATTTTCATTGATCTAAATCGACTCCGCATTTATAAATGTAAACAATTTGTGTGTTTTGATGTTTTTCTGTTAGCCCTATTTTCACTAAATAATCTGACAACATTTTACGACTATTTTAAATGTCAATTCTTACCGTTTTGTTACCAAGTTTTAAACATTTATTTTTATTTTTGCAATGTCCTCAGTAGATACTAAAGGTAGGCTTACGTATATATAATAAATTGAAAAAATAATTGCTTCTGAGAATACTTTTCAAAGTTTTTTTTATCGACACAATTAAATAGCTTAAAGATCTATTTAAATTAGCATGTCCTGATTTACAGATTCGAAATTCACGTTCGAAAACTAACCAGCAAAAGATATTTTATTTTACAAACGAGCTTAAGTTTTTTATTTCACATTTTAACTGTCGATAAACGAAATATAAAGACCCAAGGTAAAAATATTTGCAACTATACAAAGGATCCTACAAACATATTTCCATGAGACGTATGATATTCGCAAATATTTCTTTAGCAAATAGGTATGTATTAGATTTTTCTTGAACCTCAAGAAATTTCTGTCAGTGCTAAAGATTACGTACACCCTGTAACTTCAATTAACGGCGCATGCTCCATATCCGTAGAATACACATAACATAAATCTGTTTCTATTATACACTTCCCCATTGTGCTGATAAATTCAAATTTGTTTAGGGATATAATAAAAATTTAGAATTTGTGAAAAACTAGAACATAGTAATGTTTTCAATTACTCGAATACAAATTTTATTATCCTGTATTATATTAGTTCAACTTTTACTTTCGTCAAATGTTCACGCCGATGAAAAAAACATAAACAAACTTTTGAACAATCAGGTCATTGTCAGTCGCCAGATAATGTGCATTCTAGAGAAGAGTCCATGTGATCAACTAGGACGCCAATTGAAAGGTAATGAGACCTTGATTTTTATTATTGTCTTATTTGAATATGTATATAAAAAAGCCTCTAAAAGAAAATTAAAACAAGTAAAAAAGCTAAAGTCGGGTGTCCCGACTTTGAAATACTCTGTACATATGTTTACAATAATTATAGAAAATAAAAAAAATTAAGAAAATAAAAAAAAAAATTTGATCGATTTTACCTCTCTCGGTATTCGAACTCACGTAAAGGGTGTATAATTGCACATTTACATAGCAATTGCGTCTGTGTGAGTGTATGTATGCCTATGCGCATTAATTCGTGTCTGTGTAAGCATTTTCGCAGTCAACCAAACAGCAACATCAACAACAGCCGCGGGCAGCGCTTGAGCAGCGCTGCAGCAGCGCTGCATCAGCAAATATATTTATGGCTATAACTTCTTGTTAAATCGGTCTATCATAATGAAATTTGGCATACGGACATATAATAACTAACTGGGGGTATTTCCAAAATTTTAGTTCGAAATTCCAAGAATTACGGGAGTTACGATTTGCGGGGTAGAGGGGGGAGGGAGGGGAATTCCAAAATATACATTTTCTGCGTATTCACATAAGGCATCTGGGACTAAAATTTGGTGTTCCTAGGTCTTATAGTCTCCGAGATATAGGCGATTATACGAATGGAAAATCGGGAAAACCCCCATAGGGGGGAAGTGGGGGGGAAAATCAAAAAAATAAAACAAACTCGTATAGAATACACACATAACGCATCTTCGTGCAAAATTTGGTGTCTCTATCTCTTATAGTCTCTGAGATCCAGGTGTTCATACGGACGGACAGACGGACAGACAGACAGACAGGGCTAGATCGACTCGTCTCGTCATGCTGATCAAGAATATATATACTTTGTGGGGTCTGCCACGCCTCCTTCTGCCTGTTACATTTTTCAGCTCCCGCAAACCTAATATACTCTTGTACATTTCATGTACAGAGTATAAACATGCGTGTTTTATCCTGCACCCAGAGGGTAAAAGGGTATACGAGTGAAAATAAGTCCAGAGGACTACGTGGTTCCAATGGTGAGTTATCTTAGAGGCTCAAGGTGTAAGTCCGCAGGAGAAACGACATTTGACTCGCCAATTCGGCAGGGGCTTTTAATGCAAATTTATATCAACCCTTATATGAGTACTTTACAAAAAATATATTTATTTTCTTGATGCTTAAGTTCTATGTATGTACTACGATTCAACGGCTTATCATTCGAAATAATGTCATTTATCCAAACGTAAAAAGCTTCTTATATTTCTAACCATGATGTCACTGGCCATCTCATCTCCCTATTATAAATTTATTGTGATTCAATTGTTAATTATATTGTGTCCCTTTTCAAACCATTTCTTATTTTCAGCTGCACTTCCAGAAGTTATAACTAGAAAATGCCGGAATTGTTCGCCCCAGCAAGCTCAAAATGCACAAAAATTAACCGCATTTTTGCAGACTCGTTATCCTGATGTATGGGCGATGCTAATTAGAAAATATCAAAATGCCTAAGTGTGTTACATGAATATTGTGTATATGTTTATGGCTATAAAATGAATATTTATTAATAAAAATTTAAAAAATGCTCATTCATCAACCAAAACTATTAAAATCTATATTTACAGACACATCATCAAAAATATACTTATATTCTGAGCAGGCACTATCATATATTCTTAAAATTCTCGCAGATCTGGTTAGTTATCTAATTCGTTTAGTGAACCCCCCCAACTACTTGCGCCGACATACATATATAGGTCTTACTGAAAATAAGAATTTTTTCTGAAATTTGGTTATCCGTATAAAAATTTGACACAATCACATCGAAGTTTACTTTTTAATTTCTTAAGTAGCTGACCAACATTGACAAAATTAAATTTTATTTTATGAACGATTATGGGTAGCAATATCGCTTGGAGGGAAGTATGTTGGTTCGGTGTTCGATTTTGGGAAACGGCTGAGATAGCGTTCAAGGCGCAAAAATTTAATTGATATTAGACGCTTGTCGAACCACCATCCATTGATCTCGCTATGGACTATTCCAGCATCTGCCTCACTGCCGCAACGGAGATACACGCAACAAGATTGTGTGTCTAACTGGATATCGCATATTTTGCAACGTGAGCCGACCTTTTCAAAGATTGCATCCACGATTTGCTGCTTCAGGTTTGGATTGTCGACCTCCGCAGGTTCGATCATGTGCCTAATTTTTAAACAAGACGTAGGCGGCTTGGTAATCTTGTTTGTATTATCAAATGCAGGACTATGCCACTTCTTAGTCACGCCTATCTCCCTGTTATCCACATTTCCATTCCACGCCATCGTTCGAAGTTTCTCCCCATTACGTATAACCATTCCGAACAAAACATGGTTCTCAGTTTCCTCTATAATTTTAACTGCTCTATTCCAAGTATGAAGATATTTAGAACGCTTGCCCTGTGGCAAAAGCTTTTCTTGCAGTTGATTTATGGTTACTTCAGAGTTCTCAGATTGTGAACTCGAGTAAATCAATTCACTTATTATTTCCCTGGATAGTTTTTCGGCTGCGAATAATCGTTCTTTTTTGATCTTTCGGTAAGTGGATACAGCATAGTAAATAGCCAGGCAACTTCCCAATATAACGATTATTGAGCCAATAATTGTAAAGAAACGAGCTAGTTTTTTAGAAATAATGCACCTAAGGGGTAAATTTGGTTGCATCATTTCGAACGATAAATAACTTAATGAACTGGGAATTTGTTCCACTGTGGTATCAGATGGTTTAATTATTTTTATCATCCACTGTGGATTCTGGGTTATCAGATATTTCGCAGCAATTAGTTTGCTTTGCAGGCTTGGTATATGTGTGCGGCTTTCTCCACTTAACTGCATTATAAATTCGCTCATTTCAATAACGGGACTGAGATTTCCATTCAAGCAGTGATGTTGTCGTGCACGTTCGTTTAAAAATTTAAATAGGGCTTCGGTTATTTGCAAAGCACTTTTTAACATATCACTTCCGATGCACATTATTTGATCTGATACCAATGGGACGTCCACGTCGTTTGGGCCACATAATTTGTATTTAACAACCGTTTGATCAAGTAGGTTTTGATCCGATTTTTTTGAAATATATAGTACTATAATTATTGCCAGAAAGATAAGCAATGCAGCTATAAGAACCTGAGGTATTGTGTACTGATTGAGCTCCGGTTTCTTAAAAAAGTCCCTTAAGTCCGACATTCCAAGACGCCTTGCTGTGACGCTGTCGGTTCTTGTGTGGTTCTTGGAAACATGTACAGTATAGGGTCCTCTTGGGTTAAATTTCCTTTGAATCGTAGTATCCCGAAAACTAAGCAGTCTGTTTACAACGCCCCCATCAGAAGAGCTGGTAATTGAATTTGGTTTTGCGTATGAATTTGAGGTATCTATGGGGCAGGGTATTGGACAGATATTACGATATTTGCTGGCGCTATTTATTGGATCTCCATCGCTGTCATAATCAGACGCCACAACTGGTGGTGGAGCGTACATGCGAGTTGTTAATATGGTAGGACCAAGTTCTTCCGAGTTGTCCAAATTTTTATTGTAATTTCTTAATCCGTTATTGTTTTCCAAAACATTTCCATAAACGCTTTGTTTCATAGGGAAAGATGGTTGATCCCACGCAGAAGAGGTATTTCTATTGTGCATGTCGTTTGAGTAAACAACATAGTTTGATGATTTTCTCTTTTTCAACTTCTCATTCTTCACATGTTTCTTTAGTTTTCTTATTAAAATCGGCCGCGTGGTTTCAGTTACCGGTGTGCTTGGAAAACCATGTTGTAAAAGTTTTCTATGCAACTCAACGTCGCTCAAGTGATTTAGGCTTTCTGTCGACATCCGTGCTAAAATTTCGAAATTGATTATAAATAAACATATCAATAAATGTATTCTACAGACAATATGCATAATATGAGTATTCACGCATGTCTTATTAAAGTTCCCTGATATGTATACAAAACCAATCACATGCATAAATATTCATACATGCATATGTACATACATCTGTAATTAATATGCATACGTTTGTGTATATATAGTATGCATATAGCGGACTACGTTACCTATCACATGAACATAAACGCTAATGTTATCCTTTCCTATAAAAGTACAACTGGTTAGCATATTATTATTACTTCATAAATTTATCTTAAATTTTCTACGCAAACTACTTACAAATTGAGTCAGTATTAAGCTGTACTAATTGCCAAAAAACAATGTACAGCAGGTAATTATGATTAAAACTATGTGAAATTAAAGACGTTTAAAGTTATAACAATGTGAACAACGTCCAAGCGCTATGGAGTTCTCAGGGACAAGTGGAATGGAACATTGAAATGTATTCACTTTTAGAATATTCGTACGCGCGAACTAGGGATGCACGAAGAGTCATTATACATAAATCTCTTATTTTAGCTGCTATACAAATACATCATTTATTTCCTTAAATTATGTTTGAACGTTTCTTCCCTTGATTTAAATGAACAATATCTCTGTTGGTTAAACAAAAAATTTGCCAATGCAATATAAATGCAATATATATATATACAAAATGTGAAAAAATTCCATATCGATAATATAGATTATTTTAAAAATACTATTTTTGTAGTAGAGCATGGGTCGTAAGCCGTTCTGAAAACGTCGTGTTGATTTTTGATGAAGTCACCAGCTATCCTTGAATTCGCAGCTGTTTAATATTGATTTTCTGGTATCACCAATAAACTGTAAAGTAATTGCGGTATTTTTAATATGTTAAAAACTGAAGCATATGTTGTTCAGTTCTAATATATTGTTTTTAATTTCATGTATGTGAGTTATATAATTAAATTAAAATCGCTTATACATTGCAATAAATATAATGTAAATAATAAAATATCAAAAAGGGTATATACTTATATACAGCATAAAAGTAATTAGAATTACAAGTTATCTTAAGTAATTTAATCTATACCAACGTGGCCGTAAGCTTAACTTATAGATAATATAATATGCACAGAAATGTAATGGAAATATAATTATTTTCATGTTTAATATGGAATATTATATATTATTATACATATTATAATATAGAGAATATTCAACAATCTTCATTTTTATCTTGAGTGTTTTTCTTTTTATGGACTATGGTCACACTTTCCACGATTGGTAGATACATAAGTTTGGAATTACTAAAAAATTGCATTATTCTGTGCCTTTTTTAAAGGCATGTATTTATTAAAATATAACTAATTAAATTGTTCAAAACAAGTTTAAATAATATTTTTGTATTTTAGGTTCTAACGTATGTTGTTAAGCATATTACGGTAGGAATGAATCGTAGAGGTTTGAATGCTGGAAATACGATGACTTCTCAATCAAATATTGACGACAGTAGCTGGAAGGGAGTATCTGAAAACACAAGCATGTTACCCTCTTCAAATCCGTCGGCTCTTAATCCAGATGGTAGCAATCAAAGCGGGTTTCCCCAGGGCGGACTACCATACAATTCTAGTGGCAATCCATATCCACAAGCTGGCCAATCATCTCCTGCTGGAAATCAGGGAATGGTATTTCAAAACACTAATCAGCCGGGATCAAATACGCCTCAATATACCTCTTCTCCTGCGCCTTCGGGCTCATCAACACCTGGCCCAGTTGGCTCACAAAATTTGCCGGGCAGTTACCCGCAATCATCGACTTCGGGCAATTTTAACGGACCTGTTGGAGGACCATTTGGATCTCCTTCATCAGGCTTGGGACCCTTCAGTCGACCAGCAAGTTCAGGCACGCCGTTCAATAGCGGACAAGGAGGGCATTTTTCGTCGCCAACTGTTTTTGGTGTTGGAGGTCAATTTAATCCGATGCCGCCAGCTTCCCCGTTTGGTCATGGCGGAAACCATCCTATGATGGGAGGTCCTCAGCAAATGGAAAGAATTGATCAAGGCTTTAGAAGGCATAATTCATACTTCAGTCATACGGAGCACAGAGTCTTCGAATTGAACAAACGTCTACAACAACGAAATGATGAAAGTGACAATTGTTGGTGGGACTCGTTTACAACGGAGTTTTTCGAGGATGATGCTAGGTTAACCATACTTTTTTGTTTGGAAGATGGGCCAAAGCGTTATACTATTGGTCGCACGTTGATTCCACGTTTTTTCCGGAGTATATATGAAGGTGGAGTGTCTGATTTATACTTTCAATTAAAGCACGCTAAGGAATCGTTTCATAATACATCTATAACTTTGGATTGTGATCAGTGCACAGTAATAACCCAACATGGCAAACCGTTTTTTACGAAAGTTTGTGCGGATGCAAGACTGATTTTGGAATTCATGTATGATGACTATATGCGAATTAAATCTTGGCATATGACCATTAAAGGGCACCGAGAGCTTATTCCTAGATCTGTAATAGGCACATCACTTCCTCCAGATCCAATGCTTCTAGATCAAATAACAAAGAATATTACTAGAGCTGGAATAACAAACTCAACATTGAACTATCTTCGATTATGTGTTATACTTGAGCCTATGCAGGAACTTATGTCGCGTCATAAGGCATACGCACTAAGTCCACGGGATTGTTTAAAAACGACGCTGTTCCAGAAATGGCAACGTATGGTAGCCCCTCCTGGTAAAAAAGATCCTCAACGCCCGCCCAACAAAAGACGCAAAAGGAAAGGTTCAAATTCCGGTGGTGGCAACAACACAAACACACCACCCGTAACAAATCAAAAGAGGTCGCCTTCAGGGCCCAGTTTTTCCCTGTCTTCACAAGATGTGATGGTTGTAGGTGAACCAACGTTAATGGGAGGTGAATTCGGCGAAGAGGATGAGAGGCTAATAACACGCTTGGAAAATACACAATACGATGGAACCAATGCCGTAGAGCACGACAACCACTCCGGATTTGGTCATGCTGATTCCCCAATTTCAGGCTCGAACCCATGGAGCATTGAGAGGTCAGGCGCTATTCCAGCTAGTCCTGGAAATGGAGCTGCTCCACAGAACAATGCAAATATAGCAGATATAGACAAAAAGAGTCCCATTGTATCGCAATAGAATTCCATACCATAATTGCATATTTCGCTGTATTGTCAAATGTATTTTCATACTTGCATGTAAAAATAACTTGAAATAAAGCTCACAAGTTTTAGGAAATGTAAAAATATCTACATACTATAAAGTTACCATTTTTTATTAATTCAATGGGAAGATATAAAGTCCATCAGTTTTGGGAATCTGCATTCATTTATATTTTTTAATCGAGCATTAAAATAATATTTGAAAACAAGGCATTTGTTTTAATCATCCGTGCTTGATTTAAGTTGCTCAGTAGAATTGTTTATTGTAAAATCAATGATTGGGTCATTTACTTATTTGGACAGTTTATTCCTAGTAAAAGATATCTTTCATGTGACAAAGTAAAAACGACAATCGTATTAAAAATAATTGCCACAAAGCTACGTTTATTTCTTATAAATAAGAAATTACTCTAGTTTTTGTCGAACTTATTTATTAAATGATTTGGGTTCTGTGCGGTCTCGCCTGTCTCCAAATGTTTTATAAGCCGGTACAAAGCAGCGGCCTCCTTAATTTTACTAAATCCCACACAAAATGCCTCGATTTCGATAAACAAATCCTGAAATTATAAAAGATACAATTGCGTTACGAAAATTTTGGTTGTAAGAAAATAAATAACTTTTAAATTATATTATATTCTTAAAAGTATAGAAAATAAATTAATGGTACAACCAAAAAATATGTACTTTTACAAAAATGATGACAAAAGCACTTACCTTAACATTAACGATTTTGTTTCTTATTAGGGACTGTAGAAACACACATACTAAGCGCACTAATCGCGATTGCATATATTTATCTTTAACAGTTTCGCAGGTAGTAATACATTTACTAATATATAAATGTAGAAATTCAGTCGGTAGTGGACCTGATGTCGTTAATCTGTAAATAAAGGATATTTTAAAATCATACATACAATATTGTATGGCAGAATAATGAAATCATAAAATTAAATGTACAGCCATTTCCGACTAATATTTATATCTCCCCTTTAAAAAAAGTTCAAATAAGAATGAATAATATATACTAGAATGAACCCTCTGATCTGTACATTCAGCATACATACATATGTATTACATACATACATATGTATTACATACATACATATGTATATGAACTTATGGAATAAATAACCAATTCGTGTTAGGTTACTTAAAAATTAAAAATACACCCAAAAGTAAATTATTTTGACTAGGGCACATACGAATGTAGGTATGTTTATGAACCTTTATACATACATACATGTACATACCGGTTTACTACTTCCATCGAATGTAATGTTATGTCCATGTTTACCAATATGTGAAAATACTCCGTTATGTCTGTAGTTTGCATCAGCTTGAGTAGAATTTCAATCGAAATAAGAGGATTGTTCTCCACTAATTGAGGCAACTGAACAGAGAAAAATTTGGTTAAGGCGCTAATTAATTTGGTTTTGATTGTCCTATAGACTTACTTTTGTTGGTGTCAATCCGTATTGATGTGCAATATTTTGATTCTCCCTAGGCAAATACTCACGTAGAATCTGTTGATCTTGAGGGCTAAGTGGCTGAATAAAGGCTTGTTCAATTAAGTGTTTTGTATTAGGAGTAACATAATTTGACTTGTCGTCAAAAAGGATCTTTGCACTGTTCGATAAAGATACATCAAACCACAAAAGCTCATCCTCAAAATTCATTAAAGGCGGTGCAATTGACAAAAACATTTTGGTTTATAACCTTAATACAAGTTTGACGGCAAGCACACTACATATAAATACCAAAAATGTATTATACAGGTTTTTATATAAAAGTAACGTTTTATCTAATTATTCTCCCCGCACGTTTACAGCGAGTTCAACAAAGTAATGTTTTTGTTTTAGAGCACCGATATTGTAGTAAGACTTTAATGCGCTTGTGATATCGAAAAGGTTCCACTAAATATCGATTGTTATCAGAATACTATGTGTTGCTGACATATCGGGAATTTTTAGCAATTGGGCCGAATTTCGCCTTCATTATTACAAAATAATTGTGCCGTTTTGTAAACAACTGAATAGTACTATAATTCAGTTCTGATAGCACTAATGTTCGATTAGCTAGTAGTTTTAAAACTCCGATCTAGCATGGACCGTAACAAGGGCACCGGCTCTAATAGAGCTTCCAAAAAAGTGCATCTCGGCGGAGAACTCTATGCACTGGGGACCAAAACCGGACGTGATGATACCAAGTCAAAAATAATGCCTGCAAAGTTGCCAGCATCTTCATCGTCAGAAAGAAAGAGGGAGGCATCAGCTAGCATTCCCAATCCGAGCAAAAGGTTTCGTGTTAGCTTAAAGGATACTGGTTGTGAATCTGGCACAGGGCAATATGAGTTATGGGAGCCAATGGCCGAAAATTGTGAATTAGTAAATGTTATTGAGAAGATCTACGAAGCTATTGAGCAAAATGACAATGAGTCAGTCGTAAAACTACTTTGCGGAGTTATTAAAAACGTTACCTGCAGTTCTTCTCGGGCCAAAGTGGACAACGTTGCAGTACTTGCATTAATGTACATCGCAAAATTGCAACCACATTTTTTTTACAATGACATCATTGTATGTGCACTTGTGTCTTTTTTGCGGCGCGAAGCTAATGTCAAAATGCGCTATAACATGAATCTACATATACTATTTACAAATTTATTGGCAAGAGGATTTGTAGACATTTCGCAGTGGCCGGACCTGTTTCTACGTACTTACATTGAGGACGCAATCAATGAGCGTTTTTGGGCAGACAACGAATACTGTACTCCCTTTGTCAAAAACATTTGCGCAGCATTTAAGACCCGAGCTCCACCACTAAGTTTATTACGTTGGGATGCGACTTCAATGACGTCGGGACAGGCTCACCGGGATAGTGTCATTGTCGATGATGATTCTGGAGATAATTCGACACAGAGTATGGATGCTAGTCCCACTCTTAACGCTGACTTGGAACAGATGACAGATGCTCTATGTGCTGTGAAACGAAGATTTACGGATAGTACCGTTCAAAAACTGGTTTGTGATGCCATTAAGGATCAGTTAAATAAGCGCCAGCAACAGGATAACTACACTAGAAATTTCCTTAAATTTCTGTGCACCACTTCTGGCATCGGAGAAGTACGATGTCTCAGCATTTCCCGATTGGAGCTGTGGATACATAATGGAAAACTTGTTAAATTTGCTCAGCAATTGCTTTCATATATATGCTTCAATATTAAAGAGAGAAGTTCTCAAGACAACGAAGTACTTTTGGTACTTGTAAAGATGCGATTGAAAACAAAACCCCTCATAAATCACTATATGTCGTGTCTCAAGGAAATGATATATTTGCAGCCAGATATACTGAGTACAATTATGAAACTGGTAGTACAAAATGAACTTTCGAATACCAGGAATCCAAATAATATGGGAATGCTTGGTAAGTAGATGCTTAAACATCCATGAAGACATATTTTTTTTCCGAAATAATAATTCGTACAGCTATCACACAGTCAATAAAGAACCCTATTTATATTAATACATGTATAACTTTTTATTTACAGCTACTATGTTTCAAACGTCACCAGATCAATCGGCTGTTAATCTAGCTGAAATTTATCAAGAGTTTTTACTTCAGCGGGATGATTGTTTACGGACTTTACGCGTCTTCCTTCGGGAACTTGTTAGAATGCTCCGTTTTGATGTAAACCTTGTGAAGTTTTGCAAAAGCTTTTTAAGTGAGAGGGAAGAACTAACTCCTCAAATCGAACAATTTGAATTCAGAGAGCGAATATTTCACTCCATGGTTGATATAGTTTGCCTGTGCATGTTTTTATCTGCGACCCCACAGGCACGTGAAGCCAGCTTGTCGCTAAAAACCAATCGTGACGTTAAAAACAACCAAGCTCTAATAAAGCTGTATAATCAAATGTCACAAATACAGTTGGATACCGTCTCGTGGATGTACGAGACGGTTCCAACACTTTTTAAAATACAAGGTACTGAGTACAATCAAGCATTACATAAGGTACTTTTATTGGACAATCCTGACCAATATTCGCGATGTGACCAATGGCCATCGGAGCCAGAAAGAGGAGCTATACTACGAATAATATCAGAAACACCTATTCATGAAGAGACCCTGCTACGAATAATTTTAATTGGCATAACAAAAGACATTCCGTTTTCGATTGCAAACACGTTTGATGTTTTGTTACTTGTAATTAAGCGTGTTTCTGGAATGAAGGCATCAAATTTTCCAGCAGTACAAGCAAATAAATTTGATATTATTGACTTTTTATTCAGTATGTCAGAGTACCATCATCCAGAAAACATACGGTTGCCGGCCGATTACGAACCACCAAAGTTGGCTATCATTGCATTTTATTGGAAAGCTTGGCTTATTTTATTAATGATATCTGCCCACAACCCCTCTACGTTTGGAGCATTTTGCTGGGACCACTACCCGACGATGAAAATGCTAATAGAAATTTGTATTACCAGTCAGTATAACAGTTCGGCGTCTACTAAAGAAGAGTTGCAGGTAAACTTTGAATTTTTTTTTTTAATATTCAACAATATTGAAATATAAAATATTTTAACTTTTCAGATTACGACAGTCGAAAGAGATCACATTCTTCAATTCGAAACGTATTTGGCCGCTCAAACTTCCCCTCACGCTATTATTACGGAGGAAAATGCCATCTTAATTACTCAGTTAATGCTTATGGACCCGATGGGAACACCTCGCAAAGTACCGAGCTTGGTTTTGGATCAACTTAAGTTTCTGAATCAAACATATAAGCTTGGTCATTTGTTTTGTCGCTGTCGGAAACCGGATCTTTTGCTAGATATAATACAAAGGCAAGGAACTACACAATCTATGCCATGGCTGTCGGACTTAGTTCAAAACAGCGAAGGTGATTTTAGTCATCTCCCTGTTCAATGTCTGTGTGAGTTTTTATTGTTTAATGCTCAAAGCATTAATGAAGAAAATAGCCGAGATGCCGAATTAGTCGATTTTCTTCGAAATCTAATAATGGATTCAAATCTTAATCATCACACAGTTTGTGAAGTTTTAGACTATATATTCCGTCGCCTGTCGTCTACTGTAAAATTGTCAAGAGTAGCTGCATTAGCTGGCTTAAAAATAATCTTCAAAAGCTCTGGTGAATTCGAAAACGAATGGTTGCTAAAATCCATTCAACATATTCCACATTTTGCTGAAGTGAAAGTTTTTATTATTCCACAACTTAGAGCTGCCTGCCAAGTAGAGAATAGTCCAGAACTTATCATGGCTTATATTCAATTTATAACGGCACATACTCTTAACGACCCCGTTAACGAAATGTTAGATCATGTAATAGACATGGCTCAATTAATCGTGGAGCGTAGCACCATGTTTCAACATATTATAATTTCTCAAGAAGATTACGATATGAACCCAGATGAGAACCGCATACAAACTCTGAAATGTCTCTTTGTTATGTTTAATAATTATATTATCAAGCTAAGAGAATACCATGAGCCCTACGAATGGACAGAATACCCGGACTTGTTAATGGTTCAGTTTGATGATGGTGTCCAACTACCTCTGCATATCAATATAATACATGCATTTATTATCCTTCTCACATACTCAAGTAGAAATATGCCTGAATCAATACCGATCCTCGATTACTGGTTTCCTCCAGGAAGACCAGCTCCAGTGGCATTTTTGCCGAACATGCCCCAAGAACCAATGCAACTTTTGCCCGATTGGCTAAAGCTTAAAATGATTCGTTCCTCAGTAGATCGGCTTATAGAAGCTGCACTTCATGATCTTACGCCAGATCAAATCGTACTTTTTGTGCAAAATTTTGGAACACCCGTCAACTCAATGTCAAAATTGTTAGCCATGCTGGACACTGCAGTGCTGGAACAATTCGATTCAGTGAAGAATGCCATTCTAAACAAAGCATATTTGGCACAATTAATTGAAATTCAACAGGCCCGTGGCGCTAAAAATGGTCATTATACAGTCCAAGCACTTGACTTACATTCACATTCTCAAACCGTTCCCGATCTTCCAAAAATACATGTGCATATTTTAGAAAACGTTCATATTGATAGTTACGAGTCGAAACCAGTTGATAGGGAGAGCGAAGATTATACAGCGAATGAAATTATAAGCACTATTGTGAGGAATCCACAAAATGTTAGGCTTCAAAACCATCAATATCGGGGTATAATTCACAATTTTCTAGACCTTGTTATAAGTCCTCCAAAGGATGAGTCTGACCTTTTCACTTCTATATCTGACATCATTGCATTACGTTCATCCGATAATAGAAACGAAGTAGAATTTAGGCAATCTATTGAAAAAAGTCGCCTGACGTGCACATTTCTAAGAACATTTTTTAGTTGCAGACTCGAAAGTGAAGACTATCATGCTATCAAAAGTACATTACAAACGAATATTCACATCGCAAACAAATTATACGATACTAATTTGGCTTACAAAACTCAGATGTATCTCGAAAGTTTACTTTTCATGATAGAAAGCTCAAATGAAATGTATAATAACAAATATAAAAACAAGTTCTCTCCGGCACAGAGGAAAACAATTGTCAAAGGCATTATTGATAGTTTTCATAATTATCCAAAACTTAGCATAAAAACGGAAACAACAAACAAAAACCATCTTCTTTTCCATAATGGCCTTTTTATAGATTGGCTGGCGGAAGTAGATCCGGAAATTGTAGCCACCCAGCTTTTGAGGGAACGCTTTTTATTTTCAAAATCGTGTAGTGAGTTTCGTTTTTACCTTTTATCACTTATAAATCACCAAACCAATTGGGACACAATTGAGCGTATAGCTCAATCCTTGTTTAAAGAACACCACGTCGACTATGATTATAGCACGGTGCTTAATTATTTTGAGGCTCTGACTACCAATCCCAAACTTTGGAAAGGTCGCGAGAAATACATGTCGAAGAATGTACAGCCCAATGACCTTTTTGTGCTCAATTCTTCCGAATTGGAAACATTCACTGAATTTATTCTCAACGAAGGCATTGCTGAAATGAAAGCTGAGAACTCAAATTATGATTTCAAGTTGTGCTCACGAATGAATCTTTTATTTAAACTCACTGAAAAGAAAAGAGGAGCAATTGTTAAATTTGTTGAATATGTTCAAAAGAGTTCAGTTTCTGAATCCTTAAGGCTTCAAGTTTTGCAACAATTATATATCATGTATCCTCGCATTAAATTCTTGAATTTACCAAATGCTGGCGAAAAAACATATAAGCTTCAAACTCTTAAAGGTTGCCAGGCTGATAAAATTTCAAATAACTTGATAACTTGTTTGGGTAGTTTGATAGCAAAAAAAGATTTCGAAACATTGTCCACAGACACAGAGCTATTAATTCGTAAATTGGCTGCTTCCCATCCAACACTATTTCTCCGTCAACTAAGTGTATTGTCTTCTGTAATGCAAGGAAGAGCTCAAAATAGTATGAAGGCTTTGAGAGAAGAACATCACTTCCATCGATTTGTGCAAATACTTAGGACGTTGGAACTGTTACAACCAACTATTTTCGATGATGTATATAAGAACGAAATCCAAACTACACTCGCATGCTATTTCACGTTTTTCAAGCATCATAGCTCTGTTAAAGAGGCGTGCCAGATGCTTATTAAATTTGTGCAAGTACTACAATCATATATATCCATTAATCCAACAAGCGCGTTACTTTTTATCGAACAATACGTAGGTATTTTAATGGAACTAGCAGCAAAATATACATCCATTTCAAAATTACAAGTTCTTGTTCAATCTGTTGCTTTGCTTCAACATAAGTCTAACACGTCTTCTGAGCTCGATGATGAAGAAGTTAAGTACGAGTATGAGCTGGACGAGAACCCGGATATAAAACCTAGCAACAAAACTGTTATTGGCGATGTTGAACCAATTGAGGGAAATCAAAGCACTGCTCAGATGGATTCGGGGCGATCGTCCTCTTCGGCGTTAACGCTGGGTTCATACAGCAGAGAAAATCTGGCGGATATATCGCCGCATTTTCTTGAACTAATCAAAATAATTAAACAGTCAAATATCGAAGAAATAGTTTTGGGGCCGTTGCAAGAAATCGAATGCATGACCTCAAAACGTTTTGTGTTTATAAATGAATTATTTGAACGATTACTGAACCTAATATTTTCGCCCAGTGCACAAATACGATCAATAGCTTTTATAATTTTAATAAGACACTTAAAACACAACCCCGGCAATTCAGATATAAATCAGTGCGCATTAAATGCTTACATTCAATGCTTACGAGATGAGAACTCTTCTGTGGCAGCAACTGCTATTGATAATTTGCCCGAAATATCAGTCCTTCTACAGGAATATTCAATAGAAATTTTATCTGTAGCGTTTTCTCTCGGTATAAAATCTTGTCTGAACACAAGCACGCAAATAAGAAAAGTTCTTCAAACATTAGTAATTCAACATGGGTATTAATATATAAATATATATGTATTTTTTTACATGCATCGTATTATATGCTTGTACAAAAATATCGAAAATTTTTTAACTAGCTATACCCAAAAAATATAAAATGGAAAATTGTAAAAATCCTTGATCTGCGTACAAAACCTGTAAACTTAATTTCAATTTAAAAACAACAAATGAAAACCCTTAATGAAATATCTTACCAATTAATTATTTTGTTATTAGGTGTAATCATCATATGAATAAATAAGTGATCGTGTATTTATTTTAAATCGTTATATTATTTCACATTTTAGTGCATTAACGGAATAATTAATTTAAATGTAGATGGGGAAAACATTTTTCATTGTTTTTACATTTATCAAACACTTTTTTCTTTGTAAAGATTTGGGAAGCAAATTGTGTAGTCGATTTGCATGACTAGTGGATCGCAAATGACCATGGATGAAATTGAATAAAAATAGTTTCTAATAAATGATAAATTAATACGAAAACAAAAGATATACATATACAGGGGTGCGCCATCTATTATCTCGCTATGCAAACATTGAATATCCTTGAACATAAACAACCGATTTTCAAGTGAGATATTTTTTTTTAATTTGGATCTGTACAATTTTTTGAACTGAGGTTTTCAGCACTGTTCTACTCAAGTCAATCGGTTCACTAATGACAAAGTTATTCAATATCACTAACCATACAACATGTATGGTTAGTGTCAATATCTACATACCGACATAAAAGATGACGCACCCTGTACTTCGCGACCGATCACAATCAAGGAAAATGTTTGGTTCTGATACAATAAAGAGTATAAAGCTTCAGCGCTGCTAAAACAGGGTATTAAAAATATTCAAATACATTGAGCATTATCGTGGATGGGATGCATTTAGCTGGTGATGGATGTGAACGATAATCGATAGTTTCGATACCGATATTTTAGATTATTTTTGTATGTTGTGTCTCATTCCCCTTTGTTAGTTTTTCGATTGATGACAACAATTGATTTTCCGAGTACAATATAAAGTTTTATAATATCCGTATTAGGATTAGGGCATTATCATGGCTTCTAAGAAAATTGCCGAAGCTGAGGAGCTAGTCCGCATGGCCGAAAAAAGGTAAATGTAAAGAGCTGTTTTAGATTTGAAAGAACCTCCAATTAAAAAAACAAATCTATAGCTTAAAGGTATCTTTATTAAAATGGGCCCCTGACTATGACAGCGCCGCTGATGAGTATTCCAAAGCAGGTGTGTACATGTGTGCATTATCACTACTATGTAAATAGAGTTTTACTACTGCCACCATAATTATCCACGTATCATGTATATGTATACATACAGGGTGCGCCATCTTTTATGTCGGTATGTAGATATTGAATAACTTTGTCATTAGTGAACCGATTGACTTGAGTAGACCAGTGTTGAAAACCTCAGTTCAAGAAATTGTACAGAACCAAATTAAATAAAAATATCTCATACTTGAAAATCGGTTGTTTATTTTCAAGGATATTCAATGGTTGCAAACCGACATAAAAGATGGCGCACCCTGTACGCATGTAGTATTTGTGGGTGTGCATGTGTTGTCATTCAAATTTCAATATGTACATATGTATGTATATACTTTTATACGAACATACCAAATCTTGAATTATTAACTCTCGGTATGATCTACATACATATGTGTATGTACAATTTTTTGCTCCATGCCTGTCGACTAACCTATCAAGTAGAATCCCTGTAACTTTTGGGAATTATGTATATTAAACCCTACAATTACGGTTTTCTTTAATTAAACCTAAATATATTGTTCTTTAAGAGTATACATAACTAGTGTACTCTGTATTATGTTTATACTTATTCATTTTAATCCACAGGCACTGCATATCGAATAGCGAAGTCGTACGAAAAAAGCAAGGATTGTTTTTTAAAGGCAATCGAATGTTATAAAAACAATAAGTCCTGGTTCCATGCCGCGAAGTCATATGAACAGGTGAATTTAATTAATAACATAATTTTCATTAACTAACTCTTTTTTGTATAATAACTCTCAGTAGTTTGCCCAACTTAGTTACGTAGTTACTGTACCCTTTTTTTGTACTTTACTTATGTACTTCTTTGCAGATTATTTTACTGATGAAAGATATGGATAGACTGTCTGAGATAGAAGAATATGCCAACAGGGCCTGCAAACTATATCAACAGTATGGCTCCCCAGAAGCTGCAGCTGCTGCATTAGATAAGGCAGCTAAATTAACTGAGCAAAAACATCCTGAAATGGCACTACGGTTTTATCAGCATTCATTAGAAGTCATATTGGTAAGAAAGCATACATATACTTGAACGAAACTGGTTTAATTTAGTGAATTTTGTAACGAAATTTCGAACTCGTAATTCAGCAATCCACTTTTTATTTCAAGGTATTAAATTGTAAAATACCTTTTATGGGAATTATGCACATTTTTCGCAATTACAATTTCAAATAACAGCAGTTATTTCACTTAATAAATTCTTCAAATTATACAATACTTTTAGATTTTTCTTAAATATCATAAAAAAGCACATTTACAACAATTACTAATGCAGTGATGTTGTATGTACACACATTTAATTGCAGATTGAAGATTCTACCCGACAAGCGTCTGAGATCGCATCAAAAATTTCAAGAACTCTAGTTAAACTAAATAAGTACGTACATGCGAATTCATTAGTTTACTGTGATTTCGACACAGAGACATATCATTTCTACACACTACACTAAACGAGAATAAAAATTTAACGAAGCATATATCCCACCCATTAATTGTTTTAAAATGTTTTTACTGAAAAACTTAATAAAATCGTTATTTTTCCAGGTACGATGAAGCTGCTCAAGCCCTAAAAAAAGAAATTGGCTTAAATATGAAAACGGAATCGTATGGACAAATTGGCCGCTTGGTTGTGGCATTAGTGTTGGTTCAGTTGGCCCGTGGGGACTCTGTCGAAGCAGAAAAGGCATTTCGAGAATGGGGTAATTGTTGTGAGCGCGAAGAAGTTGGAACGTTGCAAACACTTCTACAGGCTTTTGACGAAGAAGATTCAGAAGTAGCTCAGAAAATGTTAGGTTCTCCTTTTATAAAACATATGGATGTTGAATATGCAATTTTAGCCAGAAAAATTCCATTGCCACAAGGCATACAAATAGAGAAACCCAACACACAAGGAGCCAATGAAACGGTTGATGTAAGTATATTGGGTACATCTGTAAATAAACGTTTCTTATCTATTATATTATTAGTATAGTATATAGTAACTAACAGCAATAAGCTAGAGTATGCGCTGGAAAATAAGCAAATGCATGCTATTAAATTAATATTCCACTCAATCGCTTATTAATTTATATATTTTTTTATACTTTTAAATTTCAGGCCGTCAACAGTGTCGAAGAAGAAGATGAAGGCGGTTTGTGTTAAAATATAATATAAATAGTTTAAATATTCCCTTTTATTATTGATAAAGTTACAATATTAATCCATTTAGTAAATATAAATATTGCAATGCAACTGTTACGAAATAATATTAAAATATTTATTTCCTTAGATAAGCATATACATTCATACATACATATATACATATGTACATATGTATGTATTTAGTAGTTATAAATGCGTTATAAAATCAACAGCATTTCGATCTCTTTAAATAAATAAAGCATTCCTTAAAAAGCTTTACTGTTTGGCTCTTGAGAAACCCTATTTTATTTAAAAGCATTGCGACAATTACCTTATCATGCGGTCAAGAGGATCCTTTTAAAAAAGACCGGGGCCATTTAGGATGGATAGGGCAGATTGCCTACACCGGTTTTTCAGCTTCATTTGATGTTCCACGGCGTAAAAAACACAATGTAACGAGATGAATAATACTTAGTAAGTTGTCACTTGTAGTCGTCATAAAACTATTGGTAACAACTTGGTGTAAATTCGCATAGTGTGACCAAACAAACTGCAAAAAACAATTTGTTTTTGCAGCTTCGTAAACAGTTGTTTGATATTCCTCGGCGTAAAAACACTATGTAACGAGATGAATAATACTAAGTAAGTTTTGACTTGTGATCGTCATAAAACTATTGGTAACAACTTGGTGTAAATTCGCATAGTGTGACCAAACAAAAAACAGTTATGTATTTTTAAATAAAGAAATTAATGTGAATATTGAATTCAATTGTATTATTTGGCCGTTTTCCTGCAGCAAATAAATAAATTATTAAAAAAATAACACAACCCATATGAATATAATTTATAAATTTCGTGCTGGCCGCAGATCTCACATAGAGGTTTTTGTTTTAGTTTTTCAACCGGTTTTATGAATACAAAAGCCGAATTTCTGGCTCGAAACCAGGGTCAAATTAATCTTCAGTTACAAATGAAAATGAAAAAAAAGGAATGCGATCAATGATATGCTTTGATATAGTACAAGTATGTATACACAAATTTATATGCATTTCATACATACATGCATATGTTTGTACCAAACACACACACACAAGCAGAAAAGTAATGGAGGATGAGAAAAATTAGTACACATTGAAACAGGTGCGAGTTCTTTTGTGAAGGCACTGTTATTGAACATTTGATAAATAAGATTCGCCGCGGAGCAGATAAATTTGGTTTGCATCCGTATAATCGCACCTCTTTGTTATAACGTGGAAAAAAGTAAAAATAAAAATAAATAACATGCGCATATGCATCTACTTATGTATACATACAAATAAAAAGTAAATACTATTTCTCGACCGGTTTTGATGGTGTAATGTTTACCACGCAAGCGCACAGACATTCATGTAAACCAGTCCACCGGCTTTACACCTAGTGTTATAGTAAATACAAACTATATATTGTGTGTTGTCATAGCAACCGATATACAAATATATTTATTAAAAAAATGCATAACAAATAATCTTCAGCAATCGGCATGAACGAAAATGTTTGTCTATTTAAGTAAAAAGGTAACACATCTTAGTTAATTGTATTTACAATCTCAAAGTAACTAGATTTTATTTTTTTCATATGTATGTCTCAAGATTGCGATTCCGAATAATGTTAAGCTAAACTGCATTGCTTGGAATTCAGAAGATGGCTATATTGCAGTGGCTGGCACTGAAGGCCTCCTTAAGGTCTTGAAACTCGACCAAGGTATTAAACTGAAGTTAATTTGTGTATATATTCATATACATATGGAGAAATCAATGTGAAACAACATAAAAGATGTGAAAAAGCAAACATTGTTAATCCATTGCTTGATGTATGTAACATACAAACATACAAACAAACATATATCATTCTACAACATATTTCCGAGTATTATGAGAAGCAAACAATTTAATATATTAAGCACTTGGATATATAAGTTTATTCTTTAGAGTGCCAGTGCAGAGCTCTAATTTAACGGTTTTGCATTTATTAAACCCTATAATTTACGGTTTTGCCCTACTCGATTCATGCATTCCGACTAATACATGACATTCGGACTGATCAAATGAAATGAATGCTTTTCCACGGCGAATTTTACCTTTAAAATGTAATGGTTATGTAATTGGATAATGTGTTAAAACGCTGGAACTTCCAAATTTTTTTTCAGCCGCAAATGGACAAAGCAAAGGAGGACTCGCCGCCATTTCCAACTTGTCGATGAATCAGACTTTGGACGGCCATAAAGAGTCTGTCAAAGTAGTAACGTGGAATCATGTTCAACAAAAGTTGACCTCTTCAGATATAGATGGAGTGATAATGGTTTGGATGCTCTATAAGGGGTCATGGTACGAGGAAATGACAAACGACCGAAAAAAATCAACAGTATCTGGAATGTGTTGGACATCGGACGGTGCAAAAATATGCATTGTTTATGAAGATGGAGCCATCATTGTAGGCTCTGTTGACGGTAATAGGATATTTGGCAAGGAACTAAAAAACACTCACCTTACTGGTGTTCAATGGAGTCCTGACAATCGGCTTCTATTGTTTGCTCTGGCAGATGGGGAGTGCCATATGTACGATAATCAAGGAAACTTTGCGGTATGAAAAATTAAGTTAAAATTAACGATTGACATATCCCAAATGCTAAATAATAACAATTAAAAATGTAATGCTAAAATATGTAAATACAGTCATCTAAATAATTTGCACGTAGATTTGTTATTTACAAATGGACTTTAAAAGGAAAATATAAAAAAAAAAACATTTTTTTACCTATATAGTATAAGGAATTCTTATTGGTTCATTGAAATATTATAAATAGTATAACACATGTTCTTGGATATATTCCCCAAAATTTGTGTGCAAATTATTAACCTCTCTGGCCATTCCCCTAATTTGTTACTTTTTAACAGTTAAAAACTCATTTTTCCTACAGATGAAGCTCAACATACAGTGTGTAAACCTTAACGCGTCCCGTTCGTTGCGTATCGCCAAAATAAGTTGGTTCAATGGTCGTGCCTATGGAAATCGTCCAGTTTTGGCCATATGCTACGAAAACGGCAAAGTACAAATAATGCGCGATGAAAACGACGATTGTAAATATTTATTCAACTGAAAAAATTTGCTTAATAAATTGAGTAATTCATTTTTGCAGCACCTATCATCTTTGATACTGGAATGCGGAATGTTGATGCCCAGTGGAACCACGATGGTACGGTTCTTGCCATTTGTGGGGCTGTTTTGGAAGCTGTTACCGCCTCGTTGCGCGATAACAATCAGGTGTGCTTTTATTCACCGATGGGACACCTATACCGGACTTTGAAAGTGCCGGGCAGCGACATAACATCCTTAAGTTGGGAGGGAAAATCTTTGCGCATAGCCATGGCTGTTGATTCATTCATTTACTTTGCCAATATTCGTGCCGATTACATTTGGTGTTACTTTGAAAAAACCGTCGTGTTTCTTAACAGCGGCAATGGACTGCGTGAAAATCAAATGAATGTCATTACCTTCTGGAACACCGTCTCAAATCAGAGTTTTCTCAAAGAAGTGGAACCAACCCTATCTTTGGCAGCCTGTAATGAGCATTGCGTATTAGGTGTAGAATGTGTGAGCGCCAATACCAAGGATATCGCCTTAAGCGTATTAGATCGCCCCGACAACGAAAGTGTTTACCAATTGCTCCTTTGCAATTCGATAGGAACCACTGTAGACTGTAAGTATAACTCTGAGTTAAAAATAACTACGGCGCACTATAATTTAGAAGATCGTTCTTAAAGTACAACTAAGGCAAAAAAAGTTTCTTTCTAAAAACAAAAGTGTTCAGTGTTGCTGGAAATTGAGGAAAAATGAGAAAATATTTTAACGCAACGAACAAATGCATATTCTTAAAACTTAGTTTTATTCATGCCATAAGCTAAATAATTTATCAAATGACATTTTATATGGTAGAATTCTTTTTATGAAATGAAAAACCACATGGTATAATTACTATGCGCATACAACCCAAGTATTCAATGCCTGTATATAAAGACAAAATCCCAGCTGGGAATTGATTTTCTGATCGAACTAAAAGAAAATTACTTTTAATCATTCAATTCTTTTTATCCATAGCAAAATATACGGACATAAGACCGTCCTTCATAGGAATCAACTCTGGGTATGTGGCAATTGCATCGTCCAACGAGATACTCATCTGGCATTACCACACGCCAAAGGTAGGACCGCTATAAGTATATTTTAAGTCTCCACTCATGTTCGTATTAGAGTTCTTCTACTTTACATAGCATAAAGGCGCGTAAGGAGAAGCGATTTCATATTGACGAGACACCGACTGGCGTAGAGATGTCAAAGGATTTGCTCCTCGCGAGCTCAGGCGGCTCCAAAGCCGATGTCCAGAGCAAGGTTGATGACCCAATCTGTGCCTTGGCCTTATCGGAGAAGATATTGCTAGTTGCTCGTGAATCGGGCATCATTAATGAGTATAGTATATCAAATGTGGCTTTAAGAAATCGCCATACAGTCCACTCCAAAATCTACAAAATGTCCATAAATTGCAATTCAACGTAGGTGTAGATTTCAATTCAAATACGTAGTTCATTACCATTAACATTCATAATTTTATAACAATATCACAGACGCCTCGCTATGATTGACAATATGGGAGTTATGACACTGCTGGATTTGGATGACAATCGTGAGACTCAGTTAAATTTTAGCCGCGTAGAGCGCAAAGATGTCTGGGCTGTTTGCTGGGCCAAGGATAACCCATTGCTTTTAGCTTTGATGGAGAAAACACGTATGTACGTTTTTCGTGGAAACGATCCCGAGGAGCCCATATCGTGTGCCGGCTACATTTGTACCTTCGAAGATTTGGAAATCACGAGCGTAATGCTGGACGATATTATCAGCATAGGAGAATTGCAAACCCCCTTGACTCACATTATACAACTGCGTGTCAAGGCTCTACGGGACACAGAGGATCTGTTGGAAAACGTGGGTCTTGAAGATGCCAAGCTTTTTATTGAGGACAACCCCCATCCGCGTTTGTGGCGGCTATTAGCCGAGTCAGCCTTGAAAAAGCTGGAACTTGATACAGCCGAAAACGCATTTGTGCGTTGTGCCAACTATCCAGGTATTAAGCTGATAAAACGCCTGCGCAACATCAATAAGGATGTTCTACAGAGGGCGGAGATCGCTGCATTCTACGGGGAGTTTGAGGAAGCTGAAAAGCTTTATCTCGATGCTGATCGCAGGTAAATCTTATTTATGTCAAACTTATTTCATTCTCGATTTGAATGGTGTCTCAAATTGAACGAAGATAGTCATCATTGAAATGTGTTACCATAAGATATTTAATTTTTGAGACAATTCAAACAATCCATAAGTTTGTGTTACAACCCAAAGCTATATCAGAAAATGAATCAAGTTAGAAATAGCAACCGGCAAGAATAAATGCTGGTGAATATATTGTTATCATTCCCGTGTAGGAACTCAGCCCGACAAAATTTAACTAATAAACAATATGTTGCAGCTTTTCTTCTTTCAATATATTTTGTGCTGTCCCATACTACTTTCTCTGGGAAACAAATTCTATTTCTTCGAATGTAAAAAGTATAAATTCCAAGCAAATTCGAGTCTAGTTTCGTTTTACCATTTGTATTTGAAGATACATAATAAAAAGGAATGAAAAGATTAGAAAAACATATTTATCACAAACTATTTTCAACTGGATATTTTAACAGAGATCTGGCGATCGATCTGCGCATAACACTTTGCGACTGGTTTCGAGTGGTGCAGTTATATCGAATGGGTGGTACCGGCGTTTCCGATCACCAGATGGAAACTGCTTGGCAAGAAATCGGAAACCACTTTGCCAATTTAAATTCGTGGGAGAGCGCAAAAACGTATTATGAGAAGTCACAATATAGTGAAGGTCTCATGGATGCACTCTACCATCTGGAGCTGTTTGACGAGTTGGAGAAATGTGTGGAAAAACTGCCGGATAAGAGCCCCTTACTGCTTAAATTAGCCGACATGTTGGCCTCTGTGGGTATGGCTGCTATTGGAATTTTTAAAATATTCTTAGACTAAGTATAAGTTCTTCTTTTTTGAAGGCATGTGTTCGGAGGCGGTAGAAGCATTTCTGAAGTTCGGTGACCAAAAGGCGGCTGTTAATGCGTGTGTGAATCTAAGGCAGTGGGGACTGGCGGTGGAGCTGGCACAAAAGTATCAAATGCCGGAAGTAAATACTTTGCTTAGCCAACACGCGACACAACTCATAAACGAAGATCGCCTTGCGGAAGCTATTGAGCTGCAGAAGAAGGCTGGTCGGTATCTGGATGCAGTTCGCCTGCTAACTAAACTTGCGGATCGTGAGCTCGAAAAGGGTGCACCACTTTTACGTATCAAAAAGATATACGTTCTGGCTGCCCTACTCGCTGAAGAACATCTCAAGTCGATTGCCACCCCGGAAATCGATTATGCAGTCGACCGGAACAGACTTCTTAATTTAATAAGCCTGGAAGATGCATCGCTTATTGAGCGTACTTGGCACTGCTCAGAAGCTTTTCATTTTTTCTTACTTGCTCAACGACAACTACGATTCGGCATTGTCCATAGCGCTGTCATTACGGCGCTGAGATTAAGGGAATACGAGGATGTGCTAAATGTCGAGGAAATCTTTAGTCTATTGGCATTGGCCAGTTGCGCTGACAGATCGTTCGGAACATGCTCCAAAGCCTTCATAAAGCTAGAGTCGCTGCGTAATTTGCCGGAAAAGAGTCAGCTTGACTATGAAGAATTGGCTGTTAGCATATTTTCAAAAAACGAACCCGTAGACAACAAACTTGATACAGTTTCTTGTTATGCCTGCGCTGCCTCAATCCCAGATAGGTAAAAAATGTTCAACGTTTTTATTCCTTTTTATTTAGTTCAGTTTCCAAATCCATTGCTAGCTTACCTTCTTGCTCGGAGTGCGGCGTACGTTTTCCTGCCTGTGTCTCATCCGGCAAACCCATTACGCAACCCATGAACAATATTTGGATCTGCAGTACTTGCCATCACTGTGCCTCGACAATGGAAATAACAAGATATCGCACGTGCCCACTATGCCACAGCCTAATTATGTCAATGACAGTAGAAATTTAAATACAAAATTTGAATACTACCTACAAATCATTAATAAAATACAATACAATAAAATGTCTGCTGGTACTTATCAGAAAGAGGATATAGGTAACTTTTTTTGAAAACATGGGTCTCATAAATACTACGGATAGTTAGGATATCGTAAAAAAATACATACGTTTTTGTATATATATATATATATTGTCTGTAAATATTTGGCAACGACAGCGTGAGAAACATGTGCTATTTTTTGCTGATCGTTCCTATGAATCTTTATGCTGTTGTGCACCATTTTCGTCGAAAAATACTATAACTATATTTGGTAACGATAAAGTAAGAAGCAAAAAACTCGTTGGTTATAGAAGTTATGAAAAGGCATTACTCCAATATGGTTTGCGTATGGACAAGCCAAGCCTACATACAAAGTTTGGTGTCCTTAGTTGTTATGGCTTAAAAGTTATCGGTATTATACAGACAGACATGTCTGTATCGACTCGTTTCGCCATACTGATCATATATTTTGTATACATATCTATAACTTGGGTTCTGTGACGCCTTCACCTGCCGGTAACACACACATACACTTTTAAGTATATCACTTTATCCTTCAGTTACAGAGTATAAAAAAAGGACAGCAACTAAAGGGGCTTATTTTACCATTGCTATAGAAATATTAAGCCACTTGTATGTATTCCGCTCGATGGTGGAATACGCAGATAAAATCTCTCACGCTTCAAAAGCTTAGAGATAGTGGGTAATAGTTGTTTTATTGCTTTGTTATTGTTTATTGTTTTGTTTAATTTTATCGGGGGAGCTTGATATATGTTGAAGATTGTATTATGAAAATGTGTGTTTTACTCATCATCATGTTTAAACTAGAGTTGTGTATTCTATATAAATATAAACTGCTATTTTTTTTTCTCGATTTTCGTTAATTATCATGAGGCTGAAGAACTTATCCCGAAATGGATACGTGTTTTCTAAACATAACTAATAAAATAATTGATGTTTGTAAGTAGTAAGCACTATTTATATTTATCGCACATTTTCTACTCGTATCCCAATGGGACAATATTTCGGTCTAATACAATATAACGTCTTAAGCTTAAAGGGAAAATTGTGTATAAGAGGTCAATCAATCAATCAATCAATCGAAAACATGTAAATCTTTAAACGCTAATTGTTTTTCTTATTCAGAAAAGTTTATGTATACATGTAACATATATATCGCAAAAAGTTGTATTTCCAAAGCATTTTCGAATATTAATCTTGGCCCAGTCTGTAAACTGGATCCATGTCACAAAGTCTTGCGTTCATAATATGTATATGTGAGTTTTTAGTATTAACAAAAAAATCTATTTTTCAGCCACAGCAGAGATGTGATCCGGAAGTTCGTTCTGTGAAAATCGTTCCCACATGCGTCCAAATAAATTTTCCAATCCTTTGGCATATTGTGAGCAGTCAAATAATGGACTCTCGACTCGAGCCTTCCACACCTTTGCTCTTAGCGTTTTTAGATATTCTCTTTCAGTCCCCAATCGAATAGCGATATTCTGATATTCTTCCCTAGTACGCGCTATCAGCTCTGGGCAACCCAAGGTTGCCAATTGTGATGCAGCAACTCTGAAATTAAAGAATTGTATAAGTAATTGGAAACAAAATATAACAATTTTTAAATCTGATATCTTTTAAAAAATGGTAGCTTGCAATACCTAGATGCTAATGTCTCTCCGGGGAGTGTGACAACCGGAGTACCCGTCCATAGAACATCCATAGATGTGGTGTGGCCATTGCACAATGGCGTGTCAAGACAAATATCGGCTAGTTGTCCACGGCGAACATGCTCCTCTTTAGCTGCTACATTCGAGAATATAACTCTTTCAGGTGTTATTCCTAAGAATGGAAATAACAGAATTACAATCATCCCCAAATAAGTTTATCACAATGTTCTTACCTAAATCGCTGACAGATTTTTTAATATTTTGTTCGCCAACAGCTGGAAACCGCAATAGCCATAAAACCGATTTGGGTACATTCTTCAAAATTTCTACCCAAGATTGCAGAGTTTGCGGGTCAATTTTATAGAGTTGATTAAAATTACAGTATACAATAGCGTCGTCGGGCAGCATGTACTGTCGACGTGTTGTTATGACAATATTCTGTGGAACCTCTTCCCCAGTGGCGGCTTTATTATTGGTTTGAGTGGTGGCCAATCCATTTTGTACAACCACACCATTTAGAGAGGTCTGCACTTGGCCAGTCGCAATCATCGATACAATTTGGGTCGTACTTGGTAACTCAGCTACTTTATGTGTTATTTCGACGGGCTTTTGCGCGTTGACGACCTCTCTAATCTCCTTTACATCTGTATTTTCGACCAATGGTGATAGATCGGTTGCATTTATAACAGCCACGTTGTCTGCAACTGAGGATTGCTGTTTATCGCAAACAATAATGCGCTCCTTTAGGTGTGGGAACATTTGTTTGTGATCACCAATAAAATATGTGAAAGGCATGTACGATAGTTTTTCACTGTACTGTTGAGCCAACTCCATTGGACTAGTTACAGCATCAGTTATTATATAATCCATGAAACTTGCACCGCTAGTGCCGGGATAGCCGAGCCACATAACTTGAATAGGAGCTGGCCGGAGTGCAAAGATTTCATTACGCGCACCTTTAGTATAACCGTTCATGTTAACTAAAATGTGAATGCCGTCGCTGTAAATTTTATCGGCTGCTTTACCGTTGCACGGAATTTGAGAAAGATCAACGAAATGTTCGGATTCACGGCTGATTTTATAACGAAACGTTGTGCCATCGTCTGGGCTGAGGGCATAGCAAAATATTTCAACTTTTGATCGGTCATGTAATCCGGGGACAGATTGCATTAAATGTGAGGTAGGATGATTTCCAAAATCAGAACTTAAATATCCAATACGAAGACGTCCATCACTCGGTAATTCTCTTGAAAAATTATATGGTTGTTTGTGAAGTACGTGTACTTTTTCCAGACACAAATTAGCATGCCTGGCTGCAATGGCCTTTCGGAATTCATGTGTCAGTGGATATAGCATTGAATGGTGCGGATGTACGGATGGTAAACGGTTCTTTTCAAGCTGTTCAGCAACGATGCTAACCAGCTTTTTCATTCGTACATCATAGTCCGTCCAGTCGCAAACAATTTGCAAACAATGAGCCAAATTGCAGTATGCATCGGGAAAATCTGGCTTTAGTTTCAGAGCTGTGCGGTACGATTGAATAGCTTCTGGAATATTTCCTGAATCCTTATGAATGCTCGCCAAATTGCTATGAGCATCAGCGAAAGCTGGATTTATCTGAATAGCTCGAGTATAACATTGTAGTGCTCCGCTCACGTCTTGTAATTCCTTAAGAGTATTTCCCATGTTAGAATAGGCATCAGCAAATGTAGGCTGAATTCTTATAGCCTCTCTATAATGCATTAGAGCTTCCTTTAGTTTGCCTTGCTGTTGCAAAACAGAAGCCAGATTTGAGTGCGCTGCAGCGAAATCTGGAAACACTTCCAATGCTTTTAAATAAAGACGAGTAGCTTCCTCAATGTATCCTTGTTCTCTTTTTATGTTGGCCAAATTATTGAGGGAGTCTGCATGATTTGAGCATAATCTTAACGCAGTATTGTAGCAATCCTCCGCCTCTTTCACCTAACAAAGAAGCACACATTAGGTATTTTATACAAAGATAATAGTACATTTATGAAAAAGTTATGTAATGGTACAAAAGTGTTTCAATTATCTAAAGCATATCATTGCATTATAAAAGCTATAGCTTTATTTATTTCATTCATTATTAAATTTTAAATCAGTTGAAATTCATTAAAAAAAACGAAATCTCTTGACTAATGGAATGAATGAAGAATGAAGTATCTGTGATACTATTTAAATTATAAGTTAGACTTACCTGTCCTTTTTCTTTTAGTGCATTAGCCAAATTACAATAGGCGTCTGGGAAGTTCGGCTGCAACTCTATTGCCCGTCTATATGTGTCAATCGCCAAATCAATGAGTCCTTGCTCATAGTACACGCACGCCAAATTACCGTGGACCACCGCATTGTTAGGTGAAAGATTTAAAGCACGCAAATATGCTGCAACAGCTCTGAAGTAAATATAAATGATTTATATAAATTATAATCAATCAATCCGAGTGATAATTTGTTAAAACAATTTAAAAATGAAGCCCTAATAATAATATAAATCTAACTACTAAAATGGTTCCGATCGCTGTAACAAATTGCTGGAATAGAAATGAACGGATTTTATATTTTTACAGATATTCATGGATATGCTAACAAGCCAATCATCTATGCAGCAACCAATATTAATTTACTAAGATTAGATTAATATAGAATATACATATATATTCATGTACATACATAACAGATAAATAGAAATTTGAATGCAAAACACTCTTTCTTTGTATATGCCAAGTGATATTCCTAAAATAGCTGCAAAAAGTATCCAACCGATAAAACTATTAGATTATAACTTAAATGTATGAAAGTATCTTTAAAAAGTTGGATAACACAATATAAAGAATTTATAAATACTGCCTGAAACTTTTTTGCTTTGCCTATTAACAAATGCAAAAGCTTTCTTTTGTTGGTCTTGACACATCTATGCATACTATATATATATATATTTATATCAGGTAAATATGATTTTATGAATTCGTTACCTTTTCCAAAATATATGCAACCGGTTGAAGTAACGACACCAATATTGTTTTCGTGTTTCATAATGCAAAATATTGTGCGTGTCATGTTGTTGTCTTTCTGTACATTGTATACGCACAATTGTATAAATAACAACACATTGATAGTCCATGTTTGTCTAAATATACTTGACTTTGATATTCAGGGCTAATACTATAAGCGAAATACATATTCAAATACACACGTACATGCTTGTTTATATGTGAAATATCATGAATACATATTAGCTCCGAATACCATTGCCAAGAGTACTTCAAAAAATTATAAAAGCAATCTGTCAATATATATTTACGATATTGTAAGTTTAATGGAAAAAAATGAGAGCACACGTTTCTGTACTTGCTCGTTCCGTAAGTAAATCACATATGTCCATATGTATTCACAAAATTTCCCGCGTAAGCTTTTCGGTTTGGTGGTTTTCGAATCTTCATACAAACACATATAGTATGTGTTTATATCGACGTTAATGGATGGTGACGCAAATACGTATATACATACATACACACGTGTGCATAAAATTATTTTCAAATACACTTTTTAAGCCACGAAATGCTTGTATATATGTATATATAACAGAATTTGTATTTGGACATTGCAAATTTTCAGTATTTGCCGGTATATATTTTAAACCCGAAAGTTTTCCATGGCATATCATATAATATTAACTTTCTTTTCCATTTCCCAAATATAGCACTTTATTTATTACTCCTCTTCACGATTGCTTTGTGATCACAAAAAGACGATTTTTTCACAGGAAGTTTTTAAAATATCTTTCGATCACATGGCATTTGTTGACATGTCTATTGGTCGATCCGGTAGACTCTACTTATAAAAATAAAAGGCCTTGGTGCAAAGTGTCAGACGGATATCTATAAAATTAGGTACAGGTATATAGTGATTCGCTTCGTTGGGCTGTTAAATACTTCCTTCTATGTATTATAAATACCAACACTAAGTACTATATAGAATTTTTTCACAGAAAAAAAGAACATATTTTTTTATTCTCCAGAGAATGAGTGGAATCCAAAAGGCCTGATAGCCTATTCCTTTATTGTGAAGGAGGGACCTATAACTGAAACTAAGGACCCAAAATAAAAAAAAACCGTGAACAAATAATATGTAAATAATATAAAAAGGCGAAAATAAAATTACGTTAAATTAGTATAGTGTCTAGAGACATTACTACTCAATGATGTTTTTTAGTTTGCGTACATTCATTCATTCCCATACCTTTTTGTTGTTTGCAGTCTTTTCTGGTATGCCTTTCTTAGTGTCTATTTAATTATTATACAGATCCTTTTCTTATAAACCTAGATTTCACGCCCTATCACACATGTTTGAACCTGGCCATATATTTATATAAATATTATTTATTTATTATATTATATATTCTAATTCTACATGGGAACTCACAGTCCTTTAACCAATTAATTTTATATATTGGACGGCCATACAACTTGCCAAAGACTTTGGTATTAGGCATTTTAATGTTTTAGGTTTGTTTTTAAATCCATATCGCACTTTCATTTGTATACCATGTACTATGAAGTTTAATGACTAATGATTAGAATTTAGTGAAGAAGAATATAATCGAGATATTAGACATCCGACTGTTAATGCATCCATCTGCCCGTTCTTATGAACACCAAGAACTTTTAAAAAAATAATAGGGGGTGAGGGGGTGACACCAAATATGACAAATCTGCTTGTCTTATTCATATGCTAAGATTGCAAACCAAATTGGCTAGTTTTTTTTTTTCATATAAGACCGATCGGTGTAAATATCACTTTTATTAGGATATCTTGTTCAATAATATATCATTAGCTTTGGATATAATAAATGTAGCAAAAAAAAATCGGCTCACTATATAATGTAGTTTCCATAGGAATGATTGGTGATTTTGCAATCTTAGTGCTTCCACTTTTATTTTTATGTAAAACAATAAAATTGGAGTCACGCGGAAAATAAACGTATACTAACCTGTCAAATATTCTGGCTTCCTTTAGTACGTTTCCTAGATTGATGTACGCGTCCAAAAAATTCGGATCGAGAGTAACGGCTTTTTCAAAATGATGTATAGCTAGCCAAATTTCTCCTTGTGCATTAAACACACAGCCCAAGTTACTCCATGCAACAGCAAAACCAGGACATGTTTCTATTGCCTTCAGATAGCAAGCCTATAAGAAATATATTAAAATTACTGTATTAGCCACTAGAGGTTTTTGGATAAACGCGTTTTTAAAACTTTGTATTATGAATTACGGCTTATGGGGAAAAGTTATACATATAAACTAAAACAATACATACTTTTGCTTCTTCCAATCGTCCAAGTGCTTTAAGAAGGTTTCCTAAGTCACTGCGCACACAATACAAATCCTAGATAAAATAGAATTTACATTAATAAATGTACTTATTTAATAAGACGTGAATTAAATACATACGGGATTATATTGTAAAGCCGTAATATATGCTTGCACAGCGGACTCCATGTCCCGGGCAGCTACCAATGCAGCAGCTAAATTGATATATCCATCTATAAAATCTGGTTTTAGTCGTACAGCTCTACGATAGTTATCCAGTGCTTCTTGAAGCTGTCCTCGTTCTTTGTAAACATTTCCGAGATTACTGAAATACATTACAGATAGTGAATATACTTGTACATATACTATATGGGCATTTCACAGAAAAGTGCAGACTGAAACCATGACCGAAAAATTACAAGTTAACCAAAATGTGTTATTGAAGAGGAAAATTCAAATTTAATTATATTAAAAAGTTTAAAGATCTTAGCAATGGCGAAATATAGGCCTGCAAAGTTCATAGCTTTCTATTTTGTAAGAGCGCTTGATCTTTACCATTTATATTTCATAATGTTATTTTGCAACTGCACTTTTATTGCAAAGGCAAATATAGGCAAAATATAAAATCTGATTCGTTTATGCTGAAAAGGCAAAAGAAAGAGTACCGACATATAGAAATAAGTGGAATATGCCATTTGTATGTCTCGCCAATCAATAATACACTTATAAAAACAAAACGATAAAATATTTTAAAATTTGATAACCTAATAAATATACTTATATTATTTTAAATCCTACTTTTTCAGTTACTTTTTTAATATTTTATCGTACGAATGTCACGTCACGTTAGATTGTAAATGCCCATATTCATACTTTCTGGCTTAGTATAAATCTTTTTCTTACCTATAAGCTTCAGCTAGCACAGGATTTTGCTTTATTGCCAAAGTTGAGAACTGCGCAGACTTATCGAGGCGCCTGCACTGAAAATGGATTGATGATAGGAGCAACAGCACGCCTGTGTTGGTGCTGTCCTGCCGCCATAATTGCATACAATGTTTTTCAGCATTCTCATAATCCACAGCTTGGTATTCACGATGAGCGAGCTCCAATAATCCTTCAAGAGTAATTGTTTTATTTAGTTTTACAAGTCATTTGCTTATATGAAATAGCTGTTCGTTTAATAATTTAGCTTAAAATTTTGTTACCCGAGACAGGCGAGGTGTGTGGCAAAAAGAAATTATTTTTGTAGATAAATTAAACATACTCTACTATTTTTACAGTGCACTTCTTAAAAATTTTTCCTTAACATTTGCCTTGAAATAAGCGCATGCCCTTAAAATTTTTCCATCATTAAATGCTGGGCTCTAACGCATCCAATTTTCGTTTGGTTTTCATAGATGCTTCAAAACAATGGACAATTCAGGTAACTGAATATGAGGTAGAGTCATTGGCTAGAAGCCATATTTTTAAAATTTTATTTTTATACATGGTCCCTTTTAATTTGCAGGATTTTGGATATTAGCTTACAATTTGAAAAATGAATTTTTGTTTAGAGTTTGGCCAATATGAGTGAATTAAATGTGTATTATTAATTAAAAGAATTGTAAAAATAAAATAACAGGTTTATATAATTTATAGGTGTTAACCAAGTTGTTGAAGTACTCTTGGAAAATAATGTGTGCATCCAATTACCATTCAGATTACATGCAATCATACATACAAATGTGTTTATAAGTGCATATGTATGTTTAAATACATATGACGTTCTGGTGCACATGTATTGGATTTGAAGGAAATTTCCACTGTTTTTACATTTGGATAATGACACTGATATATACAAATTATGTATGTGTGTGTATATGTACATACATGCGTATGTATGTGGTGTACCGAATATGAAAGTGTGTGTGTGTAGTTTATTCTTACCGACGGATGATAGCGATTGTGTCTCGCTTATTTTAACATTATTGGTTGAAACTAGGGTTTGCTGCTGCAACAAGGAATTCGCCGAGGATTGCGTTTGTTGACCCTGTCCTTGAGAGTGCATGTTCCACTGTCTGTTCTACATATATGTCCAATAACGTTTCTGAAATGTTGTCCAAAATCAATAGCTAAACATGCGTCGAATTCACTGTCTGTCACATGCAATGCGACTGCCAAACCTTTTCAAGACAAGCAATATGCCAGTTATCTGCAATTGGATAACGCTTAGTGCGATAATCTAAAGTTCGGGCGATGCTCACGATTAGTAAATTAAATAATTAATATTTTCACTCAGCTGAACACACACACGACCTTCTCAATAGAGATCGCAATAATTTTGCAAAGCGTATTCCGTAGCCCGATAATTATTTGTATATCGATACGACAGCGATTTTTCCCATGTACATACTTATTAATGTCACAATTCTCACCTTCAAAAATACTTTAAAGTGTTAACTAGTTCAATTCATTTTTTGTGCAAATGAATTTCATTCCATTGACTTTAAGAGTTTTTAGAAAAAAATTAGCTGCAAATTTTATATATTATTAAATTATTATTTAAATATATATATTTACCACCAAAAAATAATAAAAAACAGAAAATTTGCAGATTTAAGAAAAAATTTAAGAGTTGCAAGAAAATGTGATTTCGATTCTTTAATCAAATGCAAGTCCCTTAATAAAAGTACAATTTTTTCATTTAATGGTGTATTTCTTTTAAACTTTTTTTGTGTGCGATCGAAACATATCCATATGAAAAAATATAGATGTTTTCAAATAATATGCATAGCTATTGAACCTTAGATTGCTGTCTGATTCCGTTTTAAGAGCGATAGAAAACTGATGCTCATTTCGCAGTTATGCTTACAACACTCTCCTCCGATGATTTAAAAGTTAGAAGAAAGGAATGCTAGAGCTCAACTCTTAACCGTACCCATTATTTTAAAAATTAAATGATTAAAATTTGAAATACATACATAATTAAATTAAAAACAAGAAACGAATGCTAAAGTCGAGAAGGCCTAACTCTTAATACCCTGTACCCGCTCCAACAAAAGCAGAAAAAAATTAATACATTCATAAAAAGCATAATTTACATCAGAATCGTATCTATGCATATTTGTGTGCATGTACTATACACCTAATTCTTTTTTTCACGGTTTTCGCTGAAAAACTTTCACTTTGAAAATTAAAAATTTGATATATAAAATAAATAAATAAAAACGCACACAGCTGAGAAACAGCTAGACTATTCTTATATGGGTCGTTATGCACATTATATATATGATTTAAGAAAATAAACATAAATCCTTGTTTTTCACTGATTTTAATAGGTTTTAGAGATAAGGAACCAATCACCTATTTTTGCATATGATCAATGTCTTTTTTACACGATTTTTTCTGAACCCAATCTACCGTGTAAAACCAGAATTAGGTGTATGTGTGCAGTTTTATTAAGTAAAAGCAGCAACATTTATGACTATAACTTTATAATCACCAATCCGATGCTACTCTCAAATTTAGGAGGGGGGCAATTTGGATACCAAGTTTGGTTATTCTAGCTACTCATACGGCTAAATCGATGTGTATTGATCAAGAATATATGCCTATACTTTGGTGGTCTACATGCCTCCTTTTGTGTGTTACATACATTCGGGCTAACTAGTGTAAACAAGTCGGCAATTTCCTTTCCATTATTAATTGTAAATGAAATATGCTATTTTTCATAGGTATATATATATATTTCTTCAAATGCATAGTTGAGCTTGGTATCACCAAGATTTGGCCATGAGATCACCTTCGAGTCAAGTCGCATAATAGAATAAAACACACGAGTTGAAGTTTTTGGTATATACTTTTTTATTTTGTATATTTTATCTATCATTCTGGAATGCGGGTATTACAATTACCGTGATACATTTTAATTACACCTTCACAGCGAAAATAGGCATCAAAAATATCGCTATATCCATGATCTTTCCACCATGTGCAGAGTTGTCGGTTCCATACGCAATCCAATCTGTAAATGAGGTTCGGATACTCATATCCGAGAAGCGTGAAGAAGTCTTGATCTCCGAGATGCCCTTTAAAGGAATATTTGTGTACTAGTCGCTGAACTTCGGATTGCGTAAGTTTTTCGTTGTAAGGTTTTGAATCTCGTATTCGATTTAGGAGCAGTAATACTACGCCTGAATTAAGGCCCGGATATCCATGCCTTATATGAGTGTGTTTAGGAGATTCTGCCAATTTATGTTCTTTTTTGTTTTCCAGCTGCATTGGATAGTATGGATTTCCAAAGCTAGTTTTAGGAAATCGGACTCGATAACGGTAAAGTATATGGCGATATACTGGAGTAAGTTCTGGTGCAAGTCCAAATAGCTGATGTGGCAGGAAATGGTCGAATTCTGCAAATAATGAGCGAACATCTGAACGGAAGACAATATCGCAGTCGAGAAGAATAACGCGATTAAGGCTTAGATCGGCGATGCGATGCAGACCCAGCGACAAAAAAAAGAGCGAGTCGCTGTAGTAGGAGTTGGGCGCTGAATTAAAGTATGGAGACAACTTTGCTGCAATGTCTTGGATTGCTTTGGAACAAATTTTTACATCATACATTGTGTATATGACGCTTCGCCGGAATCTCTTAATTTGCCGTTGAAGTATTTCTAACACAGACTGCTCACTGGATTTATCAGTAATTATGTGTAGATGTAGCTGTGCAGTCGTATGCTTTAATAAACTGTGTGTAAACAAATCGAACTTCATTCGAAGATGGTAATTTTCTTTAGTATATATAACAAATATATTGTAGTCGGACGAGAATGCTTTTGATTGCAAGCTCCGGTCCATAAGCGTAGAAGAGTAATTTAATAAATATTGGGATGATTTTAAAGCTGGCAGATTCTTTTCTTCTAACGCATCCTCAAAATTGGAGTTCTTTGCATGCTGGTCATCAATATCGACTAGATCGTTGGAGCGACTAGAGAGGAAAACCGAAAATATCTTTCTCCGAAAGAGCAGGTCTGTGTTAGCGAAAATAATTAGAATGCACATGCAAACAAGTATTATCAACATCACAATTTTTTTATGTAATCTGCACCTGAATGCAGACCATCGTTTTTGTTTCTGACGCGAAGAATTTCGACGGTTTACAATTAAAGTCACATTTTCCTGTTCCTCCAATATTTGAGATTTGCATTTCGTACTGTATATATTGACATTGGCAGGAAAAACTTTATGTTTTTGGCTAATGTTATTAAAACTGTGCTTTCCCATTTTGAAAAGTAAAGCTGTGGCTGCACCTATTGAAGCAATGCACATACGTACAACATACATATGTACATATATAAATTTAAGTCGACACAAATTGTAGCACGTTCTCAAGCATAATTTGTAGTGTTCTATTTGGAAATAAGATTAGCGGTTTGCTAAAAAACACTAAATGGAAACTTTAAAAATACAAGTACATAATACATTTTTAAAAGCAATTTGTCTAGATGCCGTCGGTTTCCACACTAATTTACAGAAACCTGATATTTGATAAATCAATACTAGTTGAACGATAAATGAAGTACCAGTTTGTGCCATCCAACTTAATTTAATTCTTGCTCACAGCTGTTATCGATAACTTCCCGAGCCGCATCTTATAAGCTGTTTCCACAAATAGCAGTAACATGTTTCATGCTAAGTAAGAATCAGTTTTTTTTTTATTTTTTATACTCTGTACATGAAATGTACAAGAGTATATTAGGTTTGCGGGAGCTGAAAAATGTAACAGGCAGAAGGAGGCGTGGCAGACCCCACAAAGTATATATATTCTTGATCAGCATGACGAGACGAGTCGATCTAGCCCTGTCTGTCTGTCTGTCCGTCTGTCCGTCTGTCCGTCTGTCCGTCCGTATGAACACCTGGATCTCAGAGACTATAAGAGATAGAGACACCAAATTTTGCACAAAGATGCGTTATGTGTGTATTCTATACGAGTTTGTTTTATTTTTTTGATTTTCCCCCCCACTTCCCCCCTATGGGGGTTTTCCCGATTTTCCATTCGTATAATCGCCTATATCTCGGAGACTATAAGACCTAGGAACACCAAATTTTAGTCCCAGATGCCTTATGTGAATACGCAGAAAATGTATATTTTGGAATTCCCCTCCCTCCCCCCTCTACCCCGCAAATCGTAACTCCCGTAATTCTTGGAATTTCGAACTAAAATTTTGGAAATACCCCCAGTTGGTTATTATGTGTCCGTATGCCAAATTTCATTATGATAGACCGATTTAACAAGAAGTTATAGCCATAAATATATTTGCTGATGCAGCGCTGCTGCAGCGCTGCTCAAGCGCTGCTCAAGCGCTGCCCGCGGCTGTTGTTGATGTTGCTGTTTGGTTGACTGCGAAAATGCTTACACAGACACGAATTGATGCGCATAGGCATACATACACTCACACAGACGCAATTGCTATGTAAATGTGCAATTATACACCCTTTACGTGAGTTCGAATACCGAGAGAGGTAAAATCGATCAAATTTTTTTTTTTATTTTCTTAATTTTTTTATTTTATATAATTATTGTAAACATATGTACAGAGTATTTCAAAGTCGGGACACCCGACTTTAGCTTTTTTACTTGTTTTAGTTCAAATGGGCTACGAACCCAATGCTTTTATTATATTTATCTCATAGATTTCTCTATAGATGATAACCTTAAAGTTATTAATATATCAATTAAGGACCAAAACAATAAAAACTCTGTTATTTTGTTTGTTTCTTTTATTATGTGTTTTATTAAGTTATTGTATATAACAAATTTGAATAAATAAAATTTCCCATAATGTTATTTTATAATGGAAATACGTTGAATTAACCAGTTGTTATTAAAAAATATCTTGAATGGATCGAGGTCAGTCATTACCTTTTGACGGATTCATGAGAATTCAACAAGAGTGTGTGTATGTTTATATTTCGTATGTACATGTGTGTAGTCAACAACATTTTCACAAAATATGACCAAAGGCAACGCAAATAAATTAAAACTTTCACATATAATAATATAAATTTACAATCAAAGGCAATTGAAAAAATTGTTTGTGTCTCTATCGTTGTAAGTTTAATATTATGGATTTAAATTTAATGGCTAACTCCTTATATACTGTATGTATGTTTGTATGTATGTATATACATATGTACATTGGTAGATCATTTTCTATGATTCCATTGGGGAAGTAGATTTGTTTCTACATTTGGTTATGAATAGAAATCATTGTATATAGTGGGAGTAGCTGTTATTTGAACTATTTTTTCAATTGAAAACTATACTGTTAAGCAAATAGTTTCAAATAAATATGAAACGGGACGTTATATTTATTATTATTATTGAATGTATATTTCAGATTTTAATGACTGGGTCAATGCAAGAAATATGCATTTTCCAGATAATGAAATAGTTAGCCCCGCTATGGAGAGCTACGCACATAGAGATTTACTAGTTACATCATCCAGCCTGGAACTGAAAACTGCCACAATAAGCCCCGATGGTAAGTAAATACCCATTAAGTTCAAAGTCATTTTTAGAATGTGACAAAGAAAAGTTTAATATTTTGTGTATTACAATTCGAAAACAGTTAACATAAAGTATTAGTATCTCAGATGATACTCTGTCCGAGCTCTGTCGCGTACGAAGTAAACGCATCATTTCGGAACATGTCTCGTATGATCGAAAACATACTATACTTATTTAATTAGGTACATACTTAGTGGGATGTATACGATACATTCGTTTGTTAGTAATTCTTCTGATAATGGTTTTTAGATTCGTATACTGTTCAACAAGCCATAAACATTTTCGGATTCGGATGGTTTCATGTGAAATTATCACTTCTTGTTGGACTTTGCTGGATGGCGGATTCAATGGAAATGACCATTTTGAGCATTATAGGACCGGCAATGTTTTGCGAGTGGAACATCACAAAGTACCAACAGGCCTCTGTAACAACGGTTGTATTCCTGGGAATGATGTTAAGTTCCACATTTTGGACTCAGCTGAGCAATAGATATGGCCGAAAATCTGCCCTTACCCTATGTGGACTCCTACTGGTTTTATACAGCCTATTAAGTTCTGTAGCACCAAGTTATGCTTGGCTCCTAACACTACGGGGTCTTGTAGGTTTCGCAATAGGATGTGTGCCACAATCGTAAGTACTTTTGTGCTTATGCAAACAACTTTAATTATTCTATTGTTATGAATATTTTAGTGTTACGCTGTATGCTGAATTTTTGCCAACAAAACATAAAGGGAAATGTGTTGTATTAATGGATGTAAGTAATTAATTTGTATACTGATCAATATCCGCAGATAACAATTGACATTTCTCAGTGAAGTTTTCTCAACTTTGTTGACGAAAGGTCAGTGAGTAATCAAATACTATAATGAACTATTTAAATGACTGAGTGTAAGTTGAGTCTTACTTTCTGTTATAGTTAGCTTTAATCTTTTTTATAGGGGCGGATAATTAAATGCCAAAGCACTTTATACATTAGAATTAATTTTGTTTGATCATCATGGGGAACATTTCACAAACTTGGATAAAGTTTTCTACAGTGCTTAAAAATGATTTATAAAATAACAAATCTCCCAAAATATAGGCTATTTGAAAAGAACAATTAATTGATTTATCTGTTTATTTATTGTTTTATGTTTACGAAAGTTATGTAATAAAATACTTCTTTAACATTTTATTCTATTTTCAGTGCTTTTGGGCATTAGGGGCATGCTTAGAGGTTCTTCTGGCACTAATAATTTACCCTTATTATGGTTGGAGAGGGCTTTTGGGATTATCTGCAACACCTTTGTTAATATTCACCATCTTATCGCCAGTAAGTATCAATCTAAAGCAGACATCTACAAACATACATATGTACATATACATATATCTAAAATGCTCTTTTTTATTATCATTATTGTTAAATGTAGTGGTTAACTGAATCGGCACGCTATTATACATCTAATGGTCGGACTGATAAGGCCGTCAAGGTTCTCGAACAGGTACATTACAACAATTAATAATATCTATGGATTTTGTATATGATAGAAGAAAAGCGGAAAATAATTTAGTAATTTATTTGCAGATAGCCAAAAATAATAAGCGACACATGCTGATTGGACGCCTGGTGGCCGATGAAGAGCCAAGCGCCACCGAACGCATTCAGACATTATTAAAGCCAGATCTGTGTTTCACGACTTTATTGCTGTGGTTTATTTGGTTGACATGTGCCTTTTGTTATTACGGCCTTGTTTTAATAACTACCGAGTTAATGGTATCGAGAAACAAAGAAAATAGCCCCAATGAGTGTGTTACATTCTTAACGACCGATTTTATGGACTTACTTTGGATTACATTGTCGGAATTTCCTGGGATACTGATAACACTTGAAATAATAAAGCGTTTTGGGAAAAGGAAAACAATGGTTATACAATATCTAGTGCTAGTTTTTTGCACCTTCACATTAATGGCAAGTGAGAGGTAATTATGTATATAAATCTGAATACGATAAACTTTTAAGCATCATATGGACGAGCCTCACTTTTCTATAAAATTGATCGATTTTTTTATATTATTACTTTATAAATGAAACAATATTGCATACCAAATATTCAATATTTTGATAATAATTGAATTTATTTCTTTACAGTCGGTTTTCCACTTCTGTCACTTTGTTTATTGCAAGAGGATCTATTTCTGGAGTCTTTCAAGCCATTTATATATACACACCTGAAGTATATCCTGCTCCACTGCGATCAATCGGAGTTGGAGGATGTTCAGTACTAGCCCGACTAGGTGCTATGATAACCCCATTTGTGGCACAAGTGATTCTTCAAACCTCAAAATGGCAAGCTATGTCCATATATGGGGCTATAGGAATGCTGGCAGCTATCGCCTGTGCTCTACTTCCGAAAGAAAATCAGGTCTACCACTGAATACTCTTAGTCAAATAATAAAAAATAGTTTGAGTTCGAGAAGAAACGCTATTTTGTTAAGTCTTAATATTTTTTTTATTTGAAGTAGTAACCAAAACAAAAACCTTTTATGATATTCCTGTAAAGCATTCTTACGAATCGTTTCAGAATATTTTGTAATGCAACTGAGAACTGAAAAATAATGAGAACGCAGTTTTATTATAAATTATTCATAATGTTTTAAATTATCATATACTATTTATTTATTTATGTTTATAAATTTAAATCCTACTTATGAAATGCAATGTTATAAATAAGTACAGAAGGAATTGTATAGTCTTCCAGGAATCTTTAAATTAATATGATTTTAAATATGTTTGTAATTCGCAATTCATGTTTATGGAATTTCACCAATCTATGGCGTTCGAAAAAGCTGCTTTGTAAATCATCAACGAACTGTAACAATAAAAAAAGTGTGCTAAAACCAAAATCCATCATTTATTGTCCTGTTTTATCTAAATTTAAGCAAATTAAACTTGTTAAACTTTCTAGATTACAACCTTTAGACAAATATATTATAAATTAAATCGCTTAAAACATAAATAAAATTAATTAATTAATTAATGCCTGCTGACTAAAATTTATTAAACGATAAGTTCTTTTTTTTTCAAGGAAATAACAAATTTAAGAAACACACAAATTTTAACAATAGGTTGTAAGCCATCAATCGGTATCAGCGTCGTCATATTGATCATTGAACTCATCATCATCATAGTCGTTTAAGTCCTCTCCAGGATCTTCCTTCCTCTTCTGTTTACTGAGAAGCCATTCGCGGTAAGCAGCTTCTTCTTCAACAGTTGGATCACTAGCTTCTATAAAGTCTTCACCAGTGTGAGGAAACTCTTCCTGAACTGCCGGTAAATGCTTAAAAGGCATATTGCGTGCAAAATACTTATGACCCCAGCCCAAATAAATTGATTCACAAACGCGTTCAAATATGAACGTAAACGCTCCGGGCCAAACATTTGACTGCATTATCAGAACCCGCTCCTTTTGATTGGTGTACTTGCTAGTTTGACGTACTAGCCAAGGTACCATAACTTCCTCACTCATATCACCGGCACACGACGATAAGATATTTGGACCAGTTTCTGGCTGCGTAAATCCATCAAGCATTCCTTCTTCATCGCCTTCACCCTCATCTTCTTCTTCAGCCTCTTCCTCCTCCATTTCTTCCTCCATTTCCTCTAGTAGGAGCATTTTCAAATAGAGTGCTAGCGCCTTCTCACGCTCTTTGCGGGCTTTCTCCTCGTCGAACCAAACTACACGGCCCTGATTCAGTATGTTTGGTCTAACGTGGACCCAAGCAACTGGCGTAGCCAGGGATCCGAGAGGTTCTATTTCATAGCGCTCATTTTTGAGAAGCATAACATCATTGTCTGCAAGAAATATGTAGTTTTAAATATAAAGTAAAATTTTGTCTGATTTATCGTCTTTTGTTCACCATTTATTATGTCTTCCCCTTCGCCAAAATTCTCTTCTTCTTCCTCCTCTTCTTCTTCTTCACCTTCATCAGTTTCCAGTCCCTCGAAGATTCGTTTCTCCTTTTTAGTCATTCTTCTATAATATCCTTGCGGCGCTATATAGGTTCCAGCTGTTATTCGCGCTATTAATGCACGAAGATAATGCTTCTCTTTCCCAGGGAAACATGGGTATGATATAATATCGGCTTCCAAGTCGCCAGTCAAGAATTTTTTAATTTGCCGAGATATTACTATTTGGCGTGGAGTAACTATTGGAAGTTCGATCCAATCATCATATAATGAGTTCACCACAAAATATGAATATCGGTTACATCCAAGGCCGATATACTCCGGAGGTATATCGAAAAACTCAAAGTCCTCTACTAGGGGAACAGGTACAGCTTTTGGTTGCATCTTTTCTAATTCTTCTTGAGGGTGGTTTTCCCACCCATAAATTCCTGGAGTCAGTTCAGGTCCAATATGGGGCGGCGGAGGCTTTTCTTCTCTGTTCTTACGCATTTTAAATGGAAGTTGTTTTTCTCTCATCTCCTCCTCCATCATTGCCAACCGTGATATAACTTCATCCCGCGTAAGTGAAGCCTCAACTATATAATAAGATGCCTTTAATCCGTTTATACAGCCCCAAAAGCGGCATTGCATTATAGATGGATGCGTCTGAAGACGGTTCATGGCACATGCCAACTGAAAAATGTCGTCATTACTGATGCTGAATCCGCATTGATTCCAATAAAACTGAAGTTGTTGCACTCTTTCATTAAATGTAACAAACAAACGCATCGAGTCATCAATAACTATGCGCAATTCTTCATCAATATTTGGTTTTCCGTCCTCACAAGATAAGTCCTCTGGAGCAACAATTTCATCTCCTTCAATAGTGTAAGGGAGCTGAAGTAAACCAGTATACCAATATACTCTACATCTTAATCAAGATTTTCTTAGTCAATAAAAAATACCTTCATTGATACTAAAATCCTCTTAGCGATACGAAACATTCGGGTTTCATCGAAGACCGCATTTGGAGGAAAACGTTCGGGCAGATGGAATTTTTGCTCGCGCACATTTCTACTGAACTCCTCGAAAAAATCAATTACATTTGGAGGTCGCTCGTCAATGACACGTTTTATAATATCGCTAATGTGATCAAATCTGTGATTGATAGTGGGTATAAAAAATAAAATACAATAAAATAAAATAAGGATCAATTGGCTCTTATGCGAGTAATGCAGACTTAATACAATCTTCAATCTAAGCAATTAGCTGTTTATGGGCCAACTAAAAACGTGTGCTCACAAGGCGTATAATTATTTAACATTGGATTACGAGCTGAAATAGAAACACCTACATTCACACATCTATGTATATGTATGTAAAAAATATACATTTTGTACTATTTACTGTTTACCCTGAACTTTCTGGTGAAGCTTACAGATTATCTCCGCTCAATGTACTATATTGCTGCATTATTGCTTTTGCTATGTTAAGCTCATAGCCAATGTTTGGGGGCTCCTTTCGAGAAGCCTTTCGCGCTCCACACTCAGGATCAAAGGCACCAAGGGTTATGGTAGTAGTTGAAGATGACGATGATGAGACTATGTTTGAGCATTGCAGAGAGCTTTCCGATTTAGCCTCTGGTTCATCTTTTATTTGTCGTCTTTCCTTTTTTTTTGTTGGACATGGCGGTGGAAGGCCTGATTGCGAGCTCGAACTTGATCCAAATGAAAAATTTTGGCAATCGGGATCATCTCTTTCCATGTTGATTGGAGTTGTATGTGTTGTGTTGCACTGAATATTATTTGAATATAGAATTATTTGATCTGTTTTGGAAGATCGAAAGTTTCTGACAACATTGTCTTCGCTTATATGATTTTAAGGAAAATTAATACTAAACTTGATTTTAAGTTAGCATGTATTTCATATTTACTATATCTATTGATAGAGTGTAGTAGTGTTTACAAATTGAGAAATCGCAGTTGTTAATGCATGTATGAATTGTGTAAGAATTTCAAATAACATATTATTACTAATTGGCTGCATTTTCTTGTACACGCATACATATTTAGGTACTTGTGTGAACATAAGTACTCGACTAACTCTGTACATAATGTATAAATAGTGAATAAAAAACAAATAGTAAATGTCAAGGGAGCACACTAATTGGCATTTAACGTACATATGAGTGTGATTTTCTTGTATTATTTGGCAAACTTAATATGCAAAGAAATATATACATACATATATACAAATATATGTACATATAAATAGATATACATATACATAGATAAAATGCACATAGCATACATATGTATATACACATATATGTGTGTGGATATACATAGAAACAACCGTATATTAGATGCGACTTTAAGTATAAGTATGATGTGAATTAAATAAATATATACAAGTATAATGACAATAAATTACATAAATCTAATAGCCCACCTTGACTAATCATCAGTTAAACTTTCCAGCGAAAAACTGTGTTTACGTTTTAAAGTCTAAAGTAAACGAATATACAACTACAATACATAGTACATTAAAAATCAATCGTTACTAAGGTATAAAAGCAGACTTCATCGAAAAGTTCATCAGTTTGTTCGGGCTTTTGCATTGCTTCACAACTAGTTATCCGCAGAGCTGCAGAGAGTCGAGCTGCCATTTAAAATCTCTCAAGTATGAACTATAAAAATTCAAAAAAGTGTCAAGTTGTGTTAATACCTCCAGACAGACAAGCATTCAAATGTATTTAATATATTCATAACTAGGTTGATTTGCCAGTTGGTCTTCTTGTTTACATTGACGATCTTTCTATTAATCAAGGACATACTCGTATATTTCAAGTTAACAGAAATCAGTTGACATTGATATGGATCAATAAGATCGGAGATAACAACAATTAGTTTGTAAAGTGATCAACTAAGGATAGCTTAACACACATATTATTCTGAGTGCTTATAAAATATTCGAAAGTAGTCCGTGTTGAAATAAGTTGTCTAGCTGCTTTTTATAACAGTCATAAACGAGTATTAATCCAAACTTATAGTTACTAACTAGTATGTATTAATATAAGCAGAATGTATCGCTTCAATGCGCGCATGCATCATATTAAAAAGTTTGGAACCTTGGACTTGTTTTAGTCAGTAGTAGCTGTCTCTTATACTCAGTTGACAACTTTAACAATTTTAAATATTCACAATGTGTGTTGCTTAACAGACGTCAACCAACAGTGACAGGCAATATGAATTCAAGTCGCGTCTTACTTCTCAAAACTAGCATTTAAGTCACCATTTAATACATGAACGTATGTATTTAAGTATCTTATATATGTACATTTGTATTTATATGTACGTATGTATGTAGAAATATCTGAATGTATATATTCAAGTTTGAGATGACACGTCGGAGGTTTTCTATACAATGCAACAATATTTAATGTATTTTTTTGTATTTATATTTCTTGTAGCACATTGCAAAATGAAAATCTTTCTACTAATCCTCGCGTTGGCCGTAGCAGTGTATGCTGAGGAGAAATATACGACCAAATATGACAATATTGATGTTGATGAAATATTAAAATCTGAGCGCCTATTTAACAATTACTTTAAATGTTTGATTGAAACTGGAAAATGTACTCCCGAGGGTAGGGAGTTGAAAAAGTACCTGCCTGACGCCCTGAAAACTGAGTGCAGCAAATGCAGCGAGAAACAAAAAACGAACACCGACAAAATTATTCGTTTTATCATTGATAATAAGCCCGAAGAATGGAAACAACTGCAAGCGAAGTACGATCCTGACGAGATATATATTAAGAGATACAGAGCTCAGGCTGCTGATGCTGGAATCAAGATTTAGATGCAAACGGCAACGTATAAAGTAACAGTTTTATTAAATTAAGTTATGTGCTCAATTAAATTGGACAAAAACAGATACGATCAAACTGTATATGTAGTGCACGTATATGTATAAATTATTTTATTAAAGTAATTATGTAATAAAGCTTTAAAATTGCAGTTACTCTGGGTAAAGTCAATTATTATATATGATCATGAAGTGGGTTCCTTATAAAATCAAAGGTAAAGAAAATAATTAACCAGTTCCGGTTGCATGGCTATTATTGCCAATACCGAATCAGTGAAGCCATCACCCCAATTAAAAAGGCAATTAGTTCAATATTAAATATTTTATTGTTTTGAAATGAAGTACATATTGCAATTAAAGGTAATCACATTTACTTTAGACTGTTTTTAATCAACTCTTGTATGTACAAATTATATTTTCTAAGTGCAAATAAAATTAACCTAAAACTGCGATCACACATATGTATATTTTACATGGCCTATACTTATTAAAGTACGCTTCATCGTTAAATTTAATATATGCATACATATACGGTATTAGAGTTGGGTCGGTTTAGTTCAGTCTAGTTCAAAGATTTGCCAATTGAACTATAGAACTAGACAATTTTTCTAGTTCATTTAGTTCACTTAGCCAAAGCATCGATGCATTCATTTTCTTTCACGAACAAAAGTTATAAATAATTACATGTTCACATTGCGCTCCGTTTTTCTTAAATGATTTTTTTCCATTCTTATTTTTATAACTATTTTTTTTGCAGAATATAGTTTTCTTTTATTTTAATTTGGTATTGCGGAAATTGAAGGAACACCGAACCAAGTAGTACATTGAATAAAATGAACTAAAAAGCGCAACTCTAGTATCTACGAGTATGTAATACAAATATTTCACATCAAAGTTAATGGATTTTGTATTTATTTATACGCCTCTTCCATTCATGTACATATTTATATCGATCTAAGATAGAAAGAATAACATTGCTCGTTTACTTAATGTCAAAAGAGAGCGTTTAAAAAAATGATGATTACAAAAAGGTATATTTTTTAGACATCTTCAATTGTCTTTTGTGTTGTTTGTAGAACGTTATAAATAAACAAATAATGAACTTTCAGACGTTGTGCAAAAAACTACAAACAATGTTTAAATATAGTTACGCTCTTCCTATCTGAGAGCAAAGACATTGCTGTTCGGCACACATAGGAATTGCTCGCTATATTCTACTTCTTTTAGCTTAGAAATAAGTTTATTGTACGAATATTTTAAGAATTAATTATAAAAACATTTTCAAACTTTATCTTTGGGCCATCTTACCACATCAGATTTTCTTAAAATCTGCAGTAACATTTTCAAATACTCCGGTTTCAAACAGCATTTTGTTGGGCTGCGGTGTTAATATCGACTGATAATAAAATACCTTTATTAATAAAAATTAAATTGCAAAAGATTCCACAAGTAAGTCATTACCTGGGCCTCATTATCAGCTTCATCGTATTTTTGAGTTGCTATTGCATTTCCATGATTTTTTCCACTCGCTAGATTGTTGTTAAGACTTTTTGCTAACAAAATCTGGAAGAATATGATACATATATATGTATGGTATATATAATTAATCAATATATAAGTTTTCCAGTTCATGCATAGAATTGACATGATCTTATTATATACAGGAAATGACGCACACACATGTTTGTTTTTTCCATTTTAGAGTGAGAAAATGGCAACTAACGTCACTGCTGGAAATGTTTCTTGTTTGTATAGTATTTCGCAGATTTATATAATTAGACCTGCTGTATAAATGCGTCATATGCATGACTTAACTTAGCCTTTTTAGATTGTAGTTTGAAGTTTTTCAGTTTCTTTACTGCATAATGTTAATGTTCAATTTTATGCATTTCCTTAGCACTTGCAGAGTTTATAAAATTGATAGTGGTCTGATCTGGGTGCTTTCGGCAGATAATCTGCTTATGTTGGTAAGATGCTGTGGTACAAAGTCCTGACGCTTTAAAACTGCTCGAGAACTATCAATTATGCTGTTCCAACACAATACATTTTTTCGTATAAAATGCATTTTATACAAATACTATACCTCTTTTTCAATTTTTTCCAACGATTCATTAAAATTTATAAGTTTTTGTTTATATTCCGGCCAACTGTTGCTTAATGTGGTCACGTGGGACGTAATGTTTTCTGAACGATCCAATAAATCGTCTAATTTCGTCTAAAAATGTGAAAGTAATCGTTTTAGTTCATAAATTTTATATTATATATAAAATTCCTTACTTTGTGCACTTGGATTTCCTCATAAAGCATTTTACTTTTTTGACTTAATGTATTATTCACACTTATCATGTCATTTTTTAATTGTGCTAAAGAAACCGTCAACGTTTGATTGACTTTCTTGATGTCTTCGGTAATATTTTCTGGGCTGGTCTTTGGTTGTACAATAGATAATGCTGTTAGGTTAGCCTGAATAGGGAAGAATTTGTTCAAAGTAAATACTTTTTAAAGTTTGTAAACTGACCTTTACTGCATCAATTTCAATTTGCATGTTCTTCTGCATCTCTGTGTACTTGTTATAGTGATCTTTTATACCCTCCACATCTGCAGCAACTGCTTCGAGTTTTGCTCCGAAGTCAGCGACTAGTTTTTCATCCTTGCCGTAATTTCGTTGAGCATTCATCATTTCTAGATTGCTTAGATTGGTACGTAAAGCTTCAATGCTTCGTTGTAATTCAGTTATTCTGATTGAAACTTCCGTTTGGTTCTTCATAAGGAATGATGAAGTCTCGTGCCATTTTTGAAGAGTATCCGGAATGTTTTTGTTCATTGCAGAGACTAAAAATCAATCGACATTATAAGAGAATCAAATATGGGTCTTGTTGAAAACAACATTCAGCATAAAAGGTTGAACCAGCATTCTAGTTTATCATGTTGGGGTTTTTTAAATAATTTATGTAATATTATTTATGTACATTACCTTCTTCAATTTTTTGACGATAATCAAAAATCTGTTGTCTTAAGTCAAAGTAGAGCCAATATAAAATTGCCACAAATAATGCACTGGTTATTCCTAATAATACGGGACCACACATTCGCAAGTAAGTGTTTTTCCGATGACTGCGCCGATTTGGACCAGCAATATTTGTCTAAATTGAAAGACATTTGTATAATACAAATAAAAAAAAAAAAATTGATCGGCGTACCCATGCATAGTCCTCAGGGTCATCCGTAGATACTGACAACAGCTTGTCCTGTGACGGTGCTGTTCCATGAACACCGCGGCGTGTGCTTCGCTTTGTAAGGGAATGTGCTATTAATGCGTCAAGTTCTCTACGCTTTTTCATTTTTTTGCCTCCACCGGAACGTAGTGGAACTTCAATTCGATGATTACAATCCATTTTGGTGGTAAATAATTCCGTGAAACTTAATTCAATACTGTACAAGATAAACTGTGTAATATCATCATTGCTCCATAATCGAGAAGTTAGTCGTCCATCAAAAAAATAAGTTTCCTACATGTACGTAAGTTTGTATTGGATTTTGGGTGGTTGCAGCCTATAGGAACTTTTCCACTGCGCATGATTATAAAATACAAAGGTTGATTGTAATCCAGGGGTGATAAGCAATAAACGATACCCACTTGATGTTGCCAGTTATCTCCTCTCGTTATCCCATGGAAATGCTGTGCGTATTTACGTATCACTATGGATAGTTTAATTATTTAGTTTATACATTGAGTCTTAAAAGGAATGATTTGGTTATATTTCTAGTTTAAAGAAAATGCATCGTCCTTAAAATTTATTTAATCTAAAGCCACTGCGACATCAAAAACCTCTATCGTATGTTTATTCTGAAACCATAACCAGATTCCACAACCATTGAAGTTATCGTTAATTATTGATAAAAGTGCTTAGTGTTGCTATAACTAATCTATCGATATTACCTCCGATGTTTTCTATTCATGCTTCATTAAAAATACAAGTATCGATTAATATTTAAAAAAAATATATGTAGGAAATTAAAAAATGTAATTTATTTTATTTCACTGATACTTAATGTAGCAAAATTAACCCTGTGTATTAGCATAGGTTCCACAGGTATAGGTCTATACTGTATCAACACATCAATATAAAAAACTACTACTCTTAGAACATTTTCAAATGACTTTCATCTCCCCTTGGGCTAACAACAATAGAGGGTGGCTAAAGAAATCCCAAACTTTAATAGCTGATTTATTTCCACCAATATCAATAGTAAATATTTGCGAACTTTGTGCTCTTTTTGAATTCAATCATTTAGAAAACCACGAAATATTTTTGATGATGAAGAAATAAGTACCATTTGTAAAGCTCGATTTCATACATTTAAATATTTTATAATTTAAATGACAATAGAAACAAAACTGTAAAAAAACTGTACACGGGTAAATAGCAATAGACCATTCCAAATGCCTTTCCCCTCCCTTTGGACGATTGATAAGCAACTGCTTTTCAAACTTTAAGCTTACTTATTGCTTATTTATCAATCTAAATAGTTATTTCTGGAGGCAGTATCAGGTAGAAATGTTTAGATATTACAATTGAATCTTAAAATGTCGTTGCCGTTGGAATATTGAGTCAATGGTCGAAAATACGTCACTGGCTTTTTTAGCGGCATCAACTTTAAAATGCAACCCCCTCAAAGCATAGTAATCAACTAGAGGTTTAGTCTGTTTATGGTAAGACTCAAGACGTTTTTTTAAAGCTTCAGCGTTGTCATCACTTCGTCGCATTAAAGGTTCACCCGTAACCTATAAAAAAGTTTAATTTAAAAAATATTATAATGAAATCTTCGCGCGAAAACACAAACTTACATCATCTTTCATTGATACTTTGGGTGGTGCAAATTCTTCATGGTATGACCTTCCACTTGCCTGATGAATTAGGCGCCCTGTAATTCGGCGAACCAAAAGGTTGTCGTCGATAGAAAATTCAATTACAGCATCCAAGTTGGTCCTCCTCTTGTCTAGCAATGTATCTAGCTGGAATATTCTAAAAATGATAACCTTGCCAATATGGAAAAATGATTGAAAATTTTACCTTTTCAGCTTGAACGACGGTTCGTGGAAATCCATCTAAAAGGAAACCATTTCTGCATTCTGGTTTATCCAAGTTCGAATCAATCATATTTACAACAAGATCGTCTGAAACCAATTTTCCTTCATCCATAACTTTTTTAAGTTCCGCGCCAAGCTTTGAACCGGAAGCAATTTCAGCTCGAAGCATGTCGCCGGTTGACAAATGGCATACACAGAACTTGTCCTTTAACAAAGGGGCCTATAAAAATAAATAATATTTGATTATATATTTTACTTTTAATATTATTAATTATGAAGTAAAATAACAATGGAAAATGAATCTACGATATATTTTTGAATACATACATACATACATAAGTATAAGCTAGGCAGAAGGTTTGCGCAACAATTATATCGTTTTAAAATTGCCGCCCTGATTAGATTAGAAGTAAATCAACATTTTAATATTAATTAATCAAATTAAACTGACCATTCCCGCTGGGAAACAAACTGAAGGCAAGCATTTCAATTGCCTGAATAAACGGGGCGGACGAATAAGCAAAAAAATAAGTCGCCAAGTGAGATCGCATGATAAGGCAAAGGTCGATGAAAGCATAGTTAATGAATAAAGACATTGTTGGCAGTTTGCATGCCGCCCTTAGCTTTCGTTAGTGCATATATTTCTAAGCAATACATGTACATATTTACGTAGAGCTCACAGGCCCTAGGACATCCTAGCTTAGATGAGTAAAAATATTGTGTATTGCCGAGTACACATTGTGTATATGTGTATTTATGTACATGTTAATATATAGAGTTTGGATAGGATCAAATATAATAAATATGTGTATGATATATTTATACAAATGAATATATGTATTTACATATGTGGCAGATGTACTAACATACTGATGTTTAACTAGTTTTCCTTTTAGATACATACATATCTATACGTGCATACATACAAATGTACATACATACATACATATGTATATACATAAGTACATAAATTGGCGTGTACAGTATTTTTGGATTATTTCCTGTGTACAATTATTTCAGAAACTTGCACAACAGAACTATTCATACATAATTAAGTACTTGGGAATGAATATGCAAACATAAATAGAGGCATGCGGCTATGCAGGAAATATACACATGGGTACATTTCTTAAGCCACATCACATTTATATAATGTTAAACTTACCTGCGTCCCTTTGCCCGAGCCGGGTGGCCCAAGAAGAATTGCGTTGATCCCTGAGGTTGGAGTTTCATAGCGTTCCGCTGGTGCTGCTACGTTTGGCGCCATTGTTTTACTTTTAAGTTTGAGTAATGATTTACAGTTTACTCATTACTTTTATAATCTCCGTTTGATAACAAGCAATCGCTAATCAGCGCGAAACCGAAGAGGAACAGATGGAATGGGCTGAAAATAGTGGCGGCCAAATATTCGAAATACCCTGTGACTGGTACCGGGTGTAAAATGTGCTTTTTAAATCGATACAACCCATTAAACGTGAATTTGAACACTAACAGTTAGGGCGACTCAAGCAAAATAATTTTCTAGATTGCAAATTTAAATTTTTTTCGAATAAGTAGTTCTTTTGGTTCTTTTATTTACATCAACCATGTACTTATTTATCGTTTGGGTATAAATAAATTTTTGTTGTTTATTCAGAAATCGTTTAGTTATCTAAAATCGTTTGAAGAATTTGTCGTTTAACTAATTAAATAAAATGATCTTTCTAAATAATATTAAAAAATCACGACGGAAATTGAAATTTGGTTTTCCCGAGCGGTTAATTAGTTATCATCTGCGTATAGTTTATAATAACTTAAAGTACATGAGAAAGTACATATAGCCAATTAGTCGATTGAGCAAATTACTTGTACAAATTCAACTTCCCAGATTGTATGAATGTGTTTGCTTGAAGAGGAGCTATTGATCAGTAAGAAAAACTATGATACAGCGTTTTATGGTTCCACTTATCTATTAGCATCTTTTGATATTTGCTTTCCAATGGGTCGTAGATTAATCATTGGCTATGAATTTCATGTTTGTAATTTTTCTTGCTTTTACAATTCACAATATGGCATAAATAAGAAATATTTATACTCGTACATACATACATATACAGAAAAATACATACTGATGTGCTGCTTTCTTTTTTTGATTTGTTGTAAAATTTAATATTTGATATAAATGAATGTACATATACATTTATACATTTATTAAATACAACTACACTGAGCTTGCGTTGCTGTGCTGTCAAAGAATGATATTCACATACATACATATACCTAACAATGGCGCTCGCATGGGGGGCAATCATTCAGATTCCCTTAAAAGTTTTATTTTTAACTAGGATTCTAAGACAATTTATCATAATCCTACACATATTATTTTAATCAAAGTATTATAATATGCGAAATGTTGGCCTTAACAAGACCATAATTCAAGTTAGAAAAACTATTTTAACTAAAACGTTACTATTTCAACTTTGATAAAAAATACAATCCTGAACTTCGTATGCATTTTGATCGCGGTATGCTAAGAAAATAGGGAATACCAAATATTTCAGTTCAAACTAGATTTTATTTTTTGATGTTGTTGTCAATAATTAATATTGAAACATTTTTAGGAATTTTTCTGAATTATTGTTCAATGGTTCAATGGATTTAAAGAACACACAGCATTTTGCATTTTTTATGCTTAAAAATAAATAAAATCTATGAATCTTAGAAAGTCGATTCTAGCCCTTCAATGCAATTCATATTAATAAATAAAAATATGTCTTATTTATTGCATTCATACATAAATCGACGGGCTTTCATTAAGCACTACTATACATGAAGAAATCATTTGTAATTACAAATTTACAAGTACACAAAATCACATGCATACATAAATGTATAAATGTAGACGTACACACATACATACATATAAGTGATGACTAGTGCGAGTGCATGTGAGAAAATACTAAAGCATACATACATACATATGCATTTGTGCACTTGTAAAGTTGTGCATTATTTTTAAAACCTAAATTTATTTCGCCGGAAACTTTTGTTGTGATCAGCAAATATCGATCAGTATATTTTGTTCAGTCACACGCTGTCGCGATGCGGTCCGGATCATTAGAAAACTCATGTGGTCGGTGTTATTTTAAAAACGTCGGTACAGCGAACGGAAACCCAATTTCATATGCCGTTATTGCGGAAGTGGCGTTACACAAGTTTTAGTTTAAAAGTGCTGTGAAGTGCTAAATATAATTAAATGATACTGTTATACGCTTTTGAATTATCAAATTAATAGCAAAGAATACATCTAAGAATTTTTTAAATTACTGTGTTATGCAATATGTGCAATTAAATTTATTGGCAGCAAATAATAGCTAACTTAGGGCTTTTCTTGTGGAGCGTTCTGGCGAAGCAATGTCGGTTCAACATCCTTCCGCTGCAATGTTAGCCAACGGCAAAAACACACAAAACAAAGCCATGGATTCTGTAAGTCGTGCTTTTAATAAAACTCTAAATTTGAATTTACTGCACTACAAGTGGGTATTATTCGAGTGCATGTTGAATTAAAATTAAAAAGTGGTACATGCTTAAAGCTTTCAAAGAATTTTTGCATTTGGCAGTCGCCAACAATTATTTTTAGACATATGCATTTATCTTAGATTGTTGACATAGATACATACATATATTGTACACATATCCACCAACATATACATATACATATACTTATATATGTAAATATGTATCTATATGTGTTTATTTATTTATTTATATATATATTTTTAATATACACACATTACTTCTTATATATGTACATATTTATAGTATGTATATTGGGAAGAAGGAACTATAAAATATTGCCTCTTTATTTCACTCCCACATTTATAAATCTCTGTACGCATATAATAGTGATATTCTTCAAAGTGATTTTAATAAACATTAATAATTTACAAAAGCTTAAAAATAAAATGCATTACTCTATGAATTTGTGAGCATACTTTACTTCTAAAATGAACCTAAACTAAACGGATGGCCACTTTATATTCTGCTATCTTTACCGCCACCCGAATACAGTAGGATCTCGAAAAACTGACCGAACTACGTTTTCCTAACCGGTTTTTCAAAATTTAAAAAAAATCAATAATAAACATAGATTTTTCGGAAATAATTCGATTTATTCATTTTGCATGACTTAAACTTAAATTAAATTTGTGTACAGTGGCTTAAAGAAGAAATCGAGAATTGTTTTTCCCCTTTTTCTTTTGTGTAATAACTTTAAAACCGTTTTCGTGATCATATTGACAAGGTTCACCATTTAAATTGCATCGTTTCAAACCATTTTATCAAGGTATTGATGCTTTCAACTGCTTTCGGGAAGCTTAATTTTGGTTGTTGAATATCTTGCTCGATAAGTGACCCGTCGGTATCATCGGAAACTTCGAAATCGCCGTTATTTCCCGTAATTTGATCAATGTTTCAAAGTACAATGTCATCAATGCTAATGTTAACATTAAAAAAGTTAACGTTTGCGGGGCACGTGGACGCTTAAATTCGGTTAACTTACCCGAGCTTTTAACTTTTACGCGAGCCAACTTTCTCAAGATTCTTTTGTAATCCAATTGAAATCAGTTTTTTAGTTGATTTGGATTTCTCTAAATGTGTAAATTTTAAAATCTATATGGTCACACTGCAAATTTCATTTTGAAGATCATCTGAAACCTAACGGTCAGGATCGAAGCTCTTTAAAGGAATTACAACTACCTATAAATGTTACGAAATAAATAATTAGGGTATAGCATTGTGAAATATCTCCAAAAAACATCTATTATTTCATTAATAATGTTTTTTTATTGTGAAAATCAATTATTAAAAATTATAGCAATCTTATACACGTTTATACAGGCAATTTTTTTTATTTGGCCCTGTCCCAATTACAATCAATAATAATTTAGCATTAAATCCAATTAAAATGGCTCTGATCTAATAATATCTTATGCAAATGACGCATTGCGGATATTGATCAACTAATAATACTTTCACAACTGTAAAATCTTTTAAAAAGAAATTGATTGCACCGAAGATGATTTCCATATATTTTACATAGTTAATTATCAATACGAGTATTACAAATATTGTAAAGCAGTTACAATATATACAATTATTTTAATTTGGATACATTGCAGTGGCCTTAACTGATTTTCGTTTTAAGCCGGACTGTAAGGGTTTCCTTTCTCGATTTCATGATACGAGTATTCCTCATTTATAAGTGCTTATCATGTTTTAAAATAATTAAACTTTTGTTCTATGTTCTAGGTTTTAGACGTTGTATTTGTGGTTCAAGATTTTGAGGCTAAGACCGCCGATGCAGTCAGCGTGTCACGTGGCGATTTGGTTGAACTTATAAATGCTGGTAGCTCTGGAGACTCCAGGTAAGTTTTAAGCAAATTTAGTTCTGTGTAATTTTTACGGCTTTTAGACATTGAATTACTTTTTTTTTTGTTCCATTGATGTCGGTTTTCAGTCAGGCTGACATCGTTCTACTTTTCGTTGTATTGATAAAATATCTTAACTGCGGACTGACTTTCTCTCTATTATTTTGATTGGGAACAATTCTAGCCACCCTTTATTATAATTGCCTTATTTTACACCTTCATAGTACTGTTTATTTATAAGAACACAGGTTTCATTTTATAAATTTGTTTTAAAAAAAAGAGTTTTCACCATTTCAGAGGGGGTGAGTCGGTCCTGACATGTTCAATCACATTCCGGCCCACCGTTAAGTAAAGCATTATTTTTAAGTTGTCCTCTCTTTTTCTCCTCATTTCCTTTTTTTGTAAAGCATGCACTTATAATAATATGTTTTCTTTTGGGTCTGGGAAATAAAAATCTCCGCATATTTCTTTTATTTCCTATGCAGATGCTTCGTACGAATTTTCGAAAACGGTTCAAAACAAAAAGAAGGATGGGTACCAGCGGAAATATTGGAGTTTAATTCAACTTCTTTTCCGAATGGCAAAGATAATGAAAATCCAGAATTTAAAAGAGCGTAAGGTTTTAGATAATTGAAGGTGGGTGCTCCAAACAGCATTCTAACTTTTGATAAAAAAGATAAAAAAAAGATTAAAAAAAAAAAATGTGAATTAATAATGAATGGTTAAAATTAAATATGTGAGAATGTTACTTATACCTATATAGTACATAAATAATTTTAAAACAATGTGACCTTTTAAATTGAAAGTTTGGAGCACACTTTTAATAAGCTGCTGATTTGTTGGATTTAGAGCCGTATTTCCGCTTATTAATGTTATTACAATTCTTTAGAACGATCCTCAGAGAGCTGATCGAAACTGAGGAGGAATTTTCGAGAGACTTACAATATGTTGTAGATAAATATGTAAAGACTATCGATAGGCCGATAGTTCCGAGATCATTGCGAGATAACAAAGACGTCATCTTCTGCAATTTTCTACAAATTGCGGAATTTCACAACATGTATGTACATGCCAAGAAAATAAGAGCTCATAATCATTGCTAATATTTTAGGGTACTCAAGGAAGGTTTAAAATGTTATAGCGGTCAGCCTAACATGGTAGCTAAAACTTTCCTACGCCTGGAACGTGATTTCGATAAGCATGTGAAATATTGTCAAAACGAGCCAATAGCCCAGGATTTTCTAAATTCAAGTTTTGAAGTTCAAAATTATTTTCAGGTAAGTCAATTAACTTCAATAGCTTAGTGAGAAGGATATACAAATGCTTATACTTGTATATTTACTATCTTAAGAGACTATATAAGGTATGTATGTGTATGATGCTTGAGTGATAAAGAAATCTCTGTGATAAAATTTGCAAGCAAAAAAGTACAGTAAAGTATCTGATGTGGACCAGAGATACACATTTCTAGCTGGTATTTAACAAAACCTTTTTCGTCGCTAGCAAATGACACTTATGTAGTAATCCAACCTAAAAGCTTTTATCAAAACATAATCTAACATGAATAGTCAGTTATACACGTTAAAGTTCGTTCGCATTGCAAACGGTTCACTGAAAAACTGATACTAGAATAATGCTAGGTTTTTGATAAGCTCTGCTGAACGAAACCATTATGCTTTCATCACTGGCGTGTACTTCCGTTCCCTGTGGTGTTAATATGTGATATGCTAAATACTTTGTTCACTGCTGCGATTAAAATTGCATTATTTGCTTGCAATTATTGGCAAAAAAAAAAAGAAAATTTAAAAGAAAAATAAGTATATATATGTGTGTGCTCCACAGTCCAAATGTACGATGCTTTAACCAATCTTGTGCGTACGTAGCATATATACATTTATTTTTAAAATTAGGCGTTTCTCAATTCTAAAGCTTTCGGGCATTTTAGTTTCTTTCGAGTAGTGTTGGAGGCCGTGTCGCGCTAATAGTTTTTAAACCGAATCCGTTTTTACTCACTCCTAGGTATATAAGAAAAAACCTTGACCAACGTGTTTACAGATTTTTAAATGTTTCTGCTGATTTGTACAGTGTACAGTGATTTTGTTTAAAAAGGCAATAATTCAAAATCTGTAATAGAACAGACCAGTGCCAAATGTGTGAAAATAATCCTCAATCCATCTTAATAAAGCCTCATTAAACAAAAACAGTGAAAATTGAAGTAAATTAATGATGTGCACTTTTGGAATAACTGGCAGTTATGCAATATTCTGATTTATATTTCGAGCGTGTGTTTATATATTTTAAAAATAAATGTACATACATATGTCCATCTTAATATTCATACACTTGGCCGTATCGTATGTATATATATCCGAGTAATGCTAAAACGGATAAATATAGAAATAATTTGTTATAGACTCCTACGTACCTCACTTAATTTACAGGCTTTATACACTCTCATTGATTTCAAAAATTATCATTTAAGTGAATGTTCTAGTGCCACCATTATTTTAATTAAGCATCTAAATAATACATACACATAAATACATATATAGAGGAAACACATGCAGAGATATTCTTGAAAAACTAAGTCATTATGAATATGTAAATTTTTCTTTAGTTAAAATATATTCAAGAATATTCACGTAAATAGTATATAATGTGTGCATAATACATAGAGAACATACACATACAGCCCAATACTCATATACGCAGAACTCAATTTCATTTATATGTATGTATATTTGCAACAAGTGATAAATTTTTCAAGCATATTTCCAAAAATAGCTTAAAGAGAGTGGTAGAGAATATTTCAATACTCAGCGATCACAAAATGTTGATATAGCAAAAACTTTTTTACACTTTTTCTCAATTTGATTTTCCAAGACAATTTCCAATTTTTGCAACTATGTAATGATTGATTACAGCCATGGAACTACGCTACATCAGTTGATCAAAGGAACTTAAATAGAATAAAGAAATTAAGAAAAACTATTTCCCTTTTGTTTGAGACACATACGTATGTTGTTTGATGAAGAGTTTTCTAAATGTTTGTTAAAGAACAGCTAATACAGATAATACAGTAGTATAGTAGACTTGCTAAGGTTATACATGTACTATATTACATATTGAAAAGCTTTTATTTAATGAGTTCATATGAACTCGAATTCTTCGAAACGCCAGAAATTCAATTTCGTATAGGAAAAACATATTAAACCTTTTACAACTAAATAAATATGGTAGCTATATTGTTTGTTTATTATAAATACTTTCAGGAACTGTCAAAGAATCTTGGTGACGAAAAATCATTATCTGAACATCTTAAACTGCCAATTCAGCGAATAAACGATTATCAACTGTTATTCAAGGTTTGAATAATTATGTACATGAAAATAAAAAATACCCAACAATATGTTACACAAGAGACACCATATTCTCGTATTATGTGTTGTATAAATATATTTACATGATCACATCGTCGCCTTCATACTATGTAGTTATGGCTCCACATTTAAACACCTAAACTATGTATACTCTCACTGGCAAAGTATTCGCAAAGCTTCAATTCTATTACGATATTTGGAGAAATTAATAAGATAATGGGATGCAGATGTGAATGCCAATGCTTTACTAGTGATAAAGCCACATCATCATATATGTACACTTCTAATTACAACACGTCCGGCTTCTCATTTCAGTCATTAACCAATTTACTTAGAACTCAATTTACATATTTTATTTCGCAGGACTTGCTTAAATACTCACAAAGCCTAAAAGAAAATGTTAGAGATTTGGAAAAGGCCTTAGAGCTAATGCTTAGTGTACCAAGTAGAGCATATGACAACAGATTTATTTCTAGTATTGAGGGATATCGAGGTAACATTTATAAATTGGGCAGACTCTTGCTACACGAGTGGTGTACTTTAGAAGATAAAGATGGGAAGACGCATGACCGATATTGTTTTTTGTTTAAATCCAGAATTTTAATAACAAAGGTTCGAAAAATATCAGAAAACCGTTCGGTATTTGTTCTGCAACATATTGTAAAGCTTCCATTATGCGATATTGCCGAAAAGACGACCGAGAAACAAGTGTATATAACACCAAAAGCGCAAAATGACAATGTGAACCTCCCCATTGGCATTAAGCCCCATAGTGAGCAGTCCTTTAGCACCTGGTATAAAGAAATTTGTTCACACATTGGTCAGGAAGTTACATTGCAAGAGCACAACGCAGATGACCTAAAACTAGACTCCACGCAAGTAGTTGCCGAAAACGAGCTTCTCTTACACCTTCCACAAAAAGCTGAAGCGCATGATCCCAACCCAAACATACGTCCATCTGATGTAGCCGAGAACTACTTCTTAAGCAAAGAAACAAAGGAACGGCTTCAATTGGAGCAGCAGGAGCTGCTTAAATTCGAGCAGGACGCTATTGAATTGTATAAGAAGCAACAAGGCGAAAAAGTTAATGTAAGGCCGGTCATTGTAAAGAATGACCCAACTATATCGCCTCCCAAGAGCGCACCAGACGAGCAAAACGAATTGAAGGGCTCAATTACGAGAATTGTTAATGAACCGAAGATTGTACAAATAGATGAGATTTCACAAGAGAAAGAACTCGGACTAGCGGAAGACGTTGGTACAAGTATAAGGGCGAGCTCCACTTCGGCCACATGTGAAATAGGAAGCTCGCTAAAAATGGAAGAATATAGAGAATCTGAAATGAAGTCAGTTGTGACCAGCAGCTCTGAAATGGTAACTGAGAAATCGGTTGAGATAAGCAATATACAGGAACATGCAGTGTCCGAGATTTCAAAAGAAGTATACGAAGAATCGGGTAAGGACCCAGAATGCCCAGAGACAGTCACGCCAACACCTACTCCAATTCCAATGATTAAAATAGATCATATTGAGAATGATAACAATTTCAAAACAACTAAACACAAACCAATCGAACTTAAAGATATAGTTGGCTATACTGAATCCCTTCATGACAGCGATAGTGTACAGAAAAACTCCCAAAGGCGACAGGGAAATGCTACTAACATTACTGATTCTGCTTCCCTAACACAATGGAATAATACGCTTGCAAACATCACATACAGAAATGCCGGTGGCGGTAATTTTGGTGGATCAGGTGGAGGTCCGCCACCACCACCACCACCTCTGCCACCGAACGCGGTTCGAATGCCTGGCTTTTTTCAACCTCTTCCGCTTATTTCATACGAAACAACTATCGAGATACTAATCGTAAAAGCTCGACCACCATCACCTCCTCCTCCACCGCCGCCAACTATTAAACGCGTTCTAGTCCATACTGAGAGCCTAGAACAAAAAACGCAGAACTTTTTCGAGGGCATCTATGACATATCGAGTTCAGATACGTCGCTTCGCAATGCTAAACAAAAAATACGCAGCATCAAAAATACTGTATTGAAGTCAAGCGACTCTACTAAATACGCTCAAGATACAGTAAAAAAAGCAAAAGCTCGCGACTTTCTTCATATATTTACCCCACCCATTAAAAAAAAGAGACCCATTTATGAGATCGTTGAGGAACCTTTACATATTAGTGAACTTGAAGGAGAGTATACCGAGTCTATTGCTGACGATTTCAGAGAACCAAGTGCAGATATTGATATTGAAGTCCGAGGGCAAAGCGTTGGCGGTATGGACGATTACTACTCCGGCTATTCACTGGCCTCCAAACGGCGTTATGAAAGTAAGTTCATGTCAGTGTCATGTCTCAACCTAGAGCCGGAAATTTGTTAATCCTGTTACTTCTGGTGTCTAGTATGTCGAGTCCTATGGTACAGATGTGTGAAATATACTTGTAGTGTTAATATTCCATTCTAGGGACTCTCTATCGGTATTGTCAATTTGTATCCGTACACACCAACTTATTCTGAAAACCTGCTTGTATGAACATAGAATGTAGTATATGTATTTCATATTTTGGCTGCAGTTATAAATATTATAGATGCTGATGTATCAAAAACTTCTGTGTTATGTTGTTAATAATATGAATTCTACATCCATTTCTCTAAATATTTACAAAAATATATGAAAATTGGACTTTGAGAAGGACAGCTTCCAATTCATTCCGATCAATTCATATTTAGCGTATTCACGGTCAGTGATTAATCTGGTTAACCGGTGAGGAAATAAAGCTGAGAATGGCAATACTAATTAATCAGATTAGATCGATTATTCTGAGTTGATGAAATTGGCCCAAACATTTTAATCGGTTAATCTGTGGACGACTGGCCGTGAATACCCTACCTATCAAAACATAAGTAGAGCTTCCACTTCCCTTCGTGCCTGAACGCACCTATTTCTAATCATATCCAACCAGTACCGATATTCCCTTGCATTTGTATCCCGCCTGTTGAATAACACATTAAAATCAAGAAAGTGATCTATAAGTCATACATGTTATTTTATTTTGATTAAGTATTTTCGTTGCCCTTTTATAATATTACCACCAACATTGTGCAGCGAGTACAAGGTCGAGAGATTATGACAGAGGCTCCTCGTATGACAGCACTGTAGACACACAACATTATGGCGTAAGCTCAAGGCGTGAACGTACCAGTGCCTTGGATCGTATCGAGGCGCGTTCCTCTTTACTGGCCACCGGCCGTACCGAAAGCCGTGCTGAGAGCCGTGCAGAAAGCCGCGCTGAGAGTCGTGCCTCCTATTCTCGGGCAGAGTCGCGAACTGGCGCTCGTTCATCATCTCGAGCCGTGGAAGATCAACCACTGCGCTCTGTTGACAAGCCCGTAGTAGTTAAGATGCTAAAGAGTGTTCAAGTAGAACGTACGTATCAATAAATTTTTAAAAACATAGTACGAAATTTAATTTATAATAAAACTTATTTGCAGCTGGAGAAACTGCTCATTTTGAAATTCAATTTAAGGAGAAACCCGGCTTAGTTACGTGGTTGAAAGATAATAAGCCATTGGAAGATCGTTTAGCTGACAGAATTATTCAAACCGAAGCTACAATGAATTCATTCCGATTGGATATAAAGAATTGCAGGTCAGACACATTCTCTAATATTCATTTTCATACAAATATACATTTTGTTTTCTTCTGTTTGTATTTTTAGTGAAACCGATGACGGAACGTATACGGTTCGCGCACAATCCGCTACGGAGACTACAACCTGCTCAGCTCAACTTGCTGTTGGCCAAGGTATGAAATGTCAAAGGATGAGAATCGCACTTCAGATAATATATGTGATCTTATCCTCTCTCTTTTCAGCTCCTGGCCATGACGAAACGAAAACGAATGTTCCACCAGCATTCCTAGTTAGCTTAAAAGATGCGGAAATGATTGAAAGTACGCATTTCCGTTTTATGATTAAGATCAAAGGTGATCCGAAACCCCGAGTGAAATTGTAAGTATAGTATCGGAGATTGATTTGTCATAGATAATTCATATTATTTAAGTCATCAAATATATTTAAAGATATAAAGAGATTTAAATTATAAGCATTGTTTCGTTTATTTCAGCTACAAAGACGAAGTGGAAATTTTGGAAATCAATGACCGAATTCAAATCATCAGGGATAAAGATTATTTGGGATTTTATGAATTGGTCATTACTGAAGTTCGAAAGGAAGATGCTGGAACTTATTCCTGCAAGGCTATAAACAAACATGGCGAAGCCAGCTGTGAAGCCACAGCAACAACTGTAGGCAAGTATATTAACAAAATAGTATAAGACTACTTGTAATACAATATAAAATAGGTTGTCCAAAATGTTTATAGTTACCTGAGGAATACATGCGACCATGTACATATTTTGTTTATAATTTAACATCAGATTTAAATTCTAATTAATTTATCAATTTCTTTATAAATAGAGGACAAGAACCCATTCGGAGCGCTGAGTGGTCAAATTTTGCCAGCTGGAGAGAAACCGGTCTTTTCATGGAAAAGAAATGGAGAAGAATTTGACCCTGAGGAAAGATTTAAAGTTCTTTTTGGAGAAGATGAGGACTCGCTAGCTCTGGTAAATAAACCATTTTTTTCATATATGTACATAAAGGTGCAGTAAACATTTAAATATTCTTACTTTGGTGCATATGTCTGTAAGATGATACGTTATTGGAAAATAATTTTATTATTTAAAATAACTCAAAATTGTTGCGAATATACGCTTAAAAGAGGTCTTCGTAATGTTTTTCTGTAATCTTTTGTATGATGTATAAACAAATTGATTGAATTAAGTGGAAATATAGAATAAATATGTATTTATAAATTTATGCTTATTTTAACCTTTAAATTTTTAATAGGTCTTCCAACACGTGAAGCCTGAAGATGCAGGAATATATACGTGTGTTGCACAAACATCGACTGGAAATATATCTTGCAGTGCAGAGTTATCTGTTCAGGGTGCTATCCAGACGCTATACAGAGAGCCTGAGAAGCCGACTTTAATAATAGAGCACCGTGAAGCCAACGCCAGTATTGGTGGATCTGCAATACTGGAGCTTCAGTGCAAAGGTTTCCCCAAGCCCGCTGTGCTTGTTAAACATGAAGGTGAAGTCATTCAAGCGGATGATAGGCACAAATTTATGTACGAGGACGAAGAAAGTATGTCTCTTGTCATTAAGAATATAACTACAGAAGATGCGGGCGAATATACTATTGAAGCTTCTAATGAACTAGGACAAGATCAGTCTTCGATTCATTTGGTTGTAAAAGGTAATTGGTTAAAAAAACGACAGTACTGTAAGGGACTATGAGATACGATATTTCTAATAAATCTATATAATTTCCAGCACCACCGAAAATAAAAAAAGTGACCGACATTACGTGCTCAGCTGGAGAAAAAGTTAAAATTGAAATTGAGGTCGAAGGGTACCCCCAACCTTCAGTTAACGTCACGAATAACGGCAAAGATATCAAGAGCGAGACGAATGTGAAAATTACGTCTACAGAAATCGGCAAAAGTGTGGTGAAAGTGGTTTTAGAAATCACAGATATAAAACTGTCCCAATCAGGCAGCTACTCTATTCGCGCAACAAATGACCTCAGCCAAACATCTGAGTATTGGAATGTTACTGTTAAGTCCAAGCCCGTAATCGTGACCCATTTCGAAAGTGAATATGTTCACGGCGAAAAGGAAACCGTCAAAATGTCAGTACGGGTGGATGCATACCCCGAAGCCAAACTGATTTGGTATCAAGATGGTAATGAAATCAATTTGAATGACAAGAAATACAGTGTCAGCACTGATGGAAATTCCTACACCCTGAAAATTAATGGCGCCACTCGGGTTGATGGCGGCAAATACTCGGTAAAGGCGGTTAATGAGCACGGATCGGCCACAAGCGAGACAAATCTGCTCATCAAATGTACTCCAGAATTCACAAGGAAGTTACAAAACATAACTGTCAAGGAAGGTGAATCTAATGTGGAGCTGGTGGTAGGAGTTGATGCTTACCCCCGACCTCATATTAAATGGTTTATTGACGGAATTGAAATTGATGAGAAAAGAAACGATTTCCGCCGTGTGGAAGAGGGCAAGGACTTCAAACTGATTCTTAAGGAGGTGGCAACGAATATGCAAGGCACCTATAGCTGTCAAATAATGAATGATTATGGAAAACTGGAGGACAATTGTGTAGTCACTGTTAACTGTAAGTATATATGAAAAACATATAGAATAAAGCTTTCACAAAATTTCAGTCTCTACAATACTAATAATTGTAAATGTAATACATACATTTATGTATTAATAACTTATAATGTTGATTTGATTCATGACCCAACTACAATAACCCGGTTCCGGTCCTGTTTTTCGTCTGTCGGGAATCATTTAGCATTAGTCAGAAGGGGTTTTTGGAACAAATGCCGAATGCAATTTATTTTCAAAAACAAAATATTTGTATATATTTTCAATTATTAAAATAATGAAATATACCTCTTCCTCTTCTCTAAAATACAATACAATACACAAAAAGTGTCCAATTAGATGTCTTGGACATTTCTCATTTATTGATTTTTATAATATTCTTATCGTAGGCAAGCCAAAAATAAGAAGGACTCTCAAGGACGTTGAAGTTAAAGAGGGAAATTCACTTACACTGGAAGTCGAGGTTTATAGTGAGCCTGAGGCAAATGTCAAATGGTACGCAACTATTTGAAAACGAATTCTAAATTAAGTCAATTAGTTTACATAACATCCAAAATATAGGTTTAAGGATGGCCATGAAATACACGCGGATGCTCGGATCAAAATTTCGCGCGATTCGCAGCGGATCGAAAATTATTACCTTACATTAAATCTAGCCAAAACGGAGGATGCCGGAACATATGAAGTAAAGGCGGCGAACTTTATTGGAGAGACAACATCAACTTGCAAGGTGGCAGTTTTAAGTAAGTGCACCAATTCTAATACGCAGAGCAACCAGAACTACATAACAATATACTTTCCCACAATAAATATCAGTTTCAACGATTTTCCAATCATATTACATGTTATTTTCTATTTAAGGGATACATTTTAATTTCATTTATTTTTATTTTTGTATAACCCTAAACATTCGTACTATTTTAAGTCGAATCTTTTATCAGTTTAATGTCTCGGAGAAGAGCTAAAGGCGACTCAAAACGCTTAAGCAACATAAACGTTTTTTTTTTTTAATTAATTATATTTTCCAAAACTAAATTCTCGAATATTATAAAACGCTATACTCACGTATGTAATCCCTTGACAAATTTTAATTTAGCAAACGATACTTTATCAGTGGAGCAAATCGTAACAAAAACAATGATTGCTACGACAGAACAACCTGACGAAGGGGGTAAACCACATATGAAATTTTCATAAAATAACGTAACAACTATTAAAAATTAATAACATTCCAATAACGAACTCTGTACATATCAATTTCGAAAGCATGCACTAAAAAATACAAAACTAGAGACAAAAATGCGAAGCTACATGGATACAATTTTTCTAAATACATCATAATATCATTGGGCGTAAGGGATATTAATTTTAAATGTCAAAAAATATATATAATACACCTAGTTCTGTTCTACACGGTCTTTTCTTACACGGTTTTTATTTAACGGTTTGAAAATTAAAATTATTATATACTTATGGTAACACGACTATATTCCATTTAGCACGATTCATTTTGCATATGGAGAATGACTTTTTTACACGGTTTTTTACATGACTTTTTTAGGAACCAATCTACCGTGTAAAAACAGAATTAGGTGTATAGTAAAAATAAATACACATGATAATTACCCACAAGTTATAGCTGACTGCGAGCTACGATAAATGATAACTGCATTACATTCTTATAAAGAGAAAATATATTTAATATTTTAAAAGAGCAGAATAACTTACTCGCCAAGTCTAATAATCTTACCTATAAACCTTTCAAAACACCTTTAAGATACTAATCGGATAACTTCAAAGCAGAGATATTAATTCAATTCATTGTGATAATCTGTACAAAGGCCCATGTCTGAAAAGTTTTCATGGCTTTGCAAGGGTGTGAATAGTCTGTTTTCTATTTTCAAACAAGTGAACATTTTGTACTTACCTTTACTAACTAAATAATGATATATGGATCATAAGCGGAACTGAATACAATCCGATACTTTTAAGGTGTGAAAATAAAGTGCATGTTTGAAAAATTCCTTTTTTATTGTGTCGATATATTCTCACATAAGTAAACGTTAATTTTAAATTTTCCATATAAACTCACAAAACATATTGAACACATTTCACATTTAATCATATTTTGATGGAAATATAATATTATGTTTATACAAATATATTTAAGCAACAATAGTTTTTACTAGAAAGGAGCCTGTACCAAAAGGATAAAAGGGTCTAGTACTTTTGACCGAATGTGTCTTATATAGTTGTATACTTATACAAGTTATAAACAAAAGGAGGCGTCGCAGGTCGCACAAAGTATATCAGTATGATAACACGTCTCGATATAGACCATGTCCGTCTGTCTGTATAAACGGAAGGGTCTCGGAAATTATGAGAGAAAGGAAAACTTTGTGTTTTTCTCCTGATGCATCCCCCTACTCACCCGCTATAAGTAATTTTCTATAACTGCCGCTCGACTCTAGCATTCCATTCTTATTTCGATGAAGTAACTTAAGAAATGAATTAAAAGTTCCAATCTAATTTAGTAAATACATCAATATCCAATATAGCTTAGTTTCGGGAACAACATTTTAAAAACATTGCTCATTTGTAAATGTAGCTATTGTCCCATATTCCACATATTTATTTCTGGGCAGAAGTCCGAACCAATACTTGTATTACAGTTTATATAGAGGAAGAGTCCAGATATATTTTAACAGTCAAATGGATCTGTTAAATTACCTTATTATGGAATATATACATATATATAGATGTGTGTCAATGTTTGGCTTTATAAAACATGCGCTTGTACGTATCGCAATAACGCAGCGACTGTTTAATTATCGCAAGTACAGATGCTAAGATGTATATATTTTTTTTACGATGTGTGTACTTGTAAGCCTGTATATAAAATTGTAAATATAAGAATTGTGTGAAATATCATAATACTAATTAATGTTTTGATACATTTTTGTAGCCGTGCCTGAAATTTTGCACGTCGATGTTTTCCAAATGCACAGTTTCGAGTCGCTTCCACTGAAATATGAAGTTATTGCCAAGGGTATACCAAAGCCTGAAGCTATTTGGTACCACGATGGAAAACCAGTATCACCCGATAAGCATAATTTGATTACAGTCGATGGAGTACGTTTAATAAATTGTATAGTTTTTGTGTCTCACATCTAATTGGAGAACCATTGCAGGACCATTACAAGCTGGAGATAAAATCTCTGGAACTGAAAGATGCTGGCGACTACAAAGTAGTACTACAGAATAAGTGTGGGGAGAAAGCACATCAAGGAACTCTTTCACTATCGGGTAAATAACTGACTCTTCATAGGCAGCACAATCAAATGATCATTGCGAAAATGTATTCCTCAGGCGTCGCCGAGTATCGTAAGCCTTTGTTAACATCAGGAACTGGATTGCGCGATATTAAAGTAAATAAAGGAGATAACGTCGCTGAGCCAATTGTGTTCACAGCAGATCCCGCTCCCGAGCTAATTTGGCTCAAGGATGGCCAGCCTATTAAGGAAAGTGAGGCCCTGAAACTGAAGGTTGAAACCAAGGAACTCGACCATGGCTTGAAGCTATATACCTGTACATTGAACATATTGAAAGGTATGATTAATCGCCGTTAAATATATTACTATAAGTGAATAAATACTTATTTTATACACTTCATGAAAAAAGCTGACATCAAGGACTCAGGTCGATATGAACTAAAGGTGAAAAATAAATTTGGCGAATTGACGACTAATGGGTGGATAGATGTACTCTGTAAGCCCGAAATATCAGGTCTGGAGGATCTCAAATGCCTGCCAGGTGACTCTATTTGTTTCGAAGCTCTGGTGCTTGCGAATCCAAAACCGAAGGTCTCTTGGACTAGAGGAAACGAGAACCTCTGTAACAATGAGAACTGTGAAGTTATCGCAGACGTTGATAGCGACAAGTACAGATTGGTGTTCCAATCCGTGTCCCCCGGCGAAGATGGAAAATACACCATTACAGCCGTCAACAGCGAAGGAAGGACCACAAAGGACTTTAATTTACACGTGCTTGGTAATAAAAAAAAAGTTGTATGTATGAACATTTAAGACGAAAAATCATAAATCTTTCCTTTTCACTTTAGTCGAAAAACCCACGTTTATAGTTCCACCGGAAGACCAAAGTATTCACGACTATAAGCCTTCTATTACAAAGGTCTTAGTTCATGGAGTACCGCTGCCAACAATTGAATGGCTTAAGAATGATAAGCCAATTGATTTAGCCTCTCAGGGAAAACTTTACACTGTGGAGACAACTAAGAAAGCCTCTGATCAAGTTGAAAGTCAGTTTGAAATCAAGCATTTTAGACCGAATGATGCTGGTTCAGTAAGTACCCTAACTTTTCGCTTTGCATGCACAATTGAGTTGGAAAATATTAGGTACTCTTTAAAAAATAATATAAACTTGTTTATTTAATTTATTGAGCGATCTAAGTCAAGCTTTATATTTTTGTTTCCAATTGTACATTTGCAATAAAACTAATCTGAAATAAGTTTTGTATCTTTTTTTAAGACAATTTGAAATATTTTCGATAGAAATCAAGCATAATTTAATTATTTTTTAACAGAAATTGGTTATTCTCCAAAATTATATTGATAGCAAAAAATTGAAACAGCATTTCGTTCTTATACGAATTTGTTTGTTAGAGATGAAAATATTGTTTATCCCAACCGTTTGGTGTGAATATCTTAAACTTAATTTACATTTTATCCTATTTCGCATCCTTGCTGCCAGTTGATAATTTAATTCATTTGCATTTCCAGTACACGTGCGTGGCAAAGAACGACACTGGAGTTACAAAAGGTCCATTCAAATTGGCTCTCCAGTCCCTGGCTCCCAGTTTTGTTAAGAAACTCGACAATGCCCTTGAGGTATTGCAGGGCGAACCCTTAATACTGGAGTGCACCGTCGACGGCAGTCCAATCCCAACTGTCCAATGGGTGAAGGATGGTGACGAAGTAGTCCCCAGCGAAAGGTAAATTCCAAATTCTCTGATACAAGTAACCACCGGTCTTATGAGTAATGTTGTCCGGGTTATGCTTCAGGGTGAAAATTTCGGCAACCCCAGAGGGATTAGTGAAATTGGAAATAAAGGAGTGCGAACCAAATGATTCGGGGGCCTACAAATTGATTTTATCTAATCCACATGGCGAAAAGGTGGCTCTGTGTGCTGTGGCTGTGAAACGTAAGTGAAAAGTGATTAGCTTGATGTAATAATTATTACTTATCTTTATAATCGTAAGGACTTGCTTTATGATAAAATTTGATTTAACAACATTCGGTGCATATTTATGTTTCTATATTTTTTATACTCTCATAGCTGAGGCAATGGAGCCCAAGTTTTTGAAACCCTTTGAGAATCAAGCCGTCACTATTGGAGAGCCATTGAAATTGGAAGCTCATGTCTCTGGATTCCCAGCTCCTGAAATAAAATGGTACAAAGACGGTTTACTATTGCGACCCAGTCCCGAAGTTAATTTCATTAACAATCCGAATGGACAAATTGGTTTAAGGTGAGCATTCTTTAAAACATTTATAAACTATGTGTTTGGTCGTCAATCAATCGATCAAATAATATTATTAGTGAAAGCTTTATAAAGGTAGTTTCATACATACATACTTGAATGTATATTAGTTTCAAAAACTCAATTGAAAATCTAAAATAAGAGTATACGTTTCCAATCAGAACAAATTTTATAAGGAATAGGTTGAGAAAATATTGTTCTAATCCATTTTATTTTATTTTAGTATTGATGCCGTTCAGCCCCATGATGCTGGCATTTATAAGTGTGTAATCGTAAACCGAGAAGGAGAAGTGGAGGCCGTTTCTAAAGTTGAAGTATTGCCAAAGGAAGCTAAACCAACATTTGTGGCTGAGCTTCAAGATGCATCCAGCGTGGAGGGCTTCCCAGTTAAGATGGATATAAAGGTTGTTGGCAATCCGAAACCAAAACTACAATGGTTCCACAATGGCCATGAAATATTGCCAGACAATAAACACTTCGCTGTGGTTGAGAACCCTGACCATAGTACCAGTCTAATTGTAGAAAAGACTACACCAGCTGATTCTGGGCTCTATGAGGTTATTGCCACCAATCCTGAGGGGTCCACTGCCTCAAAAGCGAAACTATACATTGCTCCCAAAGCTGATGAAACCTCTACTGAAGAACAACCTCAATTTGTCTCAGCACTGCGAGACGTAAACGCTGACGAGGGTCAGGAGCTAAAACTATCTGCACCTTTCATTGCAAACCCAATGCCCGAAGTAATATGGTCGAAAGATGGAGAGCCACTGGCTCCAAATGAAAGATTGCTTATGACTTGCGATGGGAAACATGTTGGTTTAAGTATAAAACCAGCGGAAACTGCTGATTCAGGCACTTATAGCTGTCTGCTGGCCAATCCCCTTGGAGAAGACTCGTCCACTTGCAATGCAAATGTTAGAAAAGTCTACAAGCCCCCTATTTTCACTCAGAAAATATCAGATCAGCAGCAGGCTTTCGGTAATAATGCCAAAATTCCAGTTACCGTTTCTGGAGTTCCCTATCCAGAACTCCAATGGTTCTTCCAAGATAAGCCCATTGGCGAATCTGCTAAATACAATTTCAAGAACGATGGAGATCATCACATCCTAACTGTAAATAACTGCGAAAAGACAGACCATGGTGTATACAAATGCATTGCAAGTAATAGGGAAGGCAAAGACATAACTCAAGGACGCCTAGATATTGTTAATGAAGTGTAAGTACCAATACCAAAATGGAGAACCTCAAACATATCTCAATAACAATGAATTATCTCTATTAGAAAGAAACATACACGCTCAGAGCCACCAGTTTTTCTTAAGAGAATCGGAGATTGCGATGTCTATGGAGGCATGGCTGCTAAGTTCACAGCATGCGCCACAGGCTACCCCGAACCGGAAGTGGAGTGGTTTAAAAATGATCAAAAACTTTTCCCATCCGATCGCTTCGTAATCGAAGTGGAACCAAATGGCCTTTTGCGCCTAACTATCAAAGATGTTACGGAATATGATGTGGGCCGCTACTCTTGCCGCATTTACAATCCCTATGGCGACGATATATGCCATGCTGAATTATTCTACGACTGTAAGTATAAAATCCAAATCATAATATTGCCATATAAATACCGAATGTTAAATGTCGCCTCTTGTAGCATTGGATTCCCAGCACCGACCTCTGGGCGATCAATACACCGACTTCAAAAAGTATAAAAAAACTGGAGCCCCACCACCACTCTCGGAAGGCCCTATTATATCCCGGATGACAGACCGCCAGTTACTTTTATCTTGGAAACCATCCGTACCATTGACTCCTCGCTACCCAGTGACATATCAGGTATTACTTTTTATATTTTGTTAAAAAAAATCGGCTTCAAAGAGTCTCTTTTTCTTCCCTAGATTGAAATGATGGATCTTCCCGAGGGTGACTGGCGCACCATCAGAACTGGAGTTCGCAGTTGCGCTTGTGACATTAGAGACCTGGAGCCGTTTAGAGATTATCGACTAAGAGTTCGCGTCGAAAACAAATTTGGAGTAAGCGATCCCAGTCCATATACCCAAACATACAGGTAAGCTAGACTGATTGGTTAAAAGTTATATCTGATTAAAACAATTCCACATTTTAAAGGCAAAAACTTGTGCCAGAGCCTACCAAAACCTACACTTATTTGCCGCCTGGTGCAGATTTCAGACCAGAAACGTCACCTTACTTCCCGAAAGACTTCGATATAGAGCGTCCCCCACACGACGGACTCGCTCAGGCACCACAGTAAATATTTCAAATAAATTAAAGCATACACAATGATCATTGATTTCATTTATCGATAAATTAATTAAGGTTCTTGCTGCGAGAGAATGAGATCAGCTTTGGTGTCAAAGGTCACAATACGGAACTGATGTGGTTCGTGTACGGATACCCGAAACCAAAGATGACGTATTACTTCAATGATATGTTGATCGAATCTGGCGGCAGATTCGATCACAGCTACACTCGTAATGGCCAAGCTACTCTATTCATTAATAAGTGAGTAATATCAACCAAATGTTAGAATGATGTACTACAGCGGATGCCTAATAATATAAATTCCTTTGCTCGAAGAATGCTTGATCGCGATGTAGGATGGTATGAGGCAGTTGCCACAAACGAGCATGGAGAGGCCCGGCAACGAGTCAGACTGGAAATTGCTGAACACCCACGATTCATAAAACGTCCGGACGAAACATTTATAATGGCCCGCAAAAATGGAAGGATCGAGGCACGCATTATTGGCATACCATTGCCTGAAGTACGTTGGTATAAGGATTGGCAGCCACTGGCTGAGACTACGCGTGTAAAGGTACATATAAGGTGTATACCCGTAAATAGAGTAATAGTATAATACAATTCCAACTGAACAGATAAACTCGTTTGAGCCCGATATCTACGTGCTTTCCATTCACGATTCTATAATAAAAGATGGAGGATTGTACTCGATCAGTGCTCGAAATATTGCTGGATCTATTAGCACCTCCGTTACCGTGCACATTGAAGAGAACGAGGACCAATATATATACAAGACATACGGCAGACACCCATACGTGCGATCCAAGCAATTGAGATATGAGGACAAATATGATATTGGAGACGAGCTTGGTCGTGGCACCCAAGGCATCACGTATCACGCAGTGGAACGTGCTACTGGAGATAACTACGCTGCGAAGATAATGTACGGAAGACCGGAGCTCCGGCCATTCATGTTAAATGAACTGGAGATGATGAACATGTTTAACCACAAGAATCTAATTCGTCCATACGACGCATACGACACTGATCGCAGTGTTACGCTTATTATGGAGCTTGCTGCTGGTGGAGAGCTCATTAAGGATAATTTACTTAAGCGAGACTACTATACGGAACGGGATATTGCTCATTACATCAGACAAACACTATGGGGACTTGAGCATATGCACGAATTGGGAGTTGGCCACATGGGTCTGACGGTTCGTAATTCAAAAGCTATTAATTTGCATTGATAGAAAGTTCTCCCTTTTGATTTCAGATTAAAGATATTTTAATTTCTATTGTGGGCGGTGATCTTATTAAAGTTTCCGACTTCGGCCTGGCAAGGAAAATAAATAAACACAATCTTTCAACCTTGGACTACGGAATGCCCGAGTTCGTTTCGCCTGAAGTTGTAAACAAGGAAGGTGTTAGCTTCTCGCACGACATGTGGTCTGTTGGCTTAATCACATATGTTTTGCTTGGCGGCCATAATCCCTTCCAAGGTATCGATGATAGAGAAACCTTGACAAAGATTCGAGAAGGCCACTGGGACTTCAAAGACCAAATATGGACGCATATTTCGGAGGACGGTCGGGACTTTATAAGTCGACTACTGCTATATAGTCCAGAAGAGCGAATGGATGTTAAAACAGCTCTTAAGCATCCTTGGTTCTTTATGCTCGACCGTAAAGCAACTGATGGTGACTACCAAATAGGAACAGATCGGTTAAGGAACTACTACGACCACTTTAGGGATTGGTATGCCAACGCATCTTGTAAAAATTATTTCCGGAGACGTCGTCTTAGTGGCTGCTTCCAGCACCCATCGAAAATGGTATATCCTCCAGGACATGTTTATACACCAGAAGCAACACCTGAACCTCTACCGGAGCCAAGAAAACGAGCCAAGCGCGAAGAAGTCGTTTCCAAATTCTTGCACCCTGATTATGAGCTAGGCCTCATTCAATCTGAAAGCCAGTAAGTTCAGTCGATATATATTCACGGTTTTTCCTATAAATAAATACTGCATATCAATAATGTAGCTACCAGTACGGACCTGATACATATTTGCTACAACTGCGCGATGTGAACTTCCCAGTGAGGTTGCGTGAATACATGAAAGTAGCGCACAGACGATCCCCGTCATTTGCTCTAAATGATTCGGTGGATTGGTCGGTAAGTAATTATGTTTTCCTAAAAAAAAACCTGAATTTTCTAAATGTTAAGGATTCTGCTCACTGTTAAAAATTTGCATAGAAGATTTAGTTGACTTTCCATTTCAAAAGTAGCAATTACAAAATACAAGTTTTAATGCCTATATTCTCGTAAAGCTGTTGTCAGTGGGAACATTCTCAATCCTAGTTAATTTTATTAAAATTAATTCGTTTTAAATACAAGCAGTTTTACTCTAAAACTAGTAAGCCAGATTGTCCGAATCCCTGAATAATTGATCGATAATTGGAAAAATTTCAACAATTTCGGTTCCGCATAATTTGGTCGAATTCTAGATGCATTACATCCTTAGGAGTACAAGTATAGTAAGGGCATATTACATTTGCTGATATTGTATTATTTTTCAGCTTCCAGTTATTCGTGAACGTCGCCGCTTCACCGACATAATGGATGAGGAAATTGACGATGAAAGAACAAGGAGCCGTATCAGCACGTATGCTGCAAACGATTCATATTCAATAAGACGTCTACGTACAGAGCTGGGACCGCGTCTAGACGAGTATACCGAAGCTGACGCAATGATTGAAACCCAACGTGAAGGATATCCACCATTCTTTAGGGAGAAACCACAGACCATAGCCATAACTGAGAACCAGCCAGCCCATATTCATTGTTTCGCTGTTGGTGATCCCAAGCCATGCGTGCAGTGGTTCAAGAATGATATGGTACTCTCTGAAAGCAAAAGAATTAAGATATCCTCCGACGAAGACGGACGCTCCATTTTGCGTTTTGAGCCCGCCGTACACTTTGATGTTGGTGTCTATAAGGCAGTAGCCAGAAACAAAGTTGGCCAAACTGTGACGCGGTGTCGCATTGTAGTTGCCACACTTCCCGATGCACCCGATTCTCCTGAAATATCGGCCAGTAGTGGCACTGAAATTCTTCTCAGATGGAAGCAGCCGCGTGATGACGGACACTCTCCAGTTTTATGCTACAGCTTGCAGTATAAGCTGCACAATTGTGATGCTTGGACTACAGTTGCAGACAATATTGACCACGAATTCTATTTGTTGCACGAACTACAACCCAACACTAACTATCAGTTTAGACTAGCGTCTAGAAACCGCATAGGCTGGAGTGAGATGGGCATCCCAGTTAACGCATCGACTACGGGCCCGGACGCACCCAAAATTCATATTACCAAGGCCATGAAGCATTTGCAACAGCTCACAGAAAATGGTCAAGAAATCGTACCCGAAGAAGAGCGGGTTCATACCGACTACCATTGTGAGAGGGAGCCACCCAACTGGGTAACCGACTCCGCGGTCAGCGATAAGTACAGCTTTATTTCGGAGATCGCTCGTGGCGAGTTTAGCACAATTGTGAAAGGAATTCAAAAATCAACAGATACTGTAGTTGTTGCGAAAATATTTGAGGTCACTGATGAAAATGAGGATGCTGTTGTGGCGGAGTTCGACAGCTTCAAGACATTAAGACATGAACGTATCCCTGCATTGTTCGCTGCCTATAAGCCCCTTAATGTGCCGATTGCCATATTTGTAATGGAAAAGCTCCAGGGCGCCGACGTGCTAACCTACTTTAGTAGCCGCCATGAATACTCCGAGCAAATGGTGGCGTCCGTAGTAACCCAACTACTAGATGCTCTACAATACTTGCACTGGCGTGGATATTGCCATTTGAATATACAGCCCGATAATGTGGTCATGGCTTCGGTTCGTTCTATTCAGATCAAATTGGTGGACTTCGGAGCTGCGAAGAAAGTTAACAAATTAGGTGCCAAAATAACTCCTTGCGGTCTACTGGACTTCCAGTCACCAGAAATGGTTAACGATGAGCCTGTCGTCCCGCAAAGTGACATTTGGTCGCTGGGTGTACTAACTTATTTGCTTTTATCCGGCACTAGTGCATTCCGCGGAGCTGACGAATACGAAACGAAACAAAATATTTCATTTGTTCGATATAGATTTGAAAACCTATTCAATGAAGTAACCCCGGAAGCAACGCGATTCATTATGCTCTTGTTCAAACGTCATCCAACGTAAGTATTTTTTAGATAAACACGCTAAAACGTACTTTAATTAACAAATATTATAGTAAGAGACCATACACTGAGGATTGCTTGGAACATAGATGGCTCATGTCTTCGGATTACATGGTTAGAAAACGCGAGCGTGCTGTCTTTCTTGGTAGTCGTTTGAAGGTAATTAAATATTTCATATACATATGTTTATTTACATAATATATTTATAAATTGTATTTTTTATATTATGTAGGCTTTCTCCGATGAATATCACGACTTGAAAAACGCAACATCCACTTCATCAAAGGCTCTCAACTCTCTAGGCGGTGGTCCTACCCCCAACCAGCTACTTCGATCAAATAGCATTCAAGAGGAGTTACTTACTACATTTTAGTTTCTTACTCCGAAGTACTCCTGGGAGAAGATCTACATATGTATGTGTACGAATGTTGTTATTTATTGTTGTATATATATGAAGCTGGGAAAATAAAATAAAAATTAATAAATGTACTAAGAATAGGTGAATTTTTAATTTTTGGGTTCACCCGCTAATTGGGCCCTAATTGGGGTCACTATACATTTTACCGTACTTCCAAATCTACCAATTGGATATCCGCTTAAATACAGGGTATTGCACAGGATGCACGCCCATCTTTAGGTATTCCAATTGATTTATATTCGATAATTCGCAAAGAAGCGGCTCTGAATTGCAACAAAAAGCTTTGCAAAAGCTTTACGAAAGCTTTCTTATCATTCCATATTGATTAAGTTCATTCATACAGAAAATTCTCAATGGAAAACAACTTTTTGGCATATACAGCATAAATTAAATTATACATTTAATCACTTAGTCATAACAATCAACGGGAATAAGCGTGAGTTTTATTATTTGAAATATTTGCAGCTGTGCATACGATTATTGACAATTCATGCTTTTTTTGCAAAGGCGAGTGCCCACGAAAATGTTTCATGTTGAATCTAAAACATAACATTATAAATAAGATTACAATTTTAAGTAATGCCTTGCTTCCTCCTATTTAAGATGGTCGTGACACATACCGTCGTATAAGGTGCAAAAAAACAGGAATGAAGGAGTGAGTGTGTATTTTACACGCATTTAAACACACTCGCATTTAGGTGCATACATACATAGATAGTATATACAATAAGTGCTTCGTTATTTTCGGTAATGTACATATGTACATATATGAATGTATGTACCTTTATATGTGTATGTTCGTCTAATTCATTGCATTCCTGAACAAAAAATAATGCTATCAACATCGACATTTATAAAAACCTTTATCACACATATGTACATACATACATACTATAAAAATACATATTCTGATCGAATCAAATGAATTACAGCAAATAATTCGTAAATAACACCTTTTATGGATACTATTTTCGTTACGTACACATACATACATATGTATGTATGTATATACTTTAACATTTGTAAAAACGCAACTAATTCACACCTGTATATAATACATATATACATGCATATTCTAATTCTTTACCTTAAAGTAAACCTACTGGTTTTATATAAACTCTTAAATGGTATAGAAATTAAAATTTCTCCCAGTAACTTGGTACTACTCAAAAAAATATATATTCTTCGCAATTGACTAAAGCATTATCTGTCAATAATAAAAAATTAATATAAAGTAGCATCGTTATCTGTTTTATGTGTGATTAATTTTATAGGCGAGAGAGCTCATATAAAACTTTTCATCCGTTAAAAATTCAGTACTATCTAATCTTTTTTGGACGTATTAAGGAACAAATTTGTCAGTAATTGTTGTCAGTCAATAGCAAAGTCAATTCTGCAGACTTTGAAAGCAAAAACAAAATGCCTGCTTTAAGTACAGAAATGTTAAAGATTTTGATTGGAAGCATTTAAGAAACAAATTGGTCAACAATTGTTGCCACTCAAGAACAACACACTGTGGTCTAATAGCGTATCTGACTATTCTGTGCTGAATCATGGCATAACTGACCTTTGGCCAAATAAAATTAGCCCCTCAAGTCCGTGTATTTTAATTTAATACGCTTGTTCTTTTCACTTAAAATTTTATTTTTTCTTCTTTCTTTCTTTTCTATAGTTATCTCACATCGACAGCTTTGTTTGCCGATGGATAAATAAATGAACAAATAAATCAATAAAAAATAAAAATGGTACCTATTTTATCAACAGGAACTTATTGCCTATCTCGCCGCGATTCCTTGTGCGCCTTTGAGTTGTCAATGCACATTTTACTAACTTTTATTATGCATTAACTTCATGTGAAATCTATACACATGAGTCTACCAGAAAAGTGCCAAAAATTATAAAAATTATCTTATTACAATGTTATCCAAATATGTATACCTATGTATGTTTATTATTTGGATTAAACTAGTAGAGCTTAGTCGGAGAAAAATAACCTTAATAAACTATTAAACATGTGTTTTTATGCATTTGCAGTCTACTAATAAATTGGCACAATGGCAGAAGGAACACAAGAGGAACATTTGAAGAGGTAGGTTTAAGAAAAACTAGCAGATAAATAATTTCAAATTTTAGCATTCCTACATACTATGTTATGTACACATAATGAAATGTATTAACATACTATAGTATAAAGTTTTTAGAATATTTAAAAATTAAAATACGCATATACATGTATGTACATGTTTGTTTTATTTTGCATTTTTAGAACCAGCCTTCCAGCAAAAATGATCTCGCGCAAAGAAGTCAGTATTTGGGCAATACTCAAGAACTGTATTGGCAAAGATTTAAGCAAAATTACCATGCCCGTTATCCTCAATGAACCACTGAGCTTCCTGCAAAGGCTATGCGAATACATGGAATATGCGGGACTCCTAACAATAGCTGCACAAAAAGAGACCGCAGAGGAGCGTATGGCACACGTGGCAGGCAAGTGTTTCATATATGTACTGAGGCGATTATGTTTAGCAACAGTTTATTTGTATTACCGGTAGTGTCGGTAATTACCCACACTATTATTCTTCATAGTAGGTTGTTATGGGTACTTCCTTTAAACGTACTTATAAATCAGAACATTGTCTGTCTTAGGTATTATGTCTGTCCTTCAGTTTAAAGGTGTAATCAATATCTAAGAAAAGTTTTTATTAACCATTTTAGCTTCCTTGAACATAACATAATCGCTTGATTTTCATTGAGTAAATATATTTGCTGTCAAAGACAATGCAGAATGTCTATATCAAAACGAAACTTGTATATACAAGTCTTAGGTATTATGTCTGTCCTTCAGTTTAAAGGTGTAATCAATATCTAAGAAAAGTTTTTATTAACCATTTTAGCTTCCTTGAACATAACATAATCGCTTAATTTTCATTGAGTAAATATATTTGCTGTCAAAGACAATGCAGAATGTCTATATCAAAACGAAACTTGTATATACAAGTCTTAGGTATTATGTCTGTCCTTCAGTTTAAAGGTGTAATCAATTTCTAAGAAAAGTTTTTATTAACCATTTTAGCTTCCTTGAACATAACATAATCGCTTAATTTTCATTGAGTAAATATATTTGCTGTCAAAGACAATGCAGAATGTCTATATAAAAACGAAACTTGTATATACAAGTAAGTAGTATATAATAACGATCATGGAAAAAAGATGTTCCAACCAAAATAGATGTTTATGTATAGTTCTTTCAGTTTTTTTTTTATGTAAATAAACAGAAAATCTAACTTTATGCATTATAATTTTGTTGTATATATTTTTTATTTAGCTTATGAATATAAATATATACTAATTGTATTAGATTTTTAGCTTTTGCAGTGTCTGCGTTAGCATCCAATTGGGATCGACTTGGAAAGCCCTTCAATCCACTTCTAGGCGAAACATACGAGCTACAACGTGATGGATATCGGATCGTTTGTGAACAGGTGTCCCACCATCCACCTGTATCGGCATTTCATGCGGAGTCTCCTGACTTTAAGTTTCATGGTTCAATTAACCCTAAGCTTAAATTCTGGGGAAAAAGCGTTGAAATTCAGCCAAAAGGAGTTGTGACTCTCGAATTTCCAAAGTAAAGTTGTAATATAAAATGTCTATTAAAATATATCTTTGGCATGAAGTCGAAGTATGAATTCTATTTTTAAAAAAATACTTACGAGTATATAACTTTAAAGCATTTCCTTAGAAGTCTCAGCGCGAATGTTGCCTCAAATTATTTTAAAGATCTTAATGAACACAGCCGTATTCAAGATATATTCCTATTATTATTCCATATTATTGTAACTATAAGTTGTTGGCTGTATTCATTCTTCAATTATAAATTTGTCGAATCTAAAATATTCTCAAAATGAACCAAAACGTTTTTAAATAAACTAACTAAAGCCTTTTGTACATCACTGAATCAAGATATACAAATTCTTTGCTCTACAAAAGGCTTCAATGGTCAAGTAGTAGTAAGTGAACTAGACCTGGTTGACTAAAGACTTTTCAAACCGATATCTTTTATACTAATACCAGATGGAACGAGGCATACACATGGACAAATGTGAACTGTTGTGTGCACAACATAATCGTTGGAAAACTGTGGATAGAACAGTATGGGTCTATGGAGATCACCAATCATTCCACTGGTCATGTAGCGCTCTTAACATTTAAGTCATCTGGATCGGCTGCTAAAAATCTTCATAGGGTGGAAGGATTTGTGCAGGACGAAAAGTAATCTCTACATCAATATATTGACATTTAAGAAGAATACCCATATTTAGCAAACTTTTTAATTGTAGTAAGAAGAAATTGTTTTTCTTATATGGAAAATGGACGGAGTTTATCAAATGTTGTCCTGCCGAAAATTATGAGAGCTATTTACGAGAGGGAAACAAGAAAAATGGTGAAAAAGATTTTACAGATTCACCAGACGGGACTCCGAAAAAAATGTTTTCCAAGCTGCATAGCTTCAAACTGAACTCTTTCCGAAGTCTATCCATTCAAGATGTAACTATTTGATCACACATAATGATATTAATAGCAAAATACTGCACTTGACTTGATGAACTTCACTCAATCTTTTCATTCCAGAACGATAACGGCCCACCTCCAGAAATAGAGGGTGACATACCCAAAAGCGAATCAGCTTACTCCCTCGACATACCAAACTCCACGTTAATGTGGAGTTGTAAAGCTAGGCCTGAAAATAGTGATGAGGTATACTATATATATATATAAGTAATTATTTATTATTTACGAAATATCATGTCATAACCAATAGAATGCCACTTACTATTAATATGTTATAGGTGTTCAGTTTTTTTAATTTCAATACGAATTTATTTGTGTTAATTTTTAGATTTGTAGCCATAAAATATGCGGTACAATGACAAGTGCTCGGCTTTTGCAATATATGGCCAATTTCATCTCTTTATTTCTATGTGAGTCCTATACATATGTATATGAAGATACGAGGAAGAAGTAAAAAAGATGATTGCCTCTATATTTTTTTGAAAAGAATCCTTAACCTTTTGTTGCTTTTTCGAACCTAATGAACTTGAATTGAACCCTAATATTAGACTCATAATTAAAAATCAATTGTATTTATATTTTGGCTAGTATTGTAGAAGTGGACATATTATACCAACTGAATTGTTTCTTTCAGTATTATCATTTTAGTTATTTTGCTCTGCAATTAAATGCAATGGATAAAAATATGAAACCACCAACTACTCTCTGCCCTACCGATTCGCGATTGCGACCTGACGTTTTATGCTTGGAGAACGGCGACTTAGAAGGCTCTGCACGAGAGAAGACGCGTTTGGAAGAGAAACAACGCGATACTAAAAAGCACCTAAAGTCCAAAAATGAACCAGAATGGAGCCCTAGGTAAAACTGATTAACACATAATAGAAACAATTTTAACGAACAGTATTCTTAATTTTCAGATGGTTCAAAAATGCTAACAACCCTTATACCAATAAAGATGATTGGCTCTATGCGGGAGGCTATTGGAATCGAAAATATGAAAGTACTAACGCAATATTTTAGAAAAATTTAAATGTACTATATATACATATACATACATATATACATGTTTTATAGGTATATTATAATTGTGAATAGATCTGTCTATATGTTCACTGTTAATTCAATATTAAGCTAATAAAATGTTGTTTAGCTGTTGGCTTCTAGCTGCAAGAAACTATTCATTGTCTTAGCTTTAACCCTTATTGACATTTCCAATTTCGAAGATGGAGCTACATTGTCTTGCTGATTGAAACCACATATTAAAAAACAAGTCAGGTATTGATTAACGTTTATTCACACAGATTTACATTTTTTCTTATGTACACAACAATTATTAGTATTTGAAGTAATTGTTTTTCACATTTACTATACTTTTAACAACTTTGCAATTCCTCAAATATTCAACTCCTTAAACCATTTGATTATTAACATTTAATATATATGTGTATGCATGTATATGCGATTTGAATTTATCGTGTTTCCACCTTTTCCTAATTAATACATGCTTCAACCAAAAAAAAAAAAATACGACATGAGTAAGGTCCGAATAGCTAGCTATGTTTGACCGAGTATAACCCATCATTAAGGGAGATAGTGTGCAATTAAAGAGACTATATTTTAAAGTGGATTTGAAACTTAATCATAGATAGTCTACGGTAATTCCTCAGGTTTAAATATCTCAACCAAATCTTATGATCAGTGAAGGATAAAATTCTTATATCCGATTTTAACATAATTACTTATGTATAAATAATAAATAACTGTCGCGTCAGATAATGGGCGCGTTACGTACCCATTTAGCATCTAGGGTATTATTCTGCTAGGTTTGGATAATATATTTTTCAGATGAGCTGTAACTGATTAAATTTTCCGCAATATTTGGGGAAAAAAACAACTAAAGCTTCGTGGATCGAACAAAACTTTTTGTGTTGATTCCAATAACTTCGCCAATGAAAGGAATTAATTCTGTCTTTGATGCGGCATATAAAAGCATGGATATTAAATTGTGTGTATTTACAAATACATTTGTCTGTAAAATGCATTCCGAATGCCAATTCGACTTATTTAGTTTATGTATGCTTGTAGCTATGATAACATCTAAAAATAAAAACTCTTTAATATTGTTACACCAATAATCTCTATCCCATGGTTTTCGTTTTTCAATTATTATCTGTACAGTTAAGAAATCACATTACTATATCTATCATTGTACCGCTACATATATCCACACTACCTATACACATGTCAACTTCCTACTTTATACTGCAACTTTTTTTTATTTTTTAAAATGAACCTACAAGTACTTTAGTACCATTTCGTACCATGCGCTCCGAACCCAGTTCTTTCAAATGTTTCTTATTTTTGGGACTCCATATTGGAAAGATGAAAATCTACCCCTTCTTTACTTATATGCAAATTTGAAACATGGTTTAGTTTGCAGTTCAGAGGATTGGTTTTTAGGTTAACGTCATGCAAACTAACGACATTGTATACTGACACGGATGGGTCGAGCGTGTCTTGGTGAATGTTATTTTCAGATTTAGACAAAGATAACTTATTTCGAGTTTCATTGGTTTGCAGATGAAAATGATCGACATAAGATATAATATCTTTTGATGTTGATAATGCTCTCGATTCTCGATTAAAAATAATTTTATCCTCCATTGGCATATCTTGTTGGCAACTTGTTTGGTATTTTTCCATTACTTTTCCTGAAAATAACAAAAAGGTAAATATACATATGGCTTTGTATAGAGATAAATCTTACCGTCTTTTGCAAAAGATTCGGTTTCTGTTTTATGAGTAAGTGACTTTTCCTCTATGCTTTCTTCAATGGAGCACTCGTCGATTTGAGAGAAACTGTCTTGTGGCGAAATTGTTGACAATACGGAGGTACTTGAGTAAAGCTGTCCCGAAAAAAAAATATCTGGATTTGCCTCATGCGGCTTGCATGGAACAATCCATGCAAAATTGAAAAGAGAAGCATTGACCTCCTGCGTTACCCAAGGATCATTTATTAGTGTCTTCATTGTGCAACGAAATTTGGGATCTTTGTTCAACATTGAGATCAACAAGTGTTTAAGTTGTTCTGAGATTTTACTGGGAATATGTACATCGGCTTTTAAAGTTTCTTCCACATCAATGAACGGATTTTCGAAAAACATTAATACGTAGAGGGTGACACCAAGAGACCACACCTCTAACTCAGGACCGGCATATTTATTACCAGCTAAGACTTCTGGGCTACAGTATTCCGTTGTTCCATAGAATGTGGAATAATATTTACCTTCTTCCATAAATGTGGCAGATCCAAAATCAATCAATTTTATGTTAAAGTGATGATCTATTATAATATTTTCATCTTTTATATCCCGATGAAGTATCTTTTGTTCATGCAGATAGTTAACCGCATTCGCGATTTGGCGAAAAATGTAACTGCCTAGTTTTTCATCTATAAGTGGACGACGCTCAATAAATTCAAAAAGATCAATTCCTGGCCCGTGTTTTTCCATTACCAGTTGATAGAAAAAATCATTTTCAAACACATCCATTGCGGAAACGACATTAGGATGTTTCAAGGTTTGCAGCAGGTGTATCTCGATGGGAATATCCTTGCCTTCGTGACTTTTCACCATGAACTCCGCACATAGCTTTTCCTTAAGTATAAACTTTGTTATAACTAGGAGGCGATCCGAATTACGAAACGCCAATTTCACATATCCATAAGCACCTTTTCCAATTTGCTTAATAGATGTGTAGTGCTTACTGTACTCTCCAGAGAATATTTCATCCTCATATTTGGAGACAAGCGAAAGGGAGTTTGGCCGGCTCGAATTTTGGGCAGCTGTAGTTTTAATGACTTGTCCCAATGACTGTGGTTCGACTGTACTGGTCATGCTATTAAATGTTAAAGTAAGATTGGCATATTTATCGTTGTCGAAGCGTGTGTTGGGATCTCGACATACCCAAATGCAATAATATTCACGATTTGAGCACGGTAGAACTTGAATTGACACAGAATACAAGACATCTATTATCGTACCGTCCTCGTGAATAGCCTCACCTATGTACCGTCCATCTCTGCAGCTTAACAGTTTCGAGGAAAGGCTATTGCTCGTCGAGTCCAATGGCGCATTTTGCATGGATCTGGCATTATCTTGCTCCGGTTCCAAAAACTCATTTGAAGTATTTACAGGCGTTAAAGCATCATCTGCCCCTAAATCATTGACCTCTGGATCAACATCCAATAATTTTCCAGTATTCGTAGTTACAGTACTGCAAATGTCGCCAGTATTTTCGGTTTTATTTATAACTCCTAGATCATTCGTTAATTCCCCAACTGTTGATTGGCTGCTTGGTTTTGCAATTGTATTTTTCTTATTTAACTGAAATGATGGCTCATTCTCTGGATCAAATGGGTCAGATTCAGGTTCCCACTCGTTGCTTGTTATAGACGTATTTGAGATATTCGGGCTTTTATCTTCCTGCAAGTCTTTTCCGAAATTCGGTAGGATCGAAGATATGTGCATATTTGTAATTTTTTCTTGACTATAACCAAACATAAGAAGTGAAAATGGTTGGTTACACGTTTGAATATTGCCCATTTCGTCCACAACAATTAATCCGCTTAGATTTTGAAATACCCAAATTGTAATTTGAAAGCAAGCTTTGCTGATGTTTTCTGAGGGTGTTGGTTCATACGGAGCAATGTGTAAGCAAAGCGGAAACTTCACATTATCGGTCGTTCTCCCGGTAGCTCTTTGCTTACGTAGGCTTTTTGAAATCTGCTTGCAATCGGGATCCGGTAATTTAATAAATGGTATCAGTGATGAAATGTGAACTCCAACAATATCTTCAACTGATTCATATAGAAATATAGTAGCTGTTGTACTATCTGCTGATGTTATGACGCCACATCGGTCCACGCTGACTAGGCAAATGTGTCTCTGAACCGGTTCAGCAACAGCTATATTTCTTCCATCATTGTCGATTTGGCGAATCCACAAAGACACTACTACTTTTGTGTTGTAACTGGTCTTCATTTCAATAACTTTTCCGCTGAGTAATACGACAATCCCTTCATCACTATCAATTTGCATTTCGGCCAATGCAGAAATGTGATTGTCTGACTTACAATGCAGTAAATCGAAGAAGGATTTCCTTCGCAGCTCGTGGGAAGTATATCCCAATAATTGGCAAGCATTATTATTGACGATAAAGATTTTTCCCGTATGTGCGTCAATTGTAAAAACTGCCTTATTTGGATTTATTGTTTTCGAAACATGCGGAGGATTATTAAACGTGTTCGAAGTGAAGTTTAACATGCTTGACCTGGGTTGACTATATCGGAATCCGTTCGAGGCAGCATCTCCTAAAGAGTAAAAAAAATTGTGGCATTTATTATTAATTGGAAACTGTATGTATTTTCAATTGCATTGTGTATATCTTTGGCATATATAATGCAATGGGATTCCAATTTTTATCCTTAGTTAGAGAGACTTTTATTTCAATTGATCAAGCAGAAAACAAAATTACGAATATACCTTGCTAGACTTTATGCGCCTTAACTTTACTAGCCATAATAGTAAATCAAATTTTTTTATTCGTATCGTGGTAACGATTGGTACAAACAACTTTTTGCCCCTTCAAGGACATTCCTTTATTTAACAGTAGCCTAAATTATTTAATAATAAACCATGGCATTTTGCTTCTATAATGAGCTGTGTTTAAAAACATAAATACGTTTTTATCCCAGAGTGTTTCTTTCGCATTATGTTGACCCGATTTTATGCCCAAAATACTACACTATTGACTTACGTTTAATTGTGAAAAAGGTTGTACTGTTTAAATTGAAAGTAAATTTATAAATAAAAACTCAGCTTTGTTAAATTAACAAAATAAAATGTAGGTGGACGAAACTTTTATATTAATGTATCCATTCTTGAAGAGTTTTGAAAGTCTTTAAAAAATGTTATTATAAAATTAAACTGAAATTTATATATGTATGTACCTTGATTTTTTTCCATCTTGCCAGTTTGCATTTTCTAATTATAAGCTACATTTACTTCAAATGTTAAATGCAGATCATTTAAAATTAAAATAAATTTCGTTGTTAACCACCACTCGCTACAGCTGTATTCAGAAAATAATCAATATAGCGTATCTAGTCAGCGCATGCGAAATACAAACTATATTTAATTGTGGGTGTATTTCACGACACCTATCTGTATTAGCCATGGTTTCAGTTCGTGAAAAATATATATTTATATAAAAACATATATAATAAAATGCATATGCATATAAGAATGTGTACGCATGATTTCATTTGAAAAAAAAATCAATTTGAATCAGTTTATGTATGTAAATAACATACCTATCAATGTAGTCATATAAATTTAAGTAGAGCTTGCATATAGCAGCTTAACATTTATTTATAAAATCCTGTCTTAAAACCAACTTGGTCCTAAATTCGGCATTCCCTAGTTAATTTATACAAATTTAACTGAAAAATATCGATTTTTGTCGCGTATTACTACCTATCTATCAACTACATTTATCGATATTACAGTGTATCGTTGCGTTATCAGGAACACTAGCTGGTAGAGTTTTTTGGGAGAAAAGTGCTTCTTTGTATTCGTGTGCACTTGTTTCCATATTGTAGCAGAATAGGGGATTTTTTTAACCAAAACTTCATATGTAATTGAACGCAGCTAGAATTGCAGCATCCAAGGAAAGAAAAGCACCCAGGTGTTAAGTTCTGAGCTGCCGCTTAGTGGACGTTGTAATAGCGCACATTAAGAAATGGCACATCCACAGCGCATTGTGTTTGCATTTTACTGCATTCTGCTAGTTAATATAGCAGCGGTGTGTGGGCTAACATCCAGAGGAAATTTTGATGATTACCAAAATGAAGTGTACAGTGACTACGCGATGGATGGCAACAAAAAACTTCGTTTTCCATTTCTGATGCCCTCAGTTCGACCAACAACTGTAAGATACTTAAATACAAGTTAATTAATTAACATATTCACTCACACCTCGTTGCTTATCTCAACGTTTTATACTTAAAGTATATAATTAAAACCATACATTTGTTTATACATACATACAAGTACAATACAAACATACATATTTGCTTTTATTACACCTCCGGAATCAAAAATGGTACACGTCGATTGTGTTCATACATACATAAATAATTATGTATCTACAAACAAATGTATGTATCCCCGGTTATATTCTCGTTATATACATATGTTTTTTATATATTTATACAGTTTCTATTTGTTTGTTGGTTATGAAATGCATTCATAAATAACGTAATATGTATGTATGTACATATGTTTTTAAAGCAACAAGTTGAGAAAAAAGTTTTAAAACTGAAAAAGCGGTCCGTGTAGTACATTCATTGTAAGAACTGCAAAATGTACAGTCTTAGTCACTTTAAATCCTTCTTAAACATTATGGTATTGATTATACATATGACCAATGGATAGTTATAGTAACATACATACTTGTAGTATCATCTGAATCATATTATCCAAACGCATTTGGTCTCATAACGAACTGAAACTCGACAGCGTATGTACATATTTTCTTGTTTAGCCATATGCTTTATCGTTTGGAACACTTGCGACCTTATTTTTTTTAACTTGACATTCGATGTGAAGTATGTGTAATTCAATTCTAACATCCTGATTTATTATTATCTAGCCGGAATTGTACTTATGCACTCCCATTAAAGTTGACCCAACAACAACTTATTATATTGGTAGGTGGATGTTATCTTTGCAAAACATACAGTTTGTTTATTTCAATATTTATTTAAAATTCTCCTACTTTTCATCGTGTTTAAAGTGGGCTTTGAACCTAACGCAACGATGAATACGGCACATCATATGTTATTGTATGGTTGCGGGGAACCAGGAACAACCAAAACAACTTGGTAAGATCTTCGAAACCACTTGTCTTTATTTTTCCGAAACTTTTTTGAATTTACAATTCATCTTTTTCATTTCAATATAATATATTTGTTTGCTCAAATGTTGTCGGTAGTTAATGTTGATTGAAACCTGAAAGGCAAAAACGAACAATTTTAGACTGTTTAAGATCAAGTCTGTCGCCATTGCTCCACCACAAGAAATTGATAAATAATCACATTTTAGGAAAAAAAATGCAAAATTACATATTTAATAAACGCTTCCGGCTTGTTTGGGGAATTTACACAGCCAAGTGTAATGAAAGGGCGTTAATAGATCTGCAAACAACAATTTAATAAAATATTTCTAACGAAAAGACGTCAGCGAAAGGAAATGTATGTAGTATTAAAAATAATAGCTAATTAATTTACTTTACAAAAGAAATACAAAAAAACATATTTATGATGTTTTATTAGCCAGTTCAGCTAAGAATGGTGGTAGTAACGATATAATTAAAGAAAATTGTAATTCTTTTTTATAAACCAACTCTATTTTGTGTTTTTCTGAATCTATGTATGTTCTGTTTAATAATAAATGGTTCGTTTAATTATTTATTATTGTAATGCTTTACTGCTAATAAATAACATATTATATAGCATTCATTTTTAAATTTAATTATTAAAGGAACTGTGGAGAAATGGCAAAGGCATCTTCTGAAGAAACGGCTAGTCCTTGTGGTTCACATTCTCATTCTCAGGTAATATATATTATATTATAGTATAATATTTATTAATATAAATCTCTAATATTAATTTCAATTTAAATTGTTATTTTTATCAGATATTGTATGCCTGGGCGCGGGATGCACCAAAACTTGAATTGCCTACGGGAGTTGGCTTCAAAGTAGGGAAGGGCACGCAAATAAAATATATGGTTTTGCAAGTACATTATGCTCACATTGATAAGTTTAAAGGTAAGATTAGACTTAATACTGGTGTGTTCAGAAACTACACACGAACGCAACAGCATATATAAGAATTGTTTCATATGAAAACATTTTTATTAAAATATGCAAATATAAATATTTTTGTAACTGGCTATTTTTGGCACCACCAGAATGAGATTCAACATTTAAAAAATAAATAATTTACTTGTTCTTATAAAACTAGATGGCTCTAGAGACGATTCTGGCGTATTTTTACAATATACGGAGGAACCGTAAGTTTTCCACAAATCACTCGTTTTTAAATTTGTTTTTAAAGGAATTTTTCCATAGTTTAACGAAACTAGCTGGTGTTCTTTTAATGGGCACTGGTGGAAGCATTCCTCCCGTGGCTACAGAGCATATGGAAAGCGCATGTGAAATTACTGAGCACAAGACAATCTATCCATTTGCCTACCGAACCCATACACATAGCTTAGGAAAAGAAGTATCTGGATATAGAGTGCGATCAAATGATCGAGGCATTCAAGAATGGACTTTGCTTGGAAAGCGAGATCCGCTGACACCACAGATGTTTTATCCAGTCGAAAACAAGTCTCCCATTTTATTCGGCGATTTTGTTGCTGCAAGGTGTACCATGAAGAGTTTTCGGCATCGTGTAACGGAGATTGGGTATGTACATGACTAAGTGTTTGTCATAGAGCTGATTGAGCAAGCAACTTCTGTTTTATTGCAGCGGTACCAACGAGGATGAAATGTGCAATTTTTATCTCATGTACTATGTGGACCACGAGGAACCTCTGGACATGAAATATTGCTTCAGCCAAGGTCCTCCATCTTATTATTGGGCCAATCCGGATACTGGCCTGCATAACATTCCACATATCTAAAAAAATATATATACTTTGAAAAACTCAAATGCCCGAAATTGTGTGAAAAAGGAAACCTAACGTATACCCACTGATTCCCCTGCATTATTTCTATCGAATATTATATTAAATGAGCGGATATGATCAACGTTGAACGTCATATTGTACCTTGTATGTGTGTGTGTACCTTTTTAATATTATTAAAATGACCTATTTTTTGTGTAACTATGTAAATAAAATAAAAAAAAATATGTAGATACATATGTATATATGTAATTCAAGCTAAATCTTTTGAATTAATCTTATAATTTTAAGAAATACTATTACTGCTGGTAGTTAGTAGTATGTACAATGATACATATTATACATATGTCAACAAAACTTCAATATTTTTGGACCTACTGTGAAAAAAAGATCATAGCTCAGACTGTCTTCTTCAACATTTCTGCAAAAACTTGCCGATGTATGCATTAAGTTATTCACTAGTGTATGATAACTCGTAAATGTCCCAGTTTCCGAAAAAAGTTCTATCCCTAATTGGTTAAAACAATTTACAATTTCATTAAACTTTTTTTGTTTGTTTATCAGTTCCCATTGAATTTTTGTAATTGGAATCAAATCCATTACAATACCATAGCCTCCCAATTTTCAATAACACTAGAAGAGTTTGCTATGCAAAGCTTTTTATTTATTTTAATTTTTTTTCATTTATATATGGAATTTATTTTATATGCTTGTAGTTATGTATATGTATAATTTGGTGTATAATTATAAACGTATAAAGGTAATAATTAAAAATTACACAAAGCTTAAATATTTCTCACATTTTATCGCTCACATTTTGTATAATGAAAACTCATATTTGTTTGTGTTAAATTCTAAATGACTACCAGTTGGCTGAGGTTGGAAGTCCTCAAATGAATCAAGTAATAGAGCTCCGTTATCATTTAGGGTGTAGTTGAGATCATTATTTATACCTATAACACTTCCGCTGTACTCGTGCCCCGCATACACGTTTCCAATTCCATCTGATTCAACTAGATTATTGCTTATACTGGGGCCACAAAATCCAATTTGTGGCGAATGCGTTGAGGTCAGAATGCTGCAGTCACTCTCTTCTGTAATCGATGGATTCGGGATAAAGTCATCTTGTTGGAATGTGTGCCCACCTTCATTACCATACGGCGTACGGTTATGTATTTCAATATTCATTGTGACCGTTCGGGGCTCCACTGCAAACACAGGTTGCGACGAATTCTCCGCACCACAATCTTCATAACATTCATGAGCTTCAAACTCGATTGATGAATCACCTGTTGTAAGCTGTGCATAGGTTGTCCCGAATGAAGGTATTTGATGGCTAGCTTCATGCAAATTGGCATCGTTCACAATGTTGTCTTTAGAATCGAAAACGTTTTCGGTGAGGTTTTGGTTATCCGTAAAGTTCTGCTGAGACCTTATATCATTAAAAATTTGCGTATTGAGACCATTTGAAGCATTCCCTTCAAACAATGAATCTTCATTTTGCGGATTGGCCATAAATGAAATATTTTCAAAATTGACACTTCCAGATACATTTTCTTGAGGACTAATGGGATCTATTTCAGAAAAATTTTCCATTGATGCTAGGCTAAGTTCTGCGTTCAGTTTAATATCGCAATCAGTATTGGTGGTTGTGCTACGAGGTAAATAATTAGAAGCCTGATAGCTTAATTGTTCAATTATGTCAACTGAGTTGTGCTGCTCAGACACCGTTTTCACAATGCATTTGGTTTTCGGGTTGTCTCCCTGATCATTTCTTTGCCGTTTTGAAAACGAACCAGATTGACATATAGAGGTAGATCTTTTGCTCTTGCGTCCGGCAGTGGGTGTTGCAGTTATAGGGACAAGATCCGATGTATTGGGTGTGTCATTTTTAATTTCGTTGTTATCTAAGTCCTGGTTCTGCTTCGGAACAGATGATTTTGTTTGCTTCTTCTGTGGCCTATATTTATAATTTGGATATTCTATCATATGAAGCTTCCTTAGCTTCTCCGCTTCAATAATATATGGCTGTTTGTCGTCTTTGCCTAATTGCTGCCATCGTCTACCCAACTCTTTTGATATCTCGGCGTTATGTAAATCAGGTGTTCTCTCGCATATCTTTCTTCTCTCCATTTGACTCCAGACCATGAATGCATTCATAGGTCGTTTAATATGGCCAGGAGAGTGTTTCTTCGTCTAAAATAAACAAGGTTCAAAAATAAAATATATACATTAGTTATTTTTTTTTTAATGAAGCATACTTAAATTCAGTTCGCGATTTTATTTGTATGTCGTCATTTTACTTGTAGTTTCATTCGAATAATCATTAATTTTCCTGATCATCAGATAAATCGGAGTTGTAAAGGAAATGCATAGATTACATACTCACATATCAATATCTCATTATGAGTTTTAAATACATACAAACATGCATATGTACTCGAAAACATCTAAGTCAACGTCAGAAAGTTTAACGAGCCCCAAGTACAAGGCCGTATCAGTTTTTTCACCTTTAGTTCATTATTAACTGATATACATATATGTACATACGTACATATAATATAATACTATTGCGCATATTAGCGAATAATTCATATGCCAATGCGAATGAAACTCTTTTTAGCACTTATCTATAAAAATGATAATACTTTTTGCAAACAAACACAAATATATAGTACATGCCCCTGTCTGCGTACATTTACATACATATGTATGTCCATTCCTATACATGTACATATGTACATATGTATGTGGGTACATACAATTTTTAGATGCAATTTATACACAATAGAGAAGGGTGCGTGCTTATTGTTTTGTCGTGACACGAAACCGTGATGACAAGAAACTACCTTTTATTTTATTCTGTATTTTTGTAATACAGATTTGAACATTTGATTATAATACTGGACATACTGTACCCATGGGTTAGTAGCATATATGATTAGACAAGAAACAGCGCTCTAAAAGAAAGCCCTTTAAAAGTAGTAGTAATGTTCCTAATCTTTTTTTTAGACATTTTCCTACATTCTTATGTATAGTACATATGTACATAGAGATATACATATTGAAGTTTATGATGCCTGGAAGTGTGCTTCATTTTTTGCTAACCAAGGCGTGACGCATAATTCAAAATTTAGACATAAAACTGAAATAAAACAATTTTAACATAAGTGCACAAGGGCGTAGGCAGCTTTTTCGAAAGGGGCCAAAAAATTTTGATTAAATAATGCACGTTGCATTAAAATAATAGAAAAATTGCAACAGATCCAACTTAGTTCCATTTTAAGGCTAAATAGTGCGCCAGAATAATGAATGTTTGGTCGACTTCATATTGCGAAAATGTATAAAAAGTATATCTTAATTTAATACATTAATATTAATGTGTATATATATAATAGCTATAAGGCGTTCCAATAAAAACATGTATGTACATATATTTATTAAATTCAGAGTCAATTTTATGTACATACATATGTACATGGGAATATCTACGTATGTATATTTTCTTAGGAGCATCCCATTACTATACTAGAGAAGGAACGGAATGAGCAGCAACAAAACCATTGGCATCGAATACAGTAAATAAATATAAATAACATGAAAGGAATGCTAAAGTCGAGTAGACTCAACTTTTAAATACCCTGTACCCACCCCCAAAAATTAATAAAATATTTTAATTTTTGTAACCTTATTTTTATAATTAAACTAATTTAATAAAACTTAAAATACATTAACCTCAAAATTGTATCTATATGTATCTGAGCCAAAGCAAGACACAGGCACATTAAGAAGGAGAAAGAACTGAACCATTTATATAAACGCATTATTTAAAAATCCATATCTTAATGTTTGTGTCTTTCTTCCTCTTTCTCTCTATTAATGTGCACACTTATAAAAAAAACAAGCAGATAGGAAACAGTGTACGTGTATGCATTTGTCTATTATACTTATTGGCAACTTTTGAGGTTCAACGTCCCTCGACAAGGTTAACAAAATATTCTTTAAAAATTGCAGGATTGTCTATATCGGCATAGGTATGTATGTATGTACATACATATATATGTATTTACCTACCTTACAATCAAATTGGCATTCATATCTAAGTATATGTACGTGCATTAATGTATGCACATACATACATACATATTTATGTACATATGCATGCACATACATACATATGTACATATTTCACAAATTAAAATTCTATTTCATTTTACCTGCTTGATTTCGTTCCCAGTTTTATTTGTAGTCGTTCAATATAAACACACACGTATACAGATACATTTACTACATACACATGTATATGTACGAAAATCCATTTGAATGTATTTATGTATGTGAGTATGCATCAGAATTGTTTATGTATAGAAAAAAGTAAACATGCATAGGACACTCTCACATAAATACATACATATGTACCTATATATATATATGTATATAAATATATATGTATACGTATGTATGGACATTAAATTTCGGGCAGACGATGACGCGCCATTTGAGTCGTGTCGTTGTCGTGCGGTAGACGAAAATGCTCGAAGTGAATAACCGTTTTATTTACACAAAGAGAGACAGAAAAAAAAACTATTAATAGCGTTAACTTCGACCTTGCAGCAGTTCGTACACCTCGCGAAGTTCAACCACACGACACGACACCCTGCAGCAGCACAACAGTAACAACAACAACAGCCTTTTGACTAAAACGGATGACGACGACGTCGACGGATGCTACATCGGCCGTTGCCGTTGCCTTTGCCCTCGCTGTAACACTCTACTCTTCTTCTTTTCTTTACTTACTTTCAATGTCGTTGTCTGACAGTTCAAGTCTAATAAGCAATGTGGCTGCGACTCCGACGCACACACTTACACAGGCACACACACACATCCACCCACAACACAACATAAGAGACGCAGCAGACTCGTGAACCCGTAACTCCCGTTAGTAAAAGTGATGAAATGGGTTGGCATTTTTTTAAAGTTTTTTCCTTTCGTTTTTAACTGTTCTGCTTGTAGCTACAAATATGTACATACATATGTATGTATTTATATACATACATATGAACATTGGTTGTACTTACATACAAACTTTTACATAGTCTAAGGTCATTTGTCTCTGCTATAGTATGTATGTATATATAAATACAAGCAATACATAATTCTGAGCATACATACAGTCGAAATTGTCTATAAAGAAAATGGGGAAAACACGGAATCATATTTAAATACTATTCAAATTATAAATTCATTATTAATTCCAATTTCGATATAAAAATATGTATGATTCATTCGAAAATATTAAAGGTTTTAAAAATAATTATATCTTATATTGGATAAAAAAATAAACCGTAGTTTTTTCAAACTTCAATAACATAATTTTATACGAATTTATGTAGTAGTATAGTACTACTAAAAACATTTCCGTTCAAACTTTCCTGCTGTGGGTTGCGCTGAACTACTAATAATTAATAGCTTTGGATTTAATGTGCATACATACATATACATACTTGTATGAATGTATATTGAACTAAATTAAAAAAATCTAAAATCTACTGAGTTATTCGGTGAGAAAAATATTATCTTGGATATTGTATGTGTAATGTATTGCGTATAAAAGTACACGAATTACGGATACGGGAAGCTTTATTGATAAAATTATCTTAGAATATAATACCAACTCAGACTCGGGTTCTACCTGTTCCATACTTTACACAGAGCTAACGTTTTTACCCTACGGGTACAGGGTATAAACACTCTTTAAGAGAGTGGTCTGTTAAAATGGTAAAAATTTAGTTGGTCTAAGATATCTGAAGTGAAATAGTTAGAGCAAGCTAATAAACTAGAACAGTTCGTTTTAGACAAGTGCGACTGTGCGGGGTTCGTGTCGGTACACAAAAACACAATTGCGCGCAAAGTCAACGTCTGAGTTAAATTGTACGTTCATATGAGTGATACGCAATTGCCGTTTACCGCCGCCGAGTGCCTGAGCTAATCATCATCGTACATACATATAAACAGCTAAGCAAGGTCAATGTACCGAAAATATTATATGCTATTGATGTCGCTTGCATTACTTATCTCAAAATGTACACTTGATTAGCAAAAAAATATATGTATGTATGTGTGCAAGTGGCGGGTGAATTTCATCAAGAAACCAAATACCATTCGATTTCAAATTATATGAGTTGCAATCATCCTTGCATCGATTCGATAAAATGATTAAGCTTATGTACATATATGGACAAATGTGTGTGTATGTATGTATGTATGTATGTATGTTGCTTGAATGACTCGAAGCCCCGCAAAAATAAACTATCTACATATGTATGTATGTATGTACACATCAAATAGGACTTATAAATGATATACTATTTATGTACATAGTATGTACATAAATACATACATAAATATGTATGTACAAGATTTTGTATGTATGTATATTGTCTGTAAGTATTCAGACATACATATGTATGTATGTATGTACAAGATCGAATCACAAATCTATTTGCCAGATCAAACATTGAATAGTCTGGATTATACAGTTAGTATGGTGTTGATAATGCAACGTTCGTGTTCTTTTAATGGATACAAATAAATATACATATGTACGCAGTATACGCTGAGCAAGTGACCAACCGCTTCACTAATGAGTCATCTGCGGAACAGAATGCCAACTGCGTGAACACTGTGTGTTTTAATGGTTTGTATACACAAACAAACCTACATGCATACAAGTGTATATGTATATTTATATGTATGTATGGATATGTGCACACATGTATACATTTGTAAGTTGTAGTTGTAGCTGTCTGGTGTGCATTTCGAGTCGTCGCTGCAAGGGTAAATTTCAAATAAAAACTACAAAGCGCCAAAAGACCTCAAGCCTCGGAATGGGCAAAGTGCAAGTGCTCCATGCATTTGACGTTTTATTTTGTAAAAGATAGGGTGGATATTGATTGTTACCATGTCGCCCCAACCGATCTATGTATGTGCATATATATAATAAGAATCTCAGATAGCACTCATATTCATCATTTGCAACTATCGTGACATTGGATTGACCTTGTCTAAGAAGTAAGCTGTCGTCTCTCCTATTTGCTTTATGGAAATTCACTTGAAGTAGTTTTCCATCTTTTCCAATTCTAAACAAAGGACAATCTTGTATGTATGTACATATATAAGTACATAGAAAATATACAGATTCTACTTGTTATCGCTATATGACGCAGGACTAAAAACTAAACTTGAATGCAAAACGTGACGGGGAAATCTTACATCAACATAACTATAGTTTCATAATTTTTGTTTTATGACAAATTTTTACAAATTAAGTAAATTTTCAAAATGTATTTCAATAATTTTTCCACCCGCATACTATACATAGTTAATACATACTAAAACCGAATGCGACAGTTTCAGCAATTTTATTTTTATTTTTTTTATTTTTATTAAAAAATATTGCCCAATTCAAAGTTTCAATATTTTATGAAACTTGAAAACAAAAACAAATCTGTACTATATGATGTCTTTATAGACAACATTTTAGAACAAAGTTTAGTTGATTTATAATCAATTATTTCATTCAAAGAACGTTAGGGCAATGCTTACAATAAAAATTACTGAACAAATTTGCAATTAGGCTTTGGAGTAAAAAAAAAACCAGATCAATTTTGAAAGCGATGAAATAAATATTTTAGTATAGAAATCTTGGTTTTAATTAAAATAACATTATATATAATCATTACAAGTACATCTACAAATCGACAAATTGTTTTCCTGTCTGACAAAACCTTATGTTAAATAGAATATTTTATAAACTCTTAACGTACGAAGAAATTATTAAATTTATAAAATTTAGAGTATTGGCGTTCAAATAGTATTGTGCTTAGTTTTGGGCGATTATGCTACTTACTTGAGTTGCATCCGAATACGGGGTGCTTGAGTTTACGTTGACACGTGCAGAACCAAACATCAAATTCTTCAAATTGTTGGCAGACATGGCTGAAGTTGTTGTTGGCGTCGTCAACTGGTGAGTACTTGGATTGGGAGATCTTTCGCTGTTGCTGTTGGTGGTGTGGCTGTTAGTATTATTGTTGTTGTTGCTGTCGTTGTCCATTTTAGAAGAATTATAGTGCGGTGCAACAACAGCAACAGGCACAGCCTTCGAATAATATGTATGAGTAATAAGTCGTTCGCTGCTTTGTGTTTGTGTTGCTGTTTTTGTTGGGGTTGTTGCTACAGTTGGGGCTAGGGCGGTTGCCAGAATTAACTCCTCGCCGTCGTCGTAAATGCCTGTTAGCAGGTCTCGATGTGGTGATTTCAATATATCATATAAATCAGAAGCCTGCGGTGGATTGCTAGATCCCTGAGATGGCTGCGCTATCATCTTTCAAATATTCAATTCTCACATAAATGTACATACATACATATGTATGTACATACGATGTTAGTTTGTTGTATTTACTTTTTAATGCCGCAATATATTATGTATTTACAAAATATATTTGCTGTAGAAATTTTGTCTTTTGTGTCTTTTCTGACGGTGCGATACTAAAAATGAGTGTATTTGTTTTTGAACTTTAAAATTGTTTATACACGCAGGTATCCACAATAAATATATTGTTGTTATTCTTGTTATTTGTAATCAGTATTTGGCAGTGCCTTAGGCAATTGTTCCTGATGTTATTATTATTATTATTATTTTCTTATGTTTTTTACGTAGGTAAGTTTTTGATTGATACACAGGATCGCGAACGTCTGAAATAATGCAGCCCGTACATATGTATTATATACATATTTATTTATGTATATACGATGGTTAGCGAGTGTGTGTGCTGTTTTGCTTAGCAAAATAAGACTGGACCGACGACGACGACTACGACTACGCCGATTTACACACACGTATAGCACTCAAGGTGAAACTGGTTCCTTGTTTTGTGTTTGCAATGCTCGAAGACTCACGTTCGTGTCGCTGCTGTTGCTGCTGTGGTAATGAGTTTATTTTATTTATTTATTATGTACTCACGCACACACACACACACACAGAGAGACGCGGTCGTTGATATATATGTATATATTGTGCATATGCGAATATTGCATTTTTATAAATTTATAAACGTAACGTATTAAACTTTAAAAGCGCTAACAACACGCAGCGCGATACACACACGGACACAGTCGGTGGAGTACGTATGTATGTATGTATGTATTTACGTTGTTTTGAGTAAAGTTGAGTTTGTTTCTCTTGGTAATGTTGTTATTGTTGCGTTTGCACAATTGCAATTTTGAAACGCTCACGAAATAAAATAAGTTAACAATATTCCACTTCCAGTGAATGTTTTATGTGTTTTAGTGGATACGTACGTACATACGCGAGTATATAATTACGTTAATGTTTAAGAGGCATGTATTGTTATATACTATATATATATTTATTTATACACATAATAAGATCTGTTTATATATGTACATATGTTGAAATGCAGTTTCATAAAAAACTTAAGTATGCACGTTGGTATCACTTAGTAATCGTATTTGAAAATTATAAACAGCTCATAGTTCATACCAACACTTGCAGTATTATACACAGATATTACACACACACATCTGTATATGTATGTATGTATTAGTCTTATTTATTATAATTGATCTATGCATGTGCATAGATACTTTTACAGTTTATTTAATCACATTTGTTGTATTTACACAGTTGAATTTTTTTTTTTTTTTGTTATTTAATTTTATTAACAGTTTTGATTTTTTTTTATCAAAATGGGTGTTCGTTGAAGACGTTTTGTTTATGGTGGCGTTGGCGTTAGTGGTTTTGTTGCAGCGGAGCTCTGAATTCAAACAACAGCGCCGCGCGAGCAATCCAGCCAGCGAATGCGACGAGAAACACGCGTAGAAGCCCACGATGTGATACGAATAAGCCAACGAATGCGACCGACGACCGAATAAACTACGCAAAAGATGATTTTTTTTTGCTTCTTATATTTAATTTTATTGTTGTTGTTGTATATGTGCATACAACATGTACATGTCTGTACAAACCGACATACGTTAATATGTTTCCTTATGTATATATAGACATTAGTGTGTATGTATGTGTGGATGTTTATTATGTCGTGGAGCTTGTTGCTGCGTCGAATGGTTGCGATCGCTCACAGCTGTTCAAGTGAACTGCTTGCAAGTGAGTTGAAGTCCCGCAGAACGCGTATACATACACACATGTACATACGTACACGCATACTTATGTATATAAGTGTATGTATATGTGTGCATATTACTCACAGATACTCAAACTTGCAAGCACAGTGTGGTCATGAGCGGGCTGGCATATGGTTGTGTGCATATGTATGTAAATATGTATACGTATGTTGTATGTATGTGTAACTGGCAGTCAGTCTGAGAGCAATGCGTTAGCCAGTGACGCACCGCGGGTAGCGGGAGAGCTGGGCCCGAAGGCCGTTTTTGATGAGAATTCAACTTGGACAGTACTCGAACCTAGGTTTATTTTAAACAATATTGTATATGAACAAAAATGGGCCCGATACTGTGTCATATTTAGCTAAAAGCTATTTACATACATATGTACATATATAGTTTGTTAACTAAGTTTTTAAAATAAAATAAATATAAAAAGCAATTGTTATTAACATATTCATTGAGTTGGAATTGAACCAATAAACAACAGCTATACGCAAAGCATTGGCAGAGATTGAGGTTAGTTCTTTCGAGCTGACATATCCCGATTAAACATGTACATATGAGCACTAACAGGATTTAATTGTCAAAACAAAATACAAAATACAAATTGTTATTATTTATTGGGCTTAAAACAAAAAAAAACTGGATACTAAGCTCAATGTTTCTAGATCTAAATAAATATTTGAGGATGGTAGAGGATCAAAAATCAATCTAGAATAAGATGTGACAGCATATCGTTTTGTTCTTAAGATCTGCTTATTATTTAGCCCTCACACAAAGCGGCGCCCGGCTACGGGCCTGATTATATGGCTTGCTATCAACAGTTGCAATGGTTTTTTCAGCTGAGTTGTGAGTAACGTATACACCTGCAGTTCGCGGATAGGAAAATGCCCGTTTGCGCTATTTACCTTAGAGCTAATTTAGAATGTCGCTTATAGTTGGAAGGATAGTGTAATGTCAAAAGTTCGTTTATAAAATAAATGTGAAGGACTCATAACACAACTAAAATAAACATAAGAATATACATACAATGTGCATTTATTTATGTTATAAACTACTTAAACTCCACAAACAAAAAAGTGTCGACTCGCAATTTTATTATCTGTATATATGTACATACATATTTTTTAATTTTTCTTTTTGGTATATGTAAATTACCAATCCATCCCAACTTTGTAGAAAATGTTGAGACAAACTTGATTGAGTTGAAAGGAAAATAGTAGCGTCAGGTGGATAGCGATTTCGCGTATTAGTTACTTGTACTGAAGGGTCAGTATACACTTACACAGATACACTTTCATGCATACACAAATATTGTATATGCGTGTATGGGGGTGCCTTGGTATTTATGTACATAAATATAACACGGATGTGAGTATTCAACTCGACTGCAGTTGTGAATCAGCTGTTCAGTGTGTATTAATCATATGTTTCGTTCAGTATACATACACACATCCACATACATATGTGTGTATATAAGAATTATGTGTATGCACAGATCAACGTACATACATACATGCATATGTACATACATACATACATATGTATGTATATATCTATGTGTTCGACTGTTTGTGTTTGGTTGCGTTCAGTTCCTTAGCTGTGTTCGCGTACATTTATATACATACATATACATATGTATGTATATGTATATAAACACATACATTTGTACATAAAAAAGAATCATATATTTTAGTTGTTCATATATGTATATATACTATGTATGTATGTAAGGTGATACATATACATACATACATATGTACATATACACATCTGTGAATGTGTAAGCAAATGACGCAGCTAAATTGATACATACATATGTATGTACATACAAATGTATGTATGTATGCTTCTTACACCAGTAAATATATTGAAATCTATATGTATGCATATCTTTTTTATATCAAACTGCGCACTAATGTTCATATGTATGTACATACATACATATGTATATAAAAATATATGAAAATATTTTCGTTAAAATGCTTTTTTTAAATATTATCCTGGAACATTTAGGTTGACGCAAAAGATAGCACTAAGGGGAACCTACAATCTCAGCACCTTGGTTTTCCAATCTACATATGTACATATGTACATACATAATGATAATTTAGTTTCACACAATTCAACATTCATGAAGATAGGAACAATATTATACATAAGATAGTAGTAAACGGGACTTTAAGCAATACAAAATAAGAATAATAATATGTAAATACTTTCATATATGTATATATATGTAAATAAATCGTATATTTTTTTTATTTAAATATACATACATATGTATACACATACATATGTATGTATGTATGTTTGTGTATACGTATGCATCTAAGGGACAAATCACAATACTGATCCTTGCACGTCTACTTCATAAATCAATATTGTAATTTCTGGTTGTCCAATTTTTAGCATGAATATATAAATCTGTCAGTTATACTTCTACTTTTTTACTTAAAGGACAAAAATGTTCCTATAAATTTAGTAATATGTATGTACGTGTATATGAACATATGAACATGCATAAAAGTAATCTAAAACGAATAGTCAAAAACAACACTGAATATATAGTCACCATCGATAACGCCATCCCCGCGATTTCGATTATTTTTTGAAACTATCCCTGTGATATCTTTTGATGATAGAACTACCAACACAAACACAGCAGTACAAGGTGAAAAGTATGGAATTAATTCTGTTGAAAACGTGTGAAATCAGTGGTGTTATTGTATATAAATTGAATATTTCTTTGTGGAATCTATTGAGAAAGACAGCATTGAAACAGTATCAGCGAAATTTGAATGTAAAAACGAGTTTCACCGAATCTAAAAACTCATTGAATTTTATGTCCGCCATCGACATTTCGCAACTGCGCCGAGCTATTATTTCATCTTTGACTCACATGCAACGACCAGAGACAATGAATAAAGGAACAGTTCATTAATCGTGGCTGTGGATATTGCCATTAAAATACAATATACAACAAAATGGCTTACACAAAGCAATTGCCCATGCTGATTTATGTTCCGGATAGATATACAAAAAATTTCCATGTCGATATTTCACACGCTTATGGGGGCGCTGCTTGACTATATGCTCGTACTACTACGTACAATCGCAAATATGAGCACCTCTATTACGCCAACGCGTCTTCAGGCGGAGGGATTCTGGAGGCAGAAAAAAATGCCAGAACCGGAACCATCACATTTGCTGCAGGAGCGCAAGGGGGATGAAAACATTCTCTTTAATAGTTTGCAATTAATGGCAGATGTAGTTGTACAGACAGCTTGGAATCAATGTGCACCCAATGCCATAACCATGAAGGGGATCGACCTAGATCAAATGGACCTGTGCAGTGAACCCACATTTTGCTCCTTTTTTGTTAATATAAACCCTCGCGCACGGAATCGTTTTATTTGCTCCAAAGATGAATTTTCCTCTAGTCCTAAGTCGAATGACAGCAATAATAATGCTGATGAGCTACTCGGGTGCTCAACAGCGGCTGATCATGAAACTATGTTTTATGAAGGTTTTAAAAAACCAATGATTCAGTATCAACGTAGCATATCTGAAAGCAGTGAGGATAGTTTTATATGTTTTGAGGATAATTGCAATGAGGATAACTGCTACGAGGGGGAAACCGACGAGGAAGACATTGATGATGATGCTGGAATCAACGCATGCGATTGTACCGTGGGACTTAAGAAAAAGGTATTTTTGTATTAGATGCTTTTCAAGAATTAAGTTAATGGATTTCTCTGTAGGTTCGTTTTAATTTGGAGCCCAAAATTCATGTTATGTATACCTGGGACTACGCATACCGGGCGGCCCGAAAGGGGGATTGGCAAGTGCATGCCCGCGATCGTGCTAGATTTCAGCAACGAATTCAACGTATTTCAACAATATTGGACCCCATTCTTTGCTCTGATCATCGACAAAAGATCTACAAGGACCGTTGTTTAAATGTAAAATAGTTTTATAATTTAAAAAAGTTCATTATTTTTAAATTAAGACCAACATTAATTAAATGGTTAGCTCGATGTAAATATGTACACATCATATGTAAATTTTAGTAAATTAAGGTGAAAAATACAATTGAAACCCAAATATTTATAATTTATTATCAAATTAAAGCTACATACCTAACAAAAATTATTTAGCCAACTGATAAACACCCCCTGAAAACAAAAGCTTATGCTCGCGTACTTTGCGCTGTAAGAAATGTTTCAACTCATCTTGTGTGAATTCGACACCTCCACTATGAGATGCAAATAGTTTCAGCATTTGATGGATTCGATCAATTGGCATTGAATCCAAGTTGGTTAGCATACCTACAATGTAGGACCAGAAAACCTGCGAAGAAAAATCGATTATACACATTGTCATTGTTTTTATTGAGTCTTGCATACTTGTAACTCTTCCTCTCTTTGATCACTAGCTGATGCCATTGCAGATTCCAGGTCTTCTTCGTCGGCGTCTGTTATATTCATCTCTTCAAATTGTGATTTCTCAGATTCCTTTTCTATTAATGTAAAGACACCAGGATGTGTCTCCGAAATCAGTCCATGATTTTGCCAAAAACTCATACGTCGCCTAAGTGCGGATGGGGGGACCTTTATCAGGGAGCTCAGTTCTTCCAGACCCCATTCACCTTGGAAAAAATGTATAAACTTAAGAAAGCTCAGAAGTATAGACAAAAGCACTTAAGTTACTTTTGTTCTGAAAATGATATATTATAACGGCCTGGGTTGGTGCCACAGTCATCTCCATTGTACGATCGCCGATTTCAATGAGAATATTAACACGACCAGTTACTGTGCGCCAGTTAAGAGTTCGATTTCCTTTGTACGCTTCGTACGCTTTTGTATATTTTTTAAACTCATTTTCAATTTCCTCAGGCAGCTGTAAACTCTCCTTATTAAATGATGGCCAGAATTGTGCGGATACAATTAAAGATGAGATATCAAATAGTTGATCTGTAAGAATTAAATTAAAGCTAAATAGTTCATAAATAGTTTTTTTTCGTCTAATGTATGTAATCTTACTTTCATTGCAGTTTCCATCACCATGAATATGCGAATTAATACGTTTAGAATCAGTGACATCTTTTAGCATTACTTCACAACTATGTAAGAGTGATTCACCAAATCGTATTTTTAATAATTCCAAGTTCCGTATTTCCTTTTCCGAATTAAAATCAAGCTGCGCCAGCAATCTATCAGCCATTAAATTTCTATACTCAACCATAAACAACTCTTTGCTTCCATATATATCTACTACCATGGATATTATATCAGCTGATCGCATTATTTTTGAGCTAGTATTTCGAAGTATATTTGGATCAATTCCAAATGGATCAGGCTCCCAATTTTCCCAATTGCTCAATTCATCAGTAGTATTGTCCTTTCCATCTTTAACTGATTCACCTTTCGCTAGTTCTTCAGACAAATCTGTTGGTCCCTCTTCAGTTAGGCCAGTAACAACACGTCTCACTGTGTCATTACGTTTCCGAAGATAATCTTTTATTGGGGCCGTTACCATTTCCAAAATAACTCCAGTGTTATCAAGATGGCGAATAGCTTTAATTGCCGCAACGTAACCAGTTAATATATCCATAGTATTAACGCCTGGATGAAGAAGTCTAGCTTCTAATGCATTTCTGAGAGTTTTTGTTATGTATACCCTCATGTCTATTTTTTCCATGCAAATCTTCAAATCGTTAATGGCTGGTGTAGAATCAGGATAATCTAAATACATATAAATGTTTTTATGTAATAAATAAAAATGTTAAACCTTTTTGTAAAAATACAAATGTGATTTATTGGAACAAGCCCAAACGAAGCGTGTATATAAAATAAATACTTATTTAATATTATGACAGAAACCAAATAGTAACAATTATAAAAGTAGCCAACGATTTTTAAGCTCTTTTTCATGGTGTAATTGTCTGAAATAAGTTCAAACATATTTTTATTTGGAATCACTTCAGAAACAAAGAGTGTTTTGGTGTATATAATCATATTATTTACCTGCAGAAATAAAAATACTCGTGCAGATCTAAAGATTAGATTACGGACCGAAATAAGTAATAGTAGGGTAAAACAATAATAAAAACTGCCAACGTGGAGCAGCTTTGATTTCAATAAACAAAACGCGAAAATTCGTTCAGTAATGGTAAGCTTCAGCTCAAAACGTATGGGTATGAATATAAGTTATTAAAATATTCCCGATTACATTTTGTTTGAGTTCATAATTTTTAAGTTTTTTCTTTTGTTTAAATATAGTTGCTATCCCAACGGGGAGTGGTTTTAAAATTATAACTTACCTATAATGATACTAAAAAATCGACTGATTACGCTTTGTGCAAATGTTTCGTACATAAAGTACGTCAATTTCACTTTGAATCCTTGAATGGTTTCACACTCGTTAATATCACATTGTTTACCCCCTGTAAATATATTTCTCAACCAAGACATAATAACATCTTGAAGCCACTATAATGAAAAGGGTAATTAATAAATAATCACTATTCATAAACAACGTATCTGATCTTACCGTTTCTAGTTCTTTTAAGTGGCTTCGATCGAAAATTCCAAGGCAGGTATCGTTAATGTGCTCCTTTATTTTCTGTTTAATTAACGCCGTCATTGAGCTTCCTGCCAAGCGGTCAATGAGGCCCAATTCTAAAAGCTTCTGATTTGTTTTGTTTACCATTTCAATGAGCTTCTGACAGCAACATTTTTGCACTTCAAAATTACAGCCAGTACAGGGGAGGTCACTCAGCACTTCCGAATCTAAAATAGTCAATACAATAATAAAAAAACAAGAGAAAACGCTAAAATCGAGCAAGCTCGATAATGAAATACCCTGTACCCACTCTCACAAAAAGGAAAAAAAATTGTTATTTTAAAAATTAATTTAAAAAAGAAATTTGTTAATTAATGAAATTAAATAAAAATAAGAAGGGAGGAGTCTAGCGGGCTGAACTCTTAAATACCCTTTAGTATCTTCCACAAGAAGCAAAAAAGTACGTACAAAAAAAAACCTTTAAAATTAATTTTAACAAATAAAAATTATTTAATACATACATAAGTGGAGGCAAATGTTTATGTACAGTTTCAAAAACGTGCATTTAGATCAGAATCGTATATATATATGTTTATGTTTTTGGGCAGTACAGAAATGAGCCAAAACTAAATTTGACCTATCATAATGGGACTTAACATGAGTTATGGAAAATCGCGAATGTTGTATTTTTCGGCAGGATCTACATGCCAAGTTTAATTCTTCTAGCTCCTATACTTTATAAGATCCCATACAGACGGACATGGCTATATTGACTAGTTTTGTCTTGCTACCATTTGGGTACAGGGTGTAAAAACAAACTTGACTTGCCTAGGGCTTATGGAAACCTGGAACACAAGATTGGTTATGTTTACTGAGATTGTTGTGATCATACAGATGGACATGGTTATATCGACTTGGCTTGTCACCCTGATCAAGAATATATATACATTGTGGAGTCTCCCGCGCCTACTTCTGTGTGTTACATACATGCATACTAAACTTTTCACCCTTTGGGTAGAAGGTATAAAAAAATGACACTTACCAATTGTGTTTGATGAGAAATATATATCTTTTGTAAAAAGTCGAAAATGAACAGAGTAGAACGCACCAATAACAACATCAAAGTTAGGTGGCAGTTGCGCTAACATTGCATCCCGCAACCACGTTTTGGTACCATTCTCATCAACTACCTGTTTTTCCAGAGTTTTGGATGGACCATTTCTATTTAGTTGTATTAGTCGCGTTTGCATTTGCAGCAGATATTGGTAGCTTTCGTGCAGCTCGTTGACGGCTTCAATGAACTTTGCAAACAGCGCATTTGGGTCCGAAACAGTTTCCTTTCGAGGCACTTGGAAATGTACCCAAAACTTTGGCACAATAACATTTCGAATTGTTGATCGCATTTCCAACTTCACAATGTCAGTCAATGTTTCAATACCAACACTACCAAGTTCCGACATTTGCCGGCAAACATTTTGGAAAACTTCTTCTTTGGGCGATTGAAGGATTTGCGATGTCTGCAAAGGCAAATAAATTACATTTGATTCAAAAATAAATTGTACATTTGCTTACGCTTCCACATAATATTGGAAATATTTTTACAACGTCCGACGACCATAATTTAGAAAAGTCACACATTTCTTTCACGACAAACAAACCCCGATATTTATCGAGTGAACCTGGCTACTAGTGTGACCATATTGAACACTGCGATAGTAAATACATATATTGAAGTTTCATATCGATATCCAATTTCCATTTTTTAAGTTTCACAGCACTATTCTATCTTTGGTGCTGCTATCGCTACCAAATTCATCAGCTGCTCCTGACAGTTAGAAAAATGATTTGGTTTCGCCGAAGCCATGTAGTGCAACTTACTGTTGTTGATCTCAATGTATTTCAGCAATCTTAAGAAGCTTTAATTATTACTGATGAATAAAGACAACTCTTTTTTTTTGGAAAAGTGGCATATGTATATTCATATTTATGTTGGCTTAAAACATTGGTGAATATTACAAATAAATCATTAAAAATAAATTTGCGTGGAAAATATTTGCCCGCTACAATTCTGATACAATGTTTATACGATGCCCAAAACCCATGATTGCAACCACAAACCAAACAAAATTCACATAAGTATGTACTTATGTCAGAACTAATTTAGTGGTCTCATCTCAAAAAGGAAATCATGATTTTAGGGTGCATATAGACGTAGTATACATACATATGTTAACTAAACACATTCATAGATATAATTCACACGCAAAATTTTAGGACATTAATTAAAATTCGTAAACTGCGAATAATTTGTGTCGGTTCCCATATCTTTTTTGGTGAAATAATGACACCGGCTTCAATTTTAAAGCACTTTTCGGACATGCATTTCCGAACGTTGAAATGAACAAACACTGCATACACACATAATTACTTCTTTCATGGATCGTTTGGGGCACATGCAAATTCTCACTAGAATGAAATTTTTAAAATAACGTACCCGATTCATTAATATATATGTATATATATATATGTACATATAAGAGGCGGAGAATAAACTACATACTTGTTCTGTGGTACCATTAATTTTGGATCTAAACATCCCATACGGCAATTGTAAACCAATTTAGGTAGGATCAAGCTGAACAACATAAATTTAACTATAATAAAATACATACAATTTAAATCAGATACCACTGGCTTTGTAACTTATTGGATATTTAAGAAACTACCGAATTTTTTGATGTGTTTGCTGATGTTTTTTTAAGTGGTCACTCCGCACGAAACGACGACAGCAATCGGGGCATGCGTAGGGTTTTTCACCTGTGTGCGTACGAATGTGTCGATTCAGATCATCTTGTCGCTTAAATCTTTTCTCACATTCTCGACATCGAAATGGTCGTTCCTGTACAAACTGAGGCATACCATAGGTTCCAGGGCCATCTTGTGACGGTAGTTGAGATAGGGTGTCTACCACTTCTTCAGCAGGCTCATATTTTACATCAGGTTTTGTATTAAAGCACGAGGACAACTGATTATCAGGTAGGGGTTGTACGATTTGATATTTGTCACTATGTTCTGGTCGTTCCAATTTGATTTTTATCGGCTTATGGTGTATCACGTGCTCTGAAAGCTGATTTTGAGATTGATTTGAGTCACCTCCACTGAGTACCGCCATAAAATGAAGACCCCCACCATAATCAAGATTGGGTACAGTTTTCTTTGATGATTTCATTTTGGAATTATTAGGTGTCGAACGTTTTTCCGTGCATTCCTTTAGCTGCCTATCGTGGGTCGCCAGATGCTTAGTGAGGTGGTCGCTTCGAGAAAATTTTTTAGTACACTGGACACATTCGAAAGGTTTTTCTCCTGTATGGGTACGCAAATGTCGATTTAGTTCATCGGACCGAGTAAAGCCCTTCCCGCATTTGGGTTCCTTACAAACAAATGGTTTAATACCCGTATGCCATGTAAGGTGAGAGCGCAGATGAGAGCTCTTGCCATAGCTCTTTGTGCAGTTCTCGTAAGGGCAGACAAATTTACGTTTAGGATCAGGTGCATGTGGCGTAGCCAGCAATTTTATAGTAGGCATAAGACGAATCTTAGCGCTATCCGCAAACTGTAATTCATCGTCGTTTGAATTTAAATTGTTCTCAGTCTCAGGTGTGTTGTGTTCATTATCGAGATCCAACGGCGTTTCATGTTTAATATTTCCAAAAATTGTTGACGCTCTAAGTATAACATCCCGCCCCTGTTCGTTAGATTGTGTACCGCCACCTATTGACGAAAACGTTGGTGGTGGTTGCATGGGCATGGGCTCTGTAGGCGTTAACGTTGATGTCGTCAGCATTTGGGGCGTGGGCGTGTTCGAAATTACTTCTGACATTGTGTGTTTGTGTTTCCTTAATAGGGAGCCCAACTGCAAATTCAAGTGTATGCAATTTTATGTGTATATTTGAGATTAAATATACGGTATCTTCATTATAAATTCTTACCAAAAATAAGGCGTTTGAGTGAACCAATTTTTTGTGGGCGTCGGCTTCGGCCGCATTATCTTAAATGTGGTCCCTTTTTATCATATTCAGTAGAGCTAATGACTTTTTATAAATCCCAGTTCTATTACACTTTTTTGATGGAAACAAATATAACATCCGCAATGAAAATAATTTCGTCGCCGCTGATTTTATTTATATACTACACAACAACTAGTTTTTGTTGCGATGAAAAATATCGAACTATTCGATATTTAATTGAATATATTGTGAACTATGTGATTAAGTTCACCTGCGAGGTAGTTCAGCTCCATATTTTGGCAAATTTCAAAGAGACAAGACTTCAAAGCTTAATTTTACATTATTGTGCCCACAGTTTAATAAAAATCCCTTTTCCCAACATTTAAGTATATTCAAACACCTTTTTGCAAATAAACAATAAGATATTTATTTTGAGATTTTGCAATAAACCCATCTACATATATTATGTATTCCAATAACCCAAAACACCGTAGCCAATACCTCTGTGTTTAACAACACATTTTTTTCTATTGGTTATATTACGAATTCATTTACTATGCAGCTGCTACTGCCAAACGTGGGCAATTCGGGATACCACACTCCAAATCTGGACAAGTATCTTGGTGCAGACAGCTGTCCGTATTGCAAAACATGCATCCTTCTGGGGTGAGTGGAACATTAATAGATAAATTAAGTATATCCCAAACTTTTTTCAAATCCGTGACGAGCAAATTCATCATTTCAAAAGTATGGAAAGGTGTGGGTGCTAAACGAAGTTTCTCCTGGCCTCGCGCCACTGTTGGGTAGTTTATAGATTGAATGTAATGCCCAAATTGATCCATTAACATATTCGAGATTTGGCTGCACTTTAAGGGGTCTCCAATTTTAATGGGAATAATGTGGCTTGGTGTATCCTCAACGGGAAATCCTGAAAATAAATTGTTTTTTTTTTGCTTTTAAATACAATGTTTCAGGGTTTGGATTAAATAAATAACTATTATTTCATTTACATTGGATTCAGAATAAATTCAACAATGCAATGAAGTTGAGTTTTTAAAACATACATCTCTCTTTTTCTTTACCTTCTCTTTTGAGCAAGTTTTTCAAATAGGAAACATTCCTTTGATGCAAGCTACGTAGCTGGCGACCTTCCTCCGAGGCCAATATATTAACTGCTTCCAGTGCCCCACAAAGGACAGTGGGTGGCAGTGAAGTGGTAAAAATGAATCCGGCAGCGTACGATCGTATCATATCAATTAGATTCGAAGTTCCAGCGATGTACCCACCAATGTTACCAAACGCTTTTCCCAATGTTCCAGATATAATATCCATTTTATGTAAAACTTCGTCCCGTTCACCAACTCCAGCACCGTGGTCGCCATACAGTCCCACTGCATGAACTTCGTCAATGAAAGTAATTGCGCCGTACTCATGGGCCACATCGAGCAGCTCTTCAGTTGGACATATTGCACCAGTCATGGAATGTACGGTTTCAAATGCAACGATTTTCGGAGTGCTTTTATCCATTTGCTTAAGGAGCGTATGTAAATGATTGACATCGTTATGACGAAAGATATGCTTTGGAACGCCACTATTTCTTATTCCTTGAATCATTGAGGCATGATTTCCAGCATCCGAGAAAATATGGCACCCAGGCAGCAACTTTGCAAGAGTGAAGAGCGTAGAATCGTTCGCTACGAAGCATGAGGTGAACAATAGAGCGGCTTCTTTCTGGTGAAGCTCGGCCAGCTTGTTCTCAAGCCTCTCATGATGTAAAGAGTTTCCTGAAATATTTCGTGTCCCACCTGCCCCAGACCCATGCATTTCAAGGGCTTCCTGTACGGCCCGTTTCACTTTCGGATGCGCAGACATACCGAGGTAATCATTGGAGCACCAAACGGTTATAGGGCGTTCCGATTGAGATGAATATTCAAGTGCATGGGGAAAGAGGCCATCGCCAGCCAAACGGTTTACTCTTTTAAAAACCCTATACGAGTGATCTCGTTTTTTCTTCATAATCTGCTCGTTAAAGAACCTTTCATATTGAAAAGTATCTTTGGTCTTGGCAACTACGTTGTCATGGGTACGGCCACTCCTTACATCATGCACACGTCGTCGATTGTCTGACCTTGTTGGAGCTGACGCAAATGGCGTAGAGACAAGTGAAAGTTTTTTCTCAGCAGATTTTCCAATTACCGGACAGTACATGCCATAAGATTGGTACAATACTTCAGCATAATTGCGTACATAATTTGGGTTAAAACGGCTCAAGAACGGACACTGCATGACGAAATACTTCTCAACTTTTGTGAAACTTGATGAACTTTGAAAGCGAAATTTATTATGCAAGCAAACTGGTGGTAATGTCGTTTTGCCCCACAATGGCTTGCAGAAATACCTACATGTACATATGTATCGATACTTTCGGGCAAATACAGCTGATTACATTTATCGATACTTTCGCGGAATACAAACCGCTATAAGATTTTATACATAACTCAAACGTCTCCTATAATTGTTTTCCATAAATTTTTTTTGTTTTAACGATATGATGAATAAATAATCAGGAAAAATTCAAGAAGTTGGCTATTAAAATATCATATTTTACAAGAAAGTAGTAGGATTGCTTTAATTATTTTAGTAGAACTTTTCCATTTTATTCATATACTTAAATTAAATATTTTATTTAATTATTCGTCAGGAAACAAAACCGTCGATTTTTTTAAAACTAAACAAAAATTCGGAATATATATATGGTACGACGACGGAACAACGAATCCGACATGATGAGAGGATATTATTTTCTGTGCCCGAATCACATCCAGAGTAGTCAAATACGTTACTATATCTAACAAAAAATAAATAGAAAAGATAAAAATTTTAAAAAATAAAGGCATATAATTAAATTATAATAATAATCATGTTAGCTGTGTCCCAACTCTCAGCCATGTGCGGCCAAAAATTGACCAAGAAATGGCTGTGGGAACCCAATGACCCGGTTGAGGAAAGTTTAGTAGCCAGTCAGGCTAAAAGTTCCTTGTTGGTCTGAAAGGTATTAAAAAGAAAATATAAAATGACTCTGGAATCAACATCTCCGATATGTATATGTACATATATTATGAACTTTATTACCTAATTCCTTACTGACTACTCAGAAATTAATTGTAACATACATGTAATATTTTACTTATTGTTTTTAGTTATTTTTCAAATGATTATAATTATGTTATCTTTATTATAATTATTTATTTAAATATTTCTATCAAACACTTTAAAATGAATATAACTTAATTTTAAGCACAATAATGTTTGCGTGTTAGTCATCGGATGCGGAATGATTATTAAACCAACTTTCAACTGTAATTTGGTCATTGGAGATTTTATCTTTATTAACTCTTTGCAATTGATAAGACCCGAAATTGCATTCCAAGGAACACCCATATATAGCACTCTCATATTTTTTGTTGAGATGATAACAATTGGGATTGGTAGACATGTCGTATGCTGTAAAAAATGTAGTTCCCAATTATTATTTATAATTATAAGCATTAAAATGACATAAATAAAAAAACAACTTTTCTTTTAATGACGCTATGAAGAATTATTATTTCAAATGTTGCTTATAAAAATATTTAAAGACACTTACAATTACATGGTCAGAACTTTAAGTCCTTAATGGCAGGCAACTTTATATCCTTAATCTGCTGGGGAATGTTCATGCTCTTTACAGCACTTACGGCCCGTGCTGGAGCTGCTGATATACCGGCTTCTTGTTTAACCAGCTTGTTTTGTTCCTCAATTCTGGACATTATATCAGTCATGTTGGTTTGCAGTACCATCCCACCCATTACCAACTCAGAAAGAATATGATGGACTGCATCGGCATGAAATATCAAATCCAGTTCACAAACATTCTCAAAGCATTTGTCTAAAGTTTCGACAAAAACTTGTATCAGATCCAGAATACCTAACTCACTCTCGGAGGAATCAACGCAGAAAACGAAGTACAAGGTGGCATAATGTCGATAGATGAGTTTATAATCTGAACCACCGATAAGACTGTGGTAAATATAAACAATAGTTAGCGCATTTCATATTTATGATTTATCTCAAATACCTGCCGCCTTCAAGAAAATTACAAACATTATCGTCGCGCTTCGAAACAAGTTGAAACGTCTCCTTGATTATTTGCTGCTGCAGACTTTCATCCTGTTTGTGAACAATTGAATATTAGTCCATAAATATTCATACATATGTATGCACACATATGTGCTTACAAAAGTGGACACATATGTACATATGTAAATAAGCTTTTATATACTTACAAAGTATTGATAGAATTTGGACAGCCTTGGTTTTCCATGATTGTTAAACACCAAGATAGCTTTAATCATTTCGATATTTGGAAATAGTTTCAGGAATGGTTATTTCTCATTCGCACAAAAGTTCACAATTTGCTATCGTAGGCTAAAATAAATGAGCTAGAAGTTTTGAACTAATGGTTCAAAAATAAGCTCAATGCAATAATTAATTATTGTTTATCTACATACATATTAAGTGTACTTGTATTTCTAAAACACACATCTTTAACAATAATAAATACAAATGAAATAAATAATGTGATGTATTTCTAAAACAATTATTACTATCGGAAATATTTATCGATACCAAATAAATATGTAAACATACATACATATGTAGATAGGAATGTACATATTGGACTGTAATTCTAATTCCATGGATGTATTGAACGATATTGGGTTTCGGTGCAGGTATTATCAAGCATATACATATTTAAAATATGTTTTATAAGTCGAAATATAATTTATATGACCTAGCGTTAGCTCTGTTCTGAATAAGGAAACAAAACAATATGGTAAGCAATTTATGTTTGATGAGACAGAAGACACGGCTTGGAGCTCAGATGAGGTAAGTTTTTAAAGAATATTTAAAATTAAATAACTTTAATTTAGGGTTTACCCCATTGTTTTAGGGATTACCCCAATGGATAAGTCTTTCGTTTGACGAGCCTCAAGCTATCAGCGGATTTTGCTTTCAGTTTCAGGGCGGATTTGTTGGACAAGATGCGACTGTCTTACTTTACTCTTCAGAGGATAACAAGCTATTAGGCAAGGAGGCATTTTACCCGGAAGATATTAATTCTCCTCAAAATTTCCAACTGAAACACGAAACATCTGTAGAAAAATGTTCTAAAATTAAATTTGTTTTTGCATCAAGTACAGATTTATTTGGTAGAATTATTGTATATAAACTCAAATTGTTAAAGTAATTTATGTAATTATAGCTGCATTCTGCATTTATATATATAAAGTAATTTCAGGTGACCTAATATAAAAAGACGAAAAATACTTATTTTTAAATGCCATCTCGTAAATTTTTCTAAGTATGTACGGGGTGTAAACTAATGATGAAGACTACACAAATTTGACGCAGAAATATCATTTCAGTTTTATTATGTATTATAAACATACGATAACAAATTTATTTTGCAGCAGTTCTAATTTTATTTATATAAAATTATTTGGGAATATACTTTAGAAGCCGAAGTTCGTGAGACAACCAAACAGCACAGCTAAGAAGAATTAATGACCCGGATTGATGTGCAGTTGCCAGAGGTACGGGCACATAGTTCAACAAAGTCGTCACTCCTAAGGTAGCTTGCGTCCACGCCATAGCAGTTACAGCATGTATAGCCCAACGAGCTCGCTTAGGCAATTGCATACGCCTAGTTACCAGCCACAAAACTGTCGTCAAAGAAACTGTTGCAATGCCCAATATGCGATGGTTAAATTGTACTGTTGTTGGGTTTTCTGTAAAATTTTTCTGAACGGGCTGAAACTGCAAGAGGTCCTCTGGTATCCACTTATCGCCCATTTTTGGAAATGAATTGTAAACTAGTCCAGCGTCCAATCCAGCCACAAATGCACCAGATATTGCTGTTAAAAACACCATGCCCTTCGTTAAATGCGACAGAGGTTTAATATTGAAGGTCCGTTTGGCTGTTGCCATTAATGCTTCAGATGGAATGAGCTTACTCATCGACTTTGATAGGAATAGAGCATACAGAACGAATGCAGCAGCTAAGTGAGACGCCAGTCTATATTGTGATACGCGAGGCACATCGTTGACATCTTGGAAGCGGTCCTCTAGCCCAGATTTGACCATATACCATCCCATTAGACCTTGAAGACCAATCAACGTTCCTAGTATTACAACACTTTTCTTCATCTTTGCACAAAAGTAGCCTTTTTTCCAGAAGTATGCAGCAGGTACTAGAAAAACCGCGCCTATTGCACGACCCCACATTCTGTGTATATATTCCATCATATAAATAAATTTGAACTCTTCCAAAGTCATTGAGGCATTTTTTCTAAAATAAAAATATATATTTGAAATTGTTAGTGTTTTACTTATCTTGTTAAGAGCCGTACAAATACATACAATTGTTTAAACATACATACATATGTATTTTTACTTACAGTTTGAACTCCGGATACTGTTGATATTTTTTAAACTCTTCAATCCATTCAGATTGATTGCGTGGCTTGTGTTCCCCCATCAACTTCCATGTAACCATGGACAGTCCCGATTCTGTAAGCCTTGTGACACCACCTGTCGACTTTAAGTTAATAGTTTTGCACCAAGCTGATGTAATCATTCATACCCAGACCAACAGCCACGAACACCATGCCACTACATCCTGCAAGCCACCGCCCAACAACTTTATCCGACTTTGCAACGGAAGTATTTTTTATTGCCGGTTGTCCATGCTACAAATATCTTTAATTTATTACGGAATATACTCATTGATATATTAATTTACTTTTAATTCGCTTCGCATGAGGGTGTGTTGAAACCTGCGACTTGAACTTAGCGTAAATGCTTTACGTAATTGCGCCAGTTGGAGCATTTTAATAAAAATCTATCTCGTTGAAAAGATCCAGCCTAAATGAAATCGTTATTTGTAAATATACCCAACACATTAAAAGACCGGACACTAGAGTTGTACTATCTATAATATCGATAGTTTTATTTTTAGTCACTACCAAATTATGTAATTTTGCTCATTAGAATAAGAACGATGTACATACATAGGAGCAATGCAAGATCCCATTGTGCTCTTATTATTAAACACTTTTAATATTTTTTTATTTTTAACTTTTTAATTTATTACTCAAGTCAATAATATTCAAAGGATAGCGCGCAGTGCGTTTTATTACGTTGTGCAACACTTTCGATATTGATAGTGCATTTAGTAAATAATTGGATATTTATCGTCATATAAGTTCGCATGTTGACATTAAAAAGAATAAAAGTAGAAGTTAAGCAAATTTGTTTAAATAATTGTAGGCTATGGCATCGTCCGAAGAACATGGTGGGTATTGGTATTAATATACACTCGTTGCATACACATTAAATTGAAACACGATATTTATTTATTCATGTGCATATACAAATACAAACGTGTATAGAAATAATGCATGCTATATTATAGTTATTATTGTATACTCTCGTTAATGTTGAACACCTTAAATAAATTTACAGATAACAAAATGGTGGAAGTACTAAATAATCAGTTTGAGAAGCTGCGAGAAGCAATGGATGAAATGTTCGAAATGAAAGCTAACGTATGCTACCAGTAATATAAACCCTTTGTATTGTTTTAATAATCATTAATTATAATATTTCAGGGGCTTAATGTTGAGGGGAAAAGATCTTCTGCTGCTTTGTTGTTTGTAGCTCTGAAGCATTCAAATCGAGAGGTCAAACGAAGTATAAAAGCCGGACGAGATGAATTGCATATGGAGAAGTCCAAGGTGGACCTAAGTCGACTCCAGTTGCAAAATTTGTTGTATGAAGTTAGTCATTTGAAAAAAGAAATTATTCGTTGCAAGAACTTCGGCGCAAAGTTCAATTTGGAGCTACTCTCTGATGAAGAGTATTCTATTAAGTTTCCAAACACCCCCAAAGAACAACCTGAAATGTCTAGCCATAAAAAGCATCTACACCGCTTGGAGTGCGAGTTAAAATTACGAAAGGCTCTTGATTCCCAATACAACATCTTGTTGTCATCCAAGCAGGAACTTTTGCAGGACAACCTCAGCCAGGCCCAGAGGTACACATCGTTTGCTCCTGCACTACGCACGTTGATGGAATCCACTAAACCATTGCACGATGCTTTGCAGCTGTCTCTGGATGTTGAATGGAAACTTGGGACAGTTGTTAAATATCTTCCCAAGCCTTTATATTTGCTTTTCATCAACATGCAATCCCTCCAACGTGTCCTCGATGACTCTTCATTTAAAGCTGAAGTAGTCGGATTTGAAAGTGATGCTCAAATGCAAGAATTGTTAATGGCAAAAGAGCGGGCATCCAAACAGTCGACGAGCGGGGGAGAGCGGCGTCATTTTTTAGACGAAAATAATTCATCTGAAAGTTCGATGGAGAACTTGCAAAACCGAAGTCTGGAACCTCATCCTTTGCATATAAAAGTCATTGTAAGTTACAGATATTTTATCTTAATTTGAAAATGAAAATCAGCCATCCTATATAATTTTGCTCATAATTAATAACAGATTGGAAGCGCAGATAGTCCCTATCATTTATTGCTAATAATACGGTATTGGGGACGACTTAAATGTACAACGGTGCGTGCAGAGTTTTGTTGCTCGAGCAACAATAATCATCAGGGGTAAGAATTACACGCAAAATCTAAATTATTTGTCATTCCAACATTTTCTTGTAGTGATGCCAATTTTGTACAGGACCTCCTTAGACACTTATATCCAAATGATTTGGGTGATGAGATTCCAATCTCAGGAATAGATTATGAGGTACCTATATTAAAAATAATACATTTCGTCCATAATATATTATATGAATATATTAAACAGTTACAGAATTTAAACATGACGTCGGAGGATTGTATGGATTTCTTGATAAAGAATGATTTCGGCTATCCTTATTGTTGGTTACAAAGTATGTGCTCAATACCAACAGTCAATAAGTCGAAACTTTATAAACATGAACTAAATTTGCACAATTGTACCCGTGAGGTTATAACACGTATAAGGAGTCGTTGGAACTCGTGGCTAAAACTAACTCAACAAATACGAGGCCTAACATATAAAGACATTGACCTCTACTCTTTGAAAGAAAATATCTACCCGGCTGGGTTGGCATGTAGCCTTGTCCAATGCACGGCAATCACTTTAGATGAATTCCACCATCAGAATGCTGATGCAATAAATTATATGTCTGATACAAAGTGCATCACATATAGTACATATCGTGCTGTAGTAGTACGTGGCTCTGCCAAAATGGAGTGCTTTATTCAGATACCCAGTAATTACCCTATGGAAATGCCAATTTGGGTATTGAGCATACATTGGAACGGATGTCATACCTCAAAAAATAACTCGGCAATTAAGGTGGGTTAATCAATTTATATATGTATATAACTAATATCTGAATAACAAAAACCTTCCCTTTTTTATATTTATTTATGTTTTCACAGATGATGGAATGTTGGACTAATTCGCTTCAACCCAAACATTTGGATCCTAATGATAATTTCCTTTACGTCCAACTTTTCCGCACAATATATAGTTTTGATATATTCCTTGAAACAGAGGGATCTATGCAAAGCAATATTGAATACAACAAGGAGAAGCCCTATATTAGCGCGTTTGCCAAACGTATTCGGCTGCGTCCATATAGGTACATCAAAAAAGGCTCTGTCTACGCATTTAAGCAATAGCACCCAAAAACAAATAATACAACTATGGTTCTTCCTTTAACAAGACTGGCCATATTAACAGAAACGCAGAGTGGATTTAATTATGCGAATCTAATAAATAAATTAATTATTATTACTAAGCAATGACTGAAAATGTATCTTTTGGGAAGCAGTTGCGGCCAAGGATCCAGTTGGCAACGTTGTGGAGGAGCTGTTGTCCACTGCCTCGCGACTCTCATCTGGCATGACTTTGTCGACGATGTGTTTGCTGATTAGGCCGTCGGAGCCTAGGTAGCAGACGGAAAAGCCATCATACCAAGCTTCTTGGTCATCTAAAACTTGTTTCAGTTCCCAGATTTTGTATTTCCAAAATTGAAACATTACTTTTAGACCAGATATGCCTCGCACTCGCCATCTTATGCGCACTGTGTAGTCTTCAGGATGCTTCGTAATTTTTAATATTTCAAATTTCACATAGGCATACTTTAGATGACCAACGGTCCGTAATATAGCAATTTGTTTGACATAGTGGTAGAGTCCCACTGTGTGCTTGCCAGTGATGTTGTTTTGAAAAATAAGGTTCGGACTGTAAATCGAATAATCAAGCGGTTCCACAAACAATTTGGGCAGTGTGTTTTTGAGCACAGTGAAGACTCTCTCCAAGTCTTCAGGTCTCTTTTCGGTTTCATTGGAGGTCTCTGGACGACTGCTTTCATGTACAGATCTTTTTATAATGCATCTTTGCCCAAATGGATGACTAGTTAATGGAACGTATTCACATATTTCCTGATTTTTTTCATATAAGGACGTTACAGAGCATCGCGTTGCTGCTGTCGAGTACAAACTGTGCCGGGTCATGTTAACCGATAAAGTCCTTAAACTGCGTACGATCTTAGCAAGGGCCATGTCGCTATGTATATCTAAGTAGAAATATTATAATAGGTATGTATGTAGTGTGCATATGAATGTTCTTCAAAACAAATTGTTTTAAGCTACCTGCATGTAGAATCAATGCCGGTGAGGACTTATTTAGGCCCCGAAATCAATCCTGAGCACGTAACACTAATGTCTTAATTTAGCTATACTGCAATATATTGACAATATCCTTAAAAGAATTACGATTACGAACTTCCCATTTCGTGTTTAGGTAACCAAAACAGTCTCGCAGCCCTGGCAAACATGTGTCAAATGTCCAAATATCGATAACCGAAATACCGATACTCTCTACTAAATGAATTCTAATTGGGATAACCGCCAAATAATGGAAAAATACATTTTTCGGTTATATACATATATATTTTTTATACATGCGTTTTAAATTTGTTTTTTTTTAATTTTTTACCATAACAATTGGGCCTTAATTTGTATTCGTCTAGTTATTTTCCCATAATTAAAGTGCAATTAAGTATTTAAGTGAATTTATTCAAAACTAGTCGTTTGACGGTTTCACAACACCAGTATGCCAATGCGCAGAGTTTGGATTTGGCCTGCGCCAAACTAGTATGTACATATATATGTACTATATATACGCACATACAGGGGTGTATCCAGAGGGATAGGTGACCTAAGACTTATCAATCAAATTACACACCTATCGAAAGAACTATAAAATACCTCATGAAATGAATAGTTTCTCTACCTGAAGATGACATAAAAATATTACTTGATGTAACTAACGAAATTGAATTTAATTAAAAAGTACTCCTTCAAAAAAAAATCTGTCTACTGCACTGTGTTCATATATAAACTAAAAAATCGTTGCTACATGCCCAGGCAGTTGCACTCCTGTTTTTTTTATGTAAACACGGTGTTTACCAAAATAAAGTTAAAATTATTTCAAATCAGAAGAATTACTTGATCCTGTGATTGCAGTTAAGAAAAATGTGGTATAAATATTGTTAAATTGAGGCAAGCGTGAACAATGAATATACAAATATATTAAAGGAAAAAGTACCTTTGAGAACACACCTGGATCTTTTGAATGCCTTTTTAATTTCGCTACGTACATTTTCAGGAAAAATCGATAATTATTTAACACATATTTTCAAAACACAACCGAAACCAGAAACAAATTTAATTCCGTTCCGGTAAACACAACATTTTTAAAGATGTATGGCCTAACTCCATCAAAACTAAAGGATAACGTAAGTTCATATCGTCTACTATACACGTATATATTTTACATTTTTGTGGTTGATAAGAAGTGTTTCGCTTTACAGTTTTGCAAGCTCAACTGTTTTATAATTATACGTACATATATATACTTGTATATATAAATCCTGCAGACGGCATTGTGTAAAAAATCAATAAAATACCTTTTATATATCATTTAACATTGATACATTTTGTGCTCTCATGTAATAAGTATATTCACATATAATGATGCGCCTTCAATATTTTGTTAGAATTCAGGTGTCTTTTTTATGCATAAATACGTAGAATATACGTAGATATTCAAATTTTTATATCAATATTTATTCAAGAGCCATTTCCGCAAAATACAATTATTTGGAGAATTTAATATAACTCCAACTCTACGCCAAACGTACCGAATCGGGAAATATTAATCATCCTCCTATTGTTTTCGTGAATAATAGTAAAAGCATATTTTTGTTGTTTATCTGTTTAATTAGTGTATCCAAAATTGGTTTATTTTCAGAATCAGCGCTTTCGACTTCGTGATATTGATAATGAACAAATCATGTCAACTTTTGGAAATATTGGACACTCGTTATGCATAGCTGTTGAGAGGTTTATCACAATTGGAGAAATAATTGCAGAAGAAAATGTTGATATTAAGGGAGATATGTATGAAGCCGCTAAAGAAGCTAGAGATGCTGGTGTGTACGATTTTTGTAATCTTCTTTTGATCACTTCAAAGCCGACATATGCAGTGAAATATATTTTGTGATTTTCTTATTTACAGGCAAATCTATTGAACGGCTATGTGATATTTCGCCCATAACTGGTATGGAACTTCGCCATCAAATAGAGCCATTGAAAGACTATGGTGCCATTATATTAGCCGCACGTTCTCTTCTTTCATCAGTAACGAGAATACTGTTGCTGGTAGACATTATAGTGGTAAAAAAATTGTTAACAGCTAAAAAGCGAGCCTCTGAAAGTTTAGAAAAATTGGAGTCTGTTATGAACTTCACAGAATTTGTAAGAGCTTTCTCCGTTTTTGGAACGGAAATGATTGAACTAGCTTATCTCACCGGGCACCATCGGGGGTCATTTAAAGAGGAAAGACGACGGGCCCAAATGTTCTCTGCCCGACAAATACTAGAAAAATCGATTTCTATACTTTTGACATCATCTAAAAATAGTTTGATACATAGTGATTGTGTGATTGTGAAAGAGAACCGAGACACGGTTTTTTGTCAGATAAGACGAGCGATGGATCTCATACATTTCGTAGTAAAAGATAGTATCTTTGATTCTTCAAAGCATATGCCCTTCGATAAGCCACGGAATAATCCAAATTATGAGAATGAAAGCATCTATACTACAATAAAACGAATTATAAACCTTATTCAGAACTATAAAGTAAAAAATAATCAATTCCAAATGAATAATGAAGGCAACAACAATTCTGATGCTTACTATAACCTATTTGACGACGAGCTTTGGAAAAGTGATAACTATTATGAAGACAAGAATTTAGCCCCAATTGTCGGTGGCCGTTTAACTAACAATACGAATTACAGAAAATATTCCGGCTATGAGGGCATGGACCTGAGGGAAGAGCTTTCATTAGCATTTGACAAACTATTCGAGAAGGTTCATGATTTTACAGACTCACCGTACATAAGTCATGAGCACCGGAAAAATATACTCACCAATTGCGATAACTGCAAGATCGAGTTCAGTATGTATATAAATAATTTAATAAAGGATCAGCATGAAAACGTTGGAGCTGGAATGCAGGCGAAGGAGAGTGACGCCGAAATCGGAATGTTGAGTTGCTTGGAGGAACTGTGTAAACAGCTTGTGATCTCAGTGTCCAGCCAAGTGGCAGACTTTAATGAATCTCTGAAATTATGCACAAAACTTGTGAAATCCTTTCACGTCCTGGCAACGACGCACGACCTTGATAATCTAAATCAGCAATCAACTAAGTTTCACGATTGTTGTGACCACATTTTCGACATCTGCAAACTATTACAACATATTGCACCTACGGAAAGACTGCAAGTGCAAGCGAAATGCTTAGCCATTAACTTAAGAATATACGGTCCACAGGTGTTTATCGCTGCGAAAATACTTTGGAAATACACAAACAGCAGCGCAGCAAATGAAAATTTTGAATCATTCTCTGAAATGTGGAAGTGGTTGACGGCCGAGATATCTATGATTGCGAAAAAGATTTTTGTATCAGTCAACACCCCCAAAACTGAACGAGAAAATCAAATTGAAGTAAGTTGATGTTACTATAAACGCTTACATATGAACAATCCTATGTATATTTAACTCTTGTTATAGAAATGTGAATCAACAATAAAAGCCTCAAAATCCTACGTACCTGGAACAGAAGAAGGAGAGTTGGGGGAGTATTCTGGCATAGACAGTAAAAACAATGGAGACAGCACATATCAATCTAAATGGAGTGAAGACTTATCGGATGACAACGATATATTGAAACGAGCCAAAAACATGTCAGCAATGGCGTTTCTAATGTATCAGTTCACCAAAGGAAGCGGTACCTTAAGGACAACACAGGATCTGTTTACACAAGCGGAATATTTTGCCGAGGAAGCAAATCGACTTTACAAAGTTCTCCGGCATTTTTCATACCAAGTATGTATCTATTAAACAAGCAAACATATTTAAGAAAATGCAAAATTTCAAAATATTATAATAATAATAAACAATTTCTTATTAAATTATTTATCATTTAGTATGTATTTCATTACTTATTCATTTTTGTGCTTGTCAGGATCATTGAACTGAGCCAACTAGACATTAATTGTTTTAAATAGTATGACTTTTAATTGAAGTGAGAGCATTTTTTATAAAGAACGCGGTTGTAGACCTTGAGGTAGTGTTTAATATTTATATTAGTATTCATTTTTAGTCGAATTTTATTTTATTTATTTAAAGAATATTCTTTTGAATTAATTTGTCTTACTGTTGGTATATCGAATAAAATCCATTTAAAATTCCTTTTATGATTATTTAAACTAAATAGATTTTTAAATTTTACTTACATTTATTTGTTTCAGGTACCAGCAAGTGACAACAAAAAGGATCTCCTGGGTATATTAGACAGAGTACCGACATTTGTCCAAGCACTCCAATTCACTGTGAAAGATCATACAGTTGGGAAAGCCGCCACTTTTGTTAAGGTCGATCATGTCATTCGGGAAACAAAAAACCTCATGAACGTAATAAATAAAGTAGTTTCTAAGTGCTTTGAGTGTGCAAACAAGGTAAATATATTGATATTCTTATTATTATACAGCTAGAGAGATTTATAAGGCATGTTGGTTGATTTGGGCTCGCTTGTTTTTCGGTCGCGAATATAAATAGTCTTTGATCCCTAAATTATGAACATTGGTCTGATTTGACTATATCGCTATAATAAGATATGAATAATAGTGCAATGGTACGCCATTTATATATTTTTTAAAGATTTTTTATTGTAATGTCTAAGAATTCGGTTAACTCCTTCGTTAGTAATATCGCCAGAAAATTCATTTTTTCAGTATACTACTTGTATACAGTATATTTGATCAATATATATATCAACAGGTTTCATGATATTATAGTTTTAGAAGACTTTATTTTAGTTTGTGTTTTGGGCTTATATTTAATTGTGTGTATTTTAATTATACTATAATGTGTTAAACCAGAAATGGGTGGAAACATCGTAACGAAATCATATCCAGCAACTCAAATTACCGCTATAGGAGCAATACGTAATTTATAATCGAAGGTAAAAGAACCGATTAAATTATGAACATCACTTTTGGCACACTGATTCATTGTTTCAAGTATGCAAGCCAGATGAAAAACAAAACATCAGCATCCCAACATATGCATATATAGTTGTCCAGTCCTAAATATCACAGATCATTTTTAATAATCTAAGTTCAATAATAAGATATGTTGTCTTATTATTAAAAATGTGTATAAGATATGTAAAGCAATGAGGAAAGAGTGAAAACGGTTTTGGGAATAATTTTCAAGGTTCTGATAATTAAAATACAAGTGGTAATGTATTTCGAAAAGTGTTTGTCCTGCCTTTACTTTTTAGTTAATTTTTAAATGCTCTTATAATAATTTCACTTAGTTGAAATACGTACATTTTTTTTTTCAAAAAGGTAAGAAGGTTACGAAGATTACAACTTAGAGAAGTGATTGAATGAAATCAGGCGGAGCGTTTGATAAAAGTTAATGAATAAGTCTTATTGTTCTTATCGTCAAACCTTAATTTCATGCCAATCATATAAATTAAACCAATTGTAATATCCTTTCTATGTGTACCTGTGTCCACGTTATGTATGTGTATATACTTGTATGTATGTATACATGTACGTATAACAGCACTTATAACCATTTTTAAATCATTAAGCAAAACAAAAAAGTTTATATGTACTAGTATGAACCAATATAAAAACATTTATCTTCTATTCTTCCAGTACAAATTAAATTTAACAGGTATCACCGGTGGACTTACATCTGGTTCGGTTCGGGGAGATGATAACGTCGCTGGTGGAATGTGTGACTCCAAGGGCACGACGAGTAGCAGTGAGGGGAGTATGTGACATTACGGGATGGCTCGAAGAGCCAAGGGTGATGCAAGGCGTACAAGAGTATCATTTTTATTATTCTGATTCTATATGTTTTTTGGTTTTGTGTGTGTACCAATAATCAGACTTAATCTTTGTAACATGACATTTTGTGTAAAAAGTATTTTATTAAATTGTAAGAACCTTAAAAATATTAAAACAACAAATGTTATTAATAGAAAAAATCGAATATTTATTACCTTTTTATAAGGGTAAAACCAATGTCGACTTATTTTTTTTTATACATACGGTGAGCAAAAAAGCGTTTTAGGTTAAAAGGGTTTAATTTACTTGTCTGCTTTATGCTTCTTTCCATGCCTAGACCTACACCATTACATTTTTTAAGCAATTTCAAAAACAGCATCCCATCATGTTATAAAAATGTTTGAAATCTTCAGAAATGTTTGTTCATACCATTGAATACTATGGATGCTCCCTTTTGTTTCAAAGAATAAAATATTAAAAAATCCGAACTCTCTCTCAAATGTTTGAATATTGCATTGGATTTGTTTTCTTCTATGAACCGAAAGATTTTATATGTAGAGTAATTCAATGAATTTGTAAACTTGGGATTTACAAGTCCGTTCGTAAATAGCGTTTTTCATGCTTTTTTATGGTCTGTCCTAGAGAAGATGAATCGTGTGGTCGACAGCAAATGGTTTCTTCCACTGTTGATAACTTCGGTGACGATATTGCTGAGAACATGTCGGTTTGTGCAATTGCATTTTTAAAACCTTTGTTATTGGTTTTGAAAAATAATAGGTCCAGAAGAAACAAGATGGCGCAAAAAAATGAGAGCCCGCCAAGTACAAATGCGTAATGCAAAATATCATCAGGTAATTGCTCCACCGTGGATAAAATTAAAAGTCCTGAAAAAGAACAATTACACAATTGTAAGATGTTTAAGATAAAGCGATTGGGATAATTTTTTTTGTTTGATAAATATACATGTGTTTAATTTAACGGAACAATAGTTACCTACTATGGTGAAAAAGAGAACTCCCAAGCAAAGAAATATATTTTCGCAGGTATGATAATTTGCGTTCTTTTGAACAAACCTGAAAGTATTGATTTAAAATATAAATACATAATACAAAGATACATTTTTACATAGGATCAGTATGACGATACGAATCCAAATGGCGACATCCGTCTGTTTGAAACAGCAATCACCAAGGGTGTAGTTGGGGGGAGGGGGGGGGGGCGTGGCAGGGTTGGCCATTACCCCACCCGATCAAAAATTGTGCCATATAAAGTCGACCATACGTCCATTATTATGACGCATTATTTCGCCTTAAAATGGATCTGAGTTGGATTTGTTGAAGTTTTTTCATTGATCATATGCATTAGTTATTTTTTAAATGCGTCATGCATTACTTAATCAAAATTTTAATTAACAGAGACATGGATAATTATACCAACATTATTATGGATATAAATAGATGCTACTTATTTCTTTATTTTTGAATTGTTTGTTATACAAAAATGTACCTTGTAACCAACAAGACTGATGTAATAAAAGTGTATCCCACGAATGTCAATGTGCTGAATTCATCGGCATCTTTCGACCATGCAATTGAGTTTAAAAGAATCCATTCCGTAGAAAATTTCTTGTTTCTTGTATATACCCTTTCAGAATGCTTATCTGATATTTTTTTGGTTATCACAGCGGCCACACACGCTATCTAATAAAAGAAATTACATCACATATTAGATTAAAAATTTGTATGAAAGTTGCAACTCAACGTTTTATATCGTTTACACAATTTATGAAGATAATTTACACAACTATGAAAACTACTCCATAAAAAAGAAGTTGACTTTTTTCCACCACTTTTCATAAATAAAGGTTTATGAAATGCTGGAAATATTTCTCTTACAAATTCATTTTAGTTTAGAATGTGCATATAATTTTAAATGTAACAATTACAATTGACGACCAAATTTAATAAATGTAAGGCTCTTATAAGTTCCTTAGATCAGTCACTCTTCACAATTAGATCAAATTCAAAATTTCGGTAATCAACTAATAAAGAAAAATTTAAAGCACCGTTTTATTTATAAAATATTTGATTTATATCCACAGTTTACAAAAAAATAATATAAATAAGAAAAGAATAAAGGCGTGGTTCGTTAAACTTCTAATTATTAAATGAAAACATTAATAATGCCTAATATTCCTTCAAATGAAACACAGAAATTTTGTCTTAAACTAAATACTTGCAAGTTGGATAATTTTCAAAAGAATACAGATCGCAGTTTTCATTGTGATTTTTAATTGATGAATATAAATTAATTAATATAAAATTTACTGCATTGTGATCACAAAGAAAGACATTTATGTGGGTGGGAATTGGGTTTTGCATGGTCTTTTATATTCAACGCTACACAGGCTGAAAAAAAGTATAAATTTTTATGAGAGATTTAACAGACAACTTGCAATTGCTCATTCACAATAAAATTCATGTTGAATAGTATTTTTAAAGCTTTTTTTGAGTTGAAAGTATAAATGGCAGCTGCATTGTTTTTTTATAGTTTTTTGGATATTAATAATTTGTTAATATAAAGACGGATGGTTTTTTACGCAGTAAGATATCTGACAGTATCATAATTTATCAACATATTTTTTTAGTTTTAATCTTAAAAATATATTAATACGAGGTATGAAAATCTTTAATGTTTGATAAGAAATACTCTCGATTTACTTACTGAAGCTTGTCTTTTTCATAACATATTTGGTTCCTGATGATTAATCATACATATGTAATCAGTTTTCTTTGAGTTTGGCGACCTTTTATTTTCAATCTTTGAAATCTCATATCACTACAACAACATTATTTTATGTCTTAGCAAATCATTTTTATTGAAAATATTTTAGATATTTGTATATAGAACGTATTTAGAGAGATACATTTTATTTAAAAATAGACTAATTTATTTTTATAAAAGTTTCCTCATCAATTAATTTAAATATATCCTCGCGAAATGTTAGCAAATTCTCATTGAAGCAATTACTGCTTTCATTGTGTAATTTGGTCATGACAGGTGGAATGGTTTTTATTTGAGCAGTTTTTGCCAAGTCGTTGAAATAATGCAACTAAAAAAATCAAAAAGATAATTTATTTAATTTGATTAGTGTAATAAGTATTACTAACGAGGCGTACCTGATCGGGGCCGAGCATGTGGGCGTGACGCTTCTTAAGTCCTTTTTTCCAGCGTCTGTTCATTTCAAGATCAGTATCAGCTAGCATCTCCTCTGTAGATGGCAACTTATTATTTCCAGAAAAGTAACTCAATACAAACCGAGCTTGAATGTCCATCATTTGAGCAGCGCAGACATAAAATGGCAAGCCAATTAATGCCATTGATGGGTTCCGTATGTTAATGCAATGTTTGTAAAGTTCCTGTACATAATTATCTTCAACGAATATTCCACAATTCACGCTGAGGAAGGGAAAAGCATATTTATATCCGGTGCAGAAAAATATAGTATCAAATTCTTCGTAAGAGTTATCCGATGTAAAATAGGCACCCTTCTCATCAAATTCTTTCACATCAGACTTTTGGTAGACGTTGTCAAAGAACTTTGTTTTTGATATTCCCTTTAAATGATGACTAAGTGTAACTCGACGAGCGGAATGCGATATTATATTTGCCAGGTCCATCCCACTTGGTCCTGCGCCAATAACCAAAACGGATTGACCTTTTAGAGAGAAATACATAATTAAATCTGTTCAGCTGTTTTAAACCATCTTTTACTCGCCTTTAAATATATCACTGGTTCGAAAATCATGACTATGCAGATAGTTTCCCTTAAAAAGGTGTGCATTGGGAATATTCGCATACATTGGTGTATGGTAATGACCATTTGCTACCATTATCTTGTCAAAATTATGTATTTCAACGTTACTTGTCAAAAGATCTTTCACAATTACCTGAAATTAACCAAATGTTTACCAAAAGTGAATGTGAAACTAATGGATACGCATTCGCATATTACTTACTTGCCACTTTTTCTGCTTATATAAGATTCTAACCACATATGAATTGAACTTTATATACTGTCGTATATTATAGTAATCAGCATACTGGTTCAAAAAATCGCAAATGCTTTGTGAAGGCACATACGATTCTGCGACATCTCCAATTTTAAAATCTGGAAATCCCATTATCTCTTTCGGTAAATTAGACCTAGAATGCGAATTAATTTCTTTGAAATTGAAGAAAAAGCAATAAACAAAATATAATGAAAAACATTGATCTATTATTGATTTATTCGAGACTCGAACTCACATATGTATAGGGTGTATGACTGCACATTTGCATCGGTATTGTGTCTTTGTGCATCAGAAAAAAAACTTGCACTGCGTACACATACTATAAGACATCTTCAGTGCAGAATTTGGTGGCCTAAGCCCTTATACTCTTTGAGATATAGTTGCTTATACGGACTGTCTGACAGACGGATAGACAGACCTAAATCGACTCGTCTTGTCATGCTGATCATGAATATAAATATGCATATACTTCGTATAATCTAAAACGCCGCCTTCTGCCTGTTACATTTTTTATATTGAACAAACATAATAAGTATCCTCGTTACATTTTTTATATTGAACAAACTTAATAAGTATCCTCATGTACCTTTCATCTACAGTGTACAAATATACGACCAATCTAATAATCTACAACTTGAATGTGTGTCATGGATTATGTGCCATTACTTTCGTACGTACATACATACATACTTGTAGATAAGGGGTCTCTGTGTCAAGTACTTCAGAGATAATGTAAATTAATAAAAAAAGCAGCATCTGCGATTGGAAAATATGAGCGCCTTTTAATTTTCTTATAGCTCACCTTAAATTAGCATACATACTGCTATGTACATCGATTCCATTAATTGTTCCAACATTTTCATTATACACCCAGGTGCCTCCGACACAGTTCGAAGCTTCAAATATCGTAGGCTCCAAATCGTGCGCCTTTGCATGACGAGCACAGCAAAGACCCGCCGTACCAGCCCCAATAATGCACACACTAACACCCATTTTTTTAAATTCCAAACAAATTTTGAATTGAAAACGATTTACTTCTAAGTCGTCTCGCCCACTGATTCACAATGAGACGTATGCATATGAGCACTGATTACCTTTCTCTCGTTGCATTTGCAGTTCGAAAAATGTGCATACTGATCTCAGCTGCTACTACATACATACTCGGGATTTAACATACACACATACATATATGCAGAGGAAGATAGTATTACATACTAAAAAAAATGCGAACAAACGAGGGCTGTTTCACCTTGTTCTTGTTTCTACTTATAGGTACGATAGATTCATCCATATACCACAACCGGCTTTTATGGTTAACAGCAACTTACTGACTAAAGGTATCCCCAAAATTTCGTTTTTTTTATCCTGTACCCAAAAAGTATGAAGCGTACATAATGTTTTTCCAAATAAGTAAAAGGAAACATATCTTAATCTTCTTTGCGAGACCAATTGACCAATCCTGAACATCAGTCCGCCAGTCTGGATAAACCCCAGGGTCGCGGAAACAACAACCCAGATGACCAAACTGGGTAAGCAGACTCCTAATTAAACCTCCGCAACGCGAGATTATTTTATTTGTACTATATGTAACCTTTTTTCTATTTTATACCCACAACTCCGCAGCTACAGAAACTTCTTTTTACACCTGATATTTTTATACTTCTCTTTCGGTTAGTACTGAGAAAAGTTCTGAAAGCAAAAGCTCTACGCCGTCGGACTCCCTCGACCGTAACATTCTCTATTGTTTTTGGTTTAATATGTATAATTAATTAATTCTATTAAAACAAAATATTAAAACTATGAATATTACATTTTTTTTCAAATTTATTAATTAAATGCTTTGGTTCCAGTAATTATTCTAATTAATTTTCTATTTAGTTCAAAATCTGCATTATAATCTTTCTTGGATATGTATTTGACTCATTTGAAACTCAATTTATGCCACAAATCATATTGTTTTTTCGGACATATTGCATAGAATTTGTTAGACAAGAGCAATGGAATTATGGAATTCTGTGTACTCGCATCTTTCTTGATCTTGGAGATCCTATAATCGATAAATGTACTAATGCCGCACCATTCGAAAAAGTTAAAAATGATTGACTGACAGCAACAAAAAACAAATCGAATAAGAACATTTTCGATCAAAATTTCTTGAGCTTATAGTTAAGTTGAATATTCATTTTATATTCGACATATTTTAATATCCCTTCCAGGAAGCTACAGCCGTATTGCAATGATTCGCAAATACTTAACATATATAATGTACTTGACCGCTTTTATACAAATTTTGGATTTTTCTCCAAAATGTTTAATTTACTTATCGATACATCAAATGAATACTTCAAATTTTACGCTAAGTCACCCTGTAACTAGTTGAACATATGATGTTTTCATCATAGTATTTGGTCTGCATTGTAGAACAAAAAGGCGCTATTAAAAATATCCAGACACGATGTCGAGGCTCTTACTATCTGCACGAAGATTAATTCCGCAGGTCAGAAGTGTTTATAATGAGTAAATACAAAATATTAAATTTTTCTTACAGCAAGATTTTTTGCTTGCCGGCTCGTGCACAGCCACGCAATCCCGTGGAAAGGCCTCTACCCCCATGAACTCCATTGTTATGTTTGTACCCCAGCAAGAGGTATGTATATACTAATATTGGATAACAACTAGTTTAAACTGAGAGATTAAACATTTTCGCTCGGAGTAGGCGTGGGTAGTGGAGCGTATGGGCCGGTTTCATAGAATCCTTGATCCCGGTTTAAATATATTAGTTCCCGTTATGGATAAAATCAAATATGTACAAAGCTTGAAGGAAATTGCGATAGATGTTCCAAAGCAGAGCGCCATTACATCTGACAACGTCACGCTTAGCATTGACGGTGTGCTTTATCTACGAATCATTGATCCGTACAGAGGTTTGTGCAAATTTCTTCATACGCCTTGAAACAATAATGTCTACCGTTTCATTATTTTTAGCTTCTTATGGCGTGGAAGACCCAGAGTTTGCCATAACTCAACTTGCTCAGACGACAATGCGGTCCGAGCTAGGCAAAATGTCATTAGATAAAGTTTTTCGAGAAAGAGAATCCCTGAACGTAAGCATTGTTGATTCTATAAATAAGGCGAGTGAAGCTTGGGGCATTGCCTGTTTACGATATGAAATAAGAGATATTCGTGTGAGTATATTGGACATTGCGGCAAATCGGCATATCCTAAGTCATATTTATTAGCTTCCTACACGAGTTCACGAGGCAATGCAAATGCAAGTAGAAGCCGAGAGGAGGAAAAGAGCTGCAATCTTAGAGTCCGAAGGTGTTCGTGAAGCGGAAATTAACATCGCAGAAGGCAAACGGAAGTCCAGGATTCTTGCATCTGGTATGTGCTTGCTATATGATATTGGATAGCATTTTATTCTTAAACTTCATTGTGGATCGGTTTGTTATTTTAGAAGCAGAACGGCAAGAGCATATAAACAAGGCAAGCGGTGAGGCTGCTGCTATGATTGCTGTCGCAGATGCTAGGGCTCGTAGCTTGCAAGCAATTGCAAAATCATTGGCACATATCGTAAGTAAAATTTATGTAAACCAAATAGTGTAAGCTACTGGTAGTAATTATATAGTAAAAGTAATAATCCAATAGTAATTATATAATCATAAAATATCCTTATGTGCATATTTTGATTTTCCATAGTATTTAAAAAAAAAAAAATTAAACTAAGAATACTTTGGTCAAGTGCACCGATTTTGTAAATCTATTTTCATATTATTATTATTTTTTTACACAAAAAAAATCTATATGATGACGACTACTATCAATCGAATATTGAGATTGAGTTGTGAGTTAACCATGATTAATACAATTAAGCCCTAACCCTTTATTCACCAGGCTTTAACTGTTGCGATCTTTTTAATTTTATGTATTTACTGAATTGAACGCAAAGTGTGATTTTAAAACACAAATGAACAATGCATAATCTATAGATATATTTCCATGCTCAAGTTCATCGGTATTCGCTGTAATTTGATAATCCCTAATTGTTATTATTTTTCTCTTTTAAATTATAGGATGGGAAAAACGCTGCTTCTTTAACGTTGGCTGAACAATACATCGAAGCATTTAAAAAACTGGCAAAATCAAACAATACCATGATCTTGCCATCAAATCCAGGAGATGTGACCGGATTCGTGGCCCAAGCGCTTGCAGTGTACAATCAGGTCTCCAATTCAGCCCAGCACTCCATCGAGTCTTCGTCCCAAGTGCCCAACTGCTTAGATAATAAAGTCGATTTGATTGAAGAAAAGAAAAGTGCAAAAATGAATGTTGAATAAAATGTGAACAAAAAAGTAGCAGTCACATATTTAACATGAAAAGATTACATTTCTGATTTTTATACTCTACATTAAATGTACAGAAGTATATTAGGTTTGCGGGAGCTGAAAAATGTAACATGCAGAAGGAGGCGTGACAGACCCCACAAAGTATATATATTCTTGATCAGCATGACGAGACGAGTCGATCTAGCCCTGTCTGTCTGTCTGTCCGTCCGTATGAACACCTGGATCTCAGAGACTATAAGAGATAGAGACACCAAATTTTGCACAAAGATGCCTTATGTGTGTATTCAATACAAGTTTGTTTTATTTTTTGGTTACCCCCCCCCCCCCCCCCCCCCCCCCCACTTCCCGATTTTCCATTCGTATAATCGCCTATATCTCGGAGACTATAAGACCTAGGAACACCAAATCTTAGTCCAAGATGCCTTGTGTGAATAAGCAGAAAATGTATATTTTGGAATTTCGCTCCCTCTCCTCCGCAAATTGCGATTTTCTCTAACTCCCGTAATTCTTGGAACTTCGAACTAAAATTTTGGAAATACCCCCAGTTAGTTATTATGTGTCCGTATGCCAAGTTTCACTATGATAGACCGATTTAACAAGAAGTTATAGCCATAAATATATTTGCTGCTGCAGCGTTGCTCAAGCGCTGTCCGCGGCTGTTGATGCTGGTACTTTGGTTGACCTCACACATGTTTACACAGACACGAATAGATGCGCATAGGCATACATACACTCACAGAGACGCAATTGCTATGTAAATGTGCAATTATACACCCTTTACGTGAGTTCGAATACCGAGGAAGGTAAAATATATAATTATTGTAAACATTTGTACAGAGTATTTCAAAGTCGGGACACCCGACTTTAGCTTTTTTACTTGTTTTTTATAGTGTATGTCAGCACAACCAAAAAGTGGCTTAAGAAAATTATAGCTCTGATCAACTTTAAACTTCGTGTATATACTCTAAGAAAGAAAACAAGAGACTGCGTAATATGTTTTTCTAAATGTTCATTGAAACATAGAAGAAATAAATATAATAATGTACGATATGTACATACACCACATACATACATACATATAAATTTACATATGAATTGCACATGTTTATTTCGCGTACTTGGGAGATTCTCAAATGTTGTTCAGCAAGCCGCTGCGAACGCTCGATACTCGACTCTCTGGAACGCGATTGCGACGCTTATTCTTTCTGACCTGCAATATGATTTTCTGTTTCTGATGAAGATTCTCCATGACGATGTGTTTTTGAAGACCTTGGATGGAAACTATTAGAAGACTGTTGAGATCTGGTCACTTTAAGCATTTTAAAATGGTAAACAAAATGTAAGTTCTCTTTTACTAAATTATTTTGCTTAATTGTTGAACAGGATTAACTTATAAAAATGTAATTGAAAAACAAGAAAAGAATGCTAAAGTCGAGCAAGCTCAACTCTTAAATACCCTGTACCTCCCACCAAAAATAAAAAATGAAAAAAAATTTTTTTTTTTTTAATAATTAAAAAAAAGTACATATATTAATTAAATTAAAGACATGTGCATCTACAGTTTCACAGGCATATATTTACATCAGAATCGTGTTATATACGTGTATGTATGCAGCACAAAGTTGAACCCAAGCAGCAACAACAACAACAGCTGCGGTCAGCGCTACCGGCAGAGCTGCAGGCAGCGCATGAGCAGCGATTTTACATATGGCTATAACTTTCTTCAGAATTGACCTATCATGATGAAACTTGGCACACGGACACAAAGGCACTAACTGGATGTAACTACCAAAATTGATTTCAAAATTCTAAGAATTACGTAATTTATGAGAAAAAACACGATTTGCGGGGGAGTGGGGGGTGTATCAGAATAAAAAACTAAACTTGACCTGCCTAGGGCTTATGGGAATCTGGATACCGAGTTTGGTTATTCTAGCTCTTGTACTTTCTGAGATCCTTGCGCTCATACAGACGGACGGACAGACGGACGAACGGACATGGCTATATCGACTCGGCTTGTCACCCTGATCAAGAATATATATACTTTATGGGGTCTGTCACGCCTCCTTCTGTGTGTTACATACATTCGCACAAAACTAGTATAGCCTTTCACCCTTTGGGTAAAGGCTATAATTATAAGAACTACTAATTCACCAAACTGTTTGGATAATTATTGTCATAAATCACCCTGAATAAATGATCCGAGTAATATTTTAAATGACACAATGCCTCGAAGATGATTCTGAATTAACAGCATCCTGTTTAGGAAGTATGTAGGAAATTTTTTTACACTTTGAGTTACATTATTGGAATCACAACGGGCCAAATCATCATTTATAAACTCTGGCTGCCGCACCTATGTACCTACCTCCATTATTGGAGTTTTGGTAAAAATACCTATTTTTTGTGCAAATAATATATAGCCAATGTTATGTGTGGCTTCCCAACAGCGAAAGAATTCTCTAAATCGGTCCAGTAGTTTCAGACCCTATTCAATTCAAACAAACAAATCTTTCCTCTTTATATGCATACTAGCGTCCTGCCCCTACTTGGCACGGTTATTTTTACAAAAACTTTAAAAATTATACATACTACACACCCACTTAACACACATACACCCTTCTTTTTGATATGAGTTACTAAGAAAGAGTAAAATTTATTTTGGATATTATTATTTAATGATTTTTTGTTCGTTTTTAGATTTTTATAGCCTGTACCCAAAGGGTGAAAGGCTATACTAGTTTAGTGCGCATGTATGTAACACACAGAAGGAGGCGTGACAGACCCCACAAAGTATATATATTCTTGATCAGGGTGACAAGCCGAGTCGATATAGCCATGTCCGTTCGTCCGTCTGTCCGTCCGTCTGTATGAGCGCAAGGATCTCAGGAAGTACAAGAGCTAGAATAACCAAACTTGGTATCGAGGTTCCCCTAAATCCTAGGCAGGTCAAGTTTATTTTTTTATTCTGATACACCCCCCCCCCCCCCTCCCACTCCACCGCAATTCCTGTTTTTTTATAAATTCCGTAATTCTTGGAATTTTGAAATTTGGTAGGTACATCCAGCTAGTACTAATGTGTCCGTGTGCCAAGTTTCATCATGATAGGTCAATTGTGAAGAAAGTTATAGCCATAAATAAAATCGCTGCTCATGCGCTGCATACATACACACATATAAACACGAATAGGCACGCGATATAAATGTATGCTGTTCAAACTGAACAAAAACATGCCTTCTAATTTACTTTAATTACTTAATTAATTAATTCTTTTTTTTAATAATTTAATTTTCTTTAAATTTTTTTTTCTAATTTTCCTTTTTTGTGGAAAGTACAGCCTATTTCACTGTCGGACTTGCCCGACTGTTTAATGTTCTATTTTGTGGTAGCAAAATAAATTGATTTTCAGGATCTCCGACGCGTGATAGGTCAACGTACAGTAAAACATTTCTTTCGTATGTCGATCCCTACTAATTCGAAGGCTTGGCCTTGGGACTACCGGAAATTGAAGCCATATAAATGACGAAATGGGAACATCGGTATCCTCGTTATATGAGCTAGTTGACCAGTTGCTGGTCGTTGATTATAGTTGCTACACTTAAATTGTCCTGCAATTCCTTAATAAGCAGCCTCGTCCCATTGCACATGCTTGGAAGGCATTTATTTCTCAAAAGCATGATTGCAATTCCGAATGTTATCGTCAATTCATGTGGCGACAGTACAGAAGGGTTTGCGAATTTAAATGTCTTCGATATTAATCACGGTGTCGATCGATTTTTAATTTTTTATTTGGCTTGGGGCTTTTTTATAATTTTAATTTAATATTTAAAGTGACAATGTTTTGAGGATGATTATGAACTAACAGCATGCTATTCACGAATTTTATAAGGTATTTTTTTTGCACCTTTGGTTACATTAATTGTAAGGATTCCATTCTTTTTTGCAAATATAATATAGCCCATGTTCACCGTCGATAGTGTAGCTTCCCAACAGAATCCATGAAAGAATTTAAATCGGTCCAGTAGATTCGAAGCCTTTTCAATTCAAATAAACAAACAATCAAATCTTTCCTCTTTATAATATTAGTATAGAAGTATTGATATACATACATACTTGTATGTACATACATATATTGGGTGTGCTTTACTACACAACATTTTAGCAGGCATTAAGTACTTTGTGGGCATTTCACATTCCAAAATATAATTTTCTTCTTGTGGACAATCATCCTATTCTCTATTAAATAGTGCTGCCAGTTCATATTGATGAAATAATATGAACAATTTTCTGAATCATACTAAATTCGCGAAGAGTATGCAAACAATAAATAATTGAAATAAAAACAATGCAGTTTTAGGTTAGACCAATTACAGATACACATAAATGTGAAATTTTATTAAAATCGGTTCAGTAGTTTCGGAGTCTATCAATGACAAATGTTGGGACAGGGGATTTTCATATAAATAATAAATTATCCCCTTACTTCATACATACGTTAATGACAATCCATACATCGTACATATGTACATATTTATTGCACTATACGCCCTAGATATTTGGCAATTCTTTTAGAAACTTGAGCACAATGTCTGAAGAGAAATAGTATATCTATATACATATGTATGTATAATTGTCGATGGAAATAAATAAATAAAAATTGATGTATGTATGTATATATGTATATTCGCTATAGACTCCGAAACCGCTCAAACGATATATATAGATCAAATTTTGTGACAATATTTAAAATAGTCCCGTGAATCGTGGTGATTGTTCAAGCGTTTTCTGCCTTTCTATTGCGCATTTTGCATTTGTTTGACAGTCACATTTTACTCTGTTTGTCAGTGCTTCATTCATAAATAAATAAAATTGTAAATTCAAATTCAAAAAAATGCCACAAAAAAGCATTTTTTCGTAAAAGAAACCACACAAAAAAGAGCAGCTGAAATCACGTTTGCAAGATCTTCGCGTAAGGGCATCTAAAAAAAGGGCATCCATAAAAGTAGTATTTTCTCTACGCTTCTCAAACAAAGCACCAAAAGCATATTTTAAATTTATATACACTTTTCGGTACTTTACTTAAAAGAAAAGCACTTCTTATGGAAAGGACCTAATCGAAGCCATAAAAAGCGAAGGTGTTGGGAAAGATGTTTCGTCGGAAAGCTTAAAAAGCAATACGATTCAGAGGAGCAGCAACGCAGGCCGGAAACGCTAGTAGTAAATAAATATAATTTTAGGCAAACATACTTAAAAGACAAAGACATGCAATTCTTCCTAGTATACCTATGAACATATGTACATACATATATCTTAGTCTGTTTCAATCACTGCTTCTTCCACATTCTTAGAGCAATAGTGTGGACGAACACAGATAATATCCCATATCCCACATATATGAAATGATGATTTAAAAATTGTTTGTTTATTCTTAAAGAAAAAAAAGATATGTAAAGTTATAGCATTATGTTGTAAGTCCCAGTATAGTTATTGCTGCGGCGCAGACGAAGATTACTTTTGAGTTTGTTTTGGCGGTAGCATTCATTCATTCAATTTGTAATGAATTTAATAGGTGTAAGCGCTAATTTCGTGAAGTTCATGACATAACCTAATGCCATTTATAAAATGTTCTGCATTTTTTACCAACGTTTACCAACTTTAAGAATTTTCAATATGTCACACACGTTGAGTACTTAAGGTTCAATTCACAAGCCTTCAGTTATAGTAACAGCTGTTAAGAATGGGAGGGCCTAGACAGATGATTCCATCGAAGAAAATAAATTTCTACTAAGGCATTTGACAACTATACATACATATGTACATACATAAGTGCTAGACCGACTTCGTGTTAAGCGAGAGCAAGATGTATGTATATCTTGTTTAAGGCATAAACAAAAAAAAACCTGGTTTCTTTACAATTTATTACTAAAACAATAACGGAGAACACGTATAGCCCATATTTTAATGGGTTTTTATTCTAGTGCTAATAATTTGATAGTATAAAAGTCGGCCCCAAGTTATATCCTGGCTACGCCAATGGCAACACGCATTTAAGATAGAAACTAAAATCTAATTAAACAATTGCAATATGCGCTTTTTCATAATGAAAAAGATTATAAATAAGAAACATAATAATTATTATTTCTTGGCTACTAAAATAACTTAAATGCCTATTTAATAAAGAATATGCGTTATTAGATAACGCTTTCTATTGATATTTATCAAATTGTGTTGACGTTATCAGCCGGATCGCTAAATACTAAAAGCTTTTACAATGCGCATTATATTATCAAACAACATAAACAATTACTCAAATGGGAGTAAGGCTGCAACAAATGTGAACATATGCATGGTTTGAAAGTACATATGTTTACACAAATCTTGAACAAACCACTCCTTGTTTGTTTGTAGGAGTATTTACCACAAATTATTAGAAATATGGTGCAAGTGACGCATTAAAAACGAAAAGGAACAAGCAATTCAAACGTACATAGCGGGTGTCCTGTCTCTCGTTTCACCCACAGTCAAACGTTACATTCCTATATTGAGGGGGGTCACCCTGTATGGGTCAGCAGTAAGGAATTAAGTATAAAAGAAACAGCATTCCGACAAGCGCCCGCAGTCTTTTCCACATTTAACAGAGTGCTGGTATCGTCGAGGTGTTGTTTAATTTTGATAGAAATATGAATTTTCTAATAGTGCTGGTGCTCATAGCAACATTTTCTAATATTATCGGTGGGACCCCAACGCCGGTAAGTAAAAACATATTAACATGAATATTCCTATATTCCTAAAAGCTCGATATTTCTACAAAATGTTTAGTGTTTATTTTTTTCTGTTTTGTTGTTTTGTTTAAATTGAAACTGATCCCAATATTCTGAAAAAACGGGGAACCGATTTGAGCTTGAATTAAAAAAAAAGTTCATATTTTTCTTCCAACTTGATTTGGTATATTCATTGTTTTTTAAGTGGTTTATTGTATTTTTTGACTATTTTATTTTTAATTTCTCCTTTTGAATTCTTGTTTGTTGTTGCTAAGTTCGACACGGTTCTTGATTACTTTGTGCCGTGACTTAGGAGAAAGAAAAAAATGTAATCCCTAAAAGTCGGATTCCAAAATATATGTGTATATTCTTTTTTATTTAACCTTTTTAAGTGTTAGTTTATAATTACTTTTTCTTACTTCGGCATCCTTCTTTGTCGACAAAATAAATAATTATTTTCTTGAACAATTACTAATCACCTTAATTTGCATGCTTATATTTTTCAGACCATTGCTAATGATGAGTTAATGGATGGAAAATATTTATGTGAAGGTAAACATTTGTATTTAATAATTTAAATGCTGGATATAAGATTGTATCATAAACTTGCAAATTAAAATTTAAAAAATTCTATCTAATTTACAATATCAGACATTTTACGTATTTGCACGAACTAGTCTTTGTAATAATTGACAAAATACGGTGTACGTTCAAAAGTTTTCAAAATCAATACATTTAAATTTTGCAGAGAATCCGAGCAATCAAATACTATGAACGTGCACGGTATGCGCTTCATAAGTGTATAAATGTTAAATTTGTTTTTTTATTGACAATCCTTTTTAATTCAAATAGGCCTTTCAGCTCTAAGGTTTTATGACAATACCTACAACAATCTCAACAATGGTTATGTTAAGACAGAGATTACCAGCACATCAGCTTTTCTTAACGAGTTTTACAATATGTTTCTGAAGACTTTGAGCATGTTTAGGCAGTCTCTAGGAAGAAAGCTAACTACTAACAGAATTCCCGAAGAAATAGCAGCAATTTTTGCTAAACGAAACTTAGACAGCATTGCAGGAGGTCATCTAATTAAAAGGACTCAGGACAACAAATCAATGACCGACTAAATATGGAAAGCGAATGGCGACAGCATCCTTCAAATGTTATATCATAGTCCTAAGTCAAGCGTATTTTATTCATAGATACTTTTAATTTGTAAATAAAAGCTATCAATATTAACTGTTTCATAGCCAAATTATGCTATATCTGATCAAAATGCTTTATATGTATCTACTTATGTACATATGTATGTATATACACATATTTTAAAGGAAAATAAGAAATCAACTATAATTTTATGTCTGTGGCGGTGTGGGGAAAATCAAAAATGATTTTTTGTGGGATAGAGTATATTTTAGTGTATCCCTTTCACAATATGATTTATTTTTGGAATGATCGTGATTACGTCAGTGAGAGATGTGTGGAAGACACACGAAAGAGTACAATATATATTAAGTATAATTATAAAACTGTAATCCACTCCCAGGATGTATATTTTCTGTGCAGATGTGGAGCAATATTTTTGTATATATTATAGAATTTAAAATGAATTTAACCTAAAATGAAGAAAAGATTCGCACCAAGGTAATACTACATCTGATTTAGTTACTTAAAGCCTTCGACTCAATATGGATGTGTACCATGCCAAGCTCTATTGGTTGAGACGGTTCCAAGAACTGCACCACTTACTATAGTATGCTAAAGGAACAGTACATTTTAGATTTTGAGCAGAAATGGGTCGCCAATAGTGGGAACCTCGAAGTACTTATTCAAGATAACGTACTATTGGTCAATATCGCAATCGTGGAGTCTCAAGAGGCAGTGTTGTATTTTTCCATTCAGACACATACATCTAAACTGTAAAGTTTACAAAAGAATGTGGAACTAATAGAGAGTACTGTTCGCTTTTTAGCGCTTTCGATATTTTTGCGGTTCCGGTTGTATGTAGAGCGAATTACAAAATTATGAGCGATGTCAAGAATATTGGCGATTATTGTATATTTCAAATAGTACAACATTTTAAAACATCATTTATGTATATCAATAATACACATATTCTCTAAATATGTAGAAATTGACCAGATACGTTATTTGAAATTCGATTTGCTAATACAGAAAGTTTAAAAATTGTGATTTTCTTATTTTGTTTGCTAAGCCGGCTTTAAAAAATTTGATGGACCCTTCATCGTGAGGTAAGCATTAAAAATCCATTTATATTAACTTCTTCTTTATTGATCTAACATTTGAACTCTTATTAAACCATATCTCATGGCGATTCGCCCTCTAACACCCCAAAAGCTATTTCCTTTCGAAATCAGAACGACTACAATACCAGTTTCATTTTACCTAATCATCTAATTATACTTATACTATTTAATACGCATATAAAAACACATTACAAGATTCTTGGTAATATATTAGTAAGAAATTATCTTCCAGAATGATTTCAATTACAAACGGACAAACACTTGGATGCTTTTTATGTGGTCAACCCGATCCCAAAACGCAGTATCATCTGAAGCGCTGTATGGACACTCTTATACCTGGAAAAAGTACTCCAAGTCATCGTAGTGATATAATGCCGGTACTAATAAGAATGGACCCTACTAACAATAAGGATATATGGAGTAGTAAAATTAAGAAAAATTTTGATGAAATCGACAAGGCTTCTGCAAGTTTTAGCATTCTTAATCAACTTGTATAGTAAACGGATAGTAAAAGAAAAGAAACTCGAACATGTAATTAAATAAGAATACTCCAACAGAAGCGCTTCATGTCAAGGGAATATTTAAATAAACTAATTAGATACTCGTATGTGATGATATTGATTCGATAAATAAAAACAATTTAAATTGTTATTAACTTGTTTATTTAGTTTAATCTTCTTTAATGTTTGAGTTTTGTGAAAGGTCATACCAGATCTAAATGCAGCGAATTTTTGTTTTTCTTTTAATCGAGGGACTATTTAAATACAAATTACATTTGATAATTATATTTAAAACAGTAATTCATTAATATATTTCTTTATTTTATTTAGTTGCATTACGACGATAGGGATAACCTATAACAATTCATATTGACGAAGGTGCATCCTTTGAATAATGTCTCTACAATCATTAAAAACTCTTTTTATGTTCTCCGTATCAACGGCGCATGTGAAATGTGGATAGCAGTAGTGTTTACCATCTCCACTAGCAGTTGATATACGCTGTAAGAATAAACAAACAAAATATATATAGAACCATATTTAAGGCATATAATTTACCAAAAACTCGTCTCGTATGAAATATTTTGCTCTAATTACTTCTGGGTCATCATTGGATTCCATTATTGCGTCACCTATGCGGAAAGAAGTTTCAGAATTATTTAAATTTTTGCTTTTTATAAATGGTAGGAAAAGGTTTAAAAAATATCATGACATCATTATTGATACCATATTTCAATTTTGTAATGCCCAAATAATAAGATTTTAATGAATTGATTTTTTTTTAAGGTTTTAATTATTTAAGTCCACATTTACATTAGAAAAACTTCTCAAAATATTGTTTTATTAGTATTTTGAAAACGAACGAACCATATTATTAGTGCTCAACTTAAAATGAAAAAAACGACCAATTTTAGAATTAAAATTATTGCAGACTAAAGATTTTTTAATCGATTTATATTTACATATTAAATATACTTACTTGGCGTTTGGTATTTGTTAAACTCGGAGAAATATTCCGACAGTTTACTTTTTCCAGCCTTAATTTTCTCTGCTAACAAATCTTGCTTATTGAGAAATAGTATGATAGAAATCGTGCGAAGCCATCTAAAAGAAGAAAGCAATTTTAAAACGAACCAGGTTTATTTAGAGTTTTAGCCAGATTCTTAAAATAGTTTATTACCTGTTATTCCAAATACTTTTGAATAAATCCAAGGATTCCCGAAGCCGATTTTGAGTAGGGTCCTCACGCAAGACCATATTATAACTTGAGCATGCTGTTACAAATATAATAGCAGTTACGTCATTGAAACATTGAATCCATTTCCTGCGCTCGTCTCGCTGTCCTCCCACATCAAACATACTAGAAATAGGTTTAACATTAGACATTTTATTTTGAAACAAAAAGTTAATTCATCTTACTGAAAGTTTACTTTGTCCACCTGGAATCTTGTCTCAAATATTCCAGAAGTCAAAACACGGCACCGTAATATATCTTGCTCATTTGGTGTATAGTTAGGGTTCTTAATTGTGCTCACTCGATCCAAGAAGCTTAAAGTTTGTAATCAAAACGAAATATAAAGACAAAATCGTTAGTAGCTTTTCTTAAATTACAATCATAAGAAAAGAATCTCAATTTGGCTCGCACTACTTAAAATATCTTGAATCAAAAATGATGGGTGCGACCAAGCTATACAAGTAAATGTAATACTAAGATATCTACATATATATACTCTGAAATATAGTGGAACTTTTATAACACTCTTTATGTCAATAGTAATTATTAACTTTTTTATCTAAAGCAAGCTTATAGAGTAGCTCATAATCAAGCTGAGTTTAAATGTGCGTTTCTGAATCAAACCTTTTCATATCTTTAAGACAGGATTACAATTCGAGTACAAACGTCTTTTTGAAGGCAGTTTCATATTAACTGATTGCTCTGTAAAAATCAACAGAATTGATTGACTAGGATTGTTAGATTTTTGCCTATTTGATCCAAAATTCAAATTTGTAGTCATTGATTGTTATAAAGTATATTGTATTATTTATTTGATAAACTCGCAATCAAATTTATCATTTTCAAATTATTTTCCCTTCTTTACCTTCAATTGTAAGATTTTTTCCCGTTTCGCTGCCTCTGGGAAACCCACAACCCTAGTAATATGAAGAAAGTTTAACGAATATATAATTACCATCTAATAATAAAGTAAATACTTAAATTGCTCTTGAAATCATTTTGGTAACTTTACGACTCATTTTCTTCGTTGGAAAGATGTGAGATTTATATCCTTGTTTTTATAATAAATTCATATCGCTTTGCAGCTTAATATTTGAAGACTTAACAGCATCACTACCGATCTAAATATGTCATTGTTAAACAAAAATTAAAATAAAAGAATTTTTTCATTCAGATGTCTGTTTATCCTCTCAGGAAGACATAACAACTTATTAGCTTTGTTCAGCTTAATTGAAATAATAGACAAAACTTATCATTTTTTGTTGCTGAAGAATTTGCAGACCTTCGGATTTATATAGGGGAACGAAACTTACTATTTTGCACAGTCAATTAATTGATATTCATTTGACCTCTCATAGGTTTGAAGAACTCCCTTATCTTTCCATAGTTCTTCTGTGTGTTCATAAAATTCAGGAGGATAGTTAAAGTCCGGACCTAAAAAGTAAAAATATGTTAGTTACTACTGCACTTTGCATTACTATTTTATTTTAATTTTACATTTAATTTGATTCAAACAATTGATTGAATTAATTTTTTCCAAAAAAATACATATTAAAACATATAAAATGTTACTTTGTCAATCAATTGGTATTCTTACTTGAAGCATAATCCTGAATATATTCCACCCTGGGTTCATTTTCTTTCTTTTCTAAAGCTACAGGTGGATTAAGTGTGCTCATTGCTCCAGTAATAGTCTGAAATGAATAATGGATATCGTAGATAATTGGAATTATCAGAATATTAATATATATAGGTGAGATCTGTAACAAATACATACCAATATAGCGTCTCGAATATTTTTTTTAATATCATCAATTTTCTGTTTCTTTTCTTGTTCAGAAAATCCATCGACATGCAATATTCGCATCTGTTTGACTATTGTTGATTTGCCCGATTCACCCGCCCCCAATAGAAGCAGCCTGTGTGTAGCTCTATAGAGCTGTTTATCTTTCTGCAATTGCCTAGATATTGCATCGCTTCTGCGCTTCTGGCTTTTCGAGTCCTCCGAATTCACATCTGACTGCTTCGAGGTTGGAGACCCAAAACAACCCATAGCAGTCCAAGGAGTCCACCAGCACGTCGCTCGATTTTCTTGGTTGGCGTCGGGTGACTCGGCGCCCCTATTGTTTTCTCCGTTTTGCTCCACTTTAGCTGAGTTTTCGGAATTGATATACAATTTCTATATGTAAGTCAACCCTTCCAATCTCAGCGATAGGGTCTTTTATTGATACAGCCGAAGTTGATGGTTGTAGTTAAGCCTACAATAAAACACAAAAATGTTCACAACTGTTACTGGTAAACGCATTACAATATTATTTAACAATATATATGTACAATTGTAGCTCCCAAAGTTGAACAACGATATTATTTCTAAATGTTCAATTTCTAATATAAAAGGTGACTGCAATATAAAATTTTAAAACAAACCTCTAAGAACATACTGCACGTTTAGGCGTACTAATACACAAAATTTGCAAGTATCCGCCTCTTTCAACCACCAATTTGATTGTACTCTGACTAAAATATTTAATATTTGTGGCAGGTGCAAGCGATTCAACATCCTTTATATACCAAATAATTGGGCGATGTCATTTTGTGCCTGAAATCATATTTAGCTTCCAAATACTGGAAAACCTCTTAGCGTTCAGTTCTGATTAGGATCAGCAATTTAGTTTCGCCTGAAATTACTAAAATAATTAACATTATCTCCATAAATATATACTTGAAAAATTGAGTCAAGTAAAATATGAGGGCATATTAGAAGACGTGTGAAAATTCAGGAAAATATGAAATCATACAATGTTCCCATGCATCAGAATGTAATTCCTAGTAATGTAGATTCATTTAGGTTTCCTCAGTTCCATTACTAGCACTATATTTATACTTTCTATATTTGTAATCTTATTTAAAAGTTTTTATTCTGAAGGTGGATACGACTAAAACAGTCTTTCATGTTCCTATTATGTGATTTTTTTTTTAGTTTTTAGTACCTCTGCTTCAAATTAAGTAAAATAAAATGTTTGCCTTTGGTTCTAATAATATTTATATTTGTTAATTTCTTATTCCTTTTTCCAATACGAATATGTTGCATGTTTTTAATGCAATGCGAGTAAGGGTTAAAAACAAAACAAATGTGTATATTTCATTTCCATTCTGTAAATGTATTTTATGTAGGTATACCAACTATGTATGTGAAAAGTAATTCTTATTTCCATTTTCTTATTCCAACCCAAATGCGGACGCCAGAATAGTTAAATTCGTTGTATGTATGTACATACCCATTTCAAATTCTTGATGGCAAAAACACAATGGAATGCAGATTTTGTTACTCTTAAGCCTCAACGCATATTAGTGTAACAGGTGAAGAAATGGGTGGGTGGTAATTTGCGCACGCATACATATGTACATACATACGCTTTCTACAGATACCAACACACAAGTTCTCCGTAAAGCCAGTATGCAATAAAAACACTTATTAGTGTATACACCTTCAGCTTATATCAGATCATAGTTATATATTTCTACAATACATAATATTTATTTATTTAATTAAATGTTTCCATTGAATTGAACCAGGCAAATATATTATTCGTCATTTTGAAATCTATCAATTATGCAAATTTGTTCCTACCAGAAATACTTTTACTAACAAGTCGTTTGTATATATACATTTTATACGCAATAATATATATAAATATATATACATATAAAACATATCCATAATGTATGTACATATATAAAATTATATGTACACACCGTTGTGTGTCCCACACACTCACACTCATGCATGATTTTTTGCGTGTATGTATGTATATACATAGATATGTATATGTACATACATATATAAATGATGACAAAAATTGCCACAGAAATTGATCTTTTTCGCTAAAAATTTATGTGCAGATAATATAAAGATTATATTTTTTATACTCTGACATAATAATATTATTTTCTCTGATGTGCGAACGATTTTCCTTTTGTGGGGGAAGTCGGATTCGTCAGGATGGTGGTATCAGACGGAGCTCTCAGCATATACACAAAATTTTGAAAATTGTTGATAAGATTGATTGTTCCCGGTCTTTTTTTCGTTTATCACAAAGCACATAATACACATAAATAAACCAAGTTTTACCAATTTGAAACTTGAAACATGAATGGCAAATATACATACATATCTCTGGAGAAAAATCAGATGGGCAGCGTAGAAAAACTTGATAAACACAGGCCCTGCCTATTTTTAGCACCACTCCTTTTTAATGCATTTTTTTTATAATATTGTTGTCGATAGATTTATTTACTGGGATAATTTTTAAAATGGTCTTCAGCATAAAAAACCAATATGTATATATAACTTGTATACGTTTTGGCAAAGGTTTCGCACGGCACAAACGCACACACACCGATATGGAAAACCACTATTTGATGAGAAAAACGTGTATTCAACACAATTGTTCATTCTATATTCACAACACTACAATTTCAACTTACCTTACACAATAATATTTGTTGGAATTTATATTTTAAAAGTACAACTCAATTTGTTAATTGCCTCGATTCAACGCATTTCACATAAAATTCATTTTGTATGGATATGACATTTCGGCCCACCGATACTGAGTATGAGAGCCTCAAGTATCGGGTTCATTTCTAATATTTCGATATGTTAAATATTATAATTTACTTCATCTGTCAAAAATGGCCGTCCTTACAACTTTTAATATTTCCTAAAAAAACATATATAATATTGTTATATGAAGATAGGTATATATAGGAGAAAACAAAGCGATATGTATAACCACAACATAGAGGTGGTGTAACAATTGTTATCGAGTATATTTTACAGAATAGGACAACCTTGAAAATAAGTTGCTTTATACATACACATGTACACATTTGTATATGTATGTATGTTTACTACTATAAAAAATATAATGTAAAATAAACTGAAACACGTTACCGTCAGCCGGTCTTCTCAAAGATCAGCCGTTCCAAAAAGTACTTACATATTTAACTTTAAAGAATATTAGTCTTTCTGAGAAACTCTAAATAATGTACATATCTATGTTTTTATAGAGCTAAAACTGTCGTATCCGTACAAGAAACAAAGCTTTTCACGAGCGCATTTTGTAAGCTCCGATCACTTAGATTTTTTTTCTATAATTTCCCTTAAGTTCTCCTGAGGGGCATAAAAGAACATATGTACATATGTACATGCATTTGTATGTACATTCCTATGCACAAATACATATGAAAAATAACAACAAATTCGTAGATACATATGCGTATAAACTTTTCTATGTTTGTACACGTATGTACATATATTCATACATACATGTGTAGATAGGGTTCATTATAGATATTTGAGCATCTACAATATTCCCATTCCGAAGCATTTTCTTATCAGAGTACATACGATGTTGTTTCTAAACTATTATTTATAGATAACTCTATAAAATTCATTTGCATGGAATTTATTGACAGAACTGATTTCTTTTTTTTATCCAAACGATAAAACCCACGAAAAAATGTTATAAAAAATTTAAGAGATCAAATATGATACAAATTTACTTAAAATAACTTTTGATTAATTTTTCCAACTTTACTGTGTCTACAGCAAATTTCCTAATGCCTTCGGAAAGTTTATCAGTAGCCATAGTGTCTTCGTTCAGCATCCAGCGGAATGTACACTCATCAACATCAATTTTCTCAATATCCTGTAGTTTTGCATTTCTCTCCGTCAATAATGGATCCACTGAATCTGTTTCGTTTTCCAATTCCTTTAGCAGTGTTGGGCTGATTGTCAACAAATCGCAGCCCGCCAAAGCTTTAATTTCTCCAGTATTTCTAAACGATGCTCCCATTACTAAGGTCTTATAGCCGAATTTCTTGTAGTAGTTATATATGCTTGTTACCGAAATCACACCAGGATCATTTAAAGGCTCAAATTTCTTTGTATCGGTGTTGGCCACAAACCAATCCAAAATTCTACCAACAAATGGCGATATTAAGGTGACACCTGCTTCTGCGCATGCTACCGCCTGCGCAAACGAAAACAACAGTGTTAAGTTGCAATGCACACAGTGTTCTTTTTCCAGAATTTCGGCAGCTTTTATGCCCTCCCATGTTGAAGCGAGTTTAATCAAAATGCGATCCTTTGGGATACCCTGAGATTGATACAAGCCAATCAACTTCAATGCCTTATCCACACTCTTCTTTGTATCGAAAGACAAACGGGCGTCTATTTCGGTTGATACTCTTCCCGGGACTATTTTCAAAATTTCACACCCAAACAAGACACATAAATAATCCATAGCTTCCGCGACTTGATCATCCAAAGATCTAAAATTTGGAAATAAAATATATCAAAATGGTGCATATTTCATTAAATATTTCATAAAAATTTAATATTTGAAAATATCATCATGTCCTAATTTAATATCTAAAACAAAACTTTAAAAGCTATATATGTATGTATATGTATGTATGCATATTTGAATCATATATCATACCCCTTTTGCTTTTTTCCATAATCAACTGCACTCTGGACCAAGTGTTGGTAGCGCTCCATCGTGGACGCGGATAAGATGAGGGAAGGATTGGTGGTTGCATCGGTAGGTTTGTAAATGTTAATTGCTTTAAAAAAAAAGTTCTATTTATTATGCATTTTGCGTGTGGGGTTGAATCAACTGAAACTAAGCAGGCCTGGTCAAAGTCAAATTAAAGTCGACTTAACTTTTATTTGATCTTGATAAACTTTACAGCACCTTTCTACGCATATACGTACATATGCACGTACATTATGTTAGTAGAACTCAAATAAGCCGGTTACACCTCTCCAAATTAACGTACATACATACATATGTATGTATGTACATACGCACAAATAAAACGACATGTTACGGTTGTTCACGTGGACTTTAAAAGACCCACAAGCTTTAAGCTTTGCTAGACACATTTTTATGTGTTATTTTAATTTCATAGGTGATGGAAATGTTACTATTTTAACAAAGCTATGGCTTTTCCTACCTTCAAAATCTCCAGTGTCAGCAACAATTGTTGTAACCTGTTTAAGTTGTTCCAAAGCCGACATTTTTCGCTTTTTTGACTGATCGCTACTGCACCCGCAATCCATTGTCCCGGACTTAAATATGAAAAGGTTCTTAAAAATGTGTGCAGGCCGGCTATGAGTGACCCATCTATCGAATTATTCGATAACTATTCTGTACAAAGAGCCAACTGTTTTCTCGGATAGATTCTCGATTCGTATTCTATATCTAATGGATTTTGTGACACTAGATTAAAACCTGACATTTTCCATAAAAATAAAAAAAAATACTTTTAAATTAATAAAGTGTCGTCAAAGGTACAACCTGCTTGAAACGCAAAAGTTTTATTTGTTTTGTTGGATTTTAGTATATATTGCCACATTTCACAATCCTTAGTTCCATAAAAAAAATGCATGTGTTTCCATAAGTTGATTATTTATAACAACGTATCCAATCACTTATGAACATCTTGAAATAAAGGTGCAAGAATACCAGTTTCAACATTTAGTGGCAACGCTACCCATTCGTTCATCTTAGATACGTGAATCAAATCTATCGGACCATAATAATCGGTGCAAACACATGTTCAGGAACTTGATTGTTTATAAGTCGTAGAAATACAAAACATGCGGGGAAAGTTAAAGAAAGGTCTTAAACGACCAAATAATAATCACAAAATCGGTGCCATGTCTCGAAATGACAGATTTCCTAAAAATAATAGGTTCATTCAGAGAAGCAAACAAATGGAGGATTTACATAGAAAGGAACACCAATTGCGGAGAACTGTCGTTCATGATTCTGTGTTAGAGGTCGATGAATCCTTGTTGCCAAATATACCAGATGAGACAGGATTCTATGAAAAACTAGTGCTAGAGTACAATCACATAGGTAACAGAGAATAATTTTTTAATTCATATTGAATATATAAATATTTTTTTCAGGCCCTACACTCAGCGGTAGCCATTCCACCTCGAATGTTAAAGAACACAAAAACGTTGATAATTCATCAAAACTGGTTGGCGAGAGGGACGAAAAAAAATGTCTGGATGAGCAAAAAAATTCGCTTAACATAGATGTCTACAAATCATTCACAAGACATTTTAATATGGAACTAACTTCAGAAGATATTGAAAATCTAATAACAAAGGAAGGAAATTCAACTGATTGTCATTGGGAAGGATTAGGAAATTTAAAAATAGATTTTCCTAATTTAAATCTAGATTCGAACATAATAGCAGATTTTGGCAAAAATCAACCTCCAAAGATAGTGCAAGTAGCCGATATTCAGCATTTGGAAGTAAAGACGTCAATATGTGGTCATATGGAATTCCCGCTCACTCAGTTACAGTCGGAACTCTTCAATATATTGACCCGTTACATAGATATTTATTACCCTTACCGATCACATTGTAATGCTGAAGAGATACGTTATATATATTGCATTCATATGCTAAATCACTTGTTAAAGAGCAGATCGATCATTCTGCGTAACAACGAAAAAGTAGCAGCGCTGGCAAAGAGTTCAAAATTGCCGCCAAGTGAAATTTCAATACCAGAAATCTATCGAGATCAAGGACTAAAGCGAATGAAGGCCCTTATCATTGTGCCTTTCCGAGAATCGGCGCTAAAAACAGTTAACATATTAACTCAGTTGTTATTTGGAGCGGAAGCAGGTAATTTTGTTGGCTACTTTTGAATCAATTTGTGTTACAAATATATATATAATTATTTTTTTTTTAGAAATTAATAAGAAAAATGGCAAGATTGCAAAATATGAGCGCTTTGTTGAAGATTATTCGGGTAACACGATGTATTTTCCGAAAACAAATCCAAAACCCCTTGATTATGAGCGAACATTCAGCGGCAACACAGATGACAACTTTAAAATGGGCATCCGATTCACTAAAAAATCCATATCCTTATTTGCTGATCTGAACTCATCCGACATATTAATAGCTTCTCCTTTGGCTCTGCGAATGCTTATAAACGATAAGGACCAAGATTATGATTTTTTAAACTCAATCGAACTATTAATCATCGATCAAGCTGAACTCTTTCTAGCACAAAATTGGGAAAATCTATTATTCACTCTTGACCATCTTCACATGCAACCACAAAAATTTCCTGACACAAATTGCCAACGCGTTCGAACATGGTGCCTGAATGGGTCATCAAGATTTTACCGCCAAACTCTTCTGTTCTGTTCACATGATCTTCCAGAGTTTCGAGCAGTTCTCAGCAATAAGTGCCACAATTTCGAAGGTAAAATACGCTTCACCAATATGGTTGATCATGGTGATATACGTAACGTGCTGACACCAATTCAGCAAGTATTTCGACGCGTCAACTGCAGCACTGTTGAAAGCATTTTTGAAGATCGGTTTCAGTACTTCGTCAATGAGATACTGCCGCAATTTACTGGACCCAACCACTCTCATTGTATGTTGTACGTTCCAAGCTATTTTGACTACGTACGATTACGAAACCATTTTAAAAAAGAAATGATTAGTTTTGTGCAAATAAGTGAATACACAAAAAAGGAAAAAGTCTCTCGAGCTAGAGACATATTTTTCCACAGCGGTGCACCATTTTTGCTTTACTCAGAACGTGCGCATTTTTTCCGACGTACTCGCATAAAAGGAATCCGCCACCTAATCATGTACCAGCCACCTAATTTTCCTAATTTTTATTCTGAGCTAATCAATTTAATGCTTGAATCCAATCAGAACCCCAGAGATGGTCTGAGGGACTCTATGAGCGTCACCATACTCTATACCACATATGATCTTCTCAGCTTAGGTAACATCGTCGGTAGTGAAAATGCAGTGCGCTTAGCAAAAGGGAATAAAAATTCTTACCTTTTCTCCACTAATCAGTAAAAATATGACTATATTTTGAAAAAAAAAAATAGTATTTAAAATTTTAAATACATAGTAAATATTAACAAATTGTTGTTCTGAAAGAAAATAATAAATTAAGTGGAATTAACTATATAAATAGGAATTTGTTGTAATTGCTCATTGCCGATGGCACAGTATTCTAATAAGGAAAATTTGGGAGTTGTTGAGTTTTCTTATATCTATTGATAAATAAATACATTAGCAAGAGATGAAGTGTGATTATATAAGATTAATTGCTGGATATTACCGAGAACACTTGCTAGCCTCAAAATCCAATTGCAGTCATCCGAAACAACATTATCAATAGGACAACAACCAAAATTAAAAATAAATTATGTAAAGCTACTACCATTGACCAGTATTGAGAGGTTCGCACACTCGCTTGTCAGTTATTTGGGTAAAATGCGCCAGCGTCATTGTCTGTAGACAGACATTTATACATATATGTAGTTTATAGGTATGTATGTATTTGTAGGTATGTATGTATTGTTAAACTGCCAAAACTTTTAGAAAATATGTCTGTATGTACTTATGTCCTCAAACTAAAGCCCAAATTCTATTTTTGTTTGTACATACACTAAAACAAACGGTACACTGAACAAAATTTTTGGATTTTCAAATGCTACCTTATTCTTTTCAATTTCTTTCCATTTACAATATATGCTGCTACATTGTTTTAGTATTTATACAACAATTTTTATTTAATTTCTTCTCTATTATCTATTTAGTCTTTGTAAGTACGAATTTTCAATAACCGTAAATAAGTCAAAATTTACAATTTTATATATACTATATGCACATAAATAAATTATTTATGTGTATGTACATACATATATATGTTCATAATATTAATAATCTGTGTTTCCCTATTAAAAGCCACAAAGTAGTAGCGTTAAGGAGTAATGGAAAACTTTATTCATCTAATTGTAATTGTTCCATGTAGCCGATTCTTTAAATTTTAATACAGATATTGTGGATAATATGGAACTAGCAAAACATATGTCGTCTTCAGTATTTTATTATAGAAAATTCATAAAAATAATGCCGCATTTACAATTACCAAATGGACAATAACCTTGACCACTATACTCTACCGAAAAAAATATTCATACATACAAGCTTATTCGTCCTAGAATTTCTGTACCTTATATATGTATATAGTTTGCCTGCATGTTTTTTTATGCCCACGTCCTTGGGGAAAAACAACAGACATCAAATAATTTTTTTTCCAAACTCTATCTAACGACTTTACAGAACTATTTTTACCCTACGCAGCTGCATCTTTCGCGGTCTCTACCGACCTGCAAGCTTTTTTAAAACATATGCATATATACATATATATAACATAAAGCGAAACACAAGAAAAGTTATTTTTGATAAGCCGAAGGTTGCATACTCTGAAAAATATAGTTAAATTCCTATTATTATTTGACTTGAAAGTGGTTTAAGCTATTATTTTATGTCATTTTAAAAGTGTCGGCCCAGATTCGCGTATTGGCTTGAATATACAAAATATATGAATTTACCTGAAATTTGCAACGTAATTACCAATCCTAATTTTTATATATTGTGTTGCCAAACGTTATCGCCTAGTGGGAAACCATTAAACAAAAAACGAAAAAAAAACGGTACAGAATAGAATGATAGTATTTTCCGAATATTAAACATACACACGTGCATTTAAAAATGGACAGATTTTGCCCGTACATTTACATATACAATACACCGTCTATATGTTGGGTACAAACACACATACATATATACAAATACATTATATGTATCTAAAATGAATAGCGGTGCGCAATATATCGTTGCTCTGTCAGAACACGAGCGTAAGAACCAACGTGGTAAGTGCTCAAAAGCTTGTGCGTGCTAAAAGTATTTTCCCGGGCCAAAACAGAGAGTGTATGTAGTTCTGGGAATTTTGCCAAAATATACGAATTTTGTAATTCAAATAGACACTCTCATCATGCAGAATTCTCCTTGCGTTCAGTTGCCGTTGATCGTTATAATAGCGCGATCTTTGTGTTAGCTCTTAGTGTTCTGGCTAAAACAAAATATTATATAATAACGAAATTTTTATTTAAAATAAAAATTGTAAGTTTTGTTCCAACAATTTCAATAAAATAATTTCAAAAATCTGTAGTGGACTCCCATGTAAAAAAAAACCAACCGCTCTAGAAATATACCAAATAAAAAATATATCGTGTCAAAACAAGTACAAATATGCAATAAATAGCTACGTACATATGTATATATTTGTATTTAAAAGTTTGTGTTTTTGAGAAAGTGATTGAAAATAAAGTTTAAAACCCCCGAATTGACTGATGCCTAATTGAAAACTCCACGGATGCCATAAATATACAGATGTGCACCATAAAAAACATCATACAATTCTATTATAAGTCGCAGAAATACATATACATATAAAACAACCTCGACCCCTCCTCGTCATATTCAAATGTTTTGAATGTCACCAATACACTTTTATACATACATTCATGTACATATATAAAATCAAATTTATATTTTTGGTGTGTGTGTTTTTTGAAATTAGAATGGTTATGCAATATTATTATATATACATATGTATGTACCTTGATTTCTAGCTAAACTGCAACTGGGTTGGGGTAAATGTTCAGATATTAATGCGTTTTAAAATAATGCTATATGTACTTAAAAGTACATTGGTGAAAACCCCTCTCTAAAATTTCCCAACCTATCCTTATATAATGATACTAATTGTACATAATTGGATTATCGTTACGAATATTTTTGCATTTATGAAAGTACAAAGATGAACATACATAAATATACATATATAATGTATAAATATTTTTTATTTTTGAAGATTTTAAAAAATATAATTTTGAAAATATATGTTATGAATAATTTTAAATATATGTATATATCTGTGTAATTTAGCATAATTTTTTCTTACGTTTTTCTTTTTATTATACCTTATCGCACATTCCCAGGTACCCATCAAACACACATAAGAATTATACACATATGAATGTATATATATAGGAATTTATATTTGTATGGAGACGTATGCCAACACACGCTCGTATCTTCATATTAAAGTACCTTGATATACATAGGCATGTCACCTTTAAAATTGCTCACTGACCAAAATTATACAATATGCCATCTGAATTCTTCCGCCAACTGTCGTTTTGGTGTTCTACATACATATGTATGCTAAATGTTTAATACACACACATAAATACAGAGATATTCCGACGTCTATCAATATCCATATATACTTATATACGTAGAATTCCTATACATATGCATGTATGTATGTTTGTATGGCTAGAAGCTACAGAACTATTTTTAGCCGATTTCGGCCAGGCACGCTCTTTTTGCCTCCATAATGCATACGGATTTTAACATATATACGTACATATGTGTATGTACAAAGATGTATTTACATTTTGTATACATTCTTACAGATGTTGGACATGCATATGTTGAGGTCGCTTATATGCTTTTACCTTGAATGAATACTATAAATTGGAAATTATTGATAGGAGACTAATTTTTAAATAATATGTACATTGGACCTTAATTTGAATACTCATTCCAGTAGTTTTTAATGCTATGAAAAGCGTTTTTAAATACAAAATAAAGCAGGAATATACATATCTATATAAAAAATTTGATTATAACACACATTTCCATCGTATAAATAAATAATTAATTAATTAGTTTTTGTATCCACGTAATTTTTTACTAAAGATTTGTAGTAATTTTAAGTTTGTTCAACCAGCCAACATATCACAAAATTCTCCGGGCCATTTCCAAGTTCATAAAACACTAAATTTGCTATCACATTTTCAAACCGTTATGTGATTTGAGACTATTTTATCCACGTTGTTAACGAAAAAATGAGCAGAGCAGAGTTGAACATTTAATCGTTTGGAAATAACGGCTTGATACCTTCGGTTTTTTAAACCAGCTATTCACGATAAGGGAAATTTTCAATCGATATACATTATATTAGCTTATCAGCAACACTGCAGCCGATAGTTGCATGTCATAGTTGCTCCTAATAACGCCGATGGATTATAGTAATGAACGGCCAGAGACTTCGTGCAATATCAGAGCACACATAGATTTGGAACAAAAAAAAAAGCGCCATGGCGTATAATATGTTTTAATTTCAGTGAAAATTAAGTACTTAATACGCAGTGCGTTCGTACGTTTTGAATGGTTGGCAAGGAAGCTATAATAACGAATCGAATTACGGTTTGGCGTCATTCGCAAATATTGCCGCTTTTGAACAAAAGTGACACGTGTGTGAATCTCATAAGTCAGTCAACGTTGCGAAGATTAAAAGGGCTCTAGTGGTAAAGAAATCGTTCTACAGTAACTGACGAACAGATCGAAATACATACATATGGAGGCAAATAGGCACACATGACCGATTAACTGCATGCATACATATGTATATGCACATACATTGCTTAATTTTATACATACACTTGTAGATACATACTGAGTACATAAAAATACATTTTTCTAAATATTCATACATATATAATAAGACAATGCAAACTACACTTCAACCATAAAGCAAAATAAATATGTAAATCCATAAATCACATTAGATATTCTAGTCAACACTCATGTGTACTATTCTATTGAAATCAAGTAATATACAAATGTACGAACGTTTTTTTGTCTTCATTCAGGCTACCTGAACGCAGGAGATAACAGTTGAAAATGGAAGACGGTCACTCGAAAACCGTCGAACAAACTCTGAACTTCTTCGGCACGGACGGCGAGCGCGGTCTAAGTGTCAATCAGATCAAGGAGAACCAGAAGAAATATGGACCAAATGGTAATTGTCGAGCATTTAGCTTATTAAAATAAATTCTTGTAATCATAGTCGTCACTAACCAATCCTTTGTTCTTTCTTTTTTTCAGAACTGCCAACCGAAGAAGGTGCGCATTTATCATCTAGTCATGCTTCTTAATCGTACACGTGTATATATATATATATAATAATCAATTTCGTTTCTTTGTGCAGGAAAGAGTATTTGGCAACTAGTTTTAGAGCAGTTTGATGATCTTCTTGTTAAGATTTTGCTATTGGCCGCCATCATTTCATTTGTAAGTTTATCAACGAACTTAGTCTGTATCTTTTTGTTCAATTGGGTCATAGTTAGTAATACCCAGAAAATGATTTTGCCGACGTGGTCGACTTCAGCACATTAATGTCTGTCCAAATCGAACATTCTACTTCCATTCTCTTAATACCATTTGAATGTTTTAAGTTAAAATTACGCTTTTCTTTTTTTTTAGGTTTTAGCGCTATTTGAAGAACATGAAGATACTTTCACAGCATTTGTAGAACCCTTAGTCATTTTACTCATTCTGATAGCAAATGCAGTGGTTGGTGTTTGGCAAGAGCGTAATGCTGAGTCAGCCATTGAGGCCCTTAAAGAATACGAGCCCGAGATGGGTAAAGTAGTGCGCCAAGACAAATCTGGCATCCAAAAAGTCAGAGCGAAAGAGATTGTGCCTGGCGATTTGGTTGAGGTGTCAGTTGGCGACAAGATTCCAGCTGATATTCGCATTACCCATATCTATTCGACTACTCTTAGAATTGATCAGTCTATTCTCACCGGCGAGTCAGTGTCCGTTATTAAGCACACGGACGCTATTCCAGATCCTAGAGCTGTCAATCAAGACAAGAAGAATATTTTGTTCTCTGGTACAAATGTGGCCGCTGGCAAAGCTCGCGGTGTTGTAATTGGCACTGGACTTAACACTGCTATTGGTAAAATTCGTACTGAAATGTCTGAGACTGAAGAGATCAAAACGCCATTGCAACAGAAATTGGATGAATTCGGTGAGCAACTATCCAAGGTGATTTCCATTATTTGCGTTGCTGTCTGGGCTATTAACATTGGACACTTCAACGACCCCGCCCACGGTGGCTCTTGGATTAAGGGCGCCATTTACTACTTTAAAATTGCTGTGGCACTTGCCGTCGCTGCTATTCCCGAGGGTCTCCCCGCTGTCATTACAACTTGTTTGGCTTTGGGTACTCGCCGCATGGCTAAGAAAAATGCTATTGTGCGTTCCCTGCCATCTGTAGAGACCCTTGGTTGCACTTCAGTTATTTGCTCTGATAAAACTGGCACACTAACTACTAATCAGATGTCCGTTTCGCGCATGTTCATCTTCGATAAGGTGGAAGGTAATGACAGCAGCTTTTTGGAATTCGAGTTGACTGGCTCAACTTATGAACCAATTGGCGAGTTGTTCCTCAATGGTCAGAGAGTGAAGGCCAGCGATTACGACACGTTGCAGGAATTGGCTACAATTTGCATTATGTGCAACGACTCGGCTATTGATTACAACGAATTTAAGCAAGCTTTCGAAAAGGTTGGCGAAGCTACCGAGACTGCTCTAATTGTTTTGGCTGAGAAACTGAACCCGTTCAATGTGAATAAATCTGGTTTGGATCGCCGTTCTGCTGCTATTGCTATTCGCGGAGAAATCGAAACTAAGTGGAAGAAGGAATTCACCCTTGAGTTCTCCCGCGATCGTAAATCCATGTCGTCCTACTGCACACCACTTAAAGCATCTCGCTTGGGCACGGGACCAAAGTTGTTTGTCAAAGGCGCCCCCGAAGGTGTTTTGGATCGTTGCACGCATGCCCGTGTAGGTACTTCAAAGGTGCCACTAACTTCTGCGCTTAAGAGCAAGATTTTGACCCTCACTGGCCAATATGGTACCGGTCGTGACACACTTCGTTGCTTGGCTCTTGCTGTTGCTGATAGCCCTGTTCGTCCCGAAGATATGGACCTGGGCGACTCTAATAAATTCCACCAGTATGAAGTTAATCTAACATGGGTTGGCGTTGTTGGCATGTTAGATCCACCTCGCAAAGAAGTTTTTGACTCAATTGTTCGCTGCCGTGCAGCTGGAATACGCGTTATTGTAATTACTGGCGACAACAAGGCCACAGCTGAGGCTATCTGCCGTCGCATTGGCGTGTTCACAGAAGATGAAGATACAACTGGCAAATCATATTCTGGACGCGAATTCGATGATTTATCACCAGCAGAACAGAAGTCTGCCTGTGCCAGAGCTCGTTTATTCTCACGTGTGGAGCCACAGCATAAATCGAAGATCGTTGAATATTTGCAAGGCATGAATGAAATTTCTGCTATGACAGGTGATGGTGTCAATGATGCTCCAGCCTTAAAGAAAGCCGAAATTGGTATTGCTATGGGTTCTGGTACTGCCGTAGCCAAATCTGCTGCTGAAATGGTCTTGGCTGATGACAACTTTTCATCCATTGTGTCTGCTGTTGAAGAAGGTCGCGCTATTTACAACAACATGAAGCAATTCATTCGTTACCTCATTTCCTCCAATATTGGTGAAGTCGTTTCAATCTTTTTGACTGCTGCCCTTGGCCTGCCCGAAGCTTTGATTCCTGTCCAGCTCTTGTGGGTTAACTTAGTAAGTGCCGCTCTTTACTCAACATTCTATTCAGATTTTGTATTTATGCTACTTCTATTCTTCTACAGGTTACTGATGGTTTGCCAGCTACAGCTCTTGGCTTCAATCCACCAGACTTGGATATTATGGAAAAACCACCAAGGAAAGCCGATGAAGGTCTTATTTCCGGATGGCTATTCTTCCGGTTAGTAAACGTTTGTCAATCTCTTAGAGAGCGCCATATATTTACATTTTCTTTTTGGTTTAGTTATATGGCAATCGGTTTCTATGTCGGTGCAGCAACTGTTGGCGCAGCAGCTTGGTGGTTCTTGTTCTCTGCTGAGGGTCCAAATCTAACATACTGGCAACTCACTCATCATTTGTCTTGCTTGGGCGGTGGTGATGAATTCAAGGGCGTCGATTGTAAAATCTTCAGCGATCCGCATGCAATGACAATGGCTCTGTCTGTACTTGTCACTATTGAGATGTTGAATGCCATGAACAGGTAAAATAATATAAATGCTTGTGCTTTCAACTTAACTATAGTATATACGTGTGAAAATTTTCTTTATGAAGCTTGTCTGAAAATCAGTCATTGATAACAATGCCTCCATGGTGCAACTTTTGGCTGATTGGTTCCATGGCACTTTCATTCACTCTTCACTTTGTTATTCTTTACGTCGATGTCCTCTCTGTAAGTATATACAAAAACCATCGAAAATTAAAATATCACATAACTATAATAAACATAATTTCTGTAGACTGTCTTCCAAGTGACACCGTTGTCTCCAGAGGAATGGATAACTGTGATGAAATTCTCAATTCCTGTAGTTTTATTAGATGAAACATTGAAGTTTGTTGCTAGAAAAATCGCAGATGGTGAGAGTCCTATATATAAGATGCATGGGATTGTGTTAATGTGGGCTGTCTTCTTTGGCCTACTGTACGCTATGATGCTTTAAGAATATAATCGTAATCATTAAGCCAAACTTCATTTATTCTAATTACTAGTATAAAGTGTTACTAAATATAAACAGAAAAATAATAATAATTCTAACAAAACCACTTAAACCACTACTCTACAAGCTTTTGTTCCCGAATATCACTAATGTGCACTCAGAGTATCAGAAAAGTTTACATTCGATGATACACTGATACAGATCGAATAATTTTCCCATAGCTTTGAACAACCGCGCTTAACGATCAAACTTAATGACCTTATATATAATTTAATACGTTTAGATTATTTTTAAATAATTCTTTTCGACTAAGTTTATTAAATTTGCTTACTGTAAATATGATGCTCTAGCTAGGGTTAGGTACAAAAATAATTTAATTCTGAGATTTCAGTTCGAGTTAGTAAAATTTTTAAATTGGAAATAATTATGTATGGGATCATAATCAAGAAAGTCACATGTTATTAAATATTTATGAGTCAAATTAACATTTTTATCAGTAATTTAAAAGCTGATTGCCTTTTTCGACAGCAAATTTATTGACATAGGTATTTTGTTTCAAATAACGAGTGTGTCTGTATAACGTAAAAAATATGTATTGGTTTTTTTAGTTGCGTGCGTCCCTTTAATGAATGCAATAAAATCATAAATCCCCTTTTAAAACCGAAAGGAAATGCATTCCGTAGATATAAAAGTAAAAGTACATTAATTTTCAGTGCGATATCTCACATAAGGAGTCAACAAAAATATCAGCACAAGTTGTGTAAAATAGAACTGAAACGTTATACTTAAAAAGATACAATTAGTGCATTTAAATTTGGTTGGAGCATGTAATTACAGCTGGTTCTAGAACCGTATCATTTCTCCGTTTCTTATTTTGTTCGTTTTAATTTTTAAAAAATAGTTGTTTTAGGGGGATTTGGAAAATAGAGTACCAGTTTTTAAGAATGCTGTATTATGGTATATTTTCTTCTAAAAGTAAGAATTCTAGCATTTCTAGAGAATATATATTTAAATTAAAATATACGTACATTACATTTGAATATTGTTATGAAATCAGAAACGCTGTGAATTTAATAAACTTACTACAAATAACATTAATACAAACAAATTATGCAAACTAAACCGGAATGACCGCTATTACCCCAAAACCCATTGAATGAGCAGTGGTAGCCGAGATGCGCGATAAAGGATTGGCTTTTTTGTTTAATCGTTTGATTTTTAGCCGCTGTGATGCTGTGCTGATGAGTTACAAATACGGCGATCGAAGCATATATAATAAATTATTTTAAATTAATAATTGTATTTTATTTTACACAGTAAATCCCCGATTTCATTAATTGGATGACACCTGAATAATTTACCATAAAGTTAAATTGAATCCATCCCTGCTTTAGAAAAGTATGTGCAGTTATTATATTATGTTAAGAGCGTGCGCCCAATTCAATGCGATTGCGAGACAACCGTCGCTGTACATTATGGTCTACTATTAAATATTGACCCTCACAAACAAAAACGAATGAATTACATAATTGAAATTCAGCATGTAAGATACCAAAAACAAAAAAACCGAAATATACAAGAAATTCGAATTGTTTTCCTTCATTTATAACCATTTCCATACCACTCTTAAACAGTCCGCTCCTATTAATGTAGAGAAAGCTCTGCAGCATTTTGATGGTTCCTGTAAGATTGTAAGTTGCTTTTCCTGATCCAATGCCTGGTAATCCCTGATGTCCAGCCATACGCTACCATTATAGTTTGGATTGCAAACGCTTTGATTGCCTTATTTAAAAGTTTTGGAAATAATCGAATTATTCATATCTATGTGTACGCACATATACATAGTTCCTGACGTCGTCGTCGACAAGTGGTAATGTCCACCCAACCAAATGTGGCAATGAGTGTGAATGACAGACTATTCTACCTTCATCGATCGTCGATCGTATGTTTATCGCTGAGCCAGCCCTGTTACTTGCAACTACAACTATAAATCCAACATAAAACATAATATATACGAAATAAATTATTTATTTGCCTTAGAAAGTAAATTCTTAACGGATGAATATCTTAAACTGTGGGTTAGTAAGAACGGATTAAATAAATATGTACCAAACAAGTTTTCAAAAATTATTATTTAAATAACTACTTCTATTATTTATGATAACCGTTGAAAAGAACAATTGACTAAGCAAAGTGCCTTGACAAAAATGGGCAAATAAATTACTATTTATAATATTGCAGCCTCACAAATATACGTGTATATAATTTCCTAATTTCCGCTTTACTAATTTCCAAAAAAGCAATTTTTACCATGTTCATTACTATTTATATTTGTATCTATTGTAGATCAGTCAGTTTTATTGAAAAAGTTTAGCATTTCAAACCTACAAAAACGTTTTAAAATTCTTTTTATGATGAATACGAACTTAAAACCAACAATGCAGAAGTTGTTGGATTTAAGACGGAGGAAGAGCCCATAATGAAGCCGTTTTGTCCGCTGATGTTGAAACAAATGAAAATTCTGTGGGGTGCCATCTAACCGTGATGGCTTTGTCTTTATGCTCGGCTACCACCACAGAAGATAGCTCGTGTGCAAGATCTCCCTGAAGATCAGTTAGTTTGATAGTGTTGTCATAGCTACAAGTGAGCATATAGTAAGCAGAAGGTGAGAAGCGCACAGATCTGAAAAAGACGGGATTTAGAAAAAGACATCAAAATAAAGTTCATTTCAAACTCTTAACTAATGGATAGTACAAAAAGTAATATAATTTCTTAAATTGTAATAATTGCTACGATATAACAGATATACCTTATTTCGGCTCCGTGTGGATGAAAGCGCTGTATGGGTCTATCTCCACGTATGTCGTATAGAACACACGAGCTATCTGAATGCCCAGAAACTAGAAGTCTTCCGGTCGGATCTACCGTTACAGCTGTTACGGCTGCACCATCCTTCCGATCATGCTCCAATGTGTTGACAGATACATTAACTCGAAGGTCCCAGAATCGAATAGTTTGATCCTATATGCAAATACATTATAAGATTGGTCAGTTCGAGGTACCTGTAGAACATACCTGCGATCCTGATACAAACATTGCACTATTCCAACTGAACAGTGATAGAATATGTCCTGTGTGGCCACTGTAAGCCTGAAAAGGCGTGCCTGTAGCACAGTCCGTGATATATATTTTACAATTGCCAGCTCCGCCACTCACTAGAAGTCTCGACTTAGTGGACATCTCGTCAAGGAAGCACATGTCGCGCACAGTTCCGTCGTGCATGGTAAGTTCAACTTCATGGCCAACTAGTTGGTTGGTGTCGTTGTTGAACTTCATATATTTAATTGTTTTGTCATTTGATCCTGTCGCAATGAGCTCCCCATCCCCAGACCAACTTGTGCAATATATTGATCCTCTGTGGTGCTTTGTTCGTTTGCATAACACTGATGGAGGATACGCTTGATGACCTTGTCTAAAAAATTCGATGAACTACAATTACAACAGCACATATAAAATTAGATCATCACCACCACCTCAGCTTGGATAGTTGGGGATATTGACAAATTCGAAATGTTTTCGAATTGGAGCCCACGGCATAAAGCTTTCCATCAGGATGAAAGTCCACACTTCGAATCGCCTGCGAGTCGTACAATGTGGTAACAGCGACAAAATGTGGCCGATCTACATCAACCTAACAGTGGACAAAATATATGTTAATAATATTCTAATGAAATCACACCTGTGTCTGAACAATGTTAGAACTGCCTGCGTGTACCAACATTTATTTAACTGATTGGAACTCACCTGACTCAAATCTATGTTTTTTACTTCGGTATTCATTAAAATTAGATTGGAAAATGTTGATATTTTAAATAAAAACAAAAATAATAAAGAAATATAGAAAATGTGAGTAAACAATTTCACCTAAATAAAATAAATGCTACGCAACGGGTAATAACCCATACGACTCTAATATTTATTTCCAGTTATGGGAAACGGTCACGACGGCAACTTCGGCAACAGTGTTGAAAAGTTCGTTGCATTTTTACGGAGCAATTAAAAGACTAGAGTTTAAACATTGAATTGCTAATAACTGGACTAGAGAAAGTTATTACGCATTTTTCTTTCCTCTACTCACATGCTTACCGTACATAAATACATTTCAATGTGGAAGAGAAATACACATTTAAATATTGTTACAATTTTTGATATTTTATTTACGTAAAAATAAAATATATGGACATATGATTGAATATAACAAATCAATAATAACTTCCTTTTAAAAATTTGATTGATTCTTAAACTTGTCTAGTGTTGCGAACTCTTATAAAAACAGAGCGATTAATGCTCTTAAGAGTAAATTGTTATAACTTCTCGACCTCCTCCACGAACCATTAATACTTTTTCAAGGCCTTCTGTTAAAACCTCCAAGAATTCCATATCTAATTAAATTAAAAGACAGAAATTATTTAAATTAATAAATACACAATAGGCTTATGAAGGGACCTACAATTGCGTTCACGCTCTGCTCGCACATCTCTTGGTGGTCCGGGTAAATTCATTATGACCAACTGGGCATCTTGTGATTTCTCTACTATAACTTCGTTTAGTTTTATTGCTGTGTGCATGCGACGTACATTAAACTCATCCCTATAATACGAAATATGTTGAATATACATACATATACTTGTTAAATACCCTGCATTAGGAACTTACGGCTTCGCACTGGATTTAAAGTTGCCATCAGATTTTTCTGTGGATTCATCCTTATTAGAAACAGTTTCAGTGGCGTCTGTGCTCTCAGGTCCATCTGAATCTATTGAATTACGTTTCTCCCCATTCGGAGCATCCTAAAATAATCCGAATCAGAAAACTCAATATCACATCTTCAATTGACATATGTATGTATAATAAGACTTACTTGATTTTGAACTTCTTCAATGGTTGGGTCTGCAAATCGAACCTTTGATGCTGTTCTGGTTGCGTCATAATGGTGGTCAACAATTGTTTGAACCTAAAAGTATTTGTGAAGCATATATGAGATACATAATATATATAGGTGCGTAACACTTTGCAATAATTAGCTAACATGAAAGTCACATTCATTTGGATATATAAAAACATTTATTTAGGCGTGAAACTAACTAGCATATGAAAGTTTTTAATAATGAACAAAAAATGCAAACAAACTCCTAATTGTTCAGGGAACAACCTATTTTATTACAGCTCATTCAATAATAATTTTTTACTATAAATTGTTATTTGAAAATTTGTATATACACGTATACACAATAGGTCACAGTTATTTATGTACTATACAAAATATTTGTCTGTAAATAAATTGGTCAACATATGTTAAATTGTTTTATTTCTGATTCTCATTGAAACTGACATCTGAATTATAAAAGAAATGATCATTGAATGGACTGTAAATTTACAAACAAACAATTAAAAAGGAACATTTATGCATCTTCAAGCATTTATTGAGGGTAGATAATAATTGTTTTGTTATTGGTTAGATTTATAATAATATTTATAAATATATTTTCACTATTTCGTATGGGTACTATATTCTCGGTCATTTAATAATTTTATATGCATAGTTTCCCAAATTTTGAAAAACAACAGCTCAACAAAAAGTATACTAAGTATATTATAGTCCAGGGTTAATAATGCAAGTCCCTATGTAAACGTATGTATTTTAGAAAAAACAATTATATGAACGAATCTAATTTCATTTTGAAAACAAATTAAATATAAAGAGGTGCACATATATTTTTTACAGATACATAGTATAGTATGTAAGTAAATGAAAAACTAAAAGGGAATAATTGTGAAGCACACATAGAATGATTCACATATTATGAGTTAAGTACATATGTACTCTATTATAGATATGTATGTAGGCGCACAACTCCTTGTTTTTGAATGAAATGATGATTAACTTAAGTCACATTTATTATTTAGTATGTAAGTGAAAACAGTCGTATGCATATGTATATAAATATTTATAGTTCTGTATAGATTCTTTACCAAAGATAATTTATTATCACTGGGAGTTTCCTTAAAATCCATTATAGTTTGAACCTTTTAATTTTCAAATATACAAAGTGTAAACGTTTAATTTTGATCTTATAATTAATTATATTCATTATATTCTTAGCAAAAAACATTCGTATGCTAAGAATATAAAAAAGAAAAAACATTATCCACCATACGATGATCTCACAAAAAACTTGATTAAATCAGAAAATACTAATCTGATATCCTAACCGTTAGAAGTATGATAGAATTAATATATTGTTTGAGTAACAAAATTATACTGTTAAGCGGTAGTTTCAAAATCGGACACGATTAATAAACAGTGAACAACGAATGTTGCTTTGACAAACAAAAATATTAATAATATTTGTTAGTTCATGTACAGAAAAAATCATATACTACAATCAATCCATAAGGCAGGCTACTTACCACTTTGGAGTTCTCCTTCTTATTTAAGCCTAGTGCTCTTAGCATTTGATTGCGCTGTTCCATCATAAGTGTTCTCTCATAGGTATAGGCCGAAATGTCGCTGTTATTCTAATAAGCAAGAATTATGTATTGAAATGTAAGAAACCAATAATCTTTCTATATAGTGAGTACATTCAACGAATGCTTACCATTTCAACTACTTCAACGTCGGCTTCAATTCTCAAATGATACAAAAATGTCTTCAAATCTTTCTTCATTTGAATTGAGTTGTCTTCAATCTGGGCAACTGTGAAGATTCGTAGCTTACAGTTGCGCCAGGTGCGATGTTGTTTTAGCAAGAAGGGCAACAACATTAACAATCCACCATCGTGCACAATCCACCAGATATCTATATTTCCACCAATCTAGATGATCAAATCAAAATCACTTTAATGACTATCCTCATTAATGTAGTGCTGAACTTACTTTATGGCTAGACTCCGGATAAAAATTGATTCCTTTTGGAACCATTAGGGCCATGTGACAAGCTGTAACGGTTCGAACCGTCTGTATGAACGTTTTCCAACTGTTCCGGCCCTCCTGTCTCCAGCTATATGGCCAGCCAACAATGACAGTGTTTGGTTTCATACCGCCCAAGCCGATTGTTTGAATGCTGCAATAAGTGTAAAAATGTCTCCCTTACGAAAGTCCTTTCAGAGTAATTCCTTTTCAAAAGTACTCACACTGAGCTCAGTCCTTCACCAATTTCCTGAGCAACTAATACATCACAGAATCCTTTTACCTTCTCATCGGTCATATATTTTCGTAATGTCGTTTTTGCATCGACTGCTTTATTCGGGATTCTGGTGTGATCACCTTTTATCACAGACACACAAATTGTGAGTCCCTTGCCCGCTTTGAGTTGGGTGGCAAAGGAAAATATTTTCCTATACTTTGGCAGCAGGTTGTCATTGAGTTTAGAGAGCACCAAAATTTGCGGACGCCAATTTTTGGTATGCGGTGGGCCTTCCTCAAGACGCAAAAGTGAATATCTAGCTGCAGTGAGAGCCATGCCTCGAATGCCATCGCCCCACTCCTTCTCAGCTCTAAAAACCAAAAAATACCAATCATATTAAGCAGGCTGATGAAATAAATAAGAGTTAAAACCTACCCTCGATATTCTATATATTTATAGATTATAATCGCCATTCCCATTGCAATTAGTGCAAAATACCAAGATGTCATTATCATAACAGATAAGCACAATGTAAGGCCGATCAAGGATAAGCTCCAATGGTAGAACTTAAATCGGGGTCTCCAATTCGGAGTGCGCAGCAATGTTTGTACGGCGCAGGCCAAATTTACAAAACCGTAACACATAAGGAAAAACATAGAGAGCAATGGAGCAAGCAAATCGACGTTGCCTGAAAATTTGAATTATTTTTTTTTTATACATATTTATTTTATTTATATTTTAATCTTATTTCCCTTTTGAAACATACCTAGAAGAATTCCACATTGACAAATTACAATAGTCAAGAGAAGAGCTCTGGTGGGTTCTCCCCGGTTAGATGACTTGGCAAATGGCGCCAGGAATGGTATTATTTCATCTCTAGCGATAGCTTGTAGCAAACGAGGTGCTCCAGTTAAGCTTTGCAGTCCAGCGCCCAGTGTTGAGAGAAACGAACCTATCAGTATAACCCATTGGTTGGGCCATGCTATATTTGCCACGACCAATTTTCCACCAATTGATTGTCCAAACCTTGAAAGAGATTTTGGATTATAATGCAACTGGCGCTAAAAATATGTTTTTTGCTTTAAGCACAAACTTTTACAGTTCTGTACGCTTTTTAAAATTAAAAAACACTAAATTGGTTTTATATCGTCTTCCAAAATAAAAATGTCTATTTTGTAATACTTAAATTAGTATTAAAGTATAAACATTTTTAAATATTTAATAATGTAAGGAATATATTATGATATTTAGAAATTAATAAAATATTAAATAATATTACAAAAAAGTACAAAATTATGTAATATTAAATAATATAAAAATATTTAGTAAATAACTTTTTTTTCGCATATACAATTTTGGATACCGTAAATCATAATTCCATTGTTTTATAAAAATTGTTTGGTCGTATTTTCTACGAAGACTTACTTGTCTCTCAACAGAAGATTATCCACAGTGGCAGCGAAAAATATAACACTCGACAAATACACTGTACTTGTCGTTAGTATTGCACATATTGTTCCGATCGGTATACTCTTCTGTGCGTCAGCTAAGTCGCCTGATCGGTTTGATCCAGCCATAATTCCTAATTTACACCATACCAAAATTTGATTCCAATTCAGAACTTAAGTCCTCATTTTTACATACCTGTCACCGAGGGGAAGAATATGCCAATAAGCAAGGTAAATGATGTCGTTATATCGGCCATAATCTGATTATACGATTGGCTATCAACGTTCTCAATATCAACTGAACTGTCACCGTAAGATATAAATTGACCTTTTTGCAAAAATGATGGCATAATATTGTCATAGAAAACACCACTGGCAAGACCTTTGATACCCTTTACTTGTGAAATATTATTTCCTGTTTGATAAGAAAGTGATGATCATAAATACCAATCCTGTTGCACTTATTTCAAATTGTTTTATTTTACTTAGGTAGTATTCGTCGCATTGATTATCGGGACAGTAAATATCCCTCAAAAATGGATCATCTTTAGTACAATTTTCCAGCGGGATGTCTTTTAAAAGTCGCTTGCCGAGCACGCACATGCTGGAAAAGCGCAAAATATAATAGTTTGTAGGAATAGGGTATTCCAAATTCTTACTATAATTTCTCGTTGCCATGAATATTGTCAAATATTCCCACATAAACCGCTATAATGGAGAGAATTACACAGGCGAGAGCCACTGTCGCAAATTTGTTGACAAACTTCACGCCGAGGAAAACGATTAAGCCTTCATAATAAAAATAAAAAACAATATGTATTTCTAGTGCAATAAGACTAGGTTATCGAATACACACCCATAAATGCAAGCAATATTGTGCCATAGACTCTAAAATTGTTATACATTGCGTCTGCATCCTTAGTGAAATCTCCAAAGATCGATGCCCACGGTGCCATATAGGTCTAGTAGGATCAATTTTTCAATGAATTGCCTTCCAATAAAAATTAAATATTTGTACTCACCAACACAATTTCAACGGCTCCAACAATGTACATTGCAGCTGCCAACGTAGTCCCTGTGTAGAACAACATGCCGACTGCTCCACCAAATTCAGGACCAAGGGATCTATATTTAAAAACCATAATGCCATATACCACAAATTTGTACAACTAATTTCTTATAAATTCAAATATTATTTTTAGCCTACCGTGATATCATAAAGTAACTTCCGCCTGCGGGTACAACCCCGTTCGTTGCAATGGCTGACATCGATATCGCAGTAAGCATTGTCTAAATTAAAGATATTATTTAAAAAAGGTGTATATGGAATATCTTTGTCCGTGTACTGACCACACAGCAGCAGGTCAACACAATAAGGAATCCACAAATCGCCCCAGCTGTGCCAACGACCCATGTTAATCGAATAAATAGAATTACTCCAAAAATATTCTGAATGCATGGCAAGAACACTCCAATTAGGGTACCTTTAAATTAAGGGTGTTATAAATATTTCATAATAGATTTCCTTATAAAATGAAAAACTTGTACATACCCATACGGGCCGATGGTGCTGGTGGCTTTGAATCAGGGTCTGTGGCCGCTGGTATCGTGTTTTCATAATTGGCAATTGATGAAATGAACGTTGATATATGAGGCCGAGTCTCCAAATCGTCATCATATAGGTACAGATTTGGGTCGATATTAGACTTCTGGTTATCTTCAGCCCTATGGATATCACCTGAGTCTAAAGAGGAGGAAGGAAATAGAGAAGTCTGGATAAAACTCCACATAATTATATATATAATCTGGATGAACCAGCTGTGTTCTCGTATATAGTCTTATTATATCAAATCTACGAATATTCCCATTCCTTTTTTCTGCATTTCTGCAGGGTATACCATTTATAAAGTAGTTTAACAAACAAAACCGTTTTATTACTTATCGTTATATGAACTGAGATATTGTTTTTAATTTAATACATTACTTAAGGTCTCCATCTAATTTATGGGCTTAGACGCTACATATATGTATGTAGGCCCAGCAAATTATTGCAATTAGATTCTCTTTAACCCGTTTTTTATGTTATATTCCAATAGGAAAACTTAAAAAACGGATCTTTTTTGTTTTTTCCACCAATAATAAAGGAAAATTGTATCGCATACCTTCATTTTTTGTGTCGTGGTCAGCTCCATTCTGTCTGGATGTTTCTATGACTGGTTCAGCCACATCATCTTTAACACTATTATTTTGCATGTTAACGGTATTTTGACTCTATAATTTCGGCTAGATTGCACTTTTATCACTTAAAATAACCTACCACTATGAATCATAAGAATAAAAGTCGCGAGTTTGTCAAAACATTCGTCGTGAGCATTATATAATAAAAAGGCGTGGCCAGTTGTGATTCGTAAAATAAGGAATGAGCTCGCCACTTTTTTTTTTTAAAATCAAGAGTTTTTGGTGGGGACTTTTAAGAATTAGCCATATAATATGGCAAAATTTTGACACAGGAGCTCATAAGAAATATGCCTTTGAAGGCATTACAGCTTTAAAGGCTGACGCATGATTGGGCGTTTCAGGTACATATGTACATATATACACAAATCTGGGTGCAGATACTTGAATATGTATGTATATATGAATGTATCTGAGCCCACCACAATCGCACCTGAACACAAAAGGTACGCACTTATTAGAAATATTTATGGGTAATAGGTACTTGGCAAAAAACAAAGAGAAAAACACTTAGACTTGCACCGCATTTATTTCATCTTCTTATTCTCTCAGCACTTTTTTCCAACACTTATATACTACAAGTAAATGATTGAATTGGGTCAAGGATTTTATAACGGCAATCTATCATTTTTCTTCATTATTGCATTTTTTAAACAATTGGTTCGGATGCTTTGAATGCAAACAGAATAATTATAAAAGTACACAATGTACTAATAAATTGTAATTAACCATTTTGTAGCTTATGATAAAGTTACGACATTATTAGGGAGGGGTTAACAATTTTCAACAGTTCATGAAGAGCTTGTTGTTGCATTAAACAATTCATTTTATCAATCTAGGATAACCCACTTGTTCAATTATCAAAGTGTATTTTTTTAATAATTTACTATTTATTTATTGGGTGAATTAATAATAATACATTTTCCGTGCGTATTATTTAAGCTGGTGCATTATATTATATTATTTTATTTTATTTTTTTTGACCACATAAATAATTTTTAGAAATATCTAAAACGTGCAAAAACTCTGCTATCCAATTGATAGAAAAACTTCAGAAAACTGTTTGTATGCTGCTGAATAAAAATTATGTTGCCCAGGACCTCAATTGAGATGAAAACGAAAGCTCTCGTTTTCGTCTACACACACAATTTGGGTCGGTAATCACTGAGCGGCTAAGGACCAGCTGCGTGTATATGTTTACGTATATCTCGTTGTCTATATATACATATGTATATAAGTATATACGTAGCCGTTTTCTGCAGGCACCGTCGTGTACATACACGGACACGCAGCATCGCACTTAAACCAAACTAAAAGCCCTTGTCTGCGCTGCTCCCAAAGCTTTTACCATCAAGCTTTTAATGCGCAGCCTGGAAAATGTGTCACCAGAACATCTCTGGTCCTGCACAATTGGGAGAGGGAACAGTTGCGCTAATTTTGGATTATTGCAGGTCATGGATCACCCCAATATAGATCATAGTTTTAGTTTTTTTGTGAAGGCATTTTACAATCGAGTTGACATTTTGAAGAAATACATAAAGAATAAGATACGAGTCAAGTCTTTAAAATCACCTTTTGCTTCATCGTGAATGTCTCCTAAAAGCTTTCCGCTTGCAGATTCATCTTGAAGGTAATCCAATACTGTGTCTTCATCCGCTTTAGTGACTTGAAATCTGTCTGGCATTTTCTGTCCTTATCTTGTTAAAGCACTCTGAAATAGTGAAACATATTCCTTTTAACTGTATCCTATTAAACAAGTTTTAATAAATAATGTTCAGTTAATTAATGATAGTACTTAAAATTATGTATTGGATCATAACGACAAATTTTATTTAAACATTTTTCTTCCTTTTGCTTAATGTATATGTGGTATATGTATTATATTTGAATGAATATAAAAACTTGTCTTTTTTGTTAGAATCTAAGATAATAGTTAGAGCTACACCTTGCCATGTAATATTCGACTATCAAGTATGGAAAATGGGATCAAAATTAAGGGGAGCCTTTGTAAATCTCTGAAATAGTGAAACATATTCCTTTTAACTGTATCCTATTAAACAAGTTTTAATAAATAATGTTCAGTTAAATAATGATAGTACTTAAAATTATGTATTGGATCATAACGACAAATTTTATTTAAACATTTTTCTTCCTTTTGCTTAATGTATATGTGGTATATGTATTATATTTGAATGAATATAAAAACTTGTCTTTTTTGTTAGAATCTAAGATAATAGTTAGAGCTACACCTTGCCATGTAATATTCGACTATCAAGTATGGAAAATGGGATCAAAATTAAGGGGAGCCTTTGTAAATCTTTTGTATATTCCCGTCACTGAAATGGTATATTGTTTTTAGCATGCAGAAATATTGTATAAATTACATAATACCAATTTAGTATATTGAGAATGTTGTAGTTATACCTGATGGCAAGGGCGTACGAAGGGGGAGGGGAGAGGGGAAGGGGGCCGTTCCCCTTTTAAAAAAAAATTTTGCTATATAAAGTCGACCACACGTTCATTATTATGACCCAATGCTTAGCCTTAAACTGAAACTGAGTTGGATTTGTTCAAGTTTTTTCATTAATCATATATAAATTATTTTTTAAATGTATCAATGGATGACCTAATGCAAAATAAGTAAAGTATGCTTTCTAATAAAATTATAAAATAAATTCTCAGTGGGTTTTTTTTATCTGATTGCATAATTTTAGTAAATATAAGTATTACATAAATTTTTTGTTGACATCATCTTCGAACTTAGTACTTGTACTTGTTTAACAGTAAGCCTGGAAAGAGGGCTGCACAAAAGCCAGTAACTATGAATTGAATTGTAAGCCTATTTGCTAAGTTAACGGATCTTAAAACCTAAAAAATAAAGATCTAATATCTATAAATAAATCCATCCGATTTTCAAAACGTAAAGCAAAGATTTTTATATAACTAGTATTACAAGAGAGCGAAATTTATAGAATCTAGAATTTTTCTTCTTTCTATCACATATTTAATTGTTTTTGTGGATAAAATTGTTGGAAACATATACATACATACATTTGTAGTTTTTTATGCGATTTTTTTCAAATGAGGTAGCCACGCAAAAGAGGATCAAACACTCCCATAAAAACGAATATTGATTGATACAATTTCGTAACGAATATTAGAAAAAAATCGTTATATAATACTACCGGTTGTAAGCCAAAAATTATTGTGCAAGGTTTATACACGAAAAGTTTACAACTAAAATAGATAGACTAAAATTGGCATTGGGAAAACTTCTTTCGAAAATAAATTTAAAGAAGCTTACTTAAGAAATTACATACACCTAAAACATTTTAAGTCTTAATCAATGAAAAAGATAATCACGTGATAAGAACATACATACATACATATGTACATATGTATGTCAATATGTAAATGGATTTTTACGGATAACAATTATTGAGTAAAGCTTTACCAATGCAAATATTATGTTGCATATAATAGATGCGTACAAATAGAAAGAAAATAATAAATACATTTACGTTAAAGGCAATCAGCTGTGATTACAAATATATATGAATGTATTCTCTTTTTAATATGTTCATACGTATATAAATATGCGTACATGCATGTGTATTCACACGAACGTATGCACATACATACATATGTATATGAATGTGTGTATGTGTTGCCGCCACAAATTTTTACAGTAAACATTCATACACACATATTAATAGACACCACATGCTATTCTTTATGTGTACGGATTTATAATTGTGAATGCGCATGTGTGAGTGAAAATACAATTTTGTGTACTTTAATTTTCAGAATTCATATCATTTATAACTTTACTCAAGAATCAACTTAAAACATCTGTACAACATACACATGTATTTACATTCATATACTTGTACTTTATTAGGAATATGTGCTCATACATACATACATGCATATGTATGTACATACACACATGCAAATATTCGGGAGTCCATGCATATTATCTAAGAGTTGTAAAACAAATAAAAAACAACATTTGCTGCACATGCCACAGTAACACACACTTAGAAAAACAACACCCACACATAGAACCGCACAATTACATTGACCACAAAAATAATTAAGCATGTGAGCCGCAGAAAGAAGAAAAATTATTGTTTACAACATTAAAATAATTATTTAATGCATTCATTTTATTTACTTGAGTGCTTTTTCAGGGCAACTTGAACCGAAAGCACCGCGTGCTCCTTTCTTATATTTATTCTAAAAAGTTAACTTTCTTAATTATTCCTTTTCTCCTTAACATTTAGTGAACTTTTCAATTGTACGAATAAAATAAAACTATCATATTAAAGGCGCATGAGTAATACAAAATGATTTTCTACTGTATATAATTTGGAGTCGCATATTGGAGGAATTGCTGTTGTATTAATGAAGACTGTAATTGAAATCAAATGGATGGTCTCAATTTGTATTTTGGAAAACTTAATGAGATATTTTACTGAAATTAGCACCTTCATGTCACTCTACTTTTTAAAATGTATGTATATACATATACGCATAGTATAGATATGTATGTATAAGTTTGTGGTCATGGTATCAGTTGATGAGTATGAAAAATGTATACGCCTTCTCTAGACTAAGGAACGCCACTGAGATTTGTCAAAAAGTAAACAGTAACTAAGTGCTGAGTATTTTGAAATTTTTGAATGCAAGTATATACATACATATGTAAGTATGTATATGTATGTGCATATGTTTATATAAATGTACGGATGTAAGCACATACATACATACATATGTATGTTCATTCTTTTAAGTAATTAGCACTCATTTTCATGATACACATTGCAATGTTTTTTACTAAAATATTTACTTATATGCATACATACATACATAGATGCATGCATACATACATACATACTTACATACATACATACATATGTATGTAGGTTAGAGTTAGAGATGGGTTATTGCTAAGCTAGGCATGAAAAACCATGGAGTTTAATTAAATTGTTATTTCTTATTACATAATTAAAGAACAATTTTTTTTATTTTGGTATATAACGTACTTAACAGTATTATATTGCATGGCAGACGTTTTATTTCGATACAAATTTAAATTTTCCATATGTATACGTACGTATGTAGGTTGATTTAAGAGCCCATCCCCAAGAAATGTAGGCTTCTCAAATATGATAGCCATAACTAATAAATCCAGTATAGCTAGCTAGAATTTAAATGAATGTACATATTCATCAAGTTATCATAAGAGCGAAGTGTCCGACTTAAAGCTTAGCGCAGACATTTTTGAAATTGTTCATGTTTAGATTTATGTCTCTCCTGCATCCACACATTTTAGCAATTTTTTGTGCACAACTTGATGGCAAATTTTTTGCTGAAGAATATCAGTCGCAACTTGAAAATGCAGTTGTTAGTAAGGTTTTAACACGCTTAAACAGAAATTTGCATTTAACGTGTAATTGTTGCTAAAACTGTTTAATTGTTAACCATCTACTATAAGAAATCTGCTCTTTAAAAGTCTTCTATTAGCAGTATACTACAAAAACATGGAAATGCGGTTATAAAAAGTGGCGATATTAAAAAAATCAAACAAGTTTGTAAAGGGAGAATTAAAAACTTTTTGAAAGTATGATTGCAGGAGTTGAAGCTAAACGCGAAGAATAAGCCAAAAAGCAGAACTCTACATCAAATGATATTTTTGGTATATCTCCTATGAGCAAAACCTTTTAATAGTAATTGAAATTTTAATCTATAAAGCTACGGAAATCATAGGTATCTCATTTAATATGTATAGTTTAGTTTTAATTTTGTACCAAATGGGAAATAAGTTGACTCTCAGCAAATAAATGTTTCTAATATTTACTTTTCTTCTTTTTAAAAGCTTCTCATATTAACATTGTATGCACATCTCACACACATACATACATACATACATATGTATGTGTGTTCATACATATAATCTTAAGAAACTGAAATTAAGCTAATAATTTTTATATGGATATATTTATATGTTATAAATTGTTATAAAGCAAAAAGTCTGCTCTAATTCATTGTTGTATATTAAAATTTATAATTAGTTTAACAAATCCCTCAAAGTATAAAATTGGTTCCTTTGAATACTTATGAAGCACTGTAAATATTGGGGACAGTTTCGATATAAAATGCACATATGTACATAATGTAATCGGCATAAGCAAGAGCAGATAATTTATCGCTGAAACAAAGTAACTTGAAATCTCCCTAGGAACACACTTTCTGCTACAACGCTAGAAATTAAAGCAACTCTTTTAATTTTTCGGTCATGCTAGCTCCATTAATACAGACCACAGACGGGATCATTATTATGTATCGACACAAGTTATTTTCGATTGTTAGAAAACTTCTCTCTCAGAAAATGTATGAAGAATATAATCTAAAATATTATTCCTGTGAAGTTAATTCTCAGATGTAATTTAGATTTTTAATTGATTTTGTAGCATAGCACGACCATATAGCAAATGCTGATTTTAATTTTATTTTTTTAATTACATAAATTAGTTTGCAAACGCTTTCGTGTGATTACCCTTAACAGGAATACCACCAACATTTGGAGGAGTTTTCCAAATAATACAAAACTCCCTAGGGCCGCCCCTGCAATTAGTTGTTTTGATTAGTGCGGTTATTCTGACTTTATAATTATCTGTTCATCATAAACTGAAAATAAACAAGCTAAAATACACATAGCAATGAAGAATCGATACATTTTTTATTTCTATAAGGTGTTTGTTGGGCTACACCTATTCGCGCCATTTTCAAACACTATTTTTAAACATGCGTTACCCTATGCTTCGTTAAAATTCCAACGAATTTCAATCCCAATTATTCTTTCTGTTCGGCGTCGTTGCTGCGTGCTTTACTTGTGGAAAGAGGGTGCCGTTTTGCGATTTAAAAGGTAAGGAAATATGTATTGTTATTTTTAATTTTATCTGTAACGCGAAGTACATAACTTTCCAAATGAAACTTCACATTTATAAGTATATAGCTGTTAATAGCTGACAAAATAATAAAACATCTTAAATTGCGACTCTTGCGAGCACGTGTTTTTGTGCGTTTGCGTTTTTAATACGCATGTATGAGCGGCTGGCGTGCTATGCAAGTGAGTGCTTTTGTGGCGTCTTACTTTAGCAATACATACAAGCTTAATAAATATTTAAAAAAAAACAAGCACTTATTTGAGAAGTGTTATAAAAAATTTTCGTAGCGTGCAAATTGCATGTGCCAAAGTAGGAAGAGGTCTATACAATAAATGTGTGTGTGTACATACATATGTACAAATATGCATAGGTCTAAAAATTTCGCCGAAGTATTAGTGATTCTATATAATTTTATATTTAAAGCTAGTTTTTAAATACAAAACATATTATGTTGTAGGACTAGGACTCGGAATTCATTAAACAATGGACGCTCCACCAGAAGGTAATATCGACACAGAGTCTTGCAATGAACTTGAAGATGAAAAATCCACTTCCGACTGTCATGCCCTGTGAGTAGGACCGATTCAATATGTTTTTAGAACAAATTATAATTCCTTAAGTGTATTTGTAGACCAGCATACATGACGTCGGTAGTGCGGCGACAATTCTTGCAAGAAATGATAAGGAAATTGCCGGAAAATGTGCAGAATAGGATTGTAGCACTGAAAAACTTGCAGTTGGAACACTTGGAAATAGAGGCCAAGTTTTTTAATGAAGTCTACAATCTGGAGAAAGCTTATCAACAAAAATACATACCTTTGTTCACTAAGCGTACCGAAATAATTACTGGCGCTGTGGATCCACCAAAAGAAGAGCCCAAATGGAAGGAACCTGCTGATGTTCCCTCTGTGACTGCCGAAGGGGAAGCTGCGGAAGATATTACTGAAGCTCTCAAAAATATCAAAAATAATATTCCCCAAGACGCCAAGGGCATACCGGATTTCTGGTTAACAGTGTTTCGTAATACGGTTATTTTATCAGAAATGGTGCAGGATCATGATGAACCAGTTTTGCGGAAGCTGACCGACATAACAATAAAATATGATGATGAAGTATGTGGTTCTTAAAAAGTATGTCCAAAATGCAAATTAAGAATGTAATATCCTTTCGCAGCATTCGTATTTTCTGGAGTTCCATTTTGATAAAAATGAATATTTTTCGAACCCAGTTCTTACAAAGCAGTACTTCTTAAAGGCGACCGTCGATCCAGATGACCCTTTTGCTTTTGAAGGGCCTGAAATTTACAAATGCAAGGTAATATATTTGTGTTCTACCATTTGCCATGTCATAAAATTGTTTTTGGTTCATTCTAAAGGGTTGCGTTATCAATTGGGAGAAAAAAATGAACTTGACTGTCAAGACTATTAGAAAGAAACAGAAGCATAAGGAACGCGGCGCTGTGCGCACCATCGTCAAGCAAGTTCCAACAGACTCTTTCTTTAATTTCTTCAACCCTCCGGAGATTCCAACTGATAAAAAAGAAGAGGTTGATGAGGAATCTCAACAAGTAAGCATAATTCATAAAATATTTCAAACTTGCAAATAATACCTTGTTTTTAGATTTTAGCAACAGATTTCGAAATAGGACATTTCTTGCGCGCTAGAATTATTCCGAAAGCTATACTCTATTACACCGGTGACATCGTCGACGATGAGGATGACGAAGATGAGGAGGTATTTACAAAAGTAATATACAAACAAACAAAAATTTTAATTGTTTTTATCTATGCAGGAGTATGATGAAAATGAAGAAGACGACTCTGAATATGACGACGCAAACGAGGGCCAAGTAAAACACGTTGGCAACAAGAAAAAGCAGAATCCCAATGATTGTCCTAACCAGTAAAATATCGATTTTAAAAGCACAACTAATGTTGTACCGATATTGTGTATATAATTCAAATTTAATTTGAAATATATTTTTGGTGGATTCAAATTATATAAAAGACAATTTGTAGAAAGCAAATTGTATAGAATATAAATATAAAGCATTCATTTAAAAAACACAGTATTCCATCAGATTTTATCCTTTTTGTTAGCAAATCATTTACAGATATCACACTTGCGTTTATAAATATTTTGTTGTGATGCATAAGGGTGGCAGGATGCAATATTTGCGAACAGCTACCCGGGCAGATGGAACAGGTTTTTTTTTAATAGTCTGGCGTATTTCCACAACCAATGCCATACAAATTTACTTGGCGATATTTCTGTATAGATATGTACATATATGTTCATACTATAGTATACAAGTATACTGATCATAAAAGGCTCGCAAAATGTTCGCAAACCTATTTCATGAGACTATCATAAATGTTACTTTCTCTGCTTCAAACTGAACGGCATATAAATCATATTGCTATGATTTTCGAATCCATTTGCGAGCGATATGTCCGTTTGAAACTCCGTTCCAAACGCGCATGCTATATCATTTGCGAGCATTTGCCTGCTGGGATTTTAAAAATGTATCTCGAAGTCTGCAAGGTCAACAATTATTAATTCGAACGCGATGAAATATTGAATTTGACGCAATAAAAAATATATTTTAGGTAAAGGGTATTTAATAGTCGCCCAACGCTGTTTATAAAACGCCATTTTATTTTTTCTCCGTCAACTACAAAGATGCTGCTTTGCGTTTTGTTTATCGAAGAGAAATTTTTTCCCAGAACAGGTTATTTTAAGTAAAGGGTATTTAATAGTCGCCCAAAGCTGTTTAAAATACACGCCATTTTACTTTTTCTCCGTCAACTACAAAGATGCTGCTTTGCCTTTTGTTTATCGAAGAAGAGAAATTTTTTCCCAGAACAGGTTGAGTCAAGCAGAGGTTGAACATTACCCGCACTATTTCGTTTAAGTTTGTGTTGAACTAAGCTAATAATTAACAAATGGAATATCTTAGAATCAAAGAACGAATTTTCTTGACCTTGGTTATAAGCATTTGGTTTATTTTACTTCATGAGGTTCATTCAAAGTTTAGCATTAAACAAAAATTTTTAAGTTCAGAACCGTTTGGTACAAGGAATGATACTATGGGTAGGAACTTAATTAATATATCATAAAATCTTCATATAAGGAATTGATTCCTTAAGTTTTTCGGCACAGATCCATTAAACAAGACGTTACTAAGACTATGGTCTTGAAGTTTTACAAGTAAGTTAGTAAGAATTTAATGATTTTTATTTAAAAGATATATAAACAAGAAAGGAATGCTAAAGTCGAGCAGGCTCAACTCTTAAATACCCTGTACCACCCCACAAAAAAGTAATTAAATTAATTTAATTAAATTAATTAATTAATTTAATTAATTAACTAAATTAATTTAATTAATTAACTAAATTAAATATAAAATATTCCATGCATGCATACAAACATTTACATTTACATCAGAATCGTGCCTTATGCGTGTTTGTGTACTTGTACATATGTATGTATGTGTGCATTGGGCCTGGTTATATGGCTATAACTTTCTTTCCGATCATTCTATCATAATGAAACTTGGTATACGGATATATAATTACTAACCTAATGTGACTACAATTTTTAGTTCAAAATTCCAAGAATTACGGGAGTTATAGAAAATCGTTAATAGGGGGGGAGTGGGGGGGTGGATCAGAAAAAATGAACAAACTCGTCCTTTCTCGGTCTCAGGAGAATCTGTATACCAAGTTTGGTTATTCTAGCTCTTATACTTTCGGAGATCCTTGCGTTCATACAGACAGACAGACGGACATGGCTATATCGACTCGGCTTGTCATGCTGATCAAGAATATACATATATACTTTGTGGGGTCTACCAAGCCTCCTTCTGTGTGTTCCATGTGCACTCGCACAAAACTAATATACCCTTGTACCCTTTGGGTACAGGGTATAAAAATTGTTTGAATTATCCATTTACACAAATATGTAGTCATATGGTCATACATATGTATGTATAATATGTACATGTGTAAAGGTGAATATGCAGGCAATCATTAAGCTAAGCCATGAGAGTTGTGTTGGAACAGATTATCACCATGGTTTTATTATTGTATAGGTGATTTTTGGATCTGCACTATTTTGAATTTGTAATTTATTTCATTGTTTATAAGGATCTTAGGAAGTATAAGAGTTAGAATAACATAACAGCGCATACATGTACTTAAAGTCCGAGAATGATCAGCTTTATTAATTTTCCGATGTACGCCCTAGAGTTCTTTCAGAACACGTAATTATTCGAGTATGGGGAACTCGTGTCAAGTCCATTATAATATATATGTAATATATGTATTGCAAATGAAGCTATAACCATCGATGTGAGTAGGAGGATTCAACTCTATACGTTATAATACGAGTAGGGACCCATACATACAATGTTATTTAGAATTAAACTACGCAGCTTCACTACGAGTTCTTACAATTTCCAGAAATAACACAAGGACTGCGGAAATAAAAGCGTCATATAATGGAAATATATTGCAAAATTCTGGATGCTCACCTGATGATAAGTTTGCCATTATACTTCATGGATGGATTCAAAGCTGTGCTGACAGTTGGGCGCTTGCACTCATTGATCGTAATATAGTTTTGATACGGTCAGATAGGCAAGCATTTTGCATACATATGTACATACATATGTATGTTTCAGATTCTTGTTCATCATTAGTTAAGAAACCAAAATAATCATGTCTTCAAATTATTTGCCTATCTGACTATAGCTCTAAATTAGTATGTTTTATAGAAATAATTAACATTTACAGGTCTAAATTTTTATCGCGGAGGATGCGTTGTTTGCATTGATTACAGCATTTTTGCCAGTTCTTCCTATCTGCAACTTTTGGCAAACTTTGACAACATTTTGAATGCAATGGTCTCAATTATACATTCCCTGATAGCATCCGGCTTTGACCCTAACCGTGGCTATATGTTTGGGTTTAGTTTTGGTGGTCAATTGGCGTCCGCAGTTGGTCGTGCTCTGAGACCTAAATACCTTTTTCGAAATATAGACAGTAAATTCACAATATCGGTGATTATACAGGGTATAAAATATATAATGGATTTTAATTCTTTCAGCTTGCGATATGGCTGGTCCTGGCTTTGATCCCATTGCTCACGATCACTCGAGAGCTGCAAAATTTGTCCAATGCTTTCATTCGAGTCGCGATAAGGGCACATTTATTTTTTCTTGCCATCGGAACGTGATGTTGGGAAGTTGTGGCCTCAGTCAACCTTCGTTGGCCAGTCAATTGCATTTAGGAAGTCATGGCCTTTGTGTAGATATTTATATAAATACTTTTGATTATCCATTTTACGCACTAAAATCTCCGCCAGCTGAGTGCATGTCATTTAAACCAGCAGCGGTAATACCAAATGACTACACTGTGGGATATGAAGATAACTTTAACAAGTAAGCAAATAAAATTATTTTTTATATGTATATAGATCTTTCCAAAGGTTGATTATTTTTTGGCTGCTTCTAAAATTTAATAAATCTGTATTACAATTTTCCTTCGATAAGTCTAAAGATGAATTTTTAGAAACAAATGGAATTGTTTTATACTAAATTTATAACAATCTTTATTCAAAGGGAAATGTATTTTATACCCTTTGTACAAGTTATAATTTAATAAGGTAGTAGTGCACAATTGGTTATTTTATATCATAATTATTGTATATTAAAAATGTGTTTTCTCTTTTATACTTTTAGGCAAGTAATTGGAAACATCTTCGTACCGACAAGCTTACATTATCCATACAATTTATCAAAAAAGGATTTAAGCATTATATCAAAGAATAATGTCTAAATTAAGTATGCAATGATTAAAAAAATGGTTGGTTTAAACTTCTTATGCAGAGCTTTTTTCATTTTCTTCAAAATCCAGAGTGTTTAGAACATTGACGTCTAGTTCGGGGTCGCCATATTCGAGTATATTAAAATCATCGCCAATTTCCGAAGTTAGTGATTTAAGCAAGTCATCATCATCACCTTCGCCCAATCCACCCAATATGTCACCAAATCCAACATTCTCCAACTCAACCGAGGCGGAGATGCCTTCTTGCGACTCTGTTATTTTCAGATCTGGCTGAATTTTGACATCCTGTTCCAATTCGGGTATATTCTGTCTCAGCTCCGACGGTTGGGGCGCTCCACTTGTGCTTAGCATGGGATTATTTTGGTTTAATGATGGATTTGATATCAATCCAAGTCTTAAGACGTCATTTGACATGAACAGTTCTGAGTTCGGTCCCAATAACATCGGCTCAGTATTGGGCTTTTGGAGCAAGTTTCTAAGCTTCTTATCACCAATTTCTGCTGATCCATAGGCCTGGTTCGATTCCACAATATTTTCGGTAGTCGTAATTTTCAAAGGGGACGCTCTAGCAGCATTTATTGTTGTCCTTTGGACTGAGGATTGAACCACGAATTTTTCGCCAACCGATGCACCCACATGGCTTGTAGGATGTGTAGCCGCCGGGCCGCTGTAGCAAGCAGGATCATATGGAATGCCACCTGCAGAATACATATTTATTATTATATAATTTTAAGTTTGGTAGGCACACTTACCGTAGTTAACAAACATATTTGATTGCTCCTCCTTTATTTTAATTTGATGTTGTTTCCAAGCGTTTCCCACGTCTTCCTGCTTTTGAGGTTTAGGCGGTAAACTTATTTTATTCTGCTCCCGTCGCTGCCTAAGAGCCGATCGATTATCTTTAGCTTTTTGTAAAAATGGTGCCTTCTTCTCATTGCATAAGGAGCGCCATTTTTTTAAAATCTGCTTGCACCGATCATTCCAGTTTGGATACATTTCTTTCAAATTTGCATGCTCAGTATTAGCATAAAGTACAGCCGAAATGGTGGCCATAAGACCAAGATCTGTAAAAGCAGTACAATGTTACCAACCACCAAGAAAATTTTTTATTTTTAATGTTCTTATTACCCTCATCTTTGCGCATTTTTTCTGCCGTCTTCTGCGTTCCAACATTCATTGCTTCTGGGACGGGCTCTACAACTCTATTGTCTTCGTCGTTCTTTTTTTCGTTATGCATATTAACGTGTGTTGACACAACTTGTGGACTTAACTTATGTTGCATATTCACTTGATCCTGTTGATAATGCAGTTGTGACGAGTTTGCAGCCATTGTAGCGTCTGATACAAATAGTTGGCTATGAGCAAACTTTGCTTCCTGCGGCATTTGGGGAGGCATATTAAAATTATCCATCATGACAACAGTTTGTTCCCTAATAACAAAATATTAGACAATTATTATTTTAACACAATCTGTAACAAAATAATACGTACCCAAGCGCCTTATCTATATTATCATTGACCATAAAGTTAGATGTAGGGTTTGTGCCATCCAGGAATTTGTTTGATGCCTATATTAGACAATTATATATATTATATTTGTACTAATTTTACTAATTAATTTTAACATACCAAGTTATCTAAAACGTTTCGATTAGTTGCAGATCCAATATGTGGAGTTTCTGATGAAATTGCATCTGTAATAGGAAAAGCGATCAAAATCAATCAAATCTTGAAACAATTCACATGTGTATATATGTATGTGCTATACGTTGTTGTTCCTTCAGACTGTCTTAAGTCTTTGTACCTCATTGTAATAAAATTACAATGTTGCCTACCACCATTTTTATAAAGAGAATGAATATACACAGGTCAACATTTTAAATCGTCCACCTGGGACGGAAATCAACTTTGGGTTATATTTTGAAGAGGAAATATATAATTAACGGAATGTATATATTCCTGCAATCCACCATGTATATTTGAATGCATTGAAAATTGTCTAATATATTATACCGTTTACCTACAATTGGCGTTTTTATATTTGTTAATTATAGTTTGAATGGTTGAGCGAGGTCTTTTAACTTTTTCGGAAATGTCCCTTTGGGATAAACCATCCAAATGGTAATTAATAATTAATTTCCTCAAGTCTATACTGGCACGTTCCTTTGTGCCACTCATTTTTCTAAAAGCTTTCAAAAAAAGTGGTTACAAATCTGCAAATTAATTTCTCAACACCTTATTTGGTATAACTGTAAAAAAAACAGCAACAATTCTAACAGGACATTAAATATAGCCACTTTCAGTCGCTAACAACACTGTGAACGATTTATTTTTTGGCAGTCACATTTGACTTTAATTAATTCAAGCGCCAAAAAATTTGTTATAAATATTTAGTAAGAAATAACATTTTAATAATAACAAGAAAGTCGAGTAAGCTCCAAAGTGAAAAAAAAAATGTTTTTTAATTTTCAAATTAAATTAATAAATAATTTAATAAAAAAAATATTTAATGCATACATACATAAGTGGAGACATATGTATGTATGTTTATGTACAGTTTCGACAGCATACATTTACATCAGAATCGTGTCTATGCCTGTTTATATGCGTGTATGCAGTGCAGAAATAAATCAAAGCAGGAACCACAAAAAAACCTGCAGGCGGAGCTTGGGTAGAGATTATATTTATGGCTATAACTTTCTTAATAATTGACCTATTATGATAAAACTTGGCATACGAACACATAATCACGACCGGGATGTAATTTCCAATTTTAAAAATTCCAAGAATTACGGGAGTTATGGAAAATCACTAATACCGGGGCAGTGGGTGCATCAGATAAATAAAAAACACACAAACTCTCGAAGTTAGAAGAATCTGGATACCAAGTTTTGTTATTCTAGCTCTTATACTTTCTGAGATCGTTGGGTTCATACATACTGATGGACAAACGGTCATGGCTATATCGATTCGGCTTGTCACCCTGGCATATGTACATACATTCGTCCAAAACTAGTCTACCGTTTGGGTACAGGATTTAAAAATATGCATTGCATCAGAAAAAACTTCTCTATAATTACCAACTTACCAAACATTGTAGGCCCAATGCCATTATTTCCCTTCTGTTGCGATACCGTAGGCAATTGATCGGAGAACATATTTTTATTTTCTGGAATGTCTTTTTCAGCTCTAGCTTTCTTTAAAAACTTTGCCGGCTCCTTAGAGGCATGAGCTGCATCTTCTTCTGGTTTTTTTTCTTCGAAACGAGTAAAATATGTTTTCATTGTTGCATCAATTCCATCTGAAGAATCTGACTCGTAAGTCATGACATCCGCACCTTCCAGCAAGGGCTTTCCAAAGAAGGCTTCTTGTAGGTAAGCTGGATAGGCTTCTATGAGTTTGTTTTTCTGCTTTTTACGTATTGTTTTTTTCTTTTTATCCATAGCTAAAACTGGATTTAATTGGTCAGCTGCTTCATCATTGTCCCTCTTGAGCGTTCGGTTGCGAACGGAAAAGCCGCCAATACCCAATTTCTGAAGATTTCGTTGCCGTTTCTTGCGTAAAATATTTACCCCTTCTTCGTTTGTGGAAATAGTAAAGCCTTCGGGCAACACAGTTTCGGTTCCATCCCAAATCATTCCGTCTTTGTATTTATCGCATGGTGCCTCATCAGGTAATGTAGAATCGAGTAACGGATCCCGGTTTGCATTTCCGACGGCCTGTCGCACTTTTCTTTTACGTTTAATCTCCGTTGACAGGGACTTGATCATGTTAAGTCCATTTTCACTTAAACATACACCATCTATCCAATGAATAGCTTCAGCACTCTCTATTAAATTATTTGCCAATAGATCGTGTCGGTCGTTTCCGCTTGAATTTTTCCCTTCCTGAGCAGGCAGTGTTAATTGCTTTTGTGAAGCACTTGGTTCTTCATTTCGGCTCTTTTCTTCCATACTCGGTAGTTGCGACTTTCCAAGACAGCGGCATTTCATGCATTTATATTCATTTTCTTCATAGTAATTAATAGTGAGATGTATGTTAGCGGAATCGCACGAAAAATGAGACCAATGCTGGCATTGTTCACATTGAATAATCGTATCGCCATTGTTGTAGGCTTTTCCGCAAACAGCGCAGAATGATTGACTGATGCAGGATGGACATTCAGCTGTATTGGCATCGGTACATTCACCTTTTTGGGAAAGATTTCGACCACACTTTTGGCAAATAGTACAATAGGAGCACTTCCAGTTACCATGTGGCACAGTGTCCAGAGGCGGATTTACACAATATATATGATAGGAAATATCGCATTCATCGCACAGCAGCAATCGTGCCTCATCGTTCTTCTTTCCGCACCCTTCACAGACAGTGCAATCAAGACAGCGCCAGCCCTTCTGTAGCATTCCTTTTGAGGGTTTCACACCAGCACAATATGGATGATAGCATTGCCCGCATTGGGCGCAAGTAATTAAATGGGCGTCACTCTCAATGCCTAATGAGCCGCACATAACGCAAATATCCTGAGTGAGTATAAACTTATCACGGGCAGAGCAAAGTAACATTTTTTTATCACTTGTGAAATCTGAATCCATAGTACGATTGGAGTAGCGATCGCTTGAGTTGTTTGAAAGCACCAGTTGCCGCCCTTTTCCACGCGTACTTCGTTTTTTTCCCAACTGTGACATAACTCCCATGCGATGTAGCATAAATTTAGCTCCCTTGCCACGTGCATTACCGAGACAAACTTTTTTTCTGTTGTTTTGCTGCTTTTGCACTTCCTCACTAGACATTTCGTTGCTTGGTTTTCCATCCAAAGGATCTATTTCAGCGACTTTTATATTCGGAATCTCGGATGTTTGTGATTCACCTAATGATGAATCACCACCAGCACATAGATGGGATTCGATAGATGGATTGGTTTTACAACTGGGACAAACGTAATCGTAGTCTGGATTATTTTCCTTCTTTTTGTGATATGCAGCCAAATCAGCTTCTTCATCGCATGTGCTATGCACAAACCTGTTCACATATATTAGAAGAAAAAAAAGAATTAGTTACAGTCACATACAAATTTGCAATTGCGTTCTTACTTGTGACAGAAGTTGCATTTCACCATTTCCTTATAAGCAGCTGCTCTATACGCCTTTTGACATATCGGACAAGAAAAACCTTTGTTTCTTTGCTGATAGCATGAATCGCAAATTGTGTAATGGCTGTGCCAACGAGAGGAACTACCTCCTCCAGGGGTTCTGGCTCCACAATCTGTGCAAACTCGACATCGCTGAGGGAAAACATAAATAAGGACATTAAACAAACAACAAACAAACTTACATTGCATTTCCAGCCATATTTTGGAATAGATAGTAAAACGGGTCGCAAGCACGTCGTATGATACATTTTCTGGCACTGCTCACATTTCACAAATCTGCCTACTTCTGATGCGTCTTGTTGCCTACAAATTTGACATTTGGTGCAGCGCGCGCAATTCCATCCGGACCGAGTATCTATGTAAGTATGCATTTATTTTCAATTAACTCTATGATTACTTGTATTTTGTTGCAATACCTGGTAAGTTAGCCAGACCAATACATGTGGTATGGAAATGGTCTCCGCATGTGCAACACATGATCAGTTTGGAGAGATCTCCCAAGGAGGAACATGTTAAACACTCAACGTTATTGTCATTGCCTGTTGGTAAATTTATCGGTGATATTTAGAAATTGTGAGCTTCAAATCAATCTGTTACCGCTCCCCTTACATATCAATGGCACTTGACTTAAATGCTCGGTGCAAAAAACTGTGAAGCTCTCCATGATAAGCAGGCATCCAGCAGCTGCGGCACAAGGCCAATGGTGGGCCTGGTGGCATTTCATCTTGCATGCAACGGACGCACCGTATTGGCCACAGAAGGTACATTTTTGTTCTAAGAATTCAATCAAATTTGAAACAAAATGCATAAAGTCAGCTTCGGACGTAACTTGAGATTTTCGGAGCGCCCACATTAAACACATCCGGTGAACGTAAACGCAACCATCATCAATAAACACAGAAACATCGAAAACATCACAATATCCAATTTTGTCCAATTCATAGTTGCTTTCTCCTGTGCTTAACGCTTTTTGTTTCAAACTAGACTTAAGCTTGCGCTGTGGGCTCTGATCCGTTGAACTACCGTCACGTTTAGACTCATTTGAGTCCTTGCGTAAGCTGTTAAAGTCAAAGCCTTCGTGCACATTTAACTGCAACTGCAGCATATTGCCTTGGCCGAGACCACTTCTTTCGCCGAGACCGCAGAGACAACAGCATTTTCCAGGGTAGCTTTCGGCAAAGAATGGAAGTTCTTCAGTTACCACAGCGGGGACCTTTTCTTCCACATTGCTTACGCTCATTTTAAGAGTTAGCTTTTGATGCAACGAAAATGTTTGGCCGTGCTTCTTTTCCGAAATGTAGTGGTGTTATTTTCTCTATTTTTGTATATCGATATTTTCCTTCGCATTCTGTTTTCTACGGTATTTTGTCGCATTCAAATTATGGTCTTACTTGCAATCGTTATCATTCGATATTTTTAGCTATCGTTATCTCAAAGTTAAGTCTGAATTGTTTACATATTGCATATTAACGCATATATTTCCTAGCATCCAATGGTGCAGAATTAATTCAATTAAAAATGGCCATGTATCGCCCTCGCGGTACTTTAGCACGAGTCATACATGATAAGTTTCACAATGATAATTTTTTGGATAACATTGACACGCGGAAGGTATGTTAATATGTACATATAAACGCAAGTCCGTATGTGTATTTAGGTTACGGGGCTGAGGACCCATGGGTTCAAACTTAAATGTATTCAACTTATAAAATTCCAATTGTGACTCCCCATGGGCGCTGGATCAATTTTATGATTTGAATCAGCTTAAATGGCATTTTTTATCCTTCCAAGCTATATGATGTTAATTGATTTTTATTGATGAAAGATACGGATTTTAACTATATAATTATTTATATGTATAAATATTGCAGTGGTACTCGCTGGATACAGAATCCATACCTGCAAAATTTCAGTCGAAATTCGTTGCACTTGAGCAGCCGGATAAAACCACGGTGAGATGGTTAGAACGGGCGAAAATGTTGTCGGCAAACATATGGATGCACTTGTGGCATGCGTTAGCGAGGTCTGTTCTACAGTTTTTTATGACACAGACAGATATCAACGGCTTCTTAAAACGTGGATCCATGTTTATTTTATCAGAGGAACAATTTTACAAACTACTCCATGCTGGGGGTTTTCCAGCGGGAAGTGAATCGGATACGGTATACAACAAATTTTTCATGAACAACAGCAACAAAAACCATTTGTTTTTAGGTAACTCTATTGGATATCGGGGCTGGTGATGGGCAGATCTCCATTCGCATTGCCAATACTGTGGCCAAGCTTAGTAACGCTTGCATTCAAGTGTTTGCCACAGAAGCCAGTTGGACAATGCGAGACCGTTTGAAAAAGCTGAATTTCAACGTTATCAACGAAATACGTGGCCTACAAAACGTCGAGTTAATATTATGTCTGAATGTACTCGATCGATGTTTCGATCCGTTTCAGCTATTGGAAGACATACACAATACCTTGGCTCCCAGGGGTCGAGCAGTAGTTGCTCTAGTGCTTCCATATATGCATTACGTAGAAACCAATACTTCGCATTTGCCTTTACGCCCTTTATTAGAAAGTAACAATCGGAACAACGGACCACAAGTGTCGTTCGAAGAAGAAGCTACACAGTTTTTAGAATTACTGGAAAACTGTGGATTTAGAGTTGAATCCTGGACAAAAGCACCCTACTTATGTGAAGGCGATCTTCATCAATCATTTTACTGGTTAATAGACTTAATTGTAGTACTTTCCAAAAAGTAAGAATGTACATAGTGTGTACATGTACATATTTATGTATTAAATTACTGGTTATTCAGTATTTCTTAAAACAATCCATTGTTTGTATTTATGTGAGCCAAAAATAAATCTATTGTTGAGTAAATTACCGCTTTCTACATATATGTTTTTATGAACTTACGAAAAATGATTTGAATTTAATAATTTAGCCTACCTTTAATTCAATATAAAGGGAAATTAAATGGTTTTGTGGTGTATATACATTTCAGTAAAAATCGTTTTCAATGTCCATTGGATCGCTCATTTTTTGATTGTTTTTGACTTGGTCCTGCGACTGATACATGTGTGCCACTTGAGTGGCATCAGTAGCATTTTCGGCGCTCTTATCCTCACGAATGCGTATAAATCGAGGGAAGCGCAGCGAAATTCCACGCTCGCTGTCCACGATGCCAATTGCCGCTCTGTGCACTGGACTTAGCGAGAGGTCCGCGCATTTCACTTCCCACACTTGTACAGGCTCAAACCATACGTCGGGCTCCACGCTGGAGTCGTACCTGAAGTACGATTTCGGGCCGCTGATTACATGCTTGCTCAAAAATTCAGAGTGAGCTTTCAAATCATCATCAGTAAAACCTTAAAGTATTGGGTGAATTCAGTTTCATATTTAACAAGATTTTCTGTTTAAATACCTGTGCCAATTTTACAGATGCTCTGGTATTCTTCGTTATCTGTATCATAACAAGCCAACAAAAAGCCACCGTACGCTCCAGTTCGCCGACCCTTGCCCTTATATCCCCCGATGACAACAAGATCTAACGAATCGCCAACGTTTGATAAGTAATCTTTCTTTAACTTTAACCAATTACGCGATCTCTTTGCTATTTCATATGTGGCTTCAGTATCTAATGTTTTTACCATCAGTCCCTCGCAGTTACCTAAAATATACATATAAACACTTCCATTTAGTTTGGTTCTTTAATATTAAAAGTTTCGTGCTTGCCTTTGATAGATTCTTCCAAAAATTGTTGCACCTCATCCATATCATTGGTGTCGAGGGCTGTAGCAAACCGCCATTCCCCCTCGACTTCTTGAAAGTTTTCCAACAACAATTTTCGACGCTCGGAAAGAGGCTTTGTAACTAGAGCTGCCCCATTGATATAAAGAAGGTCGAATATATAAACGCATACTTGAACCTTAATTTCTTCAATATCGACGTTTTTTCGCTTTCGTGTGCTCAGCACTTGGAATGGCAGAATTTGCTTCCGCTCCACATCCCAAGCGACTATTTCACTGTCTAAAATGTACGACTGCACAGCAGTTTTCAAAACGTTCTTGCTTCTTGCTATAAGATCTGGATATTTTTCCGTGTTGTTCTCAGAGTTGCGCGAAAAAATACTGATTTCACCTTTGTCGTTTAAATGGATTTGGGCTCTCTCGCCATCATATTTCCACTCGCAGGTGATGTGCATGCCGCTAAAACGTTCCAGAACTTCATGCACACCTTTTGTAGGCTGCGCGAGCATTGGCTTAAGTGGCATTCCCGGATGCATAGGGCAATGTTTGTGCAAATCTTCAATGTTATACTTCAAAATAGCTGGAATAATTATGTCGTAGTTGGGACACTGACTACAAAAAAAATTGAATATAAATTGTTTTAAATATATTTTTTATTGTTGCAAGAATACTTACCAAAAGGTAGTTTTAAGCAACAACGTTGTGTTTGCTATTTCGTCCTTGTATATGTCACAAACTTTGTTAGTCTTGCAATCAGAAAGACGATTTCGTTTGACAAGCGCGATAGCTAGTGCGGTCAAAAGACTCAGTTCAGCGATGCCAATACGCAATTTGCCTAGTAGAGATCGGATGAAAAATCGCGCCTCTGATAAGCGACAGGCCACAAATACATCATAGATATGTGTAATCTTAGATTGCCCCGATATTCCAGCTATTTCCTTAAGTTTGCTATAAACGCCACGGACAGTTAATTGTGCCGGCTGGAACATCATGCGCTGAGACATTCGGGATTGCTCCGCCACTATACCGAGGTCGCCAGTGATATGAGTTTGAGATTTGATGTGTGCCAAATTGCGTCCAGTTGCCTTACAAATTGCTTTCATAAGAGTAGTTTCGGCAACACCAAGCTCTAGACCTTCATAGGCGGGTGCTAATTGGTTAATACTTAGATATACGCAAGGCAACAAATCGACCGGACTAACTAGCATTACCGAACAGAAAAAGTTGCTTAAAGTGTCGATCATCTTTAAGCGTCCCTTTGTCTCCTCAATGACTTGAAATGTGCGCGCAAGTGCCAAATAGGGTGTTCTTAAATGAAAAGTGCGTCCATATAGTTATCCAAATTAATAAAAAATTCTTTATTTTACTTACACGCCCTTGGCCTTCCAATAGGCGTCGTTCAGAGGGTGGTACATCTCACTCGAAGGGTCATAGATATCTGCTCCATCTGGAAACTTAGAGTCTGTGGAAATAAGACCAATAGTTGTTTTCCGAGTCGGCTCCGCTGTTCCCGTTTCTTTCAACGGCAACTGCATTGGCATCGGCTCATTTTCTTCATCTTCGGTTTTTACATCTTTGACTTCTTTGCTTTCAGCTTTGCAGATTGTGGCATGGGGCGTGCTCAAGGGCAGTTTGTTTTCAATAGTAGTGTCCTCAGTCTTACTCCTGAAACCCAAAACCCAGTTATTTTTGTAAGCTAAATATACATACGTACATGTGTACGTATGGCGTGTTAATTTTTTACTTTTCTTTGCCCTGCTTCTGTTTTTCCGGAACATCACACTTAGGCTTAAAAAATGACCTGTGAATTAGAGAAAGACACTGACTAAGTGCTGTTGTAGGTAAGCAGTTGCAATTTTATTTACGTTATGGACTTTTGCATGTTGAAAACGAATGCAAAAACTCCCGGACGGCAAGCGTGAGGGTTCGCGCCAATAATTGTGATGAGCTGAAAGCGTCTAATATGGCCAGATTGATAATCGGATATTGTATCGGGACTTTTAGGGGTCCGATAATCATATCGATAAAAAGCCTTGGAGTCAGCTGTCTATATATGTATCAATATAGTGCGTCAATTTTTACCAAGACAAGTTTCTTTTTTGTGATACAATCGCTCGCAAACAATTATTGTTGCTAATATGGCGGATGAAAGCATAACTCGAATGAACTTATCGGCCATTAAGAAAATTGATCCTTACGCGAAGGAGATAGTGGACTCGTCATCTCATGTAGCCTTTTACACGTTTAATTCGCAGCAGAACGAGTGGGAGAAGACTGATGTCGAAGGAGCATTTTTCATTTACCATCGAAATGCCGAGCCTTTCCATAGCATATTTATAAACAATCGCCTAAACACGACATCATTTGTAGAGCCAATTACTGGAAGCCTGGAGCTACAATCGCAGCCTCCGTTTCTTCTGTACCGCAACGAGCGCTCGCGAATTCGCGGCTTTTGGTTCTACAATAGTGAGGAGTGCGACAGGATCAGTAACCTAGTAAATAGCTTACTGCAAAACAAAGAAAGTAATGGACCACATGCTCCAGCTGCGTCCGCAAACAATTTGCTGTCGCAGTCGAAACCGGAAAATGCCAGCATATTTAATATGCTTAGCAAGGCACAGCAAGAGTATAATGCAAAGCTAAACATACCACAACAAAATTCGGCCCAGCTTGAGAATGCAACACCATGCAACGTATTGAAGTTTTTTGAATCGGCAAAACAGGCAACAGCGGATGCGTTTTTCAATAGGGTGCAACAGCCTCTTTCGGTGGATCAGTTGGAGAAGCAACAACGCGTAGCTACGCCCAGCGAGGGACATAGCCAAGCCAGTGCTAGAGAAGTCGATTTGGCTGGATCCTCTGAGTGCCGTTTGTCTCCATTCCAACAGGCATCGGCATCTGCAATCAATGTTAATTCTGCAAACGCGTTGTTGCTGGGAAAGCCAAAAATTGGCCAAAGTTTCGTAGACTCGAATTCATCCTTATTTGCGGCTGATGAAGCTGAGCAGTGCCTTAGGAGACTGCTTGTCGGTGAACAGTCCAGTGGTGACGCCAGGCCAGCGCTGATGCCACCAACCATGTTTGATGCGCCGAATGCTAAATTGGAAACAGGAACGCACTCCCGGCAGCAGTCAGAGTCACACACCTTGAACTCAGCACAATTCGTTCAAGCCTTCACTTATTTAATACAAAACGACAAAGAGTTTGTTAACAAATTGCATAAGGCTTATTTGAAGAGCTGTTCCAATGCACTTCTTGATACAAGTAGAACATATCAATAAATAACTCTGCATTGAAGCTACAGAAATTACACAATAGCAGTTTTATTCCCTAAATTGGTTTATCCCAATCATCACACTCCCCCTATGTATGTTAAATATCATGTTTTATATGAATCAGCTAAGTTCATGTTGAACAAAGCCATATGCCCTTCACCTTGCTTTTTTAACAACGACGTTTTTTTTTCATAGTTATGGGCGGCAAAATATGTCCCTTACTCCGGACAATCGGTTTATTTGATTGATTTATGTTCTATATATGAACATATATAACAAGTGGCTACTCAAAAGTCGGGTGTCTCGACTTGAATAGTAGAGCGTATATAACTGCACTTTTACATAAGAATTGTGTCACTAACCATACAACATATAGATGCGTCATTTCATACAACGAAAACGTCCCATCGAAATTGTTAGCGACAGCTCCCATAGCTGTTCGGGTATTTGCCGAATGGGAGCTGTCGCACTTCGGCTATGAGCCGACTGGGAGCTGTCGCATTCGTGCTCTCTGTGAGCGAATTTCATTTCATTCGCAGAGAGGCAGTCTACAGAGACGGTCGGTTCACGCCGCTTATGCTCTTTGTATGTGTGCGTGCACATATATACATGTATATGTTTATATGTATTTGTGCATTTGGTCTTTTGCTGTTTGCGAGCAGCAGCTTCAATTTCGTTTTCAGATTTTACCTGCTACATGGGCATCAGAATTTCATACACTGTTGCCATATTTCTGTCGCATTGTATTTTGGGATGCGTATGCAAGTGAAGTTTGTCAGTAGTGTATGGGTTTCTCATAACGCCTATAAAAGCACACATACATACAATTACATACATATTTATGTGTGCAAATGTTGTGTTCATATGCAGACCTTGACATTGTCATGACCTGCCTCAACTTATATTTATGCACAAGCAATTTTATTGATAGACTATTTCTTATTTTTGTTTGACTTGCATATTAATATGTAATATGTTTGTTCATATACAACATTAGATCGGTAACAAATTTGAGCGGCGAATTAAAAAAAAAAACAATATATATTAAATTATCAAAAGATGTACATACATATAAACATATATGTATGTATTTTTATTTATTTAATTACACTTGTTTTACAAATTTTACCACATTTTGCGACCCTTAAATGTACTTATTTTCATATTAAATATCGGCTAATTTGCCAACCGACATTTTTACCAAGAACATAAATAAAATAATATATTTTTAAACTAATATTTTTGAATTAATTTGATTTAAATGCCAACTGACATTTTTACCAAATATTTTGTAATTAAACAAAAATAAGAAATAGTCTATCAATAAAATTGCTTGTGCATAAATATAAGTTGAGGCAGGTCATGACAATGTCAAGGTCTGCATATATATTGATAGACTATTTCTTATTTTTGTTTGACTTGCATATTAATATGTAATATGTTTGTTCATATACAACATTAGATCGGTAACAAATTTGAGCGGCGAATTAAAAAAAAAAACAATATATATTAAATTATCAAAAGATGTACATACATATAAACATATATGTATGTATTTTTATTTATTTAATTACACTTGTTTTACAAATTTTACCACATTTTGCGACCCTTAAATGTACTTATTTTCATATTAAATATCGGCTAATTTGCCAACCGACATTTTTACCAAGAACATAAATAAAATAATATATTTTTAAACTAATATTTTTGAATTAATTTGATTTAAATGCCAACTGACATTTTTACCAAATATTTTGTAATTAAACAAAAATAAGAAATAGTCTATCAATAAAATTGCTTGTGCATAAATATAAGTTGAGGCAGGTCATGACAATGTCAAGGTCTGCATATGAACACAACATTTGCACACATAAATATGTATGTAATTGTATGTATGTGTGCTTTTATAGGCGTTATGAGAAACCCATACACTACTGACAAACTTCACTTGCATACGCATCCCAAAATACAATGCGACAGAAATATGGCAACAGTGTATGAAATTCTGATGCCCATGTAGCAGGTAAAATCTGAAAACGAAATTGAAGCTGCTGCTCGCAAACAGCAAAAGACCAAATGCACAAATACATATAAACATATACATGTATATATGTGCACGCACACATACAAAGAGCATAAGCGGCGTGAACCGACCGTCTCTGTAGACTGCCTCTCTGCGAATGAAATGAAATTCGCTCACAGAGAGCACGAATGCGACAGCTCCCAGTCGGCTCATAGCCGAAGTGCGACAGCTCCCATTCGGCAAATACCCGAACAGCTATGGGAGCTGTCGCTAACAATTTCGATGGGACGTTTTCGTTGTATGAAATGACGCATCTATATGTTGTATGGTTAGTGATTGTGTCTATGTGGGAGCATATGACAACACAGAGTTGAGCCACTGCAGCAGCGACAACAGCTCCGGGCAGAAATCACTTTTGTGGCTGTAAATTATGTAAAAATGGGCCTATCATGATGAAATGGATACATAACCTGAATGTGTTTGCCAAATCTCAACACAATATTCTAATCCCAAAAAAAAAAATGTTCGAAGTGCCATCACTTAGGTAATTGGTATGAAAATCGCGGAGGAGGGCGGTAATTTTGTCATAAATACATTTATTTAATTTCCACAATTATTTCACTGATTAATTTAAAAAAAAAAAAAACAAATTAATTGTTACAAATGCCATTACTTAGGTACTTGGTATGAGCACCGTGGAGAAGGGCGGTAATTTTGTCATAAATACATTTATTTAATTTCCACAATTATTTCACTGATTAATTAAAAAAAAAAAAACAAATTAATTGTTACAAATGCCATTACTTAGGTACTTGGTATGAGCACCGTGGAGAAGGGCGGTAATTTTGTCATAAATACATTTATTTAATTTCCACAATTATTTCACTGATTAATAAAAAAAAAAAACAAATTAATTGTTACAAATGCCATTACTTAGGTACTTGGTATGAGCACCGTGAAGAAGGGCGGTAATTTTGTCATAAATACATTTATTTAATTTCCACAATTATTTCACTGATTAATTAAAAAAAAAAACAAATTAATTGTTACAAATGCCATTACTTAGGTACTTGGTATGAGCACCGTGAAGAAGGGCGGTAATTTTGTCATAAATACATTTATTTAATTTCCACAATTATTTCACTGATTAATTAAAAAAAAAACAAATTAATTGTTACAAATGTCATTACTTAGGTACTTGGTATGAGAATCGCAGAGAAGGGCGGCAGCTTTTTCACAAATATATTTATTTAATTTCTATAATTATTTCACTGACTTGCATTACTAAAAAAAAACTTATAATAAAAGTTACAAATTTTGTTATTTTGTTTATTTAATTTCTAGAGTTATTTCACCAATTAGTTTTGAAAAATTTAGTCGTGCCATCATTTAGGTACCTGGTATAAGAACTGCGAATACTTTTTTTTTTTGTAATTTCCACATTAAATTTAGATGACTTCAAATTATTTAAAAACAAGCGGAAAAACTACAGTCGGGTGTTCTGATTTTGACTAAAATGTAGTGTCCCTAGGTCGTATAGCTTCTGTGTATACCAATGGCGTTACGGAATATCGGGGGCATAAATAAAAATAAAACAAACTGGTACAGCGTATACACAAAATGTGAAAAATTTGGTGTCACTAGCTCTTAAAGTCTCTGACATCCAGTTGTTCATACGGACTGACACACAGAATGATGTACCGGAGTATATAAGGTGTGCCGTGCGGTGTGCGAAATGTAACAGGCAAAAGGAGGCGTGGCAGACCTCGCAATGTACATATACATATGTATATTCTTTATCAGCATGACAAGACGAGTCGATCTATGTCTGTCTGTCCGTATGACCACCTGAATCTCAGAGACTATAAGAGTTAAAGACGCAAAATTTTGCCTTATGTGTTTACGCTGCCCATACGCTGCTTGCAGTTGTTGTTGTTGCTGCTACTCTGTACTGCATAAATACTCATAAACACAATGTTACTATAGAAATTTGCACTTGTACACCCTTATTTTGTTTTATTTTAATTTCATTTTTCCCCTTTGTTTTTATTACTGTTATTTTTCTTTTAATTTTAATTTACATAATTACATTTTACGTTTTTTATGCTGTACGTATAGTATATGAATAAGGAAATGAGAAGAAAACTTTCAATTTTGTGCTGCAAAGATATTCAAGAGAATCGTGCTTGTGCCCTTTCACTACCGAAGCAAATTGCGGTCTAAATTGTAAATATTTTTTTTTTTTTTAAATTGTAAATATTTATAAATGAATCAACTGGAACAGCTCTATGCAAAGCTCCGGCGAGTTCTAATAGCCTTTAAATTACAACAATCAATTATTTATTATCATTAAAATTAACTATTTATTTGAATAGTTCCTTAATTTTTGTCCTATGACAAATAAGTATAAACACGAATAAAAACAAGTTATAAAATGATGTGTATGGTCAGGTAAACTTAATGCATTACTGTCCGTTTACTGTTTTTTAAAAAGACATAATTATAAATACGAGTAGAATGGAATATTTCAAGCTTGAATATAACGATAAGCCGATTAAACTTGCCACCTTGTTCTTTCTCTTCATTACTTTTACATTCATAGAGAAGTTAATTTTTACTGCAAGCATATGTAAGTGTATGCAGATAAAATACCAAATTGTTGAAATCGGAAGATATTAATGTCTAATAAGACATACGGATATGTAAACTGTGCATATTATTGTACAAAAAAAGCAGGATCTATGTAATTACATATATACAAATGTATCTATGTATGCAGATGTACAGGTGATAAATACTCGTAGGTGTGTGGGTATGTAAACAAAATGTACCAACCTATATATACCTGTATGTATGTATATATGTACCTATGTATATATGTTCATATATTTATCAACACACGTGCGAGTATGCAACTCTTTTTTAAACCAACGAGTTGGAACGTTTTAGCTGGCTGGCTCTCAATGAAAAGACGTTGTAAGTTTACCCTTGTGTTAGTTTTTAAGTCACATACTATACATGCATACATAGTTATGTATGTAACAAACACACGTACGCGCCAAAACACAGTGCATGATATTTAATGTTCCTACTATTTGTCTGCATAGATATGCCTGCCTATTGCCAAGCTAGAACCTTTAGCACGAGACATTTCTTTTAGCAATTCAAATTTGAAATATCTTATAATATAAGATTTAAATTTTAAATTACAAAACAATATACTACAGCTATTTAATTTTTTTTAATAGCATGGCACAATCCTTATTTTGAGAATTTTCAAGCGATTTAATTGAATTTACGTTCTTAAAATTACTCTTAATTAATTTATTATAAAGCTAGAGAAATACCCAAAATATCTTATATTATTTACCAAAATATCTTATATTATTTAAATTACTAAAATGATAAAAAAAAAATATATTTTTTAATAACAATTGTAAGCATTAAATTAAAACATATTTAAATCCAAAATATAAGCACATTATAATAAACTTTTCCAGGCCATTATAAATAAATATTGATAAATATATTATAGTCATACAAGGCTTCAATATAACTTACTTCCTGCGAATTAGATAAAAACAATTAAAATATTGGTGGATACTATTTAAATACAAGTATTAATAAATATTCCTGTTTTTGTAACTTAGGGTATTCAAACTTCTCATGAAAAGGACTTCTTTGTTAGTCACTTTCCGGTTCGCTTGCACCGCTGCTAGTTGCAAGATAAATACACTAGCCAGCGACTGTTACAAACCGTCGAACCGAAGGCAACGAAGCAGAAAGGCTTTCCAACCCCCACAGGGGCAAGTGGCAGCTGTTAAACAGACACGAGCGATACTCGTAATGTGAACGCTAGGCGAGATCAGCAGAGACAATGCCGGCATTCGGGAGCTAGATGGTCTGTTATTCTCTTGTCAGCTCTTTGGCTCTCTGTGCTGTACTCTCTATTGACGGTTTTTCACTTCCCATTGTGGCTAGCACCGCAATGTTTAGTCGTGACATACCAGACACATGCGCTCGACCATGCTCGAGCCCCGCGGATGAGAATTCGTTATATGAGTTTGTGAAGTGTGAAGTTTCGTTGAAGTACTGTTCCAGGAGTCCCTAATAAAGTAAAAATGCAATTTTCAATCCTTTTTACCATCGCGGTCGCAGTTTTGCTCCAAAAAGGTACAGTGATCAAGGTTTTTACAAATCTGTTGTAAATATGAGTGAAAAATCTTGAGTATCGGGAAACTATTTTTAAAATGAAAGAAATGAAATCATCTCGTCTAAGTAAATATACATACCCCTACATGCATATAGAAAGATGTATGTATGTATTCTATAAATTGAAATACTCGCTGTGCTACATAGAAGTTTATGTGCAAATCTGAATGATATATCTTTGAAAAAACATATATAAATAATACTTATATTCAAAAATAAACATATATATACTACATATTAGCACATAAATTGTAGATTTTTGTAAATGAAAATGTGTACATCATAGACCTTCAAAAATCTATATGTATAGATATACTTTCAATAATACATATTTTTTCGCGCTATTTGGGTTTTTTGTTTATGACATGAACTGGATAATTTTTGAAGCAACGTTCAATTAACTTCCCGTTTTAAGAATTTATGTGATGATTGAGAGATATGAGAATATACATATCTATAAATCCATGATTTCTTTTATGAAATTATATAAAATTATCTGCCTTTATTGTCTGATTCATTCAGTGGAAAATATATTTGGAACACACATGTTTTTTTTTTTTTTTTGGTAAGAGTGAGGGCTAAGACATGGCCTTGAAAAAGAAACTTGTAGTTGGTGAATATTATTAAATTTATTATTGAAAACGAACACTTGAAGTTTCATAGACGAACAAAATAAGATGCCAATTTAAGTTGAACTTTCGAATGAGTTACATAGCATTTCCATTTACAGTCAGTTAATATCTTGGTTTTGCTAAAAAAAAACTGTCGGGGTTACCGAAGCATGCAAACATGACACGTACCAAACTGAATAATCACTATGTAAAGCCCTAACCTTCCTCTCTTATACTATAAAAGAGCGGATGTTTTGATTTATGTAGAAAATAGAAATTCTCTATTAGTCCGATTGAATTTTAAATATTAAATTTACATTTTTATGCACAGAGGAAAGCATCTTAGACCGTAACACATGGATTAGCACAGAGGTGACTCGGTCTAGTTATTTTTATCTTTATAGTTTTCACTGTCCGCTCTCTTTTATTATTACTTCCTACTCCCTCACTTTATTTGTAACTCGAAATATCTTTATTTGTTCTAATGTCAAGTTATATGTTTATGGCCAATACTTGATAAAGAAAGTTGTTCTTTATTGTATTTAAAACAACTTATTTATGCTTCCCTCATCAATTAGATATCTTCTATTCTTTGAAAATATATCGCTAAATGTTCGGATTTAAAAAAAGTGGAATTGTAATCGTGTAACACAGTACTTTGATTCACTAAAGAATATGTTAATTAAAGTGAAATGATCTTCTTTTTCTCTTTAAAGATGTTCTCTGCTTGCCATTAAACGATGATTCAAACAACATTGTGATTGTACTTGAAAACGATGAAATGGAGCCCACTGTATTGGATTGTGATTATGATATCCAAGACACGGAATCCTTTCTTACCGTAAAATGGTTTAGGAATGACAAAACTATATATCAATGGATTCGGGGATCCCATCCATCTCCCATTGTGAGTAAATTTGGTTATATAACCTGTTATGCATTAATCCTAGATTTGATTTGATTTCCTTAGCCCGAATTTAAAAATGATATCGACACTTCCTATGAGAGTTCAACGGACCCCAATAAGCAATACAGTTCGCTGGCTCTTATTAATCCCTCAATCAGTACAACTGGAGACTATAAATGCGTTGTCCAAACCCAAAAGGATACACATATTTTTCATAAAAGGGTACAAGTTATCGATGTGAGAAATTACACATTGACATTGCATCACAATAAAATTCATAACGAAACTCAGCTGGAATGTATGGTATCCAATGTATTTCCAAAGCCGACGCTGACAATTACGTGAGTATTGTACTTTTACCTTAAATTTAATAATCAATAATAAATTAATGATTTATGGTAAATTTATAGATCTGATGACGAGGATGATGAAGTTAAAGTAGTAACAAACGATCCGCAAGAAAACGAGGATGGATACTATAATGCGACAACAGTAGCCGCGGTTTATGATGATGATGAAGACGCTGACATCTATAAATGCGTTGTAACCTTTGATGGTTACGCACAAAACTTGACAACGACCACCACATCTGGATCACTTCGAATGATCATAGATGTTAGATTAATTTGGATATACTGCATCGTATATATTTTTTCAGCAAGCTTATAAGGCTTGCTTAAATATGTAGATGGGCTGTTGATATTATTTGTTACAAATTCATATTTAATAAATGTAAATAATTGTGGTTAATTCATTGCATTTTAACTCACTGCATAATATCTAGTGAACCAATCAGTCATTTAATTGTATAATAATGGTCTATTATAAGAACGAAGCTTGATTTTTGAACCAACCAAGAAAGCAGAGTAAGACTCACCTACAGCAATCCTTCTGAGTAGTTTATTAAGAACACAAATATTTTAGAAAACAGATAGTTCCTTCATTAAACTCGTTTTTATTCCATAATACATCATATAGTAAAAAATATCAAATGGATCGAATACGATAAATATACATAGCAATATTTACATAAAGCAAGTTAATTTCTATATTTTTTCGTATAAGCTTTTTATTTGACGGGAATTGTGGGATCCTTTTAGTCCTGTATTATAGTATTTCGCTCCAGATAAAGTGCTCTTTCGATTATCCATTTTCGAAGATTTGTCTTTCATAATATAAATTGCATGTCTCTCCTGCTTTCGGAACTTAGCTCTTCGATTTTGGAACCACACCTAGAGCGAGGTAACAAACATCCAGTTATTGTAACTTGTAGAAAAACACAAAATTACTTACAAAATGTATTTGCAAGGCAATAATAAGAATAAGTTGTGATTAGTAATTTAGGTCCATATCTTAAAGTAAAAGTGCATATTCTCTTTACCACTCAACTTTTTAATACACGGATGGACCATTAGTGGTCCTCATCTACATTATCTTTCTCTAGACCTAAAATTAGACCCGACAAAATATAGCAGTGTGGTAAGGACTGCAGTATCTTTCAATAAAGAGACTTTGAGCTAGATTTAATACAGCATTGATTTGATATACTTGTAGATATGAGTACCAACCATGGGTCCAGGTTAGAGTTGTATTTTTGTTTGTTGCGTGTTCGTATTCTTTCTTAGGAAATACGAAGCGAAACAAGTATGTAGAGTAACGACAAAATTGAAAAATAATTAATAAAAAAAGTGTCTTCCTATTGAATGATATTTTCTTTATGTAGCAACGAGTATCCGCATGAAAGATACTGTAATGTATTGTAGAAAATAACAGGACAGTTCTCTCCCCAGCTAGAACATGACATTTGCAGATTTTTCACTATTCACGGTGATGCAATCATGCAGAGAATACAATTGCTTTATCATATTCAATGATCGTAGAGCGTGGATAGTGCCTTTGATTAATGGTATCTTTATCTTGAAGTTTTAAATGGAGCAATAGTACCTCCCCTCTCTCTGGGATGCTTCATTGTTAAAATTTTAGAATTTCAATGAATACTCTAATTAGAAGCGTAACTTGCCTAATTGCAACAATTTCTTGGCATTTATTAAACAAACAAAATGCTCATATGATTGGCATTGCAGAAAATGTGAAGTTGAATCGGTTGATTTCCTTATCAACCGTCCATCAGCTCTTTAGTTTATTATGAATAATCAAAGGACATTTTAAATTAAATGTCATAATGTGATGTGATTAAGTATGTACTTGGTGTTTAACTCTACCCTGTTGGATCTAAAAAAAATTTGCTTAGCAGGGTAGCCAAAGTTTATAGAGACGCGAAAGATGGATAGTTTAGTGGTAATAAATAGTTCAGTTTATTTGCAAGGGCGATTATACACAGCATTCGTCTCCAGCTGTAGAAGTTGATGATACTAAAAACATATGCGACTGTTACTATGGACTAAAAATTACGATCCCTGTAATATGCATTTAATATATTTAACTAATATACATATAACAAATATAATATATCATAATATATGTAAGATGTTGTGGTTGAAAATTGTACTGATACCTATTTATAAATATTGTTGTTTAGAAGTGTCTTTAAGTAAACATGATTTTAAATAATTTCAAAATGCTCTTCGGCATGAATGTTTGATAATGTACTATAATATATTTATTAGATTTTTAGTTTGTTCAAAGCTAGAAGCACAGTGTTATTTGTTAAGTAAATAAGACCTATGAAACCGCTGTAAATCACGTTTTACCACTTGAATTAACAATGGTTAATCTTACAAATCTTTTAAAAATAACTTAAACCAGATTTTTAATAATCTTACCTGTACTCGTGCTTCAGTCAAATGTAATTTTGTCGCAATTTCCTCTCTTGTATAAATATCCGGATAGTGTGTTTCTAAAAATATTTTTTCCAGCTCATTTAATTGATTCGAAGTAAAAGTGGTACGAATCCGTCGCTGCTTTGATTTGTCAGTTAAACTTGAACTCTCGTCCCCATATGGTTTTAAATGGAAATCTACAAGCCAGAAAATAGAAAAGCAACGAACAATATTTGAATCAATCGAATTGCTTTTAAAATCTCTTCCGCAGGTACAACGCCCTTTCTATCTTTACAGAACTTAAAATATCTAAAAATCATCGGTAACTGTTTTTAACAATCATATGTATAAGCCACAATGTTAGTTATAGCCAGTTAGTATTCAAACATATACTTCTTATTCATCTGGAACATGATCCAAACTATATTTTTCAAGAGTATTGCTGTGAGAGCAGTAGTCTAATGTCATGTGGAACCTATTTATAAGCACTCTATTAAATAACTTCTGGTTATCAATGTGCGCGTACGAACGCCGACTAACTGTTTCAAGCAACAGCTATGACTTGTGGAACAACCTAAAATTGTAGATTTGGAAATGAAGAAAAGCGGTTAGGTGCAAATAACTAGCTTCACGTTTTCAAAGTGTCTTCCGATGTCTTGATAGCACAATGATGATGAATGAAGAAAGGTGGGCGAAAAGTGGTTAAGTGGTGCTGATAGCTATCTAGTACTGGTAATAGATTTATCAAATGCTTCAGAAAGTGACGACTCTCTGCGAACTGGGTTCTTCGATTTAGTGCAATATAATTTATCAAGCGCTGTTAAGGTATTAAAGGAGATACTATCGGAGTTGAAGAAACTTTCGAATTGCGAAAACTGGGGGTGAAGCTGAAAAACCGCTGCCGCTTCCAATCCATTAAGGAATACCAAAGACTGAATAATATATGACATTACATGCTTTTCCTTTACCAATCTAATCAAATCAAGCAAAGTGATTATTAATAAATAAAGAAGTAATTTCATGTTTCTTTCGAAAATTTAATTTAAAAAACTGCCCGATCTAACAAATATTTGCTTAAAAATAATGGTTTAGTAATGTCACACAAATTTTTTATTTATGTAGCGATAATTTATATTATTCTTTGCCTTGATCTAAGACACATACAACTCATAGGAAAATGTAAAATTAGAGCTTACCTGTATTGTAGTGGCCAAGGCTATGAGCTCCTTGATAAAAATCAGTCGAGGTTGTTATTTTCGAAAACAAAAAGTTAGATTCTTGATTCAGGGAACTCCTTATAGCACTATCATTAGCACAAAGTTTGTAACTCGTATCGATCATTAAATTGTAATGGCTCATATGATTTGCGACTGTAACTCCGTTATTGGGATTATTCGAGTACAATGGAGAGTTGGTGTTGTATATGCAATCTTTATCAAAGCTCGACTTGTTCAAAAATGAAAATTCCATTGCATTAGAAAATATATACGCATTCACTTGTCCAGCATCTGTGTGCCACACTTTGGGTATTTTTCTTTTCCGTTTTAAATCACATCTCAATAAACCTAACAATTACGGAGTTATGGCAAAAATATAATTTTACTGCTCTTGAATAAATAAGCGTCAATTACAATAGCTACAACTTCAATTTTTGGACGAAAAAGGATGCTGTGCGTTCGAATCAAACGACAAGGAAGGAAAACATTACACTTCACATTTGGGGGCGGTGTTAATCACAAAAATAAGAATAAGGGTGGAAAAGTTACAAGTGCCACATACACGGCTCGAAAATGAATGTATTTTAAGCTTTTTTATGCTTTTTATTTATGTTACTTGTATATATTTTTTTCTATTTATGTATATTAAACATATTAGCTGTGTTTTTTATACTTTACCATAAATGTTTACTATACCGAAATAAGCTTATAATGTTCCCAAAATTGAACAGATTTTTTTATAATATCCTTAATATAAAATCATATTAATATACCAATTTCATTCTAGGCAGTCATTGGCTTGTTTTTAGTAGAGTTTGCCAATTATCAGAAGATTGGACGACAGGCATTGATTATACGAGTAAAGAAAGTCAGAAATTCAATGTATTGAAATATGAAAGGAAGCATTAGGGTGTTCATAATTTCTTGCCACTTCCGCGTGATAGTACTATGATGTTTAGCCACCCCCGCACAAACGAAATGTAAAAGAATTGTGGGACACCTTAACATGCACTTGTCGTTGGGTATGTAAGCGGAAGCATAAACGTAAGTGTCGAACACGTTTCTCCATACGTTAACAACCCTCTTCAGATTCAGATACAAAAGGAAGCATTTCTAGCTAATTGAAACATAAGCTCTGGCAGTGTTTAACTGCTTAGCACTTCTCTTTTTATATATTTATAAATGTGAAGCAAGTTAAGTATTACACAAAGACAAAAGGGAAATCACACAATAAACACTTGCTTTTACCTAAATATTTAAAAAAAAATGTGAGATTCTGCCTAACTATAAATAAATAGAAACCTCATTCTCCACTGGACTAAAATGTGTTTTTCGAAATGTTATACAAATATTCTGTGTCCGACTTCTAAGGCTATTCGATTTCTTTTATTCTTACGCATTGCACATTTTCAAGTCCCAGAACATAAAATAGAAGAAGCTAAAATATTTCAAAAAATCAGCCATAAAAGCACATATTGGGATTGTTTTTTTAGGCGTTGTGACCAACCTTTTCAAATTTAGTTTCTGTTTGACTAATTGAATATTTCAAATAATAATATATATTTTTAATATTTTATATCAAATATTTTGCTGTCTTAATATTTTATCTCATATGTTGAAAATGTCAATCACAAATAAATATATAAAATCAAAAAAAGGTATCAGCAAAAAATTACCTTATTTCTTTTTTTTTTTTGTAACATTGGTAGGAAATATTTATGAGCCTCAGTTTTAGCATTAACGAAACCATTTTAATAGTTAATAAACGTGGGATCAGTAAAGCTGAATTTGATTTAAAACAGATTGTATCGAACATCTCGATGCTTTATATACTCCTCAATTGTAGGGTGTATTCGAGGAAGTTTCTGTTATCTGCAACGTTTGACAGGATTTCAAAGAATACTCCACCTAAGTGACCGATCTATTCTGAGTGAGTTAGAACTCAGTGAATATTGATCGTACTCTTTAATTATAGGACATCGAATCTAGAAAATTATGGACTGAATGAATGTGGTTTACGACAAAGATGAAAAGGACAGCTTAAAAACCGTTACACTCTAGGTTGGGTTGTGTACGAGTAGGTATGCAGGATCGTTGTGATGCCATGATCCCCTTAGGCTTATTGGTCCGCCTTCGACCACCCAGAGCCACTAATGAACCTAGCTAGTCTTACGATCACCATCTAGGAAGCGTCTCATGATGGCAGTAAGCCTGTGTCTGCTCGGAACTAGATAGAAAGAAATGATGTGGGTTTTCTCCTCTTCGTTATCTTTGCAGCTTCTGCAAAAGTCATTAATTGGGATGCGAAATCTCATCAAGGCACGCCTAGTTAGAACTGTCTACCTTTAACGAATTGATCGTTTCATAGAGCATATATGTACCTTGGTTTAGAGCTCGGTTGTGTTTACAAGGTACGTTACTTAATCCATTCTATTAGCAATGAGGGCGATCACAGTATAATTTGACTTTTTACTTTCGCCATGCGTGGCGCATGTTATAAGTATTCTGCCTGTCGAAATAATATGAAGGTTGTTTAAATTGTCTTGATTCTAAGGCGAAAAATAACATGATTTGCAATGGATTCAAAATCGTATAAACAGGCCATAAGGATCCGGAACACCGGAACATTAAGAGTAACCCCAGAGTCCTGACCCTTGCGGACTATCGCATATGAATAATAACCTTTGAAAGAGATAACATAGTTGGGATACCCTTCCTCATATAAGAATCAACGCCATCATATGACCCTAAACAAGAGAGGGAGTTCTTAGTGTTATCAACTCCCTGGGCCTGAAGATAAGGATCTTTCCATATTTCTTACCACTATAGTGTTTACCAAGCAAAAGTTACTGCGATACTGGGATCAAACGGCACCTATGCCCAACCAAAGGCGTATTTCTTTATATTCAGACAGCTAACCTGCGCTTACCGACTGCCGTTGATCTCTTAACGCGATGGCCCAGCTGTCTCATAGGGACCCGGGACACTGAAACATTAAGAGTAACCCCGGAGTCCTGACCCATGCGAACTATGGCATATCAAGATATAACATAGTTGGGAATCCAAGCTGTCTCATAGGGACCCAGGACACTGGACCATTAAGAGTAACCCCGGAGTCTTCATATAAGAATCAACGCCATCACATGGCCCTAAGAAAGAGGGGGAGTTCTTGGAGTTATCTACTCCCTGGACCTGGAGATAGGGACCCGGAACACTGGAACATTAAGAGTAACCCCAGAGTCCTGACCCCTGCGGACTATCGCATATGAATAATAACCTTTGAAAGCGATAACATAGTTGGGATTCCCTTCCTCATATAAGAATCAACGCCATCACATGGCCCTAAGCAAGAGAGGGAGTTCTTAGTGTTATCAACTCCCTGGGTCTGAAGATTAGGACCTTTCCATATTTCTTACCAATATAGTGTTTACCAAGCAAAAGTTACTGCGATACTGGGGATCAAACACTACCTATCCCCAACCAAAGGTGTATTTCTTTATATTCAGACAGCTAACCTGCGCTCAAGGCGCTTGATTCTTAACGCGATGGCCCAGCTGTCTCATAGGGATCCGGGACTCTGGAACATTAAGAGTAACCCCGGAGTCCTGACCCATGCGAACTATCGCATTTCAATAATTACCATTACAAGATATAACATAGTTGGGAATCCCTTACTTATATAAAAATCAACGCCATCACATGGCCCTAAGCGAGAGGGGGAGTTCTTGGAGTTATCTACTTTCGGACCTGGAGAGAAGGATATCATTCCGTACTTCTTACCACTATAGTGTTTTCCAAGCAAAAGTTAATACGATACTGGAAGTCAAACGGCACCGATCCCCAACCAAAGGCGTATTACTTTATACTCAGACAGCTTAGTTAAGGCGCTTGATATTAATATGGATAGCTCCACGGTCATTTTCGACTGCCGTAGATCTGTTAATCTGTGGCTCAGTTGTTTCATAGGGACCCGGGACACTGGAACATGAAGAATAACTACGTTCCAGGTGAGCTGGCAAGGCGGGGAACCACCCCAAGCATCATTCCTGGCAAAGAAGGTATGAGTTTATGATACGCAACCACGCGCGTTCAGTGTCCCAGCAGCGCTGAGAAGGTACAAATCCATGTGTTCGTGTAAGGCTTACATGGCCGATTGTGGTTCATAAATTAAACAAGTGAGAACACTACAGTCGAGCAAGCCCGACAGTGAAATATCCTGTACCCAGACAAACTTACGTCACTGAGTTATATGCGCCCATAGCAGAAGCAAAAAGAGGAAGAAGAGCGAACTTGTTGCTGCAGTTTGGGGGGTTGTACTGGAGAGAATTTGTTTCGCTAATAACTTTTCTTAGAAATGACCGAAATTAAGCGGGGGAAGGTGGGGAAAATTCAAAAAATAAAATAAACTCGTCCTTTCTCGGACCTAGGAAAATCCGGATACCAACTTTGGTTATTCTAGCTTTTATAGTTTCTGAGATCCTTGCGTTCATCCAGACGGACGGACAGACGGGCGGACGGACATGTCTAGATCAATTTCTCTCGTCATGCTGATTCAGAATATATATACTTTATGGGGTCGGAGATGCTTATTTCTATATGTTACATACTTTGCACAAACCTAATATACCCTTTTTACCCTACGGGTACAGGGTATAAAAGGTCGGAAGTCTCCATGACGGTGGGGACGATCAGGGGCCACAGTTGGCAGACATGCTGCCTGACTTGGCTCGGTGAAGGAGATGGTTGAACGGGGTAATGCTCCTCCGAAAACTAAAAATCCATCGATGACTAAACGCTTGAAAAGGTTGTATGTGTTGTCTTGATGCTTCAGCGATAGTAGCTCAAATTTGGGAGTGGCAACCACTGATCATTGATATTGATGGCTAGGCACAACACTCATTATAGGGAAGAACATACATACATATATAAATGATAGAGATCCCTGTTAAGATCCGTATTTCTAACAAAGGGCAGGTAAAAGAAGAAAAAACGCTACTGTTGGGCAACACCCTGTACTGGCACGGAGTGATGTGCGCCTATGGCAGAAGCAAAAAGAAGAAAAGCTTCGTATGAAAGACTATTTAAGTGTCATACGTAAGTACACAACTTAAATAATACCCCAGTAGCAAAGTCAGGCCAAGCCTAAGCTCCCTTCGAAAATACGTGAGCTCTGATTATTCTACAACTCGACACATCTAAAAGACTATGGGATAATCTTGGGGAATATAAGAATAGACTCTCGGCCTTTCTTCCAAATCACTCCAACACAGACGCTGCACAAGGTGTGTGCAAGATACTCCTGGTTGAGGAACAAGCATGCCTCAGTAAAGCCAGTCTAGGTAGCGGTAGAGCCATCGTGCACGAAAACAATACGATACACCTCAGAAGACGCCAGACTGGTCCTAGGGTCCCTCTCGATCTCTGCCAAAAATTCTACTCTATGGCTAGGTAAGACGATCAGTCTAAAAAGCCACGCAAGCAAGACCTAAAAGCAACATATTACTTATTAACATTGCGAGATTAGTTCGCACCAATAAGCGGTTGAAGAAGCATGTTTGACATAGCAAACAACGTGATGCGAAGTACATAGAGCCAGGGCTAATACTAGGCCATCTCAGCACACGCCCAACAATCAAGAGTAGCAAATTTATGCATGCTCATCAACGAAGGAAGTATCACGAATTCTATTGAAACAACCTACCATAAACCAGACCTATAATCTCAGTCTAACTTCGCTTCCCTGCAACTCTACTGTTACCAAGAGGAGAAGCTAAAGTCGCGTGTCCCGACTCTGAAATACTCTGTACATACATATGTGTAGAATAATTATGCGTGTAGAACAACAACTTCGGGCAAATGTTGCATTCAAGGCTATAACTTCCTGTTAAATCGGCCCATCGTGATGAAGCTTGGTACACAGACCCATAATCACTCACATCTTGTCTGCCAAAAATTCTAAGAATTACGGGAGTTATGGAAAATTATTAATTGCGGTGGAAAGGGGAAAGGGAGGGAAATTCCAAAATACACATTTTCTACGTATTCACATAGTGCATCTTGGAATAAAATGTGATTACCCCTAGGTCTTATAGTCTCCGAGACACAGGTGATCGGAAAATCCCCCATAGGGGAAAAGTGGGGGAAATTTTCAAAAAAATTAAACAAACTTTCACAGCGTAAACACATATGGTATGTTTGTGCAAAATTTGGTGTCATTTGCTCTTATAGTCTCTGAGACCCAGGTGTTTATACGGACAGACAGACAGACGGACAGACAGACGGACAGACAGACAGGGCTAGATCGACTCATCTTGTAATGCTGATCAAGAATATACAGACATACATATATACTTTTTGGGGTCTGCCTGTTACATTTTTCACCTCCCGCAAATACACTATAATTTCTCTACGCTTATACATACATACATATGTACATAACATAAATTTTAATATATCTGAATACCAAGCTTGGATATTCCAGCTCTTACACTTATCGAGCACACTGATCAAAAATATACATATGTATATAGTTTTAGGGGTCAACCACGCCTGCTTCTTTGTGTTACATACTCGTATGCACTAAAATAATATAACCTTTTACGCTCAGCTTCAATTATTATTATTATTAATTATGTTATTAATTATGTAAACTCTGCCCAAGCTTTGCCCCCAGTTGTTGTAGTTATTGCTGCTTTAGCTCAACTCTATAGGTATATATTTTTCGCAACAGTTTTCGTTTACGAAATTAGAGAGCAGATGTTATCGATAGAAACGATAACTGAATAGGATGAATTAATGCTCGTTTTTAAAATTTGTTTATTTATTTTTATATGTTTACGTATGTGTAAGTAGGTTCAAAGTGTTGTGCGAATTTAATAATTGTTTATATAGACAAACTTACATGGGAGCAATAATGTATCGCCTGTACTGACAACAGAAAATATTTTCTTTCTTATCGCAACAACGGAAAATTGTGTAGTGGAAACACTAAAAATTAAGAACACATGTATAATAGGGTGATATGTAAGTGTTCCTATTCAAATCGTTTCATTCTTGTGAAAAAATTTGTATTGTCGTAACCTTTTTATTTCAGTCTATTCGCCGAATTTTGTTTTTGTTGAATGAAAAGGGTGCAACTATTTAACGAGTATGTTGCGATCAAGGCTTTTAAACATACCTAGAAGGTATGTGTCTTATTTATCTAGTGAGTTTAACTCTGTGGTTAATCGGGAGCTGGTGCCTCCCGTTGCTCACAAAGGACAGCAGCCCCTCAACTTGGATGTTTTTGTTAAGCAAGAAAATCGGCAAATGGACATCTTAGAAATATTGCTTAAACTCAGGTATATAGAATTTTTATATTCCACGATTAAAATGACATGTCTCCTTTAATTGTTGTAGAAAGCAAAAAGAATCTACGTCTGTGCCACTTTTCCCAAGCATTTTGGCGAAACAGTTGCTCGAGTCAGCGAGTCTGACAGAACTTGTGACTGTTCTACGAAATCCCTTAGAGTATGGGGTATTTATCGATCAGTTCACCGGATGCTTCTTAATGGACCACCTGCTACACCATGGGAACTCATTGGAAGCAGGTCAGATCGCAGCTATTCTTGTGGAGCGCGACTTATGCAATAGCGACATTGCCACCGCTCTAGCCCTTCGTTCGTTTTATAATTATTTACAAGTTTTCGAGCCAACTGAACTGCCTGCAGAAAAACCTGTTACATCAAAGGCCGACGTGGTAAATGTAAACCTCTAATAATAAAGCTATGTTCTCAAATACTTATACCCTGTTTCAGGAAAAAGTCCGTGTGAAGTATTTACGTAACTATGCCAAAGGGGATCCTTTATCAAATACAGAAGAAATGATTATGAGTCGGGCCTTGATAAAACTAGGGGAGCATGGCAAAGATGAAAGGCAACTCAAACAAAACTTCGCTTTACTTGGCTTTGTGCTGGGTGGCCAAATGCCCGAAATGGATAAGTTGTTATCGCAACACAAAAATATATTTTACAAGGAAATTTTGGAATTATGCGAAACTTTGATTGGAAAGATTCAAAGAAAAGAAACATATAATGTGGATATGCTACAGGAGGTGCTGAAAGGCTGTACTCGGATCGACTCAATTCAAGAGGTGCTGGAATCAAATATAAAATTATGTGTGCATGATAACGAGTCGAAACTCATTGCTGATCACGTTAAACAGTATGACGACTGGGCGAAAAATTACGAAGTCGTTGTTAAACAGCAGCTCAACACTGAAGACTTAAGTACACGTGTTGAGAATATAAGCAAAATACTTAGTGAGATGGAGGCTAAGCGACAAAATCTTTGGTTCTTCGAGAAAAAGGACGAAATTGATATACAAATATTTAAGCAAAAGGTATTTTATCCTAAACGTTGGTTTGGCAAAAAGAAGAAACCAAAAGTAGTCGACAAGTTCTATGTACCACCAAACATCACGCGAACCAGTTGAAGTTAAATAAATATTTAGCTTAAACAGAGAAAATATAGTTATATTAGAGCTTTAATTAAACTACTAGAGAATGAATCCAAATGCAGTGTTTCATTTTTCGAACGTTAAATTGTTTAAAATTACCATAACGTAACATTGAGGGTCACAGTTATATTCATTCCATATCAGTTTACAACATTTTTATAACTTTTGCTTTTGAGTTTTCATAAACTTGTATTCTCTTAGAAACTAATCGTCTGTCATTTATTATGCATTGCCGGTGGCAGAGCAGTTTTTAAAACACGCTGCCCGGGTGCTGATGGCGACAGATTGATTGGAGATGGCATATCATGCCGCTTATCCTGTATAGTTAGTGGTAGAAATTGCTGCTGCTTCTTTTTCCGGTTCATGTTCATTGGATGGGTATTATCATTCTTTCCGAACAATATGGTCAGGTGTACTGCGCAGAAAATGCCCAAGCTCTGCATAAAATGTAAAACATTTGTTTAATAAGCTCGGCTATCGGACATTTTGGCCTACTTACCTGAAGAATGGCAATAATGGCAGCTCCAAATGCGGTTATCAATAGACGGTTCCTAATCTGCTCAGATACTACGGCCAAGCATCCACGCTTATAATGGGTATCACATGCCGATTCGTATGCATGCTCGGGGCGCGAGCAACAGGACCAGGGTAGCGAGAGACGGCGATAGTCAAGAGGTCCGTCGACGCCACAGCATTGAAGCTACATAATATTTCAATACACACATATGTATATGCATGCATGCAAAGGTTCTTAAATAAAAAGTTTTCCAATATATTTTTATAACTCCATTACCTGAGATTGCATACGATTCCACAAATGTAAGTTATCCACCTTAGTCCTTGAGAACTTATCCAAAAACTCTACAAAGGAATCATCAATGAAAATCTCTACGGATGTGGGAAGATTCTCGCGCATCGCCAAGGACCAGCCACAGATTATGAATTGAACACATATACAGGCAACCAAGAGTGCAGCAAACTATATATAAAATTAATTATTTTGTTGTTTCAATTCTTGTAATTAAGTATATGTATATAATTGGCGCTTCCGCTTAGTTTCGTATTACCATGCCAAGCAGACAACGTTTTCGTTGATTAGTGGCCTGACAGCCCATCCAGCATAAAATAAACGTAACAGGTCCAAGACATAGGAGTATTGCTGCTGGTGCCCACAACTTGTTCTGCACAATTCCATAATATACAGAGTGTCCCCACAATAGTGATGTTCCCAGGAATATTTGAGCTGCCCCGGTAAGCTGCAATTAATGTGATGCAGTATTAGTTGTTTACACATGCATTTATAAAATTTGTTTGTGCTAGAAATATTTATTTATTAATTGAATACTTATTATTATTTATTTAATTGCATACATTTTTAATATTATTACGGATTTATAAGATATTACAAATTCTTCATCTCAGTAAAAGTCTTAATTATATATACACTATTTTATGCTTAAAGGATATATTTATTTGATGTATTTTTTGAGAATTAAATAGTATGTATTGGTGAGTTGAACCGTTTGACGTCATTTGATAACGATATATACACACATGTATTTATGTATACGTACATATGTATGTATAGTATTTCCAGGAAAGTACACCCAGTTTGTACATATGTAATACGTATTTATACATAGGCGTAGCTTTAACTGGCTCAAGGTCGCCAGCATGTTATACATACATATGTACTTCAATTCCTATACATATGTACATACATATATCTACTGCCATCCCTTGCAGTACAACATCTAGCTGTTACTTTTTTAAATCATAACATAAAACATACGCTTTGTTTGAAATCTGTTTTGCTTAGATTTAATGTTTGCATCTAATAAGTATTTATATATGTACATATGTATATGTGCCTTTGTTTGTATATACATATGTATGTACGTATATAAGGCACGCAAAAATTAGGTAATAGTGATGCAGCGTGATGTGAAAAGTTGAAGGACGCGAATTGCGAGTAACATGATTTTGTTAGTAAGTATCTCATTAACCTTGAAGTTGAATCTAAAAACAAAATTTGACGCATCTTGCAGCTCAATGCTCTTACATACATACATATGTACATGCGTATAAACATTACTTGCAAATTAATAATAAGAATGAATCAAATTTCTGTGATCCAGATATGCAATGTAGTTCATCTGAATGTACTTACATACATATGTACATGTACATTTTTGTACATACATATTTACATCTTTGATTATGCTCGTAGCCTTAAATAATGTATGTATGTATGTAAATATATGTATGTACATATGTACATACATATATTTGCTTATGCATACATACGAGCATATTTAAGTAAGAGAGCGAAATGCACAAAAAGTCAATAAATCTTGGCAATTCCATGCAAGAAAATTTGAATATTATACATACATATACATATGTACATGTGTGTGTTTGTGAATGCATGTACACACACAAACAAATGTACATGCATATTACTGCAATTAATTTTTGGATTACATTAAAGCTCTGCACTTCTAATATGTAAATATCTGTGTGTGAGTGTATTCCATATTTTTAAGTATGCAGTTATGTGTACATACAAACATACATACGTACGTACATATGTGTGTGTAAGGGTCTTACTTACGTATGCATTGAGGACAACTTACCGCTAAAAGGAATACGTAACTGTAAACTAAATATTTAAAACATTTGATCTTTTTTGGCAAAGCCATCATTTCTTGTCGATTATTTTATATTATTTATGTTTCACAAGAGACTCCCCGCTAATATTTTTGTATGTATGTATTAGTTGCTCCCGTTTCTCGTTTCTACAAACACTAATAAACACTTTAGATTGGCTGGTTGGTTGGTTTGTGGGCTTAAATGGCAGCTATCGTTGAATTTTTCGCTTAGGCTTTGCCTTCCTTTGCGTTCCTCATATTTTTTTGTTTAGAATATTTTTTTCGTTGTCCCCACGAATAGTTCACAATATTTCCACATTTTTGCTACGATAGTTCCGTTCAACTTTACCGTTGCAAATTTTAACTAAAAATAACAGTCCACGACGTCTAAATGTTCGTAAATGAAAATACGCAGTTGGTCGTCTGACTGTTTCGTTCCTTGTTTTGTTATACTTCTGCACAGTCAACAGTGGAAATATTATCTATAACGCCTGCCTTCAACTGTGAACGTCAACTAACCAGCCAAGCAACCGACCGACGACGATGCTTTTCCGACTACTCTGGCGGTGGCGGAAAATTGATTGCGATTTAAACATTGATTTAAAAATTGACTCCATTATATTTGCAAACTCGAATGAATTATAAATTGATTTAGCTACATATGTAAAACAAATGTCATCATATTAAACTTTGATTCTCTACTGTTTTTTAAACATGAATTGAATTTTCTTTGCTGTTAATTCTTAATCTAATCAATTTTTTTTTGTCTTTGGTACAAGATATTGATTAAAATCTTTAAATTATTCTTACAAACAGAATTTTTTTAAATAAATTTATTTGGTTTATCAAAGTGATAAATACTAATAACTTTCAAAAGCTTACAGAATGTGCAAAATTATATATATTTAACTTTGCAAACTCGAAAGTATAATAAGCCTAATTTAAAGGCAACATTTGATAACAATTGATTGTACAAAATATTACTTAAGAAAGCTTGGTTGCAATTGAAGCTTAATTTTTAAATTTTTTTAGCTTTATTTAAACATTAATTTATAAATAAACTTATCAATAAAATAAAGAAAATTTCCCGCTTTCGTGAATTATGGGACAAGTGGAATCGTTTTTAAGTTAGTTTCAAAGTTAAATGCTGTTTTATTATTATAAAATTGTTTTAAAATATACAAATTAAGTTTAATTTCATGAGTTTGTACTTATCGATGAAGTTATTTATTTTATTTTAAATTACTTATCATCTTTAAAATGTATGGAACTAGTTACATATCCTCCCAAATACATATGTATGTATATATGTCAGAAAAAAATGATAAATTTTAGTAATTATTCTATCTATTAATATTTTAAAAATTAAGTGTTTTCATAGACGAACATCAATGATTTAGAACCGCAAATCTATGTTTTAAGGTGTTTTTAAATTTATTCATTTAGCTATACTGTGTTCTTATATTTGTTTGTATAATTTGTTCAATTCTTACTTAGATGTTAGAATTATTTCCAATAATGTTCATTCAATAGAAAAGGGTTTGTCAATTAACCTATGCTTTTGTCTTTGTTTGCAAGTCAACAAATTTATTATACATTAAGCTTATGAGCTAAAACAGCATAAACATAATCTAACAAAATTACAATTATATTTAAAAACGCCTCATACACCCAACAATGATGCTTATGGCCAGCTGTCCTGATTTACAGCCAAATGTGGTCGAAATTATAATAACCTAAATAACGTTACTAGAGGAAGTATACTTTATATTAATTCATTCCCGTAGAGGAATATTTATTGGACAGTCTGACGAGCTATACCCCAACTTACAGCCATTGAATCAGATATTTCCTCAAAAACTGTTGACATTAAGTTTTAAACTGTAAAGATAGAGTTCTGTTGAGAAGAGTTATTACAATCAGAACCAAAAACACGGATTGATTTAAAAAAGTACATAAGCTCGAGACTGTTGCAATATTTCCAGTATTGGCTGCAAGTTTTTCAGTTCAAGACAAAAGTTGTCTTTTATAATACTTTACTGAACACAAGCGATTATGTAAATAATGGTTAAAGAATGACTCCCGTAGTTTGTATAAGCATTAAGCTAAGCTGAGTACACATAATTGTGTTTTTACGCGGTAGATTGGTTCCAGAAACAACCGTGTAAAAAATGCAAAAATAGGTGATTGGTTCGATACTTCCAAAAAATATATAAGCAACTTTAAATTTTGAAACCGTGTTATATCAAAATCGTGTAAAACAAGACCGTGTAAAAACAGAATTAGGTGTATTTGCAAACCCATCACTAATTTTAAGCTATAACGCCCCAGGTTCGTTTTACTGTATGGAGTCCGAAGGGGACTATTTTAAATAATATAAATTTAATTTGCTAAAATTATTATTTGTCCTGTTCTGTTTACTTGCTGACAAGAACCCAAATCGCGATTTCCGTGAAACACACCTGTACTTTGTATTCATATAATGAATCTGGGAGCAAAATTCAGGTACAAAGTATAAAAATCGTTCTGAAAAATGATAAGTCAAGACGATAAACAAGAGAGAACGCTACAGTCGAGCAAGCCCGACAGTGTAAAAACAACAGCAAAAAGAGGAAGAAGAAGAGCGAACTTGTTGCTGCAGTTTGGGGGGGGGGGGGGGGGGGGGTTGTACTGGCGAGAATTTGTTTCGCTAATAACTTTTCTTAGAATTGACAGAATTGAAAAATTTTAAACAAAAGTAGATATTTATTTATAAATTATGTGTGCAAAGTTTGGTTTAGGTAGCTTTTGAAATGTGGACGCTATTGACGAAATTCTGTAGCGGGGGAAGGGGGGGAAAATTCCAAAAAATAAAATAAACTCGTCCTTTCTCGGACCTAGGAGAATCTGGATGCCAACTTTGGTTATTCTAGCTTTTATAGTTTCTGAGATCCTTGCGTTCATCCAGACGGACGGACAGACGGACGGACGGACGGACATGTCTAGATCGATTTCTCTCGTCATGCTGATCAAGAATATATATACTTTATGGGGTCGGAGATGCTTCCTTCTGTATGTTACATACTTTGCACAAACCTAATATACCCTTTTTACCCTACGGGTACAGGGTATAAAAAACAAGAGAGAACGCTACAGTCGAGCAAGCCCGACAGTGTAATACCCTGTACCCAGGTAAACTTCCGTCACTGAGTTATATGCGCGCATAGCAGCAGCAAAAAGAGGAAGAAGAAGAGCGAACTTGTTGCTGCAGTTTGGGGGGGGGGGGGGGGGTTGTACTGGCGAGAATTTGTTTTTGCTAATAACTTTTCTTAGAATTGACCGAATTGAATAACAGTAGACAATTACATATAAATTATGTGTGCAAAGTTTGGTTTAGGTAGCATTTGAAATGTGGACGCTATTGACGAAATTCTGTAGCGGGGGAAGGGGGGGAAAATAAAAAAAAAATGAAATAAACTCGTCCTTACTCGGACCTAGGAGAATCTGGATGCCAACTTTGGTTATTCTAGCCTTTATAGTTTCTGAGATCCTCGCGTTCATCCAGACGGACATGTCTAGATCGATTTCTCTCGTCATGCTGATTCAGAATATATATACTTTATGGGGTCGGAGATGCTTCCTTCTGCATGTTACATACTTTGCACAAACCTAATATACCCTTTTTACCCTACGGGTACAGGGTATAAAAATAGTTTTACAGTACGTAGCGATCTCCTTGGTTTATTTTCATTATCAAAGCTTTCCTATTTTTAAAAATGATGTGCTTAAATATTTATTTTTTTATTTAACAAGACAAATTTACAATCTATTAAAGCCTGCACCCAAAGTGTAAATAAATATATGTACAAATATAAATATTCTCATTTCCGTACTCAACAAGATTATACAGAGTCGAAATGTTTAGCTAAATCTCTCAAATCTCAAAGATTAAGTAAGGGCTTACCTTGTGTAACAGTAGGGAAATTTTTCAATAGTTTTTCGAAATGAGTCCAGTTGACCAAATTCACATAAACTTGGACTTCACAGACTTGGTCTCGGTCTGATAAATATTAAAGGATCAGGGAGAAAACAAATTTGAAATTGATTTTAATATAGATGCTTGCTTTTAAACTGCAACACATTTTAACAAACCATTATGTATTTTTTTTTTGATGTTGTATCTTCCTTTATACTTTTTAAGGTGTTAGACATAGTACATATGTACCTACCCTTTGTCATTATTGGATGCAGCCAACAATTACCAACAAATGCATGTAATTGAAAGAAATCTGTACAAAAGTGATTTTTGTTTTTATTATTACAATTCCGCGAATTTATACTGTACAATATACACACTTTCTTATTGACAGTTGAAGGGGGAAGAATAGAATAATGTGATCGGAGAATGTATAAAAAATAATTCAAATGCTCAAATAAAGTTTTAAACGTATAGAAAATACAGTAAAAATTAAAATACGTTCTTGTATAGAAAATACGCTTATGCTTAAAGTATAATATAATGTTCCAAAATATATGGACCAGCCGGTTTTAAAAGGGAGGGGTGGTTGTGCGGCATTAAAAGTATTGGATGCCAAATACATATGCATGCGTACATACAGAGATTTGTGAGGAGGAAAAGGACGAGGAAGAGAAGTGGGAGGCTGGCTACGCCTCATCATTGTAATGATGGTGTGAAATAGAAATACATAAAAGTAAAATTACTCTTTAAATGTAGTATATATTTATACAATAAGTATTTAGCTCTTTTTACCGTATGTTTGTTTTTATTGTAAATATTTAAAATTCAGGTCTCTTTGCAATTAAATGATTGGCTTTGCGTCGCCACTCAATTGGATCGGTTGATTCATCATTCGCGAAGATTCTTGGTGAGCAGCAGGTTATTGTGGTGGCCGGATAAATGTCGGACTAACTCCTGTACCGATTCAAAACACATCGAGCAGAAGCAACAGCTGTACCGGTTTTCTGTATCGGTACCATTGGTGGTGGTGATGACATTCCTATGAACCGAACACAAGTGCTTGAGAAGATGCGCCTTCTGTTTGAACATTGCAACGCAAAGACGACAGGCGAACGGCTTTTCGCCCGTGTGGACGCGGAGATGGGTTTTAAGATTCCAGGACATGCCGAATTGCTTGCCGCAGTACTCACAGCGGTACTCTCGCACTGAAGATGTGTGTGAGTTATTGGAGGCTATGTTGGATACGGTGGTGGAGCTGTTTCGACTCTCTGGGTCAAGATTTAAATTAATCTGTGAAAGGCTTGAGAGTCGTGACTGCAGATTGGGCATACTGGAGATGGCTGCGTTCTGGTTGGACTGCCATTGGTAAACGAATTGAGGTGCCAGATGCATCTGCAGGTCCGGACTTTGAGCTCGATTGCGTTGTGTTTCGAGAAGTTTTCGTTCTGGTGTCATTGTATCACCATTTAGGGTGCTATCTTCCATGTGCGACAATATACTCTTGTCGGGCGGAAATCCAGATATAGGCGACCCAGTCGATTTCACAAGCCGTAATTCCTCCAAAAAACTGTGCTGATATGAAGTGAATGGTTGATTGTCGCTCTGTGTGTTATGAAATCCCGGCCGTCGCTTCCGATGCGGCGTTACAACGTAGTTCTCTGGAGAGCTGTTTATGTCAGAGGCATCAGAGAGCGGCTTCATAACATCCTTATGTGATTCAAAAAACAGTCCCTTTCGTTTCGTACTCTCGTTGGCGGCACTGGGCGACTCAACGCCGCTGTGGTCCGATCCAAATGTCTTGCTGATATCACTTCGATTAGAATTGTCACCTTTCGTTCTTAGGTCGAGTGATAAGTTAACTGGGTTTATAGCAGAATTAGTGTTGTTGCCATTGCTACTGCTATTGGCAGGTCCGCTAGCTGGAATGTTTGATAGATTAACAATCTCGTCTGTGTCTTTATCGCTTTTGTTATCCTTGCCGGAGTCGTCTTCATCCTTTTGTGTACATTCGGTGGCGGTGTCGCAGTTCTCAGCGGAGAATGTTGAAAAGTCTGCCATATTTCGGCTCTCGTCCACACTCTCCACCTCATACTTGAGCGTTTGATCTAAATTTTGTGTGGACGAATACTGTTTTCGTGATCTGTCCCGCAAATTTCCGCATTTACTACTAAGATAGGCCGAATCGGTGGTCTTCCAACTATCGGATTTGATTTGCAGCAATAGCAGCAAATCATGTAAGTAGTTAACATCCCGAGAAGTGATGCATGTCTGGCCGGAATATAGAAAATCCAAAAGGAATTTGAAATAAGTAGCGTTTACATCCGGAAAGTAAACTGTGGTGGAGCAATCACTCAGGTGGGTGTCCTCCAACAAGTTCCTGCAAATGGTAAGCAAACACACAAAAATTATTTTCTAATATTTTCAATATTAAATAAATGGATAATGGGCTTACCTTATTAGAGGACTGGCAGCTGCTAAAACAAGCTTGTGGGCGTGGAGTTTCACTTTATTCTCGCAGACTATTGTTAAATCTGCAGGATGCTCCCCCCTAAACGCGGCTCCAATTTCTTTGAGAATACACTCTCCATGCTTGCTGTATTGCAACATCAACATTCTTTGAAACTACAAATAAAAAAAATGAAAAAAATATATTAGTATGTAGAATATAAAAACTATAATGTAAACTATATTAAACGTTTCTTTCTTATTCGTGTATAATAGAATGAAATTGAGAGAAGCTTCGTTAAAATTAAATTATCTTTTCTTTTAAATTATCTAAAACAAGCTCGAAAAAAACTTCTATGGAAGTACAAAAGAGTGTCTCTTTTCCATTAAAACAGGATATTTCAAGTTTAAAAATAATAATATATTTATGTACATGCTACCTTTTTCGCTCCAATAAAACGAAATCGAAATTTGTAAATGCAGTCAATTCTGGAAATTGCAAAATCCAATTCAGTTTAACCCACAATTCCACTCACTATCCTTAGAACATTTTTACAAATCCGATTTTTTCTATAAAATAATCAGATTCCAAAAAATACAAATTCACAGTTATTCTAAAAAGAAATTTTTTTTTTATATTAAAAATATAGTCTTTACTTTTAGTGATTTATGTATATATACATACATAAATAAACAAAGCTTTTAAATTGCGCTAAAAACTCTTCTAATCAAGCAGACGAATACAACACCATAAAACATACATATGTATGTATTATAGAGTACATACATTTTCGTATAGGTAGGTAACGTTGTTCATAAAGGCTTTCACAGGCAATATAATTTATGTGAAAACCACAAAATAGAAAGTTTTTTGGAACGGGGAAAATGTCTGCGACTGTCTTGAGTAAGTATTACATAATATTAAAGCAATGGGCCGCCGCCGCCTTTCACCGAAGTGTCTCTCCGTTGCCTCTCCCGTCAACCTCACAGTCTTGGTCTGTCTATGAACTGGTTGTGTCATATGAACACAAAACACGTGTATGTATGTTGATATATATTGAATAAATACAACAGTATATACATTACTTTTAGAAGCATATTTACAAGTAAATTTAAAAATAAAAACCGAAATGCAAGGTTTTTGGAAAAATAGATTTTTAGTTATTTTTCTAGTTTACGATCGATCCACTTTAAATAATCATTATTTTCAAAGTAATCTCAATGCCTAAAACATTTTCGAAACCTTTAAACAAGCTCTGAAAACAAACAATAAAGCAATAGAAAATGTCTGGTAATCAGGTTTTTGGTTTTTTCTTTTTCATGTTTTTGTTGTTTTTGTAATATTGCAACCAAAAGCCATAAAAAGCATACGCTCACATAGCTACAGACATACATACATATATAGAGGTAAATATGTATGTATGCACATAAATATGTATGTGTATATACGTTTCTGTGTGCTTGCCATAGAGTTTGAAAACTGTTCATTGGAAAAGATGAAAGCTTAGCATTAGGCAGCTAGCTGGCTAAGTTTGTACTTATGTATGGTATAGTATTTATGTGTGTAGTATACATACGCATACACACATATATACATACTGACAAATAGATACATTCATATGTTTGTACATTTGTACGGTAAGTCCGCCAGAAGCTGTAGCTTAAAATGACGCGAAAAAGACGAATACAACAAAATTGTGCAGCGAACGGGTCGAGCTGCCGCGTCGACTGAACGACTGAAACAATAATAATAAAAAAAATGAATGAGACGTTGTTGCGCGAGGCTGACGCTTGCATACCCTGTACCCGCTGCCCAACTATGAAACAAGAAATGGTAATAAAACGTATATTTACACAGATCATTCCTATTCCAGCTATATTATATATATGTACTCAACGCATTACAAAACACTCCAAAATAGAATATCGGGTTCTGATATTTTTCGTATTTGAAATTCTAATGTTAGTCATTTGCAACACACACTATCCAAGTTACTGATAGAAACTTAATTTGTAGTTTTCTTTATCAATAAAAATTTTCTAATGTCATAAAATGATTATATGTACGTACGTGGTTTGAAATAATATCTCTAGCTATTGTGGTTCAAAAGTTATAAGTGTTCATATAAACGAAGTGTGTAGAAGACATCAAGATTTTAATATTTATTATTATACATATGTACATATGTATGTATATGTACCTAAAAATGTGGTATACGATACTTCCTTCTAGGTGATACAAACTTACACACCTAACACAATATAGCCTTCCTCTTTTCAGTGAAGGGTATATGAAAAAAGATCACGAAAACTGAAATAAGTTGACTTGCTAAGGCAGCCTCAAAAGCTTTCCCATTGTGCTTACCGACTTGCTAGTTCGCTTGCTGATTGCTGCCCGCTGCTTGCTTGCTTTGCGTTGGTGTTGAATTCGAGTTTGGCGCGAAGGCAACGGCAACGGCAGCGAATGCGATGAAATTGCTTTTAACCAATTGTTACATTGAAAAGTACATTTATGTATATACAAGTATGTATCCACACACTAGCGATCGCATGTGCATATGTATTTTTAAATATGTATGTGTGTAAAAGGCCATGTGTCATTATTGTGTATTGTGCAAGAGCATGGCTTCCAAGCTTGTTTATCCGCTATTTGTGTGAGTGTATTCGTGTGTATTTGTATGCATGGCCACACACACACAAATAAACTAAAGTTCAACAGATCTGAAAACTTCACAAAGATAGTCTTGTCTTTGTTGCGCGAGGAAACGAAACGTTCACTTTCAATATAACTTGAGTGACTGGTCAACAAGAGAATCGCTTGCAAAGCGAAAGCGTAACTCGAAACTGATGTGGTGAATGAGTAACATTTGAATACCCTACACTATTGTTGAAGTTAAACACATCAAGGGTACATCCAGCTTTGATACGTTTAATTACTAAGTGGTTTTATAATAGCGAACAAATAAGAGTTCAATTTTCGAATCAAGATAAAACCAATCTACACACCACTAGAAATAATAAGATATTTAAAGAAAGATAAATGATAGGGAGAAAAATATGAAACATAATTAATAAACTGAGTACAATATTTAGCAAGCGAGAAAAAGATACAAAATAAATTAACAATGTACAATATTTGCCAATAACCTTTTAATTTATTACTGGACTGCTGTAAAGTTGCAATATTTCAAAAAAAAATGTCAACAAAATTCAGAATAAGTTATAAAACATAAAGAGTTGGTTAGCTGGCATACAATTTGGTAAATTATGTACGTATGCAGCCCGTTAATCTTTTTTCATACTCATGTGCATGTAAAAAAATGACAATAGGAAGAAGAAAACTGAGCAGTCCTGATAATGTTTAACTGACCGAAGCAACCCGCTCACCCATATTATATGCATTTTTTTAATAAGCAATCATTTTCGTTTTTTATATTAGACCAACATTAAACAAATATTTTTTAATATTTATACTCGCATGTAACTGTATCAAACTGCTGGCATATACGTAAGTACATACATACATATATAAATGTATGCAAAAATTGGAATCATGTGAAAGAAAAAAAACTTGATTTTTATGAAATTTGTTAAAAAACTGAAAATGCAGGACTTCCTGATCGTGATTCGCTGACCCCTAATCTATTTTCACATTATATGTAGTATGTACATATTTATTTAATTGACTATCAATTGTTATCGTTAAATAAAATAACCATTTTATAATACTATTTTTGTATATATGTGCTTTGAAAAAGGAATGTTGTTTAACAATACATATGTATGATTGCCCTTCAACAGATTCTCCACGTTGTAGAAGAACCACAAGGCAGGTTGGCTTGATCAATTATTAATGTGGGCTCGGGTGTATTTGTGTACACATATATGTACATATGTACATACATACATATATACGACACAAACACACACATGCAACAAATGTGTGCCACTGGCTCTCTTCACAATTTAGCAAGCATTTCGCAGTATATAATGAGAGAAGGAAAGAGATAGTGAAACGATTGGTGAGATGCCGAGAGAGTAATCAAGCTGACTGAAAGAAACCAATAAAACAGTAAATGTGTATACATACATCATACATACTAGCTTACAAACACAAACGCGCGCACATACAAAACACCTTTCACAAAAAGCTTTTCTCTCCCTATGCTTCAAGCCATCTGCGTATGTATTTGCTTGGTGAAGGCATGTAAAAAAGCTTTTGTGAGTGCAAGAGTACTATGTACCAGCAATACGCACCAATACATATGGACACACACATGTATGTACTTACAGAACGATCACTTATTACGCTATACTTTCTGATTTGTGTCGTCGTCATCGTTCCGATGCAATGGTTTTGCAACTTGTTACTGGTTAATGCATGTGTGTGAATGTGTACGCGACTGTGTGCATTTGACATGATTATGGAAAAACACAAAACCCAATTAAAGAGAGAATGAATTTATATATGTATGTATTTATGTTTGTATGTGCTACAAAGTGATGTCAATAAAAGAGAAAGCAAAGGCCCAAATTGCTGAAAGTTGCTTGTATAATATGTAAGGGATTAAATATAACTAGTAATACATACACACATGAAAAAAAAAACACAGTGTATGCAAATTAAGACAAGAAATCGAGTTTTTAATCACCATTTCCTCTTTTTCTTTAAAAAGCTTCACCAAACAGCTGAAGCACTCATCCAAAAATGTATATGTATGGACATACATACATACATGCAGACATACATACAAAAACACAGCCCGTAAACATTACAAAAAATTGACCCAAATTTACATTACATAATTTAAAAATGTTTAATATATTCAACAGGTATCCTTCTAATGATATTAGCGAACAACATTTTAAACAAAACAATGTACATACATATGTATGATGTATGATCGAGGTAAAGTTTCAGAAATATGTACATGCATACATACATGTAATGTGTATGTACATATACATATGTATGTATGTATATGTATAAAAAACGAATCACACATTCGTAGAAAGCTCAACTGCAGAATTTAAAGTTATCAAATGAGGTTTGTGCGTATGTATGTGTTCGTGTACTTGTGTAAGAAGAGGAATTTTGTAACATCTGCGCTATCAGATCTGCGCAAGTAAGTTTTGTAGGCGACTTCAGTATATCACAATACAATTGACACACGACATACATACATTCGTGAATGTGAATTTCTGTGTGTGTGTGCATTTTTCACCTTCATTCTTATTGGAAAGCCACAACGAGTCGCGCCAACACTAACTAAACGTCATGGCTACGACTTTATACGTATGCATATATATACATACGTCTATGTATGTGGATTTCATTATGTACATATATTGACGAAACCCATTAACATTTCTGCGCAACAATAAATGAAAGAGGAGAAAAAGCGACGGAGGTACGACAAAGAAGTCGCTTACGCACACACACAACATGTACATACATATGGAAGCATACAGACACATATACATAAGCATGCTATGAAGGTCACTAAGCCTTTCTTGTCTTTTGCTTGGGCTGGCTTGCTGGTTGGTTGTTAATGATGATCACGATCACGACGATCAAAAAAACTTAGCTCTGTCATAATAACTATGAATTTAAGCTCGGTGCGTCTCTGACTGTTCGTTTCTTTTTCATTATAACAATTTAGTTAGTTTTGACCTTGGCTTCTTTGTGTATTTGGGTTTGTATGTAAATACATGTATATTTCTACATATAGTTTATATGTATTTACATATGTATGTATACAGAAGTTGTATCATAAAAAGTAGAGGAGAAAGGAAATGAATGCAAGCACTTAAAAGTTTTACAAACTTACCTCTTTCATTAATTCTTCCACAGTTACTCCCTTTCACAATTATCTGGTTTTTGCTTTTGTTTATGCTCTGAAGTTTCCACAGTCTCTTTTGGTTCTATACGTCGCGTTCTATTCCTTATTTTTTGCAGATCTGGCGCTGTTGGTTTGCTGGAGATGGGGCTGCTTCAACATTAAGCGCAATTTTCAATTTTAACTTTCAATTTCAACATCAACACTCTAATAACACAAAACTCACACACTTTGTTTTCAATATGTGTATATACATAGGTATACGATTATAGGTATATTGTGGTTCTGAATTTGCATATTATTATTTGATTATATAGTATATATGCATACATAATTCCATTAAATTTCACTTTTCGTAGCCATGATCATCATGCTCATGTTTTTTGTGCGCTTTTGTTTTCACACAACGCACGTACAGTTCGCAGTTCGTCGTGTTTAGCTTTAGCTTTTTAGCTGTTTCAATTCAATTCGAACGAAAGAAACCAACAACCGACCAACACTAACAATACACGACGACACCAATACTAGTGCGCGGTACACTCACAAAAAGCCCACAACAACATTAACTAGGTTGAAGTTTTGTTATAATACATTATTGCGAAATAAAAAACTTGATTGGTAAAACTTTTTTCCGATCTTGCTTCTCTCTCTCAAGTTTTAGATTTTTACAACAATTTTTTAAAGTCATGCGCGCGACACGTCCACGCCTGCGTGAGTGACTTTGTAAACTCAAAGACCATTTCGTGTGAGACATGCAGCTTCAAATGAAGTCCACACTGTGGATGACGATTTTAACACATGGTGAATACATTTTGCGGTGTGAGGCAATAGCAATACATGGTTGGTGTCTATGCTAGTTGCAATGCTATAAGTGAAAAAAGGATAGCACTTCGCAAAACCCACAGACACAAACCAGCTGCAAACTGACCATTTCCCTAGAACCTTGCATCCACAAAAATTTAAGAGACCCAGCTATTGTTGTATATTAACATATGTATGTACGTACATATCTCTTTCGATAAGCAAACGAAAAGCAATTTCTACTTTCGCATTTGTATTATTATCATATATTTGTGTTTTATTAAAATAATTTAAAAAATAAATATTACTAAATTTTCACATTTGTGATAACTTCAATTTTATTTTAAAGTTTGTAATTTATATGTATTTCATACATATTAACATATTGGTAGCTTTAAAAAGTGTGGCCCTAATGAGATAGTGATCATCTTTATAGAGAAATTCAATTTTTATACCATAAATATTTTTAAACTTTCAAAGAAATTAATCTAGTATATGAGAAGGCAAATTTCATTAAACTTTAGCTTCCTGGTGAAATTAATTAATACCCTTCACTTTAAGTGAAAGTTTTTCTGTTTACATAAATTACGTTTGACATGAATGTTTGTAATGTACATATAAATGAAAGGAGAGTATAGTTATATGGTCTCAAACGCAAATAATTTGCACACCATTTGAATGAATACTAATAACATTACATTTTTTGCTTTTCAAATGTCTGGCAGTAACTTATGCTTTTTTGTATTTAATTGCATAAATACATATACTTATGACTTACTTTCTTAGCATTAAATCTAAAGACCAATTTTTAATTATGTGGTAAATACTAGATTTTCATAAATTTTTAATTTTAAAACAATAATTCTTTATATCGTTAACATCATTTTAAAATAACTCACACGGACTTTTTTATTTATGTTAAATATAAAATTTCAAACATTTTTATTTCTTATATTGAATTTAGAAATAATCAAATCATAGGTAGCACAAAAATATATTACCACTTGCAGCGGCAGCAATAGTTAATTACATTCATTTATATGTGAAGCCTAGAAAATCTTCACTATGCATTCATTTATAAGTTATTTTTAATTTATTCCCTCATACTACATGTGTTGTAATATAAGACATATTATACAGACAACCGGATGTTAATAGAGTTAGAATTATTTCATAAATCCAGAATACTAGGAAAAAGACAGAAGGACATAGCTATGTTCTATATATATATATATATATATATATATATATATATATATATATAGCCAGTCATCTTGATCAGTAATGTCTATTAAATGTGGGGTCTGTCAAAGCTTTGCCTGCTGCACAATCTTGTTTTCCTTTACACCCTTGGGTTCAAGGCATAAAAAGTGCGTACAATCCTTTTCTTCAAGGACACAGCAAACATGAAATGCGTGTAAGTGCGTATGTAAATGTGTATTTATGAGGTCATGTGGGCATGCACTGCTCTGAAAGGCTACGGTCGGTCTAAAAGAGGTAACGGCCTTCGCTGACCTTGAAGATAATCTATGCAAATGATCCTTAAATAGCCGTCCACATTGACAAAGAACTGACGCGTTCCTTACAGATTTCTCTAAATGGCACCTATTGTTAATACAAATTTCTTTTGTAACAAAGAATGAATTGGGTCAGGAAATAGAGTTTAAAGATTTTCTCCAAGTAACACATTTATTACATGACCAAATACTGAATGCTATAAGATAAAAAAAACGCTGATTATACCTTGAATACTTCATTTATTTTTTTAGTGATTATAGTATTATAATGCATTATTTTCCATTATGCTCTTTTTAAAAACCTTATTTATTTATTAGATGTCCCTTTGATACATAAAATTAATTGATGACTTTTTATCATTTCAAAAGGTACTGCAGCTTTACAACTGTTTAAAACAAATTATTTCCATTTTTCTAAATCAAATAAAGTCTAACAAATAATAATGTTAGTATGAAAAAACATAGTGTGTAGTTAGTAAGACGGCGGCAACGGTAATTCTATAGTATGTTATTCCTATCCGTACCTAAGAAAATTTTCTCTTTTGACCTTGATTCAAAATGGGTTCCGATGTATGTTCCAGTTTTTTGAATGCACCCTTTCACATTAACGAAACTATTTAGATACGCCCAAGGACCTTTGGATTTGTTTCAGTTGCTTACATGGGTATATGTAAATGCGAGTACTTTGCGAATCCACTTTAATTTTGTGTTAGGCTTTTAGTTAAAGAAATTGTGGTATTGACAATATTAAATATTAAAGGCCATAAGAAATAAATGAATTTAGAATTTAAAATCAATTAGATTTTATATATGTACATACTTATAAGCCATACAATCTTTTCTTTCGTGAGTGGGATCATTCATCTTGAGGCTTCAGCAACCGTAACAGAAAATATTCAACGACACCCTAAAAATGATGAAGAGGATTACGTTTTGAAGAACCTTTTATATTAATAAACTAGTCTATAACTTAACCTTAGCTATAAAGCTATATTAATTATTGAAATTTCGTGCCTTTAAATGGTAACGTCTTCAGATAGAAACTCAACAATTAAAAAATGATGAAGAGGAGTACATTTTGAAGAACCTTTTATATAACGGTCCTGCACTCCCATAATTTATTAATAAACTAGTCTATAACTTAGCCTTAGCTATAAAGCTATATTAATTATTGAAACTTCGTGCCTTTAAATGGTAACGTCTTTAGATAGAAACTCAACAATTATAGGAGAGAATATAATATAATAAAAATGTAAAATATTCCCTTTCTCGGGTTCATTAAAATATAATAATCTATTTAAATAAAAATGTCAATTTATATTTGTTTAAAATATTAAATCTTTGAAACCTACAATTTTGTTTTGTGTCGTCCTTCGCACTTCACTCTAAAATCATTTATGCGAAATATTCAACAGAATAACAAAATAATTAAATTTCAGTCTGCGCAATAAAACATCTGCTTTGTTATATGTGCCGCGCTAACTCAAATATGTTTAACTTACAACTTTAACATGACATATATTAGTTGGTATATTATTAGTTGAGCCGCCTTAATGGTTATCGAACTTTTTAAACGATATTTTGGTATTATTGAAGAGAGATTTCAATTCAAATAATAATCGATAAGCTTATCAGTTCAACCGATAGTGCCGCAATGCTAATAAGTGCATCTTATAGCATTTAATGAAATAATATTTATTTACAACAAGAACAATTAAAAATGAACTTCCGATACGCGAGTCTGTTGGGCCGCAAAAGCAATTGCTTAAGTGTTGCTGCAAAAACAGGTAAGTAATATTTGTAGTTCTATGAAATTGCAAACCGAACTATTCACGGAAAGATTCAATTTCTTATTAGCTGTAAATTTTTTCAAATTTACATGCATATGTATGCAATTTGAAAAGTATAATCTTGATATGTATTTGAATATATGTATATAATATTACGAACAAAATAAGTTCCTGGACTTTGATTCCGAAAGCGAAAAATCCGATGAGGCCAAAGTCCAACATAAAGCAACAACAACCCGGGCAGTGACGTGTGATGCTTAATACAAAAATATACATACATAAGTATGTATATGTATACATATGTATATTTACAAGTTGGAAGAAATGTGTTATAAACATATAAACTACTCATTATATTTGATTCTATTAAAATACTCCAAATGTTTAATGTTCCTTTAAAAATATAATATAAAAATATGACTATTATTGTTGATTTATTTTTTACAGTTGAATATCGCCCATTATCTGTAGCTGCTGCTCCTCAAGCCAAACCTAGCAAAAGTTCATTCGGCAAAAATATTGTACTTGTTGATGGCGTGCGAACTCCATTCTTGACATCTGGTACTTCCTACTCGAAATTAATGCCTCATGAATTGGCAAGGCATGCATTATTGTAAGTGCTCTGTTAATTGCCTAATGGAAATAGGCACACATTTATTTATTTATTTGTTCAGATCACTTTTGCAAAAGAATCGCCTTGATAAGGAAATCATTGATTATATAGTATACGGAAGCGTCATTCAAGAGGTAAAAACGTCTAATATCGCACGTGAGGCGGCATTAGCGGCTGGTTTCAGTGATAAAACACCCGCCCACACCGTCACGATGGCTTGTATTAGTTCAAATGCGGTAAACTGTTAAATGCAGATTGAAATTGTAAGAAGTTAACCAATTCCAATTTTGTAGGCAATAACTACTGGTATGGGTCTCATTGCCACGAATACTTACGATGTTATAGTTGCTGGAGGTGTTGAGTTTATGTCCGATGTTCCCATTCGCCATTCCCGTAAAATGCGTGCTCTGATGCTGAAAGCAAATAAGGCCAAAACATTGGGCCAGCAGCTCTCCTTGCTTTCCACATTCAGACCTGCATTTTTGGCGCCAGAGGTAAAAATACAAAAAGAAAATCATGAAACGAATAAGAATATTATTTTAATTCGTAGTTGCCTGCTGTAGCTGAATTCTCATCTGGAGAGACGATGGGGCATTCCGCCGATCGACTTGCATCTGCTTTTAATGTGAGCCGCAGCGAACAGGATGAATATGCGTTGAGATCGCACACTCTGGCTAAGCAAGCTCAGGATAAGGGATATTTTACCGATTTAGTCCCTTTTAAAGGTACAAATATATAATATGCATATATATTTTCGGGGGAGCATCTACCATACCCCGCTCCACCTTCCCTTCCAACCCCTGTAGTTTCACTGCTTAGAATCTGTTCTATAAATACTCAAAATATCTCCCATGCAGAGTTGCATATTGTAAGTTGGTCCACTAACTTATTTTTTTATATTTCAGTACAAGGTGTCGATCAGGTAGTCGACAAAGATAATGGAATTCGTGTCTCCAGTCCCGAAAGTCTGGCCAAACTCAAACCCGCATTTGTTAAACCCTATGGATCAATTACGGCGGCAAATGCTTCATTTTTGGTAATTTGTTGATTTATTTTTGGCACGCAGTCTTTTTTGTAAGCAAATATTTTTATTTTATTAGACCGATGGTGCTTCAGCTTGTATCATTATGACAGAGGAGAAGGCCAAAGAATTGGGATTGAAACCCAAGGCCTATCTGCGTGATTTTCTCTACGTGTCGCAAGACCCCGTAAACCAGCTGCTGTTAGGTCCAGCCTATGGAATACCAAAATTACTTAGCAAAACGGGTCTCTCATTGAAGGATATTGATTCCTGGGAAATCCATGAGGCCTTTGCTGGTCAAATTATAGCAAATCTTAAGGCAATGGATTCAGATTGGTTTTGCAAGACTTACTTGGGCCTAAGCGAGAAAGTGGGTTCGCCTGACTTAAATAAATGGAACAACTGGGGCGGATCTCTTTCCATTGGTCACCCATTTGCCGCAACTGGTGTTCGCTTGTGCATGCACACAGCTAACCGTTTGATTCGCGAGGATGGAAAGCTTGGGGTAGTTGCAGCTTGTGCAGCTGGTGGCCAAGGCGTTGCTATGCTTATTGAACGTTATCCCGGTGCAACAGCAGACTGAACTTTGAAATGATTATGCGAATTAATTGCAAGTGTAGAATAGGTTTTATATAAATAAAATTTTTAATAGTTGAAACACTAAGCAATTGCGAAAAACTCGTTTGGTAAATATAATTTTTATCCTAACATTTTTGGTTTTATTCATCTGAATCATAAAGCTGCTTTTGTCTCAACTTTGCTTGTAGGACATCGTTTTCATTGTATGTAAGATGCAAAGGAGGTATAAGAGCGCATGCCACCATCCGATTTTCTGCATTCAAAAAATTAAACGTTGCACATGCCTATAAATAGACAAAAAATAAAAAACCAAGGAAAAATGGTTTATGTACATTCATTTTTACCTGCTCTGTCCGAAGTACCTCAACGTTGATTTTGTATTTTTTCATAAACTCAATTATCCTTTTTGAAAGACTTGTTGATGGACTTTGATCACCAATTCCAATTATTAGTACATCCAATTTTGGCTCTAATGTGGGAAAAAGTCTTAAGCTCTGCTCATTTATGTCTTCGAAGGAGTTCACGTTCCACGAAAGCACGGATCTAAAATGAAAACACAATTTGGGCGCCGGCAATAAAAACTCAATCATTATTATGTACCTCGGAAAAACAGTGATGGGTCCTATTAGTACCATATCATTATTCAGCCGAAATCCATACTGGCTGTACCCGGTGATCATTAGTCCGAGATTCACTTCCGTGTTGAATATCGAAACTTTTGTTTTGCCATCATAGTCATATGCATTACTAAATTTAATTCCTGATGTCGAGGTAAACTGTCTAGCCTGCGATAAGTTGGTCGCTTTATAAATTCTCGGCAAAACATTTTTTACAATTTGTCTAATCATTTGTTTATATAATTTTCAGGCCTCTATTACGCTATATTTACATACAAACGTATGAAAAATTCATTTTACGCGATTTGTCGCTTTGTAATTGCAGCAATCGAGTACGCTATCACATGTCGATTGCTTAGATATATTTTGACCGATAATAAATCGAATTGCATTGTTGAAAACACAAGAAGGCATTAAAAATTACACAAATAAAAATTCGTAAACATATTAATAATATTAACTCTTAAATTGCAACAAACTTATTGCGCTTTTATCCAAAAACCGAAAGCACGAGTTATCTTAAAAACATAACTCTGATACACCTGTGCCTGCATGCATATGTAAATAAATATCGTGAAAAATCGTCAACCAGTTGCTTGGATTCACAACATTAATAACAATATGCATGTTTAACAAGTCTATATGGGGATTAAAGCGATTGTCCTGTAATGAAACATTTCAATTTCGACAGTAAGTTGAAGGACTATTTGAAATTTGTAATATGTACATATACATATGTAGTTAGTCAACATTATTAACTGCACGTATGTAGTATATGATTACATACATACATGTACATATGTATGTTGCTTGTATGTAATCATCATCATCATACGTACATACATATGTACTTAATATCTCTGTTCTACACATATTGGCGAAATGCTCATTCATTCGTTTAATGCATTCATACATATGTATGTAAGTACATTCAGAAATAGAAACGGATGAGGGGCTATATATGCGTCATGCATTATGTACTCACGCACACACATCCATATCTACGTAAATATAAATATGTAGTTCTAAATATCTGTTTATTTTTTATCATTTTGCAATATTCTGTCATATTTTATGAACACCGAAAATAACAGTGGACTTAAACAACGTGTATTTAAAATTCATGAACATTATAATGCTTGAAATCATGCAATCAAAATTTCCTGGACTTACATTTTGATTTCTGATCTGCATACATACATATATTGATTACATTTATTATGTTGTGGTTGAAATCAACGGCAATTTATTTTAATTTTATTTTTAATCGGTGAAATTGTATATACGCAAAAAAAATTTCGAATAAGTTAGAAGAATTATGCGTTACTACAACCCATCTGCACTAATAATTGATGTATAATATTTTTTGTTTTCAGCATTTTTGAAAATACTTTTGCGAAGAATTTGAGCCCTGAAGCTACCTCAACGTCCCAAAATGATCGGGCCCAGCTCACAAATAAGCAAAATATTGTTAACACTTCTTTTTCTGTTAATCATATTTTATGTATTTATGGATGTTGAGCTTTATCTGCGAGTACACAACTATGCTATTGACCGAAATTATCACATTAATGACTCCACGCAGTCAACATTGTTGCCAGCACCAACGAACTTAGCATCTGATTTGAGCAGTACTCCGAAGTCGCCCACCGTCTTGAAAGAGCCGTCCTACGAAGATTACACATGGATATCTTGTGACATAAATCCACTGTGCCATATAACTGTGAAGGCGATATTGCTGGATCACACGAATCATTACCTTTTTGCGCCGCTGGCAACAATTTTTGATAATATCATTGGATTTTCTCGATCAACATTTATCACTCCTAACATGATTTCGTTTTTTCATGTGGGCGTAGCTTGTGTTTCGGGAAAGCTCGTCTCATCCGACAGCCTGGGATACAGACGACTTGGTGTTTTACTCTTCCAAATCAGAACATTTCTAGATGATCTGGACGGACATGTGGCTCGCGTAAGAAAAAATATTCGTGGTGAACGATCGGAAATTGGCACGTCAGGGTACTATGTTGACGGTCTTTGCGATGGTCTTGGATGTATTGCACTTCTATTGGGCATATTTTTTTACCTGAAGAACAATCCACCTCGAAGAGGATACTCAATCATACCAATGACTGATGCCAAAACGCCTGAGACAGCAATAATACCTAAAATGAAAGCAACTACGCGGAAAGTCGCAAAAAATGTAATCAGCTTTACAGGTCAACTTTTATTGAGTTCGACGGCTTGGAATCGTTACATTGCTGTTTATCAGAATATGCTGGAACGTAATGATGTTAGCAATACCCAATATCAGTGCCAGAACTATGTGTTTAAATCGACGTGGTTCTTTTGTGTAGCCTGGATGTGGCGTATAGTTAACGTACATGCCCTATTGCATTGCGTACTGCTTAGTATATTCTGCGACAAGTTGTGGGACTTTTTAAAAGCCATACGTTGTAGTGGTTACATTATATTATTAGTTGCTATTTGTTTAACCGAAATGCACATTTTGGAAGCCCAGAACTATATTTTTAATTCGACAACGTGCAGTAACATTTCACTGTGATTTTAATATTGTTATAAAATAAATACAATAACGTTTGTGTACCGTACATTTTTAATTATTAATTTTTACATTTTACTGCTATTCCCCATCCAGACTTATGACACTGATTGGAAGCGCAACCATCAAAAACAGTCCTGGCCGTAGGGCTGCAAACAAGACTAGCTTTTAATAGTGTCTTGTTTTTATTTTAAAAATCAGGCGTAAAAATGAGTTGACGGATACCGTACATTGAGACTGTGATATTTTTTTTATACCCTGCACCGAAAGGGTATACTAGTTTAGTTTAGCAAATGTAAGTACATATGTACATACATACATGTATGTACATACATATATATATATGTAGCACACAGAAGAAGCCATTTCTATCTGTCTGTATGGACGCAAGGATTTCAGAAAGTGTAATAGTTAAAAAAAAACAATCTTTATATCCACATTCTCCTACGTCCCTGAATAGACAAGTTTTGTTGGTAATTATTCGATGTTTTAATCATGTCTAATTTCACTATGATTACAAACGCCAGAACGTATGTATGTTTATATACGTATGTATGTATGTGTGTATATTGTAACGTTCAAATGTGTTTTTGACATATCAACCGCGACTGAGACATATGGAAAATGGAACTGCTGAAGTTTTCACATATGTGAGAAAGTCCTGTCAACATTGAAAATTGACGTTTTATTATAGACATTCATTCATTTAAGTACATACACATCTATGCATAAGTGGTATTCCCACTCCTGATTATGATTTATAATACATTCTGATCAGCTGCTCATAGGTACTCCACGCAAATCCTGCAGTGTGACCAAAGAGACTGCGTAAAAAACGATTACATTATTGATTCCATTTAACAATCAAATTACAATTTTCTTTTCAAATATAACATATTGCTGTTCTTTTCGGTTCCTGCAGAAATCCCACTAGTGGTATTGATACAATTTGTTTCTTTGGAAAAAGAAACAAGCTACTGTACAATAATTGCTCAATCAATAGGCAGGATAACATAAAACAAACCAATACGACTTATTGATCTTTTTTCTGACATATGTACACATTTATTTGATATAATGATTTTGTTAATTGCTCGATAGGCGTTAGTGAAGTAGTATCTAGTATTTTCAATAACAATATTGATCGGGTAAACTAGAGAAATATATCAGCATACCACATTACGTGTATATCGATACAATACTCATCCCTATTTGATATACATACTAAAAATATTTCACAAGCGAAAAAAGATGAATCTGTCAAAGTTAGATTTTTTTCAAATGAAATTGTAATTATTCTTTTTTTTTTACTTCAATCTATTGGAAAATTGGATGTGCTATTTTCCTAGCGTGTGTTGTGTCGAGAATCGAGCGTGAAAAGAAACTTTTATGCATACTTAAAGTTTTGGAAGAATCGTGTGCTGCGCGAACGAATGTGTAAAAAGTGATTCTGGTTCTGCCTGTGTGTGAATCTTGTGAGAGAGCGATCTGCTTGCTTTATTATAATAAAAAAAAAATTAAATCATTTCGTGTGTGAAGACACTACATCTGTAGTGATAATCTAACCCCCCACTCAATAGTGTAAGATTTCTTGTATAATCATTTAGGACGGCTCTACCATTTTATGTGCACGTTTACATCTGGATATACTTATGTAATTTACGTTAACTGAGTTTTATGCTTTGCTTAGATAAAATATTGCCCTTTTATCTACGAAATTATTTATTATTATTATGTTAGGTACATTTTACAAAGTTTCTACAAATAAGGAAACATACATACATATGTATGTACAGTACCCGTCAATGTTTCGACCAACTGAGCCAATACTCAGAAGGACCATTCACTGCTCACAAACACTGTAGGTGTGCAGAGCTTCCTAAAACATTTCTGAAATATGTATGTGTGTACTTACAATGGTTCCTAGGGTACTACACCGAATATATGTATGATGAATGTATGCATAAGTTTTGCGGTGTGAACGTGAACCTCACAGAAATATTCTCCCCAATGTTTTAAACCCCATGTCAGGCAAATGTATTTTACACTTATGTACATATGTGATTAAATTTTCTATTATCAATCAAAGGGTAATACAATTACGAGAAGAAAGTTAAAAGACGTATTTCATGAAATACCATTTATCAGATTCGTTGTTCGTGTTGCTTCAATTTTCTTTACAAAAATTACAATTTGTTTTTTAAATGCCTAAGTACGAGAAAAATTGCAACAAGAAAAAAAAAACATGGCTCGTGTGAAGTTAACCATTATACAAAAATATATGTATGTACATATGTGAATTATTCTTGAATGTCATTGATTTTTAAACGGATCTGTATGTATGTATGTATGTACAATAGGTTGAATAGGTGGAATTGATTGATGATGAAAATGTGTGCCGGTTACAAATATATTTTTGTGAATAAATATAAAAAAAAAGTTAAAATGATCTACGTATCAATTTTTGTAACTATGAAAGAATGATGTTAAAACTTTAGCATGATTAAACAAACTCAATAAAATTCTATACATGTATATATATACTCGTACATATGGGTGTTCCTTAAAGTTGCGAAATGGCAGGAACACCAAATTAAAATCGTAGCTTTTGGTTATTATTCGTTTGAAAGTTTTTTCCGTATCTCTTGAGTTTTATATTCAGGTAATAGTCATATGGAGAGTTATTAATCGACCTTAGTCGAGTTTAGATATGTATGTATATATTTTTTGTGGTATTGCCAAAGCCACGTTTTTTTTTTGTAAGTGATGAAAAGAAAATTTATGGGAGGGATGTGTGAGTGTATTTGTAGCTGTTATTTGTTTTTATACTATAGAATGTCGAGTGCTGAATAGTTTTCAAATGGTGGCCTATCCTGTGTCTATGAAATAATTTGATAATTTTTATAAAATTTCTAGAATATCGAAGACAAGGCGTTATGGACTTTGTCCAAGTATCCGAGGAGGAGGGTGATGAGCCAATCGAGTTGCCAGCTGAAGAAGATGGAACCCTTCTCTTATCGACACTTCAAGCACAATTTCCAGGCTCTTGCGGTCTTAAATACAGGAATATGGATACAAAGGCTGTGCGAGGCGTTCGATCAAACGAGGGCAGACTATTTCCGCCAAGCGTTGATTCGTCCTGGGGAGAATATATATACTTTTGTGTATTTCCAAAAGGTATTGCGCATTTCAGAAGCTCTGCCGCACAAATCGACAGTCCTTATCGCCCCATATTGCCTCCCGTAGAAAACAAACGCAAAAGCGATGATAACTTGGAAAACTCGACGGCGAAAACTAAACGCATCGAAACACGTCTCCGTTGTACTGACTTGATTGTCTTGGGGTTGCCTTGGAAAACCACTGAGGATAGTCTAAGGGAATATTTTGAGAGTTACGGTGAAGTGCTAATGGCGCAGATTAAGAAAGATGTTAAATCGGGGCAATCAAAGGGATTTGGATTTGTTCGATTTGGTTCTTACGAAGCTCAAATGCGTGTGCTTTCTAATCGCCACCTCATTGATGGCCGTTGGTGTGAAGTTAAAGTTCCAAATTCAAAGGTATAGAAATTGCAAACAGAAAGTTAACCCTTTCTTAAAATATGTATATTTCTTTTTATTATAGGGTATGGGCCACCAAGTTCCATGTAAAGTTTTCGTTGGTCGATGTACTGAAGATATAAATTCTGATGATCTCCGAGAGTATTTTTCAAAATTTGGAGAGGTGACCGATGTCTTTATTCCCCGACCTTTTAGAGCATTCAGCTTTGTCACATTTCTCGACCCCGATGTAGCTCAATCGCTATGCGGAGAAGACCACATAATAAAAGGTAAACTTTGACATACGATATTTCTAGATAAAATATAATATTCATTTAATTCCTTTTTTAGGCGTGTCAGTGCACGTTTCCAATGCTGCCCCAAAAGCTGAACAGAACCGAAGCCACCAAGGACAAAATTTCAACTATAATTCTGGGAATAACTTTGGCATGCACTCATACCATCATCAGGGAAATCACATGAATTCAGGCCGAAGTGGACACCACAGAGGTAATAATCAACACAATGCGCATGGAAGTGGTGATAACCCTACAATCGGCAATAGTCACAGCAACATTGGCAGTGGTGGCTACGGAATGGGTGGAAATAACTTTGGTGGAAATTCAGGTGGGGGCTATAATAATAGCGGTAGTCACAATAGTGGCGGGAACATGAATCGCCAGGATGGTGGTATGCCCTATAATAGGCAGAACAATTACCATGGCATGAACCAGCCGCATAATGGTAATGTAGGGAGTGGCGGCTGGATGAACCAACAGAACAGGGGCCATTTGGATATGCCAAATCTTCAGGCATTAGGCATTAATCCACAAGGATCAAGCTCATCAAACCAAGGGCAAAATATGAACAACCCTTTAGGCGTCGGACTTAATTTAAACTCATTGCCGATGAACCCTGCTTTGGTTGCTGCTGCGTTGAATCAGTGGAGCCTTCTAGGCAATCAGCTGCAAAATCAAAACCAGGATCAGCAGGCAAGCCTTCTAACTTCTATCCTTGTTTCAAACAAAAAACTCTTTCAGTTACCTTTCAGGGAGGCAATTTTTTATCATGGGTGGCTCAAAACAGCGGTCATTCCAACGCTAGCAACATGAACAATTGCGGCGGGAGAAAAGGATCTAATAACCCTAATTCGGGCTCAGCTGGAATGATAAAAGGCGACAACTCTGGTTGTAACGACCAACAGGTTGGTTTCTAAAGAAACACGCCGAATTCCCCTTTAATTTTCGATTTAATGGAATTTCATTAATTTTTTATTAGCGTCAGAAACAATCATATGCAAGACATATTTTTAGTTAAAATATCTAATTTCCATATGATCGAAAGTAAGAGTTGAGGAACTCGGAATTGAGGAAAGAAAGCAAATTTTATTGACTTGTTATTCACTGCATTACAGAATGGAAACTCCGGCTGGTCGAATCAAAGCAGCGGCTCTAATTCTGTTGACAAATCTAATTTCCTTTAAATAGTTTATTTTAATGTGTGTACCAACTCTCGGTATTTAAAAACACCTAGGTTACTTTGTATTTAAACCAAACATTTAAGTTACATGTACCTACATACATACATATATACAATTAAAACAATTGTCTTTGTAATATGTTCGAGCATGGTATAATCTTTGATAAGCTGATTAAATAAATAAAATGTTCACTCTAAAATTATAATATTACCTCAAAATATCTTATTCTTCTCAGCTTATATCCTAAATACTGGAATCCAGAACTGAATTCTGCAGGCTTTTATAGGAACTACTTGTTGATTATAAATATGTTTTTCCAGTTAAAGTCAAGCAAATTTTTTGTCCAAAAACAATTCGATTTTTCGTATTGCTATTTCTATGAAAATAAAAATGTTATTAGCAATTCAGAAAAACTGCAAGGCTTTTCGACTAATATAGATGTGTTTGTCGTATGCATGTCTTATCAGTATCGTCCTGGCGAGAAACTATCGATAAGCAATATTTCGACAAAAATTAAATTTCAAATTTAAAAGAACTTAGCAAGGAATCACGCATATTTCAAAGCGGCAAGCCATATCGAATATATAAATTCGCGATTTTTTCCGATGAGCTTCTTTTGTATATAAATAACAAAAAATTTATTAGTAAAATTACAAAAAACCATCATAAGAACGAATGTAACTGGATCAACATGTAATTAATATAATTTTTTAATTACAAATCAGCTGTTCATCTTATGTTCCTTACAAAACAATGCAGAGCTTCAGCCAATTTGTGTGAGCTAAAAAGTGTAACTGACAAAGCAATAGCTACATTAATAAAATAAAAAAATGTACTTTGTGAAATGTTACTCATCAACATAATAACGGTGCTCCAGCAACATATAATTTGTCTAATTTCAAAATTGCAAATCAGCTGGACTTCACACAAATAATTCATCTGTAGAATAAAATATATCGAAAACGTTTCTTCCCACTGTTTCAATTACTAAGGAAGCAATTAACTTGTCCTCATGTTTGAAAACATTTGCAAATGTTAACGGAAAATTATATTCGCGGAAAAAAACGCAATAGACCCGTCCGTGTTGTTTTAGAGAAGTGACAATTAAATATAATGAATCATATAATTCAAAATCAGTTCATACCGCAGCAATTGCTATATTTTATTGCTGGCCGACGCTGCTGCCAACAGTTCGCTCCGATATTTCGGGCTACCGAGCGAGAAATATTTATGAAGTCCGCCCAAGCTGTTGGTCTTCGCGCGCTTTGTGTGTGCAGTGACGGTCAATGTTGTATTAAAGTTTATAAGCGTGTGTGCAAACATTATTTGGAAGAACCAAAAATATTAGTGCTGCACAAATCTACAATTGCGGACATGTTTGCTTTACTTGATAAAACCTTGACCTATGTAGAAGGAGACGAATCATTTTTATTCTCAGCAGGCATTGATATGTCAGTGCCGTCTCTACATATGCATTTGTCGCCCATCACACCACCGCCATTACGTTCTCAAACAAAAAAGCAACGAGACTATCTGAAAAGCCTGGCTGGATTTGGGAGCCGCGACAAAATACTTCCGTCCATCTATGCTTTTCGCGTCGTTGTAGTAAATGCTGAGCTTTATTGGGATAATTCTGTGCTCCTGCCAATTCTTATATTAGAAGATTGCCGGAAGAAAAAATTGAACGCGAAAATTTTTTGTATTGAAAGAGATAATATCCTGGCTATTTACAATTGTGAGCGCCTCGCAAGTTTTTACGGAGAAGAGGTCGGGGAGACGGTCGGCATTCAAATTCCTCAGTACAGCAATATTAGCACTATGTCGCATATTGTGTACACGACTTCGAAGCACTACCTTCGTTTGTTGATTAGCCAAGATGCTGCGGACAAATTTCAAAACGTAAGCCACTTCGTGGTAAATGATGTCCATCTGCATGACCCGCACACTGACATCTTAGCCAACGAATTACGTAATGCGCTGTCCACAAAATCAAACATGAAAGTAGTACTGCTTTCGCAAAACCACGATCTACAGCCATATATTACGTTTTTCGGAGAGGGCATTCAAATAAAAATGGAAGTTATGGAAAAGGGTGTCACTCGAATTCTATATTTGGAGGATATTCACAGCTGTATATCCTTAGCTGGTTTGCACAAGGCGCCAGAGATTGTGTACAAGGATCAACTGCAGCTGTTTAGGAATAACAGTGATAGAAATGCCCAGCTGGATAACTGCTTACAAGCATATGAGCAGCTCGGCACAGACGCAGCTTTTCGCCTCTTTTTGTATGCTGTCAATTACGAGCTTGTGCCCGTAAATTACCGGCATTCGGTTCATGGAAAGACTGCTATTTTGATCGCTACCCAACTAAACAATACGGGTCATGTGCGCCTTCTGCTGTTTTTGGGCGCTGACCCTTATATCGTAGACGAGTGGAATCAAAGTGCCGTTTCCTTTGCGGCAAAAAGCAACAGCGAATGCAATGATGTCTTTAACAATTACAGTCTTCATGGAAATGCTATTAGAGATGCCAAGCCAGAATTTGTAGACTATGACCTGATCATTGATATAATATACTTATTACTAACAAGACCGGAATATCTACCAGGTATGAAATCAAAAATTTAAATATTGTTACATATTGATATTTAGAAAACGGTAGCTTATTGGTGGAGTCGGTTTCGGGCCATCCCTAGGTATATCGATAAGTATTCACAATAGCGGATTGTTATTGGTTCAGAGTTTCGCGTTTGCTAAAATTTGTGAGATGAGTACATATTTACAAAACAGTGAAGGCACATTTATACCGGCCACAAAGCGACCAGACGGCACGTGGCGCAAAGCCCGCCGTGTGAAAGACGGATATGTGCCACAAGAGGAGGTGCCTTTATACGAGAGCAAGGGCAAGCAATTTGCTCAGCGGCAAACACGATCGGGTGTGCCTCCTGGCATGTGCCCGTTGGTGGCTGCCGAGGCAAAGAAGGAACGCGAGAAACAAGAACGAGCTAAGACGAAAAAACTTGAAAAAGAACTAACAAAGAGCTCCAAAACGATAGTATCAAGTGCCGCAAATGTGGAGCTCCCAACTTGCCCAACTACTACAGCCAAGCCGAAGCAGATGTCTACAAGCAAGAGCGTAATAGAAGTGGCTAGGACCCTGGAAGATACATTAAAGCTTGATGACGTTGAAAAGATAGACACGGCGAAACAAATAAAGAAATTACGGAAAAAAATACGAGAAATCGAGTTGATTGAAAGTAGAATGAAAGCTGGCGAAGTAAAGAAGTTGGATAAGGACCAACTAGATAAAATAAAAAAAAAGCCCGAAATTCTCGAACAGATTAAACTTCTAGAAGACAACTCAGTACTGCCTCAGTCATAGCTCTCTGGTCATTTTAACAAATACAAGCACGTGTCGCCGCCTCCACTCTACATCCATATGTCTGTTAAATATTTTTAAATTAAGTTTAGTTTTAGCTTAAGCTATCCTCGCAGATTTCCCGCCGCTTTTGAATTGTCATTCATTATTTACAATTATGTTCTGTCATATGTAGATGTCTTAATTTTTTTAGTTAAAAGTCTATAGGCAGGAGATTTTAAGTATTTGTTATTTAGGTATTTTTGTAAAAAGTAATTCGTGTTGGAAATAAATGATATAGAAGCATATGCATAGTTTAACATTTATTATTGTTCGACTTATTCATAATAACGATTTTCATTTTAACTTGGTTTGTATTTACTAGGGAACATTTTAATCCTATTACCGACATATTATCACATGGTTAAACTAAACTACATGTTACTAAGCCACTACCTGACTGGAAATCTACAAACATTTGCCATATTCCTGCTGCATTCAAACATGGACAAAGTACACGTTGATGCCTTAGTTAAATCCCAAGCGGATACAATCAAAATCGTGCTAGCGACTGATATAATTGAGTCAATGCGATTGGACATTTTATTTACGTACTCAATAGACACAGCCTGCGAAGTGAGAACATTGTACAATAGCACAACATATAGCAATGAAAACAAATACGAATGGCTGGCAAAGGACCGTCTTTGGAGACGGAAACTTATGCTAAATTCGGACGGTTAGTCACCACCTTATACATTTAGTTCTCTCTGCTAAAAACAATTTTTCTTTTATAGTTACAGAGAAGCAATGTTTCCGATTAATATCAATGCAGGCATATGAGAGGCTAACTGAGACTAGCGAGCCACCTATAAAGATGGCACCTCTGGATAAGATTTGTTTGACCGTAAAACTGCTTTCTCCCAATATGATGATTAGTGAATACCTAAGTTATATAATTGCTCCACCGCAATTGCTAAACGTACACCACGCAGTTCAATTTTTGAAAAAAATTGAAGTACTGGACGAGGCCGAAGACGTTACCTGGTTGGGTTGCCGGCTTATAGACTTGCCCGTGCCATGTCAACTGGGACGCACGTTAATTTTTGGTATTTTGCTTCATTGCTTGGATCCTATACTAACCATAGTTAGTTCGTTAATTAATACTGATCCGCTTGGCATACCGCTCAACGAAGACATAGATCGTCTTTGGGATCAGTTCACGATTTACATACAAAATCGGATTAAGGGCGAACGTATACGATTGTCAGATAATCAGTTTTCCGATCACTTTGTATTTGTTCATTTATTTCACGAATGGCACTGTCGTTTAAACAATAGCTTACCTCCCCTATATCTAACTGATGAGTACGAGTTTATTGTAAATGGTCTAATGGAGGAGTTAAACTTTACACGTTCCAACATTGTGACTGCCCTACGGACCGCCCATTTGGTTCACAGCCATGGTCAGCTAAGCATGCAAGCCGCTAATTCAAATTCGGCTAGTTGGCCGCTCGTAAAAGCTGCTCTTACTGGAGGCATGTATCCCAACATTTGCGTCGTAGATGCCCAGAAAAATAGTCTTAAGTCGGCCTACTCAATGGGCCTTCATTTGCATCCAAATTCGGTGCTTCGCGATTTTCTAGAGCCATTTAGCAAGTGCGCCCAAAAGTTTAAAACACCTTGGATAGTTTGCACCCAGCAGAACAATCAAATTATTTATGGATCTGTGGTCTTACCCTTAACCGTGGCCATGTTCGCCGGTAAGTGAATATTATTTTTGTCGTACTTTTTAACTGTTGTTGTCTGAGGACAGCGTTGGTAACTTTTGTCCATGAATATAGTTTTATGGTGATAGCCTGGATAGTTTAATATTTTGAGAGTGAATTAAGACAACAATTAGGCCAACACCTGTAACCATATAATAGTTGAATAATAAGTCTTAGCCTGGCAAACTTTTTGGACTCCAATTTTCACATAATTTGTATTATTAAAGTTTATCATAAATTAAGTTAAATTTGAATATAAAAACGTAAAAGGTAAAATAAACGTAAAATAAAAACTTACATTTTTTAATTTTTAATTGAATACTATCTTTTAAGTCGAAAACCATAGAAGTGTAAAATAAAACCACAAGCTAATATACAAATAATCTGAACTTCAAGATTTTCACCTGCAGGTCCCACAAAACTAAGACGTACTCAGATGTCACAGGATCAAACACATTTGAATAATTACAACATTCATCTTTTCATCGATGAATGGATTTGGATGGCCATGTCAAAATCAGCAGTTGAATTGCTTCTGAAAACCCGCCAATGTTTCTTTAAGACCTATCATTACTTTTTAAAGCACTGCAGTAACTCAGATAAATGGCAACGCAATACGGAAATCGCTCACCATCCCTTCATATTTCAAATGCTGTCTAAAATTCTCGAAACTGAAGAAATTTTGGCTGGACTTACCAAATTTTCAAATATTGGATACCAGCCTATCGTTAAAATGCCCAGCTCTTATTTGCTCTCGATTAATTCGCACTTCAATCAAAGCCACGAGGTCGAGAATGCCATATCCATTGAAAGACAGTTCTTTCTATTGTACACAGAATCTCCAAAACAATTTTATCGAATCAATAACAAAGCAATTGTCGAAAATGCTCTTGGAAAATTTGTTAGACCAATTGAGTCCCCAAAGAGACATATATTCATCATATTATATGGCAAGAAACCGGATAATGTATACAGCATCAGCCGGGCAATCACTATAAAAGGCGAGTTGGTACTAAAGGAATATTTTAGAAATTCTATTCCAGTATTGGAGATCATGTAAGTTCCAATAAAACCTATCCAAATAAATATATGCACCTGTCACGATAAGCTCTTAATGCAGTGTTTTTGAAACATTTGACATAACAAATTGTAAAACCGTTCATATATTTTTTGAAATAGTAATTGAGAATAAGATGGATGAATGACTGATGGCAATTATTTTTGGGGTATTTCTTTCAGGGAGGCCTGTGCATCGTTGAATGTGTCTCTACCAACTTTTGACGAGCGCCTGACGGTATCATTGATCGACAAAAGAGTTGGGAAATTAATCATGGATTTGTTTGCCTTTCGAAATCATTGGATCCACAAAAGATAAATGATAACTTTTATAGTCATTGTGTTTTTCTTTCTATTTGTAATTTGTTTGAATTCTTAAATAACTGCGAAATTATGAAAAGTAGTTATAAGCTAGTTCTAAGTTTCTATTCATACCTACGATCTGTGATCAAGGAATTCACAAATTTCACAAACTAAAGTAAATCTTGATGGAAATGTTTATGAAACAGAAATATATTTCTACGCAGTATTTGAAATACATGCATTGAATGAATCTTCACAGAAAAATTGTTTATTTATATGTTAGTATACAAATATACTTATGTCTATTTTTGTTGAGTTTAGATCTTTACGTAAGAGCTTTCTAATTAAGCGTAATCAGTAAATTGTGTGCTTCAATTGGTCAATAAATGGGATGTGGCCGTAGCGGATGCATGAAGAAGCGTCAGTGTTGTCTGCAATCGCTACGATTATCATATATGCCTATAAACAAACCCAATAATGGCTTTACAATCTACAACGTTTGTTCCATATTTAGAGTAAAGCTCAAATATTAGATGAATAAAACATAGGTTGTTACTCCGTTAGTTGTTATACAATTTTTCCCTCTATCCATCCAGTAAAAGAAATGGGTAGGACAGCTCTTTATGGGACTGCAACTTTAATGCTCGCTTATGTAGCATTGGAGCTAAAAATTCTGCTATTATAGGTCTTTAGCAGGAGTAGGAATGATCAATAATGAAGAAGTGCGTTTAATATCAGCGCTCTATCATGTCTAGACTCCGCTATTAGAATTGTAAAATTTGAGAGCTATCTTTGTACCTAACTTATAACTTTTTCCGAGCCTCCAATAAGAAAGAGACTGTTGGCATTCTGACGTACACTCCTTTGCATATATAAGAGAGCATCATCCATTATATTATAGCCATAGATGGCATCTGAATGGGCAGCATAAAATAAACACTTTGTGGACAGTTCGAGCACCAAATTTATGCTCATATGTATATAGATATAAAAAGTTCACAAGTTTATACACAAAATATTAATTTACATACTATGAGGACCAATAATGATTCCTTGTCAGCGATCAATTGCGGTTAAGGAAAAATTTACAATACCTGTTTATAAATTGTTTAAGACAATATCATTTTACATATATATCTATATATATACATATATATTTATGTATATATACATAATTATTCGAGATTAGTACAAAATACGGCATACACACAGAAATGCTTTATAAAATTAATTTACAATCAAATTGGAACTTAATGGCACCCACAAGACTTGACAATCATGTTTCTATATTTTTTCAAATTAACATTCTCATCGTTGAGATGATATAAAACGGGAAGGGCACCTAGCCGCGTGGGGGCGCAGCAAGGTTTGGGTACCTTCTTCGGCTCCAGGAGATGTACTAAAGTCTGTACAATAGCGTGATTCGTAGCGTTCATGTGCGCATTAAGAGGGAAATTACATTCGCCACTGCAATAAAAGGCGCCATAGCCGTCTGGTGCGATAATCCAGTCATGCCATCCCAAGTCCCTAAAGTCGATGTAAAGCGTTTGCATCTGACAACTGCGTGTATTTTCGATGGGGCTGTCTAAAAGGGGATTTACCGATTCAGATTTCTTCTTCTTACGGGAAGTACTCCGTTTTGTTCTGCGATGGCTGCTGTGGGTGGTTGCTTTAATGAGCTCAGGCCCTCTAAAAAATCCGATCATAAATGGCTGGTATTCATCATCTACATTGACTTTACGATGAATTAGGCCAATATCATCCAGCTTCACTTCCCTCTCCGGTTTATTTACGGCATGGGCACCAATATAAATGCCGTGGTTCTCCTTTGAATTCTGCAACCATTCGCTCAACCCCTCAGTTGTGTTCATTTCTAGCCAACCAACGTAATCGCCAGTTGTGTTCACAGATGATAATGGCTCCAGCTCCAGCTTATTTTGGCCCAGGGAGACAGACCGTATCGAATATACTGTGATTGTAAATGCCTTATTGGTAGTTAACCATTTGCCCTCATTCGAATTCTGGTAGATTCGGAGCTCAGCCATCATAAGATAATTATCAATTGGCACATTGGACACGTCAAACCAAAGTCGCGCTCCGTGCTCGTGTCGCATTTCATCAACATTGTGGTTTCGTTTGTTCAGAAATGTCATAATAATGTCACTTTCATCAATGGCACGCTAAATTCAAGAACGATTTTAAACAAAACGTAAAAAAATTAATTCGTTTCAAGATTTTATAAATTAATCAATTAAATTAAATTAATCAAATAATGAAATTGTTGATTTATGTGTAACTTTTGAAATAAAATAATTCTCTCCAAAGTGCACTAGTTGTGAATTTATGACTGTGGATTCATCAAAGGATCCTTTTGCAATTCTTAAAAGGCAATAATCAAAGGACGCTATGTGGCTAGTCAAAAGTTAAACGTATTTATCAACAATTCTCATTATCAATATACTCTTTTAGTATACATCGCATAAAATATTACCATATATGGGAATTAAAATTAAACAATAAATTACAAACCTTATCGAGATCAGTTATAAAATTATCTTCGTTCATTTCATCGACATCACGCTTCGAACGATGGGGCGGATGTTCATTATGTTGGTTGTCACCGAGTCCTTCCTCTGCGGAAATACGATGGTACACGTCAAGTAAAAACTTCGGCGCGGACTTTCTCAGCGACAACTGATGGTTATTCCGATGTGAAGGACGATCGGCAATGCCCAGGAATTCTAGTATTTCATACGAGACCTCCAGTTTGTCGTCGTCGGTGAGCACGCGGTGCATGATTGTTTGATCGACGCCATTATCTACATAAATTCCTGACTGCGTTGCCGTTGCGGGGGTACAAACAACGGCAATCATTAGAAGTATAGCAAAAGCCGTGGTGGCGATCGAGACATTTGCCAGGCATTTCAGGTAACGTAGGATTAGAAGGCACATTGTTGCGGACGGATTCAATGCACGTGATCGTATATTAGACTTTGTACAGAGGCATCAGGTTTCTTAGAATTTGTAATGGCTCTTAATGTGATTTATTTTGCGTATATTGAAAATTCCGACGCACTTGTATACAGATCGTTGTTTGTATGTATCTTAATCTCATGGATGCAACAATTTCTTTTTCGCACAGGTTGGCAGAGCTTTGTTTTGCACGGGCCGTCAAGGCTTTTAAAGAATAACGATCGTGAATATTTATTATTTGCTGAAATTTCTGTAAACATATCTTTATTGTCTTTAAAAATCTATGAGTATCCGTTGTAGTGCACAATGTAAATATGTAAGAAAATATATAACTGAATAGGTCAAATAGCAGTTGTTCAACACTGATGCTAACAGCTGTAACTCATATGCGTGCAGGTATGTATGTAGTACGTAGATAAAGATACAGATAAATTCGGTTTTAGGCTTGTTCTGGCCAGTGAGTAAATACGTCGGTATTGTTGTGGAGGTATTTCTGTAGCGCTGCGCGTGTTATTATTATTTTGCGGGTGAAAGTGCTGAAATTCTTAATTGGCTAGACAAGCCGACCAAACACGCACCAAGGTCTTTATACACTATTAAATAAATCAAAATATTGTATTTATAGTAAGCTAAACTATGAGTTGTCACACGTGCATATATGTATATAAATATGTAGAAAAATATGTTGTTGTTGGTGTTAGTGAGTGCGAATAATATAAAACTTAAATGAAGCATCACAATAGAATCCAACCACCTAGAATTAATTAACAAACCTGTTTCGATGTCGCGCAGTAGAAAAACCTAATGTTTTGGAGAGAAATTTCATGCGACAAACAATTCCTATTTTTTAATTACATTTGCAAAAATGGAAAGAGAACCATTGGAATTAATCATACCTACCGTTATAAAACGATTTTTCAAGTTCAATGTCACGGACACAAAGGACGGCCAGAAGGAAAATTGCACACCCTTTTGAGTCATTAGACTCGTTTTTGTTGTTTCTTTCTTCTTCAGTTTTAGCCATCTGCTAAAAACATGATGTCACGAGCTCTCGAGCACATTACACAAAAATGTATATACGTACATACATATATGTATAATATATGCTAGAAACATATTGTATGTATGATATGAATACATTCAAGTATATAAGCCTAATGCTCGCATAGGAATTTCATTCTCCAGTGTAATTATACCTACATACATTGAATGTAATTACCTACCTTTTATTTTGGATATAATTTTCTTCAGACATTTTCGTGTACTCACGATATTTTCTGATCCCATGTGAATCATGAAATGATATGAATGGGCATCTATGGAATCATTAAAGTAATTGAAAAAATAAAAAGGTGCGTTCAACAACAAGCCCAGGCATTGAAACTTAACTTTAATTGAATGAGTGGAATTAAAATTCATCATTTTAAAAATGCATAATAGAATATTTTGTATATCTGTGCAGGGTATTCGAAAGATGAGAGGCTCTTCTAAAATCGATTTACTGTTTGGAGTATGCGATATATACAATTTATATATACATACTTATGTATAGTGTATGTATATAGTTTTGATCAACATGATTCGTTTAAAATATGTTAAAAATGTCCGCCTATCTGAAAGCAATGGTCTCGCAAAAAAGGGGTTCACGTTCTTTTATAGTTTGTTTTGTTTGGGTGCTTATCTCTGAAAATGTATATATATATATATATATATATATATATATATATATATATATATATATATATATATATATATATATATATATATATATATATATATATATATATATGTATATGCTATATACATTTAAAGCCGTTTGTTCTTACCGCTATTAAGTGAATCATTTATTAATCGCAAAACAGCGCAAACGAGGTTTTTAAGAATAATCATCGTAAATTGGATAAAATTGAATTCAAAGGTCACATTCGCAAAACTTATTAAACTTTATACTTTTAAAACAGCATAAAACTAACACTAAACTTATTTTAAATCATATTTGATAAAATTTTTGTTCTTCGAGTAAACGGTGTACAAATTTAAAGATAAATTTATATCTTGAAATTAACGTTACCATATAAGAAACGAACTAGTCTTAAGCTGACGCGTTACTCAATAAATATATGTCTATCTTTAAGTTCGATAAAGACTCATTAATTGATTGATCGCTGGCTTTAAATTTCTGCAAAATCATATGTGTGCTTAGTGTTTGTATTAATATTTACAGTTTGTCAGGATAGCACATCAACTTTAAATAAATATGGATGACCTGAAGGGATTTTTAAGACAGGCCGGCCAAGAATTTCTCAATGCTGCCGGCCAAGCTGCAATGGGTGCTGCCAAAGATGTTGTGGGGTCAGTTATCAACGAGATATTTGTCAAAAAGGAAGCGGACACCAAACGCATACTACCCAGCATTAAAAACATGCGCGTTGTAAGTATTTTTTTTAGAAATATAGTATCTAAAAAATATAATCGTAAAAATCCTCAATATCCAAAACATGCTACATTAAACGTACATATTATACATCAATAACACATACAATACATTGCATTCCGTCCAAACTTTTTTTAAAACCAGCCCCCTTTGCAAGGTATATTTTATGGGAATGTGAGTATATTATATGCTGGCAAGATTCCATTTCGAGGATCATTCGGTGTCGCTTTGTTTTAATTGTGTACTTGTGTCCTTTGTTGAACCGTTCTTTACAACAAATCATAATCGTCATTTCTTCTCATCATAATAATGTACATATTTTGACTTTGTACATACACTGAAAAATTGTGTATTGGCCAATTGTTCCAGCTCAAATTCTAATCCTAAACTATATTTGTCTTTCCAGTTGGGTGAAAAGCACTCCAGCCTTCGACCACACTCTGAGGTGCAGGACTATGATACACTTTTGAAGAGCTGTCTCGCAAACGGTTCTCTCTTCGAAGATCCTCTATTTCCAGCTAGCAACGAGTCCCTCTTGTTCTCGCGTCGCCCAGATCGTCACATTGAATGGCTTCGTCCCCATGTAAGTATTATATCTCAGTTCCGAGTCAATTTGTAAGCCAACGGAATCGTCCAATTCCATAAGTCCTTTCCAATATCCCATTATTTAGGTGTTGACAAACAAAGCTGTCTTCGGTAGGAAATATTCATATTATAAAAAGAATCATTTATGGACCGACTCAAGCACTGGCCGTACTAGAGAACTGTAAAGTAGCTTAGTGGTAAGGGGTCATTGAATTACCTCGACCATTGCTTAATAAAACCAAGAACACCCTTAGCTTTGTTGACGATAGTGGACACATGAAGATTAAATTTGGGATGAAAAAAATCTCCAAGGCCTTCAACTGTAGATATGCGTTGCAATGGTATATTGTCAGTCGTGAAAAGCCATAAACTTGCATTTAGAACAGTTGCAAGCAGTTAAGATCCTTCTGCAGACGAGTTCGATAAAGAGGATCTTTGTACAAAAAAACTACTTTGCCAAGACTACTTTGACGCACACCAGAAGTTACAGGTTTCGAAATATTCGACCTGAGTCGTACCTTTTGTCCTATTTTTTTATTGAAAGATAAAAAACAACACAAATAATTAAAAATTACAATAAAATAAATAAATAATAATGTAATTCTTTCTCTTGTGCTACCAGTGAAATTTATCTATTACCTAAAACAGGCAAAAAATTATATTAAAACTTCTACAAATAAAATTGATTTCAAGATAGACACACAGCTTTCAGCAATCGAGAGATTGAATCCATTTTGTTATTCGTGCTGTAAAAAAGCGAAGTTCTTCGACAAAAACAAGTAAATTCTTGAACCAGTATACATATTATTCTTTGGGTGCAGGGTATAAAAATCAAAACCAATTGATCCAAGAATTTATGTTCAAGGAATTGCTTACATTCTAAAAATGTGCCTTGATGGCTTGGCTTTAAAAAACACACCGACCTAAGCAAGTTTTAATCCAAAAACCAGCACCCCAAGGGTGAAAAGTTAATAATTTAATTGCATTGTTTTCTTCCCTAATTAGGAAATAACCGACAATCCTCAATTTTTCGTTGAGGGATATTCCCGCTTTGACGTGCAACAGGGAGAGTTGGGCGATTGTTGGCTCCTGGCTGCCACTGCGAACTTGACACAGGAATCAAATTTGTTCTTCCGCGTTATTCCTCCGGAGCAGAGTTTTGAAGAGAATTACGCAGGAATATTTCACTTCCGGTTTTGGCAGTACGGAAAATGGGTTGATGTGGTGATCGATGATCGTCTACCCACATACCGCGGAGAATTGCTGTACATGCACTCGACGGAGAAGAATGAGATGTGGAGCGCGCTTTTGGAAAAAGCATATGCCAAGTACTAAAGATGAGATTACATTTTCGGCAACACAATGCATACTTTTTGAAAGTTATTATCTTCATCGCTTGACATGATCAATATTTTCTGATAGGCCATCATAGACAAGGCTAGATTCTTTATTTCAGGAAAGGAAATACCCGTTTGATGCGATAATCATTAATTCATACACTAGCCATGAGACGGGTTAGAGCTGAGTTGAATTCTGTGTAAATTCTTTATTTATTACTTTACATTTAACGGAATGCTAAATCTTTTGCGTTTTTAGTCAGTAAGGGATATAATTGAAGATGAATTTAGGGAGGCAGGCAAAAATTTGCACACAATTTTGATTAATTTCTCAAGTATATCCCGAGTTTTATTTAATTTCAATCAAATGAATAGCATTTCTTCATAAAAGTAAATTTTGTATACAAATATTAAATGGTGTCATTAAAGATGAGATTCAATAAGTATTCAATTGCCGATAAAATATTAATTATCCCAATTAGAAGTACTTTGGAGAGTATTATAACATAATAATTTAACTAATTTATTTAGACTACACGGTTCCTATGAGGCACTTAAAGGTGGCACCACTTGTGAAGCCATGGAAGACTTTACCGGCGGAGTTAGCGAGTGGTACGATCTGAAAGAGGCGCCCGGAAATCTATTTACAATTTTACAGAAGGCCGCTGAGCGTAACTCTATGATGGGTTGCTCGCTGGAGGCTGATCCAAACGTTCTAGAGGCCGAGACCCCGCAGGGCCTGATCCGCGGTCATGCCTACTCAATAACCAAGGTGTGCCTTATTGATATTGTAACGCCTAACCGCCAAGGTAAAATTCCAATGATACGATTGCGTAACCCGTGGGGCAACGAAGCTGAATGGAATGGACCCTGGAGCGACAGTTCTCCAGAATGGCGATACATACCCGAAGATCAAAAGGCGGAAATTGGTCTCACATTTGATAGAGATGGTGAGTTTTGGATGTCCTTCCAGGACTTCCTAAACCATTTCGAACGCGTGGAGATATGCAATTTGTCGCCGGACTCACTTACTGAGGACCAACAGCAAAGCGGAAAGCGAAAGTGGGAGATGTCTATGTACGAGGGTGAATGGACCCCCGGCGTAACCGCAGGCGGTTGCCGAAACTTCTTAGATACATTTTGGCACAATCCTCAATACATTATAACATTGGTTGACCCTGACGAGGAGGACGAAGAGGGCCTTTGCACGGTTATTGTAGCCTTGATGCAGAAAAATCGCAGATCCAAACGCAACATGGGAATGGAATGCCTCACAATTGGCTTTGCCATATACAGTTTATCTGAACGCGATCTTGACAATCGTCCCCAGGGAATTCAGTTTTTCAAATATAAGCAATCGGTAGGCCGATCGCCACATTTTATCAACACGCGCGAAGTTCGTTTCTGTCTATAATTAAAAACCACATTGCATTAACCACAATTCAATTCGATCGTTTTAGGTCTGCTCGCGGTTCAAATTACCCCCCGGCCACTATCTTATTGTGCCCTCAACTTTCGATCCAAACGAGGAAGGGGAATTCCTCATTCGAGTCTTCTCCGAAACTCAAAACAACATGGAGTGCGTATACAATGAAAACTTAGAATAGTTTGTTTATTAAATGTTATTTGGCTTTGCTGCAGATTAGGTACTCAATAAGCAAAGTAAAGTGCAATGTTTGGGTATGTGATTACATACATAAGTTCATAAATGTTCAGTTCAGTTATGTAGTGCCTACATTTGTAAAACGTTTAGATGTTGAATGCGTTTGCATATTCGTATTTTACTCCAACATTCCCCATTATTATTACAAATATATATTTATATAAGAAACCCAATGACGATAGTCTTAGTAGTCTACACTCTATAGAAAGGTTATCTTTCTTCCCCAGTAGAAAATGGGCATTATTTTGTTTTCAACACGATATACAGATATTCTCATATTTGAATTTATTTTTTAATAAACGCTCAATTTTCAAAACAGCAATCAAATTTTGATTCGCTCAGTTGAGACAAGCCTTAAATATATTAATAAAAAGCTTAATCTTTTTATATAATGAAACACGGTATTTTCTGACCCCAATTGACGAAAATTATTTTTAACATTTAATATTTTTTTAAACATATATTTTTTATGGATATATTTCACTAAATTGGGTAACGGAAAACTTATTTTCAAAACACTACAAATTAGATCTTCATATTTTTTAGTTTTAGTTATTGGTTATTTTGTAAAATAAAAGATATGTGTTGCTTATTTTGACTTGAAAGATTCAGGAAAATAGGAAATAAAAAAGTATAGTGGTGTGCCTGGTCTCATGCTCAAAGAATTATTTTCGTCATTTGGGGTACCCCAATGCAACCGAAAAACTTATTTTCAGTTTTACTAAAAATAGTTAAATTTTGCGAAATATTGTAATTAAGAGCATAAATAGTTGTTAATTATTTAAAGAGTGTATTTTTTTGGAGATCTTACAATATATTCATTAATTGTTATGCTCTTATTAATAAATAAAACTTCTAAGAAACTTTAAAATATGTATTAGTTTTTATGTACCATCATATTCAAATAGAGCATTTTCTTTTTTAAAACTTAAATTAAAAATCCTTTTCGTGTTAACCTTGAAAGAACAAAAAATATTTTTGGCTTATTTCACACACACATTCCGTACATTAATTTATAAGCAAATTCATTGAAATTTTCCATCTGAAAATTGGCACCAGACCCTCATGTTCATTACCAAAACCATAAAATAATACTCGTACATATAACAAAGCAATGCCCAATTCTTTTTTTTTTTTAAGCTCAACATTTATGTTGTTAGAGGCTCCTATGTTTTTCTTTCATCAAATTACTGAAAATATCTTAACACATTTTCATCACTTAATGCATTTTTAACTTTCATTTAGAGAAAACGATGATCATGTTGGATATGGGGACTCTCATGATACGGTAAATAAATATATATATATATATATATACTTCTGCAAGACACTTACATATTAAGCGTTTCCACATTTTAAGATAACACCTGGATTCCCAACGCCCAAGCCAGTCGATCCACAGAGGGATAGTTTGCGTCGTCTATTTGATAGCATAGCGGGCGCGGATATGGAAGTCGATTGGATGGAATTGAAGAGAATTTTGGATCACTCAATGCGTGATGGTAGAAATATATAAAAATAAAGAAAAACGCGAAATTACAGCACACTTTATTCTATTGCAGATTTGCCAAAGCCAATTACTTATAGTCGTTTCTCCAATAATAACGCATTTGAAACTCAAGCAGGACCTGGCGAAGAGGCTGGCAATGCTTGTGGATTGCTGTCTTTAATATGTGGACCGTTTTTGAAAGGAACTCCATTCGAGGAACAACTGGGCATGAATGATCAATCAAATAAAAGGCTAATTGATGAGAATCCAAGTCATGGTGGAGGCATAAATTCCAATGGTAAGAAAAAACTAAAACCTTCTAAGACATTAAAGTTCACAAATATTCATTTTTATTGTCTTTATAGTAATTGTTGACGAAACTCATGGCTTTTCTAAGGATGTTTGCCGATCGATGGTAGCCATGCTCGATGCGGATCAATCAGGAAAGCTTGGCTTTGAGGAATTCGAGTCCTTGCTCTCGGACATTGCCAAGTGGAAAGCTATTTTCAAAACCTATGATCTCGAACACACGGGACGCATCGATGGCTTCCAGCTGCGCGAGGCTTTAAATTCAGCCGGATACCATTTGAATAATCGCGTTCTTAATGCTCTTGGACATCGATACGGTTCACGGGATGGGAAAATTTCCTTCGACGATTATCTCATGTGTGCTGTTAAAATAAAAACATATATTGGTAAGATATTGATATTGTTGTTGTATCTATGTTAGAAACCTTACATTTGAATTTAATTTTTCAGAAATGTTTAAGGAAAGGGATACTGAGAAAAATGACACGGCCACTTTCACATTAGAGGAATGGATTGAACGCACTATATATTCATAAATAATCACACTCTATACTATGAACAACAATTTCATCAGATCACATTATCGAATTGTTATATAAAAGACGAATATTTCGTAAAACTGTGTTCACGTTACATTTTGTACTAATTTTATGAGGCATACACCCTTAAATAAATATAAACATAAACAAACAAACAAAAACAATGCACCATCCCATACTTTCAAAATATAAACTCTTTTGTTCATTTTTTTAATTATTTATTATTATTTGTTTATTTGTTGATTTTTTTTTTCATATAAAGAAACGGAAATAAATTCCAGCAGTAGAGGAATATCGTTAGGGTATTTTTAGGGTTATAAACACGTCTTTATATCTTAATAGTATCTTGACTAAATGACGATTGCGAATGAATTAAGCTGCGGCCGGCCGAAGTTAAGATTCGTCACAGATCGGTGACGAGGATGGGGCGTATTTTGTACACTTATAGCGAAGTGATAAGCTGTTGTTTTCAAAATACATGGATTTTGTTTATAAATATATATAGAAAATATCCATTACGCGTGCCCATGTAATGCGGAAGTGTTGCAATACATATGATCGCTCGAGCTATTCGGAGTATCTTCAACTATTTTCAAAGGTTCGTTTGACGTTCTTCCAGCATCCACACTCATGCCAATCATTTTATGTGCGCTTCCTGATGCTTTGTCTTCGGTATTTTGTAGATTAAGATGAGTGTTAAAAGTTAGATGTAAGTTTTCATTATCGTATAGGGTTTCCGCCGATGTGGTTGTTCTCATATGGAAGCCATCGGCGTTTACCTTTAGAGGTTCAACAACGCTAGCCGGAGATGTTGTAAATGAGGTCTGGATGGTTGAATCCGCTTCTATTGAGCTTCCAATTGTGTCTTTGGGCGTCAGAGCATTTGAATTTGAAGGAAACATGCTTTGATATCTCTGCCGTATAGAATCCACAACATCGAGGAGATTTTTTGCGTCCATTGCCAGGATATGAGCAGCAGATAACATGCTTCTGCAAAAGGGAACATATATTAAAAATATTTCAGAATATTCGACAAACAAATAAGCCATTTACTTTCTGTATTCTGTATCCAGTGTCGTATCACTGTATTGTTGTGCCAATCGCATGGCTGAGACCAATTCGTGCATATCTTTCGAGAGAACTTTGTGCGCCATTTGGACTTCTCTGCAAAAATATTACACATTATTTCAGTTTCTGTTAGTAATCCTCAAATCTACTTACTTTAAAGCTTGGGCAGGAAAAAGTACTGAAATCTTATCTACAGAGGCAAGCAGCTTACGCAGCTCTACTCCGACACTTTTAACTAAGTCCAAATAGCCATCAATGTGTGCCTTTTCCACACCCTGAGACAGCACCATTATGGACTTAACCACCGCCGTTGTCGCATAATAAACCTCATCGTTGGCACGGTTAATTGTTGGCCGCCCGGAACTGCTTACTCCATTTCTTGTTTTGGCGCTTGTATGATCTTCCCCAGCTAAGTGGTCCGCGGAAGAGTTGGTTGACTTAGCCGCAAAAAGATTAGAGTTGGGTGTTAGGGGTCGGGAACTTGCATTGGAGCAGTCTGGCAAACTTGATGGGCCACCAGGCATAAAATCTTGTTTGAATATTTGTTGGTGTTGCATCACATCGAAGCCGGCTCCAGGGACTGTCGAACTAGACCGACGCCTCTACAATTTCAGAGAAAATTAACGTGCGGTACTTGTTTAGGCATCTTTCAACCTACCAGTATTTCCTCTTGGTACAGCCAGTCCCCATCGCTGCAGCTGTCTTTGCGTTGTTGCCTTAGTTTCTCACCTAACATGTCCTGATTCGACTGCAACAGATAACAAACACTAATTTTAAAAAAGGATTGAATGCAAATAATAACAATAATTAAATAAATAAAATATGGTAAAATAAAAACAAACTATAATTACAAATTCATACTAACTAATAATATCTACTACTTAAAACAAAGGAATAAGGAAATAAAAACATCGTTGTCGCTCAATGTCGGCCAACTAAAATCATAGCTGAGCCAAACCTGCTTCGAAACATTATCGCCAAGTAGAGCTACACAAGCAGCCCCATTTGCGGAATCATTTTCTAACAATGGGCTAAACGTGCCCGGCACCTCTGTAGCTGCAGCTTGGGAAAGAGGTAGCTGCGGTGGCCATTGTTGCTGTCCTTGATATGTGACCATCACAGGGCAATATTGACTTTGGTGCATTAAATTACATCCAATTACGGCATCATGTTTTGGAGCCGTTGTGTTTATTGATTCACTAGTACATTCCTTAAGCAATGCAGCAGCACATTCACTCTTTTGTTTGACAGAAACACAAGTTTTAAGTCCAGCCCCTCCAAAGTCGTATATTTCTTCGGGTAGCGCCTCGCATTCTATTGATGTTTTCATTTGCTGGCGATAGGCATGGAAATACGTGTTGCGTTCCATGCTCCTAGAGCGTTCTGGCACACTATTGTAGTTGGATAGATTTTCCGAATTGTTGCCAGTATTGTAAAGCAACATATTTTGGGCCGTCATCAAAGATTGATGACGCTCTAGACTGCCACCCTTGGAGTGCATCATTTTAATCGGCGGAGGCTGATGTCGCTCGAGACTGCCATATAAGCTATACCCTATATTTGCCGTGGCTCCACTGGAAGTTGCATCGGTTTGTTCGGTGCGCGGTTGTGGTTGGCAGACAACAAAGCTGCTCTTTGATAGCACACCGTTGGGATCTACGCTGGGTTGTGGTTTAATGTGCAAAGCATGGGGAACACTGCTTAAATCATATGAGCTAGTGACAGAAGGTGGATTAAGATTGTGTGTAGAAGCGCTATTTGGTGGACATTTAAATTTAAATTTTTCATATTCGGCGATTGGGTCTAGTTTTAACATCTCAGCTGCGGGGAGCTTAGTAGTTTTAAGTGAGACATTTGATTTGCTGTCGTCTATGCCTACAGCTAAAGTATTAAATACCGAAGCAGGTGTAGTATAGGCTGCTGGATTGATGCCTCGTTTCTGGTTTTCCATCATTAGCCTGGCGAGTACCGCAGGATTTTGGGCTATTATATATGTTTGCAGTCCTGTGGTATTTTCGTCAGCGTTTGGTGCCATATTTGGAATATCTGAAGGTAACATATGCAAGCTATAATATGCTTAAAAGGTATTAATGTTTTTAAGGTATACCAAAATCATGCACTGTTCTTGCCGGCTTCAATGGTGGAATATCGGATTCTTCGTTTCCTATCCAGGATAGCGTGGCTAATCGGCGATGTTCTCGTCGCATTGTTTCGGATGCGCTTACACTATCTTCGAGTAAAATTTCGCTAAAATTAACCAAAAAATATAGTTAGTAGCGGTAAACATTCGTACTCCACCTTTAAAACTCACTATAATGTTTCTTTAATGCGCTTAAAATTTGGTCTTTTTAATGGCTCATATGCCCAGCACTGAGACATAAGAGAATATAGTCTGGGGGGACAATTAGGAGGAAGGGGCAAACGCTCTCCATTTTCTAGCTTTGAAATTACGTCACAGTTTTTAACGCCTTGAAATGGTTTCACACCCAACATTAGAATCTCCCAAATGCAAACCGCTACAAAATGTAAAAAATGCATAAATAAATAATTAAATGTAGGAAATCTTCTCTCTTACCGAACATCCATACGTCGCTCGCTGTCGTAAATCTCCGAAAGTTGATAGACTCTGGAGCCAGCCATTTTATGGGCAACATACCTATACTTGAGTGATAATATGACTGCTCAGATACCCAGCGTGACAATCCAAAATCAGCAAGCTATAATTAAATGTTATACAGGAATATATAAAAACAGTAAAGGATTATGAAATAATAACAATCTAAATATCGGACTCACCTTAACGCAAGTTGGCGTGCTTACAAGTACGTTGCGAGCTGCAATGTCTCTATGGACGAATTTCTTTGATTCCAAATAGCTAAGAGCAGTTGAAAGCTGGTAGCAATATTTAAGTAAAGTGCCTTGCGTCAATCTGCGTAAAAAAATGGGCATACAATTAAATCTACTATCGAATTTATAGTAGGAATGGGCTACTTACCTTTCACTATTTGCCTTGAGATAGGCCCGCAATTCACCAAGCTTAGCCAATTCCATAACAATCCAAATGGGCATCACACTACATATACCAATCAGTCGAATAATATGAGGATGATCGAACTTTTGCATTATATCTATAAACAAAAATATTAAAAAGATTCTTTCATATTCACTCTCATTTGACTTACAAGCTTCCGCTAGGAAATTTTCAGTTTTCTCGGGATCGTCATTTGATTTGCAAGTCTTAATGGCGACTTGAATGACATCTGGTTTACCGTCACTATTTTTTTGATGCCTCTCGTTGTCGGCATCAGAACCAGAGTTTTTCTTTTTCGCCGATTTTGGTAAAGTATAAGTGCCAACATATACATCTCCAAATTGGCCAACTCCAATTTTTACATCAAGCTCAATATGTGAGCGATTCAGCTCGTAATTTCGAACTATAAAAATTAATATATGAATAAAAATGTATAAATGAAAAGAATTTCAGTACATGCCTGTGGGCGTCGAATAGTCACCCTCACACTCCATTAAACCTATTTCTGCATAATCGTCTGTTAGCATGGGTTTGGCAGGGATTGTTTCTGATTTCTGTATTTCTGCAGGGGTTTCACTTGATGCCGTACTTTCGGAATGGGATGAGGACATTTCCCGCTTCCAAATAGTGAATTCTAAATTCTTTGATAATAATCTGCAATATCCATCAATTAAATCGGCAATGCTCTCAGCCGTCTGAATTCAATAAAACAAATTAAAAAATAATAGTTATTGAACAGAGCAAGGAGTTATATGGTTATTGTACGTACATTGATCCCGTTGCATGTTATAACCAAATCCTCCTCGTTGTTTGATGTCGAGATTTTGATTTGAGTCTTAATTTTTGGACAATTGCAATTTAAATTAGCTAATTCAGATTCAGTAACGAGTTCCTTTGATATCTTTTCCTTTGGTAGAGTGCATGTTTTAATAGAAATTACATCTTTGAACTGTGCCACATTTGTTAGACTTGCTTGGGGATGTGTCTGGTAAGAGATTCCTAAAATACACAAAGTATTCAAAACAATTATAATTGTTTGGAATTTTTAAAAAGATAAAATCTTACCGATGTGTGGACCAACATGCAATATTCCTGATATATTCCACGCCGAACTCAAGGTAACCGAAAATTGTTCATACTCTGTCAGGTAACAATTCTTCAGCAATTCGAAAAACCTGAAATTTATTTGTAAATTTGAATTTATCCAATATTTTGCTTACATATGTAAACATACTTCGTCAAATACTCGATATCGTTAAAATTGTAGACCTTTTTATATCCGACCTGTATCATTTTTTTAAGATTCTTTGGCTTTGTTGTGGCTATCACAGTTTTGGGAAGAAAACTCTTGAATCCGATTTCTTTTTCAATGTAGTCGATGTGTTGTTTCTTGTCCGGGGCTTTAACCGTTATATTTTTGAAAAAGTGACGAATCCCTAAACAACATAATTGAACCGCGAGTTCCACATCCACGGATATATTAGCTTGAATAAAATCCTCCTTCACCTATGTGGGTTGAATTCGAGGTTACATTTACTCGTATCATATAGTTGTATCATTAAAATATATTATATTGGTTTTTACCTGATCAAAGTAATAAAAACACGTAGTTTTATCTTCATCAAATAGATTCTGAATACTGTTGGGAACATAACGCACACGTAACTCCACTCGCCAAACGGTGTTGTTTATGACCCGTTTTCCCTGATGTTGAATTTTATTTTCAGCAAGTTCCGCCTTCGCCTTGTCATTGTTTGGACAATCTACGTTTGAGCATGACTGGGTCAATATATGGGACAGCACCTTGTTCATTGGCGTGGACCTTGCCAGCCACAGCACCTGATTTTGCGAAAAACAATAATTGTGTTAGGATATTCGGATTCAAAGTTTCTATTAAATGACCCACCTCTTTTGTGATAACATTTATCATTCGACATGCGTAACGTTGAATACTTGTTGTCTGACCATCTTTGCCTAGATCGACGGTTCTTCTTATGATATTAAAAACACTGTCGTTCTCATTAAAACGTATTGCTTTGAAGCTCTTGTTCGGCATATGCACGTGCAACATGTAGTCCTCAAACGGCGCTTAAGGTAAAAAGCAACATAAAGAATATTTATTTTTTATTCTGCAATGGACCATACTTACATTCATTGCTGGTAGATGGCTGTTGCTGTTGACTTTGGTTTGGTTCATCCACAGTGCTCATCTTCCAAAGTTACAGCAATAACTTTATGATAGAGATTGTGTTTAATCCCTCCTGTAAGGAATATAAAAGTTCGGACAATTAGTTAATAAGTAATTACTTTTAACAAACGATATTTAAGAAAATAAATGTAATTAAAAGGTTCTATTATTGTTATTATTGTTCACAGGTGGGACGTTTTAACCCCGTTTTCGTTGTCGCCACACCTTACCTTTACTTTACAATCGAATATCAACGAAACGCCCACACCCTCTTAAAAAGCCGTCAGACTGGAAACAAATATCACCGATGGCTCTAAAATTGACCAACTGCGATTTTGCAATGTATTTATTAACAATACGACACATACATAAGTATCCAAATATAAAATGATAATACATTTTGCTATATGCCGCAGACGGTTTCGTCTTGGCCTGGTTGGGGTAAAAGTGGTATTTTTATACTCATACCCTCAATGCTATGTATTCGCATCAATGTGTTTTACGTACACAGGAAGGTCCCGCGGATCCTATTATTTTATATACTTTACTATTTATATATGTATATTTTTGATTGCACAGTAAATTGAAGACGTATTCGTAACAGTAAGTGTTCGTATATTTTTGATCATATCGTTTCCTACAGTTTAAAAAAATTGCATGCACACATTCGTTTCATTACTATAATAGTTAATATAAAAGAACAGCTTGCTTATTTATCTTTAATTATTGCAAACGACTATTAGTTATGGTTTATTTTCTATGTTGATATGTTCTTATGTACCTGTGGTTGTGGTCGACAAGAGATAACCAGGGTTGAAACAATAAGCGGAGCTGCTTTTAGTACTCCGCTATCGATTAGATAAGTGGGAAGATACAATCGATGGTTTGCCAGCTCTAGGCCCAATATACAAGCGTCGAGCACTTTTGCTGCGTGGAAGTTCGCTGTGAAATTATATTTTGTTTTCATTTTCAACGCGTTTGCAACCCTCTGACATAATTTTTTTGGTTGGTTGTATTCATTTGTACATAATATTAATTTTAAAACGAAATATTATCGTGTTTTAAAGTATTTACTTAGTAAAGTTTCCTTTTCTTTACACAATGCAGCGCCAGCGCACAAATGTCGGACTCTGAAGTAAGCAATATGTCCGATAGTGGCTCTGAGGATGGGTCAATATCTAACAAGTCGCAGCGAAGCGCCCGATCCAGGTCAAGATCAATGTCCAGGTCCAGGTCGTCTAGATCAAGGTCACGTTCTCGATCAGGGCATTCAGGCTCTGGGTCAGAATCGCCTCATGGCCACGGGCGTGGAAACCGACGCAAGAGCGAAGAGTCGGAGGAGGAGCCTCCCGGAGAAGATATTGACTCAGAGGAATATGAAGAGGAGGAGAACGAGGATGATCATCCACGTAAAAAGAAGAAGAAGGAGCGTTTCGGTGGATTTATTATTGACGAAGCCGAAGTGGATGATGAGGTAACGTCCTTGAATAGACGTTATATGTCTTATAAATTAACTTCTAATTTTGCTAGGTCGATGAGGACGATGAATGGGAAGAAGGTGCTAATGAAATAGGCATCGTGGGTAACGAAATTGATGAATTGGGCCCAACAGCTAGAGACATAGAAATAAGACGGAGAGGTACCAATTTATGGGAGTAAGTAGAGAAAAATAAACATTGTTGTAACACGAACATAATTTATAAAAATGTTATTATATAGCACCCAAAAAGAAGACGAAATTGAGGAGTATTTGAGAAAAAAATATGCTGATGAATCAATAGCAAAGCGCCACTTTGGAGATGGTGGTGAGGAAATGTCGGATGAAATCACACAACAAACTCTTTTGCCGGGCATCAAGTACGTACATTTTGTATGATCATCACTGCAGTTTTTCTTTTTTACCAATAATTTTATGCATCTAGGGATCCCAATCTATGGATGGTAAAGTGTCGAATAGGAGAAGAGAAAGCAACGGCTTTGTTATTGATGAGAAAATATTTAACGTACTTAAACACGGATGATCCATTACAAATTAAATCAATAATTGCGCCCGAGGGCGTAAAGGGATATATTTACTTGGAAGCTTACAAGCAGACTCACGTAAAGACAGCTATCGAAAATGTGGGCAACTTGCGTATGGGGAAATGGAAACAGGAAATGGTGCCCATTAAGGAAATGACGGATGTCCTGAAAGTGGTAAAGGAGCAGGTTGGCCTGAAAGTGAAACAGTGGGTGCGCTTAAAGCGAGGACTTTACAAGGATGACATTGCACAAGTGGATTACGTAGATTTGGCGCAAAATCAGGTGCATCTAAAGTTACTTCCACGTATTGATTATACCCGAATGCGTGGAGCTCTCAGAACTACAGCCACGGTAAGAATTATATTTGCATGTAAGCTATGTAAGCTAGATTTAAACAAAAGGAATTCATCTTAGGAAACTGACGATGGAAAGCGTAAAAAGAAACGCCGCCCGCCAGCAAAACCATTCGATCCAGAAGCTGTAAGGTATGTCTTTATATTAATTGTACTATATTTAAATATGGAACGATTATCAATAACAAAAAATTACAGAGCTATTGGAGGTGAAGTACACTCAGATGGCGATTTCTTACTTTTTGAGGGTAATCGGTATTCAAGAAAAGGATTTCTTTATAAAAACTTCACAATGTCAGCTATTTTGTCTGATGGCGTTAAACCGACGCTAGCAGAATTGGAGCGGTTCGAAGAGTCGCCAGAAGGTAAATCAACAATTTCGTGAAAAAACTAAATACATTAGCAGACTGTGGGTTTCTTATTCGTTAACAGAGGTAAACTTGGAAATCGTGGGTGCTGTTAAAGATGACCCCACGGTAGCTCATACTTTCTCGATGGGCGATAATGTGGAAGTTTGTGTCGGTGACTTGGAAAACTTACAAGCTAAGATAGTTGCTATTGACGGCGCTATGATTACGGTTATGCCCAAGCATCAAGATTTAAAGGTATGCTTCAAATTGCCTTTAATCGTTGCTTTATAATGTTATTAAAATGTTCAATGTTTTTGTTTTAAGGATCCATTGATTTTTAAAGCCAGCGAGCTACGAAAATATTTTAAAACTGGTGACCACGCAAGAGTATTGGCCGGTCGTTATGAAGGCGAAACTGGGTTAATTATACGCGTGGAACCCTCGCGTGTTGTGCTCGTGTCAGATTTAACCAACCACGAGCTAGAGGTTTTACCTCGTGACTTACAGCTTTGTTCCGATGTAGCAACGGGCGTTGATTGCCTCGGACAATTCCAATGGGGCGATTTGGTTCAACTTGAGTAAGATATTCGAATATAGATTTGCGAAACGAGCGTAATAATAATAATTTTCAATTACATTTTAAAAGCTCGCAAAATGTGGGCGTTATAGTGCGTTTGGAGCGTGAGAACTTCCATGTTTTGGGCATGAATGGCAAATGTATCGAGTGCAAACCTACTGCTCTGCACAAGCGACGCGAAAATCGCAACACCGTCGCCCTGGACGCCGATCAAAACCAGATTCGTCGTCGCGATATCGTTAAAGTTATGGAAGGTCCACATGCTGTGAGTGGTAGCTTGTGTCGCAAACAAATGAACAACTGATAACATTCTAATTTTTAGGGTCGGTCTGGCGAGATTAAGCATCTGTATCGTAGCTTGGCTTTTCTCCATTGTCGCATGTACACCGAAAACGGTGGCATTTTTGTGTGCAAGACACGCCATTTACAACTGGCCGGAGGTAGTAAGACGAATGTGAACAATGCCAGCACTCTGGGCGGATTGGGATTCATGTCGCCACGCATACAATCGCCGATGCATCCGTCTGGTGGTCGCGGTGGACGTGGTGGACAACGCGGCGGCCGTGGTGGATTCCGAGTGACACGTGACCGTGAAATTTTGGGAAAGACAATTAAGATTAGTGGAGGACCCTATAAAGGTATTATTTAACATTGTTAATCATTTGTAGGCAATATAACCTAATCTTCCCCTAATGAATAACATTCTAGGCGCTGTTGGTATTGTAAAAGATGCAACTGAGAGCACTGCTCGCGTGGAATTGCACACCTCGTGCCAAACAATCTCAGTAGATCGCAATCACATAGCTATTGTAGGTGTGCCCGGCAAGGAAGGCAGCGTGTCTACCTATGGACGCACGCCAGCACGTACACCCGGTTACGGTGCGCAAACTCCAAGCTATACAGCAGCTGGCTCAAAGACTCCTCTGGTTGGAAGTCAAACACCGAATTGGGATACAGACACTCGCACTCCTTATGGCACAATGACGCCATCTCATGATGGAAGCATGACACCTCGACATGGTGCATGGGATCCCACAGCCAATACAACACCAGCACGGAACAACGATTTCGATTATTCACTTGAAGAACCAAGTCCCAGCCCTGGATATAATCCAAGTAATATTTGGTTACTTAATTATTATAAAATGGTATTATATTGCTTTTTAAATTATGTTTTCTTCAGGCACTCCTGGCTATCAAATGACGTCGCAGTTCGCCCCTCAAACACCAGGCACTCTTTACGGTTCGGACAGGAGCTATAGCCCTTTCAACCCGAGCCCCAGTCCGGCACCTTCACCATATCCGGTTGGCTACATGAATACACCATCGCCATCCACATACTCTCCAAACACTCCAGGAGGTATACCCCAATCACCGTATAATCCGCAAACTCCAGGTGCCAGTTTGGATTCGTCGATGGGTGACTGGTGCACCACAGACATTGAAGTTAGGATTCACACACACGACGATACCGATTTAGTTGGTCAAACTGGTATCATTCGCACAGTTTCCAACGGAGTGTGCTCTGTGTTTCTACGCCAGGAAGATCGCAGTGTCTCCATTGTTAGCGAGCACTTGGCTCCGGTGCCACCAAACAGCGGTGACGAGTTTAAGGTCATATATGGAGAAGAAAGGGAATCGGTTGGCAGAGTTCTGTCAAAGCAAGAGGGTGACGTTCTTGTCTGCAAAATTAATGAGGAGGTTAAGATGATACCAATTAATCATTTGTGCAAAATGAAGTCTATTGACTAAATGGCTAAAAATGTTACCCAAAACTCTTATTACCCAACATTATAAAAATTTTAAAAATTAATAAATATTATAACAATATTCTTAAACTAAATACGTGTTGTTTTCATTTTATTTCATTTATACCCTGTTTTACTAATTTAGCGGAAATGTATTTAGCATACGTTTGTATATTCCTGATCAGTATAACAAGACGAATCGATACACATAGCCATGCCCGCCCGTCTGAATGAGCCTTGCGCTCTCAGAAAATAAGAGCTAAAATGACCAAACCTGGTATTTATATTCTCCTATAGGCAAATTAAGTGTTTTACACCCCCCCACACACACACAATTATTAGTGAATTTCGATAACATCCGTAATTCTGGGCATTTTTACTCAAACTTCTCCATCAGCTGTTGCTGTTGCTTTGGCTCAACTCACAGACACTGCAAACAGACACAATCTCAATGTAAATGTATGTATGTATTCCTAATTATATTTATTAAATAAATTTGATTTTCACAAAAATCAGTTTTGTACATATGTATGTATATGTATATTCCAATTAATTGTATTGTGGGAGTGGTTTTCGGAGTTGAGCCCCGTATTCCATTCTTGTTTTTATTCAATTTGTACAAATGAGATACAATTCCCAATTTCTTAATTGAAATTTCAGCTTTCTAATGGTCCTATACGATTCCGCAATATTTCATTATTATTGCAGAAAATTATGTATCATTACATTCAAGGTAGAATTTGACAAAACACAACGCTTTCTTTCGGCATAAGATGTGTTTTAGAGTGGTCGTTCCTATTACAAATTCAACTGTATTAGCTATCGAATTTAACTTCCTGCAGAACTACCCATGCCATGAATATATAGAGATGACTAAAGCTTCGCCACTACATGGACTCTGGGGCATGGTGGTGTGCACTGCAGCAGTACACAATTTAGAACAATCGATACTATCGATAGCTCAATCGATATTCTGCCACCTCTAGTTGACACTGAACTGTAACACGCATTTTTCCTTTCTTTCCTACATACCATAATGGCGGTAGGTTTATGGAATTTTTCGGCTATGTAAATTGTTGTGCATCGCGATCAATTTAATGTTTTTGTGAAATTCAATGACAAGGAAATGCAGTATTTAGTGCACATTTGATAACTGTATTAATATTTCGTTTTAACAATTACTCTAAAATGGAAAATTTCTCATACAATTGCAGGCAGTTGCTAAGAAGGAACCAAAAATCAAGCGCGATCCCGCGAAGAACCCAATGCGGGATCTGCACATCCGAAAGTTGTGCTTGAACATTTGCGTTGGTGAATCTGGTGACAGACTCACGCGCGCCGCCAAGGTAAGTACAATAATAGAAACATCCACAATTCCTGAATTAATGACATGGCGCTTTGTACACAGGTGTTGGAGCAGCTGACTGGTCAGCAGCCCGTATTCTCAAAGGCTCGGTACACAGTGCGTTCCTTTGGCATTCGTCGTAATGAAAAAATTGCCGTACACTGCACTGTGCGTGGTGCTAAGGCCGAGGAGATCTTGGAGCGCGGTCTGAAAGTGCGCGAGTACGAGTTGAGACGCGATAACTTCTCGGCTACCGGTAACTTTGGTTTTGGTATCCAGGAACACATCGATTTGGGTATCAAGTATGATCCCTCCATCGGTATCTATGGATTGGACTTCTACGTTGTCCTTGGACGTCCAGGTGAGTAAACATATATTTTAACATACGGAGCGTGTGATGCACTTAATTAGGCACCTTTGACTCGTCCGGTCTTGTTGCTCAGTAAATGTGCGCAAATCAAAAAAACTGTGCTTAATTGAATAAGGATTTAAATAAATATTCATACGGTGCAGATTTAACAAGATTGTTTTTTAATTACATTGTTCTAATATATATGATAATTGAGCGAACAATACTTTTTTTTCAGGATACAACGTGGCCCACAGGAAACGCAAATCTGGCACCGTTGGCTTCCCACACCGCCTGACAAAAGAGGATGCCATGAAATGGTTCCAACAGAAATACGATGGCATTATTTTGAACAGCAAAAAATAGAAGCAATCGTGCGGCAGTTTTTTAAGATGAGAAATTCTACAATAAACGTGACTGAGGTCAGAAGTTAGTCAAATTCGTTTTAATAATGATTTGATCTGTGAACTCGGGAAATTCAAATGATGTTTTGAAATATTAGTTCACAGCCAATGTTTAACATAGCTGGTGTGCTGGAAACTATAACTCTGCTCATTTAAGTGCGTGACCGGGATATTGTGTGGCGATTGCCTGGAATCTGACTCTTTTCGAATATTGTTTGCATGGGAGTTTGGCACAACGAATTGTGAATCGCATCGTCGTGCTGTCCACGATTTAGTTAACTAAGGTCTAGCTTTTTTATTTCCTTGCCATTTAAACCTTTTGCTATTTCAGTAGTAATTAAGACTTTATTACAGCATCGTGAAAACAAATCTATGGATTCGAATAGCAGCAGGATATTTTAGTTTTAAGCATGTGTTCGTTTTTTAGCTTTGGAATGGGAATAGACTAAGGAAAAAATGAACGAGTCGCTATTGATGTATGAAAATATATTTCGCTGTTAAAAAACTGCTATGATACCGAATTGAAGGCACATGCTAAGTGGAAATAAATGGATTCAAAATTCAAAAACGTCACTTTCAAATTAAAAAGCTGAACTCTTTTTTATTCAAAAATTTCAACAGTTCATTAGATTATTGATCCTACAATGCCCTTGTCCGTCAAATTTACTGATTTCGAGACATTGTTTTTAATTTAAAAATTAACACAGGCATATTAATCAGCTTTATTCAAAGTTCTTTCTTTAATTGTTCTTTAATCATAAGGTTAACCAATAGTTTAGCAATCTAGGAAGTTAGCTGCCATCAGAAGCTCTAAAGCAATCTCGGGTGCAATGGGAAATTCGGGTATTTCGGTTGAACTGTTGGTGTAACGAACTTTATAAGTAAAATACATGCAGACCTTTTGTAAAACGTGTGACCTGAAAGAAAATCAAAATGTAAACTATTGAGTTCAGATAATAAACAACTTTACCGATGTCTTTAAAATGAATTAATATTATTCATACTAATTGCACCCACGCAAGCTCGCCCCATTCAAGAAATGGTTAATTCGGTGTTCTGGGATTTAATTCAAAACAGTACGTATATACATACATATATGTATGTAAGTCAATTTATGTACGTCCTGTCTAAGCACGTGTCTATATAAATGCAAATTTATGTTTTCGAATAAGCACTGCGAGAGCCGGTCAAGGGGTCATTTGTTGTATGTATGTGGGGATTTGTGTTACACTCATTTACACATAATGCATACATGTGTGCATGCATGTGTGTACGTTAGAGCCTACATCATTTTTGCATATAGGACAACCGCGAATAACACTTACGGAATTTCCCGGAAATGCACTTCGTTAGCCTCGTTTTCGGCGAATTGTCCTGGGCCGGATAACATAGCCTTGATTGTACCAGAGGTGAGAGCGTGTTCGCGTTTTACAATGAACTCATGGCCGTCGGACGATATTAGTTTAACATACATGGCGTCCGGTCCCTCGCAACCGCCATAGATTTTATCGCTGCGCTGCTCATCCATTGCAATCATCTATATATACAATTTTCGCCCTTTTAATTTGCTTGCGAAAATGTACTCTTATTTATTTTCTATCTTACTTGTCAAAAATCAGTCAGCGACACACACACATACGTATCGTACCAGTGCTGGGAAATACCACAATATTTGCATTACAGATTTGAGACGGCCCTGGTATAATTAAGTGCTGTAAAAGTCCAATATATTTTTAGATTTAACGCATTTCGAACTATACAGGAATTGTAAAATCTACCAATAATAACGATTTTATGGTCTATATAGTCGCATTAGAAACATCGTTCATGGTGATGGCTACATAGTTTATTAAATGATATGATTACGTTCCCTCGTATGTATGGGTGACAGTTGCTAATTACATCATAGCGGCAGGAAAGAAATCCAGGCTCGAAGGGAAAGTTCAGGCTGGGAACATAACTCAAAGGCGAAATTCAAAAATGTTGGTGCCGTTGACAAGATTAGTTAATTTATTTTATTTTGTTCGTGTTAAAACTATATTCAAAGTTTTAAAGAGACGTAGTCAAGATATGTATGTATTGCAGTGACAAAGGAATTATAATTCCTTAAAATGGTCCTTCACTCAATATTTTTCTTTTTAATAAGCCTTGCATGCACTGAGGAAAGCAAAAGATCTTAACCTCTTAACCAGCCATCGCGAATAACAAGTTTAACAAACTTAATCGTACAGAAAAATTAAAAGATACTTCATTTGCGTTTCGGTAATTAGACTTGTGAACAAAATGGGATCTGACTTTATTGATTACGTTGTTAAAAAAGAACAAACATTTTACAACTTAATTCTTGTTCTCGTCTTCTTATTTTGCGCAAAACTGGAGTGAATTTAGTTCTCGTCGACCTCAGCCTCTTGTTCTTCTTCGAATTCGGCATCCTCGTCGGCAGTGGCTTCTTGGTATTGCTGATACTCAGATACCAAGTCATTCATGTTGCTTTCAGCCTCAGTGAACTCCATCTCGTCCATGCCCTCACCTGTGTACCAATGCAAGAAAGCCTTGCGACGGAACATAGCAGTGAATTGTTCAGAGATACGCTTGAAAAGCTCCTGGATGGCGGTCGAGTTGCCAATGAAGGTGGCCGACATCTTCAGACCACGAGGTGGAATGTCGCACACAGCGGTCTTAACATTGTTGGGGATCCATTCGACGAAGTACGAGCTGTTCTTGTTCTGGATGTTCAGCATTTGTTCGTCGACTTCCTTCATCGACATACGGCCACGGAAAATAGCGGCGACGGTCAGGTAACGACCATGACGGGGATCGCAGGCAGCCATCATGTTCTTGGCATCGAACATCTGTTGGGTAAGCTCAGGAACGGTCAGTGCGCGATATTGCTGGGAGCCTCGGGAGGTAAGGGGTGCAAAGCCAGGCATGAAGAAATGAAGACGAGGGAATGGAACCATGTTGACAGCCAGTTTGCGGAGATCAGCATTCAGTTGGCCAGGGAAGCGGAGGCAGGTCGTAACGCCGGACATAGTCAATGAAACCAGATGGTTTAAGTCGCCATAAGTGGGAGTCGTTAGCTTCAGCGTACGGAAACAGATATCGTAGAGAGCTTCATTATCGATGCAGTAGGTCTCGTCTGTGTTTTCGACCAGCTGGTGTACAGAGAGTGTGGCGTTGTAGGGCTCAACAACGGTGTCTGACACTTTTGGTGAGGGCACAACCGAGTATGTGTTCATGATTCTATCGGGATATTCTTCGCGGATCTTGGAAATCAGAAGGGTACCCATACCGGAACCGGTGCCGCCACCCAGCGAGTGTGTGAGCTGGAAGCCTTGAAGGCAGTCACACGATTCAGCCTCTTTGCGAACAACATCCAGCACCGAATCGACCAACTCAGCGCCTTCTGTGTAATGACCCTTGGCCCAGTTGTTGCCAGCACCAGACTGGCCGAACACAAAGTTGTCGGGCCTGAAGATCTGGCCGAATGGGCCAGAGCGCACGGAATCCATGGTACCAGGTTCCAGATCAACAAGAACGGCACGTGGCACATATTTGCCACCGGACGCTTCATTGTAGTATACATTGATGCGCTCCAATTGCAGGTCGCTGTCGCCATGGTATGCACCGGTGGCATCAATACCGTGCTCGTCCGAGATGATTTCCCAGAACTGTAAAAAATCAATGAAAACAGGACGTTATATTTAGGTTGTTAGCTTTTCTGCCATATTGTGTATGTATGTATATTTAGGTGTATGTCTATGTATGTACATACACATAAATGTCGGTATTAAATCGATTTAAACACAGTTCCACCACCAACATCGCTCTTTGTATGGCCTGAGCCATGATTAACATATCCCCATTGCAGATACCATTTTTGGTAAGTAGTTTATGAGACATCGTTGACGATAACGTCATCATTTTGTCGCTACAGACGTAGACAAAAGCGTGGGCTGTCGACTCGAACAGCAAACGCGGCAGCTGTCGCTGCCTTGGCGATCTTAGCAGTAATTCGTAATTTGTTTCTGTTAGTGTAGGCAGGCAACAATATAAGTCTCGTTTCTTCCCCCACACACAACTATCGGCTACAGTAATAAATAAATAAAAAAATAAAATAAAAAAGAGCTTAAAGCGCGACCTCAGACTTTCCTCCCATACGTATGTACTACCCACACATACATATAAGTGTGTAGACTTAAACTGACTTCATCAACATTTCACACAAACAGGCTTACATCATCGAGAGCAGCCTACATACAAAAATTAAATGACGACGGGTTTGGTGATAGGTATCATTGCCCCTATGTTGAGCTAAAGCTCTGTGAACCGCTAAAGAACGACCATATGGCGCACAACATTGATTTATTTAGAGCATTACGTAATTTCTGAGTCCCAAATTTTAATCACTGTTTATGAGACATAAACAAATAAACCTCCCAGCTCAAAAAGAAAGCTGTTGCTTGAAGAAATGCGGGAGAAATATATAAAACACTATGTAGGATGGTCAGGATTTAGCTGGTATATCTGAAACCATCGTTTTCATGACGGCAATCAATTTAAGAGACAGACAAAATTTAATTGAATTTATTGCAAAACCGGTCATCGCCGGTAATGCTTGCCCACTCACTGCAAACATAAATACATACATTCATATACTTATATATATGTATACTATACATGCAAATACAAGATTATGTGCAAGTAAAAATGTATATACAGAATGTATGTTGCAGCTGCTACTTTTTTTCTATGATAGGGGTTGTTTTTCGTTCCTATTTAAAGGACAATAATGGTTATGGTGTATCGATTTTCTGAAGGATGACGCAGCGAGTTCGCAACAAGACAGAGATAGGATGATGGCAGGGCCACCGCCTATACGCATGTGTACCGAGCGACGCCCTTGGGTGTGTCATTATGTTCGTGTTTTGTATGTGCCACAAATTCCTCCATGGTTACAGAACGACGATGACGGCGTTACCATGGCATACACAATTTCTGCCTCGTTCTCGCTCACAAAAATAACTTTAAGTTGCATTGCATACATATTTACAAATGTACACATGTATGTACAAACATTCATATTTGTGCCTATACCGGTCGTATATGTAAAAAGTGCAGCTGCATTTTGTATGAAAGAAGTAAATGTATGTACATATGTATCTATTTACTTAAAGTAAAAAATAGAATACTGGTCTATGAACAGAACTCAAAATGAAATTGCTGCCTGTTAAGAGAACAGAGTTTTTTGAGCATTACGCCCAAAGAGAAAGCAACGAATTTAGAAAGCAGCATTCTAATGTTAAGCACATAGACGATTACAGTTAACTGTATACATATATATATGCACATTTGTACATACCCCAAACATAGTATGCGGTTATGAACCGGTCAACGGCAACCGGTTCAGCCATTTTAGGTACAAATGACGTCATGTTTTATCTTTCTCTTTGGAACAACACATACATATAGCGGCGAAAACCGGCCGACACACAGAAAATTTGAACGTTTTCAGAATGGGGAGTGAAAATGACTCACTTATACATACATATTACGAGTAAGCAAACCCAGGCTACGTGTCAATAGTTAAACCATTTTAATCTTAAAGTAAATAACATTGAAATTGGCATCTCAGACCGACAAACACTAAGTATTTGTATGTATTTACGTAGCTGTATGATTGGGCGTGACCGTATGCCGGGAAAACAAAGCGCGAAAAACCAATATTTGAATACAAATTTAGGAGAAATTTTGTAAAATACAACACATTTAAGGGTTTTAACTAAGTAAATAGACGCAGCTGTGCGCCCACCCGGCTGTAAGTGCCGGTGGCCTTATAAGTTTTGCCACATGGCACCACCAGTGCCAAATGACGCCATATTGGTAACTGTACTTTGCGATTTATAGCTACATCTAGTAAATTCCATACAAGTGCATTTAACTAAATGGAAAAAAGCATACCTTGGCTCCAATTTGGTTGCCGCACTGTCCAGCTTGAATGTGTACGATTTCCCTCATTTTGTATTTGTATAAACTTTAAACACTTTTTACTTAAAATTAATTAATTCCTGCTTGCAGCTCTCTAATATAGTCTTTCCGCTTCACACGACGAATACTGTCTGAGTTCAAATCAAGTTGATAAACCTTATTTATAATGCGTTTAAAGCGGATGGCGAGTACTTTGGATATCGATGCTTCACCGATAGGCGATAATAAGGCGTAAACTAAAATAAAGTAAAGAAGGCGATGCCTAAAAAGCATTTGGAATAAGGATTGTAATATTATAGGCAGATTTTATACAGCATTTATACAGAAATTGTTATGGTTCATTTTAAATTTCTAGACAATGCTAACAACGAATTGCTTCTATTGCACTGCAATTTCCTACAAACTATTTTATTCGATTTTATGCGATGTACATCGATGCTTAATCGATTGTTCTCAATTTCATGCGAACAAATGCTCATTGGTATGATACGGTGGTTCGCTGCTGCTGCTGTCATCACAAAGTACGGCTACGGCTGCCATTTTCATTTTATATATATGTATAAAAAACACGTAAAAAGTACGAACTTGTGGCGATACGAGTTACTTAAACGCATTAGGGAATAAATGTAGGAATCTGCGAACTCTGCGGATCGCTATGCACATCATAATTGATATGCTGAGTGCTGCCCAATATACAAAAATAAATTGACGAATTTTTCGTCGCTCTATATCAAGTTACTCTGCACGGCCCCCATTCGAAAAAAGTGTACAATGTAGATGGGTTGGTGAAGGGCAAGCAAAACTAAAGAAAAAGTTCGTAGTGAGCGTATTTATATAAAAGGCAATCACAAAAATCTTGTCGAAATTCTTGTGGCCAAATTAAATAGTCGTGGTTAGCTGGCTTAATGTTAATACAATTTCTGATTGGAAAGTGAAAAGAATTTGTGAAAATCCCAGTAGTGGTGTATATATGTATTGCATTTGCATTTCGGTGTGTCTGTGTCGTCGACAGTGTTCGGTAAAAGTCGGCCTTCTGCTACCAATTGGCGTTGTTCAGTTTGGGAATTCGGGAAAGAAATTAAATAATACTGTGTTACATCAATGATAATGAGATAAGGACAAAGACTACAGATGGCATCTCTATAACTTAATGTTGCAAAGGGGACCTTTTCACGCCCAATCAATCTTGGCAGTTCCACTCTGGGAATTTGTATTATTGGTAAGTACTGTGTGGAAACGGATGGCGAGCCAACAAATCGATATTTAAAGGGGCTGCCATTCTGTTTGCTTTTTCGCTAGTTTTTCTTTTCCATTCGTTGGCGTTGTCTGCCTCCGCTCATCCCACCTTGCGCATACACCATGCCCGCCCCCGCCCTCTTATACGTAGACAAAATAGTCTCGATGCGTGCTTTGTAACAACGAGTACTTTTCTGCACATAAAAGTTAGACGAAATAAAGAAATTTATATAAATTATGTACTACTGTCCATGTGTGTATGAGTTTACATTTGATTTAATTCCTAAAAACATTTGTATTTACTGAAGGGAATTTTTGGTGTACATATTTTTAGCTATCAAGCACCTTTTTAAATTATTTTTAACCAGCTAAAATGTTGCGTGGCGATGAATACATGATTTTCCCTTCACTACAAACGTTTTAGGATATATAGAAGTTGTACTGTATGTAGTCTTAGCGGAAATTAAATACGCAGTTAAGGATATAACCCATGCTTCTCTGAAGCGAAAAGGGGCGTGTTAGCGAGCTCCCACTTCAGAGTATACATATGTATGTAGATATGTAATATGTTCATACATAAGTGTGGATTGGTGTACATTTGTATGTACTCATATGTGAACAAAGAAACGTACATATATTTGCTGAGATTCAAATATAAAAGCGATGCAATAGTTGTATATTTTCAATTAAAAGAGGCGCGGTTCTATATATACATATGTATATATACATTACATATATATAAGTTACAATTAATTTGATCAACAGATAGCGATTAATCCGAGTTCTTGTTAACGAAAAAAGGACACATTTATTCCAACGGAATCCATACAGCATAATCCGAGTATCAAAATTTAGAAAGATGTCTGCTGAAAAAAGTGAACTATTAGACAAAGTAGAGCAAATCGTACTTCACCTGGTCAAAAGTCTTATATCTCAACAAGATGGCACACTTAAGGTGCCGAATCTTCCGATAACAGCAAGTGATGACGGGAGTCCATTATATCGAAATGTCGCATATAAAAAAAGCAACAGTCGACACCGATTTTGCTTAGTGGTTTTTGTTTTTGCCGAGGTCCATCGCCTGCTAATTAATGGCGGTAGTTGTACCGCGCGAGGACTCTATTACCGAAACGTTCAATTAATTAGAACACAGCTCCATATTGTGAGAGCGAAGATAGATGTCTGCCGAATGCTTAACTCAGTACCAAGCCATTTGGGAATACTCTCGGCGACCAAGGGCTTAATGGCAGGTAAGAATAGATGCTTAATTAATTAAATTTATCGATTTATAGCTTTTTATTTTTCAGGTGACATTAAATTGTTTTTGGGAAATGGCGATATATTAGACTGCAGCGTATACTGTGGGCCTATTTCGTTGCCTTCAGATCTAGAGATAGTGGAACACATTGATACACAGGCTGAGTTTGTGTTGATCGTCGAAAAAGAATCTGTGTTTCAGAGTCTTTTGGACCATAATGTATTCGACACTTTTGGCTCTAAATTTATTTTGCTGACCGGTAAAGGCTACCCGGATGTAAGCACTAGGTGCATTGTTCATAAGCTAGCAGTCGAGTACAATTTGCCGTCGTATATCCTAGTTGATGCTGATCCATTTGGCATTGACATAATGCTTGTATACCAGAACGGGTCACAGACCTTAAGTTTTATATCAAATTGTATTTCTACCCCGATGATACGATGGATTGGCTTGCACCCCTCCGAGATAGCAAATCTTTCTAAATGTGCAGTATCACTTAGCAATTCTGACAACAAGAAAATAAGCGACATTCTTGGTCGCAGTAATATCAGTTTGGGTGTACAACGTGAACTATATACGCTGCAGCGATTACAATTAAAAGCCGAAATAGAGAGTGTTACGGAATTCTTAAGCATTGACTATATACCAAATAAAATTAAACGAAATTTGTATCTGTAAAAACATAAATTTAAACAGCAATACATTTATATATGAATATATTAAGATTATCAGGGCTTGCAAAATGGAATATCTTATATCATTATGTTGTGTTTTTCCTACGTTTAAGTCCACATAATAAAACGTGTTAAACATTTGTCGAAAACATGTTCTTTGAAGTGAACATTTTCATTAAATACGCATTAATATTATATTTTATAATTGAGATGGCTTGGCACCACGGAATTCGACTATCTAATATTTGAGTTAAGGATAATAAAAGCACAGCAATATATGTAAATGGGCATAATTCATCTATTAATAGTCTGTCTTTAAAGGCTGTAGCAAGTACATTATTGATTTGAATATTGAATAGCAAATAATTCATTAAAGATAATATAGTAATAAATTTAAATTGTTTATCTAAAAATAACTTAACGTAATTATTCAGAATTTGTGCGTCGAGAAAGAGCACTTCATGCTTTTCAATAATTTATGTTAAGTCAATTTAATTATAAAGATTGTGTTTTCCAAACATTGTTGGTATAGTAGGACCAGGGTCTAATTATCCATTAGAAAATTTAAATGCGCCGTTTTTGTAAAATATACAAGAATGCTAGAAATATAAATTTCTTGTTAACCTAACATGTGAAAATTGTTACATATAATTATAAGAATCCGTTTTTGAGAAGTCATATAATTTAGACCTTGTATTCTGTTTTTAGTCATTTTCTTACAACCTGAATTTAAGTTATACCTTTTTCACGTACTGTTTTGGAAGGACATCTGTGTGCGCCAAAAACTAGAGAAACGATAAAGTTTCCGTATCGTATTGTGTAAAAACGCCATTTTGTAGCCTTTATGAAATTGGTATACAAGCTTCTAAAACACTTGCATAACTCCTTTAATAAATAATTATGAAAATAAACGAGTAACAGCCGTTTCATAACATTTCCTGGCCTGAAATTTGAAACAGCCTTAGTCATAATCAGATGGTCTGCAAATCACAGCCCCTATGATAAAATTTTCTTAACTATAAGTACATATATTTAATTAATTAGGCATCCCTTATTTGCATATATTTTGCGAATTCTTAAATGGTCTAAGTATACACAATATGTTTTGTAGAATTTTTGGTATAAAATAATTATCGTCTGCAATTAAGGAATTCCGCCCAGATAAAATGTGCTGACCTATTTCGAAGATAATATTCTTAAATTATAGCACAATTGTAGGTCACAGAAACTGTAGGTAGAAATGAAAATCAGTTTAAAGCTTGTGGTTGTAAAATATCTCTATAAATATTGGCTTTCTGTTGTTCAAAATGTACAGTATATTTTAGGATTCAATACTGTACCAGTTAAGTAACGTGTCAATGGAATCTTTTTCTTTTGTTTTCCTTCGCTTTGGTATTTATTGATGTATCGAATAATGTTTAAATTTAGAAGTATAAATCAATTTTTCTTTCAAGATGGACAGTAAAAAATAACCGGTGATAGCAGAATACCTCTAATACCCTAATTAATCAATCAATTACATACGTGTTAATAAGTGTACACCGTAATACCGCCAATAATATTGAGCAATATTAGTATATATGAATAATATAAATATTTTATAAATATAAATTGCTTTACTTTATTATTTCTTTTTCATTTCAGGTCTGAGGTAGTCCTCACAGTTGATATTGATATTGACCTATGCGAATACCCTTAGAGTAAAATACTCTCACGGAAGTACTCCAAAATAAAAAAAATCAAAACGGCTGTTCGAATCTCACGGTTGTTATCCAACTGTAACTGCAATTCTCATCTCACTTGTGGTTCTCTCATCGAATCTCTGTTTTACTCGACTTAAAATACTGGAAAAATATGTCTACAACAATGCGAACAACACTGCAATCAGTTCCTGAAACCCTACCAACTGAGAACGTATCAAATGGTACTGCGCCAGCAGCGGCAACGCCCGCGTCGACGGCATCAAGTGCCACCACCACAACATCAATGACTGCTTCAAACACAACCACCCACAATACTATTAGCACATCCTCGCATTCAGTAAAGGATCAGCAGCAGCAACAACAGCAGCAGCATGACTCGGCCAACGCCAACATTGTTTCACTGCCACCAGCGACAGTCGCCGCCGCTAACACGACAATGATGCCGATAATAACGTCCTCGAATACAGCCAGTACCAACAGTACTGTGGTCACGCCGGTGGCAGCGCCATCAGCTCCCGCGTCAAATACAGCAACCAACCACTCACACCAGCACAGCCATCAGCACCACCATCATGTGGCCAACAATATGACCACCGATGGAGCGCGCCTGTCGAGTAATAATGCGACTACGGCGGCCTCTGCAATAAACCACCATCACCACCATACGCCTGGAAGTGGTGTTGGTTCGGTAGCTCCACCTGTTAACAAAAACGTTTTAAGCACGCACTCGGCTCACGCCTCAGCTATAAAGCAGCGAACATCATCTGCCAAGGTGAGTACTTCCTTTATATTTTAGATTCATGATCATTTGTCTTTGTATCCAAAGGGGTTTTTCCATTGTTTGTAGTCCATATATCGATGTGGACCGTCCTGTAATATGAAAAGTATACGTCCGAAACTATTAAGCTTAATTTAATACGAATACGATCTGTGTCAGTAGAAGATCAGGGTAATTTCATTCAGATTCATATGTCCCTATATCATATCATATTTGTGTACGTTTACAGCCTTTCATGACATTTCAAGAAGTGGCAAAAGGGAGGTGTTGTTTTATTGCATTTTTTATTTTATCCATAATGTAACAAATGCAATCTGTATACGTAAACAGCTACCTCAATATATTTTTTGGGTGACATTTTTAAACTGGTTAAAAGGTTTTTCAAATATTCATCTCCAACAAAAAAAAAAATATATTTATATGTGCGAAGTTTATCCAATATTCATCGAGCCAAGTCCCTGTTTTGGAGCTATCGAGTTAATTTGGACAATCTTTGTTATCAACTATAGCTCTATTCTCTTTTTTGACAAGTAGGATGTATGGGAAAAGACAAACCATCAACCTATTAACTTAACTCTCTGAATTAATCAATACTAAATACTTTGTATTGGGAACAATTAAATGTATCTATAAAGCCTCTTTTTATTGAAATATACATTTAAAAATAAAATTTTAGCATAGCCCCGAATGATCGATGAACTTTTTTAAATTAATGAACATACATGTCACGGGTAACTATCCTAAAGTAATACCGTTTATAACATAAAGCCAGAAAATGTCAAATGTGGGCACAAATCTTTTTTTGTCTTAACTCAAAAACTCAAAAGATATTTCTAAAAAAAATTATGGACTGTAGAAAGTGTAAAGCTGGATCACCCCCAAGTGACGTCGTAGTCAGACAGGCAAATAATTTGCATACAATTTCGTCCAATTTCAGAAATACTATAATAAGACTTTTGTACCATAACACTGTATATAGTATTGCTTCCATCCTCTACCTAAAGGGTGAAAAGGTATATAAGCTCAGTGCGAATGTATGTAACACACAGAGGGAAGCGTAGCAGGCCCCCCAAAGTATATACATATGTATGTTGTTAAAATGATATTTAAGAGTTAACCCCATTCGACTCTGAAATCCCGTATTCTTGTTTAGCGTTTGTGAAAGAAGTAGTATGTTAATAATTTTGTACGTTGCGACTACTGGTAGGAGCCCCGAATGTTAGAGTAAAAATATTCAATATTTGTTTCAAACCAAATGTAAGTATGTACATACATATGTATAGTACATACTATATATACATTTTATCCACATTTGTCTTTTTTCAAGTTAAAACATAGAATTTGAATTAATAGACTTTTCTTAACTATGATTTTGTAATCACTGTTTAGATTTCCATTTTTTGTGCTTATAAATAAGCTCTGCCCAACCTCATCACACACACATACACTCCGCAGTAGCGCATCTAATCATTGATATGTACATACGCACACCCGTGCTTAACGAGTTGTGAGAGTGTATTTGTATCTTTAGCTAAGCAGATATTTGTACAATACCAATACATGTAATCAACTCTGCGTTTCTCTATTTCTCTGCTATCCACGCTCATTTTTTCTTCAGACATGCTTGTGGCTTGTTTACTCAAAGCTTTGAGATCGATTTATTAAATCCATGCATTCATATTCCAATGTATTTTGAGGTTCCGATCCACCCCCCACAAAAATTTTTTTTTTGAATTGCAGCTTCGTTATATTTTGAAAAGCACAGAAATAATAATTTTTGCTCGCTACACCGAAGCTCTCTGGGAGACTCTCTTTGAAATCGAAAAGTTAAAATTTTTATGAGTGGTTGTGATTGTGTGCGACTTGCATCAATGGCTGTAAATACGTGCGTTTGTGGCTATGTGTGTGTGTGTGTGTGAATCACCTGCACTACGCCTTTATACGGAAAAATAATTCGAAAGATTATTTATATGTTAAATACTTCCTTTCGGGGCGTGGGTGATTGTTTTTATTTGTTTTTGAAGATTGTGGCAATTAGTATTTAAAAACCGCATTCGTCAGTTTAGTTATGCCAAAGCCACACAACATCGAGGGAACCAGAAGAACTTTGCAATACACAGAGCGTCAGAGCCAAAGCCCTCACACTGCGCTCAGCATGGCATGGCGGCCAGTGGTCGTTCAAAAGCTTGTTTTAGTATTAAGTTCCACTTCATTCGTGTGGTCACTGTGTCGCGTTCGCCGTTGCTGTTGTGTCTCGTTATCGTTAAATAAAAAGTAGTGAGCGACGGTTTTCCTCAAAATATGTAGTTGTAGGTACATACTTATGTATATAGGTACTTTGTATTTGTTATTTTGATGCCCTATCATTGGCATTGTTATTGTTGTAGCGGGCCTTTCGTGCAAGGGTAAAAGTAGTGTGGAAAAAATACTACAATGTTCTGAGCAACGCTTGTCTTGTCTTTGTTATTATCGTAGTTGTGTGCGTCGTTCCGTGCTGCGCAGTTCGCCATTCATCTCCGTACTCTGCCGTCG